AGACATGGCCAAAGCGTCAGAGTGGACGATAAATGGCATGGAATAAGTAGAATATTAGAATATTCCACTAATTTTGAGTGGAATATTCCACTACTTTGGCATGGAATAGAATCGTCAATTTAAGTGGAATATTGAAATATTCCACTCCTTAGTAGGAAGGTTGATATTACTACTAGATCATACGGTAATTCCTCTTAGTAAGGAGGTGACCCTGTGAATATGCTTACATAATCGTGCCAAGGCTCATGATTACTAATCACATAACAGGGTGACCCCTAATCTGGACAGGGTGACGATAACAACAACAGCAAGATTGGAATTAGCATGATTCCACTAGAAAATTGGCATAGAATGGAATAATAGCTAGAAGTGGTGGAATGGAATGGCATGAAGCCGAAATTCCACCGATTCCATGTATCGTCCACTCTGTCGCGATATCCTTCTCAATGTGGCGGTCCACCAAACTTGCATTTCTTCTTGGATGAAGCTCATCCGCTTGATGGGGAATAGTTTGTTTGTAGGAGACCTTCGGCTTTAGTTTGGTTACGGCGCATATGATGAATGATAATGATACTGCTACTTGTATGTACAGCAGATTATAATAAACTACCAACATGGCTTCCAAGTCCATCAGTTGTACTTGTACTTCTCACTTCCTCTCTTGACAAACTTGACCGGCACCTTGCCTGCGCGCATCTGAATCGTGATAATAGTCATCATGCCGTCCTTGAGCAAGTTCTCTGCAGTGTCATAAGCCTTATCCCACGTTTGTCTCTTCGAAGTCTCATCCATAGCTGCAATCTCCTCCTCGCTCGCGTACTTGTCCAAGTCCAATTCGACGCTGTAGTCGCGGAAGATGGCAGCTAGCACAGCCATAACTTCGATTTGAGCGAAACGGCGTCCCAGGCATGAGCGGTAGCCTTCCGAGAAGGGAACAAAAGCACCTCTTTCCGGGTTCAAGAGATGAGATGATGTGACGGCAGATTGTGGGCCGCCGATATCTTCTTCGGTGTCAGAGTGTTGTTGTGTTTCCTGTTGTTTCGCCGCAGTCGAGTTCGACTTTTTGGCAGGGTCCAAGATCCATCGTTGAGGCTTCCAGGATGACAGATCTTTCTCTATTTCGGCTTCTGAAGCGTTAGGACCACAGAGAGTTGGCCAGTACTTGGGATTACGACCCGACGCGACCGTAAGGAGTTGTATAGAGCTATCTGCGGGTATGACCACTCGACGGCCAGAGAGGGTTAGTGGTTGTGGTGAGTCCTTGAGCGTACACTTGGGAATGCCGACGACAGGAGGAATGAGACGCAGCTCCTCGTTCATGACGGCACCGCACATGCCACCAAACAATTTCGGCACGTCTTGTTCGTAGTCCCACTGACCAATGGGTCGGTCGCCAAAGATGTTGTCCAGATCCTTTTGAAGCATCTCTTGGGTGGACCAATTCATAGCCAAGTATAGGATGGCAAAGTGCAGAGTATTTGCTGTAGTCTCGTGACCGGCCAGGATGAAGACAAAGGCATTGCCGAGAATCTCGCGATCAGTGAACAGTTGTGTGTCGGCCTTCTCAGGATCTGAGCCTGGCTTGATACCTGCTCCACTTACGAGAGCTCCCATAAGATCCATGCCTTCACGCTTCTCACCTGCTCTGACTTCTGCCTTCTTGTCCTGGTACATTTCTTTCATGTATTTGCCCCACTCTGTGAAAGATTCGTAAGCGATCTTGTTCTGCTTGAGAGGCGAGAACTCTGTACACACCTGTTAGCCCTTCTACTGTCAGACACAAAAGATTTGGACTTACTAAGGAACCACGTTGGAAGTAACATCACAGCAATGATGTTCTCCAACAATGTGCTCAGTGCATCCTTGTAAGTCATGGTGTGACCTTCAGGTACGACAACAGCTTTTCCGCTTTCCTTAAGTTCCTCGTGAGGCCATAGTAGACGTCTGCCAAATCCAGCGTAACTGATGATATGAAGACTCAGCCGCATAGTGGCAGCAGAAATATCCTTCTCAGAGTCCTTGTCCAGAAAAGAAGCTATCAAACTCTGACCCTGGTGCAGACTCTCCTGCCACACAAGATGGTTGTTCTTTTCGGTGAATGGTGGAGAAGTGATCTTGCGATGGTGACGCCATATCGAACCCTCTGTACTAATCACATTCTTGCCAAATAGATCCACAGAGCCATAGATTTCGATTGGCTTGGGGAAGTCGTTGCGTCGAGTGGTGATCTGTACCGTTGCCTCGGGGTCGCAAACATATACGGAGTTCTTGCCGGGAGAGCACACCATAAAGATGTCACTTCCAATGGCTTTGAAAGGCTCGTGTCTCCTCAACCAAGTCCACTCAGGATCCAGGAACCTGCACATCGGTCAGTTCGATCCCGCACCGGATGATGGGTATGCACTGCTGCAGTGCGACCTAGATTTGGACATACTGTAACCATGGATCTGTCCAGGATTTGGGAAGTTTTCCGAGTAATGGCAACCAGAGCCTGTGTGTCACAAGCCAGAACCGATTGAACACATAGAATGGTGCTACGACGTAGGGCAGACCCGATTGTTTGGCTGCGGCGAGGTTGCGGGTGTAGCAACGGTAGTAGTTGAAGGAGTAGACACCGATCAAAGAGGCGACTGCCAGCCATACAAATGGCAACATGATGAGGGCGATTATTCGATCTTGTGTGAGTTGTGGAATTTACACTGTCTTTATCTTCTCTGTGTCAAGCAGCATGAACAATTGAAGGCGATGGCTGCTTCGTTCCTTCTTTCTAGCTTTCTTGTTCGATGATGTCGTACATGTACTTGAGCGATGTACGATAAACGAGCAACGGTTGGAAACTGTCCGAGGAACGGGGTGAAACTTAAAGCGGTGAACCAAGAAGAGTTCAAGCACTCTCGATTGCCCCGAATCTTGAGAGCAACGAGAAGATATATCTGTTGTCATCTTGACAGGCGCAGACGCGGCAAATACGCTTGCATTGGTCATTGATGCGGTCTGGCAGAACAAGTTGATCAAAGAGCCAGCCGCCATGCGCCTCGGAAGCCGGCACCCTTGGAAAGCCCTCTGCATTCTGCATCTCGGGCGCACTGTCATGTAATGCAGTAAAGCTTGACACTCGGTAAGCGTCGAATAAATAGCGTGAGCTCGCCCTCGTCGAATGACCTTTCGTCTTATGGCCAAGACGTTCTTCGTGACTTGCTTCCGCAAACCAAACTCCACCTCGCGTAATTTGGCGTGCGGTGATCAGATCTCGCTTGGATGCAGCTCGTGGTAGATCTCTTGCAAGCGACGTTCGAGAGCTTTAACGACCCAAATGTCGTCTTCGCCATCAGCCAGATAACAACACACGTATAGCTGCACAGGGTATGCATCGGACCCGCAAATTGTGGCGTGAGCCATTCATTGTTGAAAGTGCCGAAAAGCACTCAAGCTAGACCCATGTTCTTGAGGGCATATAAACTCTTCCTTCCAATGGAAAAGCAACGACCAGACTTGAAAATCAACTGCAGCTTCCACGAGGTTTGGTACCGATGGCACTTTCGTGCCCTAAATCCACAATACCCAGTGTGATCGAGGCAGCGACGCATAGAACCAGCATGGCACCTTCCTGTCTGTCGTCGGAACCCCAAGTGAAAGATGTGATTGCTTTGCTCTTGCCTGTCGTTTGTATCTCCATACTGCATCAAAAATTTCTCTACCATCTATAATCGCCTCGGCCCTATCCATTTCTAGAATACCTGAACCAGCATTTCATTAGCAAGACCTCGTACCTGCAACAAACCTTTGGCCCTGCATTCGCAAACATCATCTGCCGAAAATCATCTATTCTCTTCCGATACCCTGCTCCGACCATGCAGCTCTTCCTGATCAACTTCATCCTTATTGCCTACTACCTGTTCAGTGTCGTCCGTGCCGATATGACTACAGATGCAATTCAGTTGCAGGGCCTCGCTTCCGACACAGCGGACACTATTTTCGCGTCGTTGAATGGAACCGCATATCTCGTGAGTGCTGCAAGGCAGATTGTTGACAGTCAACTCATGATTCTAGAATACATCGGACCTCGTATCTCGAGTCACCGCTGCCGTCCAAGGAGCCGATTCGATGGTGATATCCAATGTCGTTCGTTTCACCAAGGGTCTCAATTCATCATTGAGGACCTCATTGACCTGTTGCAGTCCTCTTCGGGTACCGCAAACGTCACACTTAACGATGCCTACTTCAACGTATGGCACTAGACATCTTGAAAAGCAAGTAGCGAGGACAAGCTGACCACTGCAGTTTGTCGATTCGATGCTCTACCTCGCCGATACTGTTCAACGTCGCGGTCGCCTCTTCCACTCTGAGCTGAACCTTCCGGTTTACCAAGCTCTCCAGAACTTGTCTTCTGCCGTTTCTGTAAGTAACACTTCCCGCAGTTCGAATACCAAGCAGACTCATGTTAGTACCTCGTGCAGACTTACGGTCACGACCTCACATCACATAGTTTGATCCAGCGCAACAGCACCATCCGCACCATGACCACCGGCAGTGCCATTGTCAATGCACAAAGTGCGTGGGCCAACAACCAAAACTATCCAGGCAAGAGAGAGACTTCGAGCTGGTCGGGCTGAGATAATCCGTCAACCTGTCTAGCTTGTTAGAACATCAGCGTAATCTTCAAGTATTCGACTCTGTTTTTGAAGACACTCATGAGTGTCGTGAGTGCGAGGAGAGCTGAAACACGTGAAGAATGAAACCCATGGAGAAAACGAAAGTGCTCCAGCCAGAAAAGAACAAACTGTATCATAAAGGGGTATTTCCGCCGCCCGAAAAACAACAACGCCATTGCTCGTCCAAGAGTCCCAGTCCAACCCAGCAAAAAAGCACAATAACTTCCTCGAATGGAACGACCGACTTCTCATTTGCCAGCCTGATCCAAATATGCAGCAGCATCCCTCGCTTGGACCAACCTCGCACTCGTAGCGCCAATACTCTCTTTGACATCGACCAAACCCTTTATCGCTTGCTCCCAATTCCTCTCGCACTCATCCCAGTCTCTGACTTGACTAACACCACACAGATCTTTCTCTTCTTGTATCTTTGCCTTGTGCTCATCCTCTGCAGCTCTTCTCGCCTCTTGGAAAGTCTGATCCTCAGTCTGTAGTTTTGCAGCATATGCAGCAGCAGCCTTTGCAGGAGCTTCCCTTCTCAAATTTGCAAGTTGCAGAGTCAAGTTCTCGATTTGTGCAGACAGGCCTTGGAGTTTTTGGGAGAGCTTTGTGTCGTATGGTTCGAGCTCTGCCACATCTATTAGCATTCCCTCTCCCTGCTTTCCAGTGTTTGCGAGGCTTACCTTCCCCCCTCCCCTCGGCCATCTTGACCGCCTCCTCCATCTCCTTCCCCTCTAATCCATTAACAGCCAAATTTGCCTTTACGTCTTCAAACACCTTTGCCAAGTATTGCGAGACTAGATCTTCGACGCGCGATTTGAAGACATCGTCAGAGGCAGAGGCGGGAGCGGCGGAAGGAGGGAAGTGTAGATCGAGTTTTTCGCGTAGACAGAGGGTTGCGTTGTTTTGGAGGTAGGTTAGGTCGAGGGGCGATTGGAGTTCGATCTTGCGGTGGGTGGTTTCCATTGCGCGTGGTGAATTGTTTGTTTTTGGTGGTCGAGGATCGGTGAGTCGAGGTGTGGTTACTGAATGTAGTTGGTGAAGAGCGCGTGGCTTATATGCGCGCAAGGCGTTTCGGGTTGAGCGTGGTATGAAAGATGTGGTTACGATGGTGTGCAAGCGAAAAGTGTTTCTCTGTTTACTGGCGTCTCGAAAACAGCCAGAGCAGTGACGGCGATTGTTTGGAGAGGACGTGCCAAGACGCTAGCATCACTGCGGGGTGTGGGAGTTTGCGGCCTTATCGCCGAGATAGGCCATCATGGTACCAAATGATGCCTACCTCGGCACCTGATCGATGACACCTTCGAGAGATAGATACATAGACGATGGACAAGACAACATTAGTTGAAAAGAGAAACGTAATCAGAATCCATTCTATGGACTACCTGCCCTATTCAGTAATGCAAAAGCTGTTCCGCCAGAAATGCACATGTTCCATGCGCCCGCCGTGCTTCGCTTTGCCTGGACTGATCCCCTCCGTCCTCAACATGTATGTATACCCGACCATCTGAAAGTGGTCACCTCCAAATCAAACGCCGTGTGTGAAGGAGAGAAGAAGACCCAGTATCCCATATGTGTAACCCATCCTTGTCAATAACTCCATGTTCCATTATCATCATCGTGTGTCTCAGTGTCGGTTTCGTTGTAGTTATTGATGTCTCCCTCTACTTGGGAAGAATGGCTGCAGCCTCCTCATCTGTGAGGATGATCTCTTGGACGGGATCGGGTCTGTGCTCGAGGTCTGACGAGTCGTAGTCGAGGTAGGAGGGGAGGAAGATGTCTGCAATCGACGTTAGACGTTGAACTGAGATAGGAGATGGATAAAGCATGGCTTGACATACCCTGGTTCCAGTCGAAGCCTTGAGATGTCTTGATGCATGTAATCTGTGAGAAACGTCAGTACTGATAAGGGTGAAAGCACCTTGATGTACTCACCAGGCGAGGGTTCTCGGGTCCGCCAATGTTGACGACAGTGTACTCGGACTTGGATAGCGAGTCACCTACACACTCATTAGTGACACAAGACTTGAGCGGGACCAATCCAGACATACCAAGCAGTGAAGGTCTTCTCTCGGCGTAGCGGGCCATGGATGATGGAGTCGAGGCCGAAGACGGAGAGGCAGACGTCGAGGCCAGGGACGAGGGTGAGAATGAGGGAGAGGCAGCGTTGTTGGCCCAGCTGGGATAAGGAGACGACGAAGACGACGAGGCAGAAGCGAAGCCAGAGCTGCCAGAGCCAGGCTGCTTGCGTTTGGGGATTGCTATCGACGACGACATTGTTGTTTATCGTCGAGGTTGCGGGCTTGGCGATTGATGTGCTTTGGGTGATGTGATATATGAATTGCAGCCAACTCGTGAAGGTCAACGGAAGCAACAAGAGACAGAGAAACACTCAAGAGTGCGATTAATCACAGAAATAGCGTCGCAGGACGGATAGAAGGGAGACTTGGAGGTTGACTGTAGGACAGATACGGAGCGACTATCGCCGAGAAGCGTGGGTGCATGTCATGGTTCCCAAGCCTCCGCCCGCTCCACCCCATGTGACTCAGGGACGTTTCACTGCAATGCATCATACTCTTATCACCGCCATGCAGATCGCTGAGATAATCTACTCTTCGCAACCACATCATTCTCGTTTGCAATCAGATTCAAAAAGCCAAAGTCAAAATGCCATGAAGATAAATAATATAGTATGACCAGGAGCCCGCCCAGTTTGCTGCCATGTTAAGAATCGGAATCAGAATCCCTCGGCCAGCAAGAAGAAACTATCAAGTCTTCCCACTGCCTCTCACTTCCTCCTTCGCTATCCATGAGAGCGTGCCATGAATGGTAAAACACGCATGCTCACACTTTCCTCCTCGCTAAACTTCGCTCGCTGCTCCTCCATTACTTCTCTTATGAAAAGAGAATAAAAGGGTATCTCAAAATCCAAAAACGTACTCAAAAGCAAGAAGAAAGAAAAGAAGAGAAAAAAATAGAAGGGAAAAAAAAGAGAATCATCGCGCCCACCCTAGATTTGCGCCGCAGCATCCCTCATGTCCCATGCCTTGCTCCGAGAAAGCCATAGACACCTAGATCGTTGTTGTTCTCGCGTCATGATCAGATTACTTCAGGAGACGAACAGGATAGATGACTGCATCTACCAGCCTCGTTTCCGTGCGAACTTCTTGTTGAGATGTACGAGCAGCTTCGACACATTGAACTGCACGTACTCGAGATCGAGATCTTCTTGACTGTCTTTCTGCATCTCGAGCAAGTCGTCGAGTTTTAGGTCGAGTTCCAGTAGTCCACGATTACGGCCTGGTCACTAGTCAGTTTCTGAGAAGTGTAGTTTGGTTCTCTTTGACTTACCCTTGTAATGCAAAGAGATGATAAATGTTCCTGGGCTCGGACTGGTCATGTTGAAATAGATGTTTGCTTGTCGATTAGGAGGCACGTTACTCTTCTGGATGACGCCTTCCTTCTCCAGCTGAGCATGCGTAAACTTGTATGGTCCCAGGACCTTTTGGCTTTGTACTCGCTTGGTGGTTCCTTCGGACTGGCCTCTGACGTTGTGCAGATATGACTTGTAGGTCTCGAGCTGGCCGACAAGGTATGCGTTATGGTCCCGAATCGTTTGGTACACCTCCTCGAGCTTTTGACTCTCGGTCGTTACCCTGTCTTTCAACGAGCCGAGGTGGTTCAACTCTTGCTCGACTTCGTCGCGCAGAGATGCGTAGTTGTCCGCTTTGTCGATCATGCCCATATCGTTCAATTGGCTGAGTAGCTCCATGCTACGGATACCCTTGCGCACCATGACCGAGTCGTTCTTTGTAGTGGCGGCTGCTTCAGCCACTCTGTCAAGACGAAGCGGCCGTCGTGCAACCACAGCATTCGCCGGCAAGGAGCGCAAGATCATGACAAATGTCGACTTGGCTTCCATGAAATAAACCTCCTCTTGAGTGATGTCGAGCGCAGCCGTAAGGTCGTCGAGTGCCGTCTCCCATTTGCTGTACAGCGGAAGGTTGATGGCGCGGTTTTCCTTCCTTGGCAGTTGTGCTGGTGCTGGGCCCAGATCTTGCAAGAGGATCTTCAGGTGCGATCCCTCGTCTTTTGCTACCAACTCCTGAGTGTGCTTCTCAAGGAGTGCGTGCATAGCGTAAACTTCGTTTAGCGAGATGGGCAGTTCGAGATCCTTCTTGGAGAGAGCGACATAGTTGTCCATTTCGAGTGTCTCGTAGAAATCTTGAACCTCGCACAAATCGAGCAGGAACTTATTCATGCGCTCTTTGTTTTGCTGGATGAACGGTTGAAGCACGGACATGTACGGTTCTTTGGCGTATGAAGGCTTGTTGGCCAGGTTTTGGAGCATCTTCGCGACCTGGAGAATATCAAGTCAGTAAAGGAATTCAGACCGTCGAGATTGTGCAGACGTACCAAAGTAAGAGTTCGCTTGGGGTTCTCGGCAGGGTTCTGCTCAATAAGCATATATGACCTGGGAGTAACTATGGCGGGGTTGATGAAACGCAGGAAGAAGAAACCTCCGATCAAGGTACAAATGGTCTGGTCTTGAGCATCCGGGTATTTTCTCCTTGAAAGACTCCTAATCTGTTTGCATATCCATCGAATACCGTAAGGCGTCTCGTCCATTCCGTCAACAATCGTGTCGAGGAAGTAATTGGCAAGCTGGATCAATTGTCCAACCCTGCGGCTGATGATTGCTTGAACCTGGGGATTTGCGGCGGCCTCTTCGGCGGTGATGCCACCAGGTGGTAGACTCGATGTGGAACCACGGACTGAGGCACGCTCGGACATCATGGTCTCGTATACCTTGAGCGGGTTGATTTCGAGGTCGACATCGCGCAACTTGCTTGTGACATAGTTGATTTGTTCGGCTAGCACTGTCTTGAGATAACCTTGACCTGGACCTCTGCGTGTATAGGTGGTCATCATGCGAGAAACGGGGGTATTGGCACGAAGAAGGGACGAGTAATCAGGTGTGTTGTCGAATTGGTAGGTCAGGACGGACTGTTGAGCAGACAGGTTAGCCAGTGTTCGGAGAGCGAGATAAACTTGGCATCGAGACCGACCTGGAACATGGTGAGCAGCAGGTGCTCTTCACGACTCTCGTACTGGTTTCCGTAGATGGTGAACATGACTGTCTGGAGCAATTGGTCGATTTCGGCCAGCGTTACCAGGCGACACAGGTGGGCAATGTGTTTCGGCTCGGATTGAAGTAGGAATAACAGGTTACCGTATTTCTGCGTCTTGTCGTCATTAGGGAAAGCACCCTCGGTAAGTTCGTCGGACTCGTCGAGATGGTCGGCTACTTCGTTGCGCTGTGTTTGGGTCAGCCGGGCTCGAGGATGTGTGACAGGCTTCAGGACGAACCTCCTCCAGGGCCATGCGGTTCTGCACGAGCAGGGCAATTCTCGAGTCGAGGTATCGCACGTCTTTCTCCAGCACGAAGTTCTTCTTGGATTGCGACGAGATCTTTGACTTGAGATCGCGGAGGACTTTCTGGGCTATATCGCTGTCAGCGAGTGTGGCAGATGTTGGTGGGGTACTAGTATCGTACCGCGTGCAAGGTCGTCTTCAATCTCGAGTTCGCGCGGGTTTGCATTCATAGACAGGTACAAAGCCGTCATGGAATAGCGCTTGGAGGTGCGCGTTGACCTGGCTCCATCGTGAGAGGAGCGCGTGTTCTGTCGGCCGACCATAGGCAAGTAGGATGAAGACGACGAGGTGGAAGCCCGCGATGGCGCATGCAGCGTTGCGACCGACATGAATTGGACTGCAGTCGCTCAAGTCGTCTAGGGAGGGGGACGGGCGTCTTGACGTTCGGCAGCAGCACTATATTGCCCTCTTTGTTGATGTCTCGAAGCGAAAGCAGCACTGGCGGGCAATAAAGGAAAGTGGATAGAGAGCGAAGATGCTGCTCCGGGCGTGCGCGATATAGCAGGAACAGGAGTCGAGTACAGCGACACTGCCGCCGTCCGCTTCGGACAAAGTGCTGGTTCTCGCGAAACTCAGAGTCGAGGGAGCAGATCAATGTGGCAGGATGACAATTGCTTTGGGCGGATCGGGTTGCTCGGGCTCCCGTACGCTTGATTCCAAAAGTGCTTGAGCTGCAATCAACCGTCAAACAATTACACGTGCTTGGTTGCTGGCATTCCACGTCTCAAAGAAGCGTCGCAAAGAGGGAAAACTGAAGCAAAGGAATGTAAGAGCTGATGAGTAGCAGCTCGATGCTTTCTTTGGTCTGTCTGACAAGTGCCCGACTATCATGCACCACCCTGACTCTTTGTACCAGTCGCACGTCCCCTTTGTATGGGCCCCTTTGCTGGGAGTAACCTTATTCTAGCAGACCTCTTCCGCAAAATGCTTCCAGCCTGCACTGCGCCGTGGGCCCTGTAACGCCCTAGCTGCTGGCCGACCACTGAATGAGGTCAACGTCTTCGCATTGAGCTGTGAAAAGTCCAGCCAACAGCCAATGGCCACCTCTCTTAGCAGAAGCCACGCCTGCTTTGTGTCTCTCTGCATGGCCGTACACTTTACGAACCTGCACCTTAATCTATCAGGTTGCACGACATGGGTATTAAAACTTGCATTTCGCAGTTGCAAGAGCCACCCTCGGTTGCTCGCAATAATAATATGCACCGACTTGGCCCACGTCTTTATGATTCTCATGGTCCTGATCTGACTCTGTTGCTTCGGTCTTCTTCTCCACCAAGCCCGTGTCCTAGGCCGCATGCGGCTCGCAGATCGCAGCTGCAACGTGTTGATCAGGGTCGCACGGTCAAAGCCCCTGACACCTTGCAACCACTGCTCTAGCTCTTCAGCTTTCAGAACTTCAAAATCGCAACTCTTGGAAGAAGCGAAAGTGGGCTGAGACCGTGACTCTCAACCAACCGCGGCAATGAGATCGTGAGGATCAGCACGCACAGTCAAAAAATGCTAAAACAATAATAACTCCCGCTCTCGGCAGTGCCAAAAATTCCTCATGAAACACTTTGCTAGCGCCCACCTGAAACCTCCAAATCGTCGCTCGTGATTTGCCGCTGCACTCCACATTAAGCGAGCATGGCAACTCTCCAGACTCCACCATCCGGAGCGAGCTGCGACTCTGAACGACGTTATCTCATCCTTTTGCGTGAGATCAACGTGTCACACCAGCGATCAGTGTCATGAATGCCACATATCTGTGGGAGGATTCAAATCAGCGCTCTGCATCTTCAATCATGACGACCAGATGCTTGCACTCACATGCCTGAGAAGAAGATCCATTCTCGTGTAGTCAAAGCATATTTGATGTCCAGGGTAGAGCACAGAAACCATTGGCCCATGGCGCATACAAATATTGCAAGGATACGACAGAGAAGGTTGGGCATCACCGCAAAAGCCAGCAGCGGCAGGAGCAGCAACAAAGGCAGACAGGCTGTCGCTGCTGTCATTGTCAATCCAACATTCCTGCCTGGAAACACGAATAGGTCCTTTTCATGCTTGAGGAAAGCTGCTTCTGTGAGGTCGACAGGGCGATGGTTTGACATCCACTCGCGGTAACGTGCTATCTCTGCTTCCTGCGGTCTTTGCAGATCCTTGGATGCATTGTAATATGACTCGACAGCACGATCTACTGTTCATCAGCCAACCGATACCCCACTCTTCGCACTTTGCAAAGGAAGGTACTCACGATATCTTTCCAGCTTGACAAAAATCTCACCCAACACAAATTTTCTCCTGAACATCAACTCACTGTCTGCTGGCGTGATTCGTGCTTCCGCGCGCCTTGACGCAGGTGCCGATTTCCCTTCAGAAATCACGAGTCCAATTTGAGATATCCACTCATCCAACTTGCGCAATTCTTCTTCGTACTCGCAAATTTCGTCTTGCAGGTAGAGGAGTAGGCGATGGTGCAAGTGCTCAAAACTGCGATACATTGGTCGCGTTCCAATGGTTCCGTCTGTCAGCCTAGCTGCTAGAAGTTCATAACCTTCCAGCGTGGTCTTCTTGAGATCAGGAAAGCTTGGAGCCGTTGGAGCAGGCGATGGCACACCAGCTTGAGTAGGTCCTGACCGTAAACCTTGACTGTAGTCGTTCCGGAAACTTGCTCGTTGTGCTTGTGGATTGGTAGGGTACATTTGTGACCAGTATGGACCTGGTGTGGGAATAGCCTTTCCATGATTCGGGCCCATGGGTCTTTGTTGGGATGCGATGTGTTCACGAAGAGCTTCTACCTGATCTTCAAGCCTGACATTGGGTTGGAGACTTTGAGGCAACGGCCCAGCTCTAGTGTTCATACCGGGGTGTGCAACTTGGTTTCCTGATTGTTGGAAAAGAGATACACCTGATCGAATCGAGATTGGCGTAGGCTGACCAGGTCCTTGACCCCAGGCATTATCACCTTGCCGACTAGTCCAACCACTGTTTTGAGACGAAGGCATGACTGGATGAGCTAGTGGAGGTTCTGAGGACTCAGGCGAAACATATGCTGGGCGCATAGACTGAGGTGAAGGTGAAGAAGTTGAGCCATCAGCGTTCAACAATGGTGGTCTACCAATGCTCTCTGGAGTCAGTGGCCCGAACCATTGCGCCGAAGAACCGCGTTGATATGGATGGCTTTGTTGTTCAGAACCTTCAACAGTCTTGAGCGAAGAAGCCATTCCCATATTGCCTGCTACAGGCTCTTTGGCAGCTGCTTGTTGATGCTCTTGATGCTGCGAAGCCATCTCAGGATTTGTCTTCAAAGAAGAAAAGACGTTCTGTTTTAAAGTACTCTCACTCCCACTGGGTCTATCGAAGATGCCTGTAGTTTCAGAGCAAGTTGTGGACGCTGTTGAAGCATGAGCATGCGGTTCCTCAACCATCATAGACTTCTTGGGACGAGCGACATCGCCAGGTACCTTACGAGGTCCATGTCTCCTCATCAGCATGCTTTCCGTGCCCGTAGTATTTGACGAGCGTCGGCTGGTCTTTGCAACCTTGTACGGTACGCGCTGTTGCACATTTGACTGAGCTTGTTGGTCCTCGCGTTTGTCCGTCGGGGTAAGCTCTGTCTGTAGGGCTGAAGGGCCTTCATCTATATCTGACCATACATCCGAACCTGACTGTGACACTTTTCTGCAGGCTTGGTCATGTAGAGGCGATTCCGTCGAGGAATTCTGTGTAGAAGTGGATGGAGTCAAGATCGGCGAGACTGGAGATGGCAGTGATGTTGGAGTGTTGGTAGGATTTGGCTATTTTGCTTGTGAGCGAAGGTCCTCTATGTGGTCAAAAAGAGGGGCAATCGGACACCCACCATTCTGGCACGAGCGGCGGCACTTGAACCGCAGATCTTCCTTTGATTGAATGCTTCAACCTCAGCTCATCTGTACTTGTTGGAAACGACAATCGATGCTGTAGAATCATGCGAATCATTTGTATGTGAAGGAGTACTTTGCTGCTTAGCTGACTGAGGAAGAGGGCAAGACATGATTGCGAGAACGTGGCTGATGGATAGAGAGCTCAGAGATTGTGGGTGGACGAACGCTGGTCCTGTGCAACCAAAGGCATCCCAGTAGTCTGGTAGAATCTGGCCGTGTGCATGATCGGACATGGCTGTGCTGGCGCCCGATATACCAATCGTGATGACGTGTGTGAGTATTGGGCAAATGTATCCATAACTAGCAAGAGAGCAGAGTAATCTTGATGGCGTATTTTTTGGTGAACGGTATCGCATCTCTGGAGGTGCGATCTCGTATGAATGACACAGTTCAACACAGCATCTGGATAGACACGTGCCTTTGCTTGAGTATCTTGGAAATGTATCGACTGTCTGATGTCCATGCTGCTGGGACACATGGTGATTCTGATCTGATAATAGTAAAAATGTCGTCTGCCCAATCACTGAACAACGATAAGGAGGGTTCAAGAAGGAAGAGAAGTGGCTATTATTGGAGCCCTCGAGAGGCACTGCCTATCTATCATAACGAAACCGTAACACATAACATCAGCGCCAACTCCAACGCTAAATCGACCTCAGCCATTTTCACGCTTTCACGACACCACACACGCTCTCAACACCCAGCGTTCTCTATAGTAGAGTGTCACCAAGACCGCAACGGACGATTGAGATTCCGGCACGAACAGTCTCGCTAGCGCCGTGAGACTCGAGGCTAGGGTTAACCTCGACCAAGTCTAGGGCAACAAGACTGCCAGTCTCATGGACGCACTCGGCAATAAAGTCACCCTCACGCAAAGTCAAACCACCACGGACAGGAGTGCCAGTGCTGGGTGCCCACATGGGGTCGAGAGAGTCAATGTCGAAGGACAGGTGGATGGGAGTGTCGCTACCAATCCAGCCAAGAGCCATATCCATGACCTTGCCAATACCATATCTGTTATGGCCAATCAGTATCTTGGTGTACCTCGAGAGCAGAGAATAGAACTTACCTGTCAATGTCGTGCATAGAGAAGGCCTTGATGCCGTGCTCACGCAGAATCTTCTTCTCACCGCGGTCAATGTCTCTCAGACCAATGTAGACGAGCTTCTTGACGCTGACGCGCTGGTCATCCTTGATCCAGCCGAAGCAGTCCTCCTTGTCCTCCTTGGCCAGACCGGTCAAGAAAGCAACGGGCATGCCGTGGATGTTTCCACTGTCCGATGTCTCGGGAGTGTTGATATCGGCGTGTGCATCGACCCAGATGACAGCCATCTCTCTACCGGTTCTTTCTCTAATGGCCTTGGCTGTGCCGGAAATGGTACCAATTGCGATCGAGTGGTCACCACCGAGAGTTAGGACAAAGCGACCTTGGCGGGCGTGCTCGTAAACCTGCTCGCTGAGACGCTGGGTGACGGCACTGACAGCGCGAGAGTTCTTCATGCCGCGGTATACGGGGTCTTCCTTGGGCATGATGTCGGCGTATTGGTGCACCTCTCCGTCGTAGTGAACGTTGAACTCAAGCTCTTCTCTCAATTGTTCGACGAGACCAGACTCGATCAAGGCCATAGGAGCAGCATCGACACCGGACTTGCCCTATCGACTGTGTCAGGGAAATTGACGAGTGCGCAGGACGCTGATTCCACTTACCTGGCCTCCGCAGAAGCCTACGGCTACAAGGCCCAATTCGTTGCGGGAAGGCAGGAACTTGGGCTGGAGAGTTGGTGCATCCATTGTGGGCGGTATTTTCGGAGGGACAGGCTCGAATGGCTCGCAGGAGGGAGAAATAGGGAATGATAGAAATTTACGAATCAGGACAGCGAGGTTCACAGAAGAAGGTAGAGGTGGAACAAAGAGATGGGGAGAAAGGGAACGAGCGAGCTTTTCAACAAAGCCCTGCTGACCCGTTGAGAAATCATCTTCGTGGCCTTTTGAAATAGACCATAACGTAAAGCGCGGTTGCAACTGTACTTAGCGGTATGAAGCAACAGCAGTGTCTCCTAAGCGCAGGTATAGACGGCGTCGAGGAAGTTTGGTGGTAGGAGGCCGCGTCTGTGCATTTTGGCCGGGCTTTGATCACAATCTTCATTACGAAGCAGAAACGAATCTTATCTTTTCAGCGTGAAATCTGGGGATATATGATGAGATCACTATAGACTGGGAGTTCTTTCTGCTTCAGAAACAACACTCCTATACAGGCAGGACTAGCTATCTGGACTCATACATGTGCTCACATTGACATAGCGATTGGGAAAAGCCAAGATTCGACTATGGCTATGGCTCGCACTGTTCCCGAGCGCTCGACAACCCGCTTGATCCGAGACCTGGAGCAAGACTCCCGTTGCAGTCTCTAAGGATGTCCACGAGTCCATCTGATGCTGTTAAACCGCTCAATTGGAAAAGCCTCATAGATGAAAATTGGCGCAACTGGCATGGTCGAATCTCGATGTTAAATTCCTCGCAAGATCAAGCATCATGTACGATTCTCTTGGCAGATCTCGGATTTCAAATGCCCGATGAACCCAAGGGCTTGAAGGTCTCACTGAAACATGTTCTGGCATCTCGCCTTGGCCGAAGTAGAATTCAAGACATGTAGAATTGGAATCAGGCCAGTACTACTATAAGGCCAGTTTCAGTGAGCATCAAACCATGGAACACAGCAACATCGCAGACTCGACCCGCACTTGTGTTTGTGCTCATGGAAGGTCGAGGTTCACGATGGCAACTAATTCGTGATGGCAGGCTTCTCTAGCGCCTGCCGCAATAGGAAATTTGTTGCCCAATCTTCCCTATACACTGTGCTGCGAGTGTGCGTATGCATGGTCAACGTCAAAGACTACAAGTACTCTAAGTGTCGAGAGAGTCTATTGGAAGCGTCGCATGCATGATGCATAGGTACATACTCATTTATTACCTGGTTTGCGTAGATCCGGACGGCGGGAAGCGGCAGACAAACGCAAGTAATAGGACGATCTTCTTTGTCAGTCCAGCTCTTGGCTTCAATAGACTGGCGTCGCTGAGGGAGAAGAGTCTGGGAGCGGGTGATGCAAAGACGAGCATGAGGATGTAGCTAAGACAGAAGACAGCAGACAGCACAGAGGGCATACAAAGCTTAATAAAGAGATAGATTGCGGAGATGTCGGCATCTGTGTATTGATATGCAGGGTAAATGAGAGATGCATGTGAAAGTGATGGAAGTGGTCGAAGCTCGTCAACGGGGGTGCAGTCGACGCCCCTTTCAGCAGAAAGTGGGCCTCTAGTGGGTGATAATCGTGGGTGCAACCATGATTTGAATATACAATACCACGCTGTGCTGTTTTGAAAACATTGACGACCGCCGACTGCCTCGATCGAGGCTGGACCAAGACCAAGTGATCGCCGTGTCCGAGCAGCGACGACGACTCATCCCAATTGCACAAACGATCAACTTCCATTGACTTGCAAGTCCCTTGGTCACAGCCTGCCCCTCCGAGGCTTCGAGCATTCATTGATCGTCCGCTGCCATTCCTCCATTGCCATCGAAACCCCTTGAAGCGAAAAGACCCGTTCTCAACTCGATCTTATCCATTATTGTCCCCAGTCGCCATGCGCTAGACACGACCACCACACAGAAGCCTCAGGAGATCACAGCATGCTCCATACCGGCTCAGCGCAAGCCGGCGATGCGACCCACGCCCGACAGCACCAACTCCATCACCACCAGCAGCAGCGGCAGTACCACGACCGCTTCGACCTGACTCGCGCCCCCTCGCCTGGTGGGGATTCCATTCTGACTGTCCGCATTCCTGGCCACCAGCTCCAACATCAAGATGACCCCAGTCGCCGGGCCAGCACTCTCCATGATCGAGGCCCAAGCGACTCTTCACATTGGTCGCATACTGAGCGCCAAGGACACGGGTTGGCCAACCTGAACCGATGGTCTCATTCGACCGCCTCCAGTGTCGCATCCATTGACGCCCCACCGACCGCCATTAAGCATTCGCAGTCACATAACAATCCGTCCAGCCACGCTTTCCACACAGGCTCTATTTGGGCTCGCCGCAATGTCTCTGATACCCAAATGTCTCCCGAGGATGTATCACCGCGATCGATTGCCTACCAGCGCCCTCAAGCCATGCAGAGTCCAGAGTACAATCGCCGCCGTGTACCTCGTTTCGAGAAACCCCTACCGCCACGCATGTCCATCTCGAATCACTCTCCCAACGACGACGCACAATTGACCAGCGCCACCTTCACTCCCACGACTCCTGGCTTGCTCACCCCCAACAGCTACATCAATTCCAATTCTGATTATTTCGGAAGCACTGCCTCTGCTTCGAGCAGCTACGAAAAATCCCCACGTGCCTTGCCGCCACGCACCTCGTCCCGCCAGAATGGCTCCATATCGAGACAGGACATTAGTCCCGCTGAGAGTAGTTCGGGCAGGGGAAGAAGTCAGGACAAGAAGATGATGCTGTCCAAAGCTTTGGAGAAGGCAAACACGGCCGTTCTATTGGATAATGCCATGAACTACGAAGGCGCTCTAGAAGCATACCGAGATGCCTGTCATTTGCTTGAGAATGTTTTAGACCGTACATCTACGCCTGATGACCGCAGAAAACTCGACGCTATCCGCGACACTTATACCATCCGCATCGACGAGCTTCTGCAGATCCAGCTAAACACACAAGCTACAAGGAGAGACAAGCAACTTCCCCCGAGACCCATGAGTAACGAATCTATTGTATCGGATGTATCTGGCCCAGATCGCAGCTCAGCAATCATCGAGACTGCTACACTGACACGGATCATCGATGCTCCTCCTTCAACAAGTGCGTCGGCTGTGCCTTCACCAACAGAAGGTCCTCCCACCTCCTTCTTGGCAGTGTCGCCTGCTCAAGGCCCACGTACTTCCTTCTTGACCAGTGCAATTCAAGAGGTCGAAGGGACATCCGCCCCTGGCGCCTTTTTGGGTCCGTTATGGGAACGTGAACGATCGAGATCTCCTTTCAGAGATTCCACCATCAGCCACGATACCGCTCGTCCTTACAACCTTGAGCCCGCGCTCATGCCGCGACCACTCACTCCTCGAGGATACGACGAACAGGAAAACTCCCTCGAGCTCGACTCGAGACCTACAACGGCAGAATCTCAGGAAATTTATCAAAACACTGATCCAGTGTCATGGCTGGACACAATAGATGAATCTGGGTCGTCTGGTTCGCCTTCCAACACTACTACATCTTCTCACTCGCCTTCGTCCTCAGTCCACGAACGTTCGCCGAGACGGGGAGTCCACCGTAGAGATATAAGTGCTGCTCTCAGTCACGCCAGTTTGGATTTCGACGCTGCTTTCGATGCGGCGGTCGAAGCTGCTTATGAAGATGGCTACGAAGTTGATGATGACTTCCTCGTACATCCTGCGCCTGTCCAAGACAGCCAGACGTCACTTGAGCCAGATCCAACTCTACCTTCTGCATCTTCTTTGGGCCAGTATCTTACGTTCGACGGTCAGCTCGACGATGACGAGGCCGAAGAGGAACGTATTCTTGCGGATATCACCAATGATTACATAGATCACGGGTTTGACTTTGGCATTCAATCCAAATCTGCTCTGCCGCGAAAATCCGACTCTAGCACATACTCTGGTCGTACATACCAAAGCTCACAGGTATCCAACCGAACAACCGCAGGCACTTCGCTGTCGACTGTTGCAGAGAATGCTGTATCGCGCCACACACCATCTTCATCACTAGCGACCGATATCTCTAAGACCTCTCCTGAGCAGACCAGCGGAGCACAGCAGACTACCACTCCAAGCCGACGGACTGCCGGCCCCAATTTCAAACAGCTCAAAATTGAAACCTCGCGCAAGCCCACTTTGAGATCGCGTGGCTTCACGAACACTGAGCCCAAGGAGGCAGCCGACGCTGGTGGTGCAGAAGAAGAAGAAGCGGATGCGGGTCGTCGAATCTCAGAGGTCCCTAGCCTGCGTCGCGTGGAGGCAGCGCTCGCCTCGCCTTACCACATGCGATCTGCTGCTTCGGATACGGCAACATCTATGTCTCTAGACAGCCTGCCTGAGAATGGAGATGCCATGAACAGCAGATACCGCTCGCCAAGGCCAAAGCTGTTCCGAGGCAGAAACAAGTCCTCGCTCAGTCTCCGGGAGACAGGAGGCTTTATTTCAGAGGAAACCGATACCGCTCCAGCTTCTCCCATGTCAGCATTCCCGGGTGGCGGCGGAGAAGTACCGCCTTTCCGGAGGTACATCACACCACCTGGAGGTTCAATATCTATTACACGCACAGATTCGGCTTCTGGGGGTCATCATATCTTTGAAAGTTTCCTCAACCCTCCTAATCAACCACCGTCTCCTGGGGCAGACGATTCATATTCACCCTCATCTTTGGAACCTTGTCCAGAGCCAACATTGTTACGACCTTTCTGGATGCTCCGCTGCGTCGCTAATGTCCTCAATCAACCTCGTGGTGGTTTCTTGACTACCCGACTTTTCGTTCCTCGCCAGATATGGATGAATCGTAGCGTCAAACTCAAGAGCGTCGAAGACAAGATTTCCAACTGCGATCTGTTGACAGCCGCTCTGGGCAAGTTGTCCAAGGTTGATACTTATGACGCAGATGCAGTGCTGGAAGAGCTCCAAGGATTCGAGGAGGTGATGGAGCGTGTACAAGCTGTGCTCATCAAACGACTGGGCAGCGAAGTTGGCGTGCAGGGCATCAGCGCGCTGTTCAAAGATGCTCATGGTCAGACCGATAGCACTGGCACTACCGCTGAAGCTCGCGATTCAAAGCCGAATAAGAGCTACCTCAGTTCCTGGCGCAAGCTTCGAGGAAAGAACTCTTCGGGTGGCGTCACCGTTCCTCTGAGCAGCAGTCGCACGGAGAAGGAAGTTCCAAATATGGCTAGTGTGCCCATGACCAGCTTCGTTTCCATCGACAAACGTACTGCGCACAAGCACATTTCGCCCAAGGACGCAAACTCATTTGAAGGTCCACACAAGGAATATATGAGCAGTGTGTCTCGACTGTGCGAAGCAGCACAAGTACTTGATCAAATTGCACGTCAAGTCGAGGATCCTGGTCTCAAGCACTCTTCACCGACACACATCGGTCTGGAACTCAGTACCCGTCATGCTGCAGAATTCTTTGGCTTCTACATTTGCAGGTTCATCCTCGGCGATGTGACTCTGCTTATGGACAAGTACGTCAAGAGGAGTACCGAGTGGGTCATTGCATGATCTTCCTCTGCTGCTCCCTAATATCATTACTGGTTCTGAGATATCTACTATTCTCAAACCTCTTGCATCATTTGCATTATTCTATGTTACAGCGCATCATTATGTTGTACACCTAGAGGTCAATCTACCACCATTGTTTGTTTTTCTCGCATTTGGTTATACCCAAAAAGGTCACAAGTGACCTCTGCGTGTTGATTGTTCTTGGTTTGTTGCGAGTCCATCATGTTGTTCTGAATCTAATATTTATGAATGGGGGGCGGCTGGAAAAGAGGAGGAAAAGGCGCTATTAAATTCACAATCGAAGTTTCTAAGATGAATTGTTTTCTCCCCGATTCAAACATATTTGCTACGTTATACAGTGCTCTTCAATGACCTTTTGCAACATCGAAAGGGAAGACCTGGACTTCCTCCCTCACCCACCCCCGCCAAGACCAACCGCACAGACCATCTCTCCTCCATGATTCGCATCTTCAATGAACCACCACGTCAAAAAGTTGTCCAAGTAGATATCGACCCAGCACAATGGCCAAGAAAGGTACTACACATCCTTGCAATTGCTTCTATATTCGATTTCCTGTATCAAAGCGGTAACTGACATGATTTGAAATGACAGCAAAGTCACGCACCATCGCCGTGCGCCTCATCTCCATGGCCTTGACCGGCTACTACAAGACCCTCGTGCGCCCGCGTCAACACAGACCCTTGAGTATGCTCAAGTACGATCCTGTCGGTACGTTTTTTTGCTCCTTACGCCCGAGTTTCCTGGATGCGATGTGAGCGATGCGACAGAACGAGGAGGGCCCAACGAGAACGAGACGAGAGGAATTGAAAAAAGAGAAGGCAACGGCACAGTGGCACTCATGTGCAGATCGCAAACATACGAGATGGAAGAAGAGAACAATCGCTGACTTGGGTTTTGCGACATACAGTCAAGAAGAAGGTTCTCTTCCTCGAGGCAAAGCGTGGTGGTTCAAAGTAATCGCATCAACGGCACGGATGAAAAAACTGGTTGCTATACCTGACAGCTCCTTCGTACGGAAACGTCCACATACCGTTACCGCGTTCGATCGATCATACAGCCGTCATATTCCGACTTTCGAGGATACCAGGGTCATTGTCTTTATGGAGTCAAGGAAGAGCATGGATCAGGCGTTTTTTTGGGACTCGATCTTAGCAGCAAAACGATGCCAACCCACATCGGGGGGCCATGTACAAAATGTATCATAACTCATACAATTTTTCCCGTCGAAGTCTCTGTTCTTGAGCAATTACTTTCCGTCTCCGGCTATTCACGAGCGATACCTTTGCCCCAAAGTGATTACCATCCATCTCGGGCGATTCCCCAAATCATACTGTCAATAATGCTGCTTGTTCATTCCGGAGCAAACTTCCCTCGTCTCTCATCATCGATCTCACCGCACTATCAACGTCGGGCGTGTGGGCTGCTGATCTCATCATTGAAGCGGTTCATCATGTTCTGCTCCTTGTCTGCATATCCTTGTCAGATGTGTCATGCGCAAATAAGACATCATCTACTTACTGTTTCTGCTAGAGCGGCGTCTCTGAGGACCTGGTGTTACAGTCGTCGACTGAGAGCGACGAGGAGTTGCGGTGACGCCGCGTTGGCCGGATGTAGCTGGAGCAGGAGTTGCATTCTCAGTGCGCTGTCTCTTGTTGACCTTGGAGCTCTGGGAGGCAGATCGCTTTTGAGGACTGCGACTACCACGGACTGAGCTACTGGGAGGCGAGTACACATCGCTGTCTTCGGCATCTGAAACGTCATAAGTGACACGTTTGCCCTTGCCCTTGCCGCCAGCCTTGAAATTGTGAGGTCCACTGCTCAGTGCTGACACTTTCTTCTGCGATTGGGAGGCTACTGCTGGTCCTTTGGGAGCTTTCGAAATCGCGACGGACTGTAGAGCTCCAGGTCTACTCTGCTTGGGCTGGCTCTCCAGTCTAGGTGTCAGCTTCTTGCCCACACCTTGTAAGTTCTTGCCGCCTGTCTTCATGGGTGTTTCGAATGCATGTGAGGCCACAGCCAAGTCGTCAAAGTTGCTTAGATCCAGCGACTGCTGCTGCGTTTGTGATTCGACACCCTGGGTTTGCTGCTGGGAGACCTGTGTGCGATCTTGGCTCTGCGTTTCTTCCCATGGATACTGTGGCTGATCTCTGATCGTGTCAAAGTCTAGGACCTCACTCAAGGATGAGGATGACGAGACACGATTGGGAGACTGAGGTTGCGTCTGTGCCTGTGATTGAACGTTCTGGCTTCTGAATCTCACTCCTTCGGCATCCAAGACCTCTTGGGAACCAAGACTGAAGGCTCTCTGTGCCTCTGATTGTGAGCTGGCAGGCCTCGAGGTCGCTTTTGGAACTTGCAAGCGTGAGTTGTCCAGATCCAGCATCTCCTCCTCCTCCTGTGGAGGATTGCTTGGACGAACGATGTGGCCGTTTCCCCTTGGCTCGCTGAAAGGCCCGAAGATGGATGCACCGTTGCTTCTAAGCTGCGAGCTCTGAAGAGCATCGCTTGTAGGCTGAGTCATGCCTGTAGATGTAGTAGAGCTAGTAGACTTCGAGACCGAACGTACGTTTCTGTTGACCGCTCTTCTGACTTTCTTGGCAGCTGGAGTAGATGTTTGATCTTGAAGATCTTCCTGTGGCTGGGAGTCGGGGATCTCTGTGGTAGCTGCAGCAGCGTGGGCATGATCCCGCTTCAATTTCTCGATGTCTTGCTTCAGCTTCTCAGCATCAGAGTCTTTCTGGCGAATCACCTCTTGCTGCTGAGTATGGCGTTCATCCATCTCTTTCAGACGACTGTTGGCAGCCTCTAAGCTTAGTCGTAGACTGGAAATTTCTTTCTGTCGTTGCTCAGCCTCATTGCCAGACTTTTTCTCGAGATTCTCTAGTCTGGTTTCAAGAGCACGTTTGGCGGAGTTGACTTCTGTCAAACCAGCTTCCTTCGCTTTCAGCTGGGTCTGAGCATTTTGAGACATGCGAGATGCATCCTCCTCCATGGCCTTGACAGTCGTCTCATGGGAGCGTTTGGCTTCTTCACGTCCTTGCTTGAGAGACTTGATCTCATCCTGCGCGACAGTGATCATTCTGTTCAGATCCTCAATCTGGCGATCGCGATCCTGCACATCTTGAGCTCCCTTGCGCAAAGAATCTTCTGTAGACTGGCGAGTCTGATCGTGATCTCGCTGCAGCTTCTCCAGGCGACGACCTGACTCAGAAATTTCGTTGACGAGACGCTGAATACTTGCATCCTTCTGCTTCAAATCTTCTGACCAGGCAGCAGGACTGCGATTGCCATATTCTTGCTTCAGGCGATCGAATTGAGACTCCAGATCTTTGAGAGTGTTATCCCTGGCCGTAAGTTCGCGTTCGACCTCCTCTTTTTTCTTCTCGAGTAGGAATTTTTCACGGCCAAATTCCCTGCAAAGCCTGCGGACTTCGTCATCGTGTTGTTTTTTGGCCTTTCTAGTGTCAGCGGGCACACGATCAACAAAACAAGGACAAGTCGCTCACATTGGCCTTAATTCTGGCCTCCTCTGGGCCAAAGTCAGGGACTGCGTTCTTCGCATCTTCGACTTGCTTAGCCAGCTCGCCGATCTGGCTCTGAACGATTGTTAGTGCATAGTTCACAGTTGCTTTTCCACGTTTTAGCTCACCTGCAGATCTCCCTTCTCACGTTGTAAGGTAGTCTTCTGCTCTGCCATGGAAGCAATGGTGGCCATGTTTTCAGCCTTCTCACTCTTCAGCTTATCGAGCTCTTGCTTCAAATTACTCTCAGAGGTGGCGAGTTCCAGCAACTTGGCTTTGTCGGCTTCTGCAGCGGCTCTGGCCGATTCAAGGGCGGTTTGAGAAGACTGTAGTTCGTCAATCCTTTGCTTGAGTCCTGCTTCGGCGTTGTTCTTGTTGGTCAGGTCTTCTTCAAGCTTTGTGATCTTCTCCTTGCTCGTATCCAGATTCTGTCGCACTTCGGCTACCTGCTCTCGTAAGGCAGAATTTTTTTCTGATATCTCTTCCCAAATCTTGAATTGCGACTTGATGTTGTCAAGAGCTGTCACGACCTTGTTCTCGGCTTTCGTACGAGTTCTAGAGTTGAAACTGTTGGCGCTTTCCACGTCTCTGACGTGCTTCTGGATACTAGCATCTGTTAGCATAGAGTATGAGTGATAATGGGAGCACACTTACCCAGAGGACAGCTGTATCACCGATGTCTTCAACGCATTCATGTTCGTTCCAGCAGAACGAAGTTGTTCAGATATACTTGCGCTCCCTTTCTTCAGCAGTTCGAGAAGCTCGCCAGACGTTTCACTGGAAGAAGTGCCTTGCTCGATGTAAGTTCTGAATTCGCCCAAGTGCTCGCTGATCTTGCTGACGCATTCATTGAGCATCTTCTCAGTGGAATTTCTCTCGGCGTGGCAGGCCTGAAGATGTTTGTCAAAAGCGTCGTGGCGCTGCTTCTCCCGAACGAGTGACTCGGAGGTTTCCCGAAGGCGTCTTTCAAGATCAGACTTCTCCATTGTCTGGGCCGCAATAGATGACTTGCACTCCCTGATGAGGCTCAAACTGTTGGCCTTCCATTCCTCAAGCTTTGTGATATGTTCTTGAGCGTTAGTGGCTGTATTCAGATTGGTGTGAATTTGAGATTTGAGCTCTCTGAGATCGCTGTCGTACTTGGCCTTGCTCTTTTGGAGACTCCTGATATCATGACCGATGCCATTGTAAGCTTTTACCATGGTCACTAGATGCTCAGAGACCTTGGAGTACTTTTGAAGACGGGCTTTGAGCTTCGAGCATTCAGTTTGGAGGCTCGCTCTGTGCCGGTCGGATTTCTCCAGCTCGGCCTGCTTGGCTGCAAGACTTTTCACCCAATCCTGCTTCTCCTGCAACCGCTCTTGATCTTTCAAGTGATCGGCAAGCTGGTACAGCTGTGCAGCCGTGTATGATGAGAAACTGGACTTGGGATTGACCATTGTGGTCCGTTCCGTGAGGCCAGTTTGTGACGGCTTTCTCCTGTTCTTGGTGACTCTCGGCAGACAGGGACGATTGGAAACCTCACGAGTAGATTGGTGTACATCCACAAGGGAAGATAGCATAGTGCCTTCCAAATTTGGAGGGTGCTGCCCACTGCGATGTGCGTTGGATGATAGCGTATCCTGAGCAACTTCAACACGTAGCTCAGGAGTAACTGCTTGTTTCACCTTTGCAAGTTGGATGTCTTCGATAGGATGGTTTTCGTCGACTAAATGCTGGTCCTCGGATAAATGCTGCTCAGGAATCGAGTGCTGCTCTTCACTGGAACGCTGATCGTCGTCTGAAGGCTGAGCCTGAACCGAAAGCTGTTCTTCCAGGCTGATGTGGTGATCACCATGAGACTTTTCATGAGTAAGCTGCTTCGAGACTAGACTGTCATCGTTGCTCTCGAGCAAGGCGTCCTGTGTAGTAGAGTCTTGCATCGACATATCGACAGAATCAGTGTGTGAGGCCTTGGGTAGGACAGAAACATCTTCCTCGACGTTCACATCTCGCTGCTCAGCATGTTCAGTGGAGTTTGGTCCGATGCGACTGGCTGGTTCAGTGACCGTGAAGATATCTTCAGTGTCTGGCGACGCCTCGGAAACGACTTCCATATCCTTGCCAGGACCGATGTGGGACGGAAGCAGTCCTGTTGGCGAGCGAAATCTGACAGGAGGCGTAGTTTGCTCACAAAGCGATTTTTGCAAAACCATAGCTTTGTCGTGAGGTCGACCAGTTGGTGCATCGCGAGGAGCAGAACTGTGATCAAAGTCAGCAAGTGCAGATGTTCATCTCGAAAGACAGCACCCACCTCTTGCGTTTGAGCTGCCTTTGGCCGTGCATGTGCGAGTGCTCTGCACGCCGTGGAATGTTTTGTCGTGCATGAGGGGTCGAGGGAGCTTTCGAGCTCTCGTCGACAGTGGTAATCTGAGATAGCGGTGAACCAATTGGCTGCACAGCTTTCTGGTATGCGGCAGGAGCTTCAAGGTTCAAGGTCAGCTGAGAACCCAACCAAGAGAAGATTCTGCCAAGACCTTTTGGATTTGAAACAATCGGGGATTCCTTTTGGACACTGCGTGCTGATATTTGGTGTTCTTGGTTTGACTTTTCGAACGAGGAAGAGAGAACAGCGTTACTTGACTGGCTCGACGAGACTGACTGCACGCCCGAAAGATTGTTCCGAGACGCCTGGGCCTTTCCGAAAGCAAAACCATACTCGACGGACTCAGGCTCCGTTAGACGCTTCAAGATGGGTCTTGTCGGGATGTCAAGCTCTTCTGTAGAGGGCGTAGCAGAATTCTTCTGGATGATTTCAATAGCATCCTGATCAAGTTCGCCGCCTCTGCTGCTGGGCCTACTACTGGGTGCGCTCGTGGGAACGCGAGTATCTGACTGAGCATGAGGGCGAATAGTCACCTCTGTGCCAGTCTTTGTGGGGACACTGGTAGTCTTCACGATCTCGTGATAGGACGATTCGGGCATGTTGTCGGAGAACGAGCCATCAGGCGAGACGGCTCTCTCCATATGGTTAAGACGGCTCTGCCTTCTTGGCTGGCTTGACTCGGGCATGGCTGTGGTCGGAGATTGTCGACCTTCAGAAGAGCAGGCAACGTGATCAAGGAAATATGGTGTGGAGGATGAGAGAGAAGAGGAAGTAAGATGGGAGATGGAAAATGGAAGAGAAAGAACGAGAGAGCGTTGAGAGACATGAGAGTCTGCCGTCACTTGCTGAGAAGGAGCTCTCGAAGGGAAGGAGCTACTGCAGCTGCCCAGCAATGCCCTTCTGCTCACTGCCTCGCCGTGCAAGAAGCCATCAGCGTGCACCTACCTCGATTCGATTTTGCTGACATGTGAAAACTCTACAGGTATCATTGTGGCTCATGCGTGAACATGTTGCTGGCATTTCTAGAGCATGAATGCATCTACAACTGCTTCCAAAACCCTCAAGTTGCCCTGCACGTCGCCCATCATTCGAAGACACACTGCACTTCGCCGTCCATACGAACGAGCATAGAACCTCCAAGCCTGCCTGATGAGACTGGCGATGGTTGATGTGCAGATGAGCAGTTGAGGTCAAAGTCAAAGGAGTATGGTGGTGCTTTGGGAGGAAGACAGCTGTTGGCTTGGCAGGCACAACTCCGCGTCACCTCCGAGTCTCTTTGATAGTCCCTATTAAACAATAAACAGTACCACCAACATATACACTCCAATGCGGTAGATCTGGCTAGATTACGAACACCTGATAATCTGGTCCTACGCGACTAGAATTGACCCATCATGGCCGACCCGCTATACGAACTTCTTGCACCCTACTTTGACCGGCCTACACCAGCGTCCACGACACGCGAGTCGATACCTTTGCCTAATGACCCTACAACAAGCGCCTATCTCGCCCGCCTACCCACCCTTTCTCTACAACCCTTGACTACGACCGAACCTGCATACCTCAACTCGGCAACTCAATCGAGTCTACGCTCGTTGCAGGCACTATCCAAGCGCTCGCATCGTTCCGTAATTACTGCAACCGATCACCTCTCGAATCTTTCTACCCTTCTTCCCTCGCTTTACACGCAATCACAAGAGCTGGAAGATGCGTTGCCGAACCTCGAGTCGGCTGCTACACACTTTGCGACCAAGTACGACAGAAACACGGACAATGCCGTACTTGACAGGAGGAAGAGAGCTATGCTGCTAAGCAGAAACGTGGATAGAGTCAGCGATGTCATGGAGCTACCAACACTGTTATCTACTGCTATCAGCTCCTCGTCAGCCGCTGTTACTCAAGGCACTGGAGGCGCAGCTGCTTCTGGTTATGCTTCTGCTCTCGATTTGCATGCACATGTCAAACGACTGAGAATATTGTATCCGGACTCCAATCTGGTAGGAGATATTTCGCGACAGGCTGATGACGAAATCCAAAATCTCATAACCGTCTTGATCAATGGTCTACAGAATCCATCACTCAAACTTGCTGGTGCAATGAGGATGATTGGTTGGCTGCGACGTGTCGCTCCTGAACTTGCCGACGACACCTACAGCAGTGTGAATGGACAAACAAGGGGAAGATCTTTGGGGGCTGCCACAGGAGAAGGATCATTGGGTGCGCTCTTCTTGGTGTGTAGGCTGGGCACACTACGGCGGACGCTCGAAGCACTAGACCCTCTGAAAGATCTCGCGGATCAAGAGACAAGTCGACGATCAGAGCACAGTGCCCGCCAGGAAGCCTGGATGGGAGGCGCTCAGACCGAACGTTACTTGAAGAGATACGTCGAAGTGTTCCGTGAGCAGAGCTTTGCCATTATCTCAATGTACAAAAGCATCTTTCCCTCAGCATTACCGATACCCGGCATGGCTGGATCAGATCTCACATCACCTGCTGGTACACCAACACAGACCTCGAACGCTTCAGATGATGCAGCAACGTCCTTTTTCGAATCCGACGACGATAAGACACCATCAGCACTTGCGACTTTCGCACCACATCTGGTCGACATGCTTTCTGAGACTTTACGAACTTACATGCCGAACATTTCAGAAAGGTCGTCAAGAGACAGTCTACTCACGCAGGTATTATATTGTGCAGGCTCTCTGGGTAGGTTAGGTGCAGACTTTGGTATGATGCTGGCCCTCCTTGAAGATGAATTGGACGAAGAGGCCGAAGCCGGCGACAAAATGCACGTAGACGAGGATGAACATGAATGGGTACAAGTCATGAAGAAGCACAGAGTGCAAGCTAGTCGACTGGAAATCCTAGCGAGCGGTGTTGGATCTGGGCGAAAGACGAGTGCTAGTTTTGAATCTCGCAGGCCTTCTGCCGTTCCCGGTTAAAGAATCACAGATGACAGACGGGCATGTTTGCCCACCTCCTCAGTCTTGCATGATGTTTGATGGCGCACTGCCGTCTTTGCCGATCTGTTTGAAACTAGCAAACAAGCGTGTACCGTGAAGATGGTGTATGTATAGCGATCGTCTTTACAGATGCAAACATCCGAGCGGAATCAACCTGCAAAAGTGAGCAAGAGATAAGTACTCCCTTGGCTACTTGCCGAGTTTACTCGTAACTCCTCGAACTTGGCAGTGTGTTTGATGAAGATCCGAAAGAGTGGCTGGTGTTTGCGGGAGTGGCTTGCATGGGGTCAGCGGCTGGGGCAACTCAATCCATGATCCGCGTCATACTTGAGAACATTCCTTTTTTCCTCTCCGACCACCTTCCTAAGCGGTGCTGAGGAAAATGCGCAAAAAAACATGATACTCGATTCTCGGGTTACGTGTTGGTACTGTAGTCGCGACTGAAAATCGATCCTGAAGTCCCTGTCCAACCCTGTAGCACGCGTTTCATCGTCTGAAGATGACAATTCTCTCATACAGCTTTAGCCAGGAAAAGGTGGGTCAAAGAAGTCGGGATGCGCATGTCCGTCGTTCGTCTGCCGCGCGGCCATGGACGACTGTATTTGCTGCGGTATCGATATTTCAGCAGCCCCGTCTCAGGCACACGGGATGTAGGACAAGGTGACGCGGTCATTATTAGATGGGTGGCCAAGTTGTCTTGCTCCGCCGCTACTCGTCACCCAAGACTTGATCCGCCTATCTGATCTTCCTATTATCATCAGCTCCTGCCTTCTTTTGTTGTTTTCTGATTGTAACTCGACTTTTTCTTATTGTTTGCGCCTATTCGCTTCGTCTGGTACTGGTATCTTGAACTCGCCTTTGACTTCTGATCAACAGCCATAATACGCCCAATTATCATTGATATATGCCTGCTTAAAGCATCACAAATAGCAAGCCAAGCTGCGACAAATCCCCACCATTCGCGATGAAAGGATCACATGCTCTGGTATTCGCCAGTATTATCCACAGCTTCGCATTAGCCCACGACGTTGGAGCAGAAGGATACTTTGACCCCAGCGATGGTGAAGCATGGGAGCTGAACTATGGTTATTATCCATATCGATCATACCAAACCACCGACCTTATCTCGCCACAATTCAGGACTTTGATTGATTCGCCCGAGTGCCACGATGACCGACATGTGTTTTTCACTCCTCGAGGATTCTCTATCGCAGCACCTGGACCAATGATCGTGGACAGTTACGGCGAACTCATTTGGGCAAAGAGTACAGAAGGACAGGCATACGACCTAAAAGTGCAGCAATACAAAGGCGATCAGTATTTGACATATTGGCAAGGTGACGACAGAGTTCGAGGCCACGGTGCTGGAGACTACTACATGGTATGCTCTGTCCAGCACGCCGACACCAACTACGCGCTAACATATCCAGCTCAATACTGGATACCAAGAAGTACGCAAGATCTCGGCTCTAAATGGTCTGACAGCCGATCTTCACGACCTCGTCATTACGCCTCAAGGCACAGCGCTGCTCACTGTCTACGAGGTCTACCCACACGATTTGAGCGAGCTCCGCAACTTCGAGGAGTGGGAAGAAGATCCACATTACATCTGGGACAGCCTCTTTCAAGAGATCGATCTTGAGACTAATGAGCTTCTGTTCCAGTGGCGCGCATCAGATCATTATTCCATCAGCGAAACCTTCAAGTCGATAGGAGGTGCAGGCACCCTTAATGAGCCCTTTGACTGGTATCATATCAACTCAGTGGAAAAGGACGAGTTCGACAACTACCTGGTCTCCGCGCGCTACACTCACACCGTAACGTATATCAATGGCACTTCTGGAGACATCATTTGGATCCTGGGCGGCAAGCGCAACATGTTCAAAGACCTCAACGACGGATTCGCCACAAATTTCGCGTGGCAGCACGATGCTCGATTACACTCGATCCAAGAGTTCCCTGAACTGTTCCGCGAAGACATTGCACTCCATGGAAGCAGTAAAGAGGCGGATGGTATTACGAAGCAGCTCGTTACTCTCTTCGACAACAGTGGAGAAGATGTCGAACATACGCTTGACTCGTCTCGTGGGCTTCTACTCGAGATCACATATCCCTCCGCTCATCTGCCATTATCTCAGCATGACCTCGCTCAACGTGATGACGCCCAGATTCAGGACGACAGATACTTGGCAAAAATCGTTCGATCGTATGACCATCCTCAGGGCCCTCTGTCAACTAGTCAAGGGTCGCTACAAGTAATACCCTCCGAGGATGACGGGACAGACTCTAAGGTGTTCGTCGGCTATGGATACAATGCTATTTTCTCTGAGTACAGCGCAGATGGCACTCTCTTGTGCGACAATCATTTCGCAACTAATTACTCATGGGGTACCGGCCAGGTCCAATCTTACCGTGCTTTCAAGTTTTCCTGGACTGGTCGCCCTGTGGATCCCCCCACCGCAGTACTCTCGACTGATGGTCAAGTTTACGTTAGCTGGAATGGAGCCACCGAGGTCAGAGGATGGGTTCTACAACACAGCCGTACATTGTCTTCCGCCGGAAGTGACTGGAAGACCGTACTCGACATCGAGAAATCCGGCTTCGAGACTGTCATTGATATCGAGGACGTTGATTTACTTCGATACATCCGAGTCAAGGCGGTCGATCAGGATGGTGTGATGTTGGGCGTGTCAAGAGAGATCGACATGGGCTGGAGTGCCGTTCTGACAAGCTCTGTGCCACAACTTAATGCCATCGATATGGCGCCTATCAAGCTGATTATGTTGATCTGCATCAACGTCACCATCGTGTTTGTAATGTACGAGCTCTGCAGGCGTCTCTATACGTGGCGTCAGTCTCGCAAATGGCGGCAAAGAAGAGGGATCCGCTTGTTGTCTGATGCATAGAGAGGAGTCTAGAGGTTGTTTTTCTTTTGTCATGTTGCATAGCGATGGCTGCACAGAGTGCTCTCTTTTGTTCGAAATTGAGAGTTGGCCTGGCATATTTCTCTTTCTATACGCGGATACCCTTTTCATACCAAGCTGCTCAATGCATTCTGTTGTATTCACTTTCCTTGCTCTGTCCATGTACCGACTTTCTGCATTCGTGCTATCAGATCCTTCTTCCCTCTGCAATTCTCAAAACCTTCTGGCATCATTTCGTTCCAATCTGCCTTTGTATAACAACTGTGGCAGATATGATTTTCTGATTTGACAGACTCCCACCATATCTTCAACCCATCCCTGCGCATCACGCCGCATTTTGTACATGGACGCACAAGCTTTTCAGTGTACAGAACCGGACGATGAGACTTCCAAGGTAGTTCTTCACGGAACCATGTGCATCTTCTAATTAATGAAGCCATAGTTCGCTTATTGCGGTATGTCTCGTCTGTCGCCTGGTTTACTTTGTGTCGCGCTCGACTTGCCGAAAGTATCCTGTTTCGATATTCTGAGTCTTCCATGTATCGACGCTTTCTGTACAATGATCCTTGTAACAGATCCGCTTTCCACTTTTCTGGGTCCGACTTTCGTTTGAGATAAGCCTCTCCTGCTGATACTTGGTTGACACATGAGGAAGAGATGAGACGCAACGATGGCATAGGCCGGACGAGGGATGCAGGTCGACCGACCAGTTTCCAGATGGTCAAGAACATGATCTGGGATGAGATGGTATGGACCTTTGAAAGCAGAATTGACCAGAACGCGATGACATTTATTGATGTGTGGCAGCGTAACCTCTTCTCTGTTACCGCCAGATATCAGCTACAATTGACAATGAGGGAGTCAATCCTATCTCCTAAGAATAGTTCCTTGTACCGGAGAATCAGTTTTCCAGACCAGGCCTTGTAGTGATCGTAACTTTAACGCTCCAAAACTTTGCGTGTTCTGTTTCGCGTTCGCCGAAGCCGCAGCACTCCGGCGAGACTAAAGTGGTAACTCGATGCGTGACCACTTCGAGGACAAAACAGTTGACCAGTATCTTGCGAAGGTGATTCTCGTTTATCTATTCGATTTCCGATATTCCACAACAACCGGTGATCAATGAGGATATCTTCTGCTTGAGATGGTATGAGAGTATTGTTCAGCTTCATGTTTTCAACCATCGCATCTTGAGAATCTCTTCGAATGCGAAAGAATGACTCGGACATATGGCCATACCAAGCCGGCTCGCTAAACTAGCGACCGAGCGACCAATCGTCCAAGGCTCAGGGCCGAGTTGTCAAAGGAAGGGCGCGCCCTCCAGAAGAGTCACAGGGTGACAGGCATCTAGGTACTCAACGGTAAGCAAAGTCAATGATCTGACTCTTTTTTGTGTCTCTCTGTTATCTATCTGATCGTACGCCCTACACTTTCCTCTTTCATGAGTCTTGACAAGTCGTGATTTATTTCTTCTCATCGTACGCCCTTGACAACATGTCAGCCTTGCAAGAAGAAGCCGATCTTGGCGAGTTCTTCGACTTCCAGAATGCCGTCTCGGATGGCGGTAGCATGCAAACTAGTGGTGCAATCGCTGATCTAGATTGTCTTTCTCACAACGCAGAGAGGTCAGCTCGATAACAGGTTTACTCATCTTCACTTTTCTAATGTCAACCTTAGCGACCTTTACAACGAGAACAATGTTCCGATCGTTGAAGATAAGGCAACAGAAGCAGCAGAATACAGGAACTTCTCGAAATGGATTCCAAAATTTATTGAGCCCGATGAACCTTGTACCTACTGTCGAGATCGCAAGCTTAACTGCTACCTCAGTTATGGAAAGGTCACCTGTACTGCTTGTGTGAGTAGCGTACTCGGGTCTCTAGTCCAAACTCTTGGTTTCTAACTTTGTGCAAAGGATACCCTTTTCAGACCGTGTAGCTTCGTCAATCCTCATAGTCACAATGCATATCAGCCACCCGAAAGAGAGTCGTCCATGGGTCTCATCGACACCTTACACCCCATCGGAGAGGATTGTCCTCAAGAACAGGGCAAGCTGACTGGTGCTCGATCACTTAAGTCAATGCCGGAGAAGAGGTCTAACAGTCGCTTCTCGAAGGCTGCCGTAAAGGTGCTGAGAAATTGGCTGGATGAACATCAAGCCAATCCTTACCCCACTGAGGATGAGAAAGAACAGTTAGGTCGCACAACTGGCCTTCGAATTGCTCAGATCAATACTTGGCTTGCAAATGCTCGTCGCAGAGGCAAAGTTGGTGTCAAGAATAAGGCTGCTTTGGATGGCCTAGCGCACACAACCACTACTTCACTACCCCCAACAGCTGCTATCGGTATTCCAGGTTCTACAGAAATCGAAATTAACAAGTGGTCAGACATGAACCCCCTTGAACGATGGAAGCACTCGCCTCCTCAGAACGAACCAGCTCCCTTCAACGCTATTGCCGACGCTTTGGGGAGAGGAGATCTACCTGATTATGCGGATGAATCAAGCTCTCCATCATCCTTGGGCTGGCAGGGTCTCGGTTCGAGCCGCGATGACTCGAGGTCTTCGAACCGTAGAGCAGCATCTGTCACGTCCTTGGAGAGATCTACGTCCAATTCTGCTGCATCATCTGCGGCATGGTCGGGCTCGCGCGATTCTTTCGGCTCGTACAGCTCTTTTGGAAGCAGTCTCAATGGCAGAAAAGAACGAAGGCGTCGTCGAAAGATGCCTGGACCTGCTCTCAAGAAGCCCTCTAACGACAAGAACATTCAGAAGGAGAGGATTTATCAATGTACATTCTGTGCGGATACCTTCCTCACCAAGTACGATTGGCAGAGGCACGAGAAGACGTTGCATCTGTCCTTGGAGAAATGGATATGCTGTCCGTTGGGTCCAGAGACACTAGATCCTGTCACAGGCAAGACCATCTGCGCATATTGCTGTGCTCCAGAGCCAACGAAGGACCACATTGAATCACACAACCACCGGCAATGCCTTGACAAAGGATTCGTGGGACGGACATTCTACCGTAAAGATCACTTACGACAACATCTTCGACTTGTGCACGACATGAAAATGTTGCCACACATGGAAGACTGGAAGACAACTTTGTCTAACATCAACAGCAGATGTGGTTTCTGTAGTCAGCGTTTCAGCGTGTGGTCAGAGCGCAACGATCATTTAGCTGCACATTTCAAGGATGGAGCCAAGATGAGTGAGTGGAAGGGCTGTCGAGGCTTGGACCCGCCCATCGCTGCTCTTGTTAGCAGTGCCATGCCGCCCTATCTGATCGGTATGGAAACCAACTCAGTCAATCCATTCACCGCCACACAACCGATGAAATGTATGACGGTTCAGACACACCTTGACGCCGGAGGTCCGCCAACCACATGCTGGGAAATATTGACTGTACGGCTTGGGAAGTTCGCGAAAGAGCAGACAGACAAAGGTGTCATCTTGACCGATGAGATGTTGCAGACCCAGGCGAGGCACATTCTCTATGATTCCGATGACGCTTGGGACAACACTGCAGCTGACAATCCGGAGTGGCTCGACCTGTTCAAACGAGCTCACGCGCTCGACTACATTCCGACTGAGGTCTCAGGTATAGGCAAGAATATTCCCGAAGACCTCGAGATCTATACAGATCTTGGTATGAGGATCCCTTTCAGCGTCCAGGTTGCTCAAGGCATGTCAATCGACTACCAACCGGCTGGTCTGCCAGCAACAGAAGAGCTCTACAGCTCAAACGTCATGCAAGAACAAACAGCGATTACCGAGAGGCTCACTGCACACAACACCCATAACACTGCCACTTCGAGCAGGTCATCTCTGTCGCAGCCGACACCACAATATGGCTCCAACTTCGCTACACCAGCGTCCTACCAAAGCTATGGCTCGACGCCGCTGCATCTCGACACGCCATACGACTCGGGCACAAACAATTGCTTTGACGCAGACATCGATGCCATGCTGGCAGAAGCAGGCTTTCAGCCAGCCCCTCAGGCCAGTGCAGGCGACCTCGCTCGGCAGCAGAATGCAGCAACAGCTCAAAAGCACGGACTAGATTCTTCTCTTACACCAGAAAAAGCTCAACAGCAGTTGGCTGAGCTGAATGCCGCCATGGCTGTGCTTACCGAACAAGCAGTCATGTGTGATGCGCCACTCTCTGGACAGTCATCAAGCACAATGAACTATACAAACTTGAGCACCGAGCTCTCGGACTTCATCAATTTGACAACTACATCAAGCAGCGACAATTTGTTTGCAACTACATGGGACAGTAAAAATCAATTTGGATACCAGAATGCTTTCACCACTGCAGGAGAAGAGGCAGGGGTGATGGCAACGGACATGACGATGCAAGATATGGACATGAACGATATGCAGTTTGGTGATATGGATTTCGGTTTGGGCTTCCAGTGATTAGGAAGTAGATAAAAGTAATACGAGTTGGTTTCGGATCTTGGTCGATATGACTGCTCTTGCCTTGCTGTATCGACGTTATCTTGGCGTACGTATGGTGAATGATCGTCAGCCATGTTTAACCATTGATCATGCCTCGTTTCACAAATACCAAATCAACAGTGCAACAGCGCAACAGTCTTGGGGCATTGCCAAAGTTGTCATCGAAAACCCCAAGTATGAATCTCTTTGCATTGTGCTGTATGGCAGACATACCTATTGAGGTGAGTCCTTGACCTCTATCGCCGCCAATCCATGCTCATCAAATGGTTTAGAAAATCAATTACTTCCTGGAGCAAACATACCACAACAGCAGCAAAATGGATTGTCAACCAAGTCTTCTGCTTGTCTCGTCACTTGACGAGCTTGTGCAAGCCAACCAATGTGAGGCAACACAACCACCAATCAGTCCTATCCAATCTCCACTCATCGGCAAATCAATCGAAGACATGGCGAATTCTCTACATTCGACAATCAAAGACACATCGTCTAACGCCATAGATCCAAATTTGTTCGCCGTTCTAGATGAACAGTCACTATCTGAGGATACCGGTCTTGTCGTTCAAGTCAAGGATGGTGAGGTGGATTCTGTTTGCATACATTTCGACACAATCAATGCAGAGTTGATCAGGATACAAATGATTACATTTGATATCAAAGAGACTAAAGGGCTTGCGGGAGAGGATGGGGTGTTCAGGACCAAACCACCCGCGGAAAGTAGAAAGGGAGGACCTGCGCCGAGGAAGAAGTTAGCCTAGCTTACTTCATGCTGAATCCCGACTTGATTGCTCTGGTTTTTTTTTTTCTTTCTTTCTTTTTTTCTTGCGCGACTGTAGTATAGCACGATGTTCTTAAGAGCAACTGAGTACCTATCGGGGGTTGCTATTTATATCGAGTCTCTATGGAGCAAGCTCTGTTCTGAAAGCGACTGTGTATCTCAATAGCTAGCTGTTGCCCCAGGCTATGGTGATAGAAGATGGCTGGGCACTCAACCTACGATGGAGACTCATACAGAGAGATTGCATAGGACCAACACATTCTGATAACTGATAGGTCTCTCGAGGAGCCGAAGCCTCACTGCAACTTGCTAATCTCATGATGCTGAGTCTCAACATCATCCGTAGGTCCGACTTTGCTGCTCATCTTTCCACCAACAACATCATGCTCTTCCACCTTGTGAACTTCTTCATTTTCTCTGTCAATATACTTCTGAGGTCTCTTGCTAGAGATGGCGTCTTTGTCCCTGAAGACGAGCAGACTTGGGTCAGATCTGAAGTATTCGTCTAGATCTTCAAGAGTCCGATAACTTGTCTCCGGATAGAGCAGAAAGATCACAGGCAAGAAGAGGGCATTGGTTGCTACCCAGATTGGCCAGAACTTCCAACCTAGGTTCTGGAAACCAATAGGAGTAATTTCAACGATGACAAAGTTCGTAATCCAGTTCGTGGCAGTGGCCACAGCTGCACCCTTGGTGCGCATGGGCAAACTGTTGATTTCTGCCAAAGTCAGTCTATGCTCTACATAGCACAAATGGATCGCTTTTAACTTACCGGCAGGATAGAGCCAGGGAACTCCGAGCATGCCTACAGCAAATGCGATGTTGTAGAAGAAGAAAAAGAAGACGGCTGCCTTAGCACATGCGGTCACGCCGTTGGCGATGGCGTACTTGAGGAGCACCGAGATGCAAAGGAAAGCAATCAGCTGCAAAAAGGTAGATATCATCATCAAAGATCTGCGGCCCAAGCGTTCGACGAATAAGACTGCAACGCCTGCGAAAATAAAGTAGGAGACCGCATTACAAGCGGACAGCAGGCGAGCCATAGAATTGCTCATCCCGACGTACACAATGAGCACTGTAGGCGAATAGTAGCTCATTATATTTATTCCGCCGAACTGCTGCATGAACTGTGTCCCAGCTCCTAGAAGTAGGCGACGAACATTCTTGGTGCCATCTTGGGTGCGGCCGCGCAAGAGGTCGCTCCATTTGATGGCGTGTTCACGTTCGTACTGAACGCCGTATGAGATCTCTTGGTATTGCGCTATGACATAAGCGTGATCGATAGGTTTGTCTTCTAGATCGGCTAGAATTTGAGTAGCCTCGCTGTCTTGATCATGCGCAATGAGCCAACGAGGAGATTCGGGAAGCCAGGGAACTGTAGCGAACAGAACGAAGATGAAGACGAACTGAAGGGCTAAAGGTAGCCTCCATTGAACCGAGCCTGGTACGAAGCTCAATCCATAGTTAATCCAGTTGACGACCATGAAGCCTCCAACGTTGGTCATCATCTCCAGGATGACGAGTTTTCCTCTGAGCTTTGCAGGTGCCGTCTCAGTCTGCCAAATTGGCGCTGTTGCCGTGTTGATGCCATTGCCAATACCTAGAATCACACGTCCAACGAACATTTGTGCTAGGCTGAACGAGCTGGTCTTGAGAATTACACCGACCGACATGATCGCAGTGCCTATCATGATAGTCTTCTTTCGTCCTAGCCTTTCGCCGATGGTGAAGGCCACAATCGCACCGATGAAGCAACCCACGTCATATATGGCAGCGAGAGTCGATAAGACTTTGGTCCTGGATGGTCCTACGAGATCGTGCAACTTTAGGAAGTTATCGCTTACAACAACGCCAGAAAAGACACCCTATGTCGAAGAAGTGATTAGCTAAGCTGGCTTTAGATGATCTGACCTTGTAACTACCTGGTCATAACCGAAAAGAGTCATGTCCGTTGCACAAGCAACGGTGATCCAAAATACCAGCCATCCTCCTTTGAAGCCAAAATACCTTTGCTTGGGAGCGAGCGGCATAGCGTACGAGTCTTAACTTAAGCAACAAAGATCTGACCTTCGAAAGTGTGAATCAAAAAGCATGCCGCCATTCTCGCGGTCGGATGTGGCACTTCTTATACCTAGCTGCAGTCCCAACCACCTCCTGAGGCTGATCGGAACCATAGCTGAGTGCTGAGGATTCGGCATACCTTTCCAAGAACTTTCATTCTGCCTAAAAGGCATCGGTCTTGCATGCCGCACATTGAAACGACTTCCATGCCACAAGTACCTCCGCTGAGAAGGCCGTTGTAGTACGATATAAGCTACCTCAAGATAATACTCCAGTATAATTCTTCCATCGTATCGAGGTCGCCTTGCATGATGATTCAGACATTCAAGAACAAAATCGGGACCGCATGTTAAGAGATATACTATATCCAGTCAAAGTCTAGTAGGAACAAACAGCACGAGTGACCTCGGACGATGGTGCAGATGCTTGGTGCGGAGAAATCAACCGGAGTAGTCCAATGCAGCTGGGTCAAGAGATGGTCATGTGGTGTGATCCTTCGTGAACGGCTATTGGCGACGGTAACACAGCATCCTTACCAGGTCTACGGATCTGCGGTCTTGACCAACGCGACAGTTCCGCGTGCATTGCCGCAGAGGATGCTTGGCAAAATGCCTGGACACCAGCCCTTCGATTCAAGGAGGGCACAATCTAGAGACGTAGTGGGATGGTCCTGCATGGCCGCAATCAGATTGTCATAGAAACCACGACAGTACCACAATCCTGTTGCCAATGAATGAACAATCGTGGTGGTTGAAAGAGTTTGGCTGGGACATGCGCGAGAACTGCCGAAGATTTGGCAAAATCGCGGACAAACTTGCCAGTGGGTTGGTCATGCTCAACGTTCAACACACATTTGACTTCCACTTTCATTTGCAAGCATTTACAAAGTGACAATAAAAACACCCAACTGCTAAAAGATGCTGTTCCCTATACCGGCAAGCCGCCAATGACTACGTAGATGCCTTGATAACTACGGGTGACGGGAGGTCGCCACGTACAGTGGTGCTGCAATGGAAGAAGACTCGATGAACGAGAGCTAACTTCACTTTATGCAATGGGATGAGAGTAAGTCTGTAGCAATGTCCGGTGTTTGAGCTGTTGATTATGTGTAGCTCATAGATGGTACTTCTAACCTAGCGAAATCATCTGAAAAGAGCATCTCACCAAAGCCGCGGCCTGTTCTGGAAACATTGCTGAATCTATTCAAGCGGTCTCTTTTATAGACTGATGCTGGGAGAAGATTGATGGATGCGTTTCCATCACTTTCCGTGTATGTCTTGTTTGCCAGAGACAACAAATGGACAATTCGACTTTCACTTTGCAACACCACGGACATCGCACATTCAGTCACCGCAACCACATCGATCCTTCCTTTCCCTGCATGCACTCAGCAAGATGCTTACTGCGACTTGGCTGACCATCAAGCCCTACTTCTATCCTCTGGGCAATACGCCGGCTACTAATCTGTTGCGCAATCACCTACCAAGTGACGAGCCTGTTGAGATACTCGTAATCGGCTGCGGCGATGTTCGAAACATCCTGTTCACCATCTGGTCTGAACAGCGCCGCGCATGTAACTTCAACTTCACTGCATGTGATTATGATGCTGCTGTTCTAGGCAAGCGCAATCCTATCTCTGACACTTCGTTGGCGAAAGACACAGTGCTTCTTAGCAGGAGCAGTCGTGTCTCTCGCCGGCTTGGTTTCAAGAGCTTGACTGGAAATGATCCCTTACTGACTACTTCAATAGCCCGCAATGTGTTTTTACTGACGGCAATCATCCTCGATCCTTCCTCTGAACTGATCGAAAGCTTATGGCGCATCTACTACCACTTCTACGTAACCAAAACCGACCTCGCTTTCATCAAGCAACACTGCAAACAACTTTTTGCAGCATCTGAGAGCATATCCACATGGAATGATACACCTTTCGGTTCGTCGCTCAAGTTCTCCACCGAGACTTCTTTATCCGAAGTGCGCCGTTACTGGGTTCTGTACGCTCAGGCAAATACCGAGCAGGCAGATCTTGAAGTCAGGCGAGCTATCAAATCCATTTACGACAACAACGTGCAAGCCATGGTAACAAGTGGCGAACGATCTGCTGGAGCTCACGGTGTTTCTGCATGTGGTATCCTCAGCGATGCGTTCACTGCCTTCTGGAGAACTGGTGTTGTAGCAGGCAATGACCAAGACACATCTATGCTTCGTAATGATGAAGGTGGCAAGGTCAACCCATTGATGTCGGTTTCGCAATCCGATCTGTTCGATGTATACCGCGCCTCTGATCCGTTGGTAGGCTTCCATTTGGCTGAAGTCTTCGACGTTCCTCAGCCACCAGATGCAGCCATGAATTGTCTTGCACGCCTAGCCAAATCTCAGTTTTCTGAATGGTGTAACACTTTTGCATCTAGCATTTCATCGAGCTCGGTCAACATCATGCATCATTGCGGAGATGCTGTCAACTTCTCATATGCTTTACAATCTATTCGAGGCTGTACCACTATGCCTTCTTACACCCACTTCTACAACAAGCCATACAGCGCCGTCCCCCTCGATCCACCTTCATCAGTGGCCACCAGCTACGATGTCATTGACACATCGAATGTCATGAATCACATCGGTCTTTTAGCCCTTCTGCCTGCCGTCGTGCCTCTCTTGTCTGAAGGATCCGGTTCTGTGTTGTACACAGATAATCTTGTACAAGGCTCGGAAAAATCTGAGAGGCTTTTGGAAACTCTGCTACATTCGAATGTCACGATGTCATCACTACTTCTCGGTGTCGCTCCTACCGGATATCTCATAGGATCGATGACAGACTCTACGCTTGTTGAGCAGATGCTCGACATGGTTCCATCCAGTAGCCAGAAGCAATACCGCGTGCGCATTCCATGGCAGCGTCCTGCTCAAGGCGATAGCATGGTGCCGAATGTCAAGTCGGCATCCTATCGTCTCAGCATGGATCCACACGAGCTGGCATCTTACTTCATGCAGACGTACCTTGCTATGTTCCGTGAGACAGAGGACCTAAGCATCCGGTCCGAAGTATTGACACGCAAGGAGACACAACCTTTGGCAGGCGATGTCGATTACTATTCTCGACTCACGCTTGTCACACTCATCGCATCAGCTAAACGCATCATTTCTACTGACTGGCAAGAATGTATCGGCGCCCTCATTCAAATGATGAAAGACGACACATCTCTTTCTGGGGGCTCGAAGAGAATGCAAGAACTCTACATGCACCTGCACCTATCTGGTCTGTGGCACATACCCGCGCTAGAAGAAGGTCCGCTGAGAGCGAAGTGTGATGATTCGATTCGCCCCTCTAGCGAATCTGGCGACATAGGAGTGCTTGGTAGAGACATTCTGCCTGGGACCGTTCATGTCGCATTGGTCGTCCCCAGAAGCAGCCTTACGTGCTTGACAGACCTTCCTGTTGACGTGGTCGGAACGCCGGCGGTGCATCTCTGGTTGCGCAACAAAGTTTTCGAGGCCGCCTTCTTCGCTATCGATGTCTTCTTTGGTCACTTCGAATCAGGTGACCCCGAGGTAGCAAAGGTTGTAGAAGATGCTCATGGGTGGTCAGGCACTTCCGACCTGATTGTTACCTGTAAGATGCCTACTTGGGGATTGTTGGTCGGACCTCGCCAGGACGTGCACATTGAGCTTGACATCAACACTTCACGTCCCTTTCTAGGTCGCATCACGGAGCCCGGAACTCGAGCTAGGCACTACACTGCCACGCTGGAGAGCGAGAACGTTCGAATCTTGGCTACACCTCCCAGTACAAAGCCTGATGCAGTGTTTGACACCTACTCTGCTGCAAATTCAGAGCCATCTGGATCGACTTGGGCTAATTTAGCTCTAGATTCTGATGCTACTGTGCAGTCTATCGGAGTCACCAACAACTTCGCAGACGATTCCGAAGAGAGTCGTGCTCTGAAGAATGGTGGTATGGTTACAATCTCACAAATTTCACCATGCGTTCTTGCTGCTTGCATCGGTAACTTGAAGCGTGAAAGCAAGTTCTTTTTCCCCTTCCCTATCAATGGAGCTGCATACAAGATGAAGATAGCTCGCCAATCCTCGTGGATCGAAATCAGAGCTCCCACATCGAACGCTCTTCAGCCTAGTGGCTACGATCTAGACCCGTTCCCTATCATCAGTCAGGGTACTGGGTTCCTGCCTTGGAATTTCAGCCGTGTCGATCCTGACCTCCAGCCGCAAGTTGATACCTCAGCCTCGAACTGCGCATTCTTGCAGCCACTCTGGGCCACATCACTGAGCAGAAAGGAGCTTGCTCAAATCAACACAACTCAGGTCACTAGCTCCATCCCACCCATGGCACAGTTGAAGGAGATTATCAGACAGTGGTTTCTTACATATGCTGGAATTTCTGGCAGTGCCAACGGCCAAGACATACGATTGTTCACTCTGATGCGCGACGTAAGGTCGAGCAAGATCCTTCCCGAGTGGATGGTTGTTGCCAAAGCCTTGCGCCATGATCGTGACACAGGCTCTGTTTTTTTGGATGCGTTTTTCGTTCCTACGACCCCCGAAGTGATCAAGTTGAATCCTTACAAAGCAATGGTCAACGGCAAGCTGGTTGGAAACACCGCAGTGGTTATCGCAAGTAAGGAGGCCATGGATCTGTGGCAACGTCTTGTACCAGCTCTTGCTGAACGCTGCCGCTCTTGGGAGCACACCTTGGACTGCAAATACAGAGTCAAATTCGACAAGACGTCTCTCTGCGGCTGTGGACAAGGTCAAGATGCAGCGATTATGCCCGAGCCTTACAAGAAAATTGCTCGTTTCGCCACTCGCATCGCTATCCCTATCATCTTCGCGGTTCCTTATGTCGAGGCTGTGGGTGGCCAAGAAATCATGGGTGAGCTTGCCACTGCCTTGAAACAGCATCTGAAGATGAACCAGCATATGGGAGCCACTGATGCCATGTTGTCTGCTGCTTTGGCAATCGGCCAAGACTTGGAGCAGAAGTCCGCTGATACTGCAAGCTGTGACAAGTGTGGAAACAATGGTCCTGGTCTCAAGGTCTGCTCCCGTTGTGAGAAAGTCAAGTACTGTAACCATGCTTGTCAGAAGGCAGCCTGGAAAACTCACAAGAAGGTTTGCAAGCGCTGATGGCTTGCACCTAGAGACAAGTCGATCGGGCTTGGTGGGGAGAACGATATAGAGTCATGGTGCAGAGAATCGTGGACGGTTGAAGTGTACAATTAGAAGTAGCAGACATTGCAATCAAGTAGAATCCAGTGCTGTTACAGATGTTACTCCTCTTTCCGTGACTGCCTTATGGTTGCTCCCTGTCCGTCGCTATAGAAAGCAAATAGCATGTACACAACATCCAGCAGCCAAAAAAAAAAATGAGCCCCTGGTCTGGCGGTCTTGAATATTGATTCAACTCACTTGTTTTTTTTTTTTTTTTTTTTTTTTTTTTTCGCCTGTTCCTTTCGTACCTGCGCCCACTTCCTGCGCACTTGCTCAAGAAAGCCTCTCTCTTTCTCAGGATTGAGATCATATTCATACAGAAATGCCTATCCACAAGGAAAGGTCTTTGATCTAGTGTTTGAAAAGCATCAAGAAATGATCCTCAGATGCATAGAAAAGAATCGGACGATTGTCGGATTCGAACTCATGATAGTAGATGTTTTGATTGATTGGAATAGCACCATCACTGAAGGTGACTGATACGAGATGGGTGTTTGACTGCCGAAATAGGTTAGCTTGGGGATAAGTGACTGTGATGACCACCAGACCAGAGGAAGCTCATTAGCAGAGACTGTCAGGTTGAGTGCTGAAATAGTTATGGATAGTAGATGAGCTGGTTTCAAAAGGAGAGAGTTGGCTGATCAATGACAGCATGTAGGAAGAGAAGGGACTGTACTGCAGGGGGAATGGGATGGCATGTATGATCATCATGGCTTCTATGTTTGCAACTGTATATATTCAAAGCAACGCTCAAATCTCATCCTCGAACTTTCTGACCAGCAAACCATCCTTCTCCAACACCTCCTTGACCTGTCTAACCGTGTACTCGCCACGGTGGAACATACCAGCACCCAGCGCAGCATCCACAGTAGTCTGATCAAACACCTCTTTGAAGTGGCCGGGGTTACCAGCTCCACTCGACGCAATAACAGGGATCTTGATAGCATTCTTGACAGAACGGATCAACTCGAGATCAAAGCCAGAGTTTGTGCCGTCCTTGTCAATGCAGTTGAGTAGGATTTCTCCACAGCCCATTGCTTCGACGGCTGTGCAGAGTTGAATCACGTCGAGGTCGGAGGTGGTGCGACCGCCGTGGATGGTACATGCGTACCAACAATACTCTTCGCCGTTGGGGCCTGGGTAGGGTGTTTTGATTGTTGCGTGAAAGGTTTCTGAGGGGTCTTTGACGTAGATTCTGCGGGGGTCGACAGAGACGACGACGGCTTGGACACCGTAGGCTTTGCTGATTGTCTCGATGGCGGTCTTCCCGGAGAGTGTGCTGTTGTTGGCGTAGTATTCTTGGGCGGCGGTGACGGCGTCGGAGCCAATGCTTACTTTGTCGGCGCCGGACTTGAAATAGAGGGTTGCGACTTCGAGGGCAGGGACGACGGTGTTCGTTTCTGGGTCTTTTGTGTCGCGGATGCCACCGCCGATTGTGAGAGGGACGAAGACTGTGGATGAGGCCTGGCGAAGGATTTCGAGCATGGGCTGGTCCTTGAGAGGAGTCTCACGGAACGAGGTGATGTTGAGGAAGGTGACTTCGTCGGCGCCTTGTTCGTAGTATTTCTGTGCCATAGAGACTGGCTTGCCGAGGTTGCGTACGGCAGCGCCCTCCTCTTTCTCGCGAACATCGTATTGGTCACCTTTTGTGACGACGAGATCGCCCTGGTCGTTTGTGCGGACGTCGAGGCAGGCAATGATGCGGCGAGTCAGACCTTCTTTTGTAGTTGAGGCTTCAGGTGTTTGCGGCAATGTGGTGAGGCGGTCGCCATTCAGGAAAGCCTTGAGGACGCGCAGGCCGGCAGCACCACTCTTCTCAGGGTGGAATTGAGTGACCAGGACATTGTCTTTTGCGACAGCACCAACGAACTCCTGGTTGCCGTAGCGGGCAGTAGCTACCGACCAGCCGGCCTTCTCAAGAACACCAGGCTCGTACATTTTCGCGTATGAGTGGACGTAGTAGTATTTGCTGTCGGGACGCATGCCGTACAGGCTCTGGTTGGCATCGAGGCCTTGGGTAGAGGCAGGGTTGGCCGAGTTCCAGCCAATGTGAGGCACACTCTTGTCCGAGTCGTCAAATCTTTCAAGGCGACCGGGAATCAGACCCAGACCAGGGACAGTTGAGTTCTCTTCTGAGCCTTCGAACAGGGCTTGCAGGCCGACACAGACGCCCATGAAGGGCTTACCGGCGGCGATGTGCTTCTTGATGGGTTCGACATAGCCAGAATTGTTGAATTGAGAGAGACAGTGACCAAAGTGGCCTACTCCGGGGAGGATGAGTTTCTAGGCGGCCTGTCAGTTCCTATCAGTTTGTCTTTTGGGGCTTGTTATTTGGTGGGGTGGGAGGGGCTGTACCTCTGCCTTTGACACATCTTCGGGCGACTTGATCCATTCGACCTGGTAGCCGACCTTCTCAATGGCATTGACCAGCGATCGGATGTTGCCAGCAACGTAGTCCAAGAGGTGAACTGTCGGCATTTTGGTCTATGTCTTGTCTAACACCAAGAAAGAGGGCGATGAGTCGAAACAAAAAAGACGAGCACATGGCGTGCCCTAGCGATGACTCGTTTGGAGACGCGGAGCTGTCGGTCCGCTCCGATGACCGCCTTTCGGCCCGCAGTCGAGACAACGGCAGAAATTATCTCAGCCCTATCGAAGAACAAGCCCGAATCTGCAGATACAGAGGCGCATTCTTGACGCATCACAAACCACACACTCGATAGCCCAGCATGGTCAGACAACTCAAACACCACGAGCACAAGCTCCTCCGCAAGGTCGACTTCTTCAAGCCCGACACAAAACAAGGCACTATCCGCCAGAATGATGTAGTCCGCCGCGTACGTTCATAACCTGAACTGGTAGAAAAAAACACCACTAACAATTCACGACAGTACATGATCCAAAAGCCCGAAGACTACACCTCCTACAACCGTCTCTGCGGCCAACTACGCCAACTCGCCCATCGCCTGACCCTCCTCCCACCCGACAACGCCTACCGCCTAGCCACCGAAAAGAAACTCCTCGACAAGCTCTACGACATGGCCATCCTGAGCGAACGCAGCAAACTCTCTGCCGTCGAGAACAAAGTCACTGTTTCCGCTTTTGCGCGCAGACGTCTGAATGTCATCCTCACAAGACTGCAAATGGCTCCCGATCTCAAAGCCGCCACAACTTTTATCGAAGGTGGTCAGGTTAGAGTGGGTACCGAGGTTGTCACTGATCCTGCTTTCTTGGTTACGAGGAATATGGAGGACTTTGTCACTTGGGTTGATTCGTCAAAGATCAAGAGGACTATCCACAGATACCGCGACAAGCTGGACGATTTCGACTTGCTTTAGATGGACATTTGTCCATCACGGATTATACCACTTTGGGGGACTATTGCATTTATCAGCGTGGCGTTTCGTGGGTCAAAATTGCATGAGATTGTCTTATTCTTGGAGAGGTTCAGAATGGAGAAGGATTATAAGGTTCAAATGCAAGATATTTGTAGAGTTGTCTTGTCTCGTCTTGTCGGGTATCTTTGCTAAAAACGAAATATGAACCCCCGATCAACTCCAAGTACGCCATGCTTGTTCCTCCCATATGCTTTTCGAAATATTCATAGATCAGCTGAAGTGAATGCCCTCCTGGTTGAAGGCATAAAGCAACTTCAGGAAGTCGCCCTCGTCACACATTCTAGCACGCTTCTCGGAAAGTCCAGTTGTCTCAACGAGTACCTTGGTCACCTTCTGGCGCACCAACTCAGACACCTTGCCCTTCTTCTTGCGGTTGGGGTTGCCCAGAAGCTTCTTTGCCTTCTTGTCTGCCTCCTCCTTGAAGAAGTCAGGAACGTCGTCTTCATCGTCAACATCCATGATTGCCTCCATGTCGTCATCCTGGTCGTCAGCACCCATGTCAGTGTCCATGGCAGCATCAGCTGGGTCGAGCGGCCCGTCATCGAGGACGATGTTGTTCTGGGCACAGTAGGTGCGGTAGTTTGACTCGAGCATATCCATGACACTAGTAGTACCGATGAAACCACTGCGCAGGGTACGGTTCTTACGGACAAAGCAGATGCGCAAGAGACCATCCCATTCGTCGTAGCTGATCTGTGGACGCGGGACCTTGGGCACAATCTTGACGACATCACTCTCGACTTGAGGAGGAGGGTTGAAGTTGTTCTTGCCGACCTTCATGACATGGGTGATCTTAGCCCACATTTGGGCATTGACGGATAATCTCGAGTATAGTTTTGTTCCAGGTTGAGCAAACAGACGCATAGCGAATTCACGTTGGAACATGAGTACGCAGGAGCGAGGAGCGGGGCTCAGGGCCAAGAGTCTGAAAGTCAAGGGCGAAGAAATCTGGTAGGGCGTGTTCGAAATGCAGACGTCAAAGTAGGGAAGTTGTGGGTGCTTGAGGACATCTCCGAGGATGATTTCGAGTCTCTTCTGGGCGGGAGTGCCTTGGAAACGCTTTGTGATTTCGGCAGCCATTCGGGGATCGGCTTCGCATGCGATGACTTTTTTGGCCTTTTCGAGGATTTTTGTTGTCAAGTTACCAGTTCCGGGACCGACTTCGAGGACAATCTGTGAGCTTATTAGAAGATGTTTTCGAGTCGGATGAATCATTCAAAGCGTACGTCAGACTGCTTCAGGTCGGCCTTGTCGACAATGGCCTGGGCGACACCAGGGTTCTTGAGAATGTGCTGACCGAGATCCGTGTTGAACTTGAAGACGTTGTTGGCGGCATGGCCCTTCTTGCGCCCGGCCGCGCCTGCGTAGGGATCGCTTTTCGAGACGCCGCCGCCGTTGTTCTTTCTCGCTGATTTGGGCATGTTGGTTGTGTTCTGGTTAGAGGGAGCAAGTGTGGAGAGGCGGACAAAGGCCGATGGAATTTTTGGCGGCAGGAGCGACGCGATAAGCTTATCGCCATTTAAGGTTTGTGGTCAGGGTCTCTACCTACGTACTTGTACCTGCCATCCCCTCAACATTGTCACTAACCATTCAATTGACCAACAACATGCCTCGTCCATCGAGAGCTAAGCCTGCTCGCGAAGAATCGTCCGATCTGTCATCCGCTCCATCAGACGCTCCCGAAACAACTACCCTGCCAGACACTTCCAACGGCACTAGAGGCACCAAGCGCAAGCGCCAGCTCAAGCAAGACATCACCGAAGTCGTCGAGGAAGACGAAGAACAGGAAGAGAAGACCACTCCTGTCAAGAAGACTCGACAACGTAAATCTGTCAAGGTCGAGCAGCCCATCTCACCACCATCGCCCAAGAGAGCCAATAAGTCGACCAAGTCAACAAAGGTCGTTGAAGAGACACAAGAAACAGAAACCACAACAGTCGGAGCTCAAGAAACAAAGACTAAGGTTGTGAGGAAGCGCAAGACAAAAGAGGAAAAGGAGTCAGAGGCAATGCCCCTAGCAGCTCGCACAATTGGCCATAAGCTTTTCATCGGTGCCCACGTTTCGGCCGCTGGTGGTGTCCCTAATGCTGTCCAGAATGCTATTCATATCGGCGCAAATGCCTTTGCCTTGTTCTTGAAATCTCAGCGCAAATGGGCCAATCCTCCACTGGACGAGACCCACTCTATCAACTTCCATGCTCATTGCGACAAGCACAACTTTGACCAAAATCAACATGTCGTTCCACACGGTTCATACCTTGTCAATCTAGCCCACACCGATCCAGATCGTACCAAACAAGCATACGACTCCTTCCTCGATGATCTGAAGCGTTGCGAGAAGCTCGGCATCTCGCTCTACAACTTCCATCCCGGCAACAGCGTGGGTGGTGATCGCGATGCTGCTATCGCTCATCTGGCCAACAATCTCAATCGTGCACACAAGGAAACTTCCAAGGTCATCACGCTACTCGAGAACATGGCTGCGGGTGGAAATGTCATTGGCTCGACCTTTGAGGACTTGCGCGATGTCATTAACCTCATCGACGACAAGTCTCGTGTCGGCGTCTGTCTCGATACCTGCCATGCCTTTGCAGGTGGTTACGATCTGCGGACTCCGGAGACTGTCCAGAAGACCTTATCACAATTTGACGAAACGGTCGGTATGAAGTATCTGCGTGCTTTGCATCTGAACGACAGCAAAGCACCCTTCTCAAGTCACAGAGATCTACATGCAAATATCGGCACTGGCTTCCTGGGCTTGCGTGGTTTCCACGCCATCATGAATGATGAGCGTGTCATCGGTCTTCCTATGGTTCTCGAAACACCGATCGAAGTACGCGACGAGAATGGCAACCTCCAAAAGGACGCTAAGGGCAAGGAAATGGAGGATAAGAACATCTGGGCTAGAGAAATCAAGTTGCTGGAAAGTCTTGTCGGTATGGATGCGGAAAGCAAGGAGTTCAAAGAATTGGACGACAAGCTGCAGAAGATGGGTAAGGTCGAGCGAGACAGAATCGCCGAGCAAGTCGAGAAGAAGACAACAAAGGTCAAGGAGAAGGAAGACAAGGCAAAGGCCAAACAGACCAAACTCAACTTTGGCAAGGCTGCTGCTCCAGCCAAGAAGAGTAAGAAGGCAAAGAAGGAGGAAGATGCTGATCAAAGTGATGCGTCAGCCCCACTGCCTTCGGACGATGAGAGCTAGGTGCAAATCTAAGCACCACGGCGACGAGACGAGCAAGTCATGGACGGACACACGAAAGAAAGTAATACTCGGCATGACTGCATGTTCATACTGCACTGAAGTCGTGTCCTGCTCCCGTATAATTAGGTAACTGTATTGTGGTGACGCAGACCGCACACCCCGTCAATATTATTCTGTAAGTAGCCTCAAATCGAACATGTATTGACCACCAAACGGTTTTGAGTCGTCTCTGTGGAAACTCGAGTCAGATCTTGTCCGGCCTTTCTTTTTGATGGCCAACTCAGTCGCAAGTATAGCGAGCCGTAACGATCATTAGATCCAAAGAAAGCCTGGCAGGCTTGTGGATCCGCCGTTACACAACAAAATAAAGACATTACAAATGCTACTTGGTACTGCACCCTTTTACTCCTTGACACTTGTGATTGTCAGGTGGTGTGACGGGTCAGATAGAAGCAGGGTCACATATTCAACAATCAAGTGATTGGCTTCCACGGTGACCTTTGATGACGTCTGCTTTTATATTATTAATCCCGAGGTTCAATATATATAGCTTCTTGTCTCTCGGCCATCGTTCGATCGCATAATCATATACTACTCGTACACAACCATGGCTTCAAAGACAACCATTGATCTGTAAGTCTACCAATTTCATTCTCATATTGCCAGCTGCTGACAGCCGGTCGACAGCTACACCGCAGGTATCCGAAGCAATCCGGCCTGCCAACGCAACCACCTAATGACAGTCTAGGCACCCCTAATGGCCACAAAGTGCACATTGCCTTTGAGGAGCTGGGATTGAACTACAATGTTCACAAGATCGATATCTCTAAAAACACTCAAAAGGAAGAGTGGTTCTTGAAGATCTGCCGTAAGCTCATCTAGTCATGCGCAAGCTATACCTTGATGCTGACAATTTCAGCCAATGGCCGTATTCCTGCCATGGTTGACAAGACATCGGGCAAGGAGAAGCGTGTCTTCGAGGGTGGTGCCATGTTGCTCTATCTGACCGACAAGTATGACAAGGACAACAAGATCAGCTTCGACCACGACAGTGATGAATACTGGGAGACCGTTGAATGGATTGTGTGGATGCAGTCTGGTCTTGGACCCATGCAGGTATTGAAATTTCATGTCCTGCACGAAACATGCTCACATGCTTACCAACCATAAGGGACAAGCAAACCACTTCTACAGATACGCACCTGAGAAGATTGAGTACGGCATTAACCGCTACCAAACTGAGACCAAGCGTCTATACCAAGTTTTGAACGATCGCCTCGCTCAACAAGAGAAGGCAGGTCAAGGTCTCTGGCTCGTCGGCAACAAGTTCACCATTGCAGACATCGCTTGCTTCTCTTGGGTCAACTGGGGTGCTTGGGCAGGCATTGAGACCAAGCCTTTCCCCGAGATTGAGAGATGGCTGGATGCCATCAACGCACGCCCTGCTGTGCAAAAGGGAGTCAACATTCCTGACGAGTTCAAGTTGAAGGAGATTATGAGCTCCAAGGAAAAGGCTGATGAGCATGCCAAGAAGGCAAGTGCTTGGGTTATGAAGGGCCAGGAAGCAGACCAGAAGAAGCATGCCTGACTAAATGACCCACGACACAAGATCTGATGATGACGATGTCTGATAAACGAAGTTCGAAGACTAAGGGAAAGCGGGATAGCAGAATGTATAAACCACATTTCTCATCACCAGTAATGCTGCTTCCGATTTTTGGGCCAAACAATATGGCATCCCTCTCTAGCTGTCTACGGCGATGGCATTCCATGTAGTGAAGGTCGTCTTGCTTCCATATTCATTCTAGGTTAGGAACCTTTCATGATGTTCGATCGGCTAAAGTCGAAGCAGAGAGATCGACAAAGGACGCATGCACCTGCCCCGCACAACGTGCATCCCTTCCCAATCTGAAACCACTTTTCTCCAGCAACAAACATCCCCGCATGACAAGTGCAGAACCATGTCCTTGCTGCCTGCCAAATGTTGGCAAGAGGTCAGATGATGGACCTCGAAAGTGATTTGCATTGTGCATCTTGACCCCTCTCTCATTCCTACCGAGAACAGGTCCGAAGTGGATTCAACAGGAGATGTGCCGTCATGTGGTAACAGCAAGGAGCATGCAACACAGCATCCCATTGCCCCACAGACCATCGCGAGGTTCGGGTCGTAAGCTTGCTCAGGGCAAGCATATGCGGGATCCGGAGCCTCGGAGAGGCAGTCACGTATCGTGTGCAGCTTCAATTTGTGATGATGACGATGGTAGGTAGTCACTTCCTATAAATCATTGTTGATGCCCAGGAAACTTCGGGGGCAGGAAAGTCTGAACCGAGCTGTTCATCACTCACCTTTGAACTCCCATCACAACAACCATGGTTCGCACTGTGCAGTGGCTTGTGGCTGCTGCCAGCGTTGCACAGGTCCTCGCTACTCCACACAGCCTTGTGCGCCGCCAGAACTCTTTACCAATCGAGAATTGTCCAGGATACAAGGCTACCAATGTTCAACAGAACAGCCAAGGATTGACTGTAAGTATCACACCATCTCCAACTATCTCGTCTTGCTGACATTGATTACAAGGCCGATCTCACTCTCGCAGGTCCAGCATGCAACACATACGGTCAAGACATTGAGAATCTAAAGCTCGAGATCACTCAGGAGACTGGAGATAGACTGCATGTCAAGATCTATGATGCCGACGAGAACGTCTACCAAGTTCCCGAGTCCGTCCTTCCACGCCCAGGTGCAGATGGAAATGTCTCCTCTACAGCCAATCAGCTTGTTTATGACGTTGTCAACGACCCATTCTCATTCTCAGTGTCTCGCCGTAGCGGTGAGCAAGCTCTGTTCAACACTACCGGAGCTGAACTCGTATTCCAGTCTCAATACTTGAGGGTTCGCACTCAGCTTCCCGAAAGTCCTCATCTCTATGGACTTGGCGAGCACTCTGATCCATTCCAGGTAAGCTGGTTCTCAAGCATGAATGAGCATGTCTGACGACGTCTGTAGCTGAACACCACGAACTATACACGAACTCTCTGGTCTCGTGATGCTTACTCTATTCCTGGCGGCACCAACTTGTATGGAAACCATCCAGTCTACTTTGACCATCGGGGTGCGGATGGCACGCACGGTGTTTTCCTATTGAACAGCAACGGCATGGATATTAAGATCAACAGCACTGCAGAAGCTGGCCAGTATCTCGAATACAACACTATTGGCGGCATTGTCGACCTCTATTTCTTGGCTGGTCCATCTCCTACTGAAGTTGCCAAGCAGTATGCTGGAGTGGTTGGTTTGCCGACAGAGATGCCATATTGGGGTTTCGGCTTCCACCAGTGCAGATATGGATACCAAGATGTGTATGAAGTCGCTGCTGTAGTCGCCAACTATAGTGCTGCAGACATTCCCTTAGAAGTCATGTGTGCGTAGTGCACTTGCTTGACCCAAAGAATACATACTGACTTCTATCAGGGACTGACATAGACTACATGGACAGTCGACGTGTCTTCACTACAGATCCTGAACGCTTCCCTCTGGACAAGATGCGAGAATTGGTCTCTACCCTGCACGCTAGACAGCAGTCCTATATCGTCATGGTCGATCCTGCCGTTGCCTACTACAACTACTCAGCTTTCAACAATGGTGTCGAAGCAAACGCCTTCCTGAAAAGGTCGAACGGCTCAATCTATCAAGGCGTCGTCTGGCCTGGTAAATAGACTTTCACAAACTACAATCTAATGGTAGGCTGACAGAAGCGCAGGCGTTACAGCTTTCCCTGATTGGTTCGCAAGTGGCACTCAAGAATATTGGGACAATGAGTTCACCACTTTCTTCAATGCTGAAACTGGTGTCGATATTGATGCTCTGTGGATTGGTGAGTGTCGTTACACCATCTGCTTAGAAACATACTGACGATGATCAAGATATGAATGAGGCTAGTGATTTTTGCACTTGGCCGTGCAATGATCCATTCGGGTATGCTGCTGCTAATGGGTACCCTCCTACCCCTCCAGCAGTCAGGGCAAATGCAGGATATCCCATCCCTGGCTTCCCAGTCGATTTCCAGCCAGGCTCAACATCACGAAAGGCTAAGCGTCAATCAAACGCTACCACCTCGCATCTAGGTCTACCGGGCAGAAATCTGATTGATCCACCATACACTATCAACAACGCCGCCGGGAGCTTGTCTAACAAGACCATCGAAACTGATCTCTACCATGAGAACGGTTTGACCTTGTACGACACTCACAACCTCTACGGTACTATGATGTCAAGTGTCAGCCGAGACGCAATGCTGGCTCGCAGGCCAACAAGAAGACCAATGGTTATCACTCGTAGTACATTCGCGGGTGCCGGCCATCACGTGGGACATTGGCTCGGTGATAATTCTGGTAAGAAGCTACAGTTGCCACGATTCACGCTGTCGTCTTGTCCCAGTCTGTGCGAAAGACCTGTGTGACGTGTGTTCTAGCGAAACACTGTCTGGGATCGCGTTCTGCAGATCTGAGAGCACCCGTCTAGCAGAGTCGTGGTATGTTTCCATTCAGATGAGATTGTGCTAACCATATTATCGCTTTAGCTGGCTGGCCATGGTACAGGGTGTCAATTGCCCAAATGCTGGAGTTTGCTGCCATCTTCCAGGTATTCTGCTTTAACCTTATCGATACAGACTCGAACTGACCATACCTCAACAGTTGCCTATGGTGGGTAGTGATGTCTGTGGTTATGCGGGCAATACTTGGCCCGAACTGTGTGCTCGATGGGCCATGCTCGGTGCCTTCTACCCCTTCTACCGTAACCATGCAGAAGTTGGCTCCGTGAACCATGAATTCTATCGCTGGAATCTCACCACAGTCGCTGCTCAAAAGGCAATCGACACGCGTTACAGACTGCTCGACTACCTCTACACAGCGTTCCACGAGCAGACTGTGACTGGCAAGCCGTTGATCCAGCCCTTGTTCTTCGTCTATCCAGAGGACTCCAACACGTTCCCCATCGAGCACCAGTTCTTCTGGGGCGACAGCATCCTGGTTAGTCCTGTCGTGGACGATAACAGTACGAGTGTCACCTTCTATCTCCCTGATGACATCTTCTACGACTACTTTACCTACCAACCTGAGCGCGGAACGGGCAACTGGGTGACTCGCGATAACGTCGACTTTACTGAGATTACTGCCCACATCCGCGGTGGCAGTATTCTACCTCTCCGTCAGAATTCTGCCAACACAACCACCGAGCTTCGAAAGCAAGATTTCGTCCTCATCATCGCACCTGATCTCGAGGGCAAGGCAAGTGGAACACTGTACTTAGACGAGGGCGATGCCATCGAGCAGCCCAAGACGAGTCTTATCACCTTCAGCTACGCAAATGGTACCTTCGCTATGGGCGGCAGCTTTGGCTACCCTACCAACGCCAGCGTTGTGAGCCTCACTGTGCTGGGACAGGGTAGCAATGTGACAACAGCTGCTCGTAAGAGGGATTCGAGCATTGTGGTTGACGCGAAGAGAAACATGATTACCAAGAAACTCAGTGTGCCGCTGACCGAGTCGTTTGTCACACCTTTATGTCAGGAATGCGAAGCGTAGACAGTTGAGCGAGGAGAGATGAATGAAGTTTTGCTTGATGAGAAAAAAGAGGCCACGAAGCATGGATGGGAAGTATCACAATAAAAGACCTCACAGATAGCAACAAGCATCCCACCGTACTTCCTTCAATCTTTAACAGCGAAATGTTCCTCCTTCGAAGATTTCTCAGGCGAATCAAAAGTCTTGACAAAATACTGGTCCGGTGGTTTGGATATGTTCTCGCTCGCCCTCGTCTTTTTTTTCTTTTTTATTCTTGCTCTCATCCTTGTCCCCTGTCCTAGCACAATCATAAGACTTGGACATTCAATCTGACTAAATCAATGCCAGTGGATATGGCTCGTTGTGATCTACATATGGAATTGTCATATCCTGCATCTTATCATGTCGTCACACTGCCCGGCAATTTGAATCTGACGTCCATATCTGCACAACAAGCTCATCCGCATCCAACCACTTGATAAACGAGCGCTCACCACAATTCTGCACTCAGCGCCTTGCACTAACCTGACGCCTCGAGGCTGTCGTTTGGGTGGCATTAAGGTATATATACATACATGTCAGCCACACCCACAGTCAGAGCTCGGAAAATCGCAAGACTCATCCGGCGCGGAAAGGCGAGATGGCCGAGCGGTCTAAGGCGCCAGCTTAAGGTTGTTATCATCCAAAACGCTGGTCCGAAAGGGCGTGGGTTCAAATCCCACTCTCGTCAACATCCTTTTTGCTTTCTGTCTATCGCAAGAGGGATGAGAGATGAAGAAGGAGAGGGGGTTTTTTTCTCTGAAATTTTTGGTGGTGGGTGAGGCAGGGTTTTGTGTGGGTGGAGATTGCATCAGTTGTGCACGTCTGAGTACTGCATAAGAGCTTGGCATAGATGTGTGCTCGGGCATAGGAAATATGCAAGCAAGTTACAATATTGACTCGCTGGTCACAGACAGAGAGTTGTATCTTCTTCAAATCAACAGGCTACAAGAAAGTAATTCGAGATAAGCTAGATTGCTGAATGTCAATGTGCTACATTACAAGCTCTTGTATGCGAAAGAGAAGGAGCGCTCAGGATTGACTAATATCACAATCCTCAAGCTCAGAATGAGATCCCAAAACACAATGTTCAAAAGGGTCAAAAAGAGTATAAACAAGGCATTGTAGCATATAACCGAGATATAGACAGATCGTAAAGGAGATATAGTGCTAAACTATGTGTGTTCTGCTAATGCTTACTAGCATAGCTGATGATTAAAGTACATTGCGATTGGGGGAAAAAGAGGAAACCGAAATTTTCACTTCATCTAGAGGATGAACGACACAATACTGCCGAGAACGTAGGCACCAAGACCAACGACACCTCTGAGGTGAGCGGCGAGCTCGACCTTGAGGCCGGCAACAACGGAGCAAGCAACGGTGATCAGACCGTGGCAGGCAGTGGCGAGGGAGAAGACGACGACCTTGAGAGCAGAGAAGCCGCAAACCTTGACGGCGAACTTGACGGTGAACTCGATTTCGAGGAGGAGCTCAGAGATCAAGGCGGCAAGCTCAGCATTGCTGTGACCACCGATGCCACCTGCGACGCTGAGATGAGCCTTGGCCTGGCCGATGAGACCGATAAGAACTTGGATGTTCTCCTTGACTTCAGCAATTTGAGCATCAGTGGCCTTGCCTGAGATACCGTTGCAGGTGGCGTTGATTGCAGCAGTGTAGCCGTGAACGTGGTCAGCGAGGATGTCGAAGGTACCCCAAACGTTGACAGTAGCGTTGAGACCGAGAGAGACGTCAAGAGAACCGCCAGCAGCACCGGAAAGAGAGCCTGAAGCACCAAGACCGGCAGAACCGCCGACACCAGCACCTGCATCGAGACCGGCAGAGCCAGAGCCGCCAACACCTGCGCCAGCCTTGAGACCAGCAGAGCCGCCAATTCCAGCATCAAGACCGGCAGAGCCCGAGCCACCAACTCCTGCGCCTGCACCAAGGCCAGCAGAGCCACCAAGACCAGCACCAGCCTCAAGGCCAGCTTCGCCCGAGCCGTTAACGCCTGCGCCGGCACCAAGGCCAGCAGAGCCACCGAGACCAGCACCAGCCTTGAGGCCAGCTTCGCCAGAACCGTTGACACCAGCACCTGCATCGAGACCAGCAGAACCACCAAGACCGGCGCCGGCCTTGAGGCCAGCATCGCCAGAACCGTTAACACCTGCGCCGGCGTCAAGACCAGCAGAGCCCGATCCATGAATACCTGCGCCGAGACCGGCAGCACCGCCAACACCTGCGCCGAGACCAGCAGATCCAGTTCCTTGGGCGCCCAAGCTGCCAGTACCAGTTGCGCCGGCACCGAGACCAGCAGCACCACCAATACCTGCGCCGAGGCCAGCGTGGCCACCAAGACCAGCAGCTCCTGAAGCAGCAGCACCAAGACCAGCAGAACCACCAACGCCAGCAGAGCCAGAACCGTTGACACCTGCACCTGCACCTGCGTCGAGACCAGCGGAGCCAGAACCACCAATGCCTGCGCCACCGTTGAGACCAGCAGAGCCAGAGCCTGAGCCACCAACTCCTGCGCCGAGGCCAGCAGAACCGCCAACTCCTGCACCAAGGCCGGCAGAGCCAGAACCACCAACACCTGCACCGGCACCGAGGCCAGCAGCACCACCAATACCGGCACCGAGGCCAGCAGCACCACCAATACCGGCACCGGCACCAAGGCCTGCTGAGCCGCCAAGGCCGGCAGCACCGGTAGCACCTGCAGCGAGAGAACCAGAAGGAGAAGCGCCAGCAGACAAGGCAGCGCCAGCCGAAGGAGAAGCACCACCAGACAGACCAGCCTCACCACCAATACCACCAGAGATGCTGCCATTGCCACCAACACCTGCGCCAGCCGAGCCGGTCACATCAGGAGAAGAAGCAGAGGCGGTGGGAGTTCCGTTGGCAGCGTCAGCGATCGAGTCACTAGGGCTGGAAGAGGGAGATGAGCCGGTAGGAGACGAGCCAGAGTCGGCACCGTAGGCAGGAACGTCAGAGGGAGCGGCAGAGTCGGAAGGCGAGGAGGTAGAGTCAGTTGCAGCAGGGGTACCCTGAGCAGCATCGGTCAAGTTGTCGCTGGGAGATGCGGGGGCGGAAGGAGACGAGCCGGAAGGAGACGAGGCGCTTCCAGAGTCTGAGCCGGATGCGGAGCCGTATGCAGCACCGCCGTAGGTAGGAACGTCAGTGCCGGCGGGTGAGGCAGCAGAGTCAGAAGGCGAAGAAGTCGAGTCAGTAGCGGCAGGAGTGGCTTGGGCAGCATCGGTCAGGTTGTCACTGGGGGTAGCAGCGGCAGATTCAGCGGGTGCGGAAGCAGACGAGGCGTTGTTGCCAGATGCCGAGCCGTATGCACCAGCACCGTAGACGGGAACGTCAGTTCCGGCGGGCGAAGCGACGGAGTCACTGGGAGCAGCAGCTGAGGGGGCGGCACCCGAGGGGGCGGCAACACCAGCAGAGTAACCGTTGCTCCAGGTGTAGCCAGCGCCAGTGGGCTGAGCAACTCCCGAAGAAATCAAGGAAGTACCGGTAGCGATGAGCGAAGTTTTGAGAGTGGCCGGGCAATCGGTGACTTCAGGAGCACACGATGTGATGGTGTCAATCTGAGTGCTGTAGAGAGTAACAGTGATGGGACCAACGGAGGTAGGGACGGGAGTGTCGGGGCTAGCTGCGGACGAGCTGGCGGCGGCAGTCTGCCAGTTGCTGGGGTACCAGACTGAGGGCATCTGTCCAGAAGGAGCAGCAGCGCCGGCAGGCATAGTGGAAGAAGCACCGCCGCTGGCAGTTCCCCAGTATTGGCCGTAAGAAGGCATGTTGTTGGGGGTCTCGTCAGAGTTGGCAGGAGGAGAGGGAACAGGCATGACAGTGGAGGTCTCAGGAACAACAACAGTGCTGCCGTAGGCAGGAACACCCTCCGAAGCAGCGGGAACGCCCTCAGAGGCAGCAGGGACGCCAGAAGAGGCAGCAGGAACTCCCTCAGAAGCGGCGGGAGTGGTCTCAGGAGTGCCGTTGCCGTTGGCAGGAACGCCCTCAGAGGCGGCAGGGGTTGCAGCGGGAGATGAAGGCATAGCGGCCCCAACATCAGAAGTAGACTGAGCGGCAGGGGTCGAGGCACCGTAAGCAGGGACGCCCTGAGATGCGGCAGGAACACCCTCGGAAGCAGCGGGGCTAGATCCGGGAGCACCATAGGCGGGAACACCAGAAGAGGCTGCGGGAACACCCTCGGATCCGGCAGGAACGCCCTGAGAAGCAGCGGGGACACCCTCAGTGGCAGCAGGGGACGAGGGCATGGCAGCATCGGCACTCGAAGCAGCCGAAGTGACAGTGGCTCTGTTGGTAATGGTCGAAGTGATGACGCTAGGAGCAGTCAAGACAGTGGTAGATCCAGCAGAGGTGACACTAGGAAATGTTAGTCTAATAAACCAAAATCAAGGATAGGTATCGAGCTCACGTCTCGCCTGCAGGGCATGTTGTGACAGTCTCGGAGACAATGTCAGTCACGTAGACGACCTCAGGACCGGAAGAGCCCATAGTGGTAGTACCAGTGACGGCGGGGACATTGGCAGATGCAGCGGGGGTGGTAGCACCAGAGCCACCAGGAGCTGCGTTTGTAGGAGAGCCGTTGGTGGCATCGACATCCGAAGACGAAGCTGCAGCCGAAGGCGAACCACCGTAGTTACCTCCCTGGTAAGCAGGAGCAGAAGAGGCAGCAGCGTCAGTCTGTACAGATGGGACTGCTGAACCAGCAGCAGTCGTAGTCATGTAGTGAGTGACGTGCTCTGTGATGGTGTGGGTGCGAGTCTGAGTAGACCATTGGGTGATGGTCTGGGTAGAAGTGCTGGCCTGGCCATTGGGAGCACAAGGGCAGGTGTTGGTGTCACGCTTGTTGGTCCAGGGAGCGGCAGTGGACAGACCAAAGAAGGCCGCCAGATGCATATAAGTGCTGGGCTTCATCCTGAGAGAGAAGCGAAGCAGTCGCTTTACTGTCGATTAGGGATAATGAGGGACTGTAACGATTGTAGGATAGATTGATGGCAGAAACAAAGAACGAGGGTTTGCTTCAGAGCACAGCTCTTGATTAGCAAAGGAACGAAAGACGAAAGACGAAAGACAAAACTGAACTGATTCGAAGAGTATCGAAGGCAGGCAAGACGAGATGCTTTATACCAAGGACGAAGAGCATGTTGAATGCATCGACCAGAAAGAGTGGGTTAAACTGCTACAGGATTAGCAACAGAGCATCAGTCATACCAGTATTTGATGGAAATTAAGGATTTTGACATGTCTGCGGCAGTCGTGCTGAGTCGCTGACATGCCAGTCTGGATAAAGACGGAGGTCCATGCGAGACCTCTCATACGAGTCGTACCTTCCTCGTAAAGTAAAGAACGCGGTTGCTAGAGGTGGGAAGTCTTGTGATGGTCAAACCGAAAAGAGATGGATTCACAAATTAGCTTGTCTCAAAGCAGACCCTAGCAGCAGTCGTGGCAAGAAGAGGTATGGTGATCGACAGTCTCGAGTCCACTCTAGCCTTGTACAGATGAAACTGGTGACTACTCCACAAACCCCAGCATCCAGAAGATGATGGCTTCTACAGTACGACCTTGGTCAGAAAGCTCGGTCAAGTTCATGCTCGGTCGTTGGATTACAACGAGATTGCATTCGTGAACGCATGCGGAAAGTATTCGTCAAAGCTGTGCATGGAAGCTGCGATAGCGATGGAGTCTTCGAAAAGTTCGGAAGCCGCGAACAAGACCCCTGCAGACTGCAGCAATACGGCTTGCCACTGAGCTCTGCAAAGTCTTGACAGCTCAAAACTCAGGCAACCACGGAAGGCACGGGAGTGTAGGAAGGATGGCGTAGATGGTTAATTAGGTGGTCGTAGTCTGTGCGTGAGGCGGTGTTGAAACTCGTGCCTATTTCTGGTTAGGTCGTCTGCTCAGAGATTTGCCAATGTACAGAGCGAGATTGAATCCCTAGAAACAGTGCGGCCTTATGAGACTTTTAATATTGTCTTCGTGTGTGCTAATGAGAATGCGAGAAGACTGATAGGAGGTGTGGAAGTTAGAGTGAACTCGTGATGTTGTGACACGCAGAAAGAAGATGCATGATCGACAGCGCAGTGAGTGTGTCGGAGAGTCGCGGGCCGAGGCCATATTGGAAGCCGAAAAGCCGCGAAGCTTGGCCCAAAATCCGGCTCGAACTGCCCTGTGCCTGGAAAAGGACAACTTTTGAAACAACCTCTCCCAAGAAGACTGCGTTTCAGCCTTGAAGCACCATCGCTTTTCGAAGCAACAGCTCAAACCCTTCTTGCTTTTTGCAAGGTGCTTCTTTTGGCCACCAGCCTGACGCCATATGATCGACGAGCGCTCTTTCCACCAAGGCAGAAGCTTAGAAATGAGAGTACGGCGTACGAGTACGCAGACGAGAGTGCCTATTTCGCAATCATACAATAGGAGGAAAGATCTTCAATCTTTGACCATGCCGGTGCATGCTATGAATCTACGCAAAGACACGGCAATTCCTTCATTGAAGTCGGCTCCACCCATGTGGAAGGCTAGATCAATGCTCACCTTTTCGTTGCTGCAATTCTTGCACTTCGATTGTTTCTCCACTGTGACAAGTCTTCTCAACTCACCACAAGTGAGCCATGTCATGACTGCAGATCTTGTTGCATACTCCCTTCTAGACATGGTTGGCCTTCTCAGTTGTGCATTGGATGCATCAGACTTTGTCATACTCTCAACGACTAATGATTCAACTTGACATACACTAACGCTGCTTCGTTGAGAGCTCACTTTCTAGCGATATCACGGCCGCCCAGCCAAACAAACAGCCAGCTAATCGAGATCATGATCTTTCTTCTCCAGCTCCTTGTCCACGACAGACTGCCCGATCGCCATGCCAGCCACGCGCCCTCACCAGTCCAGTCCTGTTTACCGCCAATCACACCGTCATGCTTGCCTAGGTAGGCCAGGTGTACCTTCTGCTTGTACTCAAACGGTCGTGCTGCAGCACCTTCAGCCTCATTGTTGAGCTCACGTGTGAGATATTCGCCTTTCTGCAAGGCCGCTTCAGCCAGTGTCGGAAGGCTGTAACCCTCAATATCGGCCGCGTCACCCATCGCGTATGTGTTGTCGATTGGAGTACCATCAGGCCGCAAGACACGTAGGTACTTGTCTGTCAAGATCCGAGGCATGCCTTTCTCTGTCTTTTTGACGTCCAAGGTGTCGATGAGAGGGTTCACTTTGTTGCCGGTGGCCCAGATAAGCATACCGTACGGCAATCTGCCGTCTTCCTTGGTGTATATGGCGTCTTGCTCTACCTTCTCGATGTGAGAACTGGTCTTGAGCTCGACCTTCTTCTCATGCAAAGATTTGGTTGCGTAGTTTCCAAGCTTCTCATCAAAAGTCGACAGGATAGTAGGCGCGACATCATGGATAACAATGGAAAGCTTGCCGTCGAGGTGAGGGTACAGGAATCTCATGTCCTCGTACCAGAGGTCGTATAGCTCTGCTGTGGCTTCGATACCAATCGCTCCTCCACCAACTATACGAATGGTAAGGATGTCTCTCTGCTGCTGCTCGGTGACTCCAGGTAACGAAGCAGCGTCAAGAATCTCCAGTATCCTCTGCTGAATCAGACGAGCATCATTTGTGGTTCTCAAAAACAATGCATGTTCTAGAGCTCCAGGCGTGCCGAAAGTCTGAATAGCACAACCAGGTGCGATCACGATCTTGTCATATGAGATATCGTAGTCTTTGTCTTTCCAGAACTCTGATACTGATGGCTTGCACTTGATAATGCGCTTTTCCAGGTCGATTTGCTCGGCGATTGCCTTGTAGTACTCAACATTTGGTCTGCTGCGTCGGCGGACAGGTTCTTCAGCAAGTCGAAAGTTGAAAAGACCGCAAGCTGCACTTGCAAGCAGTGGAGTATATTGAATCGTCCGAACGGGTGATATGACCTTGACGTTGTATTTTGCGACGTTCAATTGTTGTGATAGGACGAAGCCGGCCCATCCGCTTCCAATGACAGCTACTGTAGGTTTCGACATGGTGAAGATTGGTCAATCCAGGAAGTCTGTTATTATTGATTTTGGGTGATGGACCAGCTGAGGTTTTGTATCTGAGCTGGTAGTAATCGTACTCGTATATTAACTGATGTCACTATTCTGAATTCTTGGATACCCTTGTCTTTGCCGAGATAAGTCAGATCTATCGCCGATAGGATTTATGTTCGTCAGCTTAACGCGACGTTAATTCACTAAGCAACATGTTTTCGGTGAAAGTGATGCGTACCCGGGGTGGCCGAGTGGGTATTGGCAGAATAGATCGCACCAAACGGACTGTGCCGGTGCCTGAAGTGCAAACATCGTTGGTTGATATAGGGCCCGTTTTATGCCGATTGGTCGAGAAAAGTGCTGCAAGTATCGGGATATTGTCCTGTTCGACGATCATTGAACTTCGCGTCACGCCGCGTGTATGGAAGCAAAGATCATCGAGAAAGACTTGATATGAGGCTGAGTTTGTAAGGTCATTGTATTCTGACGAGCTGCTTGGGATTCCAGACTATCGCTCTGTTCAGACCACGACTTTCGATGACATTACTGCTCAGCCAATTGACATGATGGATACCACCGAGACACAGCAAGATATTCCATGTTACTGACACTGTCTCCGAGACACTAATTTCATGTCCTACCTGCAGACAGTTTGGCAAAGTGGCTCCGCCATTGTTTTGACTGCTATGGGCGTCATTACTTCAACCATCACTGACAGATTTGTTTTGAGCTTGACCTTGGGTAAATCACTGCGTGTAAGGAGTTGACTATCAGTTACTTGGATGGTATCTGAGGTATGCTCATACTCCAAATGATTATTGCTCTTGCTAAGAGCGACACAGGCGTAAGCGTACCTAGCCCCCCCTCCTCGCGAATGACTGGCGGCAACAATCCTTTGAGCAAACATGTTGGGATTACAGACCATTCGATGGCGCTAAACGCCCATATCTTCGAGACAACATCTATCATCTTTTGGGCCATCCCAATGCTTTGCTTCGGATCTTGACATTTCCCAGATGGGATGGAGTAGGTATCTGTTGCTCCGAAGCCGAGGGCTGAATAATTGTTAGGGCCGCTTAAGTCCGTTGATGACGAAGTGGGAGACCCCACCTGTGAAAGATCACGACAGATCGCGAAACATCCAAGTACAGACTTGCTGGACCTCTAAACACCAAATCAAAAGATCCAACCCCTCGAAGAGATATACACACAGCAATCATGGCCAGCTATACCAACGGCGACAGCAACGACGGCGAGACCAAGGGCATCCAGCCTAAGATCACTCTCTACACCAACCACCTCTGTCCTTTCGCCCACCGTGCCCACATCACCCTCGAAGAGCTTGGTCTGGACTTTGAAGAGGTCATTATCGACCTGGACAAGCCTCGCGAGCAGTGGTACCTCGACATCAACCCCCGCGGCCTGGTACCCTCGATCAAGTACAGCGTTCCTGGTCTCTACAATGAGGAGATCATCACCGAGTCGAGCATTGTCGCCCAGTTTCTAGCAGACGCCCGTCCTTCGCATCTGCTTCCCGGCAGCTTGCACGACCCGTTCGCTCCACTGTTCAGAGCAAGATTGGCTTTCTTTGTCGACACATGGAACACAAAGGTTCAGGGCAACCTGTATCCTATGATGAAGGCCGACGGCGAGGAGAAAGAAAAGCTGGCCAAGGAGACTGTTGCTGCTATTGAGAAGGAGATTGAGCCTCTGCTTGCAAACGCTGCTCCCTTCTTTGGCGGCAAGGACAAGCCCACGCTTGCTGAGGTATGCTATGTCTAGTTTTCGCCTTCATTGGACCTAGTACTGACTAAAGACGACTTCAGGCCATCATTGCACCTTTCCTGATCCGCTTCTTTGCTTTCTCCAAGGAAGGCAACCTCCTTCCATCGTCGCTCAAGAAGTCAATCGAGGCTCTGCCCAATACTGGCAAGTGGGCCAAGGCTGTCGTTCAAATTCCCAGTGCTTTGACTATCTGGAACGAGGAGGAGGTTATCAAGAGAACAACAGCTCGTGTGGCCAAGATGAAGGAGGCTGCCAAGTAAGCCGCTAACTGCAGGCTGGCGTCGAAAGAGGACACAAAAAGAAGAAGACTATAGCATGCATAACGTGGAACGACAAAGTATATAGTAACGGCAGAATATATAAGTTTCAGACTCGTCCTGAACAACCAAGCCTCTCAAGACCAGTAACTTTCTCACCTGCGACAAGGCGACTAACGACAATTTGAGGCACGAGGTAGACTCAATTTTCAGTATAGGTACCAGTCGGCGAGGGACTTAATGCGTGATAGAGGAAGGTATCCGTTGCCTTCAGTCTTCTATTTCGAGCCTGCAAAGACGAGTCTTGCATCGGAGAGATAGGCTTGACACTTAAACGGCTGGATCAAAGTGTGCAGGACGAACATGTTCACTCCAACAGTGGTGAAGACGTTTCACAAAAACACACATCACGAATATGGTTGCAATAATCTTCAGTTTTACCATTTTTGCGAGTGATGTTTTGGTCAGACGAGCGTTCAAAGGGTCTGGGGACGTTCGAGTGGTTCGGTTGGTGGCGGCTTGGCGTTGCGCCAAGAGTCGCGCGCACAGCACATTTCTGCAAAATCAGCCAGGCTTGAAGATTTCCTCTTTTCGTGCGACTTTACTAACGACCCAGCTTTCCCAATACCGCAACAGTACGTCGAATCTTTGCATCAAACCGATTGATCGCAGTCGCCTGGAAAGAGCCACATTCGCTGACAGTCGCAAAAGATGGGTGCCCTCAAATACGTCGAAGAGCTCCAGAAGAAGAAGCAGTCTGATGTCCTGCGCTTCCTTCTCCGTGTTCGCTGCTGGGAGGTACGCGCTACATGAGAATTGATGCTACTCGTTGAACTTTGCTGAGAGTACATCAATATAGCTCCGCCAGTTGAACGTCATCCACCGCGCCTCGCGCCCCTCGCGCCCCGACAAGGCCCGCCGTCTGGGATACAAGGCCAAGCAGGGATACGTTATCTACCGTGTCCGCGTCCGCCGCGGTGGTCGCAAGCGCCCTGTGCCCAAGGGTGCCACCTACGGTACGATTGAAGAATTTGCAGGGAAAAGAAGAATCTGGATCTGACATTATACACAGGCAAGCCCACCAACCAGGGTGTTAACCAGCTCAAGTTCCAGCGCTCCCTCCGCTCCGTCGCTGAGGAGCGTGTCGGCCGCCGCTGCGCCAACTTGCGCGTCCTCAACTCCTACTGGATCAACCAGGACTCGACCTACAAGTACTTCGAGATCATCCTCGTCGACCCCCAGCACAAGGCCATCCGCAAGGACGCTCGCATCAACTGGATCGTCAACCCCGTCCACAAGCACCGCGAACTCCGTGGCCTTACCTCCACCGGCAAGCACAACCGTGGTATCAACAAGGGCCACCGCTACAACAACACCTCTGCCGGTCGCAGAAAGACCTGGAAGAGACAGAACACCCTCTCCCTCTGGCGCTACCGATAAACGTCTCGCCCCTGTCGGCGTTGACGTGGTTGTTGTTAGGGATCTGGGCAAGGGTCTTCGTTTCGTGTCGCCGCGATATTGGGACGAGGGCATCCACAAAATTTCTGGGATTAGCGGGCATTATCATGAACTAGCCAAATTGTTGTCTTTCAAAATCACAACGCTACCCGCTCACTTCCTTGTGTTTTCTGTGCAATGTGACTAGGTAGTGATTTGTCTAAGGGCCAAGACTGTAGATCTTAGAGCTTACGACGCCCGAACGCTCCGGACAGGGGTAAGATTGAAACAGAATGGAATTGGAGCAAATTTGCAATTCAAGCGGGCGGAGAAGGCGCAAGTTGCAGAGGAAAGAATTGGTCAATGGCATGTGTTAGGGTCCAGAGCCTTTAGGTACAGTACTCGTAGATTAGGTTCGGCGTAGAACGACCCCAGAAATAGGAGCGGTTGCGAGGGGCTCGGGAGTCCCTTGGTCATGTCAGGGACACGCTCCAAGGACCAAGGGCTGAGCACAGTCGAATTGTGGTCAACACGAGCTCAACCGGCTGGTGCTTCGTATTTGCTTTCTCTTGACAATCTTTTCCTTCGGAGTCTGGCCCAGGACATGACTGTCGTGCTTTCCTCCGGTACGCCCAGCGTCCGTCTTAGCTGCTGCCCGCCTGCATCAACCAAACATCATTCAACTTCCATTCGCCGTCGCCTCGAGCCAGGAGCAACCTGAGGCACCAGTGCCAGGGAAAGCATGTCTCTGTGGCCACCGCGATTCACATCTCTAACATCGGGCTCGTCGGGTAATGCGAACAGGCCGCCTCCTGCATCCCCTCCACGAGTCCCTCGAGATCAGCAACCTCCGCTTTCCTCTCGACCCGCCCAGTCCTCGAGTCCACGACAGCAACCACACACGCGCGCTGTCAGCCACCCGTTACCGAAGATCTTCGGCAAGAAGAAAAGTGCACCCGTCTTAAGAGACGTCCCTCTCGATGAACACTTGGTCCCTGTGCTGGATGCTGGTCCTTCCACAGTGCCTACACCGGACAAGCCCATTGGAGGTCGCAAGAGAGACGAAGAGTTGATCACGCGGCAATGCATGTGCTGCGACAACAAAGTGCGCTTTCCGAGTAATCTCAACGTCTTTCGTTGCACAAGCTGCTTAACCATCAATGATCTTGAGCCCTATGTCAAAGAGCCTCGTGACTCCAAGTCTTCAACATATCCGGCTCAGCAGCAGGGTCCGCGACGTGAGTTTATTTGATTTCAAAGAGCCCTCGCAATACACTAACAAGGACTAAGCCATCCTCCCACTGTCCGTCGAGCGTAGTCGAGCTATAATCGATCGTTGTCTAATCACCTACCTTGAAGCACGATGCCGAAGAGGCGACGCTCCAACCTCACCAAAGGCCTCGGGCCTTGCAGATCCCTTTGTTCGTGGCGAGATAACAACACAACATGCGACTTTGCAGCCACCGCCTCGTTTCTTCGAGCAGTCGCCTCCTGAGATGCCTGAGCCCATCTCGGCATCTTTGAAGACTCAAGACGATTTTCAATATTTCCCACACAAGGCATCCCCATCGCCGAACAAGAGTCCCTCGAGACCCAGGACCGCTGGCTCATCATATACTGCTCCTCACATGCCTCCAGTCCCCCCTATGCCACCTCTGCCGCCAAACAGAAGACCTCCTCCACCACCTGGATTTCATTCTGCGCCACTTCCTATACGTCCTACACCTCCTGTTGGTGACAGCCCTGCTTCTCAGCGTTATGATCGCGTCAAGGTCATTTTCAAGCCGCTTGAAGACTATATGCTTAGCAGTTTTGGCGATTACAACTGTCTCAATACTTGTTTTAGTACTGTACGGCATCCGGTTACAACACGAAGGAGGAGCGAAAGTGCCATCAAGACCCCTCCCAGTGAGGCAGTCGAAACTTTTACTCAAAGTCCGATAGACTCATTCTCCCAGCTCGATGCAAAGACGCTGCTTCTTGGTGATTTTGCAGAGAATGGCGACTGGTGGACAGGCAGAGTCGCTCGCAATACGTCCGACAAGTCCGACAAGCGCGGCCACCATAGCTCAGAAGGCAGGCGCTTGACTACTTCGAGGTCTCCTCACATCGACTGGGATCAGCTGTCACATTGGTACGACGTTATTCACACTGCTGGGTCTAAGTGGCGCGACAGAGTTGCAAACATCAGAAATGTTGATCAGGAGAAGGTGCACGAACACATCCGCGGTCCCGTCAATGCTAAGGAGATTGATGAAGACATCGCAGAAGCCCGTCTGCATGCCGAGCGAGCCTTGTTAAAGATTACTGAAAACATTCTGAAGCGACCCACACGACCTCTAACTGAACCAGACAACATTCGCTTCTTGCTTATCATATTGGCCAACCCGTCTCTATACCCTTCAATGCGGACAGCAGGCAATCGCCCACCAATGCCACGCAGTCCTTCTGGGCTCAAGAGCTCAACACTAGCGCCACCTTCTTCTTCTTCTTCTAAGCTTGCATCTCCACAGAAGCTTTCAGGCACTCCTGCTAGTAACGAGCCAGGACAGCATGCTGGTATACTCAAGCGAATCTTTGGGTTAATCGCTAATTCTTCCGAGAATTGTCATCGTTGTCTTACCCATTGGTTCAGTAGACTACCCGAGCAACAGTTCGTCAAGATGGTTGACCTGGTTGCGAGGTTCGTAACGTATCGACTTTCGCGACGAAAGAGTCGACCTCGCAGTGTTATACCTCAAGATGGTGGCCTCATTCCTGATTTGTCTGGATCTGCGAGAAACACTTTTACTCAACTCCAGTCAGCGACTGGACTGAGTGGTAGCGGCAGTGGAGCTGGTAGAAACAAAATGCCACAAATGGAGACGATAAGTGTAATTGACTACAGCGAAGATTGGCAGCTGAAGGCCGCTGCCAAAATCATGGCAATGTTATTTGCTGCGAACAACACATGGCAGATGAAGAGATCTGGCCTCACTCCTGCTCAAACAAGCATAAAGTCTTTGTCCAAACCACGCACGAAGATGCACGGACAGTTGTTGCCTACCTCGGACTTCTACAACACACTGCTCGACTATTACGATCTGGTTGCAGACTTCAAAGCCTGGGAGTCCAAGAAGGCGAAGTTCACCTTTTGCCAATATCCGCTCTTCCTATCTATGGGTGCGAAGATTCGACTCATGGAGTACGATGCGCGTCGGCAGATGGAGATCATGGCTCGTGAGGCCTACTTCGACTCTGTCACTACACGCAGGTCAATCGATGGCTACTTCCACCTACGTGTAAGACGTGAGTGCATGGTTGACGACAGTCTAAAACAAATCAGTGGTGCTGTAGGATCTGGTCCAGAAGAACTGAAGAAAGGCCTCAAAGTTCACTTTACCGATGAAGAAGGTGTCGACGCTGGTGGTTTGAGAAAAGAGTGGTTCCTAACAGTGGTCAGGGATATCTTTGACCCTAACCATGGTATGTCTCAATTCTGATCAATCTGACCTAAAGAACAAGAACTGACACTCTGGCTAGGCATGTTCCTCTATGACGACGACTCTGGCTTCTGTTACTTCAACCCATCTTCCTTCGAGACCAGCGATCAGTACTATCTTGTTGGAGCTCTTCTTGGACTCGCGATCTACAACTCCACCATCCTTGACGTAGCATTACCGCCATTTGCCTTCCGCAAACTGCTCGCTTCGGCCCCTCCCTCGTCTCAGAATCCTGCTCTTCCGTCGAGCAGTAGAACTCAAGTGAGCTATACTCTTGAAGATCTGGCAGAATGGCGGCCTGCATTGGCCAAGGGTTTGCGCGACCTTCTCGAGTTCGATGGCGACGTTGAAACAACCTATTGCAGAGACTTTGTTGCAAGTATCGAGCGGTATGGTGCAGTAACAGACATTCCACTCAAAAATGGCGGCGAAGCTATACCAGTCACCAACGAGAACCGCCGCGAGTATGTCGATCTCTACGTGCGCTATCTGCTTGATCAATCTGTGTCCAGGCAGTTTGAGCCATTCAAGCGTGGCTTTTTCACCGTGTGTGCTGGTAATGCTCTTTCACTTTTCCGTGCTGAAGAGATTGAGCTCATGGTTCGAGGTTCTGATGAGGCTCTTGATGTCGACTCTTTGAAGGCGGTCGCTGTGTACGAAAACTGGCGCGAGGTTTCTCCACCTCACAAACCTCTGTCCAACCCTGCCGATCAAGTGCCGGTCATATCCTGGTTCTGGGATTGTTTCAAAAGTGCTACGCCCGAAGCACAACGCAAGCTTCTTGGATTCATCACAGGATCCGATCGTATACCCGCTGTTGGTGCCACAAATCTTGTTCTTCGCATCGTCTGTGGCGGCGATGGGACTGCTGGCCAAGGACAGAGCCGAGGCAAGGATAAAGAGAGGTTCCCTATCGCGCGAACATGTTTCAATATGTTAGTGCTTTGGGGCTACGAGAGTAGGGAAAAGCTCGAAGAGAAGCTTTGGCGTGCTGTATCAGAGAGCGAAGGGTTTGGGCTGAAGTGATTGGTGAAGAATTGGGTCCTGGTAGCGTATATCCTTCTATCCTGCTGTATTCATCTACGTCTTCTTTCCTTGTTGCTCCTTCCTCTCTTGATTTGTTTTCCACCTCTGGTTGGTGCGCTTGGCATGCATCCTAGTCGCTCTTACCCCCAGTCGTTGCTGTAACCCCTCACACTCTCTCGGCTCCATGGTCTAGTCCTACTATCTCCCTCCACCAACGATTCATCATCGGCATCTCATTGTCCGTCATCTGCCGTTCAGATGCTCATGGCAAGCCACAGCATTCTTATGTACCTGGACGAATCCTTCCAAGGAACGACTCCGCTATCTCGGTAACGTTCCGCATACCTACTTGCTGCGACGATCCCCCACAACTCTTCCCTCGGATATTCCATCTGGGGATGGTGCAGGGGTACGTGAGTACATCGACGGCCTTCTTCCCTCGAGCTATATAATGACCATGCATGCAGCCATCTATCCTTCGCTCAGGCGTCTTCCTGCCGATGTTCTCTGAAGCTACCTGCCCAATATGGACGACACAACGAAGAAACACTCGATCGAACACTTTGAGATTGCACCAGAGCCAGGCTCTGATACTGGTGTTTTCATTGATCCCGTTGCTGAGAAGAAGCTGTTGCGAAAGGTCGATCTCAGGATTCTGCCACCGTATGTTTCGAGCACTGCATAGCAGAGGACATTGCATTAATGTTTCTCCTAGATTGACTGTGTTGTTCCTGCTTGCGTTCCTGGACCGCACGAATATTGGCAATGCAAAGATCCAGGGTATGACTGCTGAGTTGAAGATGGGTGGGCATGACTACAACATTGCGCTGTTTGTGTTCTTTATACCTGTGAGTTCTGCCATCAAAGTTTTGCGGTGAACTACACAGGGCAATAAGCTAACTTTTTGGTCCAGTATATCTTGCTCGAAGTTCCGAGCAACATTGTGTTGAAGAAGATCTCACCATCGCTTTGGTTGAGTTGGATCATGGTCCTTTGGGGTAGGTGTCCTATCCAACTTGTGGAAGGATTACTTTTTGGCTAACATTAGGGTCACAGGCATCGCGACTATTGGGCAAGGACTAGTCAAGACCTTTGAAGGACTTGTTGCGATGAGAGTCCTAGTTGGCATTTTTGAGGCTGGGCTATTTCCGTGAGTTGCTAGCGGCTTCTTCACATTGACTTAAACCACGAACTAATTGATATCTAGTGGCTGCGTCTACTTGATCAGTATGTACTACAAGAGGTACGAACTGCAGTGGAGGCTGTCTTTGTTCTTCTCTGCCAGTATTCTCGCTGGTGGTTTTGGTGGTGTAAGTTTTCGAGGATGATTTTCTGGCGATTTAACGCTAACACAAAGATAGCTCCTTGCGTATGCTCTAGCAAAGATGGACGGTATGCTCCTCTGACTCATGGACGCAAGCTCTCTAAGGATACTGATACAAGTTACACAGGCATTGCTGGATATTCAGGTTGGAGATGGTAGGTCATTCTTTCTACCTCAACCTATTTTCGAGACATGCTGACTCGAGAAAACAGGATCTTCATCATTGAAGGTATCTTGACCACCGTTGTTGGCATTCTCGCCAGATTTTGGGTCTGCGACTGGCCTGAGACTGCAAAGTTTCTTACCGAGGAACGTCTGCTGCTGACCTCGCGGCTCCACGCCGACTCTGGTGAAGCCATCATGAATAGATTGGATAAGGCTGCTAGTATGTGTGTTGCCCATTTTCGTCATTACAGAAGCTGACATGACCTGAAACTAGCTCGTCGTATCTTCACAGATTGGAAAATATACTGCGGAGTCATCATGTATCTGGGTATCGTGAATACCGGCTACTCAGGCTCCTTCTTCATACCCACCATTATTCGCGAAATGGGGTATACCTCTGCCTCTGCGCAGATCCGCTCTATCCCTATCTTTGTCGTTGCTGCAGTCTGCTCCATTGCTGCGGCTTGGTTGACCGATCGCCTTCGCCATCGCTTCGCATTCTGCATCTTTGGCCTTGTGGTGGTATCAATTGGATACATCATCCTGCTTTGTCAGACAGGCCTGTCGGTAGGCGTCAAATACTTTGCTCTCTTCCTCGTCGTTCCCGGCGGCTATATCACTCAACCAATCGTCCTAGCATGGGTCCAAAACTGCATGTCAGGCCACTACAAACGCTCCGTCGCCGCCGCCATGACAGTCGGTATTGGGAACATCGGAGGCATCGTTGCCTCAAACGTGTTCTTCGTAACAGAAGCGCCTCTATACCGTACAGGCTATGGTGTCGGTTTAGGCTTCTTGTGGATCTGCGGGTTAGGCTGTGTCGTTCTTTTCGCTGGTGTCTTGTGGGAGAACAGAAAGAGAGATAGAGGAGAAAGAGATGATAGGCTTGCTTGGCCGGATGTTGATAATCTTGGAGATGATCATCCTAGTTTTAGGTTCACGACTTAAGGTAGACATTGTGAAGGATGGACGGAAGAGGAAAGAGATCTCGCTCACGCATTCTGATGCACAAATGTTGGCTTCGTTGCCTTCCAATTTTATGATGCCATCAATCGCAGTTTCAATGATGCTATCGGAAATAACCATTATCGGATGCTGTCGATATTGTTGATATCAACCTCGTTCGATGCAGAGCTTCCATTCTCGCTCTAACATGCTGATGGTCATTCGAAATGCTCTTTACTGTCCATCTGGTCTCTTTTTTTTCCTAAGATTTTCTCTGTATGCAAATATCACTGAGTCGATCTCGTTGTTTTCTATTCCCTTCTCAAAAATAAAAACATCAAAAAGGTGTTTTGACAAAAAGAACACGTACAACCAGTAATTGTACAAATATATATCTAAAGTCTGATGAATACATAGCTTGGTCACTTCTGAAGCATGTCAAATACCAGAAAACTGTCAAGACCAACTCGTTGTCGTCGACTATCCGGTTTCCAGGCCTGCTGAGGGTATCACCCTGTCAAGTAATGTCAGAGTTGCGCCCAAATCGAGCATCGATGAGTGCTAAGGTTACATGAACACAATTCTTCAGCGAAAAAAAAAAAACATATCACAATCACAAGCGACATGGGAAGGCAGGTAATGAGAAATAAAAAGTAATTGCTCGCTGACTATAAGACAAAAACAAAGGACCCCTAGGTATCAATCTGTGTGTTCCCTAGGCTACGTCCCTTTTTTTCGACAAACTAATACTACATTATCGACCACTTCGTTTTCAGCTTTTGCGTGTCATGTGCTATGTGAAAAAGTGTCATCATTGATCTTCGTTGAATCCATCATTACGACCGTATCAGATGCATTGATGTGTTCTTTTACAGAAGAGGAGCCTCGGCTCTGACCTTCTCGGGTGCTGCGTTCTCGTGGTAGGCGTGCTCATCAGGAAGGACGGGCTGAGTGTGAGAGGCAGCGCTGGGCTCGGTGGTAGGGACACTGGGAGCGTTCAACTCGGTCAAGGGCTCGGCGGAGCGGTCGATGCTCTCGGATGCAGTGCTTTGACCAGTGGCGTTCGAGGTCTTGTCGGCGGCAGTCTGAGCGATGGCAGAAGTCTTGTCAGCAGCAACCTGAGCGGTGCTGGCGGCAGAGTCGTAGGCGTTCTGAGCAGAGGCGGAAGTCTTGTTGGCAGCGTCTTGGGCGGTAGCAGCAGCCTTGTTGGTGAGGTCGTTGGCGGCGTTCTGGACATCCTCCTTCTTGATCTCTCTCTCAGGCTCGTCCTTGGCAGGGTTTAAGTTGGCAGGGTTGGGAGCGTCAGCCTGACCAGCACGCTGCTTGGCCTGGCCGATGAGCTCAGAGGCACGGTTTTGGAGGTCAGTGGCGGTGCTCTTTGCAATGTCGGTAGCGTGCTGAGTCTGCTCGGCAGCAATGGTGCGAACCTGCTGGGTCTGCTCGCTGATGATGGTGCTGGCTTGTTCAATCTGGGCGTCAATAACCTCGCGGTTGTTAATGTAGATCAGAGGAACGGTGTAGATCAAAGTGGTGAAGAGAAGAGCAAGACCCCAGGTAGGCATGATCTTGACGAGGAAGTAAGAAATGAAGGCGATGAAGAAGGCACCAACGGTGACAAAGACGTTCTCGCCGAACATGATGCGCTGGAACTCAATGACGAAGAAGTTGATGAGCTGCTCAACATCGTCGAGAGAAGCCTCGAGGGTCTCACGAGGGATGGTGTAGTACTTGCGAGGGCGCATGCGCGAGGCGAAGCCACGGTCCATGACAAGCTTGCCGACAACTTCAGCAGCAGCGGTAACTAAAATGTTCGTCAGTCACAATACCATCAGATAGGTTAGAAATTGCTACTTACTACCGAGAATGATGTAGAGAGCCTTGAAGAGGTACTTGAGGATAGGGACATAGCGGGTGAAGAAGATGAAGGTGAGGATCGAGGCGAAGGAGATGGTGGTAACACGGGGGTTCTCCCAGGAGAGGAGGTTGTAGAAGAATGAGTGGTAGTGAGTCAGGGGCTGGCCAGTAGCAGCAGGCTGATCGGGCACTCTCTTGGAGTCCATCAGGTTTGAGTACTCTTGCGAGGTCTTCTGGCTCTCGATTCTGGCCTTCTCGGCTGCGGGGCCGTTGGCAAGGTTCTGGTAAGCAGCGCTGGCATCTGGAAGTTTGGTGAGTTGGAGCTCTGGCTTGCTCAAGATCGTGACATGACTGTAGAGAAAGAAGTCAGCATAACCGAAGCTTGATGTGAGGCAGCCATTGTGTGGAAGAAGCGTATGTGTCTCGAGAGCAGAGTCCGCCGATGGCCATCAAAGAAAGCGACAGCTATGGAGTGGTGTGTCACACAGCGAAGCTCTTCATGAAAGCCAAATGCTGACAGAGCTCTAGCTGGATTGATTTGACCACGTACCTTACTGTTGACGACAGCGTCCTTAGCGTTGATGGCAGACTCCTTTGCGTTCTGCAGCTGGGGGTTGAGGTTGGGGTAGTTTGTGTTCGACATGGCGGCAGGCTGGTCTATGATATGTTCAGAAACAAGCAAGGGAGACGAGGTGCAGATGAGGCTCACCGATCAATTGAATAGGAAGTGGGAGAAGAGTGAGGAAGAAGAACAAGGGTGTGTTGACGGAGAGCACGCGACAGAAGAGAAGCCAGCGCAGCTTCCCAAACCTGCTGCAATTTTGGCCCAGAAACGTCATCCACAATCAGAGCTCCGTGCGCTTTCACATGCACGCTGAGCTCCACGGGCCCACAGCCACGACAAAGCTCGTCATTGATTGGGGAAACCACCCTTTGTCCGTTGGTCGCGCTCCTGCCACCTCCCAGCCAGTGCCTTGATTTGAAAAGAGTGATCTTGTTCAGCGCTTGCATTCGGAAACTAGCCACTCATTGCTTGCTAGAATCGTCTTTTCGATTCCTATCCTTATCTTGACGCTGTGTCGTTTCATCCATCCTCGTGGAGATCCGCTCCGATCGCAAACAAACAAAGATCGTCCACTAAAAAACCCACAAGACCCGCTACCCAAAACACCCTCCAAAAGAGCCTCATGCTACTGTAAAAAAAGAACTGAGACCAAAGAAATACGAAATCCTGTGCGTTTCACACACCGTGCTTATTCATCAGCTTTAAGCATCCTGTCCAAATCTCCATCCACCTTCCTTGACAACTCGTGCACGCATCTCGCGATCCTTGACCTTTTCCTCTTTCGTGACTGCATCGCCTGTATCGACCCAGCGAGCAGAAGATCCACGCTCGCGGAACTTCTTCAATCGTTCAGGGTTCTTGCTGTTGCGGAACACCTCTTCCATCTGTAGAGGTGCAATGGGTCCGAAGATGCTCTCAGGATCCACAAGCTGTTGTTGTGTGAGCAGATCACGAAGAGCTGGCGATGCAACCCAAGAAGGTGCTCGGAATCCACCAGTCTGATCATCGTCCGAGTCCTCATCCTCACTGTCGGTAGCGATTTCAGGCAGATTAATGTTGTCTCCATTAGGGTACAAAGGTGAAGATTTGGCAGATTTAGGCACTGATTTCTTAGAAACGACTTGAGCTGCCGGTCGTCCAGGAGTTTTGAACGCCGATGGAGGTGCTGCCTTGCTTGACGATGTTCCAGGAGGATTCGAGTTCTCTGCAAAAGGAATTCGGGCGGTCGACAGCTTCATCATATCATTAGGATGCATGCCTGCTTTGGCGTGCTGTGCATGATGCTGTGCTGTGACTGTCGCCTTGAACATGTTCTGAGAGTGGTGAGCAGCCGGAGGTGGTGCGTGAGTGTAGCCATGTGGGAACTTGTTGAGTGTTGACTCCTTGCGCATGTTTGAGGGCCTCTTGGGAGGAGCTGTCAATGCGTTGTCTGATGGCCTGTCGACTTCATCGTCATCGCCCTCTAAGGTCTTGCGTCGCTTGTCACCTTGCTGCTGGTACGATGCTGGCGCTCTGCCTATGGTAGGACGTTGTGATGATTCTTCGACCTCCTGTTGGAGTGGTCGTTTGGCAGGCTTTGCAGTGTTGGCTTGAGGTGCGGGTCGGTCTTGCTTGGATAGCTGTCTCAGTGTGCCGCCAATGTCGCCACGGGGTAGCGTAGACTGTGCTTGCTGTCTGTCCATCTTCTCTTGCTCCAGAGATGCAGCCTTTGAACGTTAGTATGAGTAGAAATCTCACTAAAGCTATTCCACTTACCAGTTCAGCACTCTTCTTCTGCTGCAATGCCAACTGTCTCTGCTGCTCGACCTTTCTCTGCTCCGCCTGTTTTTGTGCTGCGTTCCTGGCTTCTTGAAGTCGTTGCTGTTCGGCCACTTTACGTTCCTGTTCTGCTTTACGTTCTTCTTCGGCCTTAGCAGCTCGCTTGCGCTCAATTTCGCGTTTCTGCTCTGCCTTCTTCTGGACGATCTTCTCGTCTTGTTCCTTCTTTCTAGCAGCAGCTTCGAGGGCTTTCACGCTGCGCACAGAGCCAGCGCCAGCACCGACGGACTTGGACAATGCAGGAGGTTGTGCACTGCCAGAGCGTGTCGCTTGTTGACGAGTCGTGGTTGACGCAGCGTTGGAGTCTTGAGAAGAGGTTCCAGGCTGTGCGGAACCAAGTCTCTGTGAACCTGATGCGACCTTGATGCTGACCGGAGCAGGTTTTGGCTGAATGCTACCCAGTCTCGATGGCTTAGTCAATCTACCGGGCGCCCTCAACTTTCCAGCTGGAACGCCAGTCTTGGGAGGTACTGGAGGACCTGCTTCATCAACGTCGCTTGCTTCATCTGCAGTAGATCTCCACGATTGCTGCGAGGCCGCGCCTGGACGACTGACCGCTGCAAGTCTTTCATTCTCAGCTCGTGCAGCTTCGGCAGCCTTTTCTTTCTCTGCCTTTTCGTGAGCCTTCTGTCTCTCCTGCTGCCTAACTTTTTCCAGATCATCCATCTCGTCCTTGGATTCTTTCTCCTTCTTGCGGGCGTTTTCGGTTGAGCTACGCGTACGTCTGCTTCCATCGGTTGCAGCAAAAGCGGTGGCTGGCCTATTTTGACTCAGGTCGGGGTAGAGACCGCCAGGCATTTTGGACATGTCTGGATCCGGACGTTCGAATGTTGCCGCAGAGAGTGGTCGATGAGGAGAGGAAAGTGAATTCATCTTGGCTTGGGCACTGGCTGCAGCGCTACTACCGAACATGCCCTTGGCCGATTTGAAGACAGAATAGAGCTTGGCCTTGGATGCGCTGATTGGTGCCTCGGCGAACTTTTGCTTTGTTGGAGAAGCAATAGAATTAGCAACAGGAGTGGTGGCGCCACTGCCAGGTGGGAAATTGGGGTTTGAAACTGAGGTGTTCTTCTGGTGATGAGCGTGGTGAGGAGCGGTTGCAACCTTTGCAGGCGAAGCAAGAGTAGCTGTCGAGTTGGACTTGTGGTGTCCCATGAAGTATTTAGATGGAGATTCGCGCAATGCAGGCTTGGAAAGTCCGGTAAAGACTGGTTGCGCTTCTTCAACCGAGACAGGATCAGATACTTGATCGTTCAGCTTCTGTGTGTCGACGCCACTAGCAGCACGAGAGCTGGTGCGGATGGGCGCAATCCAGTCATCATCGTCGTCCATAGGCGGTTGCGTGTCGCCCTGAACATTTTCTTGAGACGGTCTGGAAGTGGATCTGTGTTCGTGGGTCGGCAGAGAAGGGTAAGCAGGCATGTGGATGGATTTGGACGTGCGGGGCTCCTTTTGCTGGCCGAGCAAGGTTATGCGCTCGTGCAGCCTCTGGGTTGATGTCTTGTTGTGGTCGTCTGCGTCTTCTGCTGGCTGAGAGTTTGTTTGTTGTGTAATGCCAAAGCTCTTACCCAAGGCACTTGTGCGAGCACCGCCGAACGCGTCCATATGGCTGCCCCTCGGTCCAATGCTTCGCTTAGCAGTCAATGGCTCGCGGGCAGGCAGGGCAGCGAATGTCAGACTGCTCTTACGCGTCAATGGCTTATCAGGCGTGGAAGTGTCGGATGGCGATTTAGCGTTCTCATCTTCCTCTTCTTCGTCCAGCTCTTCCTCATCTGCCATTTTATTCTCGTTCTGGCCCTCTTCGGCCTGCCAATCGTCGTCGGCAAACGGTGCGTTCGAATCTTGTGTAACAGGGCGACTGCTGGACTCGGGGTCGGGCACTGTGGCCTGGTCGTCATCCTCTGCGGGATCCTCGTTGACGTTCTCGGCATCTTCGTTGGCCGAAACAAAAGATGCCGTGTCGTTAACAACAGGATCATTTGTGACGTGCTCTTGCAAAGGCTCGAGATCAGGAGCTTGGGCGTGGCTGTTCTTGAGCATGGATTGTTGAGAATCAACGTCCATCTCGTCCTCGGTCAAACCATGGTATCCAGAATCCGTGTTCTCCTTGCCTACACGCAGAGGACTTCTTCTAGAAGTTCCCGAGCGAGGGCGCTCTTGTTCGCCATCCTGAGCAATCTGAAACTGAGCGACCTTCGCGTAGAATTCGTTCTTGGGAGCTGGACTAAAGGTTGCTTGTGGGTTGGGTGCAAAAAGATCTGTCAGAGGCTATGGATGCTGTCAGCTTGAGCTTCTTGAGATGGCGATCAAGTGAGACGTACAGCGCGAGCAGCGTTCTTGCGCGCTGTGCGAGGAGTCTTGCCTCGCAACTTTCCAGGGGTCTTGAAGATGTCGGCGAAACTACTGCGCAAAAGTAAGCGCGAGTGTTTTAAAAGGAAAAAGTGACAGCATACACAGGATTGCTGCTGAAAATCTCGGCCATGTGCTCGTTCAGCCATTCCATCTCATTCTGGGCAGCATAGCCAAACTCCTCGACCTCCATGTCGACAAACTCGGCAGCTTGTTCGCGCTCAGTCTGGATCCATTGCGACGAGCCGACAGGGGCCGTCTTGAAACGAGGCGCCATTGTTGTTTGACGCGTTGTTGTTGTGCTTCGACGGGAGCTAGCCAGGAAAGAGAGCGCCGAAGATGTCTGAGCTGGACGTGGAACCGATCAGACTATATCATGTCGTTGGGCGTAATTGGTTAGCGTCGGGTTGAGAGACGTGGTGGGTGAAGAGTCGCAAAAGATGAGACCTCGAAGCTGCAAGTGCTTTGTTGTGACATGAATGTTTATGCCCGTCAACTCTAGGACCCATCATTTGCTTGGCGCGACCCTGGCCAATCACGCTTCACCGGCCGTCTTGCTCCTCCTCGCCGGCCATGACGCTCAAGAACTCATCATCATCCGAGACCCCTCAATCGGCTACCTGGTCATGTAGCCGAGTGCTTCCGTGTATATATATCAATATTGGTAGGTCGCTGGAATGTAGGTATCCAATCTTGCTTCTCATCCTTCTGTGAACATGTCCAAACATTTGATTCCTTCTCTTCGTGCCTTCTCACGGCCCTCCTTCCACTGCCTCCGTCGCTCAATACCACAAACAAGATGTTTTTCAATCTCGAAGCCTACGCGACTTATGGAAACCTCTGGCTTCTCAGAAGAGCAGATGGAAGTCCGTGAAGCCATCTCCAAGATATGTTCCAACTTTACAGACGACTACTGGCTCGAGCACGACCAACAAGAGAAATATCCCCATGAACTACATGCTGCACTGGCAAAAGACGGATGGATCGGCATTGCTTTGCCAGAATCTCTCGGAGGAGCAGGCCTGGGCATATCAGAAGCCACCATGATGTTGCAGACTATCTCGGAATCTGGTGCTGGAATGGCGGGCGCTCAGTCGATCCACGCAAACGTGTATGCTACGCAACCAGTAGCCAAATTTGCCACAGAGGAACAGCTCCAGCGAATGCTCCCAAAACTCATCAGTGGAGAGTGTCGAGCCTGTTTTGGTGTTACAGAGCCAAACACTGGCCTAGAAACCCTCAAACTCAAGACCACCGCCCTCAAAGACGGTGACTTCTACAATGTGACTGGCCAGAAAATCTGGATCTCCTCTGCTCAAGTAGCCACAAAGATGATTCTTCTAGCACGTACAACACCAATTGAGGAAGTCACCAAGCCTTCAGAAGGTCTTTCCTTATTCTTTATCGACTTCGACAAAGCACAACCCGGCCTCGAGCTGAAGAAGATCCGTAAGATGGGTGGACGAGCAGTCGATGCCAACGAAGTCTTCTTTGACAACTACCGCATCCCAGCCGACTCCCTTATTGGAAAAGAAGGTCAAGGCTTCAAAATTGTGCTGCATGGTATGAATGCCGAACGCTGCCTCCTAGCAGGCGAAGCACTGGGTCTAGGTTACGCTGCTCTACGCAAAGCCTCACAATATGCAAAAGAACGCATCGTCTTCAGTCGACCCATCGGGATGAACCAAGGAATTCAACATCCCCTCGCTCAAGCATACATGCAGCTCGAAGCTGCAAAACTGTCCACCTACCATGCAGCACGCCTTTATGATGCGTCAAAGACTGACCCTAGCATAACTCAGCATGCGATTGGCCTTGCTTGCAACACAGCCAAGTATCTAGCTGCTGAAGCGGCTTTCACGGCGTGCGAACGATCGGTCTTGTCAATGGGTGGTATGGGCTATGCAGCAGAATACCATGTGGAAAGATACCTTAGGGAATGTTTTGTGCCTAGAATCGCGCCAGTCAGTAGGGAGATGATCATGAACTACGTGGCAGAGAAGGCTTTAGGATTACCAAGGAGTTACTAGTCTAGATTGATGGATACCTGTATAGTAGCGTAGTGCTGTAAGAACATGGCTATTGTCACTTCCATTTCTCGATTCTCCCTTCAAGCTCAAGTCGAGGAATACTCCCATATTTGCAATTGGACTGAGATCTTTACTAGTTCCAACCGACGTTACAGAGGGATAAATTGAAGGACTTGCCATCATAGATCTCTAGTGCCCGACCGTTAAGAGAATCAAAACATAATCAACTGCCGGGTTTACGAATCAGTGATCTCGACACGCCCGGCGGTGCTGAAATATAAGAGTTCGAATTGTAAGGATGTCGACTAAGGTCTCTATATCATTGTTGACATACTTAGGCAATACCTTGACTTTCTTCATGTAGTTATACATCTTCTAACCTACAAGCGGGCCTTTCTCTAGAGTGCCGAAGATAGAGTAATAGGCGTTTTTATCGTCCTTAAAGTACTCGCAAACCCTCTCTACAATTTAAAAGATGGTGCGCGCTAGGACATCTACGCTATCTATGTTAACAGTCACCTCGATGTAAATAGATCAAGGAGATTTTAAGAGGCTCTTGGATAAGAGAGATTCTCTCACCAGCGTCAACATCCTGCCATGGCACCCATGCTTCTACCTCTTCCTTGGGGAACTTGATTTTAACCATGTTGTTGACAGGTTTGGACACGATCTGGAACTCGTCACCCTTCTTACGACCAAGCCACTTGTGGTCTAACTGATTGATGACTTCCACGCGAGGTGTCGAATTACATTTAGCGACTCCAGGATAATCGATGAGCCAATAGAGTCGGTGAATCTGTATGCGATCTCGAGACATTCAAGCGATTACAAACTCGAGAGCGCCGGTGAATGTGAATAGAGAATGCACCTTCGCCCAGCATGAGAGTAAGAGTCAGACGCTTGAGCTGTGCTTGCTACTCAGTGAAGGAGAAAAGCTTTGTGGTGACATCGTATAAACCAAACTCGCACCGAAGAGTTGCTCGCTATGTTCTATAGCCCAAGAGGATTCGAGACAGATTGGTCTGATGCGCCAAAGAGTGCGCTCGACTCCATCTTGCTCATGGCGGCCGTTATCAGTGAGTGGAGCAAACACAATCAACAGACCTTGGTTTTGTCAGTACCTGAAGTGAAATGTGTTGCCTGAAGACATGCCACCTCAGGCGTTAATTTTGCGAAAAAGGTAGGCAACGGATGCTTGTCTTGGCGAAGAAAACGGTAGCCTACCACCACATCGACTTCACACTCTTCGATAGACCTCTCAACATCTTCCTATCATTATGCAGAGCGAATCTGTCAACGCCGTCGTCCGCGAGCTAGCATCTGCGCATTGGCAAGAAATCCAGGTTGAAGTTCAAGTAAGCACAAGGGCCCTTGCTCACGTTGCACAACACCCGTCACGCGCGGAAAGCAGGCCGACATGGGACGGCAGGGACGAACAAATGGCGCTCAAAATGCTATGGTCTGATTGCAAGAGAAAAGGAGAAAAACGACAGGTTCGCGTCCAAACTCGAGAGACTCGACTCAATGCAGATTTCTGTGACCCCTATGTTCTCAGGGTGATACACAGAGAGAATGGTTGGGCGGCTTGATCGTGAAATCTTGCTGCGTTCTCGTGGATAAACAAACTCGAACCGGAAGGGATACCGCAGGCTCGAGTGGTATCCAAGTTGAGGCTCAACCTCAATCAAGTTTAACGCTGACTCGTGATAGCGTCAAAATTGATCTTGCGAGCAAAACATGCAACCCCTTTCTGCCTGATGTACGAGCAACTCTTCAATGAATGCAATTGTTTCGACTCAGCACACTGAGCAATGTAGCATTTGTGCTACCGTTATACAGCCCGAATCCGACGCATGAACCACACGCGGAAAGGGGTTTCTCTTGACAGGCTTGTAGTACCGCTTCAGAAAACTCCGAAACGTTCAACACGACACACATCAATTGCTCTCAGAAAACTCCCCGGTTCGTCCGGCATTCAACAAAAATGACCCGAGATCGGACACGACAAGACAGAACAGAAAGTGTGCTCGGTCGCACAAGACCCTTATCATGTTAAGGGCTCGTCTTCCCTCTTGCAATGTCCAGACTTGGCATTGGCGGATTTACACGGCATGATGTACGTGTGTGCCGTTCATCCCTGCTACTCATCTGCGTTGTGGTGTATTACTCAGCTCGAGATCGTTGGTTGATTGCTGCACGACACGTCAAGCCGCAGGAACAGGACTGGCCATACATCATGATCTGCGTCGGAAAGCAATCGCCTTCAGATGCCTGTGATTCAATTCGCAGTTTGATCGTCATCATCATCCAATTGTTTTTGAGCTTTTGATCTCCCAGCTTGGAAGTCTGCAAGTGGTCTCCATTGCTTTTAGAATGATCACGCTTTCGTAACAGAAGTGATGTCCATCTGTGACTGTTGTCAAGAGGAATGGCAAGCTTGATGGATAAGAGATGTGGCGTGTCAAGAGCGTCCTACCGGCAGTCTGCATATGCAAGTCCTATAGGCGTTATGGCAGCTTGCAGCCAGACCTGAAGCATTGCCGCATAGAACGGCATAAAGATCGTATAGGTCACCATTTCATGCAGAGTATATCAAAAAGACTTTATCCCGCTATAAGAATGTCTTCGAATATACTTGCTCACTCTTTTGGATCCAAGACGGAACGTCTTCTGTTCAACTTCCCATCACGGTTATCTTGGTCACAAACAGCTGGTTATAGTATTGAGAAACAGCTTGGCAGCCAACCACACAAGCTTGATGGCGCTTTGATCTTCCCTTGACCCCTCCCGAAATCATCCTTTGAGGCAACAATCGGTGTACAAACAGAGCTCTCGTCAAAGCAGGAAAAAGAAAACGACGTTGCCTGGTCATGCGAAGTCACTGAGACATACAGCCCACTTGAACGCAATCAACCGAAGCCCGGCATACGAGGTGCAGACCGACATGAATGAAAGTCTGCTCTCATAGCAACACGCCAGCAAGTGAAGACCAGCAAAAGATCAGTGCAGAGGATATTCACCACTGGCAATTTACAAAGAACGGTAGAGGGAGTTTCGTAAAGAAAGGACAGGTAAAAGAGGCATTCGCGAAGATGACAGACGTTGCTTGTTCCTCATGGTCCCTGGATCCTGTCTTTGATACATACTGCAAGCTCCCCTTAGACTTGGTAAGGCGTCGAACACTCGCATATACTCACCGCCCATCGCCTCCTTGTCTGGATACTCAATTGAACTACTTGAACCCGAACCAACACCCTCAAATACTGTCTCCGACATCACTCGACTCTTCACATATCAACACGACAATGGCATCGGAGAGCAGACCCACGATGATCAAGATTTCATCTCTTCTCAACGCTCCTCCATCTCCGGGTATTCTGCCACCATTCTCATCGTTGAGCCCGCCCCTCACCCCTGCACCAACCAGCCAAGCATCTTCTGTTACGTCCAGTCCTCCACCGCAAGTCACTCGCTCTGGCGATGCCTCGACAGGCCTCCGCCAGAAGATTGCCAAGGACGCTGCTGTTTTCAATCGCAGTCCAGCCCGAGGCGAGGTCAACTATGCTCCGTTCGAGGTCAGTGATCAATGCGCCATGCTCAGCAAGAGAGAACGCCTTGAGCTGGCTGAGCAACACCGCCGCTTCAAGATCTATCCCAACGGCAGTGGCGAGGAAAATCTGATCCGTGACTTTGTCCGTCACATTCCTTACAACAGCGAGAAGAAGGCATTCTCCGACAAGACTGGTCGAGAGGCATTCGAGTGTGAGTAATACCAGGGAGCTTGTGTTAAATTGTGAGTACTGACTTTGTCCCAGTGTTTCAGTATACGTTCAGCCTGCCCCACGAGCCCAACAAGACCTACACAGTCATGTGGGACTATCAAATCGGCCTTGTCAGAATCACGCCTTTCTTCAAGGCATGCAACTACCCCAAGACCCAACCCAACAAGGTTCTCAGCCTCAACAGTGGCCTACGAGAACTCTCGTTCAGCATTACTGGCGGTGCCATCGCAGCTCAAGGCTACTGGATGCCGTATGGATGCGCCCGTGCTGTCTGCGCTACCTTCTGCTGGCACCTTCGCTGGGCACTTACCCCTATCTTTGGTCCTAGCTTCATCAGAGACTGCCTGCCTCCCAACCATCCAGGCTTCGCAAGATTCATCATCGAACCGGATGTTGTTCGTGCATGTGCTCGTGAGGCCGAGGGCTGGCGTGCTGGTATGAGCTCTAACCAATACAACCTTGCCACGACCTCTGCGCCAGCACCTCCCATTCCTCGCTCAGCACCCATGCAGCTGCCAGAGCCCAAACGCCTTCGTGCTCGCCCTACGCGCCCTCGAGTTGATACTACTGCTCACCTCGGGAGCCCCTTCCACAGCGATGACGAGACTGCTGCCGTCATCTCTGATGCACCCCGTACTCGTCGAACTATCCCTGACTCTCCCTCGGTCTCACCGAAGACATGCATCTCTCCCACAGCCCACTGGGCTGCAGTCAACGACTCTCGAGAGAATGACATTGGCACGCCTACCCCTTGTGTCAGCCACACCAACACATCCAAGCTTCCAGCCGACATGCAAAACCTCCTCGTCACACCTACTTCCGCTTCTGGACATACTGTTCTAACTCAGGCAGCTGGTGCTCGTAAGCGCCGTCGCTCTTCTGTTCTTGCGCCTGTATCTTCGTCACCCGACTCTTCGCTCACTGCATCGCCTACCACTTCTTCTGGCTCTGACGGCGAAGATCCTGAATACGTTGCTTCATCGAGCGACAAAGAGGATGACGAGAGTGGAGACGAAGGTCCAAGCAACAACCAGGCCAGAACAACCAAGAAGAGAAAGATCACTGTGCCTGGACTTGGCCGCTTCAGAGCCAGAGAGGTCAATGCGGCTAAGATGCTTCTTGCCTTGCACCAGGACGATGCTTCTATGGCGACTGATTGAGCGTTTTTTTCCCTACTCCTTCCACTGTCTTGCCAACATGAATTTCTCGTTGGTGGAAGGCACGATGCAAACATTCTTTCACAACCATTTGTTACGGCCTTGTTTCTCACTTTCCTTTTCCCCTAGTTTACGTCCAGCATGATTATGACTCGAGCATGCCCTTATGCACGATATGACTCCACCCAACCCCAGCGATAGACAGCAACGACTTTATGTATTGATACCCCCTTCCTACTTGAGATGAAATGAAAAAGTCTTTGTTTACACAACATTTGATTCTATGATGTTTCCTGATTGATCAAACCCTTGCTTTGCTGCTTTCAACAGGCTATGTCATCGGCTACTCCTGGCAGTTACTCTCGCTTTAAGCCGTGTACTTCAGGTTTAAACCATTCTTTCATCAAGTCTTCGAGGACTTCTTGCGCTGACGTCCTTGCCTCTTGCGATGAGCTTGCACTACCTTCGATGTAAAACTTGATCTTGGGTTCTTGTGATTGTCAGCATGTAATCTTGATTTTCCGACGATTAACAGAACTCACCTGTTCCCGATCCGCGAACCGTGAAGTGCACATTACCTGCGAGCTCGCAGCTAATCATCTGTGAGCTTTTGTCGACTGGCAGTGTTGGCTTGTTGTCGGGTGTTGCAGAGTCGAATCCAATGGTCAGGTCGCGCCAACGAAGGATCTTGCGACTTCCAACAGTCGTGGGCTTTGCTTGTCGGATTTGCTCAAAGACGACGTTGGTGACATCTGAAGATGGCGAGATGACATATGTATTGGCATCTTCGAAGTAACCATACTGCTTGCAGAGCTCGTTGTACTTTGCCCATGGAGATAGTCCTTGTTTGTTCCAGCGATCACAAGCTGCCAGGAAAACAGCAGCTGCGGCAACGCCATCCTTATCAAAGACTACTTCGCTGAACATGTATCCGATAGCTTCTTCGTAGGCGAAAAGTGCATCGTAATCTTGTTGTTGCAGCTCGCGAGATCTGTTGCCCAACCATTTGAAGCCCGTTAAGGTTTCTTCCCAGTGAAATTTGCCGCTAGCAGTAGCCATGCCTGCCAGCATCTTTGATGACACTGTTGACGATAGCATTGCCAAACCCTTACTGCTCTGGGTTGGTTGATATGTGTCCAAGATGTGTGAGGCAAGTAGGACACCCATCTGATTGCCAGTCAATTGCCTCCACTCGCCATCCACATTCTCCGCAGCCGCAAATCTATCGGCATCTGGATCATTGGCTAGGATCAGCTTGATACCGTTGTGATCCGCGACTTGTTTGGCAAGATCTAGAGCCCCCTTCTCCTCGGGATTGGGGAAGCGTACAGTTGGAAAATCAGGATTTGGATGAGCCTGTTCTTGAACAACGTGCATCTTGCTTTCTAACCCTAATAATTCCATCACCGACGTGAAGAATGGTAGACCCACTCCGTGCATTGGTGTATAGACAAAGGGTACAGAGGCATCTGGATTTGAGACTGCCGATAAATTGGCGACTGTGGCCATATAACCTTGTTGGACTTGGTGAAGTGCGTTGGTCACAAGAGGGCTTCCCTGTTCGAGGATGTCTACATCCCAAGTGATTGGCTCTAAGTTCGCATCGATAGATGCGGCAATTCCGGCATCGTGGGGTGGAACAATCTGACATCCATTTCCCCAGTATACTTTATAGCCATTGTCGGCCGCTGGATTGTGTGAAGCAGTAATCATGACGCCGGCAGCTGAATTCAAGTGGCCAACCGTGTAAGGTACAAGTGGAGTGTGTACTTGACCCAGCCATTTGACAGGAATGGCTTTTGCTACAAAAACAGCAGCGACCAACTTGGCAAACTTGTCAGAGTTGTGCCGGGCATCCCTTCCAATAACGACACCCTGAGTTCTGGTATCATGATTGGTTTTGAGCAGATACTCAGCCAGTCCTTGAGAAGCTTGGATAACGGTCAGAGAATTCATGCGCGAGAAGCCAGCCTCCATCCTTCCACGCAATCCAGCAGTGCCGAAAGCAATACGCTTTTGGAGTCGTAGTGTGAGCTCAGTGGTGTTGTTCTCGGCAACAAGTCTTTCAATCTCGGACCGTGTCGAGACATCTTGATCAAGACGCAGCCACTCGTCAACATATGTCTGCAAAGATGAATCCATATCGTGTTATTCTGCGTCCAAGATGAACAGTTGAAGGTGATTTGGACACGACGACGGTATCACATGTCAAGCAAAATAAGGTTGAAGGCTAGAGCTGCAGGATTGAGGCTCGGGCCGGTAGCGTCAAAAGGGCGGAGAATGACGAGTCAACAACACTCGGGTGACCAGCAAAGGCACGGGAGCAACCAACTCAGACAAGTCGATACTCATACCGCATTCCTCCATGCACATTCACGGGCAGAGACGACGAACAAGATGATGGCCTCACGCATCTTGTCTCGTTTCCTCCCCTCAGCTGATGATGGCCCCTACGAAGACGAATACCGTCACGACCATGGCCGAACGCCCGATCGAGCTGAACGAGGGCTGAGAGACTCGTCCGACGAGCATGAGCTCAATGCCCTCATGGCTGGAGATGCCGAACTCGATCTCGACTTCGATGCGCAACCTTCGACTTCCCGACCTCATACCGACGAAGACATTCCAGCCTCGCTGCTCATGGAAGACAAGCCCGACCAGAGCACCTTCGCTCCACCCCCGAACCATCGTACCGAAGCACAATGGAGAAAGACCCAAGAAAGGCAACAACTACACCCGGACGACCGACCTCGTCCTGCCGTCTCGCGTGCTCCCAATCAGGATGCTGTTCTCAAAGAGCAAGCCATGTGGCTTTGGACAAACGTTCAGAACTTGGATGCCTTCCTGCTTCAGGTCTATCAATACTTCACTGGACATGGTATCTGGTCTATCTTGTTATCACGCTTCATCCACCTAGCCACGACCGCTTTCCTCTTCAGTCTCTTCATGTTTCTCTCCACTTGCGTCGACTATGCCAAGATACCTACCAGCAAGGGCACCTCGGAAGTTTTGATCCCTCAGTGTATGAAGAAGTCATCTTGGACAAAGAGTTTGTTACTGTGGGCATTCTGCTTCTGGTGGATCAAGACATTGTGTGGTTACATTGCCGACATCCCGAGGTTGCGGAAGATGGAGATGTTTTATCAACACTTGCTCGGCATACCAGACACCGACATTCAGGCTGTCTCTTGGGAGAGAGTAATCCAAGGTCTCATGAAGCTTCGTGATCTTAACCCTGAAACTGCCGATACTGTTCCCAAGTATTTGAAGGCGACGGGAAAGCAGTCAAAGCAGAAGATGGATGCCCATGATATTGCCAATCGCTTGATGCGTCGCGACAACTACAGCATTGCCCTCTTTAACAAGGAGATCATCGATCTGACTCTGTCAATACCGATACTCGGCAATCGTCAGTATTACTCGAAGAGTCTAGAAGACTGCCTCAACCACTGTTTTTCTGGCTTCATCTTTGACGAGCAAGGCCAAGTTGATCCGTTGTGTCTGCAAAGGAAAGACAGACATCGCCTGATTCAGATTCTCCGTCAGCGTCTCCGCTTTCTGGCCATCATGAGCATCTTCATGGCCCCTTTCACTATCACTTTGCATTGTATCTACTATTTCTCACGATATTATGCTGTAAGTCAAACAGTATCTTCTTAAGTTTAGTGCACCAGTGCTGACTATTGTAGGAATTCCGCGCTAGCCCTTCCGCCATTGGAGCTCGTACTTTTACCCCTCTAGCAGAATGGAAATTTCGCGAATTCAATGAGCTGGATCACGACTTCCGCCACCGCATCAAGCAAGCGCATCCTATGGCGGCAGCTTACCTCGACCAGTTTCCTAGAGACAAGACTCACCAATTCCTGCAGTTCGTTAGTCTCGTTAGTGGTACACTAGCAGGCCTATTGACCATCGCCACTCTATGGGACTCAGAGCTCTTTCTTGGATTCGAGATCACGCCTGGTCGTACAGCTTTCTTCTACGTCTCGATACTGCTGGCAGTGGCTACAGGAGCACGTAGTGCCATCCCGGACGAGAGTAAAGTGCACGAGCCAATATTCCACCTGAAGAATGTGATTGGAGCCATACATTACTGTCCTGCGCGATGGAAGAACCAGCTACACAGCGACGAAGTCCGCGTCGAATTCTCTGCTCTGTATCAGATGAAGGTTATGATTTTCCTCGAGGAAATTCTGAGTCTTCTCATTGCGCCTTTCATTTTGTGGAGAAATTCTGGAAAGCGAAGTGAGATGATCATCGACTTCTTCCGCAACTCTACCGTTCAAGTCGATGGCCTTGGCCACTTGTGTACATTTGCCGTGTTCGAGTTCAGGAAAAGCAAGAACGTCGAAGACGATGTGGGCAAGGATGTCGATGGACTGCGTGGGGATTATTTTGGCACCAAAGATGACAAAATGGCCATGTCGCAATACTATTTCATGGAGCGGCTCAGCAAGTACGACAGACAACAGGCGTTCCGTCAAAACCGTGCTCATGGTATCCAACTTCCACCTGCATTCCCTCCGTTGGAGACTGCGACAAGGCAGACTGCCGCTGGCAGAAGCCAAAATGCAAGGGAGCCATCTTCACATCAACCATCACCGCATCAGTCTCTATTGCTAGATGTCCCTCGACAGAAGGCTGCTCCTGCAACCACCAAGCGTCCAGGAGGACAGCGGTTGACTCAGCTACGTGGAGGTGGTAAACGTCCAAGTGCACCTGAATATCTCAGTCCTGATGAGGGCGAAGAGGATCATATGGCAGGCCTGGACGCCTTAACCACAAGCAGACTTATTGAAGAAGACGAGGACCTGTCTCCTTCGTGGAAGACATTTCATGGAAGAAACGACATGGAGGAGTCAGAGGCAGGCAAAGAGCGCCGTCCGAACAATGGAGTCTTGGGGCTCCTTGTTGAATACTCCAAAGCGCATTCTGGTAGCAAGGGACCTAAGCTGGGTTAATGACGGATTTGTATTCTCGGAGTTTACGAGGCAGGGTCTAGAGCGGGCATGTCAGTGGCCTAAGATGAGATTGGAGTTTGGGTAACCAGGTTTTGGCTTAAGGGTCCAAGGTTCAAAGATTATTAGATGAGAAACGAATCAACGAGTGCTACAAGATTTGCAAAGCGGGAAAACCAATTCTAGCTCTCTTGTTAAACACATTGCAATACAGTGTTACATTGAAGCAGACGACAATGTGTGACCCTCTCGATCAAGGTTCGTCAGTGTACTCGTCCTCGATAGCATTCTCCTGGCTGCGCTTGCGATCCTCCATATCCGCAGCCCACAAAGCACTTCCCGCAGCAGTTGTGATCAAAAAGAACATACTCAACACAGGAACCAGCTGCAGAATCAACGCAACAGTACCAAACCACATATACTGGAACCTCATCGACTTGTTGCGGATGAAGACCTTGCGCTGCTCCTTGTTCATCCCCTTGAGGTTATGATAACGGCGCTGCAACAAGGGACCAGCACGATAACCAGTCAAGATCAAAAACAGCGGAACTCCCACAAAAGGAATGAAGTTCAGTGGCAACAAGACCACAAACTCGAATAATTGGCGGAAAGAAAAGGGAGCAAAGACTGCACCCTTATCACGTGGTCCCAGTGCCTTAAGAGGAGTTTCAGGTTCTTCGGTGTTTACGAGTCGTTTGGCCTTGACGAGGTCTGCATGGCCTCTGGCTACCATGACGGTATCGAAGACATCGACTTGAGTGTGGTCGACGAGGAAAGCTTCGAACAGAATAGCGATGATGAGGTTTCCCTCAGTCAGGACCAGGAAAGTGCCGTTCACCCAGGCGGAACCTCCTCTGTGGAAGAGCTTGAGAAGGGCGACTTGAGGTAGGTAGGCGGTTAAGAAGAGGATGACTAGGATGAAGATGGACATGACGACTAGAGGAAGCATTCTGGCTCTCAGGAGTGGCCACATGTATCTGTGTCGCAAGAAAAACCAGATACCCTGGGAAGCAGAGAGATGTTAGCCTCAACAAGCCCTGTTTTTGGGAGGGTTTCTCTTCGCATGCTAGCAATGTCCTATCTGGCTGGAGGGAAACACCATAGCCCAGATTGTCGTCTAGCAGTCCCCAGCTGATGAACCATCACTAGACGTGCCTTTGGCCAAAGAGTATTTACATGGTTTCACAGCTCCGATATTTTGGGACAACGATGAGGAGGCAAGAAAATGCGCGACTTACCATCAAAGGGTAGAGAAAGCTAGTGGTAAAATTCGCTCTCGCCCAACGACGGAACGGCGTGTTTGCTGAACTTGCCATGGCTGTTGCTTTCAGACAGTTTCTGATGCTCAACAAGGAAGTCGTCAAGTGGAATCTTGATGCCTGCCACGAGGACTGTTCTCGCGCAGCGGTCCGTGCACACTGACGTGGACAAGGTGAACAAGGTTGGCTCGGGTCGTTGCTACCTACTCTACCAACCTGACTCGAGATGTATACCTAATTTGACATGCATCTGCTATATTCACATGGGCCACAGATTTTGATTGCCATGCCTCTATATACTCAAGGTAGGTGTGGTTGTGGTCGTGGTCGATGATACTTTTATGGTAGTGCATCCTTCATCATCTCCACTCGCGCTTGGATGCTTGGCCAAAATTGCTTTCGTTTCACCGCATCGAACAACATCTCTTAGTAGCGAACAAGTCGTCTTTTCTCTCATCCTTCCATTCGAGCAGCTGCAGCCGAAAACATGGTATCGGAAGAATGGGACGATATATACTTCATGGTCTCGGACAGGAAACGTCCAGATCAAGAAGGCATCCCAGATGTATTTCACGTGTCTCAATGCGATGGCAATGATGTCTATGAGTTGAGCGTGGATGAAATCCAGCACTTTCTTTCTACCAATGCTATGACTTCGGTATCTTTCGTGAAGCATTGCTTGGAAAGGATTCGACGGGTAGGTCTACTTGCTCAAGGTTCTGCTCACTGCTGAGCAAGTTCAGGTCAACCCATATCTAGAGTGTGTGATCGAGACAAATCCTGATGCCCTAGAAATTGCACAGCAACTCGACGATGAGCGAGCAAAGGGCAAGACTCGAGGACCGCTGCATGGTATTCCTGTTCTGGTCAAGGATAACATGGCTACCAAGGACAAAATGCAAACGACCGGCGGATCTTGGGCTCTACTAGGCGCCATCGTCCCCAAAGATGCACATATCGTCCATCTTCTGAGGAAGGCAGGTGCAATCATCTTGGGCCACTCGAATCTGGACGAGTGGGCTGGCATGCGCTCCAAGATCTATTCGAATGGATACTCTGCACGCGGTGGTCAGACCAGAAACCCGTATATGCTCAGCAGAAGTCCGCAAGGGTCAAGCTCTGGCTCTGCGGTATCTGTTTCCAGCAATATCGTCCCACTTGCGTTTGGCACAGAGACCGATACTTCTGTGATTTGGCCGGCCATGGTCAGTGGTATTGTGGGCATCAAGCCTACAGTCGGTTTAACCTCGCGTAGTGGCGTGATTCCTATCTCAGAGACACAAGACTCGATCGGAACATATGGAAGATGTGTATCTGATGCAGCTCGTGCTCTCGACGCTATAGCCGGGCCTGATTCAGAAGACAGGCACTCAACTGTTCCCGAGAGACGGCAACCAAAGAGTTATGTCGACAGTTTGACTACCAGAAAAGCGTTATATGGTGCAAGATTTGGTCTACCCATGAAACGCTTCTGGGAGCTCGTCCCAAAGCAGCAAAGGAAGGTGGCCGAGAAGGTCTTAAAGCTGATCGAGAAAGCTGGCGCAAAAATCATACCCGTCGAAATGCCTTGCGCCGAGGAACGTATCGCACCTGATGGTGGCTGGGATTGGTAAACATCACTCCTGTTGAAGACTACCACCAATTGCTGACAACACATAGGGAGCACGGTAAAGAAGAAGTCTCAGAATTCACCATCAACAAGGTAGAATGCTACTACTTGATGAACGAATACCTCAGCAAGCTCAAAAACACAAACATCAAGACTGTCGAGGATGTCGTCCGCTTCAACGACGAAAACGCAGGATCCCAAGGAGCTAAACCTGGCGATCATCCGGCCTTCCCTTCAGGCCAGGTAACTTGACACCATTGATCCTGCGAAAACATAAAAGTTCTGTTCTGATTTGGAGACTCTAGGACAACTTCCGCGAAGTGGTCGAAGCAAAGGGCATCAAATCTCCAGCCTACTACCACGCTTTCGCTCATATGCGCAAGCAATGCCGTGAAAACGGTATAGACGCAGCTTTGAACCCAGTCATCAAGGGCAAGAAGACTTCTCTGGATGCACTACTCTTCTGCGACGTCCGTGGCGCAGGCCAACAAATCGCCGCTCAAGCCTGTACGTCTTCCTTTCCACCTTCTGCTCCACTATCAGAGTGACTATCGTATTAACAATCAATCCACAGCATATCCCGTCATGACCATCCCCATCGGCCTCGATATCGATGGTATGCCCATAGGCTTGAACATCCAACACACAGCCTGGGAAGAAGCAACTTTGGTGCGCTGGGCATCGGCAATAGAAGATCTGCTTCGCGCAGAAGTCGGACCAAGGAATCCTCCTCGCTACCAAGATCATCTGGCCAAGAACATTCCTGTGGAAAACGAGTATAGGTATCCGGGTGCGCCTCCTCGGTTTGGGGATAGGCCTCCGCCTTCTTGATAGACAGGTTGCTGTATTGTTCGATCGTATATAATGCATGAGAGCCGGAAGCACTTCGCGTACTCTGATCGTACAGCCTTCCCTTGTGTTATAGTATCTGAGTGCAGCTATAACAACACATAATACATTTGAGAATAAGATCATGCCCATCGAGAGACGATAATCCATCGGCTCTTTGTGGCCACACCCTCAGTTTCGAGCATATTTGTGCCTTTTTGTAAGGTGCACACTACCTCGTGCTATGGTGGGAGTACGAAGGAAGTCGTTATAGACCTTAGCACACGAGGAGTTGCCATCTGATTGTCACTTGGCACTGGTGTCAACAACCAAGTCTGTAACTTCCACTGTACTCCGACTATACCTAAGAACAAAATGTAAACTGCAAAAATGCACAATTGTGTTGAAAAGCAGAGGCATGTCCACAGAGAGTCGACCACTTAGTATATAGGCAGGTAGGAAAAGCATGAAATGGCTAGAGCTACGATGAACCGCTAGTGTTCAATGTTCTATGAATGAGCATAACAAGACCCATCGAAATCCATGAGATCTCTCCATCTACCTCCTTCTCCTCAGAATCATTCATCAAGATTTCGTACTTCTCACTGAACTTTGTGTTGGTGGCGGCGGCAATGAAAAGTCAAGAAGGGTATCGGGCAATATATGTTCCAGCCTTGAATGACCCTCCTCATCCTCTGAACCATTATCATCGTCACTTCCCATTGCACGGTCTGCGTCGTGTTGTTGTTGAGGTACAAAGTCTAGATCCATGTCGTCCTCATCCTCATCGTACAGTGGCGGTTCAGGATCACCTTTGTCCATGTCGTCCTCATCATCTGACTCGTACATTGCGAGGAACCTCCTTAGATATTGTCTTGCTTCGGGCGGAGGCGAGGATGTGGAAGGCGGCATAGGTGGCGGACTACTACTTACGTATGCGGCCATTTGGGTATGCTTCCTGAGGGAGTGGTGTAGCTGTGTGCCGCCGACTGTACTAATCTGCGAAGGAGGTATTGGTAGAATGATTGGTAGAGGCGGAGATGAGTGACGTTCAGTATTTTTCATCTGCTCTCCAGCCTCTGCCCGAAGACGTGCATCATTCTCGACAACAAGAGGTGGCGAAGACGGATACTTTCCGCTACTGACACTCTTGCTGTTCGGAGAGGAGGCGATCTGTATCACCTCTCTGATGGTCGTGTTCGGTAGAACAATATCACCCGAAAGGTCTATTTCCTCGATCTCATCAGACTGATAGAGGATCCGAGAAGGCTGTTGAGGGGATGATCGAGGCGATTGTGTGGGTGCATCCTCAAACTCTTGCTCAAGCAGCTGAGGTCGTGAAGTTGGAGCAGGCAGATCGTCACCGAGCTCTTGTGACTGTTGTGTTGTGACCAATTTGGATTCCTTATCGCTCTCAACCTCCTTTGCTTCAGGAGCATGTTCGGCTCGGTCCTCTTCAGCTTGAGAAAAGCTTCGCGTTTTGTGGAAAGCATCATAACCGAAACGATCTCGTTGTAGTTGCGTTTGCATGAAACGGGCGGCATCACGGTCCAAAGCACTACAGACTGGATCAAAGTTGTAGTCATAATCGTTCTCGGCGTAGTATGTTCCTCCAGCATACTGAGTATAACTGTCGACAGGGAGTTGTGCCTCAGTGGCAGCCGTGATTTCTTCCCCGAACATTTCCATCTGGGTGTCAGGTATTTGACTGCGGAACTTGTTCTGCTTGAACGGAGTCACTTGAGTGGCTGTGTCTTCAGAGTCTGGAATGGTACTGCGATGCTGGAGTGTAGGAGGTTTCTCGGGTATGCGGAAGATTGGGCGATTCTTGAGAGGTGATAGACGGAAAGGAGAGACGGGTTTTGTAGGACTTTCGGGAACGGGACTCATTCTAGTATCCTCGCCAGCATGGCTCTGCGAGAATGCATTGGTGCTCTTGTTCCGTAGTGGTGAACGCTCAGGTGAGCGCACGGTCTTGGCTGAGCAGATGGATATGATGGCGCTCTGTGGAGTGTTGGATGACGGAATCTCGGACTTGAACTTCTTCCTGGGAGTTCTGAGGTTCATGGCAGATATTGGTAGTTCTGGACTTGGATGCGGTCGCGCTTGCTGTTTTGGAAAGGCTGAATCCACTCTCTCATCGCTATGGTCTGAGCTAGATTGTGTCCTTTGGCTGTGGTTTTCCTCGTCTCCCTGCATCGTCACGTCGCCGTCTGCAGCCGCGGGTGCATTTTCATCAATGAGCCCTTGCATCCCTGTTTGTGGACCTTTGTCGTGTCTGTCGAGGACCAGTTGTGATTGTGAGTCTCGAACTCCATCGAACGAATCGTCTGGCATGAACTGCAGAAATAGATCTGCTGCTCCATCGTAGCGCTCTCCGATGAAAGAAGACGGAACGTATTGTGTCATGGTTGTCTGCCTTTTGCCATCTACCTCGCTCTTTCTCTTCTTCCTTCTAGGTCTTGCCCTCTCTAGCTCGTCCTCTTGATAATTTTGATCCTCATCCTCAACATCATCTTCGTCCTCAGCAGTTGTGGGTGATCGGGATACAGCCCACAGTGGCTGCTGTGTCAGAGTGGACTGCTGACGCAGCGGCGCTGGAGTATGGACACCAGAAGAGCGTATCGTGCGGCGTCGACTAGGAAATTTCTTCTGTCGTAGAGGCGTTTCTGAGCGATAGATTATGTCGGAATCGGCTCTTGCTACTTGGGGTGGCATACTCGATTAGCTTGACATTCGTGAGCTGTTCAGTCCTGTGAAGTTGTTTCTTGATTCGAGTGTACGCGACTCGAGAGACGCGTTGGCAACCGTGCACGCGTTCTTTTCGAATCTAGGCCTCTACGTCACATGCAAAATGGTGTTTATTTGTCGAGAAGCATTATAATCAATTCAAATTGGGTATATAGCGCCTGTAATGCAATCGTAACTCATGTGTCATGCCTAATCGGAGTCGTAAGCAACCAGGGAAAGTGCGGATTTTGGTTGCGCTTTCTCAGTCTCGAGACCCTCTTTCTCATTCTCCTCCGTACCTTTCTGCTGCTTCCCGTCTATATGGCTTTGCTGTTCTGGAGTATTGCTTTCCACCTTCCTCTTGATGCCAGCTATCGGGCGGAAGGTACGAGAATCTGTATTGCCGAAAGACAGAAACGGGTCTGCTGCAGCACGCGAGTTGTCGCGGACTTCCTGCTGCAATGCATTCTTCCGACGTTCGACTTCAGCAACTGCTTTGGTCTTATGCGAGGTTTTGGCTTTGACTGGAGCTGCCTCGCGCTTTGTGTCTTGGCGGAATAATGGCCGTGAAGTCACCCTCGTCGTCTCGGCGTCGATGTCTTCATCCGCAAGGCCACCGAAGTCGATCAGAGTAGCATGTCTTCTGTCTTCATCATTCTCTGGCATTAGTTCGACGTCCAGTCCCATCTTGTCCCTAAGCTTCTCCGAATAGTCATACTCTTTTTCCCTGACCTTGCGTTCTGCTCTGAACGTTCTCCTCAGACGCTTGTTGGCCTCATATGGATCGTCCCAGTGTTGATCTCGTATTTCCTGCAGCTCAATAATGCGTTTGCCTTGCTCTTTCTCCTGTACCTTGTCCTGCTTCTTATCCTCAAGAACAGCAAAAGCGTCCTGCCTTCTACGCTCCCTTTCCTCTGCTGAGAGAATCGGCACGCCATCTTCTCCTTCTCTTACGCGATCTTCTCCAGTATCTCTGGCCTTGCCGCCTTCTTTGACCACATACGCCGTGTTCTTGGGATCCGTATGTATCTCGATCCAGCCTCCGCAAGCGGGATGTTTCATGCGAAAGGACCATATAGGCGTGCTATAGTAGTTGCCGACTTTCTTCTTCTCGGCGTTGAATCGCACACCTTGGCCTATGATTGTCGGTTTGGGACAGTGATTGCACCAAACTGCGTAGGGCATCTCAAAGCGTACAGTCAAGATGCCTTCTTTGATCTTGTTCGCCCTTTTGCCCAGAGCATGTTTGCCTGCAACTTTATTGGCTGACATGGTGCCCTCCAGTTCGGGAGGGACATAGCGTCCCATGTTGAACCCCTGCATGATGGATACCTAGGCGGAGCAACTGTGCTCCTGGATTGTGTGTGCTCCGGTGAGTTGAGGTTATTGTTCAGGTTCGTCGGATAATTTGAGAATGCGATCATGGAAGCTGCGATTGTCTTGCCGAGGTGAGGCCGTGCGACAGCGACTTTATCTATTTGAGCAACGATGAGCTTCCGAACCGACATCTTCGCATTTGGATAGCCAGTACTCAGCAAGATGTATGTTCCTACCTGGTCTCTATTGTGCGGCATGTCACAGTGGCCATCCGCCGTTGACTCCAACTTGATGATCTCCCATTACCAGTGTCAGGTCGAAATTGTCCGTCAGGTGCAAACAACTTTGATCAAAATTGTTCGCAAACACATGAATACTAATATCTGGTATGATTGAATTGACCACTGTTCAATGAAAAACGCCAGCAGCGCATTGCCCACAGCTCATCAGCTCCCTCGACCTAATACAAGGATCCCAACGTGTACTGATAACAGCAAGACCAAGTGTAGCATCCCATACACAGCTGACTTAAGATGTCACGCACAACAAACACAAGGTCATCTTAGATTGAGAGGTGTGACCCAGGAACAATTCATTACTGCGAAGGACAACCTAAATGTTGCAAGCTGTAAACGGCAACTCAAGATATGTTAGCTTCTCACAGAACTTCGAGCCCCAGAGCGATCGCGTTCGAGCTCTTCTGGTGCTTGCCGAAATCAACCAGAGATGGAGGATGACAAAGCACATCAAAGCGCCAATATCTGGCCGGCACATATACGTGCTTCAGGCTCCCCTTCGTTCACTCGCCTGACGGAGAATATGCTGACGTAGATTTGCTACTGGAACACAGAGGGTCTTTCTGATAATGCCTTGTGAGAATTGTCCCCGCCTTCATTTTTGAGCGACAGATACGCAAGTCATTTGGTTGCTGTCGGCCTCTGACTCTCCTGTGTTCGTGAACAAGCACATCCGCTCGTAACTGTGTGATATGGGTTTCTGGTCAGCATCGGACGCTTCTATTGAGCAGTGTTCATCTGGGATGCAATCTTTGATGAAATGCAGAATGTATTTCGCGGCTTAATCAATACGCTCAACGAACCATAGTCAGCAGCAGGGCATTGTTGAGTGTTGGGTAATACTTGCGCCTCTTCAGCCGTCCATTGCTGGTGGCTGACCAGGTCTCGAAAGCTGTCCGGGTATTCGGGCTCGATAAGCCTTATCCAAAGTACTTACAGTATGTAGGGCTTGATAGATGTGCGGACATGATCAGTCTCTCGGTTTAGCAAGGTGATCCGGCCCCGGATTCGTTGGTTGATCAGGACAATCTTTATATGTTTTCGTGCATGCCGCTCAACGCGGGAACCGCTATAATGAACATGGGCTATCATCCAGAGACGAACGACTGGGGCGGTACCTGTCATCCGTTGAGTTATTGCCGAAGTCGAAGAATTGTGGTCGTCGTGAGGTGTTGGAAGCATGGTCGCACAACAACGATCAGTCATTTCTTTATCTTTGGAATCATCTTGGTGCAGATTAGAAGTTGGTCTGCAGGATCATCCCTAGAGAACCCAAGATGTGGGTTTGCACTGAAATGATCATTTTCAGAATTGACGAAGTTTGACGAATTCCACAACGTGCTGCATATGTTGCGAAAGGCAAGCCAACCCGGCGGGCTTGTGGTGTGAAGGATACTGACGGCACGGGGTGGTGGACGTTCGTGACGGAAGAACTTGCACGGGTGGTGGATATGTGGTTTTCTCGACCCTTCGAATGATGATGTGGTCTGATTAAGCACTGGATTTCATTGTTTCATGGAGCAACGGTAACTGCCCATTTGACTCCATGGTGCAGAATGACTGTGTGGTTGTAACACGAAAATACTCATAGCCCCGATTCACAATGTGACTTGACTTTTAGTTATGGACCGCGGATCACTATCCGGCAGGGAAATGCCAAACTCTAACCATGGTCAATATGCATGGAAGGGATGAAGTCAGTTGCTGGAGGAATTTCTTTGATGAAGAGGCTGCCGTGTCGGTTCTGGCAGGTACAGATATCGGATACGGGATGGCTTGCGCCGCCTGCGTAGTTAGTATGGGTCCAAGACGGATTACAAGCTGAGCTCAACATCATCTGCTGCTCGGCTAATTGATAAAGAACATGGATCCACATGAATCGTCAGGTCGAACAAGAGGGGTCCCTACGGACAAGTGAAAGGCAGTTTCTTCGTGACGCTGTCCCTCGGGCTAGGGCAGGTTTGGGGCCGCCCGCCTGACTATGCATGCTGCACGATGCATGTTTTCTGTAACGCAAGACCAAGACAGATTGAGAGGCTGCAAGGAGGCTTGCAGGATGGCAGATGCCAGAATGTCGGAGACGAGCGACGTCTGCAGACTGTTCTTTCCACCCGAGACTAATCAATCTATTCTCAACGGTAATCGTGATGGTTGATAAAAACACAGGCAACGAAGCGCGACAAGAAATTAGAAAGATTAGTCCACGCGTATGTGGGTGCTCCTCGGTAGCGGCCGCAGACAGTGGTTTCAAGCAGCCTTTAAGTTAGTAACCATTAATGAAGATGTCTCTGCACGACGGGGCTGCGCTCTTTGCCGACCTGAAAGCAATAATAGCTTGTCTACAAAACCGGTGCCATTTACAGGATATAAGCTTCAGGTTTGGTTGCAAAAAGGCAATCAAGACCGGGGTCTAACTGCCACGCCGTCAAACGCTTATAACGCGGCGCGGCAATAAAACGTGGCCTCGGTGGACATGCATCGGGCATGAACGTTGGTCTTCTTGTTGATGGTCTTGTTGAATGCAGGTCTCAGTTGTCAGCCCAGCGGATAGAGCATGCTGCGGAAGCAGTGTTTCACAGTAGATTGGCGCGACACATGGGCTGGGGAAAAGAGAGGAGCTTGTGATTGCAGCAAATTAAACAGTTCCGATTATTGGGAAGCATCGAGCATCGGTTGAAGGTTTGATGGTCGATTGCCAAGGCGATTGGGGATTTCAGTTTTCGGGCGGTTGGAGGACAGAAGTAGACAGAGCAGAAACGCAGTGGGGAAGCCGGGTCCAGCAAGGACAAAGAATAGAGTCCATGATCGATGGGCGCCGTTGAAGCAGCGAAAACAAGCGAGTCAAAGAAGGGATTCGGATTTGGTGGTCGGCGGATGTGATTGGACTTGTCTGCGCTCGCCTGCTTCCTCTCGCTGTCAAAGCTGTAGTGTATATTGCCAGAGCAGTACCTAAAGCTGCACGCAGTCTCCCCCCTGCTTTCGCGTGTCAGTGTCACTTGTCGCCGGCCGCGATTCATTAACTATTCCTTGCATCTCGACGGCCGTACAAATCACGTCCGGCTAGACCCGCCGCAGAAGCATCGTCCTGTATCCGACCCTTGTCACAGCGTGCTGTCAGAGGTGTCGAGAGTCGTGCTGCTGTTTCGTTTCGGCCTTCCGACCAACCACATTCGCTTGCCCATTCAAAGTCCCGCCGCTGAGCCCCTTCACCTTTCATGGCCGACTCGTCCGCACAACCTCAGCAACTCCTGAGGAAACATTCGCTGCAGTACTCGTCGTCTTCGCTTGGCTACCAATCACCGTCATCCCAAGGCCCGCCCAAGCTACGCAGAAGCGCCTCGGCTGCCGTCCGCTCCCAGTACAACACGTCGTCGCACACGACCAATCAATCTCGCAGACCGACCAATCCCAATCTTGCGCGCGACCTGTCCGAGCCTGAGTTGCGCTCCCACAACGGCCTCTCCTACAACCATCTGGCCAACCTCTCCGAGCACGCCGTCGACGAGAACCCCCAGCTGCGTGTCGTACCGCCGGACGGTGCTGCTCGCCCGGACTCCATCTCGCTCTTCAGCGCCGCATCGCACTCCCACTCGCCCTCTCCATCTCCTGTCGGCTTATCTGCACCCCACTCTGCAAACGCGCAACCTCTCCCTGCTCAGCCAAAACGCCCTTCCATCTCCCTCCGATCACAGACCACTGGCTCGCGCTTCAACTCGCTGCGTCACTCGACCAGCTTCCGCCTGACCCGCAACAATTCATCCGCTGGCCCCATGGACAGCCTGTCGCCCCGTCCGGAGAGTTCGAAACGTCTCAGTGATGAACTGAAGGCCAAGAAGAAGAGCGGCTTCAGCATATCGAGCTTGTTCAAATCCCCTGGCCGACCCACCATCTCTGCTCCTGAGAATCCTGTTCATATCACTCATGTCGGCGTTGACAATCGTACCGGAGAGTTCACCGTAAGTTCTTTGGCACTCTCGGTCAGCCAATTGCTAACTCCTGCAGGGTCTTCCTCGTGAATGGCAGAACATCCTGGCTAGTGCTGGCATCTCGGAACAGGAACAAAAGCGAGACCCCAAGGCCATTGTCGACATTGTCACTTTCTACAAGGAGAATGCAGAGAAGAATCCTGAAGATGGCATCTGGCAGAAATTTGGTCAAGCTCATGCGCGCGACACCCCGCAGCATATGTCTCCTCCAAGCGGTCTCATATCGCCCGTAGCCACTCCTGGCTCAGGATTCACGTCTCTTGTTAGCCCTCCACAAAGCCCGCGCTTCCCACCCAACAACGAGGATAGTTTTGAGAACCCTAGAGCGGCCCCTCCTGTTCCTCGTAACGTCGGACTTGGTCTTGGGCCAATGTCACCTACTTCGTCCAGTGCAAACACGATTCCCCTGCGTGCTGCTCCGCGTCCTCCTGGTACAGCTTCCAATGGTCCTAGTATAACTCCTGCTCGTGCAGCTCCTGCTGTTCCCGGGACAACGACTCCTCAGCAATCAAAACCCCAAGATGAACAGCCTGCCGTCCAATATGCTCCCCCAACCATCAATGAAGTATCACAGCCTAGCACGTCTCGTTCGCGGTCAAACACTGCAACCCAAGCGCAGCAGTCTCAACCTCCAGCTGCTGCTTCGCCTTATGCATACCAACAACAACAGCAACAAGCTATGGCTGCGGCACAGGCGGCACTTCAACAATCAAATCTCGAACGCAAGCAAAGCCAACGCGCTCCTCAGCAAGCTCAAATCCCGAATTCTCAGGCAATTCCTATGCCCAACCAGGAAGCCCGCGTTGGTCCTGTTCCTCGACCGAGACAGCGACCCCAGCGTCAAAGCCAGCAGCAGAATGGGGAGATTATTCAAAAACTCAACGCAATCTGTACACCCGCAGACCCCACAAAGAAGTACCGTGGCCTCAACAAGATTGGTCAAGGTGCTTCTGGTGGTGTTTTCACAGCTTATGAGGTTGGCACCAACAAGTGCGTCGCTATCAAGCAGATGAACCTAGAGCAACAACCCAAGAAGGATCTGATCATCAACGAGATTCTGGTCATGAAGGATAGCAAGCATAAGAACATTGTCAACTTCATGGACAGCTACCTTGTCAAGGGAGACTTGTGGGTTGTCATGGAGTACATGGAGGGTGGCAGTCTGACGGACGTGGTTACGTTCAACATGATGTCTGAGCCGCAAATTGCAGCTGTGTGTCGTGAGGTATGTTTCTTCTGTCAAAATTCGCTAACTCAGCGGCTGACGTTACGTCTAGACTCTACACGGTCTCCAATTCCTCCACTCAAAAGGAGTCATTCATCGAGACATCAAGTCAGATAACATCCTCTTGTCACTTGAAGGAAACATCAAACTAAGTAAGCAGTGCCTGTGCTTTATTTGTGAGACCTCGGCTAACCCTTTGCAGCCGACTTTGGCTTCTGTGCACAAATCAACGAGTCTCAACACAAGCGTACGACCATGGTCGGTACACCATACTGGATGGCTCCAGAGGTGGTAACACGAAAGGAATACGGCCGCAAGATTGACATTTGGTCACTCGGAATCATGGCCATCGAGATGATTGAGGGCGAGCCCCCATACCTCAACGAATCACCTTTGAGAGCTCTGTACCTGATCGCTACTAACGGTACACCTCAAATCAAGGCTGAGGAGGAACTGACACCTATTTTCCGCGATTTCCTCGCGTTTGCACTCAAGGTTGATCCTGACAAGAGAGCCAGTGCGCACGACTTGCTGATGGTAAGTGATATCTATGTAGAAAGTATTGAACTGGTTGCTAATGTGTTCAACAGCATCAGTTCATCCAAGGAGCAGAGCCACTGGCAACACTTGCACCCCTTGTGCGATCAGCTCGTGCAGCAAGAGCTGAGGAGCGCAAGAACAAGGGTATCTGATAAACATGACACGCCACATAAACCGCGAGTTCGGTTCGAGCATTTTTAAGCATTTGAGTAACGGGCGATTTTCTTTTCTTTCTCTTCTACGAGATATGACATGGCCATCTGCGATGTGGAAGCATCTTGTTTGACACGGATTGGCGTTCGGTATGCTTGGGCCATATTTGAGCCCAGCACCAAGCCAATGAAATGTCAAGATCGGCTGATGAAGTTTTACACCTACGATCAGGTATGGTTTTTTGTTTTGGGGTTCAACATCAAAGAATTCGGTCTCTGCACTGGCAGCATTACAGAAACGAGGGGAACCTGAAAGAGCAATGGGCGTTTGCAGGCGAACAATTGGATTTAGTCATATACCGAAGGATGAAGATGGTGAAGGCTAGGAAGCAACAGTCTATACAAGAATGATGTTTCTGCACAGGACAGAAAGAGCTTGTAACGACTTGATCTGATGTGGTGGAAGTGCCTACCAAAATGCGTCTCTGAAGACATGGTGAATTTCAGTAAGGGGCAGTGCAGGAATGGCAGTGAGGAAGTGTTGCGCGTTCGTTACGACGATGCATGTCAAAGCCTCAAGGTTTGGTGGTGGCGAGTTTGGGGTTCGTTTTTGGTCGCAGAGGCAGTGAGGCCACCGCCGCTCGGCAATGACGCGCTTCGTTGATGTCCGGGGGAGTGTGTTCACATGCCCTCGTCGCCGAGACAAGCAACTTGCCCAAACACATTCAAGTGCTAAGGCAGCAACTTAACCATTTTCCTGACAGAAGTTGTGATCAAGCTACACTCGTTCAATTTCACAACAGCATAAGGGCGCGGCCATGTTTCGTGCTCAGGCAAACACGTTCGACGAGGTCGTCAGTAAGTAGCTCGCCGAATCACCCAGACGTACCCATCTCGACACAATGTACTGATGTAGCTGTAACAGCCAAGGCGACCGACGAGAACTTGACATCCGAGAACTGGGCCCTCATCCTTGATGTATGCGATCGCGTATCTACCTCGCCTACTGGGCCTCAATCAGTCACAGCTGCCTTGATCAAGCGTCTCGCCCACCGCAACGCCAACGTCCAGCTGTACACCCTCGAGCTCGCCAACGCCTTGTCGCAAAATTGCGGTGCTCCTATACACCGAGAATTGTCCTCTCGTTCCTTCACCGACGCTCTGCTTCGTCTAGCTGCCGACCGCAACACACACCAGCAAGTCAAGAGCAAGATACTCGAGCGCATGCAAGAATGGAAAGACATGTTCAAAGGAAACCCCGACTTGGGAATCATGGAGCAGGCCTACGACAAACTACGCTCTTCAAACCCTGGCCTAGCCCCACCTAGTAAGCCTGTCAAGCGCCAAATCGAGGACACCGACCGTCGCAAGGAGGAGGAAGAGCTGCAGATGGCCCTCGCCTTGAGTCTGAAGGATAAAGCACCTGAACCAGAGGCTTCTTCGGCAAACTCATCTCAAACTCAGCCTGACGCCCAACAAGGTACAACAGCTGCCACCGTCAGCAGAGTCAAGGCTCTCTATGACTTTGTGCCATCCGAGCCTGGTGAACTGGCTTTCAAGAAGGGTGATGTCATCGCTGTCATTGAGTCTGTATACAAAGACTGGTGGAAAGGATCTCTGCGTGGTCAGACCGGTATCTTCCCCTTGAACTACGTCGAGAAGTTGCAAGACCCAACCAGGGAGGAGCTCGAAAGAGATGCCCAAACCGAGGCGGACGTCTTTTCGCAGATCAGGAATGTCGAGAAATTGTTAGCTCTACTGAGTGTCAGGGGTGAGAACTCACGCGACACGGGCAGCGAAGAGGAGATCACCGAGCTGTATAACCAGACCTTGTCGATCAGGCCTAAACTGATTGAACTGATCGGAAAATATTCGCAGAAGAAAGGTAAGTTTGTCCAGAGAATGTGCAGTCGATCAGAGGCTAACACTCAACAGATGAGTTCACACAATTGAACGAAAAGTTCATCAAGGCTCGCCGCGACTATGAGGCTCTCTTGGAGAGCTCCATGTCGCAACCACAATACGCTGCCCCAACCAGGCAACACTCTGGCGGTTATTACAATCCATACCCTGCCATGCAGTCTGGATACCCTCCACAAGGTCCTCCTCCTGATCAGCGTTTCTACAACCAACCTCCACCATCCGAGCCTCCTCAGCAGCAGAATGCGTATGGTTATCCTCCACCTATGAGTAATCCCTCGGCAACTCCAGCACCAGCTCCCTTCCATTTCCTTCCTAATGGTGCGCCACCATCAGAAGCTCGTCAAAGCCCTAAGCCCATGGGACCTGGTCCAAGTGCTCCTCCTGGAGACGGCGGCTACAATCCTGGCATGCAGCCATACAACAACCGTCCTCAGAGCATCCACACCCTTAATTCGGGAAACCCGCAAGAGCTGAGCACGGGTGTGTATGAAAGTCCCACCGACGGCCGCAACAATGTCTACGGCGCTGGCGCCTCTGCACCAGCACCTCTAAACTACACTTCAACCCCACAACCTCAACAGCCATCAAACGCACCCCCTGGCCCACCACAGCAACAGCAAATGCCAATCAGACAACGCACATCGAGCTTCGAAAGCCCGACGTCTGTGTATTCAGCCCAGCCGCCCCAAGACACAGCTACGACCTCGTACCCTTCACAGTACCCACCTCAGCAACATCCCAATCAATCTTATACTAGTTTGAGTGGTGCGCAGCCTTCTGCCCCTCCTGCTTCGGGGCAGGCTTACCAGGCGTACAACCCACATCAGCAGGGACAGCAGCCGCCACAACAGCAGCAGTATGCGCCCGCAGCTGGTGGCGATGATGCTAGTGACTATTACCGTTAGAAGCGGAAGCACATTCATGGGCATGGTCGCAAAGTGGCGTTTGTGGACGAGAGTGATGGTGAATAAGTGAGCGTCTCTTTTTTACTGCACCTTCGTATTCAAAACGGAGCTTTGTTCTGTAGCAATTCTGCAAACTGTAGAGACCATCTTATCATCGACACATTGAAAGCTGATCTTTTGTGAATGGTTGAGAATATGTAAAATTTGCTGTGGTAACACCAGCTAGCTCCTAGAAAAAGACACAACATGCGCCTAGAGATCTTTAGATAAGCGCTCTTTCCGTACAGGCCATCAAAACTCCTCTGCTCGTCGTATTTTCAAGCGCTCTTGCCCTGTCTCCTGCCTGGAATGCGAAAGGTGATGATCTCTTTCCATTGCACTCTGACACCAGACAGTATTCTTCTGCCTCATTCCTTTTCTCCTGTTTGATCTGTCGTCCAAAATTCCCCCTTCACACCAGAAAGCTTCAACCCAGCAACCAAAGACTCTTAGTTCTTAGGCTGGCTGTTTGCCTGAAGGTAAGAGTATGCAAAGTAAGCCAAAGCACCACCAACGAGGAGAATGGCATAAAGGCCAGCACCCAGACCAGCAGCGTCAGGGCCAGATGTCTTTGCTGAGGTAGGCTGAGCGGAGGACTTGGGAGCGGGGTCGCCGGGTTGACGCTTGACGGTGCCGACAAGAAGACCCTCGAGGATCTCACGGGCCTCGTCACTGTGGCCGACGTCTTCGAAGGCTTCGGTGGCGTCCTGGCCACCGACATCGAGCATTACTTCTTCACCACCACTGGGAGGGGTATGTTAGTGAAGTGTTTCTTGTGGGAGGGGTTCCTTTGTGCTGATGGTGTGGGGTGTGATTGATCGAGTTCTCATTGATCGAGTTCTCATTGTCTTGTCTTGTGATACCACCCATTGCAAGAGTGGGGTTTCTGAGTGGGGTGATGGATGTGTTGAGGGAGGTTCTAGAAGCTCGCTGGAAAGGCGGAGGAAGGGGATGAGGTAGAGGAGAGTGGAAAACGTACGGGTGCTCATCGACGAAGCTTGTGCAGTTGTAGACCTTGTCGTGGACGACCATGTAGAGGTCCTGGAATTATGTTAGTCAAGGATGTTTTTTTGGTCAAAAGTTGCTAGACGGGTTTCTGGACGTGTCAAGGACGCGCATGATCCCTTTCCGATTGGATATTTCCTTGTCCTTCGCGCGTCCGGCAACTCGTTCATAGATATGCTCACCTTCTTGGTGTTGTGCTCGGAAATGTCCGAGTAGGTGAATTCTTGAGACATGGCTGCGGTTGTGTATGTGTGATGTGTGGTTAATGGAGAGACAGCAGAGATGCGTCGGAGTAAGAGCGAATGAACAAGTCGTGAGAGTGGACAAGGGTCGTTGGTATGAAACGAGGATAGCAAAGACGAAGAAGTTGACAGTGTTCCTCAAGAGCAGGGCAATCGCAGCTCGGGAAACAACTGATCTCCCACCGACCCTTGAAAAGCTAATGGCCCGGCTCATGATTCGCTGACACACGCCGGCCTATCCAGCCTCTCCGCATCGCGCTCCACTTGTCGCGTCGAATCACTTGTTCTGCATATGGAAACATTTTCCGCTTTCTTGTTGACTGCGGTTTTCGGCCGCCCTACAGGTTTTGATATCTGAAATCGGCTTGGACAGATATGCCTTTTTCTGATGTCTTCACTTGTCAGTCTTTGTATGGTACCTCTTAAGGGCCCAGGTCTCGACTACTTGTCATTACGGCAATCTCCTTAACAATCCCCTGTCTCACAGCCTCCAATCTCAAGCTGTCTCCAACCAGACCTTTGTTCCAATTCCGAAGGTCCGCTGTGCCAATTCTGCTAGCATTCCGAAACTCTGTAATGGTTGTGTTCCACATCCGAAAAGCATCACCAACGACATCCTGTCTAATATCCTGAGAGTGTAAGGCATAGCTCATTCTCCTCTGTGCTGAAAAAATCAGTTGAGCTTTCGCAGCCATGTAAAGTGCGTGGGCTTTATGGTTATACACCATGTTGGAGGGCAAGGCAACACTCATACAAACACGATCTTGTGCAATCGCAATTCTGTCAATTGAGGACCAAGAGACATCCTGTCGACCGACGATGCCGAGAGTGCTTGCCGACCGAACATGGGGATGGTTACCAGGTTGACCTGCATGAGTCGACGACCATCGAGTCCAATCCAGTATGGTTTCGGGTGATGGGCCATGATGCACAGCAAGACGCACAAAGTACAAACCACAACTCATCTCCCGCCCGTTCAACGCAAAGGTGTGCAGGTACTCTGGTTCGCAAATGGAACATGTCTATGCTGCGGTTATTGTCCACGCCATAGATCTCTGGATGCGTTTTCTTCATGATGGTCTCTTGCTTAGGCTTAGGAGTTGCACCATCGTGGTTGATACGATTCTCGTCAATGTCCACCGTTCCACTTTCTGGATCCTCGTCGGCAGTAACTATCTCAAAACTGTACTTCGAAGTGGATGGAGTTTTCTGACGATGGCATACAAAGCCTTGGAAGCAGGATTCAAGTCGATAAAGGGCTTTCGGACCAATCTTATCAAGCGAAGTCTTGCCAGTAGGAGTGTCATGTCGTGTAGCTGGCTCAGCACTGGCTGATGAACGATGTTGCTCAGAATTATAAACACGGTTCCAGTCCCCCTTCAACAATAGTAAGAATCTTTCACTCAACACTGAGAGTGTGAGACAACTAGATCTCACAACTCACTTTTCACTTCAAACACTTCTTTCTGCCCTCTCTTCAATTCTTCTCGTTCACTCTACAAATCATCCGCACAAAGCATCAACTACCATCTCAAGTCAGCGCTTGCCAACATGGAGGAAATCTCCAAATTGGAGAAACTTCAGAACGAAGACATGCGCATTGTACTCGATGCCGTGGATAATCTACGTGCAGTGGGTGTCAACAACATTATCCCTCTCCCACAGATCGTCGCATGCGGTGATCAATCGACCGGCAAGAGCTCTCTCCTGGAAGCGTTGACCGGTATTCCTTTCCCTCGAGACACTGGCCTTTGCACCCGCTTCGCCACTCAGTTCATCCTTCGGCGCGCCGACAAAGTCTCCATCTCTGTCACCATCATCCCCGGTCCAACCCGAGTCGACAAGGATGAACGTCAGCATCTTGAGAATTTCGGAAAGGGCAAGACCTTCGACCCCACCAAATTGGGCGAGCTCATCGAGGAAGCTACGCAAGTCATGGGCCTTCCTCCTCTGACAGGAAAAAAACCCAAGGTCGTCTGCGCTTTCTCTCACGATGTGCTCAGTATCGCCATATCTGGTCCCGATCGTCCTTCACTCACTCTGGTCGACACTCCTGGCTTGATCAAATCGAGCGGCAAATATCAATCCTTGGAAGACATCAAGACTATTGAGGCTCTGGTCAAGTCTTACATCGACCAAGACAGCACAATCTTGCTTGCTGTGCTGTCGACCACCTACCAACACGAGCTTCAACAGATACCTTCTATGATCACAAAAGCTGCACCACGCACACTTGGCATTATTACCAAGCCAGATGGTCCTGGAGCCGATACCGCACTTGAAACTGAGTATATCGAGTTGGCACAGAATCAAGTCCTGCCCCTCGGCCATGGCTGGCATGTGGTCAGGAACAGGTATGTTTAAGTGAAACTTTGTCGAAAAAACATGACGCTGACAGTCTTCTTATCTTTAGATCGGAGAAGGAGATGAGTTTCGACATGAAACAACGTGACCAGTCTGAGAGAGACTTCTTTGCTGGAAGTAATTGGACAAGTAAACTGAAACCCGCTCAGCTTGGTGTTCCTACTCTGAACGATCGACTTGCCAAACTGCTCTACCAACATGTACAAGCCGCCATTCCTAGCCTGCAGATCAATCTCAAGGAGAAACTCCAAGAGGTCCAAATCAAACTCGACAAGCTTGGTCCAGGTAGAGGCACGATTCAGGAGCATCGTGGTCTTCTAGTTGAGATTGCTTCGCACTTTCAGCGTCTTGCTGAAGTGGCCATTGATGGCAACTACAAGAAAGACCCATTCTTTGGATTGCCTTCTATCAAAGTCTCGACAGATGTCGTCACTGGAGAACGTCGCCTGCATACACTCGTGCAGGATGCTCACAGACAATTTTCGCATGCCATTCGTCGCCACGGATCCAAGTACGAATTCACCGAAACACCTGCTGAGTGGGACGCGGCTGGTAGCAGCAATGACTTGCTTGGTCTCTCGGACACCGTGCTGCGCTCCCCTTACAATGGCTTTGCATCGGACCAGAAGAAGACAACTTATGCCACCTATCTCAAGTATGTACAGGAAACAGAGAAGTACTACCGTGGCGCTCAGCTCTCTGGCATGTTCAATCCCGACATTGTGGACGAGCTGTTCCACGAGCACTCTTCTCGCTGGTCAGACCTCGCGAAAGCCCACATTGAAAATGTGAACAGTCAGTGCAAAAACTTCATCAAGAAGCTTCTTTCTCAAATTGCCCCACGAGACATCGCCGCCAGATTGGGAGCGCGAGTCCGTCCTATCCTTCAACATCGCGAAGAGGAGGCTTTGAAAGTGCTAGACAAGTTCCTACAAGTCGAGCGCGGTGTTCTTATGACCTACGACCCTGATTTCACATTCACCGTCGAGCAAATCCGAAAGGAACGCCTGAAGCGCAAATCAGTCGAGGGTACCAGGCCATCTACTACAAGTCCTGTCATCGGAGAATCACCATCACGATCCAAGATGGCTCGTACCGACACCAAGAACCAGATCAGCACGGACGGTATTGCTGCAGAAGACGCTTTCTCCGTTAGTTGGGTCTACTGCCGCAACCAGCGCGAACACTTCGTCGCCTACTTGACCAAGCACGTCATCGAGCCATACATGATCGAGGGACTTGACAAGATCATTTCACCGAAGGACTTCGGAAGCATGACTGATGAGGAGGCACGCTTGCTGGCTACCGAGGCTGAGGAGTTGATCGAAGAGCGAAAAGGTCTTCTACGCGAGAAGGAGATCCTTGAGAAAGGAAAGACCGACTTCGACGCTGCTCTGAAGAAGTAGATGGATGTAACGCGATGGGATCATCGGTCGGGTCCTGTGTCAAGGAGCTATGCATAGCGAGCCTGGATGGATGTGGTGATGAAGAGACGGGCTTCCAGTGTATTTCTGTCGAAGGGCGTGAAAACTAGCAAAGAAAGAGATATGACCAAATGTAACGCCGATTCACGATGACCTTCTTTACGAGTGCTAGACTCTGTCCCAGTCCTTATCTCCTGATCATCGGTCAAGATTTATGCTTATGCAATGTGCGTCTAGGAAGAGGGTATGTATGAGGTGGTGATATGTCTGAATTGTGACAGGGGAAGAATATGAAGCTTTGTTCGCTCGTCATGATCACAAGAGCCAGTTGGCCACCACGACCCGTCGCTCTTCCTCTTCGAGCCATCGTTCTTCATCACTTGATCCTCGCGACCGTCAACTATAGCTCCTCGCAAACTCTTACATTATTTCAACGATCAACCCTCGTCTTCCCACGTCCACGAAATTTCTTCAGGTTGATAGATGAAACTCAAGCTCCGCCATGCAGATGACGATCTCAAGCGCAACTACATACTCACACGCACCATCGCCGATCCCTTCAACCGTCTGAAGGTTCGCATTGACAAGACCTCCTCCGCCGATTAGAACGACAGGAGTCTTTCAGTTTAGGTCAACGGAAGCTCCGAAGTCTCCGTTGGTAATACATCCTCCAGGCCAACCAGTCACTCGAAAGACGTTTTGAGCAATATGGCGAAAATCGATGGCGAAGTCGCGATTGGCGCTGAACTCTCCAGCTTGCGTGTGGTTGCTATTGGAGAAACCTCAGCGAGAGTGAAAAGAAATCGATGCCGCAGTATTTCAGTTTGCACAGGTATTGTAATCGCAGTATTCTAGTTTGCAAAGGCGGTACATCTGCGACTCACCAGCTTCACGAGCAGACTGGTAATGAATACTGTGCTGATGTTTGCCATTGGTCGTGAAGTTTCCGTGAGTCTCGAGTTTGTAACCAATCTGGATGGACTTGCCATCGTAGAACTCAGGTGCCCGACCGTCGGGAAAATCAGAATAGACAATGAGATAATTGACGACAGGTTTACGACATCAGTGACCTCGACGCAGCGTAGCTTGCAGAAGTCGGAGACGCAGAAGATAGGACTCGTAAGGATATCGACCAAGGTCTCTATGTTGTCGTCGACATACTCAGGTAATACCTTGACTCTCTTTATGCCGTTGTAGATCTTCCGAGCCACAAGCAGACTCTTGTCCAGGGTGTCAAAGGTCAAGAGGTACATGATGCCGCCTAGGATGTTGGGTCTCCCAGGTGCGGAGCATGTAACAAGTTTGCTCGCTGTCATGTTTGGAGCATGATATAGTAAGGGTTACACGTGTTAGCACACGGGGTCGATGGCAATCTTATCGCTTCTCAAGTGGACACTATTCTGTTTCTCGTTAATATTGTGCATTTTTACAGCTACACCAGTTACATACCACATCATCGGAAGGACTACCAATTTGCTGTCAGTGTCAAAAAAAAAAAGAAAAAAAAAAAAAGCAACGGGCGGAGGATTAGAGAAAAGCATGGTTCGTTAATATTCTAGAGACAAATCCTTCTAGGCCTTCACGCATCAAACAGATACTTTTTTTAGTGCATCTCACCACTCTCAGCAATACTTCTCTGGCAAGCAGCCAGAATCTTGGCTTGTCTAGCAACATCTCCCAAACGTCCAATGACCTCCTTGTTTCCATCATAGAAGCCATAGATCGCATATGGGATGCCCACCTCGTCGCAGAACTCCTGGACAAGCTTCTGTGCTCTACGCAGGTTGTGACGAGGCATGCGAGGGTACAAGTGGTGGATAGCCTGGAACTGGAGTCCACCGTGGAAAAAGTCAAGCCATTGAGGGCAGTCGACATCCATGGTAGTGCGAAGCATGCGTTGAGGGAACGACTCATTGACACCGAGATCAGCAGTGCTCATGGCAAAGTGGCTGAGTGTGATTTGGACGTGCAACGGCATGGTCACGGCGTGACTGATCATGATGAAAGCGAAACGGCTCCAGCCATCAGGGATGCTCTTGTAAAGAACTTGATAACCGAACCAGTACCAGAAGAAGAATTGGCCAGCAATCTCGAACCAGCGGTGCCACCATGCAGGACCTTTGCGAGGACCGAGACCAAGAATGAGATACTCCCAGCTTAGACGGTAAAGGTTGAAGCGACCGAAGCAAAGGATGGGGTAGTATAGCCAGTTTTGGTATTGGATGACGAATTTGGCGAAGGGGTCGTAGGTCATGACGCGGTCGTAATAGGTTGATCGCAGCGACTTGAAGAAGCGGTGCGAGATGGCAAAGAATGGCATGTGCTCGATGTCTGGGTCGTGCTCAGGAGAGTTCGTGATGATGTGGTGGACGTTGTGGTTGCGCTTCCACCATCCTAGACTCAAGCCTCCAAGGTAATCGGCAATGATCATGCCAATAACACTGTCGACATGGAAGTTGTGTGTGATGCCCATATGACCAGCATCATGAGCGCTGAAGACCAATTGGTGCCAGAAAGCACCGAGGAACAAGGCAGAGGTACAGTACCAGCCATAGTGCAAGGTAGTCAAGAACATGGCAAACAGGAATGAGTACCGTGAAATCTCAATGGCGTAGGATTTATAGTTGCAGTTGTAGAGACCTTCGCTTCTCATGCGTTGGTCCAACTGGCGGTATTTTTGCATGATATCGTCTTGGGTCTTGGGATCAAGCTCAGGGTATCTTTCCAGGTCAGTCTTGATCTGATCTTTCGTCCATTCGCTCTCGGGGTCGTGGATGTTGTGTGGTTTTTCATTGTCGACGTCCAGCGACGACATAGATGTAGCGGAGGAGGATCGTGACATGGCGGGCTTGCGCTGGCGGACTTGGACATCGACAGGTTCGAACAGAGGTGAAGGCTCTCCTGAGCTTCCCTGGCTTGAGGAATCGTTCTCATGGTCCGAGATTTGATCTTCGGTGTCGATAACATGTTTCATACGGAACTGTCCACCTTGGATCGGGGGAAGGAAGTTAGACCAGCGTCCTTCGATAACACCAATCTGGTAAGCGTGCATGCGCTCGAGGGCTTCAGCGGAGTGCAGACTGGATACAAGATCAGAAAGAGCTCGAGTGTAGCCAATTGAATATGTCAAGCAACGTACGCGGTCACTTCGTCCGTAGCATCTCTACCAACCATGTGCATGATGGCCTTGTCACCGCCAGGGTGATACTTGAGCCACGCGTCTACCTTGAGCACTTTGCCATTCATGACAATGATTGATCGGCCTTCAGCGATCAGAGCCTCGACCTCTCGTCGGCTGTAGACTCGTTCGCGTCTGCTAGCCATCTTGACGGAACTCATGGTTGAATGTTTTAAGGGAAAGCGACAGTCAACATGCCCACGAACAAGAGCAGTTGAGATTCTGAAAAGGAGCCCACAGAAGCTTTCGTATCGACTGCTCCAGACACGAGAGTCACGCCTTCCTCACGCCAGGAGTTTCCCCACGACCCACAGTTGGCTCCGCCACTTTGACGCGCAAGGGTGCAACTCTTAACGAGTTAACCTCCTATGCATACAGGCTTGAGAAAGTGCTTATTGTGTCTTGGAAGAGATGGTCCATGATATTTTGCTTCAGTATGTACTCCGGTCTTTGCTGCCAATCTTGCAATATACAACCAAGTCCAACTGTGACTCTGGTCCAAGATCAAGACAATTATCAAGCTCCAGACCGTCTGGTTAACCTGTTACAATGATTCTGACAATCTCAATGAGCAGCAGGAATTAAGAAGATTTATATTTCATCCTGAGGTTGACTATAAACATGGCCAGCGGCTACTTCCCTGAGCGGCTGAAAGATGCCACATTACCTTCTTCGCCAGCCATGTCTCCAGGACCAACAGCACCAAAGTCAAGCGCTCTCCAAAGTCGTATTACCAGTGTTCTTGCTGCATCATACTCGGATTTGGAGATTCGAGATGCATTGGAAACCCTGGATGCTCGCAAAGTCCACAACACAGCCGAGACGAGGCGCAACCTTCGACTTGACGCGCAACAAGAATTGATCCAATGCAATGGAGAGATCATTCGTGATTTTGGACAGGTTTCCCAGGTATGATAAATAGCACTTCTTCAAGGTACGCTCTCAATTTTGCTGACTGTATAATAGCAATTACAAAGGGTGGGCGCGGCCATCGAAGATCTCAACAAATTGTGTTCAAGCATGCGATCCCATATCTCGGCTGCCAACAGGGAGACTGGACCTATGATGGAAGAGAGCACAGCAATGATGGCGCAAAGGCAGCAGACAGAGACCAAGCAACAACTACTGGCCGCCTTCACCTCGCACTTCCTTTTGTCTGATGCAGAAGTCACTTCCTTGACATCTACTGCAGAGCCAGTCACAGATTCCTTTTTCCAGGCATTGGCTCGGGTCAAGAAGATCCACGATGACAGTCAATTGCTATTAGGCACCGAAGACCAACAACTAGGTCTCGAAATTCTGGAGCAAAGCTCGAAGCAACTAAACGCAGCATTCCAGAAGCTGTTCCGTTGGACTCAACGTGAGCTCCGTGAGCTGGATCTTGAGAACCCCCAACTTAGCACTTCGGTTAGACGCGCTCTCCGTGTGCTGGCTGAGAGACCTGCGCTTTTCCAGAGCTGTCTTGAGTTCTTTGCTGAGAACAGAGAGCAAGTGCTCTCGGATGCATTCTACGCTGCTCTGACTGGCGGATCTGCTCAGCGTGTAGGAGGGCCTGCAATGGGCAAAGCAATCGAGCTCAGTGCACACGATCCGCTACGTTACGTTAGTGATATGCTCGCTTGGGCACACGCTGCGACAGTTGGCGAGCGAGAAGCATTGCAAATTCTCTTCATCTCGGACGCCGATGAAATTTCGAAAAACATCAAAGCAGGTCGCGAACGTGAGCCTTGGTTACAGATCACCGATGAAGCAGACGGTGAAGAAGTGGCAGCCTTCGACGGCAAGAAAGCGCTCAACGACCTGGTCGACCGAGATTTGTCTGGCGTGCTTCGTCAATTGCGTCAACGTGTTGAGCAAACCGTACAGAGCCACGAAGATGCAACATTGGCTTACCAGATCTCGAATCTGATACGCTTCTACTGTTCAATCTTCATACCTTTCCTTGGGCCGGACTCGTCGATTGTACAAACATTGCAACCTATCACACAGAAAGCATTTGAGCAGTTCAGAACACTCATGAGAGACCACATCGCCAACATCCACAGCGACGTTTCAGTCACGCCACTAGATCTTTCACCGCCTGACTTCTTGGTGGAAGCACTGGACGCTCTCAGAGGCTTGATGAAGAGTTACGATACTTCACTAGCTAACACGTCTTCGGGTGAGGATCGCAGTGGGTTCCAAGCCGTGCTCGAAGAAGCGCTTGATCCTTATCTGGCAGGCTGCGAAAGCATTTCCAAGGGCATGGGAGCACCACAGAGCCAGATTCTAGCCATCAACTGTCTACTCGCAACGATAGAGACACTAAAGGGCCGAAGCTTCACAGAAGACAAGATTGGCGAGATTGAAGAGACGGTTGAAGAACAAGTGGCAAGACTTGTGGAAACAGTGATTGCGTGGTTCGAGACTGAATCAGGACTCAAGCGACTCTTTGAAAGTCTTGAGGAATACAAAAACACCAACCTTGGTCAAGGAATCAGTGGTATCAGGAAGCTAAGAGAAATGCAGCCGGATCGATTGGCAGACATGGCACAGAAGCTGGACGCATTCCTGCCAGGAGCAATGGAGGATGCCAGAGCTTTCATTGGCAAGCTTGCAGACAAGAGAATGGTGCGTAAGGTGTGCGAAGATGCATCGAACGTATTTGTCAGCAAGTTTGAATCTGCCGAGAGAATCATGATTGGGCTGGACGAATTGACAGTGGCCGAGCAAGGAGAAGAGGTGGAGGAAGGCATGCTGGTGCGCGATGTGTTCCCTCGCACGAGCGACGAGATCAAGGTGTTGCTCAGCTAGCGGTAGAGTGGACAGACAATAAAAGTGGTATCATTTGGACATTATTAGGTCGTCATGTGAGACTTGTGGGTATATGTGACGCTCATAGAGAACCCTTCTTCTTTTCCCACTCGGCAGGGGTCATGCACTTTGGTGTCCAGGCGTGGATGGCAGCAATCTCGGCTTTGAGCGTGTTGTTGACAAGGCGATGGCGGGCGAGCGACGTCTTCTTCTCGAACTGTGGTGACACGATGATGGCTTCGAACATTTGACCGCATCCACCTGGTTTCTCGTGAGTATTTGCAGTGCTTGATGTGAAAGGGTCTTATCGCGATTACCTGATAGATCTTGGATGTCTACGTGCTGTGCCTCGAGCTTCTCGAACAAAGTGGCCTTGAGCGACTCGGGGGTGACACCAGACGACAGCTGGTTCTGTGTGGCTTCGACGTCTGTTCTGGCGCTCATGGTTTCGTAGATAGTCGTGTAATTGAATGCAGAGGTGGATTGTCGCAAAAGTGTCGGTTGCTTGACAGTCGTCTCGAGAATGACGCAGCGCTTGGTCGAGCTTTGGCCTAGACTTTGACCTTTCGCAACCATCGACTCTTTCTCTTCTTGCTTGTATACACTCGTTCTTTCCTTGTCGCGCCATCTGTATGTTCTCAGCTACGCTACGTCGTACAGTCAAGATGAGTTCAACAATCTCTTCGGCCCCTTTCTCAAAGGCCGTCGTCGGCGCAATGCGTAAACTGTGTGTGCTTCCTTCGGCTTTCTATACCATCATGTTGCTAATGCAGCCAGCTATCCAGAGGCTCTCGCTGACAAGAGCTGGGACAACACTGGTCGTACGTCTATATGTCCTCTCTATAACCTACTATCAGCAATTTTAACCTGGCCCAGTCCTTCTCGAATCTCCCTTCGATCCCATCCGTCGCCAGATGAACTCGGCCCTCCTCACCATTGACCTCACCAAAGCCGTCGCCGACGAAGCCATTGAGCGTGGAGACTCCATCATTGTAGCCTACCGTATGCCCGCCCTCCCAACACCTCTCTAGACCAATAAGCAGCAAGCACGCCTAACTTTACGTCAAGCATAGATCCCATCATCTTCAGAGGTCTCAAGAGTTTATCCCTGGCTGACACCCAACAACAAACACTGCTACGATTGGCTGCAGAAGGCATCAGTGTATACAGCCCACACACCGCAATCGATTGCGCGCCAGGTGGTCTAGGCGACTGGCTGGCCGACATTGTATCCGGCACCCCCATGAGCGCCGAAGAACTAGCAGCCCAAGCAGAAGAAGACCAACAAGATCAGAAGACCAAAGAGCCAGAAACCCCTTCCAACGAACTCAAACGCCCCACTTTCCAACTTCAACACCATCCCAGTCAACTCAGCATTAAAGACCGTACGCTCAAGCTCGGCAATGACACACATACCCGTCGTCCAATCAAGCCATCCTCAGTGCCCGGCTACCAAAACACCACTGCAGGAATGGGTCGTATCGTCCGCTTCTCCACCCCTCAACCCCTGCTAGAAATTATCGATCGCATTGGCCGCGGTCTCGGCAACCCCAAAGGCTTCCCCATCGCCATCCCCCAAGGCAAGCAAATGGACGAAATCGACATTTCGAGCGTCGCCATCTGTGCCGGTAGTGGAGGTAGTCTCTTCGGCGGTCTAGGCAAGAACGGCGAGGAAGATGTGGATTTGCTGTTTACTGGAGAACTGAGCCATCATGAGGCTCTGGCTGCGATTGAGCAGGGTAAATGTGTTATCGCTCTGTTCCACTCGAATACCGAGAGAGGATTCTTGCATGGAGTTTTGAAGCCGCAGTTGGAGAAGAGTGTCAAGGAAGAGTGGGAGCGAATCAGAAAGGAGAAGGAAAAGGCCTCTTCGTCGGCTTTGAGCGAGGATTACCTCGAGGCACTCGAGGACGACCACATTGAGATTCATGTCAGTGAGGTCGATCGTGATCCTTATGGTATCATGATCTCCAAGGATGAGATCTAGAAGAATCAAAAGAGATCTAGGAGAGTCAAAAGATTAGACGATTTGGACATTTTGATTCATTGATCTCGGGAGGATCAGCTATGTATATACCCCTCTGACCATAGCTTTGTAATCTTGAACAACCAATTGAAAGAAAAAAACAAAAGAACATCTAAAAACACAGGTATATCTCGCACTACGCCCAAACACCCCTGCTTTAGTCACCATTCGTTCAGATCCGAGATTGCGAAACACATCAAGCAGCAACACCAATATTGGCAGCACCGGCTCTAGCATTCCTGTTCTTGCGCACAGCACCGGGTCTGGCAAGAGTATATTTGGCAAATGCTCTAGCCAATGCCTTCTTGCAGCTGACCTTTTGACTGCCAACGAACGAGTCAACAGCTACAGCAATGGCACGGTCAATGTCTGTGCTGCTGCAGAATTCCGACAGGCGCATTTTGGCAAAGGCCTCAGCGATACGGAGGATGGATTCCAGATGACGGACCTGTTTTTGCGTTAGTAAAGAATAAAATCCACAGCGAGAGGAAACACTTACGGTAATGGGATAAGCACCTGTAGCAAGACTCTCCTTACGCATATCCGCAAACAATCTCGCAATCTTGTCTTGATCGATCGAGACCAATTTAGGACGGCACTTCTCGCGAGCATAGAGAATGTACTTTCTCAACATCTCTTGTGGAATCTCGCCTTGCTTGGAGGTACCTTGGTCGCCGTCAACCTCCATGTTAGCATCCTGCATGCTGTTGACCGGTGCATCATTGGCGGCACTGCTGATGGTAGGGTGAGCTCTTCCGTGCGAGTTTACGACGAACGCAGCCAGGCGTTCATCTTCCTCTGGATCGACAGTATCGCGAACCACGCAGAGGATATCAAAACGTGAGAGAATGGGCTCGGTGAGTTCGACGTTTTGACTGAAGGGAACAGTGCCGTTGTATCTGCCTCCGATGGGGTTGGCCGCTGCAACTACTGCGCAGCGAGCTTGTAGTGTTGTGACGATACCGGCCTTAGAAATGGAGATTGTTTGTTGTTCCATGGCTTCGTGGATGGAAGTGCGGTCCTGGTCGTTCATCTTGTCGAACTCATCGATCAGGCAGGTTCCCTTGTCTGCCAGCACCAGGGCACCTCCTTCCAGAGTCCACTCCGATGTCATAGGATCGCGTCTGACTGAGGCGGTCAAACCTACAGCTGAAGCACCCTGACCTGTGGCAAAGACGGCTCTGTGGGCAGTATTTTCTACGTACTTCAGCACCTGTGACTTTGCGGTACCAGGGTCTCCGAGAAGCAGCACATTGATATCACCTCTGATCGCGTGCTTGCCTTGTGCTTCCTTGCTCACACCTCCGAACAGACTAAGTGCAACAGCTGTCTTGATATCAGTGTGGCCGTAAATACTTGGCGCAATACTGTTGATGATTTTGTTTATAATCTGAGGATCATTTGCCATAGCGCGAATCTGTTTTTCGTCATCCTCTGTCAGCCTAAAGCCAGAGAGTTGGTCATGGGACTTGACGACGTGGTTGGCCTCGAGAACGGTCGCAAAGACAGGGAAACCGTTCTTATTATTCAAAGCCGCATCGTAGTTGTTGCGGTAGATGCCAGTGATTTCAACCTCCTCACCAGGCTTGGCTGAATCAATCAGATCCCATAGAAGAATGACTTCTCTGTGGCGAGGCAGACGACCCGCAGGCACAGTTCCTGGCGACTCTTGAAGAGTAATTTTTTGGTAGTTGCGGTAGATAGTCTTCTCGGAGTTGACGGTGAAAGGACCTCGAGACTGGCAGTTTTGACAGAAAGAGATCTTGACTTCAGAGTTAGAGTCTTGTGGGAATGGACCCAGAGTGACTCCGCACTTGGTGCAGTCAAATTTGATGTACTTGAGCTGAGGGAACACACCAGTACGGCGTGTCACAACACCACTGACTCTAACAAGACAATTGAGATGAGACTGACGCAACTCTCTCAAAGTGTAGGACATGGGCAATCCGTTGATTCGCACGTGAATCTCGGATTGGATGGCTTCGTATAGAGGATAGTGGTAGAGAGTGACTTCCATGGCAACACGGTCGAAGATTTTGAGCGTCTCGGTGGGTACGTTGGCGATAAAGTATGCCAGTGTAGGCTTTGACATACTCAGGTGCTCCCAGTCGATTTCTAGAGACTCGCCGTTGTTTTCACCCAGATTGCGGATGCGGACACCATAGACGGAGATACCGTTGTCATCGACGAACTCGGTCAAGAAGGCCTTGAGCTCACGAGCAATACCGCGATGAACGGCAGGTTGTGCAATCCAATCTGTCAGGTTAGAGGCTTTGACATCGGCCAGGCCTTCAGCAGAAAGCTCCTCGGTCATAATATCCTCGGTCATGTCCATATCATCCTGTTCCTCGTCGTATCTGTGTCGCCGCCTACGAGGCTGTCTGGTCAGATCCATCAAGTCGTCTTCGTCCTCGTCCAACGCTACTTGCGGTCTCCTTTGACGAGCAAGCTCGCGATCACGACGATTGAGGCGGGCATCGAGTTGTCTTCTGGCGGCTAGATCCAAGTCGTCGTATTCTCCTTCGTCGTCGATATCCTGGCCTTCATAGAAATCATCTTCGCGGCGTCTGTAATCGTTTTCAAAGTTGTCGCCGAACAAATCAACACCAGCATCGTCTTCCAGCTGTTCTTCGGCATCATCTAGATCAGGGATGAGGTCCTCGTCAGGCTCAATGATGTCGTCGTCATCATCGAGTTCGTCCCGGGGTAGCGGAGGAGGAGAGGATCTGGGAGGACTTGACGGGGGAACAGCAGAGGATGAGCGCATGTGTACATCTTCGTCGTCTCTCTGGCGTTTGCGGCCACCAGCAGCAGCTGATGATTCAGGATGTCCAAGTGGTGAACTGAACAGATGTGAGTCAGAATGCCTCGATTACAGGTGCCACAGAATGACATACCTCATGATTGTGCGATTTTGCAGAACGTATGCGAAATGAAATGACAGGCCTGGGTTTGTTGACTCTGTTACCAGAGCGAATCGGCCAAACAACTTTGGAAGGTGCGCGACCCCACAAAACGCGGCGCGGCGATTTCGTGTAAAGTGCTTCCTAATTAGGAAGGATGCGATGGACCTCCGCGTCGCGCATGAGCACGCATCTTTGTTTCTCACTAACAATTGCAAACATGTCTCAAGATCTCGGAAACTCTCAGACGGCTCAGGAATTTATTGCATCTCAACTCGAGCTCGAGAAAGAAGCTCGAGAGGCACTTCCGTACCAATTCGACACATGCACAAAACCTCTGGGTCCGCTGAGGCAGGCTATCTTTGCTTGTCTGACCTGTAATCCTCCCTCGGGCTCTGATGATAAATCGCACACCTCGGCCGCTGTATGCTACTCATGCGGCATCTCCTGTCATGGCGAACATGAACTCGTCGAGCTCTTCACCAAACGTAACTTTGTATGCGACTGCGGCACCACCAGAGTACCCTCATCCGCTCCATGCACTCTCCGGATCAACGAGTCTACTAGCCAGAAGGGCAGTGTAACTGGCGAAACTCCTGCAGAGAACAACAAATACAACCACAACTTTTCTGGCCGCTTCTGTGGATGTGGAGAACCGTACGATCCTGAGAAAGAGAAGGGTACCATGTTCCAGTGCTTAGGTCTGGGCACGATTGAAGATGGCGGCTGTGGAGAGGATTGGTGGCATCCTGAATGTCTTATGGGCTTACCGAGAGTTCAGCCAACTGATGCTGCTCCCAAGGAAGAGAAGGAAGAGCCGAAGCAGACTGCTCAAGACGAAGAAGCTACTGCACAGCCCGTCGAGGAGCAAGAAGATGTCGATGAGGCACCTTTGCCGCCTGGCTTCCCTGCCGAGGATGACTTTGATCACTTGATCTGCTACAAATGTGTCAACTCATTCCCATGGATCAAGCAATACGCTGGTCAGGAAGGTTTCCTCGGTCCTGTCTACTACAAACAACCTTCAGAGAGGACAGACGACGACACTATAGCTGAAGAGCCCCTCAAGGATGCAGCTCTGTCACCGTCGACCGAGAGCAAGAAGAGAAGCGCAGAGACCGACTCGGAAGCGCCCACGTCTAAGAAGACCAAGGTCGAGTCTGAGGATGGCGTTCAAGGAAATGTCACATCTGACCCTACGAATACAACAACTGCAGACAATGCTCCTCTACACGCTAAACTGTCTGCAGCTCCATCCGGAACCTTCTCCCTTTTCCTCAAAGAAGACTTCCGCTCACACATCTGCCGCTGCCCCTCTTGCTTCCCGAACCTCAAACCTCATCCCCAACTCCTCGAAGAGGAAGAAGCCTACGAACCTCCTGTTTCAGAAAGCGACAACCAAGAAGCACAGAACGGACATGGTGGCAGTGTTGGCTCAGGAAGCACATATGAGCGTGGCGAAGCTCTGCTCAGCAATATGGATCGTGTGAAGGCCATCGAGGGCGTCATGGTCTACAACCATCTACGTGACAAGGTCAAGGCTTTCTTGCAGCCATTCGCTGAGAGTGGGCAGGCTGTGGGTGCAGAAGATATTAAGGCCTATTTCGAGAAGTTGAGAGGTGATGAGGAAGGTATCAGGCTTGCTGGTGCAGGCGCTGGCGCTGGTGCTGCGGATGACAGTTCAGAGGGTGATGCTAGACGTGAGCAGGGAGGTCACTAAACATCAACTCTCTTATTGGATCTTCGAATGGGAAACTGACAAGGAGAGATACCATGGGTCGGTCAGGGAGAGCACAGGCGGTAAAATTGGAATGTAATTTGTACAATTGTTCAGTAATTCTTGGAGCTTAGGTCAACTCTATGAGACCAGCATCCCTTCATTATCATGATCTTACAACTTCACCATTCTTCTTCCTCCTTCCTCTTTATATTCTTACACCAAAGTTTCTCGCCATGTTAACAGTGGCAATGCCCTGAAAGCCAATCCACTCCTTGACGTTCCTCCATGCACCACCCACCACTCTTGCATCTTCTAACCTCCTGTTCAAGAACTCCTCTGTATCTTTGAAGTCCGTACTCTGATCTGTTGTCGAGTATGTCTCCGTGGCGGCATATATCGAACTCAATGTCGCACGCTTGGTGTACCAAGAACTGTCTACTGCCTCATCTCCAGCCAGGAACCAGATTTCGTCGGCAAGAAGGTAGAGTTCTTTTAGCGAGGGAGGGATATTTCCAGCTAGGGACATGAGACCTAGTGCCTGTGATTCCCTCTCTGTTAGTATCCTGTTCTTTCTTCTTTACGTTGTGAGGCAATGCTTACCTCCTGCCACCTCCCCTGCACACCAACCTCCACATTGCCCCTCAATCTCTCCATAACCAAGCTCCTAACCTTGCTCGTCATCCCCAAACCCGCTTCCTCGGGAAACTGCACCTTGTCTTTTAATCCCAATCGCTGTGTCCGTAGATGGTACAACACTAATTCAAACTCGGCTTTGGGAAACAGATTCGTGGATACATCTAGGTATCCTGCGTCGCGGGCGCCTTGACGCAGTGATGATGTTGTCCAACCCAGGGTAGGTACGTGCGGTAGTGCAGCAGACAAGATTGCGGTTTCGGTGGGTGGGTAGGGTGGTGGCAGAGGTGTTTCATAGCTGTAGTATGTGCGACTTGTGCAGAGGCGAGGGAGTGTTGATGCGTGGAGGAGTTTGCGAGTTGCTGGTGTTCGTAGTACTTGAGACATCTTGGGTTGTGTGGTTGGTTGATGTTCAAGGTAGAAATGGAGGCAAGGCTTCTTCTTGTCGCAGGGAATCTTTGGTTTCGTCGATGTCATCGGCGAGTTCTCCGCTTGCTTTGATGCCAAGGCTGGACTATACCGATACATGGACTATGCCTGATGAATATATTCTTTGAGATATTTCAAGCAGTAGCTGTTACACCCAAGAAGTGTTTCACTCTCGTTATATGGTTTTGAATAGTCGTCACGAGGTTTTGGTCTTCGAGTGTGCTCTTGGTATCAACTGAAAGCATGCCTTCTTCTCAGAAAACAGGACTCCGGAAGGAACATGGCCGTTGGAAGGCAGACATAGAACCAAACCACTGAAAACCACCAAGGTCTAGTATGTGTATTTGCTAGGTTGTTCGAGAACATGAAAATAGTCATAAATAAACGTTGTTGTCGCGAAACATGGCGATGTAAATCAGAGCAGGGTCATCCGTCCTGCAGCTTTGACTTGGGAATTCACCATGACCAAAAACATCCTCCCCGTGTGCTAAAGACAGTCACAATCTCGCAACTAAGAATATCTTCTCTACCCAAGGTATAGGGTGTTATTACATGCCAGTATAATGCACAGTTGCAGTTAAAACATAATTCAGACCATAGAGATAGCCTTTGATGAGGTCCTCTCTATGGAGACTACATTCTTTATGAGAATATTGTGCATTTCTATAGCTGCACTGTGGGGGAGGTAAGATTGGCAGCTGATGGCAACGAAGGATTGGCATGGTTTGACAGCACATCTCGACTAGTGTTAGTAACAAAAGCTTGCTTCGTAACAAGCTACCCAAGCAACTGAGGGGAGCTTGGCCAGGATAGCTTGACCCTGGAGATCTAGACCGATGGAAAACCATTGTGGCCGCAGCAGCAAATAATGAGGCTTGCTTTATGATGGTCCGGTCGGCAGGCTGAGCATCGCTGTAGACAGATAGATTCAGCCACAAAAACAAGAAAGATGACCGCGCCATGTTGACAAACCAATCCGTGCGCTTGAAATGTACGACCTTCGTATTCGATGTTGTGATTGGTGACGTGAGGTGGATTCTAGAACGATGCGGTCAAACCTCAGCTAGGAAGAGCTCTTTAATCAGCCCTGTACACCACTTGTCTTCTTCACTACTCTTCTCACTCATCCTAAACACTCTCCTTCCATTCCACACAACCATCGCGCACACAATCCACACATCACAATTTACATTTCACAACCAACCATCATGGGCTTACTTGGCAATTTGATCAACGAGTTCACCCACCAGGGCCAGAGTGGTAGCGGCGGCCAGCAGGGTGGCTACAACCAAGGTGGCTACGGAGGAAACAACTACAACCAACCTCAAGGCAACTACGGCGGTCCCCAGCAAGGATACGGTGGCCCGCAACAGGGCTATGGCGGCCCACAGCAAGGCTACGGTGGTCAACAAGGCTACGGCGCTGGCCAAGGCACACCTCAGGTCCCACCTCCATGGCGCGCCGTCTGGGATGACCGTGAGAACCGCTGGCTCTTCATCAACGAGCAGAACGGTGAACGCACTTTTGAGCACCCTGGTCGCACTGGTGGATATGGCGGTGGCTATGGAAGCAGCTACAATCAAGGTCCTCCTCAACGCCAGTACGGTGGCTACCAGCAACAGCAGCCTCAGCAGAAAAAGAATCACAACATGGCATACGGAGCTTTGGGTGCCGCAGCTGGACTTGCTGGTGGTGCATTGCTCATGCACGAAGGTCACGAAGTCAAGGAAGATTGGGAGGAAGACAAGTACAGAGCCGAGGCGAAGTTCGACCGCTTCGAGAACCGCGTTGACGACATCCCTGAGGATGCAGCCCGCTGGACAGGCCGCAAGGTAAGTCTTTCTCATCATCTCGTTAGTTGATCACCTGCTGATTGTTCTCTGCACAGGTCGGAGAAGTCGAAGACATCCCCCAGGACATTGAGAACGATTACGACCGCGCCAAGTACGGTATGGAGAATCGCTGGGACAACGCCAAACAGGATGTTGAAGATATCCCCGACGACGTTGCTGGCTTCGTTGGAGAAGGTGTTGGCAGGGTCGAGCGCTGGGGAGACGATGTCGACAGATTTGGCGACAACATGGATAACGCCTACGACCAAGGCAGAGATGACGAGCGCTACGGGGACGACAATGATCGTTGGTAAAGCATTGATTGGATATCCATCTCAATCAATCCCGACACTTTTATGACCCAGCTTTACGACAGCATTGTTGCGACTCGAATGCATTCAGCTTGATAGCCTTGACCTATGTCATATTTTACATTCATCCTCCCCGTGTGCTTGGAAAGTCACAGAGTAGCTATAGAAATGCACAATATCTTTCCTGAAAGATGTTGTCTCCACAAAGAGGACCTCATTGGAGGCTATCTCAATGGCTAAGCTTGTATATTCGAATTACAATTGTGCATTTCGATAATCGGACTGTGACTGTCTTTAGCACACGGGGACGTAGCATCTCCCACCTGACAAAGTGGTGGTGTTGACATGAAGCCAGGCTCAGAACTGTTGTTCACTAAGCCCCTTCGCAGACCAGAAGTCTTTCGACCCAAGACTGTGCGCACCTTGTTCTACCTGTAGACCTCAACGTGAATCAGGGATGCTCTGCGCTGTCCGAATGTTGACGGGTTTGTCGAAGATAGTCGTCTCTAGCTTGAACCGATAGATGAGAACCTGCAGATCATCTTCATCTTGGTGATTCTAGCAGGGCCAGCCTCGAAATCCGTAGTTCATGTGCTTGCCAAATTACATTTGAGGGTCATTATCTTGCCAGGCCTTCAATGTCTCTTTCCATACTGCTGACTCTTGACTGAAGTGCCCTCTTCTTGTCTTCGAGAGCACGAATTTCTTCTTCTTCATTCACGAGGTCATCTTTGCTCATATAGACTGTAGGTTCGAAGTGATCATCTTGGTAGTCATAGTCGTCTTGATCATAATCATCGTGGTTCTGATGCAGATTGTCCAGCTGGGCAGATTGCATTGCGACTCGTTCTTCGTAATGCGCAATGTTGGCACTTAGTTGTGCATATCGGTTTCTTAACTCGCCAATCCTGTCGAAGGCACCTGGGATAGGACTGTCACAACCATATCAGGACAAAGTAACACACCCCTCTGGCAAGTAAACGTACTAGACTCTACAAAGCTTCTCTGCACCTCGCAGTAGAAGCTCGACATCAATGTCACCCTTGGATTGTTTTCCACTATGACCAGTCCTAGTCTTGCGATACAAGTCTCCACCGAGGACTGCAGCGACAGCAGTATGGCGACGAGGTGGTCTTTGAGTGTTTGTCGTAGAAATTGATCGAGAGGCAGAAGTTGTGAAGGTCGAAGATATCTGCTGGATCTGGGACTTGGAAGGAACCGGGGGAGGAGCAATAGAGAAGAGGGCGCGTTCGTGTTGTTCGGTATCTCTGATCAGAGCGGTGATGTCGTGGTGGGTAAGAAGGGCATTGGTGAACGGTTTTGGTCGCGAGAATGGAAGGTCGGAGATGGATGAAGCACAGATGGATATTTGATCCAGATGCGACGACAGTAGAGACGATGTCATGGTTGTAGATGTTGGTGGAAAGTGTGGTGAAGAATTAAACAAAAATAATGCTGGTAAACAAATGGCGGGCTCGCATGTGATGATGGCAGCCAAAGTGAGCTCCGACTTGCTTGGCTCTTTCCGTCATCGCCATCGGCCTTCGAACAGCACCATCAGCTCTCAACTCCGCGAAGAGGCAACTCCATCAACTCACTTCATCCACACAAAACCACGCGCTACCTCTATCCTCTCACACTCTCTCGTCTCTGTGTCCAAAGATCAACATGGCCGACAAGATGGAAGGCGTCGAGGTCGCCTCAGCTCCTGTCGACAGCGCTCCTACCGCCGAGCAGCTCTCACAATGTACTTTGCTCCATCACATATGATTGTGCCTTCTGCTAATATCCAATATCAGCCATAATCGCCAACTTTGCCCTTCTCGACCAAGCAGTTGCTCGCTTCGATGGACGCTTCACCCTCCGTGTACTTCGCTCAATATCGAGCATGCGCAAGAGCCCTCAGCTCCTTGACGCCCTCTCGACCGCCGTTGCTTCGCTGTACGCCTCACACCAAGACTCGCCCGACAAGCGCTTCCTGGAGTCTGCTCTCCAAAAGACTTCCTCTGCTCATGCCAATGGCAATGCATCCAAGGACGGAGATGTCCTTCCCGAATCATTCATCTACCTGGCTGTCCTGATCCAGGTATAAACTTCCCTACCACACTTTCGGTAATCAAGCCTCTAACATCTTCTACCAGGTCTACCTTTACGATGCGCAAAAATACTCACACGGTGCCGAGTTCTCATCTGCTTTGGTCGACAGAGTACGAGAGTACAACCGCCGCACATTGGACTCGCTCGCCGCAAAGTCCTACTTCTATTACCACCTCTTCCACGAGCAGCTCGACCCTAAGCCGCCATCTAAGCAATCGCCCGTCATTGCCACGAGATCAAAGCTTCTGGCCGCTCTCCGTAGCGCAGTCTTGCGCAAGGACAACGATACCCAATCTGCTGTCATTGTTCTTCTCCTCCGCAACTACATCTCCACCGCCGACATCAACCAGGCCGATCTCTTGGTCAACCAGACCTCATTCCCGCCGAACGCCCCTAACAACCAAGTCTGCCGTTACCTCTACTACCTTGGCCGCATTCGCGCAATTCAACTATCATACACTGCAGCTCATGAGCACTTGACAAGTGCCACTCGCAAATCCCCGACCAACAACGTTGCTGCTGGCTTCTACCAGTCGGCGATGAAGCTCTTGATAGTTGTCGAGCTCTTGATGGGTGACATTCCCGATAGAGCCATCTTCAGACAGCCCTCCCTCGAGCGTGCTCTCTATCCCTACTTCCGTCTGGTCCAGGCCGTGCGTGTTGGTGACCTGCAAGGTTTCGTTCGCGTTGTCGAGGAGAACGTAACTCAGTTCCGCCGTGACGGCACCTACACCCTGATTCTCCGCTTGCGTCAAAATGTCATCAAGACCGGTGTGCGCATGCTTTCTCTGTCATACTCTCGCATTTCGTTACGCGACATCTGTCTGCGTCTCGGTGTTGAGAGCGAGGAATCTGCCGAGTACATCGTCGCAAAGGCCATTCGCGATGGTGTCATTGAGGCAACCCTTGATCACGAGCACGGTTTCATGGAGTCCAAGCAGGCAGGAGACATTTACGCGACAAGAGAACCCGCCGAAGCTTTCCACGAGCGTATCAAGGCTTGTCTGAGCATTCACGACGAATGTGTGATGGCCATGAGATATCCTATGAACAAGCACAGACAAGAGCTGAAGAATGCTCAGGAAGCTCGCGAAAGAGAACGCGAGCTTGCCAAGGAGATTCAGGATGGCGACATGGACGAAGATGATGCTGGCGAGTTTGAGGGCATGTGAGCATCAAAATGCATATAGATACGCGACTCGACTATGTAAGATCAAGATGTGCCTGGGCGGAGAACAGAAGTGGAGTGTTTCATGAGCAGCATGGCGTCCGCCGGTTGGTGCATAGAACATCTTTTTCAGCAAAATAATGACAACCTTTCCCGTTTAGAAACATGTAGCCGTCCATTTGTGTGTCCAAGTGAAGAGCTACTGTATTCCAAGTATCTCCCTCGCTCGTTGTTCCAGTGATGAGCTTGGACCAAGCAGTCAGACATCCAACCACCAGCTTTCCTTGTGCCTATCACCTCCCAGCCACCTCGACAACCTGTTGCACACCGTATTGTTGTCTTTGCTTTGGTGCAGTTGCCGCCCTGCTTTCTCCTGACTGACGTAGACTTCACTATATTTGCCATTCGGGAAAACAGATGGCTGGAGGTAGTATCACGCTATTAATCATTTTGCTTTCTCACCATGACTTTTTGCCTACCATTTTCACATACACTTTTGTTCGTCGTGGTCTTCGTGTTGTTTTTACCTTCCTAGCATTTTTATCCATCCACCGTGACCGTTGAAAATGCTGAACCCGTCACACATACTCAGCCTACAAGCGTCAACACGACTAATAGCCCTTGTCACGATTGCATCTTCCGCCTTCACACATACTGCCCGCGCTCAAACAACGAGTAGCTGCAATCCAACACAACAGAATGGCTGCCCTGCTGACCCAGCGCTTTCAAAGTCAATCAACATCGACTTTACCTCTGGCGAATCAAACCAATTTACAGCATCCGGCTCACCAACATATGACTCGAATGGTGTATCATTTACGGTCGCTCAGTCAGGCGATGCACCCATGCTGACATCAAATTGGTACATCATGTTTGGCAAGGTCGAAGTGACCATGAAAGCTGCTCCTGGACAAGGAATAGTCAGTAGCTGCGTACTACAATCAGATGACCTGGATGAGATTGATTGGGAGTGGATTGGAAACCAGCAAGATCAAGTACAATCCATCTACTTCCGGAAAGGTGATGCTTCGACATCGGGACGTGGCGCAGCTTTTCACATGGAGAATCCTACAGAAGCCTTTCATACTTATACAATCGACTGGACATCGACAGAACTGGTCTGGCAGGTGGACGGAAAGACGCAGCGTGCATTGAAAGCTACCGATGCTGGTGATCAATACCCTCAGACGCCTATGATGATCAAGCTTGGTATATGGAGTGGTGGTGATCCGTCGAATGCTCCCGGTACAGTCGCGTGGGCAGGAGGAAGTACCGACTATGCAGCAGGGCCGTACACGATGGTCGTTCAATCCATGTCAGTCACCGACTATTCGACTGGCAAGTCTTACACATACTCAGACCAGACTGGAAGTTGGACAAGTATCAAAGCAGCTGGAGGATCGATCAATGGAGGCTCGACAAATGTTGATACTTCGGCACCTGCTATTACTTCGGTTGTAAGCGGTGCCGTTCCATTTGAAGGGACTCACCGCACCTGGTCTTCGGTCTCGACCCCAGGTATCGGCAACTGGAGAGCCACGGCGTCCGGCATGACCAGCACGGTAGCCACCACGTACCCCGGACTACCCAGCGGATGGACAGTAAACGGTGATGGTAAAGTTGTTCCTCCAAGCAAAGCCACCACAGGTGAGTCACAGGACCTAGAACACGACCCCTTGAGCTTAGATACTGACCAGCTCTACAGTTTCGATACCTCTCCGGATGGTTCTACTCCTCAGCTGCAGCCTCTCTTTGGGCTTTGCCATGGGCTTCTTGATGTGAAGATTCTGCTGAAAACCCCGCTTTCTTACGGAACAAGTCGCGATTTCCCCAATTCCTATTGATAATATTCGTAATGGAAAGTCTCATTCAGAGGAATGCCAACGGACAGACCCTCAGTCGCTCCACGAAAGCCGTTTGCCCCGCAAATGAGGATCGAGGGGGAGGAGCCATGTGAGCAGTCCTGGGGAATAAAACCACTTCGTTTTATGGCGTAGGCTTGGCTAGCATCAAACTATGACTAAAAATACGTAACAGAGTATGTAAAAATGAGCTCTTTGAAGAGACGAAAACAAGACAGTTGTTCCGATCGGAGGATGAGGGATATGGTGGTAAGAGGGTTATGTATGACTGCAAACACCATTCACTCTATACAGCCTTGATTGAAGCCAGGAAAATGGGCTTGCGGGCCAATTATGCCCGGTCCTATAGTCCGTCTATAACCGCGTAGTAGGGCGTCTAGGGCGTGAAGCTCTAGAAAAAGGCGCAGCAGTTTTGCTTGCGCGGGCCGAACATTTCGGTAGCGCTAAAATTTCCCCAGATCGTCTGTTTACGCTAGCGCCTCCGAGCCCCCGAGGTGATCAGGTACCAAGTGGGTATGCCGCGAGTATGCGAGAAAAAGTGGTCGAGTTGCAATTGACAATGATGCCATGTGACTGAGAGACGTTGGTATATATATAGAGCTGCTGCCAGGTCAGAGGGCCTGAGCCATTTACCGCTTGTTTCAAAACAGCTTCTCCTTGTTGTTATTGTTAAGGCCGCGTCTTTGTCGTGCGTCATTTTGAGAAACCTCGATCTATTCAAAAGGTTCTTGTTCCTGCTCCTTCTGAAAATCTCCTGAACCGTACCTTCCTCCGCAGCTGCTTGTTATTCGCAGCTACTTCGGCCTAGCTTGTCTCCGGTCTATTATAAACTGGCGTCTTACGCCCGCCGAGCTTCTCATTCCGACATCCACCTTTCTTCATCAAGGTGTTCCATCATAACACCATGTCGAGCCCAACTACCAATGGCCTTGCCAACGGCAATGGTGTCCCACACAACAAAGCTCTCGATCATGTCATCAGGCCCGCTGACAGACAACCCTCACCCCAACCTACACATTTGAGTGTTCCTGGCGCTTCAAGTCATTCCCGCGTCTTGAGCGAGCAGGGCTCTGGCTACGAAGCTCCCAAGTTCGAGGGCAAGACTCAACAAATGGAGGAGTAAGCACATTATGCAAGCTATCTCACAAGGACGTGCATTTAATTCGTATGCAGAGTCATGGACAAGATTGAAGCCAAGGGCTTCCTTCCTCCAGAGTTCGTCGAAAGTGAGACCCAATGGTTCTACAACGAACTGGGCATCGATGACATGTACTTCTCAACCGAGACTTCTGATGCGTAGGCGATTTCTTACACTGCATGTTTACTTGGCAACCACTAACTTTTTGCAGCATTGTCAGCCACATCCACTCGCTATACGCAGCCAAGGTTGCTGCATTTGCCAGAGATGACAAGCAGCTCGAGATTCGCCTCGACAAGGAAGCTACCGACCACGCTGTCTTCATCGATACCAGCAAGCCCGGTATCACCTCTGTTGGTGGACCTCGCTACGAGCAACGTATCGATGAGAAGTACCTCAACAACTCGAAGGGTGCCAACAGCTACCGTGTCGAGACATTCAGATCGTCTAGCAAATTGCCTGGTGATCTCGATCAGCAGCTGAGATGCTACTTCGTCTACCAGTGCTCTTTCGAGCAGCCCAGCGCCAGCCCCGAGGAGACCAACCTCGATCTGATTTCCGACAAGAGATTCCTCCAGAAAGCTACCAAGAACACTCGCGACATCTACCAACACATTCTTGAGTCGGCGGTCGCTAGAACTGGCCCCGTCATTGAGCTCTTTGAGATTAAGGGCTCAAGAGAAAAGAGATTGGTTATTGCATACAAGCAGGGCTCAGCCTTGGGTCTCTTCAGCGCCCTTAGTGATCTTTATCACTACTACGGCCTGACCTCATCTCGCAAGTACGTTGAGCAGTTCTCCAACGGATACACGATAATGTCGTTGTACCTTCGTCCTGTGCCTGGACCTGAGTCCAACATGCACCCTCCCATTGAGGCCTCCATTCACCAGATCATGAAGGAAGTCTCTCTGCTGTACTGTGTACCTCGCACCAAGTTCCAGAACCACTTCGCGACTGGCAATCTCAGCTTGCAGGAGACCATCTACGCGCACTGTGTGTGGGTCTTTGTCAGCCACTTCCTGAACCGTCTTGGTTCTGAGTACAACACCCTCAGCGCAATCCTGGACGCGAACAACAGTGTCCATGCTGAACTGCTTTCAAAGCTCAAGCGTCGTCTGCGTACCGAGACCTTCACCTCAGACTTCATTCTGGAAATCATTCAACAATTCCCTGACCTGGTCAAGGCTCTGTACCTCAACTTTGCCAATGCCCATTATGTTCAGACTCGTGACCAGGATGATTTCTTACCGACTCTGAGTTACCTTCGTTTGAAGGTCGACAAGGTTCTGAGCGATACCGAACTCAAGAACCTGATTTCGACCACCTGCCAGAACGAGCATCAAGAGATGGTCATGACAGCCTTCCGTGTCTTCAACAAAGCTGTTCTGAAGACCAACTACTATACACCCACCAAGACTGCTCTTTCGTTCCGCTTGAACCCCTCTTTCTTGCCTGTCGAGGAGTACCCCCAGCCTCTTTACGGTATGTTCTTGGTCATCAGCTCTGAGTTCCGTGGCTTCCATCTCCGTTTCCGCGACATCGCTCGTGGTGGCATCCGTATCGTCAAGTCTAGAAGTCCTGAGGCATACGACATCAATGCCCGCTCGCTCTTTGATGAGAACTACAACCTGGCAAACACTCAGCAAAGAAAGAACAAGGATATCCCTGAGGGTGGTTCCAAGGGTGTCATTTTGCTTGATGTTGAGCACCAAGAGAAGGCCAGTGTGGCTTTCGAGAAGTACATCGACAGTATTCTCGATTTGCTCCTTCCACCCACTAGTCCTGGTATCAAGGATCCCATTGTCGACCTTCACGGACAGCAAGAAATTCTGTTCATGGGCCCCGATGAGAACACTGCTGAACTGGTCGACTGGGCTACTGAGCACGCCAGAGCCCGTGGTGCCCCTTGGTGGAAGTCATTCTTCACCGGCAAGAGCCCTAAGCTTGGTGGCATTCCTCATGACAGCTACGGCATGACAACTCTGTCTGTTCGCGAGTATGTCTTGGGTATCTACCGCAAGCTTAACCTTGACCAAAAGAGCATGAGAAAGCTTCAAACCGGTGGTCCCGACGGCGATCTGGGAAGCAACGAAATCCTTCTTGGACAAGAGAAGTACACCGCCATTGTCGATGGTGCGGGTGTCCTCTTTGACTCCGAAGGTCTCGACAGAGAAGAATTGCTCCGCTTGGCCAAGAAGCGTGCCATGATTAATCAATACGATGTCTCGAAGCTCTCACCCCAAGGTTACAGAGTCCTGGTTGAGGAGAACAATATCACTCTTCCTTCGGGTGAAGTCGTGAACAACGGCATGGCATTCCGTAACACCTTCCATCTGCGCCAGGAGGCTTACGACGTCTTCGTACCCTGCGGTGGTCGCCCTGAGTCTATCAACCTGAACTCGGTCAACAAGCTCATTGTTGATGGCAAGTCGATTATTCCTTACATCGTTGAAGGTGCCAACCTCTTCATCACTCAAGACGCCAAGCTTCGTCTTGAAAAGGCTGGCTGTATCCTCTTCAAGGATGCATCTGCTAACAAGGGTGGTGTCACATCGTCTTCTCTTGAGGTTCTGGCTTCATTGTCGTTCGACAATGCTGGCTTCATTGAGAACATGTGTGTACACGAAGATGGCACTACTCCAGAGTTCTACAAGGCATACGTCAAGCAAGTTCAACAAACAATCTGCAACAACGCTAGACTAGAGTTTGAGGCCATCTGGAGAGAGAGCGAGGCCACTGGCATTCCCAAGAGTGTCCTCAGTGACCGTCTGAGTACCGCCATCACTAACCTCGACGAGGAACTTCAGAACACTGAGCTCTGGGACAATGTTGAGCTTCGCAGATCAGTACTCAAGGATGCCCTCCCCGGCTTATTGCTGGAGAAGATTGGTCTTGATCTCATTATCGAGAGAGTAAGTCATTTGCACATAAACATACTATAATCATCGTGCTAATCAATCCGGTAGGTTCCTGAAAACTACCTGCGCGCCATCTTCGGCTCATACTTATCATCCCGCTTCATTTATGAGCGCGGCATTTCGGCCAGTCAATTCGCCTTCTTCTCTTTGTAAGTCTGCCGATTGGAATGTACCAAGATGAACAAGCGGCTAATTATCAATTTAGCATGAACGAGCGTATGGCCAAATTGCGCTCATGAGCTTTGAGGAATGTGTCGTGTCTCTGAGGCCTCAACAGCAGGCCGGTCTTCTGCATTCTTCCGGCAGACAGACTCAAAAGTTATAAACAAATAATCATGCCGTGACGGTCAGGTGTTTGGGAGGTCATTTGCTTTATTTGCTGGTACTTCATACCTCCAGTTCATCGTAGCTTTCTACTGCTATATTTACTTGCTACAATTTCAAAAAGTATTTCATCAAGTTATTGGGTTGTTATTCTACTGTGGATATTCTTTGTAAGTTGACCTTCTGATTCTTCAAAGCTGTTGAGTTGTCAGACAGCTAGCCTCCTCGTGTACTAAACACCGTACTCCGGGACAGCTGAGAGCAAATTGTAGACTATGAAAAGGCACAATGTTTTCGAAGTCGGAGGGGTATCCGCTGAGAGGCAACAAGATGTCGACTCTCCGTGGACATGCCTCTGCTCCCCAAAACAATTGTGTCGTTTTATAGATATGCATTATATACTTTAGTACACGGGGAGGACGGACTGGGCGAGGTCTAACTCATGTGTCGCTTCTCCAATTGCCCGTCGCTGCTTGTTCTATATTGAAGTCAGTCACATACTAACGCAAGAAAGGCACCACTCGCTACCATGGCGCCTAAGAAAAAAGTAGAACGCACAGCAGCCTCGTCTCGGCCAAAACGGACCCCCAAACCAACCACTGTTGCCACATCTTCGGCTCCTGCTCCAAAGCCCAAGAAGAAGACGACTGCTAGCAAGAAAGCAGCAGCGACCAAAGTCACCAAGAAGACTGCTCCAAAGAAGGCTGCCACTAAGAAGTCTGCGCCTAAGAAGGCAGGAGCAATCGCCAAAAAAGGTGCCCAGAAGGCATCCACTGCAAAGTACGAGAAATGGGTTATCCCACCTTACGAAAACCCACATGGTCCCGTTGAAGGCCAGAAGAGGATTGACGCGAGAAAGAAAAAGGAAGCCGAGGCGTCAGAGAAATACAAACACGAAAACATTGGGTCTCGATACACTCCATCAGTGATCAAGGAGCTGAAGAAAGACTACGAAGAAGGTGTTTCCAAGGGCGAGTGGGAAAAAATGGGCTTCGACAACTTCCTCAAGACTTACAAGGGGTTTGACGCACAAGCCTGGGACAAGGCCCACGAGCGCAAGATTGGCAATATCGAGGGTGACTATACCAGCAAACAGGCCGACGCCATGATCAAAGATATGCATGCCAGGCGGGAGAAAGGCGAGATCCCTCACATCCTCACCATCACTGATTACCTATACTGGAAAGAAATCGACAAGGAGCGAGCCAAAATCATTGCAAAGTACAAGGCCGACTACAAAAAAGAGCAAAAAAAGAAGCAGGGAAACGCCAGTGCTGTCAGTTCTCCAGTCAAGAAAGTGCAGAACAGCATTGTTAATGCGAGTCCAGTCAAGAAAGCCCAGGATGCATTGACGAGGAGTAGGTCCAAAAGTCCTGAGAAACAGAAGAAGATTCGGAGTCATGATAGTGGTCATCAGGCTGATAATGAACAGCAGAGTGTTATGAGTAGGACTTGGGAGCTTGCTGCTAATGCTGTCGAGGCTATGAGGAGTGCGGTTAACCCGGAGTAGTTGTGTCAGTGGATCTCTTTTGTTACTTGGTTTTCGTAATGTCTAAGTTCATGTGCTTCTCTTGCCAACATTGAAAATAATGCTTTGCGTGTTGAGATATAATGCTTTGCATATCGAAATATAATGCTTTGCGTGTGTCATGTCTTGTAACTCCTGTCAATAATCTCATCTTACCTGTGGCGCATAGATGTCAGGAGCAATTTTCAATTCTGCATACTTGCAAAGAGCCTGTGCACTATCAATCAAACACCCCAATCCGTGTTGTGAATGCTCAAAGAAGCAAATATTGAGGCCTCGGAGAGGGATGAGTTGCCCGCACTTCGGAACAGTTCCATGGTCAGCAACCCGTACGCACCCGAGAAAGCCGACGAGGTTCCCCACAGGATCTCCACAGATCAAGTTCAAGGTTCGAGGCAAGGATTTAGATGCAAGATGTCGTGTGCAAGTGATTCTGTATGAGTGGAAGAGGTTGTTTGAGAAGGGCAGGCAAACAAGCAGAGGCCCACAAGATGCGGATCAGATGTTACACCAAGAGCAGGTCAGGTCTGTTTGTGTGTCGCTGACTGGGAAACGAGCATATTCGGCAGTCGGTCATTAGTGCTCGTGATTTGTGGCTTCTGTACAGCGTGACTCCTCATGATCTCGTCAGCCCCTGGAAAGTGTATCGGCTTCAAGCTATGAGGCCTTATTAAAGAGATGGACCAGTAGCACTCGTCTCTCGAGGTGCTACCGTTGATAAGAAGGAGAGAAGGCCGAGGGACGAGAAAGAAGTGTACTGGGCAAAATTAGCGCGACCCACGTTACGTCGGTCGGCATTAAGAGTCGACTAAACAGCGCAGCATCTGAACCTGAAATCAACCGGGTCTCTGGTCATCACAACCACAGCTTGTTCTCGTGGACCAATGCCTTGTCCTCACGCTCGCTATCACCCAAATATTTGCGTATCCTAAAACCTTCTCCTCGACCTCTTCTCGGCGTGTCCTTAGCATTGCGACTCGGCGTCGACTCACCAAGATCGGCATTCTACTACGAACGCGAGCGACAAACTTAGCACACGCGAGAGCGCAGTAGTGCAATTCTCTCACTTCTGGACGCAGCTTCAACCTAGTATATCTTGATCTCGTTGCCTCTGGACCGACGAGGATACGTCTCATATCCCCAAAGAAGTCTTCTCAACATCCCCAATGTCTGGCATCACACCGTCAAAACCGTGGGACGGTACAAGAGAATGGTTCTCACAACCAGTAGTCGCATCTTTCATTGCTGGAGGTGTGGCAGGTGCTGTATCGCGAACCGTCGTGTCACCACTTGAGCGTCTCAAGATTCTCTTCCAGATCCAGAGTGTCGGACGTGAAGAATACAAAATGTCAATAGGCAAGGCTCTGGGCAAGATGTGGCGCGAAGAAGGATTCCGTGGGTTCATGGCAGGCAATGGTACAAACTGCATTCGCATTGTGCCTTACTCGGCTGTGCAATTTGGAAGTTACAATTTCTACAAGCGGGTATGCGATGCGCCTTTGGCTCTTGTCTGTGGTCATGATCCTATGCTGATCTCTTCTAGTTCTTTGAAGATACCCCTGGTGCTCCCCTCGGTGCTATTCAGCGTCTTTCATGCGGTGCGATCGCCGGTATTACCTCAGTAGTATTCACCTACCCCCTCGACATTGTCCGAACACGACTCTCGATTCAGTCAGCCTCGTTCGCAGGCCTAGAAAAAGCAGAAGCTGGAAAGAAGCTACCAGGAATGTGGCCGACGTTGGTCAAGATGTATAAAACAGAAGGTGGTTTCTTCGCGCTGTACCGCGGTATAATCCCAACAGTTGCTGGTGTTGCGCCATACGTAAGAACTTCCCGCGATTGATATACGCCTGCAGAGCTGACTTTTGAAAGGTTGGACTGAACTTCATGGTCTACGAAACTGTTCGCAACTCGTTTACCCCAGAAGGCGCAGACAATCCCAGCGCTCTAGGAAAGTTAGGTGCAGGTGCTATCTCAGGAGCTGTTGCACAAACATGCACATATCCCTTGTAAGTCTTGTGTTGACTCGAGCGAACAAGCAGGCGCTGATTGATACTTGCAGCGACTTGCTTCGCCGAAGATTCCAGATCAACACCATGTCAGGCATGGGCTACCAGTACAAATCGATCTTCGATGCCGTTAGAGTGATTGTCAAGCACGAAGGTCTCAAGGGCCTTTACAAGGGCATTGCGCCTAACCTCCTCAAGGTCGCTCCCAGTATGGCTAGCAGTTGGCTGAGTTTCGAGCTCACGCGTGACTTCTTCGTTGGTCTAAAACCAGAAGTATAAGACCGACACGACTTCTTTTCTTCTCTGTCCAATCCCCTTCTTGCCCGTCTATATTTTGCTTGGACGACTCAGTTTGAGCGGAGGGTCACATTACAAAAATGCATGATGAAACATGTTTGCAATATCTTTCTTTTGTTCATTGACAGAAAAAAACCACGGCGTCTTGGGATACACAGTTTTCCTGAACCACCAGGCATCGCACGGAGTTTTAGGCGCACGGGAGGCAAGAGATGTGATGTAGTTGACCTAGATATGGAAGGCAGAGCATTGTATTGGCGCAAAGCCTTGAGGTGTACTTGGTGTGTCGCGTCGCATAGAGTGTGCATTTTGTGGAGATAAAATGTGCAACAGCTTGACAAGGCCGTGACAAGGCATACTGAGAACGTCACTACCAGTGGGTAGAGCAAGTCAATGACATCAAAACTACTCTTGCCGTAATCAAATACCTGTTCAGAATGTATACAGTGATTAATAGTCATGAATCGTTCACTTTCTGTGCAAAAGATTGATGTTGGCAAGTGGCAGAAACTGAGATCTGGCTTGGCGGGTAAACTCCGGTCAATTCGCCAACAAACGCTCGGGCCCGTTGCACCACGCACTTGCCAAATTTGCTGCGTCGACTTCTGCGCTCTTTCCTTGGACGAGACGACGAGACGACTTTTTCGACAACCATCCTCCCGGTCGACTAGCAGAAAACATGGGTATCGATCTTGACCACCACCACGTCCGTTCGGGCCACCGCAAGGCTCCCAAGTCGGACAACCCCTACACCGCTCTGCTGGTCAAGCTCTACAGATTCTTGAGCCGTAAGGAGCCCCTTCCAGAAGACAGCCATCGAAGCAAACGCCCATCCTGCACCGCCAGCAGCCGATTCCGCATGCATTGAATGAGAAAGAGAACGAAACTTGGCTGCTGCTGCGGTGCTGTTTGAATACGCGCGACCGCAACGATTCTTTGGCTGCGAGAAAACCTACAAGAGCGCAGGGCTGACATTTTTTGCGCAAAGGCCGTACCGACAGCAAGTTCAACGCCACTGTCCTCCGTCGCTTGATGATGAGCAAGATCAACCGCCCTCCTATGTCGCTCTCCAAGATCGTTGCCACTGCTGCCAACAAGCACTCCAGCAAGGCTCACGAGGGCAAGACCATCGTCTTGGTCGGCACCGTCACTGACGACAACCGTCTCCTTGAGCTCCCCAAGCTCTCGATTGCCGCCCTCCGCTACACCAACACTGCCCGCGCCCGCATTGTCGCCGCTGGTGGTGAGGCCTTGACCATCGATCAGTTGGCCATGCGCGCCCCTACCGGTGCCAACACCCTCCTCCTCCGTGGCCCCAAGAACGCCCGTGAGGCCGTCAAGCACTTCGGCTTCGGTCCCCACTCTCACAAGGCACGTCAAATCATCTTCCTGTTTCGCAAACAGCTACAGCAGCAGCACACGTCCCGGATGTACACATATACTAACAATCTCTGCAGAAGCCTTACGTCGAGAGCAAGGGTCGCAAGTTCGAGCGTGCCCGTGGTCGCAGACGCTCGAAGGGTTTCAAGGTGTAAGCAATTTACACTGTTGGGATCGGGGTGTTATTCATGGGGTTCAAAATGGCTGTCTCTGGGTGATATCAATCATGAGGCGAGACATGATGAGATTCTCTTTGCTAGCGAATTTAAGCATCTTCCGGGACAAATTGGTTGGTGTTACAAAAAAAGCGCCGTTTTCGCAAAAAGGAACAACAACGATCAAATGGCAATATTTCATGACGTGACTGCAATACCGCTGTCCCCATGCTTCGAGAGTCTGTCCGTCCAATGTCATTATCGATCGAGAGGCACTTTTACTCCTGCCAATTTGTCCACCAAAAACTTTCAATTACTTCATTCACTCTTCCAGACTCTATCATCTAGGTGTTTTGTCTCTTGTGATATCTTGCATGCATGTTGAATTGATCACTCTGACTCGTCTTCCGACTGCTCGCAAACACAAACCGCAAGCAGACGAGATCGACCCTCAGAATTTGACTTTAGCAGTCATATTTCTTGGCGCTCAAACATTTACATAGAATCACTATCGCGACCTCTCACCCGCTCGTATTTGATCTACATCTATACAATTACGCAAACATGGACAAGAAGGTTGTAGGTCTGCTTGGAGGTGGTCAGCTGGGCCGTATGTTCGTCGAGGCTGCGAACCGCCTCAACATCCAAGTCAACATTCTGGACGCAGCAAAGTCACCCGCAAAGCAAATCAGCAGCCATGAAGGCCACTTCGAAGGATCATTTAAGGACCCGGAAGCCATTGAAAAATTGTCAAAAACTTGCGATGTCGTCACCGTGGAGATTGAGCACGTAGACACTCAAATTCTGGAAAAGATCTCATCTCAGGTCGCTGTGGAGCCTAGCTGGAAAACCATTCGCATGATCCAGGACAAGTATGCGCAAAAGGAGCATCTTCAAGAGCACAATGTCGCTACTGCTTACTCGATTCCTTTGGCTGGAGCTACCAAGGAGGACTTGCAGAAGGTTGGCGAGCAGATTGGTTTCCCTTTCATGCTCAAGTCACGCACAGAGGCATACGATGGACGTGGAAACTTCCCGGTCAAGTCATCTGCCGATTTTGACGCTGCGTTGAAGGCTCTCGGAAACCGTCCTCTGTATGCTGAGAAGTGGGCCAACTTCAAGGCTGAATTGGCGGTCATGGTTGTTAAGACTAAGGATGGTGTTCTGGCTTACCCTACTGTCGAGACCATCCACGAGGACAGCATCTGCAAGCTCGTATATGCTCCTGCACGTAACGTCTCCAAGAAGGTGCTCGAGCAGGCTCAGGAGTTGGCCAAGAAGGCCGTTGCTTGCTTCTGGGGCAAGGGTGTGTTTGGTGTCGAGATGTTCCTGCTCGACGATGACAGTCTCTTGATCAATGAGATTGCTCCTAGACCTCACAACTCTGGCCACTACACTATTGAGGCATGCCCCATCTCGCAGTACGATGCTCATCTGCGCTCAATCTTGGACATCCCTATTCAGCAACATGAGCTGCGCATCAGAGAGCCTGCGATTATGCTCAACATCCTTGGTGCTTCTACACCTGACTCTGCTGTTCAGGTCGCCGAACGTTCCATCGCTGCTGGCGTTGGCGCTTCAATTCACTTGTACGGCAAGGGTGATGCTCGTCCCGGCAGAAAGATGGGCCACATGACTCTTACAGCACCCAGCATGCGTGAGGCTGAGAAAGCCATGCAGCCCCTGCTAGACATCACCGACGAGATCCGCAGCAAGAAGAGCGCACCAGCCGCTGCCTCCTCAGCCGCCAGCGGAGCCGGTCAAGCACAAAACGCCATGGTCGGTGTCATCATGGGCTCCTACAGTGACATGCCCGTCCTCCAAGCCGGCATCAACATCCTCAAGAAACTCAACATTCCTTTCGAGACACACATCACCTCTGCACACCGCACCCCCGACTGGATGTCTGAGTACGTTCACGGCGCCATGCCCCGTGGTATCCAGGTCCTCATTGCCGCAGCAGGCGGTGCAGCACACTTGCCCGGTATGGCCGCCTCGCACACCGCCATCCCCGTCATTGGTGTTCCCGTCAAGCCCACCATTGGCGATGGCACCGACAGTGTGTTGAGTATTCTCAACATGCCTCGTGGCGTGCCTGTTGCCACTGTTGGCACCAACAACAGCACCAATGCTGCTTTGTTGGCTGCGAGAATTGTTGGCTTGAAGGAGGCTAGCATTCAAAAGGCGCTTATCGAGTATGCTGATAACTCTACCGCTGAGGTCATGGAGCGTGAGCGTGCTATGAACGAGCAAGGTTGGGATGCTGTCTATGAGCAGTGGCACGGTGCTAAGAAGTAGATGGAAAATGGTTTATTGGACATGAGTGGATGAACGGAATTAGGATTGTGTGTAGATAGATGAAGTTTCCACAAGCTGAGAATTGTAAAATGTTGCTCGTCATAAGGTATTCTAGCATTAAACTCTTTGCAGAGTACTGAAATTGTCAGACTGATGAGCTTATTTTGAGACAGGCTGGCATAAGCACCTCAATCAACTGCTGGGAGAAAAGGTCGAATGTTGAAACATCTTCGCATTGGTGGTATCATAAGAAGCAAAAGAAGTATGAAAAACTGGCAGTCTGCAATATCAGTCACCAGTCTAATCTCCAGCAGCACCATCATCAGCATCTTGGGTAGTACCGCCCTCGGCCATGCTTGTGTCTTCTTGCTCGGCTTGTGTGCTCGTCCCTTCTTGACTAGGTCCTGCAGCAGTGGAAGCTGCTTCAGCAGGCGTATCTTCGTTGGTCTCAGTAACTGCATCAGGTGCTGCGACTATCTTTCTCTTCTTGCGTGGACGACCCTTGGGTCTTGAGTCACGTCTGGCCTCGGGCAGACCCAAGCTCTGGCGCAACCTTTTGCCGCTTGGAGCGCCTCCACGAGCACCGCCACGAGCTAGTGTTCTTCTCTTGCGCGTGACTAGCTTGTTGCCATCGGCATCAGCGTCCTTGTTTGCATCGTCCTCGTTTTCATCTCCACTGCCTTCTTCTTCAGCATCCTCTTCAGGGTTTGGGCGAGCATATGCGGGACGTCGGTTCAGTCTGGTGAGTCGAGCTGTTTGTTCTGCCTTTTCTCTTTTTGCGCGTGCGGCTGCCTCTGCCTTGTCCTTCTTGCTACGTGCGCTCTCCTTCTCGATGTAGTCCGCACGTTCTTCCTCCCAGCCTTCGGGTGGATGGTAGACCTTGATGTTTGTGACAGGCACAGCATCCTGGTCACCGCGACGAGCCTTGATAGCGGACAGGGCTTCCAGGAACTTAGCCTGGCTTGTCCGTTGAGCACTAGCGGTTGAAGGGAGAGCAATGCGCAAGCCTTGGGCTGTGGTGTGCTCAATGACGTCTCCCTCGGCTGTTGTGTATATAGTCTCGGGACCAGCATAAGCGGCTCTGATGGCACTCGGGGCAGCGGTTTCTCGAGGTTGGATGCTGGCTGGTATTGCGACAAGTCGAGCAGCGCTCGTGCCCAAGACGTCGAAAGAAGGAGTGGAGCGAAGAGCTGTGTGGTCGGGATCGAAGTCTGTCGGCGGCGGGGCAAGAAAGATTTGAGTAGCTAGATCGGTGGCCCATTGGCATGAGTAGATGGAGTTGTTGTAGGAGATGATAGGATTTCTGTCATGCAAGCCGACAATCTGCATGCGCTCAGTTGTTGTGTTTGCTGATTCTCCATGGTCATCTTGAGTTGCGCCGTCCTTGGTAGCAGACTCGGGGGTACCAGGGGCATTGGCAAGACTCTTGTTAGATCCGCGAGTTGTCGACTTTTGAGCTTTCGTGCGCCTGTCTCTAGCAAGGGCGGGTGGGATGTGCGTTGTCAAATCGAGGGTCAAGTAGAAATCGTCGACCACATTGGTGTCGTACTCGTACTCCCACTCGGACTCATCCTCCGAGCCTGCCATGTCTGTGCTTGTCATGTTTCCAGAGAGATGGCATGCTTAACTCTGGTTTATTCGCATATTCATGTGCATGTGCATGGATAGCTTCAAGCTTGAGGCTCAAACAATTTGGCCAATCTTCAAACATTCGCGACAAAGCCGACGGGCCGGGGCTCGGAAGCTGCTGCTAGCGCCATCCGGCTGCATCAACCGACAGTGACGATTCTGGTTGTCTCACGGTGGTCTCTCTTGGGCATTGGTCGATAGAACTCTCAACATGCATGATTGCCTCAGATCCGGTTCTCTGGCTTATCTCGTCTCGTCCTCTTTTCTCCTCTCCATCTTTCCATTTTTGTCAAACCAATTGCTGATTTGAACAATTCTTGCCCAATTCGAGAAGCCTGCTCTTCGTCATCACCCCGCGTCCGATCAATCCGCAAAGGGTCCAACGCCTCTCGTCGCGACGCCATCGAGTACGTGTTGCTTGCCGCTCATATTGTCGGAAAGAATTGCTCTTGCGTTTCCGGGTTATGCGTTATTATGGTGCTGCATTCTGCTGTCGGTTTTGATTGGCATTGCTTGTCTTGCATGGCTGACGCGGTTCCCTTGCCTTGTTTTAACCCAAAAGCTTACTTGTCGTCACTTGCCTCCGTCCAAACACAAATTGCACATCCGACAGTTATGACTCCGTCTTCTTGTAGCATGTGATTACCTATACGGACTTTCGCTGACCCGTGCATCCGGATGACAGTGGATTCAGCTGCTTACAACGGCAATTTGGATCATCAACCATCTCGTACCTCTTTCCTGTCTTTTTCACCTCACAACATTGCTGCCACTTTCTCTCCCGGCAGCCGCAATCCTCCTCATGTCATGAAGCAAGCTCACCACACTCGCTCCAAGAATACTTCTGCTGCAAAGGCTGTGATGTGCCAAAACTGGATCCAGCCTATGGCTGTTGTACCTGCAATACTCTGCTGCTTGACACTAACATCAGCACATCCACATTCAGGCCCGGCCGGTCATGTTGCCACTCAAGTCGAAACCTCTGGCTGGGCTCAATCTTCTCTGTCATGGGTAAACAAACAGACTTGTCGATGGTTGAGCAATTGCGGAACAGAGCGCTCAAGTGGCGAACGCTTGCTTTACCAGGACTTGTCGTCAAGCCAGCAAATGCCTCTGTCACAAGGCAGTCCCTTGGACAGACCGGATTCATCAACTTTCTGGACGAGTGGCCTTGAAAATCCAGAAGACTGGTCAAAGGAAGAGCATCTCTCAAGAAACATCCCTCAATATGTCTATGACTACACGCCATACGTCCATCTGTTCTCAGGGGAGCAATTCTGGCCCTGTGATATTGCTGAACATCTCGTTCATACATCGCCTTACGCAAATTACACTCTCATCCGAAGCATGGAGAACGATAGGACGCTTGACAATCTTGATGAGCTGAATGAGTATGGTCACTTTGCATATCTCAAAAGCGAGGACAATGTAGAAGAGCGACCTGATTGGCTAGGGGGAAGTTCGAACATACCCAGAGGCCCTGAAGACTTGTATGACAAACCATCTGATCTAGTGTCGAAGAACCCGCTGGTCGAGTCAGGACATGTGCGAGGTCAGAAACGATGGAATGAATTCGGAAGACATGGTTCCGAAGGTCGAGGCAAGCCTTCAGACAAGCTGCAAGAGCGTGGCGGGCACAGCTCTGCACCAGCAGTGCTCATCGTTGTGCCAAAGGAAGACGGAGTGGTCGACGCATTCTGGTTCTACTTCTACAGCTACAACCTTGGAAACAAGGTACTGAACATTCGATTCGGTAACCATGTGGGAGACTGGGAGCACTCAATGGTCAGATTCCGCAACGGTACTCCTGAAGCAGTGTATATCTCGGAACACGGAGCGGGAGAGGCATACGCTTACCATGCCATCGAGAAATACGGCAAGAGACCAGTCATCTACAGTGCAACGGGCACACACGCAATCTATGCAACGCCAGGGTTACACCCGTACGTATTGCCGTGGGGCCTCTTGCACGACCAGACAGATAAAGGACCCCTCTGGGACCCCAATTTGAACCATCACGCGTATGTGTACAACTACACATCTCGACAGCTAAAATCATCGGCGCAGACACCATATGCGCCGGTGAGTTGGTTCAATTTCAAGGGCCACTGGGGAGATAAAATCTACCCCATGAGCGACAAGAGGCAGTACCAATTCTGGGGACAGTATCATTATGTGAGCGGGCCCTTCGGACCACGCTTCAAGAACCTAGGTCGCAAGAAGGTCTGTCAGAACATGCGAGAACAGTGTATAATCAGACATTGGCTTGGAGAGGAGGAGGGCAGCAATGACGGAGAGAAGAAGTTGCCAGGGGAGGAAATAGGGGATGCGATAGAGGGTCCAGAGACGGCAGAGTAGCGGACGGGAAAATACATCTGACAAAATGGACATGACACATGTTTCAGGATCTTCTCAACCATCAACTCGGTGTATATAGGTATCTTTTAGCAGCAGGGCGATAACGGAATGGAAATAAAGCTTATCAAGGTTCAAATGTTATCTCACGCCAATGCAATTAGGCTGTGGCTAGTGCGTCACGATGGGCTCACGAGGAAACAGGCCATGTCAGGCAGGAATGGTGCCATGCGCTCAGCAATGTATCGTGACTCGTCGAGCAGGCGCATGAGTCTAGCTATTCGTTTGATGCCTTTTCTGCAAGCCTTTCGTTTTTGTCTTGCTGCTTGCATGATGGAAGTGATGGAATACTGATGCTGTTGTCTGTACATCAATAAACGGCGACTCCGTACGATAAGAAGCAATACCCCAGATCGACGACGCATGCTGTCTCGTGTGCAACAAGCAACATCAACTGCAGCCAACCCAAAGCACTCCTTGCTTGCACCTATTCTCCTGAGAAGAATCCGAACCTCCATCCTAAGCTACGCACAACCATCAAGCCAACATGGCCTTCCGACAGCCGCTCCAGCAGCGGCGTCAAATCCAACGACCAGTATCTATCCCACACTCCCTTGTCGCCCATGACGCCACACATCACGGTCGAGTGGATGAGTCGCAAGAGTGGATCCTCTTCTCACCACAACACGAAACAGAGCCCTCTTTGACCTCGTATACCTCACAAACTTCTCACATTCAACAAGCGCCTGGCTATTCTGACCTTGATTCTATTGAAACTGGCGACCGTTCGAATCAAAGGCAAACCGACGATGATGCTGAGGGCACCTGCCAGGGCACCGAGATTGACGAAGATGAAGAAGAAGAGCTGGACAGTCTAGATGACGGCCTACATACCTTCCATCCATCCTTCGCTCTCGATCAGAGTGGTGGTGCAGTGCTGCCTAACCATGATGGCATGGGCTCTTTCCCCGCACTCTATCATAACAACGACAATGTTCAAGAACATCTATGGCAGTTTGAGAGATATAATCCAACCAATCGACGTCGACCTCAACGACGGCGCAGCAGTGTCCAGCGCAAGTTCGATGTCCTGGAGGATCTAGAAACGGACAAACAAGAGGAGAGGCGACTGCGTATCGAGAAGTGGCGTTTGGAGCAAAGTCGTGCCGTGCTTGAGGAGATCGAAAAGGAGACTCGCAGACGGAGACGGAGACTATCAATCGCCTCACGTACTGCTTCGAATGCTGCATCAAGTACAGACACTGAGACCGAGTCATTTTGGCAGCGTGTCACTCGCAGAGTCATCAAAGATCTCATGGGCTTGGATGACACCACTCTATCCGTCATATTTGGCGAAGAACTCGCTCCAGAATCTCAAACGACGCCAACTCAGCAGTCTCCTTTGGCTGAAGCCTTTTCAGCACATCAAGATCGAGTATGGGAGAACCGGCTCCTGAACAGAATTGCGAAGGAGCTTGGTATACTCGCCAACAAACTTGCCGAAAACGATCGCCAAGATCGCACTTTCAGCACGTATAAATCTTACCAGGTTGATCAGTCCGCTCAATCACAATCTCGGCAGATCCCCGCGTCCACTGCGACAGCGCACTCCATCGATGCCCCCGACTCTAACATTGCTCCTCCTCTTTTTGCTCCTACTTTCACAAACCCTCCTGTATCACCTGCTGTTGAAGCAGACACTTCTCTATGGGGCATTCCAGAACAACCTCAAGAATCGGCCGAAGATGAAGCGCCACAACAAGCCAAGGATCAAGAAGCCGAGTATTGGGAGCGCGATTTGGACATTGGCGTGGTATTCAGATACCTTCGTAGCCGCTTTACATCACGTCCACCATCACCGACCCCTGTTGACTCACAAACACAAACACAACCAGCATCGCAGAGCGTTCTACCAGCAGACTGGGCCTCACCCAGCAATGCTACCGTTACGGCTTCGGCACTAGGCACTTCTCCAGAGTCACGACGTCGAGCCGATCTCATCAGACGACATCACCCGCTAGTCTCCCACGCAGCCTCGGTGTCTGCACAACGTAGACGTGAGAGTGTCTTGTTGCACACACTCATGCATCGCCGTGCACAGAGCAGTAGCTGTGCTAGCCAAAGCACCAAGCGCACGCGTTCTGGAGGCTCACGCCGTTACTGGGACTTCCCGAGCAGCACTGGCAGTGTGGTTAGTGTTGGAAGCACTAATGAGGGTGTCTTGGGTGGTTGGGGCGAGGTTTGAGCCATGGGTGTACACGATGGCGTCTTCGAGGCGGGACCTGGGCGTTCGCATGTCTTCATCATTTTGTACGATTGGAGTGGAGTTAGTGATGCGGATTGGCTGTTTCACGCATATCATGTTCTCGTTTTCGCATTTTGCATTTGGCTGTTTTTCATCTCTCTGCTCTTTCTTGCCATGACCTGTTGCTTTCGCTCTCCTCTTACATCATATCCATCTTAGAAGCACCAGACAGATACCAGAAACCTAGAACAATATTCTTATACGAAACAAACTCAAGGGATTTTCAAGCCATCTTCATGAAATATTCGTACATAAGTTTACAGCGAGGGAACCATCGCTCTGGCAACCTCAAGACTCAATCCTCGCCATTTGCTCCCCTTTTTCCACCTCCCTAATTGGCCGGTAGGAAAGACCTGGCAATTCCAACTCTTCCAGCTCCTCCTTACTCCTCATCTCACGTTCCTGAAGCTTTCTCTGCGTTCTACTCTCCTGCTCAGCCAAACTCTGCTCAACCTTGGCCCTCCACTTCTCCATGACCGCAAAATCCCTACGGTATTTTTCCGTCGTAAACAAAGACTTTACCGCTGGACCTAGTTTATTGTTTTTGACGCAATCGGTACGGTATTGCAGGATATAGTCTAGGACTTTTAGGGTCGAGGCAGAGGGTTCGATGATGTTGTCTTCCATTTCTTGAAGGAGAGCATTGCAAGTGTCGATGTCGGAGAATTTGCGGAAGTAGAAGGCGAGGAGTTGATTGTAGAGGTCTGCGGTGGTTGCTAGTGCGTAGGCCGAGGGACCTAGTTGTTTGAGACGTGGGAGGATGGCGAGGATGAGGTTGGAGGTTGGGAAGTGTCTTCGCAGTATTGAAGCTGCGGTGACTAGACGTAAAGGAAAGGTTTGCATCAGGAAGCGACGTCGCTCGGGGGTAATGTTTGCGGCGGCAGGGGCTGGACTGTCGAGGTGTAGCTGGGCGATTTGAGAGAACAGACGTGTTTCTAGAATTTCCCAGAGCATTGTATCGGTAGATGCATTGTGCAGAGTGCCTAGGGTGCGTCTATCTTCACGACTGAGTTTCTGGAATTCGCTTTCCCCTTTTTGTTCTTGTTTGTCGAATGATTCTGTATCGGAGGTGAGACTTAGGATGTCTTGTTCGATGTTTCCGAGCTTCTTTCCAGTTTCTGCTGTCTTTGCTGCGACGGCGCCACCTCTTTCTAATTTTTTTGTGAGTACAGTTGCGCTTTTCTTTGCGTTTGCACGGATCCTGTGCTCGACATCTAGATCCTGCTTTTCGCTGGCCTCGATGGCTGTGATTGCTTCGTTGAGAACGTCGTCTAGACTTATGAACGTATTTTGTCGCGCTAGTTCCCTTCTCTTGGTAGCAGATCGCTTAGGAGCATTTGCTAGAGCTTCGAGTTGGGCGAAAGCATGACGCTCTGTCCCTGTAAGAGACTCTCCTTGGATTGTATCTTGCACGACAGCTGATTCGACAGCTCCAGGAGTCTCGAAGGGCACGAACTCTTCATACCCAGGCTCGGTCGTGGTGTGGGCGATTGTGGACGTAGGTTCTCGAGGTGGTCTCTTGATCTTGGGCTTCCGGTCGGTCTTTGAGGCGTTCTCTTTGGCCAGGTCTTGTAATGCGCTGTAATAGCGGCGCAGTGTTGGTGTTTGGTAGAGAAAGGGTAACGTATAAGTGTTCCTGGACGTGTACAACTTCAAGCCTCTGCCGAGAGCTTGACCAGCATTTGCGCATCCAGACATTTTTCAATTATGGAATTGTTTCAGCTGGTTGGCGCTCTGTGGCGATAGTGTGATATGCGCCAGTATCCAGCTCTTCAGTATGATTTTCCGCCTGTCCAGCAGGCCGGTATATCCTTGTGTCGCAAAGTTGATCTAGATTGTGATATAGCACTTGTTGGTCGAGCCAAAAGTGTTTTCGATCGGAATTTTGGATCGACAGAGACCGATCGCATGCACGTCACCAAAAACGCGAGATTCGAGATTCGCGTCTCCCTCAACTTTCTCGAGAGAGCCAAAGTGCCAAACTGTCATCACCAACATAACATCTCATCATGCCCAAGAAGTCTGCCGCCGAGCTCAGCGAATATGAGTTGCAACGACAGGAAAACATAGCAAAAAACCAAGCTCTGCTTCGTCAATTGCAACTTGAAGCTGCATCCGCTGGTATCGCGCCCAAGAAACCCTCACGCGCCACTCCCGACAAGGCTGCCAAAAAGAAGAAGACGCCTGTGCAAAAAGTGAAAGAGGAGGTCCAGCCACGGAGAACGTCGAGTCGACTACGAGGCATTGTCGCAGACAGCGAGATTGCAAAAAGAAAAGCAGAGGAAGAGTCGGAACTGCTGGCCCAAGCCGAGCGAGCCAAACGACAGCGTGTCTCTGAGGACTTGCGTTTCTCAGATGTCGTTGTTGCAGGAAAGGACTGGGATCAGAGTGGCAATTTCCTGCGACTCGTAGGACCTGCCAATCCGGGCGAACGAACATTCACTGCCCAAGACATCAAGGAAACCACCGACAAGGAATTGAAGGAGCTCCGAGAACGCATGAGCAATCTGGAATTGTGGGAAGGCTTCGAACCAAATCAGATCAAAATCACTCCCGAGAGAATCTACTCTTTGGGCTTCCATCCAACCACCGACAAAGCCCTTGTCTTCGCTGGAGACAAGCTGGGAAGCTTGGGTCTTTTCGATGCTTCGCAGCAACTCACGCCTGGTGTAAAGAACGAAGATGATGACGAAGAAGACTCTGAAGAAGTCAAGCCCTCAATAACGACACTCAAAATCCATACACGCACGATATCTGCCTTCCAGTTCTCCCCTCACGATCCAAACGCTTTGTATTCTGCCAGTTACGACAGCTCAATTCGCAAACTCGATCTCCAAAAAGGCGTAGCCGTAGAAGCCTACGCACCCATCTCGAAAGACGATGATGAACCTCTGAGCGGTGTCGAGATGTCGCAATTCGATCTCCATACTCTGTTCTTCAGTACACTGAATGGCAACTTTGGCCGTCACGACACAAGGTCCAAACCGGGCAAGGGCACCGACATCTTCGCATTATCAGAAAAGAAAATCGGCGGCTTCAGTCTCAATCCCGCACATCCTCACATCTTCGCTACCGCATCACTAGATCGCTATCTACGCCTCTGGGACTTGAGAATGCTGAAAGGCGATGGCGACGATAAAGCCCCAGTAGAGATTGGAGCTCACGAAAGCAGATTGAGTGTTTCACACGCAGCTTTCAACTCGGCAGGCCAAATCGCTACAGCGAGTTACGATGACACGGTAAAGATTTATGACTTCAGCAGTGTGGGAACACTGGCTGCTGGTACAGAGTTGAATGAAGAACAAATGACACCAACGACTATCATTCCTCATAACAACCAGACTGGTCGCTGGGTTACCATGTACGTATACTCCCTTCCCCTTTACGGGCTCGAGAACATCTTTGCTAACGACGAAATCACAGTCTTCGTGCGCAATGGCAACTCCAACCAGCCGACAACATTCAACGCTTCGTCATTGGAAACATGAATAGATTCGTAGATGTGTATGCCTCAAACGGACAACAGTTGGCTCAGCTTGGAGGTGATGGTATTACTGCTGTGCCTAGTGTTGCACAGTTCCACCAGAGCAAGGATTGGATTGCTGCAGGAACTGCTAGTGGAAAGTTGTGTCTGTGGATGTGAGTAGACATGGGAAACCGTGATGAATGAAGAAATAGTTTGCATTTTCTGGTGTTAGGCATAATGACAGGATTGATGGATATGCTTGTTGCAAGCATGAAGTAGTGTTCGCATATCAGAAGAAAATATTCCTCCTAACTCATGAAATTGACGATTCGATTTGTCCAACTTATCAAAAACACGTCATGATATTTATTGGTCCCACTTGGTTTATTATCTGTGTGGTTGATTCGCTTGTTGTATAGTCTGGGTAGACAGTCTGAAAATGAGCATGTCAAATTCTTTGAACCCATATAACTCAGCCACAACCATCATTTCCACTACTTCAGTCTCAAAACATGATAGTCGATGCTTCATGGAATTTGACTAGAAGTACACATAAACATCAAGTCTGATATAGAACCGAGAAAAGCCAAAAACATGCTTACATAGTATGTGAATGGTGCAACCCTGACCAAATCGCCCCTTCCACCAAGAGAGGTTAATACCAACCTACTCTTTCCCACACCCAACCTTGATCTGGACATCTATATGCAGCCGAGTACCATCCTGGCTCATCAAATAGCTCCACTAATGGACCTCGCCCTCCCACCCACCTGCCCAGCCCTAGGTCTCTACGGCGATTACTCCTGGATGAACGCCTCATTCGCCCTCTACACTCTCATCGAAATCAGCGACGAGCGCATACAAGAAATCGCGAACGCCTTGGATGCAGAATGGTACGAAGGCCAAGGAAATCAGGGCTCTCACCTCGTCCGCGTCGCCCCTTCTCACAACTTCGCAAACAAGAAACTCAGCGATATCCTCGAAGCCCACGTAAAGCTAGATAAAGTAGCGCCAGGCCAAAGCAAGTCACAATACGGAGCCTTGGATTTAGAATGGTATCCTACTGCGTTTATTGTGGTGACAGCTGAGGATGTGGACGATCGAGGGTTGCTTTTTGTTTTTGTGGTTGATGAAGGTGAGGATGATGATGAGATTGCAGAGTGTAAGATGGATATGTTCTTTTTCAGGCAGAAGGATGCGAATAGCATGTTGTCGACTTTAGCCTATGATGATGACACTGCTGCGAGAGCAAAGGAGATATATGGCTATTGATGAAACGTTATGTTCAAGCAATACTTGCATTCTTTTTTGTGCTGTATCAATGCTAGTAATGAAGAGATGCAGCCACCTGAGAAGGATGGCCATAGGTCACTCCCCTCTGTCGTGATGGCCCATTTGAGCATCCCAGTACTACAAGTTGATTGAATAAATCATTCCCTGCCCCAGAGCCGCCAAATCATCAATGAAAATTTTCAATTTCTCCCATTCCCAGAACTCCTCGCTTCAAAGCAAATTTGTTGAGTATAAACCATCAGGACTGTTCTTTTCGTTTTCCGAGTCTTGGTGCCTGTACTGCCCGTCTTGGGCTGAAGCCGACAGCATCCTATGCGTCGTTCTTTCCCATAACCTTGGCAGCTTGCACGGCATTCATCTTTTGAGTCCATCCAGGGGCAGGCTGGAACTTGCGCACTGTGCGAACCTCATCCAGGGAATAACCTGGGACACGAATGTTGTAGTTGCGCTCGAGGATGATTTGAATGTCACGAATGTCAAGAGTCGTGTTAGGTCTGATCTTGGCCAAGCGACAGGCGGCAGTGATGACGCTGTCCACAAAGTCATCGGCAAGAGTGAGGACGGATTCTTCGACGTCAGGAGTGAGACCATCGCCTTCACCGCCACCTGTGACTTGTCTGACCAATTCGTCCAATTTCTTCTTGCTCAGCACGCGGTCTCCTTCGCCCTCCAGGATAAAGTGGGGTGTCTTCTGAACAGCAGGCTGACCCATCATACCGGGAGCACCATTGCTGGGACCGCCGAAGGTAGGACGAGCGGGACCAAGCGGCACGGGATTGTGAGTGCCTGAGGTTGGCAGATTTTTAGGGATAGGGAACTTAGGATTGCCAACATTGAGAGCGGTCTGCTGAGTATGATTGAATGCTTGTCCGCCAGGCTGAGAGGTGGGTGTGCCTCCTCCTTGTACTTGTTGGGCCGAGTAAGTGCGTTGGGCTTGGTTGATCGCGTCGGCATGAGAGAGAGCCTGGGGCTGTCCAGACGGAGCGGGTGATTGGTAGGGTTGCTGTTGATTGGGAGGACGAGCGATGGGCTGCTGCGGCTGTTGCTGCTGCTGCTGGTGCTGCATTGGGACGGTCGATTGTTGCTGGTAGGGCACAGCAGGGCTCATGGCCGAAGCTGGGTTGTTTGCCTGCGCGGCAGACTGGTTGTAAGGAGAGGCAACCTGTTGTTGTTGAGGCATGGGAGTCTGCGAGTTGTTCTGTTGCGGCGGCTTCGACTTGTCGGCCCATGCGAGTCGGTTCTTTTCGTTCTCATTACGAACAGTGTCAATCTTTGATTTGGCGTCTTGAACACCCATTCGAGCGGCGTCTCTTGCCGAAACCAAGTCTGGTGTGGCTGTCTGTCCAGTGTTTTCCATCTGTGTGATCTTCTCGTGTGTCTGCTGGAAGCGACTGACGCTGCTCTCCTGCATGGTAACGAGCCTGGTCAAAGTACTCATAATGCTTCTCTTATAGTTTTCGTATTCGGGAGTGTTTGGAATAATGGTGGTGGGAGGGAAGACCTTGAAGCCGTTGAGGAAGGCCTTTGCCTGTGGACCAAGAGGGAAGTTGTTAATGTTACCCGGGACTCGGTTGATCTGCTGCTGCTGTTGTTGCTGCTGTTGAGGAATTTGCTGCTGTGCTTGTTGAGGATGATGTTGTTGTTGCTGCTGCTGTTGTTGAGGTTGTTGCGGCTGAGAGTTGGGTATTTGGGGTTGCTGGTTCTGCTGGGGCTGCTGCTGAGTGTTGGGTTGCGCTTGCTGTGGTTGTGGTTGCTGAGGTTGCTGAGGCTGTTGCGGAGCTTGAGCTTGCGATTGCTGTGGTCGCTGCTGTTGATTCTGGCTGTTGGCCTTCCACTGGGTGATATGGCGCATAATTTCCCTCGAGACTTCCTTGATCTTTGCAGTTGCCTTGTTGTGAGTCTCGCTACCACGAGGATTGGCTTCCAGTGCAGTCCACAACTTGGTCAGACCTTCGGTATAAGTGACTTTCTTCTCAGCCGAGAGCATGGGAATGTTTGCGATCTTCTCGGGACGGATCATATCAGGAGGGTAGGCCGAGGCCGCTTGCGGCGCGCCGCCTGGTTGACTCATGATGATGGTGTCGTCGCTTAAGCCAGTTTCCAGGAATGAAAGAGATAGCGGATGTGATGTGTGCCCAGAGATCGGCACTTGGAAAGCGCTGGCGTAGTGATGATGACGGCGTGGGTGTGTGAAGGAAAGCGCGACGCTGCGCGAAGTCGCGAATGCTCACTGCCAAGAAATGACCTCGAGAATCAACTTCTCTCATTTGAACTTGAGCAAGACATCACTTGGTCACTTGCATGTTGAGCAGACCGTTCATTTCAGATACACTCTTGTTACTTAAGTGTCTACGTATTGCATCTGCCGCAACTTTGAAACCGCTCTTTTCCCTTCATATCCCATTTGTATGCTCAAGACAAGTCCTGCCTGTCTCACTAGTTGCTATTATTACAATCATTTGACCCCAAAATCGGCCTTTTTACTGGCTTTCTTCTCTCAGAAGTCCAGCAGCGCAAGTGTTGTTGGACCAGCCGAGGGCGAGGTTGTCCATGAACCAAGAGACAGGTTCATCGTTGACAGAGGCTTCGATGCGAAGACCGCTCAGTGCCTTCATAGACAAGTCAAAGTGGACCTGCTTGAGTTCGCAGTGATCGGGCAGGAGACATGGAGCAAGGAACACAGTCTGATGGAATGCTGCCACTCCAGACTTGGTCTCCTCTTGGTAGACAAGGCCTGTGATCTGCAGCTTGCATTGATCGGTAGAGCGATTGTCACATCCAAGATAGGCGCTGTGGGCGTTGAACCAGAATGCGCTTGAGCGTCTACGTATGCCGGCTTCAATGTCGCCAGAAACTTGTCCTCCCTCGTTGAGGTTGTGGTTGTCGCTAGTCTCATTGGCAACGAACATGACAAGGTGAGGAGGCGAGACAGGCAGGAAGGGCATAGATGGGGGTGGTGCGTAAACAAAGCCATCCGAGAAGTACAGGTGGTGGTATGGGTTGGAGACAGGCGAGGCTTGGCTAGACACAGTGATGGGCTCTGTAGGCGAGAAGTTGGGCTCATCATCCCACTACATGTTCATGTCAGTCCTATCCTACGAAAGGAGAATGGTAAGTACTCACAGTCAAGGTGAAGTCACCATGTTCACCACACACGCTCGAGGTAGGCATAGAGATCGAAGTGTTGCTGTAAACCTTGGTCAAGGTCGACGAGGTACGCGAGTATGCAGGGGCTGGAACGAATGGCAGATATCCATTAGCCGAGGCCAAGGTTGAGCTGGCGTTCTGACCTTGACGGTAGGCCGACGATGGGATTATCGATGAGATAACAGAGGTACTCTCTTGCGAAGCAGCTCCAACGGGGACAGAAGACACTAGCGAAGCAGTGGGGGTCGTGACAGCACCTGAGACGCCCGAAGACTTGGAAGAATGCAGAGTAGCGTTCCAGGCAGATGCAGCCCAAGCGGGAGAGCTGAGATTGCCGACACTGTTGAGGGCGGAAGTGAAGCCGGCGGAAGGCGTAGCAAAAACAGTATAGGTCAGATCGGTGGTCACATCCACATAGCTGACAGAACACACTGATTCTGAGGTGCTTGCCAATTCGACAGTGATCGTGGTAGAGGTTGGAGGTCCAGTAACGGTGTGAACTGTGTGCGATGAAGTCATGAGAGCAACAGACTTGGAGCTCTTCGACGACAAGTAAACAGTCAGGACCGAGATGATACTCTTGGTCAGGTAAGAAGTGACAGTTGAGGTTGAGGTGTCTTCATCCGAACTACCAGCCAAGGCACTGCTGAACTGTGGCATGAAGGAAGTCACAGCAGGAGGTGTGATGGTGATGACCGTGGTTTGGGTAATAGTAACCTCAGGATCATCGCTGGGAGTAGGGAAGACGGTTACCTCGACAGTCTGGGTCAGAGTCTCACTGAAGCTGCCAGTAGGAGAAGCGCCATTGATCCAGCTTGTTGTGCCATCCTGATCGATGTAGGAATAGCCCGAGACAGTAGACTCAGGGCCAGCAGAAGACTGAGGAGGAGTCACAGTCACATAGTTGGTCAGAGTCGAGTAGCTGGTGATGGTTGAGAACGACTCTGTGGTAGCCGAGTTGACTGTAGAGGGGAAAGCAATCTCGCTCTGGCAGAATGAGACGGTGACAGTCTCAGTGACAGGCTCGCACGAAGACAAGGCGCTAAGATGGCGTATCAGCAAGTACGCAGAAGATAGAAGATTGCGCAATCTTTGAAGAAGTCACGCGCAGATGTTATGGACTTACTTCTGGGTACCGCCGGTAGCAAGAGAAAGGCCGAAGAGGCTCAATGCCACGAGAGAAGTTGTCAGACGCATGCTGAGGTTGACAGATGAAGCAATGAATGACTTGGGTAAGGAAGAAACGAAAAGAACGAGTGTTGTGTTGTGTTATAACGAAAGTGAGGTGCGGAAAAAAGTAAACGAGGAAAGTACGAACAGTGACGGCAATTTAGGCTGGCAGGGGCACGCTGTTGTTGGTCACAACCAATCACACAGCCATAGCGATGGATAGTCGTATGGTTCCGTTTGTCTCTGTAACCCCTCCCGCCTCAAGTCAGCAGCAGCTTGTGAATTCTGATGCATGTCATGAAAGTGGCCATCTCTTTACGGCATCCTGGAAAAGATGGACCACTGCCCCTCATCGTACTTGCCCCTCTAACATCACTTCAAACATGGCTTCCTTCTTTTGCTCCTCCTTGTCCCCAAAATTGCCTATCCAACGCACTCATCTATACCTTCGCAGTCCATAACCATACTATACCACCAGGCGCAAATCTACCCCTTCCACGATTTGGAAGCGATCGTGCGTCCATGTGAGGGTTCCTACATCAGTACCACTAAATAAGTTGGACTCGCTTTGCCGGATAGCCTCGTTTGCTCGTGGAACTCGCGGAACGGCAACACCAAATTTCAGGAACAGGATGTCAACATATCAATGCCGCACAGTGACACAGCAGTTGCCAATTGACCATGTGTTAAGAGGTGTCCAGTATCTCATATGCCAAGAACAAAGGGTATGGATCAGAGAGAAACAGCTCGTGCGGTAAGCTGCACCCATGACGCTCTCTGTGGCGGTGAGGAAGCATATGGCTGTTGTGCGACCAAAGAAAGCTCCACGCCAATAGTCGTAGCAGAAGGCCTTCTTTGTACAAAGAGATTTGATGCCAATTCTTCATCCGCAGAGTTTGAGAGTCAGTCAAGTCTCCTACGGAAGGAAGATGACACGCTGATGATCCATATCCTAGTCCGATTAGAGGTCAGATGGCCTCAAGTTGATGTAAGGCGACTTCTGTATGATCGGATACGCAAGACTATCGAGGATCCATGTTTACAGACTGCTCCTCGTGCTCGGGTTATGTGAGGGAGCTTCACGGTTCCTCAGACTCGCCATTGCCGTCAAATATCCAAGCACGAAGCAGCTTCCTGCCACTCCGAATCGATGAGAAGAGCCAGCAAAACCGCAGACGACCCAAGCAATAGCCGAACACTTACCGCTATCTCGTCTTTGCCTTGAGGTGGAGCACAGGTGGATACCGGCCAAGATAGCCCGGAAGGTGAACGTGATGAGCGGAGGGCATTGCGAAGTCGCGCAGGTGACCAATCGGCTCACATGTTCGAGCGTTCTCGGACTCGAGCAAAAGATATCATCTCACAAGCCCGCTCAAGCACAAGACTGGCGATACACAACAAGAAGCAATCCACCAGTGGTCTACAGTGCGACGGTTCTCAGCTCGACAGGCAGCGGCGTTGTTAGCGTTCGCTCCTCTCGTTCCCCTCTCGACACCTTTTCTGCCGCAACGCTCCGATCCTCCTCCGCCTGTAACGCTGTTCTCCCTCCTGCCAACATTGCCCCTCTCCACACCCCACCACCAACCTGTGCTGGCTGGCAATCTGGCCATGAGTGTCGAAGAAAACACGCCTCACAGGCGCTCGAGCAGCGCCTCCTTTGCTCAAAACATGTCGAGGGACTTTCCCCAGCCAAACTCAGCCGCAGCCTTCGCCGGCGCCCGCAGTCCTCCCAAAGCAAAGAGTATGGCCAGTCGAGCTCTCGAGCCCTCGCATATCTAACATATGGTTTCAGACACGTCGCATGTGCCATGCAAGTTCTATCCATTTGGCACCTGTCAAGCCGGCGCGGCCTGTCAATTCTCTCACGACATGGACCCCATGACGCAGAATGCGCCTTGCAAATACTTTGCCAAGGTACTTGGGCCATTGTCGCATGTGTCTGCACTTGCATGCCGCTGACTCGCTATACCAGGGCAGCTGTAGATTCGGCCAAGGATGCGCCCTCGCACATATCCTTCCTGATGGTCGAGTCATCAACAGGCCCCCTCGCGGCGGCCAGCCTTTCAACTACGGCCGCCGTGGCCCTCAACCCTACGCTCCCGCTCCACCATCATTGCTCACCATGCAAGCCAATGATTTGGCATCGCAGCAACAACAGCAGCAGCCGCAAGAGATGGGATACTCAAAGCAAGAAGATGTGCCAAACATCCCAAACCCCGCGCCGTACCTACAGGCTTCACAGCCCCTCTCGCTAGACCCTAGCAACACCTTTGGCTCTCCTTTGAACGACAACCGCTTCGGAGCCTCGCCGAATGCTAGAGGTCTGAGCGTGCTAGATGCACCTTTGCCCGGATCGTTCGACAGTCAGGGCATTTCACATGCTGCTCGTCACGGTCCATTCGCTTCGTCTGTTCCTCCTCGCCTCGGCCATGGTCTTGAGTCACCTCCTTCCTCCCTACCGAACAAGGCTTTCCTCGGCAATACCCTGCGAGGCCTAGGAGACACAACTCTCGATGGCGTATTGGCCGGTTCATCCCCTCCTACCTTTGAGGAGCCAATGAGCTTTGGCAAGCGACCTTTGCACTCGGAGAGATTCTCACGACCCAGACCCATGATGTCTGCTAGTGTCGGCACACGACCTTCCTTCTATTCGCACTTCCCACCGGATGCCACTGATTCTGAGGAGAGTGAAGAGGAGGGTATTGGTGAGGACCTTCTGCCATCGAGTTTACACGAGCTTCTGCCCCCAGAGAAGTTGCGCAGACCCTCGCAGCAGATTGATGATGACATTAACCCCTCCTTCCTGTCCGCTGGCCGTCGCGCGATATCGAACGGACAAATCCCTATGGATAACAAAGTGGGCAGTATTAGCCCACATACTGGCAGTCCTTCGAGATATAGCTCAATCTGGTCCTCGGGCTCATACCGCAAGGAGGGAGAGAACGGGTTTGGTCACATCGGATCTCCCCTCCGACCATCCTCATTGCGCTCCTCCTCGCTTGCTGGAGGCGACCTTGGCTCGCTTATTGGCAGTCCGCCGAAACAAGCAAGCATGTCGATGCTCACTCGCGAGCTACAGAGTACCAGGATCTCCGAGAAATCTCCCTCATTGCTTCCTCGTACTTCTTCCAACGATTCTCGCGCTGCTCTCCGCGGCGGGCTCGACAGAGGAATTAGCAGCAACAGCCTGGGCCGTAATGAGACAATTGAAGAAGAGGACCAAGGCCTGTTCTCTATGGAAGAAGAAGACGAGTTCGAGAGCTCATCCAAGAAGCCTTCGGTCTCTCCTATTGGTCTTCTGCCTGGAAAGAGCGAGACCACTCTTGGACCTATCGGTGGGCAAAGAACCAAGTAGGAGGAGAAAAATGAATCTCCTCGAAGGGAAACCACCTGTCAATATATGTTTTGGAAGGACTGCTTTGACGATTCATGAATACGGAGGCATGTCATCCCGGCGCTTGAGAAGAGGGAAACAAAATCTACATGGAAGGACATTGTGAGAGAGAAGCTTGTTTTTCAACAAAAAGCAAAAAAGAAGCATACGAGCGGAACACGATTAATTTGCTGCTTTGACAAGTTGCATTTTCACTTAGCGGAGAAGGGCATAAGAAATCTTTGTTGCATTTATGTATTTATTATTATCATCATCCAATTCTATATTCTAGCACAAGATGGCATTATTTCAGATGCATGTTTCCGAGCCTCGTTCATTGATAGTGTGACTTGGTCGACCTAGCAGGTGTTGCCGGATGATACCTGAGTGGTGGATGAGGTATCTGCTCCCTCACGCTTCTTGATTTCATTGAAAACTTGCAGGAAAGTGGCAGGTTCCTCTGCACCACCGACTTCGTACATGTTGTTAAAAGTGAAGTGAGGGACACCTAAGGAAAAGTCAGAAAACAGAATATGATGGTTCTGAACCCAGGAAACATACCAGTGATGAACCTCCTCTGAGCGGCAGCAACCTCGCGGTCAACCTCAGGACCACCCTTGTCACTCGCCAACCACTCCTTGACCTCCTGCTCTTCAAGGCCACCAGCAACAGCCGCCTTTGTCAAAACAGCATGATCGGTGATATCGTCATTGACCTCAAAGTAAGCATTAAACAGCTTCTCCATAACCCTCGTCTGCGTCTCCTCTCCCTTGGTCTTTGCCAACTGCACCACTCTATGCGAATCCCTAGTATTGCCACTCTTTCCTCCATAAGCAAAGTTGATCCCTAATTCACGCCCGATTTCTGACAGACGAGCTTGCATCATTTTTACTCTTTGCTCGCCAAACTTTTCGACGTAGATGGTTTGCTTGTCTCTGCTTTGCTTGGGCGCATCAGGGTTTAGGTAGAATGGAAACCAGGTTGTGGTGAATGTGTCGTTTGGAAAAGTCTTTTTGTGCGTGTCGATGGCGACTTGGAGGCGGTTCTTGCCTACATAGCACCAAGGGCAGACTGTGTCGCTGACGATGGAGATGTTGTAGTTTGTCATTTTGCGAAGAGATGCGCGGAAAGCCAGGGTGGGCAATTGTCGACCTTTTGGACAGCGATGGTGATGCAGATGTGGTCTATATAGGAAAAGTGGGAAGAGGCAAATGTTATGATTCAAAGATGGTGTGGAATTGGATGGACTTGCTTAATAATTGTCACTCGGGTAGCGCGGAGAAAGGGACAGAGGACAAAGATGGAAATGGTAAGCGAATTGGCACAAGGGAACTCTCCATATGCTGAGGTATGTAACGCGTGTAGCTACAGCAATGCACAACACCATAGGGAATAAGACAATGCTTGTTGAGAGACGACAATCTATTGGCTCTCTGTACATGATAGCGGTATAGAAGTCGAATGCCAGCAGGAAGGTGGGAGAAGGATTGTCTTGGCGAGTCACATGCAAAACATGACGAAAGAGCCCGGCTGCCTGTTGAACCATGATCTGAACTTTCTCGACACACACATCATGGTCGACGACAACGAAGGACCGGTATTCAGACCGTCGAAACGCAGAAAGGTCTTTCGAAAGAGACGCGAAGATGATGAGACCCCTGAAGGCGATGTAGCGACACAGCCCAGATCAGCGACGACGGTGGAGAAGAAGCAACAAGAGGCCGAAGCAGAAACACCCTTGAACTATGTCAGACCGCTGGGCTCCCGAAAAGGTGGTGTGGCCTTCTCATCAACACGCACAGCCAACGACAGCGGTACCAGCAGCGTCGTCGATACGAACGCTCCTCCCACGCCACTGAATGCCGTCGAGCATGCTCAAGCCCGCTTCGTTGCTCCTACAGGACATATCGCTTCGGCAGATGACAAGCATATGTGCGTATTCCTACTACCCGTCCAATCCTACGAGGCACAGAAAAGACTGACAGTCCAAGGATGGCCTATGTAGACTCCAAATTGGCCCGCTTGACTCCATCACATGAAGCTCCGACACAGTCATCATCTATACCAGCAGAACCCACACCTAGCTCGAGTGCAACCGCACAGCAGAATGAGAACCAATCCTCAGCCTCTCAAGGCCACCTGCACCAAGTCGACGTGACCAAACCCGTCCCAACAACAACCACAACCACCCGTCCTCAGAAACCACCTCGCAAACCGCACTGGCGCAACCGTCGCAACAGTGCAGACATAGCTCGCGACGCAATGGTCGACCAAATCCTCCGCGAATCCCAACTCAACATCTACGAAACCCCTTCCTCTACCACACAACCCAAGCCTTCTTCCGACGACACTCAAGACGCCGATGAACGCATGGCTGAAGAATTCAAGAGAAACTTTTATGCTGCGGCTGAAGAGAGGGCGGTTAGAAGGACTGCTGCACCGCCTCCACCGACTTATGGCGCCAATAAGTTGGAGAGTCTCAAGGGGCCCAAGTTGGGTGGAAGTAGGAGCCAGAGGGCTGCTATGCATGCCGCGGAAAAGGCGAAGACTGTGAAGAAGTAAGAAAGAGGATGAAATTTTATGAAATTCGGGCGATAGGTGCCATGAAATTGATACCCCCATTCTTTTCTGAAGGCATATGTTGCTTTGCTGGACTGCACAACACGCAAGAAATATGGCGATGTTTCTATGAATCTTGACAGATCCCTCCCACATCTTCAGCGCGTAACGAAATTCTACGTGTTATGCTACACTGCAACCCCCTTTGCTTTCCCAGCATAGAACCTCTTAAATCCCGCCTCTACATCATTGAAGCCCGTCCTCGCCGTCTGTCCCAAACTCGCCTTGATCCACCCAGGCAACCTATCTTGAATCCTCTTTTGCGTATACCTACCATCAAACAGCAAAATCGCACTCCAATCATTCTTGTGACGAACTGCTCTTCCGATCGCTTGATTGACAGCCCGCATACAAGTATTATCTGCAAAATCTCTTGCCGCTGCTGCACCACCACCAGCCTTTTCTTCGATATACTTGATCTTTGCCTTTTGCTCTGCGGTATTGGGATTTGCGTATGGGAGGCCGATGACCATTACACATCTCCCCAATTCGTCGGAAAAATTTATGCCTTCGCTGAGGCGGCCGCCGATGACTGCTAACAAGAAAGCTCCTGTGGAAGAGGTTTTTACTGCTGTGGTGTAGGCATTTAATGTATCTTCTGTTCCCGTCTGTTGGGTTTCTTTGAAGATTTGTTTTGCCTTTTGCATTTTTGTCCACAGACCGGACTTTTGCCACTGTGCTACTACTTGATCGAGGTAATTATAGCTTGGGAAGAAAGCTACACAGCCATGAGGGATTGTAGGTAGCAGTTCGAGGATCGAGTCCCCGAGGGCGGTGATTGTGGAAGTAAGGTTGCGAGACGAGAAGCTAAAGTTGAACTCGGTGTTGTTCTGGGATGTCACCACGGGACTGACGAAAAGGTTTGTGGTTGGGATTACGTGGCCGCAGGAAAGTGTCGTTATTCGTGTCTTGTTGAGATAGGGGAAGAGTTGGGTGCTGTAGTCGGACATCTGGATAGCTTGTTAGGCACGAGCTGTGGTTTGGAAGAAGAGTGTCAACTTACGGGCGACATGGTTCCTCCTGCCAGTATTACTGCTCTTGCCTCTTCGACAATATCGCGGAAGTGCTCTGAGGGATCAAGAAGCATGTACTTGACTTTCGTCTGTGCCTTTTCCTCTCCAACAGTGTAGAACAAACGACCCTCCCTAGCAGGGTTCGTCAACACCATAAACAGGTTGGTGATATGTGTAAGCACCGGCACTGTAGCTTCCTTCGCAGCGCCAGTACTGTTGAGTTTCTGCTGTTTCTGCTGCTCAACAGAAACATAGCCTTCCACTTTTCTCGCCAATTTGCTTTCCTGCAGGTAGTGCATCAATTTGTAGAGGTTGATCTGGTCTACACCCTTACCCTTGAGCAGATCGGTAGCTTGCACAATACCTTCTGAGCCATTCTTGGTCTCCAGCGATTGCAAGTAGTTGGCTATTGAATCGAGTAGTCGCACTACTTGAGTGACGTAAACACGATTCTTGCCTTTGAGACGATTGCGGAAGCGTTGAAGATAGGCTGTCAATTGGGCACGAGCGAGGTGTAGCTGTTGTAGGCTAACCTCTACCGTGTGAATGCTTGAGATTGCGTCCATGAGGTTGTGGGCTTCGTCGATAATGATGATGTGGTTCTTCAACGACAATCCCAATGCTTCTCTTGCGGTCTTCTGCAGGAGGAGTGGATATGGTAATGTGACAATCTGAATCATACATGTTAGTGTCATGTCTCGAAGCGACCAAACGAATGAGGAAGTTTGGTTCGAGGATACCACCTACCTCGCTAGGCTTTACGGCAGGTCTGGTGGCATAGTAAGGACAAACACCCAACTTCTTACCCAAAGCACCCAGATCTTCGATATCGCGTATCTTGGCCAAAGCATGATGTTGAAAGTCCAACACCGAGCCTTCATTCTCTTTATTCGGCACAAAAGGACACTTCTTGTCTTTTGGTGTCTTTGCATCCTGAAGCTCCAGGCATCGTTCGTTGACTGCCGTCATACTCTTTAAGTTTGACACTTTAGCATTGATGCAAAGATTCTTCCTCGAGCCCAAGGATAGATGCTTGAGTTCCTCAGACAGTGAAGGTTTCTTCTTGATTTCTTCTTGCACAGCAGGTATAGCAGCTGGCAAGTTTAGTCTTCGTAGCTCGTTGACGAATTGACTCAGTTGCGAATGCGTGCGCGAGCAGAAATAGATCTTTAACTCATCTTCGGCTTCGAGGTCTTCTGATTGGGATGCTGCAGAGAGACCATATCTCAGTTTCTGCATCAGTGCTTGTGTTTCTCTCGACAACCCTAAGTCTTCATCGCCATTATTGGTATGTGAATTCTTACAACCTTCGTCATCGCTCTCGTAGTCATCAAGCGCGAACTGCTCATCGTCAACGATATCAACGATTTTGCCGTTGTTGTCATTATCAAGCTTTCGCTTCTTGCTCAATGGCGGTCCATTCTCCTGTCGATCTCTGATTTTGCGTTCATGTTGTCGGATTTTCTCAAGTTTGGCCTCTAATTCTGCTCGTTTTTGGATGGCTTGGTTCTTCTTCTCTTCTCGAGAATGTTGGACCATCCATTCCGGTTCGTCGTCATCTGTTCGAGTAAGCTCTGGAAAGGCAGGAGCAGGTGATGGAGAATGTACCTCCTTCGATAGCAGCTATGCTCTCGTCAAACTCCTTCCTTTTATGATCACGAAGCCATGTCAATGAACCACACGCTAAACTCAAAGACTTGCCCTTGAGAAGTTTTTGTTAGAAAACTTGATTATAGTATTGACAATCGAGCCATGTTCTTACAGTTCCTATGATCTCGTCAGAATCGCGAACACAAAAACAGACTTTGGCCCTTTCACTCACCGGTTGGAGATTCGAAGATGCCGACTTTGCCTTGCTCGATGCAGTCGTACAATGCCCGCATAAATTGTAATTGAATGTCATACGGCTCGTATGGATGGTGGAACTTCTCGGCACCCTCCATGTTGATCTATGGAGGTGCATTAGCGACTCGAAAGCATTCTCGGTAAATGAGGCTGTTGCATTGTGATGATTGGATATGGTTAGCACGGAGGATGTTAGAGAAGGCGGGTCAAAGAACAACGTTGGGAACGACGAAGGCAACAAAACCACGAGATACTTCACAGCCTCTCGTGTGCTGAACACTGTCACGCTATAAAAATGCACAAACCTTCGAAGGAAGTGAGGCCCACGGAGAGAAGACTTTGTTGACAATTCATGAGGAAGGAACGAACCCAAACCAGACTCCATTTTGGTATAGTAAAAGAAATGCAAAAATGCTCTATATGCAAAACAAAACACGCCAGGCCTTTTTCTACATTTACGGCGTGATATCGAACTTCATCTTGACACCCATAGCCGCCAACTCGACATCCAAGTAGCGCAGGACACCAGGAACTGCAACGACAGTGACATCAGAACCACCAACGAACTTGTCACCTCTGCCGTCCTCCCAGGTGTCGCTTCTTTGCTCAGAGCCAGTAGCCTTGGTACTACATCTTCTACACCTGACATTGCTGGCATTGACACCCTTTCTGTGACCATACTGGTTGACGGTTGGTTGTGCGGAAAGGAAGGATCCACAACCGCGGCAGATCCATGCTTTTTGGTAATCGGAACAGTTCATCAAACGGTCTTGGAGCAGGAATGCTGTACCGTGGGCAATTAGAGAATCTCTCTCCATCTCACCGACACGGATACCACCACCCTTGGCACGACCCTTGATGGGTTGACCAGTCAATGCAGTCACGGGACCGGTGGTACGGACCTGGAACTTGTCGTTGACCATGTGACGCAGACGTTGGTAGTAGACAACACCCATGTAGATGTCGGCACCGAGCTCTTGACCAGTAATACCGGAGTACATTGGCTCGTTTCCGTAGTAGTTGAAACCAGCACGCTTCAGCTGGTGACCGAAGTACTCGACGGCGGTCTCGCCTGCCTTGTCCTTGAACTTGAACGGCGTGCTGTCTTGCGCAACACCGTGCAAACATCCAGCCTTACCAGCCAGCGACTCGACGAACATACCAATGGTCATACGCGAAGGGAAAGCGTGAGGGTTGATGATGACATCGGGTTGGATACCGCTCTCGCTGAAAGGCATATCCATGGCAGGCCACTTCTGTGAGCAAACACCCTTCTGTCCGTGACGAGAAGAGAACTTGTCACCAATGACAGGCGAACGGGGTATGCGAAGTCTGATACTGAGCATCTGGCAGGGTTCATCACCACCGGTGTCTGTGCCGAGCATCTTGATCTCCTCAACGAAAGCCTCCTCGTGCTCCTTGTACTTGTGCAAGTGAGTGATACCATCACGGTTGACATATTCGCCAGTGATAGGATCCTTAGTGACGGTGTGCGATGCGGCGATGATATCGCCTTCCTTGACCTTCATGCCAACAGCGATCAGACCATCGTCGTCCAGGGTTGCACGCCACTGTGCACGGACGAGACCGCCAGGTGCGAAACCGAAGAGCTTCTTCACATTACCTCCACGACCACGTCTGCCGCCGTTGTCCTCTGCGAGATCAATCTTCTTGGTCTTGTATACTGTTCCATGACCGAAGCCGCGCTCGTGGGCGGATTTGTTGATAATCATAGCATCATCCATGTCGTAACCAGTGTATGAAATGACGGCAACGCAGGCATTGGTGCCATTAGGGAAGTTGTCCAGGCCATATTCGTTGTACAGAGGAGGTCTGACAACTGGTGTTTGACCGGTTTGCAGGCGGTATGACTTGTTGTCGGTACGGTATTTCAAAGCAGTTCCAGGGGTACCCATGGTTTGCTTTCCCATCTGACACCTATCCCTGAATTAGTATCTGCCGAAATGCACAAAGTTAACTTCACATACTGGTACATGTTACGAGGCGACTGGTTGAAGTCTGAGAAGGGTGTTTGGTTGGCGAGAATAGAGAGAATGTTGGTAGGGTCGAATTCGACGTGTGTTGAGTCTCCGGAGATAATTTCGGGCTCTGTGCAAGCAATTGACATGAAGGGCTGCTCGAAAGGACCAACAAAGTCCTCCTTTTCAAGAGGGAGGTACTTCACGGGTCTGTACATTCTTGCGGCTTGTGAGAACATGTAAAGACCAGGGTATTGACCTCCATTGGAGTTGGGAATGTAACCAATTTCGAGCTCGGCGGGTACGCCGTGAGTACCCTCTACCTTCCAGTAGCGGAGAGTGTCTCCGATCACGCGAGCCTGTTGGGGAGAGCAGAAACCAAGAATGCGACCGTCGAGCATAACAACAACGCTGTCCTCGACGGATGCAGAGGGAGCCTCGGTAACGCCCAGTTGTGAGATGAGGCCGGGGATAGCCTTAGTATCGACGCTCTTTGTGGCAATCTTACACTTGTGAGCCAAGTGATTGAGAAGACCGCAAGGAGAACCATCGGGAGTGTGGACAGGGCAGAGGAAACCCCAACTCTCAGGCAACAGCTTTCTGACAGTTGTGGTCTTGAGCTGAGCGAAGAAACTACCTCTGTGGACCATGCGGAAATGACTGATGAAACGCCAGAAGTTGATCTTTTCGGCGACAACGGTGAAACCAGAGGTTTGTTGCAGATCCAGACCACTGGGCGAGACAAGGTTACCAGTAGACAAGAAGTAATCCAGAGCCTGTGCCAAGTTCTCGTTAGTTCGGCGAAGGATCTTTGCGCTGAAGTCTCTCTCAAATTCGTCCGAGACGATTGATGCCCAATTGGTACTTCTGCCCCAGTCACGGAGTTGCAAGCCAATAGAGCCCAGCCACTCCTCGATGCGCTCCTTGACAATCATACCGTAGAGGAAACCAGGCAAAAGGATCTCCTGGTTCTGGACGGCATCGGGATTGTCGACAGCACATTCTCCCTCGACAAGAGAGTACAGCTTTCTGGTCATGAAAAGCAGCATGCGGAACTTGTCGGCGTCGTTGGTCTCCTTGTTATCGGATGTACCCAAGTGAGGGAGAACAATTCTTCTCAAAAACTCAACACCAGCATCTTCGTCAGACATATCATCAGGGACGCTCAAGACAACGCGGAACTTGCTTCCAAGGTATGCGCGGGTCTTCGCCTGACCGTGAATGTTGTAGGCCTTGTATGTGCGTAGCAGAAGCTCAACACGGTCTGTGACGAACTGCTTCTCTTCGATACCCTTGCTTCCAGCAGGACCGACCAGCCCTTCGAAAATTTCGCGGTCGTTTGTCTCGACCAGAGCCTTGAAAATCATCATGACAGGGATGAGATATTCGTTCTTGCGCCATGAGAAACGGAAGGTGACGTTGCCGTCGTTGAGGTAGTGCAGGACGTTGGTTTGCGAGGTCTGATCGGGTCTGACGGAGCGGATTTGGATACCATATTTTGTGTAGGTTGCGCCTCTGTTGACGAAAGAGGGACGAATGATGGCCATGGGGTAGTTTCGTCGGTTGACAATGAGCATACGAATCAGCTTCTCGATACCGTTGACAATGAAATAACCTCCCAGCTCTTCAGTTTCTTCCCTCTTGTCGACAAGCTCCTTTGGTGAAAGACCCTCGAGGTGGCAGCGGTTTGACTGCGAATTGTGTCAGTAGTAGCCTTCAGAGTAGCGCGAAAAACACGTACGCGCAACATGATGGGCAGAGAACCAAACTCTCTAACGCTCTCCTTCCACTCGCCCTCGTTGATGCGCCACTCGAGACGGCCTCTGAAGCGACCTCTGTATGTGCAATGGCGCTCTCTGCACTCTACGGGCAGAATCTCGCGCTTCTTGGCGATCTTGTTGGAAGGAGGGAGCATGCTCTTGTCGAGGAATACTTCCTTGACGCGAACCTGAAGCTTGTTGCGTCTAGGACCATCGGCTGAGAAGGGCAAGTTCGGGTTACCATCGAAGAATGTCTTGGTTCCAATGTCGCGGAGAGCATGGTAAAGCTGACCCTTCTCTGCAAAGACAGCATTGAAGGATTGCACATGGGGGTCGACGGCCGAGGCGAGGGTAGGGTATGCCGACTTGTCTGAGGGAGGGTTGCGGAAGAGGTCATGGCGGCGCACCGTGTCGAAGTCGGTCGACCACTTGCCCTTTTCTGTGGCTGATGGTGCCATGGCTATGAAGGAAAGTCGAGGTTGAAGATGGACCTGGGTGTTACTGTGATGCTGAAGAGAGCTCAACCTCTCACGCCCGTGGGTCGGGTGCTAGGAAATATTCCAGGATTTGACTCGATTGGTCCTTCTTCAATTTTCCAGCCTTTGTTTCTCCCCGAGTTTTATTTTCTTCGCACACAAGATGCAGCACCGAGATGGGCGTCGCAGATGTTTTTTTGCTTCGAACTTGAACTTCTAGAATTTTAGCGCCGTCAAAGCCGTCGTGCCAAGCTTTCAAACCTTCCGAGGCTCCGTCCCTTCGCCGCATCTGCTGCCACTGCCGTTATCGTGCCCATCAAGCCCACATCGACTTCCCGACTCAAGTGATCTCTTGGCCGTCAGAGGCACGTATATTGCTCTTACAGCAAGCTTCTACTGTACCAACTCCTGATCTTGTAGCGCTGCCCAAGCACTTAAAACATCGTGACAGCAGTGCCTCATCTGCGAGATAATCCTTCGCCTTGAATCTACATCACCATCGCCTCCAATAAGAATTCAACCCTGCCCGAGCCCCGCTTCTGCTTGTGTCCTGCGCGAACTGGCCAAACCATCCGTCCGTGCAACCATCGAGCTGATCTACTGCTGTTGCCTGCGTCCCAGCTCTTCGACACTTACCTGCAGTGCCTAGTCTGCCAAACGAATCATCATGGCAGGCCTATTCAAACGTCTTTACGACTGGCTCCTTAGCCTATTCTGGTATGTTTTTTTGCTATCATCGATGACCATGCCCTGACGTGACATGTCTTTTGCGATTAGGGCGACCGAGATGGATGTTACAATGATCGGCCTCCAAAATGCCGGCAAGACATCTCTCTTGAGGGTCCTAGCAGTAAGCAGTCTATCCTGGCCTGTGTGGTCGTGCTTCTTGACCTGATATTGACTGTGTATGTGTAGGGCGGAGAGTTTACAATCGAGTAAGTCTGATCTCGTGGTAGCACTATGACGAGGATGTCGACTAAATGGTGTCTGCAACGTGATAGCTCAATACCTACGGTTGGCTTCAACATGAAGAAAGTCACCAAGGGCCATGTGACTTTGAAGTGGTGAGTTGTATAGTCTTGCGCGTATCGAAAATGTGGCTCATTGAGCGCAGCTGGGATCTAGGGGGTCAGCCGAGGTTTCGATCGATGTGGGAGCGCTATTGTCGAGGCGTGAACGCTATGGTGTACGTCTTCCAGCTCCTTGAAGCGTGCCGTATTGACGCGAAACTAGATTCATCGTCGACTCAGCCGACAAGGAAGCCTTGCCCGTGGCACGAGAGGAGCTCCATGTGTTACTAGAAAAGCCCGCCCTGGAAGGCATTCCGTTGCTGGTCTTGGGCAACAAGTCTGATCTTCCTGATCACCTCTCGGTCGACGAGCTTATTGAGGAACTGAACCTTAAGGCCGTAACGCACCGCGAGGTGAGTTGCTATGGTATTAGCGCAAAGGAGGAAACCAACTTGGATGCTGTGCTGCAATGGCTGATTGCTCGGGCGGGCAAATGATTGATTCAGTCAAGGTCACGAGCATGCATTGCAGTGTAGAGGCTGGTCTCCAGTAACGATGTTCATGGGCATTTGCATAAGGTGTTGCAAGCGATGGGGTTTAGAAGGTTTCTTTCCTGCAAACCAGCAATGGCAGTGTAGCGTAACGGCGGGTGCACAGGGTGTCTTTGATTTCTTTCGACGTTCAGCGATCTTGTTTCTTTCCTAGCGGACTCAGGGATGGGTTTGTGGATTCACGAAGGCAATACGATAGTCAAAGATTGATGCGAACACGAGGAAATGAGGAGAGCGAAGAGACATGGAATGGCGAGGAGGAAGTGCAGTGCTTGGAGTGTTTCAAAACCCCCCCCCCCCCCCCCCCTCGATATCATGTGGGAGTGCAATAATGCAAGATGCGCTGGCAGTGCTGGCACCAATGTTCTGGAAATGCGGGTGGCTGAATTGACACATACTGCGCCACGTTGATGGCTGTGGCTGAGGCAAGCCTATCGCCTTGCCGCCTTATCGTGCATACTCCACGAGACCAAACAAGACAAATAGTTGCATTGTTTGAAGGAACGGAGAACAAAAGAAGTGAGATAGTACTGAGTTAGGGTCATGACAATTGATTTGAAGATCGGCCCAAGCCGTTTCCAGACTCCAAGATCTGAGACGGAAAAGCATGCCGGTCACTGCCTCGTTCGTGGCAGTGGTTACCATTTAAGCGCTTGGCCACCAAGAGTCTGTCGTCACCGTTCCCATTCCAAGCCACAAAGGTCTCACAACCACGTCGTACTTAAACACTCTCGTAATCCCTCATCTCCGCCATCTTCTGGTACGCGTGAACACACCAGCAGCTCGACATGTATACCAACGCGCATCTCAAACCTCGCCAGTACTATGGCTACTACGAGTAAGTCCGTTCCTGATGCCCGACGGGTGTTCGAAGATCTGCACATGCGTTCGTCACTATGTATCCGTCCGAACCTCAGGCTGACATGATCCTCTATAGCTGCTACGGAAACAACTGCGACAGCGCCTGGAACCGCTGGGGTCGCTGGGTGCTTCTCGCATGCATAATCGTCGCCTTCTTCATACTCTTCTTCCTCTTCTCGTAAGTGTCGCGTCCACAGGTACTCTCGGAACTTGCGCTGACCATTCGTTCAGATGCCTTTCTGCAAGAAGACGTCGTAAGCACGGCTACAACCCCTACTTCGGCACTGGTTGGACTGTTCGCCACGGCACTCCTACCTACAACCAGAACGTCCAGCCCCAGTATGAGACAACCTCGACTCCTTATTATAACAACTCAAACAACCCTCCTCCAGGTACGACATAATCTGACTCTTGTGCCACCCTTTCACAAATACTGACCTGCAACCACAGCCTACAGCCCTGCCCCAAACACTACCAACTACGGCAACAACATTGAGCTGCAGCAGCCTCAAGCGGCATACACTGGCAACTACGCTCCTCCCAAGGACCCTCCCCCGGGAAGATATTAAAGAAGCACCGTCATCTGATGGGCCACAAAACAACCTTCAGCACAATTGAGACGGCATAATGAGCACTGAGATAGGATGGGCATGGAATTCATGGCGTTATGATGGGCGTGGCTTTGATACCCCGAAAGAGCTACGACTACGGTTATGAGGACACAAATGGGCTTTTTCTTTTCGACTTCAAGTACGATGGTTGTACTATAATAATTATCGAAACCGTTTTCATGCTTCTCGCTTCTTTCTACTGTTTTTGAACCTCGGCCGAGTCTCTGATTTTCAAAGCTTTGATGACGTACCATGTTTCGTCTCCCGTTTTGCTTATCCCCGTCGATGGTCAAATGGCAATTGGATATGGGATTATTAAGCAGGTGACGATGTGCTTCGAGAACTTTTGGAAGATCTTGCCCCTCATTTTAATTTAATGTCTGCCCAGCTTATATAAGGTGCTTCTGTAGATTCCTCAATTGACTTTTTCCCACATTCCTAATCCAATCACACACACAATAATCACAATGGCACCCTCACAAATGAAGGCTATCAAGGTCGTCGAGGCCAAGAAGGCAGAGATCCAGGACGTCCCTGTGCCCAAGATCCGTGACGACTATGTCTTGGTCAAGGTCGAGGCCGTTGCTTTGAACCCCACCGACTGGAAGCACGTTGACTACCTCGCCAACCCTGGAGCTACTGTTGGCTGTGATTACGCTGGTGTTGTCGAGGAGGTCGGCTCAGCAGTTCAGAAGAAGTTCTCCAAGGGAGACCGTATTGCTGGTTTCTCCCATGGTGTCAACTCTGCCAACAAGGAGGACGGCTGCTTTGCCCAGTATGCCCTCGCCAAGGGTGATGTCCAGATGAAGGTTCCTGACTCTTTGTCAACCGAGGATGCTGCCACTCTCGGTGTTGGTGTCACTACTGTTGGACAGGGTAAGCAGTGTAGCACAATTCTGCAAGAAATTCGAGCTAACCTTTCAATACAGGTCTCTACCAGAGCTTGAAACTTCCCCTCCCCACTGAGCCTGCTAAGCAGTCCTTCCCCGTCCTCATCTATGGTGCTTCGACCGCCACTGGTACTCTCGCCGTCCAGTACGCCAAGCTGTCTGGTCTTGAGGTCATTGCCATCTGCTCTCCTCACAACTACGACCTGGTCAAGTCTCTGGGTGCCGATGCTACCTTCGACTACAAGGACCCCGAGTGCTCGGCCAAGATCCGTGAGCACACCAAGGACAACCTTAAGCACGTTTTCGACTGCATTTCCGAAGGCAGCTCTCCCGACATCTGCGCCAACGCCATCTCAAGCAAGGGCGGTGTCATCTCTTACCTTCTCCCTGCCAAGTCCTCCCGCGAGGACGTTGTTGACCAGAGCACTCTCGGATACACCGTTGTTGGCGAGGCTTTCACTTTCGCCGGCCACCCAATTCCTGCTAAGCCCGAGGACTTTGAGTTCGGCAAGATGTGGTGGGAGCTGGCTGAGAAGCTGTTCGCCGAGGGCAAGGTCAAGGCTCACCCTAAGGATGTCCGCAGCGGCGGCCTCGAGGGTGTCTTTGGCGGTATGGATGAGATGAGATCTGGCAAGGTCTCAGGTAAGAAGCTTGTCTACAAGATCTAAAAGCACAAGTCTTGAAAACACGCCTTAACGACATGAAGTAAAAAGATAGAACACAACATACGATTAATCTTCTTTGACATACGAACTTAAACATCAAACTCCTTGAAACCCCTGGTATACCCGTGAAACAAAGAAACAGTTCATGATCCAAGCCATGCTAACATGTGCGTGTCGCTTCCTCCCTTTCGTATGAATGACTTTGATATGCAGAGCGTGTCGTTATATGTTTCATGTCATCATGTCGTTTCCATTGGTCATGGCTCGCCAGGTCCGCTGACCTTGATATGAGGCATAGGCGCTGGCGGGCTGCCATTCGAGTTATCCATGACCCTTCGCCATTTCAAAACCGGGATTCTCTGCTCGCCCTGAAGCATGAAGTTAGTATGCGCATGCGCACATAAGAACCCAGTTGTTTGGGGCATGACGACAAAAAGAAAAGAACTCACTCTAATCTCTGTAGGCTCCTCGCTTCCGAGCACCAACACATTATCATCTTCCTCGAACTTCCAAGTCCTGACTTGGATATCGCCTAGCCACCCCGGCAAGTTGCAAACCTGGAACGTGTGTCTCAAAATCTCTTTTCTGCCCATACCCTCGTCGGTAATGTAGTAAGGGCCTGCATACGAAAAAGATCGCTTGCCTGCCTCTGCCCATTGCGGTTCTTCACCTTCTCCGCGCTTGAAGGACATTTGACCGGGAATCAGCATGTGCGCGCTCATGTAGCCGTCGGGTGTGTACATGATCAGGCCTGTGACGTTTTTGGTCATTGGGAAGGTTGGGCGTTGGAAGCGGCATGTGGGCGTTGGGTAGGCGACGTAGGCTTCAAGGCGCCAGGTGCCGACTAGTCTCTGCCGCAGCGGTCGCTGTGGTGGAGGAGAAGGTGTTTTGGAGAGGGTGTAGTAGTCGCCGTTCAGGTCATCTATGTTAGAGATATTGATGCTTGGGGACTTGACATCGAGGTCGTATGTCGTGTTTCCATTCGTCCTGGGAGTGCTCGAGCCATTTATCGTCGTTGTCTTGAAGCTGTAGGTCAGGCTTTCGTTTTGTGGCGATTGTGTCCGAGGTTCAGACATCTTCGGTGTGAACGGTGGTGGTGATGGGGGCGTGACTGGTCGTAGCAATGGGCGGGTCTTCATCGGTTGAGGTGACACGGGTTCCGGGGATTTGGGTCGCGAGGACGATCTTGACCGTGACCTTGATCTGTTCTTGCGATACGGGACCACTTTGGGCACTTGGAGGTAAGTTGTGCTGGTCAGGGTGATCACCTGGCTAGGCATGACGATATGACAAGAAGAACAGGTGGGTTGAAGTGATGATAGTAATCAACAGACAAAGAGTCCGTCATCGAAAGCGACCAAAGAGGCAGAAAGAGAAGGAAGACTTGAAAGAGAAGAAAAGATCGTACAAACCAATAGCGCTCGGTAGTTTGGAATGTCCTATTTCATTCCATCGACGGCAGCATGTCACGGCAGGGCTTATTAAAGTCATGATGTTTCTACCTCACCCGTGAATCATCAGCTGCTGATCAAGCCAACCGACCAGCCATTACCAAACCCGAATGCTCACACTCGTGTAGGGTGTGTGTGTGCGAGGGTAGGTTAGAAAGCAACAAGGTGGGGCACCGGACAGAGAGGAGTAGTCCGAAGTGCAAGTAGAACTTGGCGGGGACTGCCTGCCTGCCTCCTCTCACCACTACTCTGGTGATTCTTGATCAAGAGAGACCGAAACTCTTGTCTCTAGCCCACAGATACAGCTTACCAGATTACAATATTGCTTTCTAGCCGTCAGCAATGATATCGACGTGCAGATGGATTCTGCAGAGGTCGCATGGGAGAGCATCATCCCGCGCCGAATGTGGTAAACAACAGGGACTACTGAACTGTTCCGCATTCGCTGACACACACGAAAATGCGGCTGAATGCATGCTTGCGTCTTGGACCTCCTCTTTTTGCAGCTTTCACATGGCTGAGACTGAGAGACAGAGCTACATACCTCCTCAGCACAGACGTCCCGTCTAGCAAAAGGAGCGAAGCCGGAGAATTGGACTGCTTGTCTTGTCATGGTTTGCTTGGCTTCGAGGGCTGGTCTTGTGGCAGTCGTTCCTTCGCTCCAGCGAGGGGTTCGTTTGACTCCGCTCGAGCCGAAGCCTATTTCCACATTGCGACATCGCAACTTTCAGGCCTCGACAGTCACAGCAGAAGTCGCTCACTCATCTTGGAGCAAGAAGGCTGGCAAGAAGTCTCGCAGTCAAGTAACAAGGCAGATGAGCAATGAACAATGGATTTCTCAGCATAGTGGGACAATGATGTGATGATGAGGGAGCTTATCCTTCCGTCCTGTAATCACTCGAGCTCATCCTGTGCCGTTCTTTGCGGATGAAGAAGCGTGTATCAAGCGTGGGGTCTCTTATCGACCGCAAGCCAAGCTAGCCCTGAGCCCTGTTGATATTCTACAGACAGGCCATGACTAGACAAGCTATTTTGATTGTTGTCACTTCGAGTTGACTTAGTTTAAAAACCACTTTTGTTCCGCCGCTTCATTGCTAGTGAACATGAATACTGCACGTTTCTACGACTGCACTCTAGAACAGCTGGGTTGCTGGACCAAGGCCCAAACGTGGTCGTGAGGTGCCCTCCAGGTGGCATGTTCGGTCCATTCGGCCCGCTGCTCGACTCGCACGGCATAACAGTTTATCCATACAGAGCTGCTATTTGCCAATTGACCCCAGTGACATACGAGAGAGCTGTTGTTGGGACCAACGATCGTACCGTGCGGGAGAGGGGTCGTAAGAGCATATTTTGAGCCCCGCAATCGCATGTGCTACTGCAACAGATAGCTCGGTATATAAGAGCCACCTTTCTCGAGCTACTCGATTCTCTTTCTTCTCTTCCTTTCCTCCAAACACAACTTTGAGAAAAAATTGCTTGTATCGTAGCCCCTTGTGGCCATGTTACTCAGTGCTGACTCTCGAGCAGGTCCAACCGCTCGACGGTACGCTCATCCATCATGGATCGATGCGTGATTTTCTTTTCGAATGGTATTCTCTGATCAGAGATGATCAAGGGTCAAGGTAACTTACAACAACGGGTTATACCTGATGCATGAGCGGGTGTTCGATAGCGAGCTTCTGTCTGCCAACCCATTGATCTTTGATCATGGACATTGGTGTCAGAACTGTATCGCCTCGCTATCGTTCTGAGATTAGACCGCCTGAACTTGATTTCTGGATAATACCAGCGAAAGGATCATGCATACCGAACCACCCCTTCTTGTGCCTCTGTGGCATGTTCTAACCTGCAACAGATTAACCAAATTTTGACCCAATCATACCACAATGTCTCCCCCAGCCATGCTCTTCCAGGAACCTATTTCCCCTACCGTTCCTTCCAAGAAGTTGAACCTTCCTCACAGCTCTGCTGTCCCTGTTGGAGGACAGACCAAGGGCGAGACCATCGATGCCATGGCTGGTGAATGGGAATCCTTCACCTTCCGTCCCATCCGTGAGTCGCAGGTCAGCAGAGCCATGACCCGCCGCTACTTTGCCGACATGGACAAGTACGCCGAGTCTGACGTCGTCATCATTGGCGCTGGCTCTTGCGGTCTCTCTTCCGCATACTGCTTGGCCAAGGCTCGTCCTGACCTCAAGATTGCCATCATCGAGGCCAGTGTCAGCCCTGGTGGTGGTGCTTGGCTCGGTGGCCAGCTCTTCTCTGCTATGGTCATGCGCAAGCCTGCTGACGCCTTCCTCCGCGAGATCGGTGTCGACTACGAGGAGGACGGTGATGACAGCAACTATGTTGTCGTCAAGCACGCTGCTCTCTTCACCAGCACTCTGCTCAGCAAGGTCTTGCAGTTCCCCAACGTCAAGCTCTTCAATGCCACTGCCGTTGAGGATCTCATTACCCGCCCCCGTGAGGATGGAACTATCCAGATTGCCGGTGTTGTCACCAACTGGACTTTGGTAAGTTGAAGTGACTACACATACTCTTGAAGCTTCGATGCTGACTCCATTTCTATAGGTCAGCATGCACCACGACGACCAGTCCTGCATGGACCCCAACACCATCAACGCCCCCGTCATCATCTCCACCACCGGCCACGACGGCCCCTTCGGTGCCTTCTCCGTCAAGCGCCTCGTCAGCATGCAAGCCATCAAGTGCCTCGGCGGCATGCGCGGCCTCGACATGAACACCGCCGAAGACGCCATCGTCAAGGGCACCCGCGAGATCGTCCCCGGCCTCATCGTCGGCGGCATGGAGCTCTCTGAAGTCGACGGTGCCAACCGTATGGGACCTACCTTCGGTGCCATGGCCCTCAGTGGTGTCAAGGCTGCTGAGGAGGTTGTTAGAGTCTTTGAGCAGCGTCAGAAGGAGTGTGCTGCTTCTTACTAAGAAGTGTCACTTTACGATATGATGCTAGCTGATGCTACAGTCGCTACCAGTGTTTGCGAGAATGAAATGACAAAGATTTATTGATGCCATTCTATATACCTTGTTCCTTGCGTTTGTTCACCTCTGCTATATGCATCGTGATCTCTGTTCATCTCTGCTTTGTAAATCATCCAGACCTAAGACAGCGAAAGCTTTTTGACTTAACGCAGGTTTCAGCAGGGAAGGTGCGCTTGGATGCCTATAGGAAGGCGCGGTCCTTGGCGAGGTGATTCATACCATTCACCAAAGCTTATAACGCTGTGGAAGCAAGGCGAAGTACCAGGAAATAGTTCGTGAATACATCCTAGTCATACATTACACACTTGGCCACAAGCTACATGTGAAATCCTTGATCAATCTTCATTATGCTAGTCCCGATTGACAACACGCAAACTGCGCCTTGGTGCCAGAACAGTACCCCAGAACGATGGCGTGTTACCAGCAAGTAGATCCTCGGGCGCACCGCTATCATCACTACTCCTCCTCAACAAGAATCCGTCTACGCTGCCTTGGCCGGCAGTGTCTGTCCTATAAGCTTCAGTATATCCCCAGTCATTGTTACGGTTCGAGCTTCCTTTGCCGCTGGCGTTTTCGCTAGAAGTCCATTGACGACGATCGCCTGAGCCACCACCACTTGAGGAGCCTGCTCCTGTGGGCACGAGACCTGGAATGTTTGGGTGGTTCTTCTCGTTGAGTGCCTGTCGCTGTGCCATTTCAACATGACGTTTGTATAGTTGAAGACGTTTACGATACAGCCAAGCGCAGAATGCAAGGTAACAGACAACGACGAAAAGGATGCCTGCGATCACGCCAGCAACGATAGCTCCGACGTTGGGACCGCTGCTGCCTTTGTTTCCCGATCCCGAGGTAGAATCGCCACCAGAGTTACCTGTAGCTGTTGCGGTTGAACTAGAGGTTACAGTGCTGTAGATGATTGGACTGCCAGTCTTCAATGGCCCGTCACTCGCTGTTTGAGCTGGCGCAGTGACAGTCGCACCTCCTTGTGCGTTACCACCAATAACCGAGATAACGACACCAGGAACTTGATATCCGTAAGAGCCTTCGAGGCCACCTGGACTGCTGCCATTGGCTAGTTGGGCTGGTTGTTGGTTGAACGGATTCGTACGAGCATTTGAGACCCAGTTTCCAGACGCTGACCCAGTAGGGGATGTTGTATCTCCAGCTGCAGACACGCCGGACGCTGATGCTACAGCTGTGTTGGAAGAACTGCCAGAGCTGCCAGAGCTGCCAGAAGATGCTGAAGAGTCCGATCCAGAGCCTCCACTCAGTGCAGTGAATCCAGTCGACCATTCCAAACTGCTTGCGTTGAGCACGTAGATGCCAGGACTGTCGCAGCTGATTTGGTCGCCGACGTAGCCACCAACCACGACCATTTGCCCATCCCACATCTGACATGAGTGACCTGCTCTGCCGGGTGGTACTGATTGTGAGCTCTGATCAACTTGGATCCAGGTGAAGGAAGGAACGGTCAGAATCCAGAGGTCATCATACTGAGTCTGGTTGCCAGCAGGAATGAGATTCTGTCCACCGAACATGTGTACTTGGTAAGAGCTACCATCCGGGGCAGCTGCTACTGCAGCACACGGGTTGACGCGAATCTTTGGTGTGGGCCCGCTTGTTGCTTGTTTATACCAAGTCGAGGTAGCAATATCGTACACATCGATCACGTTCATTTGTGTCTAGGACTGTCAGCTCAGTCTTCTGTGGTGCGAGCGTGTGTGTCTAGATTGCCAACACGAACGCCCTGAGCAGAATGTGTATAGACTTACGAAAGTGTCCTCTGTTCCTCCAGCTAGACCGAGGAGGATGCCTTGGTCACCGAATCCAGGTATGTATACAAGCAGTCCGTCTGCGCGCTCCGGAAATCCTGCACTGTCTTGAGCACCTCCATCTGTGACATTGCGCCATGCACCATCGCTGCCTGCAGCTTGGTTGTTCGATAGGGAGGATACTTGATTGTTTTGATATCCAGGGAAGGTGAATTCGATCAAGGACTTGATGTAAATTCGTGCGACTTGATTCGACCATCCTTCGGTCGTGTGGGTATCTTCATGTCCGCCGAAGTAAAAACCACGCCCTAATCCTGGAACTGAGGCGCCGGCGCCTTCAGCAACACGCTGTACTGCTTGGCCGCTAGACTGAGCATTGTCGCCGGATGAAGTTGTTGGATTCTGATGTTGAATCCACTGAGAGGATATGGCGCTGTATTCCCAAAGCGAGAATGCGGTCGGTGGATCGACAGGGCTGTCTGAAAACTCTCCACCATAAAGATATACGGACTCGTGGGAGTTCCACAAGAAGCCGTTCGACACGTTCGGGGGACCAGATGGTTGTGGCAAGCCCGTCAAGGAGGGGCTAGAGATCTGCCAACTATTGGCGAGATCCATTGATAGAAAGTCATTATCTGGAGGATATGTTTAGCGACCTTCCACAAGAAATCTCAAGAGGCAGTCGTACTCCACTTGTTTTGTGTCTGTCCAGGCTCGATGGTTGCTTGTCCACCGTAGATATAAAGTGTTCCGTTGATCACAGCAGATTGGTGTGACCATCGCGTACATACATCGGTTGGACTGTCTGCTCGAGTTTCAAGAACCATTTTCCTTTCAACAGGGACAGCTCGGCTATCGACACCTATGCTAGGCTTGGCATTACTCTCAGTCGGTACCGGATGTTGTATGAAAGGCAGAGTTGCTGCGACAATGAGGGCGACTGCGCCTAGTTTGAAAAGGTATCGATTGTTTGATCTTTTTGTGGTATCCCTCGTCGATGGCTGTGGGTTTCCATCTCTTTCTTTTGATCCGACATTGGCGGCATGAGCGTCGGGATGCACGTCCATGATTGGTAGATAGCCAGTTCAATTGAATAGTATCGTCAGTCGTTTGGTTGGGAGTTGAAAGCGCTGCGCTGACAAGACTGGTTACAGTCTGTCGAGTTGAAAGTTCAGGTCATGCAGATTGGAAGCACAAGATCGCAAGTCAAGGAGGATGTTGAATCTTTACGAGTAATAACAACGCATCGAATGCTGAAAGTCACACGTCACAGACGCCATTGATATGCCGCTATAAGGTACAAAGCAATATGAGCCAGATATAAGGCATAGGGTTGGATTCGCATGCATGACTGCCGAGGCGGAAAATAGATTAACACGTCGGCACTGTGACGTGAACGTATCAAAGAGAGCTAGAGGCTGTAGAAAATAGGAGGTGCAGTGATACGGAATGCCTCTTTGGCAGGCAGGTGTAGTGTAAGATGTCGTCACAGAACAAGTTTTAGGAGGTGGAGGGCGGGTGTCGAGGCTTCGCACGGCCAATCGCTTGATGATCAGCTGGAGTCGTTGCCCAATGCAGACAGGATTGAGGACACCGACTCTATGAGGCGGAGTACAAGGATCATGTCTTGCTCGCTTGCACGAATGCAACTCCTCTGTGTTTCTCATTGGAAAATGTTTAGCAAGCGCTTTGCTGGCACTTGATTGGCGGTCGAACAGCTCTTCGCTGCTCGAGGAATTTCTGTTGTATTCCAAATCCAAGGACGCTCTGCATCCTCACACACACCAACTTCGATCATGTCAATTTCGAATGCTCGAGTTATCTGACAAAGACTGGGGGCTCTGTTTCAGCCGCCCTAGTCCATGTAACTGCATTTCGACCTAAGATTGGCCTCGAGCAACGAAGACATGCGATGTAACTTCGCTCCTTCCTAACAACCAGACGCCTAACAACAGAGTGGAGTGCGGAACTCGTCTCGAGGTTCAACAAAGGAGAGTGTTTCCTGAACAAATGCTGAGTCCAGATGACCATGGAGGTCAATGGTAGACGGCCATGTTCTCGCAGATCTGGCGACTTGCCGGCGGCAAGATCACAGAATCGATGACCAGCATCAAATCTACTTCTTTGGCACGGTGGCTTGTCCTGGCCTGTCAAGGATTAATACGTCTATAGCGCGGATTTGCTGGCACGACATGGCCGTTTCAGGAGTCGCTCTGTGCAGACAGGCTTGGAGATGGTAACTCGAGAGGAACAACCTCGAGAGGAGCAACAGGCTGTTGACGAGCATCAGCAATACTCTTTGCCGATTCTCTAGTCACAGCGCCAATGGCACCACCAGGGTGATTCTTTTTGAAGGTCTTGCCCTTGTTCTCGTGCAGCTGATCAGCGACAGTGAGTGCAAGCATGTCGCCAATGGCAATCTGCACGGTTGTGGATGTTGTTGGCGCCGATACACCAAAAGAAACCTCTTCCAGCTCGAATAAAGGTGCTGGAAGTAATATACCATTCTCATGCTCTTTCAGGAGGGGACATTCGGATGCCTTCGATTGCGAGGTCAAGGCGACGATCTGGAGTTGGCGAGGTAGGTGAGGAAGAAGGTTGAGCAGTTCGGGAGTTTTGCCGCTGTACGAGATGAAGAACAATACGTCGTGCTGCACAGTCTTGTCAATTTCGTGAGTGCAGTGTGTCGATGTGATCAACATACCTCGCGGATATCACCAAGGTCACCATGTGCGGCCTCGGCAGCGTGCATGAAGCTGGCAGCGATGCTCAGACTCTTCAGCGTCGCGACAGTCTTTCTGCCAACGAGGCCACTCTTGCCCACTCCGCAAACAATGATCTTTCCTCCGGCAGCTTGTGATTTGGTGATGCATTCGACTGCGCCAAGCAGTCCCTCTCTGGCGTTAGGATCTGTCTGGTACAATCTGGTAACATGTGATAGGGCGGTAGCTTCGATTGAGAGGACCCGAGTAGCGCGGTCAAGGATCGATGTCGACTCTGGGTCGTGGATGGTGGATGGAGGGGTCACCATCGTACGCTGGCGTTTGCATGGTCTGGGAGACTCTGAGGAATGCATGTTGTCGTTGCGAGTGGCAGAAGCGTCCAAGATATGTGTGGTAGAGATGCTGGGCAAACAAGGCGGTCGTAAGCGGGGTATGCTATGATAAGAAATGTATGGAGGATGTAAGGGTCTAGTGTTGTCAAAGGCTACTTGGATATATCGCTAGGCAGTACCCTTTCATGTGATGACCAGGAAGGACAGCAGGAACCCCAGCAGCAGATATCCCATAGTTACCCCAGCGCCTAGATCCTCTATCAACCCGATCTGCTGCTTGGACACACTAGTACGCCCGTCATGGATCGAATCGCAGCAATCGGCCGTCATTAGTCATCGCAAGCCAACCATTCCTCGCTACAACTCTTTGTTCGCAGCGGTGGCTTTGCTTGAGCCGTTTTTTTGTTGGAAGTACGCGGTCAGTGCTTTGAAAGAAGCTTCTTGACGTCCTCGATCGTGTATGTGAGACCGTCCACCGTTCCCTCACTGAGCTAGGCCCGATCATAAACGACAGAACAGATGTGGTACTGCAGTTGTCGGGGAGGCCGCGAACGCTGTTGTATTCGTCCCTCCCTTCCTCGAAGGACACTCAGTATGAGAGTACCTACCTACTCTTGAAAGCAGTTGCGATCATGTCAGACACGTTCGGCGCGCAAATGCCCGATTGGTTTGATGCTCGGAGTACCAGATTAGATTACATTCGGATCTCGAATGCGCCCGAGTCCGTTGCACGCGATTTCGATCGGCGCTGTCGCGATACCTTGCATGGTGACCCCTTCCCGACCTTGAGCGGGATGTGGACGAGGAATCCGAGGATAGCTATACCTGATGCGTTCCCCGCAGATAAAGAAACACTCTTGTGTAAGTACAATATTCGATGAAACTGGGAAGGTCGTAAAGGTCTCGATGAACTCAGGTTGAGCGTGTAGCCAACGCGTTGCGCTTCGGGATTGCGACGTCATGCCGAGCATGGCAGAAACGCGGCTTCCTCACGCTTCCTCCTCCAGTATTCGCATACCGTTCCTACTATAATCAAATTGTTGGTTGAAAGTACTTTTGGCTTGCAGTGTGGCAACCAGCGAGCCTGCTTGAGAGTTTGATAGCTTTGCTGAAATGCTTTGCAAGTTGAAACCGCTTCATCGGCTCAGCTTACACCGCGCACATACTTTACGCGATGGCTCCTCCTACAGCGCAAAGCAAGGCGCAGACCAGAGCTCAGGATAGAATTGCTGCGGTTCACAGTACAGCCAGAAGATCGAAGCGCAACGCTCCGGTTCCCGATGATGACCGCGATGTATATCGTAGCCTGATATCTGAGGCATCTATTCCAGAAGTGACTGAAAGACCTCTCAAAAGACCCAGACTTCCAAGGCAGCGACAGACTCAAACTTCAACCACCGATGCGTCTGCAACATCACATCAGCAGCCTGAGGATGAGAAACAGGCGCCAAATGGTCACAATCTTGAAGAACAAGCAGCATCTAGACCACAGCAAACCATAATTGATTCTGATGAGTCCGAAGATGATGACATGGACTGGGAGCAAGTTGGTTTGGACCACGTCGAGCCCAAACAGTCTGCTCCTCGAAAAGATGATGAATTTGGAGACATATCACTGGAAATCAGTACCAAACAAGCCCAGAAAAAAGCGATAGCGAAACGGAAGCCTGCCACTACAGCAGAAAAGTTATTGAGGCTTGAAGCTCACGAAGCTCATCTCTTATTCCTCCTCTTCCACGTCCATATTCGCAATGCTTGGTGTAATTTGCCAGAAGTAAAGGTTCGTTCATCTTTTATTTGCTTTCTCTGATTCACAAGGAAGCTGATTATGATCAGAATAAGCTGAAAGCCATCCTCATGCCGGAAATCGTATCGCTACTACATCCCGATCAATCTCTCATTCAGTTCGGACAGTCAGAGCAGTTCTTGACTGGACTGCAGAAAGCTGTTTTCGTCTGGAGACATAAATTTAATGTGACAACTTCTGGCCTACGTCGACCGAATTGGGCAGAGGGCCCAGAAGGAATCAAAGAGGTGATTGGACGAATCGGCTTACTTCTGTAGAATGCTAACCCGTGTTCTAGCAAATAAGGACCATACAAGAAGAGATGCCACCCGTCGAGAAGAGTGACTTCATCAAGGCAGCTACGACCTTTTCGGGCTCTCAAGATGTGGGTGCACAGCTTTTTTGTGCTCTTCTGAGGTGTGTCGGCGTCGAGGCTCGATTGGTCTGCTCACTACAACCTCTTCCTTTCGGTACAACTGCGACTAAATCAGCCACGCCACTCAAAAGCAAACCAAGTGTGTACGCAGGAAGCGACAAAGACAACACGAGTGGTGGAGAGACATCTGGAGGTTCTGCATCTGAAGGTTCAAGTTCTTCCCGGCGCAGAATTATTGCTCCTGGTCGCGTTCGACGACTTGGAAACGCAGCTCTAAATGCAGGCTCTGTTGCACCTAGTCCTAAACCGCCGGGTAAGAGTTCACGGGCTAGCGAATGCTCTAGTACTGACGAAGTATAGCAAGGAAGAAAAAACGACCAATTCGTACGCTCGAGTACCCAGTGTACTGGGTAGAAGCATTCAACGAAGCTTATCAGAAATGGGTACCCGTGGATGCCGTAGTGACAGGTACAGTCGCGAAACCGAGCAAATTAGAGCCGCCTGCTTCTTACGAGGCAAACGCCATGACCTATGTGGTAGCTTTCGAGGACAACGGCATCGCAAGGGATGTGACTCGTCGCTATACCAAGGCCTACAACGCGAAGACCCGCAAGTTAAGAGTGGAGGTAACAGAAAGAGGAGAGGAATGGTGGCGCAAAGCGCTCAAAGTGTTCCGGAGACCAACCTATCTCGACCGTGATCAGCTTGAGGATGCTGAATTTGCAAAGAAAGACGCCTCTGAGGGGTTGCCAAACAACGTGCAAGATTTCAAAGACCATCCCTATTATGCTTTGGAACGACATCTCAAGAGGCACGAAGTGATCTGGCCGAAGAGAGCAAGCGGAAAAGTCTCAGTAGGCAAAGGGGCCTTGGAACCTGTTTATCGACGCAGCGATGTGCACATTGTACGCAGCGCCGACAAATGGTACAGATTTGGTCGCGAGATCAAGGCATGCCAACTCTCTCCGTGCTGTTCCAACTTGGACTAACAAAATCCTCACAGCCGAACGAACACCCACTCAAGCATGTCCCTGCAAGAGTGTCCAAAAGCCGAGCTCAAGACCTGGATGATGCTGATACGGACGAACCGCCGGCCACGGCTCTCTATGCTTTCAATCAAACATCGTTATACGTGCCACCTCCTGTTGTCAATGGCAGGATTCCGAAGAATGCTTTTGGTAATCTCGACATCTATGTGCCATCCATGGTTCCTCCTGGAGGTTGTCACATCCGATATACGTTGGCCAAGAATGCAGCTCGGCTTCTTGGTATCGACTATGCCGATGCCGTGACCGGTTTCCAATTCAAAGGACGTCATGGCACAGCCATCACATCTGGTGTCGTCGTTGCGGAAGAGTACCGTGAGGCTATGGAGGCCGTCATAGAGGGCTTCCAGTACGAGCAGGAGAATGAAGAAGCTCGACTGTACAGCTTGGAGTGTTTGAAGCTCTGGCGACGCTTCCTGGCTGGTCTGCGCATCAAGGAAAGATTGAGCGAATACACTACTACTGACCCCAAGACTGCCAAGACGGAGATCGTCAAAGCAAAGATGGATGAGGCGGAGGAAGTAGAAGATGATCCGATGGAGGCTGGTGGCTTCTTTCCGGACGCAGGCGAAGTCACAAAGCCGACTGCTCATCGATTCACTGATGCTACCGAATCTGACCGTGAGTTCGACATCGCTGAGCAGGCACCTCGACTCAGGAGACAAAGGAAGACTATGGTTGAAAGCGATCCTGAGAGCGAAGCACAGAGCGAAGAAGAGTACATACCGCCACCTCGGAAGCCACCTGTCAGACGTCGTCGCATGTTGACCGAGAGTCCACCAACCTCGGAGAACGCGCACTACGATCCACGCAACCAGGAAGGGGGTGGGTTTATGCCAGAAGATCCCGGAGAGAGTGAAAAACTCGACGATGGCTTCTTGCCAGATGCAGATGCGAGTGAACTTGGAGGCGGCTTCGTACCGGAAAGCAATGATCCCGGTATAGCTGAGGCTGCGTCTACTGGTGAATTTGGCGGTGGTTTTGTACCAGAAGATGAGGACGCGCTTGAGTCTGGGGGCGGTTTCGTTCCCGACAACGACGAAGACTTCTCTGGAGGCGGGTTCTTGCCAGACACTGATGGTTCTGAGGCTCAGTCAAACGCTCAGCAGCCATCGAATGAAGTGCAGGTGGATGCAAAAGAGCAAGGCGGAGATGTTGTGCCCGATAAGCAGGAGGATGATACCTTTGATCCTGATGAGGCAGATGATACCTTTGATCCCGATGAGATGGACATTGGAACCACAAGTCTGCCTCGGGAGAACTCAACTGGCGCTCACCAACAAGAAGAAGAAGATGATGACCGTGGGTCATTGTTGTCTCATGACCCCGAGGACGACGATGCAGAGCCAGACTGGTTGCATAGCGACTAGACGAATATTACAAAGCACATTAATTGGGCTGCTATTTCTTTCGTTTCAATTCCACTAGTCTTCTGCGCACATAGTGCTTTAAGGTATTGGTAGGTATCTTGTAAGTCTCTCAACGTCCCCTTCTTTGTCAACGCTCTGTTCTTCCATCTCATCCCCTGCATGAAGATAAACAACAAGATCGGAGTCATTTTGGTAAAACAGAACCCTTCCCACATTGTGGGAAGGGAGACAAACCCACCGGTTGGCGGAGTTATGCTCTTTTCAAATCCAGAGTCCAGCGGATCCAGAAAGTCCAGAAAGTCCAGAAGATTCAGATTCCAGCGCTAAACAGCTGCTGTTGATGGGGTTCGAACCCGAGTCTTCCTCCCCCGGGGCTCACGACCATGTTGAACGAGGCGACCCTTACGGGAACGCTAGCCGGATGACCACTGCACTAAACTACCGTGGTCGGTCCTCCCGGGAGGGTGCAAGGACAGGAGACTCCTTGGTATATAACACCTCGACTATTCTTGAGTGAAGGATGGTGATGTTCAGGGGTCAGTGAGTGAAAGCTGGCTGTATTCATCTCTACCTCGCTCCCCTGATCTCTTTCTTTTCACCGATTTCTCAACCATGGGGCTGGATCGATACTGCCTGGTCACTCAACATGCACCGCACTGATATGGCCTTCAAGATGTTTTGACTAGAACCATCTGGCCCCTTTTCATGTTGACCACTCTGCATTACACATAAATCACGAACAAAGAGATGAGATAGTGTCTCCTTGTTTGTCCATCATTGCTTTGAATAAGTGGAGGTTGCCCCTTTCTTGTGTCACTTGGTGTCCAGCGTCTTCACTCAACACTGAATCAATCTCGTACCAAAACAACACGGTAAAACAACACGGTCTCGACACGAAATCGTCACGACACCCACCATCCACACTCCTCAAGCCGCACCATCTCCCAAGCCGCACGACGACTAAGCAATTCCCAAGCCGCACGAACGACTAAGCAGAACACAGCCGCAGACCAACTATAAAAACAGCCATGTCAGACGTGACCTTGACCGTCAACCGCTACAAAACCCGCCGCGCCTCTCCTGGAGTCAAGCATACCAAGTTCAAATACACAATCGACTTCCCCTATCAACCTATCGGCGACAGAGTCTGCATTGCATTCCTCAGACTCAAAATCTACAATCACGAACCGCGCACCTACTTTGACGTCGCCATCATTTCCTCCAACGACTATCACTTGACTGTCATCACAGTCATTGCTATCAACATGGACCCTCTCTCCCACGAGCAGTTCATGGCTGGTGTCAACAGTACCGGCCCCGATGGTCGTCCTCTCCCTGCTGGCGCTGCCGCAGCAGCCAGAATGACTGCTGCTTATGCAGCTGCTCAGGAGGCTGAGAGGCGCCAGGACGAGGAGACCTTCTCGACCGCCTCGGCCGCCATTGAGGAGGTCAACCGCGAGGAGAAGAAGGCCAAGAAGAAGGAGGGCCGTAAGCAGAAGTCCCTTGTTCGCCGTCTCTTCGGCAGCGTCGGCGACAAGGTCGCTGCTGTCATCAAGCGCGAGAAGGACCAGTGAAGCAAGAAGCCCCTGTGAGTTGTGTCTACTGTTCATTAACTCTGTTCACTTAGCTGACTGTGCCTGCGCAGACCTGCCGCCACTCCTCTCCCACAATCAACCACTGGTTGTCAATGCTCTATCAAAATGCAAGAAGGAATCGGAGATGGCTAAATGGCCAGAGAGAGGGACACAGTCATACAGAAAATGCAAAATTTGAAAGCTTTTGTGCAACTCATCTACATACTTTTCATGGTCTAATTTGCTTGTAAACGTGAATGAGGAACTTGCGCTCTGATACCGCCAACGCGACAACAAAGACACCAGTGATAGCGCCGATTCTTGCAAGCTCGCCAACAATACCGTACTTTGACAACGATCCAGCAGTCGCTTTGAAGATGCTAGGCACTACCGCCGCGATAGCGATACTTACAGCCGAAGGTAGGATCTTCATCACATCGAAAGCCTATTAACAACTCGATCAGTAAAGTCATATCAAGTAGCAAATAGGCAGCACACATACCTGTCCCTTCTTCGCAAAGAAGCTCTTGACAAACGACAGATTGAACAAGATCCTACAAGCCATGTTGACACAATTGGCCCATACCAGCCCTTTAGCTCCCATCTCCAACACTCTGAGGAAGAGATATGCTGAGCCCGCAAAGGCTGCGAAGAACCCACCCATCCAGATTGATTGGGTGTATAATTGCTTGTTGTCGGCCACAGCAGCGACGAAAGCCTCGGACACGCCGTTTAGAGCGAGCAGAGGGATGTAATAGCAGTAACACCCCAGAACTTCGCCGGCGCCGGTGTGAGACCAGCGACTTCCTGCTACGAGGGAGAGGAGGACGGGTGCGACGGTAGGACCAGCAGCAAAAGCGACCAAAGAGATCAGGGAGTAGGCTTTCAAGATGAGGGTGAGAGTATTATTGGCCTGTTTGATGCCGTTTTCATCTTCCTTTGATTCGGGTTGCTTAGAAGGTGCAGATGAGGTAGTTGGTGCGCAGAGTTTGGCGAAGAGGTTGCGAGAGGCTTCTTCGATGGGTTGGAACAGCATCCGGGCAATCAGACCACCATAGTTTGAGGACAATGCGTAGGCTCCTTGGTCTTGAAGCGAGGCCAAAGATGCGATGAGAAGAGAGTCTCCTTGTGTGAGCACATACTTGATGCTCGATTGCACTGTCAAACTCAATGAAAGATTAAGCAAAGGCTGTGAGAAAAGAGACAGCCAGAACTTTTCGGTTTTGCTATGGTAACAGTCAGCTTGTTGATTGCCTTTCTCTTCAAAGGACATGACAAACCTCTGGATACTATATGGAAGCAAAGAGAAGCCCTCTGATCTCGCCACCAGAACAAGTCTCGCAGAATATACCACCAACAACGATGCAGCATAAGCCAACTGCCCAACAGCAAAAGGCAACACACCCAAATCTCTGCCTTGGCGGCTTGCCCACACAACCAATCCCACAGTAGCAAACGTTTTCATGATTGTCGCAGCAGCCTCAGCAGAAGCACGAACTTTATACAACATTTTCTGCTGCGCAGCCACAAAGCTCGGCTCTGCAAACAGCTCAACCATAGCCGCAATACCATACACCCTTAAAGATTGGATCAAGAATGGCACCTTGGGCACCTCTGTTTGCAGATACAACTCTGCAAGTGCATAGCTTAGAGGCACTCCAGCAGCAATGGCGAGATAGGACATGTTGATTACAGCTTGTGTGCCATCGGCCCTTCGTTGCAAAGCCACTCGCAGGCTCTCGCGTGCAAAGTAGAGGACTGAGATGCAGTACAACTCCAATTGTACGCTGACACCTAGCAACTCTGGAGACAAAAAGCGAAGGAGAATCTGATTCAATGCGAAGGTAAGGGCGCGAGAGCCGATCTGAAGTAGGATCAGAAAAGAGGCTCCTTTGGCCGAAGCAGAGACGGCATTGTCGCTTGATTTTGAGGGTGTCGACATGGCTCTGCCTCCGAGGCGTCCAGAACGCTGTGATGTTTTCGAGATCTAATTTGATGGCCAGCCCTGGACCACAAGGAGATTGAGGTTAGGAGACGTTGCGCAAGTGATGTGGAGTACGAGCAGGGTCATACCACGGACATGGTAATTGATCTTGTGACTCAATCGAACAGGAACTATTTCTCCATTATTCCACACCAAATTATTTCTTCCAGTAAATAAGAATCTTCATTGAGTGTTTGGCAAGATGGCTGTATCCACACAGGAGCCTATCATCACTGAGCGATTGATCCTTCGCCAAATTCAACCTTCCGATGCAGAGGCCGTTTTTGCTTTCATGACTGTACCCTCTGTTCTGAGATACACGTAAATGACAATCTCAACTCCTCCAGCTCATAAGCTAACGCGTATAAGCTCGCGAAAACCTCTGACCGAAGTCCACCAAGCAACAACCTATCTCAGTGAGCGTACCTCAGGTCCCAACATCTACAACTTCGCCGTATGCCTAAAGGACTCCGCAAGCACACTCATTGGTCTTCTCGGCTGCTATTCCTACCCAGAAATCGGATACTTGTTCTCGCCCGCTTATGCCGGTAAAGGATATGCCACTGAGGCTCTACTTACCTTCACTCCTGCATTGTTCGCTGTCATGCCAGTAGAGCAGATATTCGCAGAAGCCTACGTGGATACGGAGAACGTTGCTAGTATTAAATTGCTAGAGAGATGTGGTTGGCAGAGGTGGGGAGAAGTGGAACAAGGGGCTTATACAAGTCCACTTCTGGGGCTCAGGGACAGTGTATGTTACAGGATTGCTCGGGAGGGATATCAACTGGAGGATCTGGTGAGCAAAGAGGAGGAGAGGGCCTTTGTACCAGATCTGCAATGATCGTTACGGGTGGGTCCGCCTCTCGCTTGTCTGTCCATATTGTTTATCTGTGAACAACGGTTCATCAAGCCCCTTTAGCTCAGTTGGTAGAGCGCGGCACTAGTATTGCTAGGTCATGCCGAGGTCGCCGGTTCGACTCCGTCAGGGGGCATCAAGTTATTCCTTTTGTTCGCCATGCTTTTGTCGAGTTCAATCTCGCTGAGGAGGGTGTTGTTTGAGATTTTTTTTTCCCCCTCGAGTGAAGCCTGCACAATTGGGCACAACTCAGCACAATCTCAAGCTGCACAAGTAGGGGGTCCACAAATTTTGTGTACAGACTGCATCCAGATAAAATAACTATCCTACTACCATCGATGCTACTCTTAGTAGTACTGTATGCTTCAAGGTGTCCTTCATCACTTTGCCAGTAGACCTGCCTACTTATTCCCTAGTCTAACGTTGAACAACGTTGGGAGGCGTCGAAACATTATTTCATCTACGAGTCTGGCCATGGGGATAGCCTTGAGTAGGGTTCTCTCTAGAAACCACTTCCTTTGCAAAACCATGGTGCATCGATAGCAGCCTTCAGCAGATGGCCAAGCTCTCCTCATGAGGACGAACTTGGAGCATATACAGTACTGCTGCAACCAGTGGATCTGTAAACTGACAGTGCATAGTAGACGGACCCTCGTTAAAAGGGATCCAAGTGACAGTTCATTATGCATCTTCAAAGCGACGGAAGCACGATATTACAGTCGCGGGTGAGGACAAGGCCAACGTGGGATGTGGCATCAAACCTGAGCAATATAATAGCTTAAAGATGCTGTCTGTCGACAGGCTTTGTAATTTCTGTTATGGGTATCTGAACAACGCAACTGATGCTCTCTGCATGCTCCTCGTGCGGTTGTCCCTTGGTGTCCTCTTCTCCTCACTTCACCATAGGTAGGTATATCTCTCAACCTCCCTTTCTAGGGGCACCGGCGGGAGGAGTACCTCCCTGGGCAGCGCGCTGGGCGATCTTTCTCCTCTCACCATCCAAGATCATTCTGATTCTGTCGAGAGCTTGGTCTTTGCCCTTGGGAGCCTTGCAGTCGTTTACAGTGTACGGCGGACTGATAATCACGGAGTCACTGACGACAATCTCCTGTCCGTGCCAGCGGGTTGGGAGCCTGTTTTGTATACCAAGTTAGCTCGTGTTGGATATAGGAGGATATATGTATGGTGGCCACGCACATTCTTCTCAAGGCATCGTAGATTTGCTGAGCCTCACGGCTGACACCCTTGCCCTTGTTGGCTTCCTGATCGCGCAGCTGGCGGATCTTGGCCTCTTCGCGGTCGCGCAACTTCTTAATGTCCACGGCAGCGATGGGAGGCTGAACGGTGCTGATAGTCTGTTTGGCGGCGTTCGGGTCTAGCGAGACGATGTCGAAGGACGAGATGTGCTGGATGGGGATGATGTGGTAGTCGCCGGGCTGGTTGGAGAGAGTAGATGAGGGGTTCGGAGGAGCAGGAGCGGTGTTGATGGCGACGACATTGAGCATAGGACATGCGGTAAAGAGAGTGCCCTGGAGAGTCTGCGAGTGAGGCGCAACTGTCGTGACCTTGACACTGCGGTTGGGCGCATGGTTAGTCTTCTGATTGCTGTGGACAAAGGGGCGTCATGATTTTGTAGCATACCGAGCGCCAATTGCAGCGGTCAGACTGTCGATGGCATCTGGCGCCTGTCCAGCGCCGACCTTGACTGGATTGCGCTTGACGTCGGCCATGGTATCGAAAGGAGGATTGTAGTCGGCACCCCGCTGTTGGTCTAGATGGCCTGCTCGTCACCGACGCTTCGGAGATGTGAACTGCTCCGTCAATGGAACAACCTCACGACTTGCGCATTTGACCGTTTAGAAACACAAGAGAGTGACCAGTGAAAACATGAATTGGAAAGACAGCGCTCGCTGGTTGACGAGATTACTATCATGAGACTGCTGTCGACTTCCCACCCGCATCTCCACCTGACATGCCACCATAATCGTCTGTCTCAACATGCTTCTACACTAACGCTCACCATAGAATCACGTCACAAGTTACGTGCTGCTAGTTCCGTAGGAAAGGTGTATCATTTTTAACTGTAAAGGAAATTGCTTGTTCATGACTATTGGGGTTATCTTTCGTTGCACTACGCATAGCAGGACATTGGTGCCGTCATTTTCGTGGCCCATTTATATCTCTGCCGTCGCTGTTCTTCTTCCATCATCGTATTATCTTTTCGCTTAAGCGTTGTAGGTCGAGGCAGAGACGTCACCACCACGGCCGGTCCAGTTGACGTGGATGTCCTTGCCCTCAGGGTACTTGGAGTTGGCGAACTCGGGCTTGATTCTGAAGGTGTGGGCACCGAAGTAGTCACGCTGGGCCTGGAGGAGGTTGGCGGGGAGGTTCTCAGCACGGTAACCGTCGTAGAAGGAAAGAGCGGTGCTGAAGCAGGGAGTGGGGATACCCCACTGGGCACCCTTGGCGACAATGTTTCTCCAGCCCTCCTGTGCGTCGTGGATGGCCTTGTTGAAGAAGTCGTCGAAGAGAAGGTTCTCGAGGTCGGGGTTGTTGCGGTAAGCCTTGGTGATGTCCTTAAGGAAGACGGAGCGGATGATGCAACCACCGCGCCACATGAGGGCAATCTCGGGCTTGTTGAGCTTCCAGTTGTACTCCTTGGCGGCCTGTGAAGATGTGTTAGCATTACATTGCAAAGGCAGGAATGTACCAAGGTTGACTTACGTTCTGCATGAGCATGAAGCCCTGGGCGTACGAGATGATCTTGGAGGCATAAAGGGCCTGCTCAAGGTCCTTGATGAACTGCTGCTTGTCACCAGAGAAGCTGGGCTTGGGGCCCTGGAGGAGCTTGGAGGCACGGCCACGCTCCTGCTTGAGGGAAGAAAGGCAGCGGGAGAAGACGGACTCGCCGATGAGGGTAACGGGCATGCCGAGGTCGAGAGCGTTGATGGCGGTCCACTTGCCGGTACCCTTCTGACCAGCAGAGTCCATGATCTTCTCGAGGAGAGGAGAACCGTCCTCATCGTTGTAGTAGAGGATGTCACGGGTAATCTCGATGAGGAAGGAGTCAAGGACACCCTTGTTCCACTCGGTGAAGATGTCACCCATCTCCTTGTTGGAGAGACCAAGACCACGCTTCATAATGTCGTAGGCCTATCGAAAGTCAGAAAAGTGCTCCAGGTCGAATGAAGCTTGGAACCAACAACTTACCTCGCAAATGAGCTGCATGTCACCGTACTCAATACCGTTGTGGACCATCTTGACGTAGTGACCAGCACCCTCGTCACCAACCCACTGACAGCAGGCCTCGCCGTCAGACTTGGCAGAGATGCCCTGGAGGACATCCTTGATGTAAGGCCAGGCCTCAGAGTTACCACCGGGCATGATCGAGGGACCGTAACGGGCACCCTCCTCACCACCAGAGACACCGGTACCGACGAAGCGGATGCCCTTGGAGGCAAGGTACTTGGTGCGGCGGTTGGTGTCGGGGTAGTGAGAGTTACCACCGTCAATGATGATGTCGCCCTCCTCGATGCCACCCTCGTTCAAGAGGAGCTCAATGAAGTCGTCGACGGGCTTGCCGGCCATGACGAGCATCATCATACGGCGGGGCTTCTTGAGCTTGGCGCAGAACTCCTTGATGGAGTGAGCACCAACAATCGACTTGCCCTTGGCCTCGTTCTCAAGGAAGCGGTCGACCTTGGCGACAGTGCGGTTGAAGGCAACAACAGTGAAGCCGTGGTCAGCAGCGTTGAGGATCAGGTTCTGACCCATGACGGCCAGACCGATGAGACCGAAGTCTCCGCTGTGGAAAAAGATATGTCAGCCAAAGCTACAGCTACAGCTAAAGCTATCATTGGGGAAGGCTTTCTTGTCGATAGAGCTCTACCATCGATAGAGCTCTGCCATGGATGGCATTGATGCGTGGCAACGACATGATGGGGTTGTGTATACCGCCAACGGAATGTAGCGGCAGAAATGTTTTGGTGGGATAGTGGGGCAGAGTGGGATGGCTGGTGAGGGTGGACTTACACAGCAGAATCAGAAGACATTGTGGTGGTGAGGGATTGTTTGAGTTGGGAAGAGAGGCTAAGAAGTCTCCGGGCGGCTTGAGGCTTTTAAAGAAGACTTGTGTCAGTGGAGATTGTGTGAGGGAGGGAGATGATGCGGCCGGAGGTGTTGAAAAAGCAGCCCAACACCTTTCGGAGTTACTAACGCGGAGGGGCCAAGGTGGCATTGACCCTAAAGTGTGCTAAACATTACATGCTCTGTCAGCGTCTCTCGATGCCGCAGCAGCCCCGAACGACGTTTGCACCTACTGTTTGGTGTTTCGGCGGGAGGCCTGGGACTTGATGTGGATGTGCAGAAATTCGTGAGTTATGTCAATCTCTCGATACCGAGGGCGATTTTTTTTCCTAGACTGAATAGCTGCCTGTCTCGGCGCGCTCTTGCTCGTTCGATATCCCCCTCTTCAAACAACCGACGAAGCCGACGCCAATTATTGGATGAGTACCTTCCCGATGGAACGCCGATGACGGGTGTTTACCGATCGTTCTGCTCAACCTACCCACGGCACCACGCTAGACGTCACCTCCCGCGACTGCCTTGCGTCTGTGCTTCACCGTCTCGTCGCAGGGAGCTGCCATCTCAAACAACATGAGCGCCTGAGAAAGCGAGCAAGAAAGTCGTTAGCAAACGCCGACGGCTCAAAAATACCATCAAACACCCATTGCTTCCGTTCAGCCTCTTTGATTGCTACACTTGTATTCTAGTTAGCCACCTCGTGCGGCTAATTATCAACGGACTATCTCGACATCGTGTCTCGGCTTTCTATCAGCTTCTTCGCGCCTTTCGCGTTTCAATCTAGCCGACCGGCCACCCCGGACTTATTTTGTATCTCCTCGCTGTCTTCACTCCTACCCTTTTCGGACAGCTCGACCTCTTGTCCAGACCTCGTCACTCTATCGATCACTAAGGCATACCGTCATTGTCCTTTGATTCGATCAGCTTTGTACGCGACGACTTGATTGAAAGCACACTTCGAAAGCAAGCCAGCGAAGTCTTTGTAAGGCAAGGAAAAATCTTTCAACGTAGGCATACCCTTGATCATCATGTCGCATCCAACTCAAGGACCTTCCACCAGCCAGTCCAACTCAGCGCGCTCTACGCCGCAGCCGCCAGCAAACCTCCCAGCGAGACCTCCTCCGTCTGCGGTATCCCAGCCTGCGCGCAATGTCGCTGCCTTCAGTGGTTTCAAGCCGCGCAATGTCACCGCTGCGCCTACTGCTCCAGCTCCGTATGCTGCAACAAACATGAGCTACCCTCCTCAGTACTCGGCTGCTCCAGCTTCGCAATCCTACTATCCCACTACATACTCCTCAGCACCAGCCAGTCAATCGTACTACGCCGGCGCCGGCGCTTCTTACCCTGGGGCTGCCGCCTATCCCGCTCAAGCGCAATACACCGACACCCCTCCTCAGATCAAGAATCCCTTCGCGCCTCCTCCAGCTGCAGGTCAAGGTTCTCTCTACGGTAACAACAGCTACGATCCCGAGATGGAAGCACAGATTCAACAGTGGCAGAGCGCATACACGAACAAAGACGACCCATCGAAAACAACAAACAAGGGTGCAGCTGTAGGCAATGCGAACAATATCCCGCTTGGCGCCAACAGGGCTCAACCTTCTACGTCAACTGTATCTGCTGGACCTGCGGCGCCTGTCGATACATCCGGCAAGCAAAAGACTGTTCTCCGCGAAGGAGGTGGCCAGAAGTGGGAGGATCCCACGCTTCTTGAGTGGGGCGATCACCCACGCCTGTTTGTTGGTAATCTTGCTGGTGAGGTGACTGACGAGTCTCTGCTCAAAGCTTTCGCAAAATACCCATCAGTCCAGAAGGCTCGTGTCATTCGCGACAAGCGAACCACCAAAAGCAAAGGTTTTGGCTTTGTCAGCTTGGCCAACACCGACGAGTTCTTCCAAGCTGCAAAAGAGATGCAGGGCAAGTACATTGGCAGTCATCCTGTCTTGATCAAGCGTGCCGAGACCGAGATCAAGACAGTCGTCAAGAAGGACAACAACAACAGATACAACAAGAACAACAAAAACAAGAACAACAAAGACAAGGTCAAGGAAGACAAGGGCCCTCTCGGAGCCAACACCGGCGCTGGAGTTCAGAAAAAGCAGGCCAAAGCCACTGGCGGTGGTCAGTTCAAGGTTAGTAACACACCCCACTATCCTGCTAAAGTCGTTGCTAACGTTCACTTGCAGTTGCTTGGTTGAACTTGCTATGCTCCCGTCTCGTTGTACAAAGGATATCATATTAGCGAAGGCGTTTGGAATTGCTTTTAACCGGCGAGTGATACCTTTCCGAAAACGCATTGATAGAACACAAGACTGTCTGACGCTCACAGCACCACTCCCTCTTGTGAGATCACCCTAGTGGAATCAATGAGCATTCCAATCGCGTTCTTCTGTAAGTCATCGTTCTTGATTATGCCGTAGAGAAGCGTCGTCCTCTGTGTGATCGATATCCTTGTGAGCCATGTCTCGACTGTGTAGAGCCTTTAGGGTAATAGGACAATCAGCATGGAGATATTTCTTCCAATCTCGCGGCTTATCTCGATTTACCGTGAAACGGTGTTTAGCCGCGCAGCAGAATTGATTCATCCGTAGCTAGCTGCGTAGGACAAACACAGAATAGAAGCCTGAATGACCATCACCCAACACTCAACACAACGCAAGCGCTGTCACATCCTTCCCTGACAATGCACAGCTATAGCCGTCCGTCTCGCCATCAAGTCATGAGCGCTTGCAATGTTTTGTTGGGATGTGTTTTAATTGTTTCGAACATCGGCTCCCCCACCTTGCAAAGTCGCCGCAGAGCAACGTGCCGAGCCCGACATCTCCGTCGCTCTTGTCTCGGCTCTCACAAGTCGTAAGCCCTCTCTTGCCTATAAACGAGTTCATATGCCGACATTCAAGTCCGAGTTCTTGAGCTTTGAATTGTCGCTCAGGACGATCTGGTTGACAATCGACTGTGTCTGCGCGACTCTTGCAGGATGTGTGTCGATGCTTAAAACCGCTTGGTGATTCTACCCAAGTCTTTCAGCGACTTCATAGGCAACGAACATAAACACATGATACAAAGAGCGCTTCCGGACGATGGTCTCAGGGAGGCCGGGCACTTTGCTTGAGTTGGCGTAAGGCTGGTCGACTCTGGAACCCAATCCTCACTCCACAAGAAGCCGCGGGGGAGGTAACCCTTACAGTAAGAACAAGATTAGATCTCAGTTGTCTCTTCTGCCTTTGGCCACATTGAAGAAGCCTCATAGCAACGAAGAGAGCGACCAGGGATCTTATATACATTGAAACGTTCAAAGGTAATCTCGTAGTCAGCACGTGGCTGACAAGGCTAGCATTATCATAGGAGGCTGTCGTTCTCGCAAGCCGGCACACAACATGCCCGAGGATGTCACCCTTCAAGAGATGCTTACGACTCGTTGTTGAACATGAGTTACTGTACAACTAATATTAGGTCGCGCCAATGCGAACGTGGCTAACCAACTCGAAGGATTTTACCAAAGCGGCTGTGCCTTCATACCGCAGCAAGCTCTGCTCTGCAGGCGATTCGCGAACCAACACCCAAGTGCAGTAAATAGCACCACATACCAACGTTGTTCGCGGCTATGTTGTACCTTTCTTCTCGTCTGCAAGACATCATGATTTTCTCTATGCAAAAGATGACCAGCTCCATAACCTCTTTCTTTGCCTCTTCCTTTGTTCTTCAGTTGCTTATGTTCATCTCCTCTCTTTGTGGACGCCGTCATGTGGCTTGTGAACATTCTTTGGTTCTTTGTATGGCTCCAGACCCATCGTGCAGCGGCCTTCAAAGGAGTTTGCAGTAAGGCTTCTGTTGAACAAAGATTGTTACCGAATGCTTATACAGTCTTTCAGCCTGGCAAAATCTCACCTTCTCTCCTAGATCTCCATCAAGCACCCAATTTACCACATTTATAACGCTTATACCGACATCCACACTATTGAGTACAGTCTCAGCGAGACTTAACGAAACAATAATTGCAACATCCACTATAAGCTCAATTACTACTGTCGTTGATTTTACGACAGTATCCGCGAACTCATTATTGTCTGCATCCAAAACTGCCAATTCCCAAACCGCAAATCTGAATAACACAACTTCTTCAGCGACATCGAGCTTGTCTCTGTCGTCGGCTTCTACTTTGACGACCAGTCTCTTCAGCGCAGCTACCTCAGCGCCTACTACTATGTCCACACTGAGATCCACCAGTGGGAACGTGACTAGCTTGTCAATCTCAACGTCGTCTTCTGTGTCGTCTTCGAAGTCACCTTCCACGTCGCCGATTTTGAGTCCAACTACTGCACTGCTTTTGCTATCTTCTGCTACCATGGCTGCTAGCCAAGCTGTTACTCCAGGAGTTGCTGCTAATGCTTCGGATACTGGGCTACTTGTCGCAGCAATACCATCGAGTAGTGCTTTTACATCGACTTCAGCATTCTCTGTACAGACGTCGTCCCCGCCAGCTTCGACATCTTCGACAGCAGATAAAGCAGTCTCTTCGGCATCTGAGACAAGCATTGCCTCGGAGACGAGCTCTGCGGGCACACTTTCTGCCACAGATAGTGCAGTCTCGAGGACAAGCACATCAGCCTCTACGACGTCATTTGGTACTACTACGCCTATGACCACTTCCACGAGTACAAGCAGCTCAGTGCCTGTTGCTAGCTCAAGCAGCATCACATCCATCTTGACTGCGTCCGGGTCACCTACCATTGATGTATCGAGCAGTGTCATTCCGAGTTCGATCCTTATTCTTCCCACCACAACACCTTCCCCTTCTTCGACCACCTCTTCGAGTCCATCAATCACTACTGCAACAGCTTCTTCTGAATCAAACACTTCCAATCCCAGCGCCACTTCTTTGAAGTCAACTTCGCATAAGCTGTCATCCAAGGAGGTCATTGGTATATCATTCGGCGCAGTTGCAGCAGCAGCTATCCTATCCCTCCTACTGTTCGCACTCTATCGCCGGCGCCGTGCCCAACAGGTAGCTGATGATGCTGCCGTCAACAACAAACACAGCTCTTTCCCTGAAAGTGCATGGCTTTACGACCCTCGTATGACACCCGCCGCTGCCTCTCGACGCAGCGGTAGTTCTGTAAGCAGCATGCACTCCAGTGTCTCGAGCAGTGCCTCTCGAAGAGACGAAGCTCTCCTGTCCGCCATCGCGATCCCTGCCTCGTTGCCTAAACGGCATGCCAGCAATCCAGTGGGAGGTGCTTTGACTTCCAATCCACCCTCTTCTGCACAGCGCCATCGTCCCTCTTCTTCAGTGCCAGAGTTCAAGCCGCTGCCACCAACGCCTTCCGCTGCTGCTGCTGCAAGTGCCTCTAGTCTCCCCAGTCCCGTTGCCGAAGCCCCTTCTCCCAAAGAAACCAAACGCGAAAGTCTACCGGCGATCCTGAAGATCGGTGGAGGAAAGAAGAGACCACTTACTGCCGCGCCTGTGATGCAGAAGCTGGAGACAGGGCCGAATAAGCCTTTGCCTCCTAGACCTGTTATGAGTGCAAAGGATAGACCGTTTAGTTTTGAGGCTGGAGATGATGGTGCTCAGCACTTTGGGATTGCTAAGTAGAAGGATGGAAGGGAAAGGTGTAGAAAGAAAGCAACGCCCAAGCGTTTGGTTGGATTGCGTGTGATACCCCCTTCTTGAGAATCTTTGTATAGTTTTTCGTTCTAAGTACTTGTCTGCTAATGTCACGAGTTTGTGCAAAAGTTTGCCTCAATCTAGAATATCCGATAAGGTATACAAAGGGAGGTCATTTGCTTTGTCATTAAATCTTGATTTTTTTGTTCGCTGTCGTACTCGCAATTGCTCTCCTACACTACTCTGGAGCCTGACCCTTGGTGGCAGTCTCATTGGGGTCCTCACCAGCAGCGACCTCCTTGATTGCATCTGTGATGATCTTGATACCCTTAGCCATGTCCTCCTTGGTAATGTTCAACGGAGGAATGAAACGGAGTGTGTCGTAGATGGATGTTGTCAGGACAAGCATGTCCTTCTCCATGCACTTGGCCTGGATCTTCGAGGCGTAGCCCTTGCCAGGTGTGCACTCAAGTGCCAACATGAGACCAAGGCCACGGACGTCGTAAATGATCTTTCCGGTCTTTGAGTCCTTGTGAGCTGCCTGAAGAGCGCTCTTGAGCTCTGCTCCGCGGGCATTGACGTTGTCCAGAATCTTCTCCTCCTTGAAGGCCTTAGCTACTGCAATACCTGCAGCACACGATACTGCGTTACCAGCGTATGTGCCACCCATGCTTCCAGGAGTTTGCTTGTCCATCAACTCCTTGCGCGAGACGATGCCTGATAGAGGGAAACCGTTGGCAATACCCTTGGCCATGATCAGAATGTCAGGTCTGACGCCCCAGTGCTCAACAGCAAACATCTTTCCAGTTCTTCCGAAACCACATTGGACCTCGTCACAGACAAGGAGAATGTTGTGCTTGTCACAGATCTTGCGGAGAGCGTTCAGATATTCAGGAGGTGGAGGGACGTAACCACCCTCACCAAGAACAGGCTCAACGAAGATAGCGGCTGTGTCTGAAGGAGCGGTCTCACGCTTCAGGAGCAGCTCAAGCTGCAGAACGGGATCCATACAGCAGTTCTCAAAACCGTACTTGCCATCGGACTTGTGGGAAATCGAGCATTGCTTGCAGTAAGGGAATGGTACTGAGAAGACACCGGGCATCAAAGGTGCGTAGTTCTCGCCATAAATGGTTTTTGATCGTGTCATGGCCATAGTACCGAATGTGCGTCCGTGGTAAGAGCCTTGCATGACGATAATGTTCTGCTTCTTGGTTGCGTGTCTGGCGAGTTTCACTGCTGCCTCAACAGCCTCAGATCCCGAGTTCCAGAAGAAGAAAGTGTCGAGCGATTTGTGAGGCATCATGGGGAGAAGTGACTCCACAAGCTCCAGATAAGGCTTCTGGAAGGCAATATTTACTTGACCGTGAACGAGTGTGCCGACTTGCTCCTGTGCTGCCTTTGTCACGGCAGGATGGCAGTGGCCAAGGTTGGTAACACCAATACCGCTGGTGAAGTCGAGCATCTTGCGGCCTTCGGTGGTTGTTACGTAGCTGCCCGCGCCGCTCTCGAGAACATGGTTAGAGAGACGACCGATTCCGCGAGCCACATGCTTCACGCCAAACTCTGCCAACTTGCTGACGCTCATGATGAATTGATTGATCTGTCGATGGTAGATGAAACAAGAGAGCAAGACAAAAAGGCCAGAGGAGTCTCTAGAAAACCACGGGGCCGACACGTTTATGTAGAAAAGAAAGCAGACCGGGGAGCTAGAAACCGCGGATCGTCATTGACGAATCATCAAAGCTCCCGCTGGTCACTGGTCAGCACAACGCCCAAACCTGGTTAATCTGCCACCAAAGAGACACGCGGATTCGGAAGGCTAGGCAGGTCTACACCGAGCCCTCGTGCATTCGTTACCAACTGTAAACAAGCCTCTTCTTCAGACAGCAGCTTATTGCCGGCTCTACATCGTATCTTCTTTCGTAATGCCATCTCTTGTTCCTGCCCTCCCCGCATAAGCCGTCGCTCTGATTACCCCAGCAAATGACCAATGAACGCGTCCTGATTACCCCACTTGTGATACAGAAAGCTTGGGCTCTTTGACGAACAAGGCAGGTTCACGCGTGCATGACTCCCATCTGAATATTCTTACAACATGGTAAACTTATCTTGTCATGGGCAAAGCCAGGAGACTCGTCAGAACTGCACACTCTCCTTGGAATCGATACCATACATCGAGATTAATCTGCATCCCTACTGTTCAAAAAATCTCTTCCAATGATTCGTGAGAGCCTCAGTGGAGGCCTTCGAGAATTGTGTATCAGGTCCAGGTCAGTCGTGTCTTTAAAGGAGATCTCCTCCTAGCATACGACTGCGAGTCCTGCTATAAAAATGCACAGAGTCTCCATGATCTCTCGAAGCATCCAACGAGAGTGCTAACCTTCCATCTTCTTAGTGGACAAACCAATGTTCATGAAACTATTGTGCATTGTGATAGCAGTACTCTGATCAGGGAGTTCAAATGGAACTACACATTCAATGGTGTGAAAGACAGGATTGACGATATGTATGCATTCATCTCTTTGATTCTTTGGTGCTGATTATACATTACTGCAGCTGCTCGGTCTGCCCTTGCATTACCAGACCCCTGAAAGGTGGTCGGCGACCCGGCATTGACTACTCTTCAGATCCTAACAATGTTGCTGTCAGTAACTTTTGATGAATTGTATCACAAAAGGAATGCTTACTTCAAGCGGGCTGATTGAGAGGGTTAGAAGGCCCACAAGCGCTAACGAAGATTCTGAAGTTGTTGTGGAGCCCGGCCTACAATCTCATTAGAAAGCATTCAAAGGTATTTTCACTATTGAAGAGACTCACAGAAGCGCAGGTAGCGTCACACGTCAGACGAGTTCGGGTGTCTTGGCTCCAATAGACCATGTTGTCATCGTAGGTAATGCGATCGAAGATGCGCACATCAGGTCCAAAGGCGAAGATTTGCATCATCCAGACGCTTCCGCCCGGATAACTTGAGGGAGTCATCCAACGAATAATGATGGGACCAGGGGGATCAATGTAAGGAATTGGCTGAACAAACTCGACTTCGGCCTGGATATATGCATCGGGTCCAGGACACTCTATCCGAAGCTCAATTGACATTGCTTGTGGTGATGCTGGGTGAATTTGCTGACTGGTTGTCGTAGACGGGATCGGAAAGCATCTTTGAACCATCCTTGCTATATAGTTGGACTTGCTTGCTCCGGAACCTTCTGCTGAGTCGTCGAGTGGCAGTTGTTTGCACCAGTCACTTCTCGTCGTTCACTGTAACGACATCATCGTAGCCTAACGACGGCTTGAAGCAATCTTCTCCTGGCGAAAACTTCAACTATGTCTGTTCAGGTACCTTGCCATTGGCTTCGGGCCCTATTGCTACAATGCTATAGATCTTGGGGCCGTCTAGCTGAGAGCTCACAAACAAATTGCGACTGGCATTTTGGAAGTTTGCTTGCCAACCTTGTAGACAAAGCAGAACGGGATGCTTGCTCAAATTATCTTGCCAGTCCACAGCATCGATAAGGATGCACTGCTCTTTCAATAAGAGATAGACGGAGTCTCGGCGGAGATCATGATTGGAGTGAACGGCCGAAAGAGATCACTGTGTATTTGAGATTGATAATGGATATGTTCGCTGCCAGTAGATGTTGGGTTTCACTGCACCCAACTTTCCTTCTGCTCATCACCTTCGCGGCATCGATATGCTTGCCAACTTCCAGTCTATGGATGAACGCGACCAGCATCAGCATTTTCCAACACATTTGCAGCTGCAGAGAAAACACTTGCAATGTGCAGATCAGCAAAGTGGTCGAAGAGTGAGGTGTCGTAGTGGGTATTCAGCGTGCCAGTAGACTGGGAGTAAGAGTTGACCTGGCAGGAGCAATACAAAACAGCTTGGCACTTGCTCTCGCTTTATGCCTGTTTCAGAAGCCGCACTTTGACTGAGATTGACCTCCAGAAGGCCGGGATTCTTGCAAGACCATTGAACGAGTTTCGAGTCAACAATCAGAACACTTTCCATATTGCTACCAAATCGACGTTTGCGATACCAAGCTGCAAGGCAACGAGGTACAAGCCTTTGAACCCATGGCAAAATACACCAGTAATGCTCACTCTGGAGATTAGACTTATTAGCCGCTGGGGTGAAACGAGCACATCAATACAATCTGCCATCCTTCGTAGGTTAGTTAATCGCATGGAGTCTAGAGCTGTCAAGGCTTCTGAGATCGAGGCACACTCGTTTACAGACCAAGGCATATCAGCCTCGACAATCATTTGTGGATTTATCGATGCTTCCGGAATTTTTCCCCTGATAACACAGATACGGCGCTCGTTTTGTGTTGCGAGATATACTTTGGTACAGACAGCAGTGATCTCAGTGCATCAATGGTTTTGGAGGGCAACAGCTAAGCTCTGCCCGATCGGAAGGTCAGAAACAAGTCTCAGAACGGGATAACCAGCGAGTATGGCTGGCCTGCCAAATTACTGCTTTTGAAGATCATGGCTGCTTGGGCTCACGGTCAATACTCCGCTCTTCCTCGACTTTGGGGTGCCCCCGTCTATGTACTTCAACATCGTCGTGTTTTGAGACGCCTGCTTCTTGTGTTTCTGTCTGCTGACCAACATTTTCGACTCCCCTGGATTGCGGTTGGAGGTATATGCCCTTGTAGAAGCGTTCTGCGCCTTGTATTGGCACTATGTCGGACAAGTCTGACGAGCAGAAGCAGTTCAAGCAATCCCATAATTCAGGATTGGATTTTCTGACAAACCATAATCTCCGATTACCCCATTGGCTTCTGTGTCGGCAAGTAGCACACTGTGTATCAACACTTTCGGATAAGCAGATGGGTCTCCATCGTTTCCAAGCGAATGTGTCGATATTGTCCTTGTTTCGCCAGAACCAACCTCTGATAGCATAACGTCTTCTTCTATCGTAGCTGGCAGCATAGCTTTGTGCGTCGCTAATTCGCTGGGTGGCCGTGTACTGCTGCCTCAATACATCGTTGTCACGAATTTTCTGAAGCCAGATTCGCGTTCGCTCATTCATTTTGTCCAAGTGTTTGTGCTTCTGAGTCTCGTCTTCCGAGATCTTATTGAGATAACGATGAAAGCTTTCATTGTTGCGTTTTCTGAATTGTTCCAGCCAGACCGGATCCTCCTTTTTCTTCTGCACCCAGCGTCTCTGGTATTCTGCACGCTTCCTACGTTTTTCGGCTTTCAATTGGTCCTCATCAAGCTCGTGAGAACTTTGTGATGTTTGCGGCGTAGGGATCTCGTCAGCTGGGCGAGTATGAGCGAGGAGAGTCGCGCTGCAGAACGAAAAGGCCGCACGCTGCAAACTGAAGAGACCGACGCGAGTATGTTGTTGTGGCGCATGCCGTAGCCACTCAGCGATTCGAACTGGCATTCTGTGAAAGAGCACTTCGAAGTGCAGGTGATGTTGTTGTGAACAGAGATGGATGCGGTGCAGAAGGAAAGCGCGATGCATGTGAACGCCAAGAATACAGCTTCGCTATTTCTAGACTCTATCAAAATGGCGTGGAAGAATAGACAACGGTAAGAACATAAAAGCGATGAGTGATGACTAATGAATGATGAGAGTGATGAGAGCTTTCAGAGAGTTGCTTTGTTAAAAAATCGATCAGTGCAACTGACTGATCGTGGCGACAGCATAGATCATCAATCCAAACTCATCAACAGCAGCAAGCCACCTTTCTCTTCTCCTCCTCGTCTGCTCGTCAGCAGGATGAATCCATAGCTCTTCTAAGCGCAAGTACTTTCCAGATGCCAATGTTGTGTTGTATTCTTGTTCCCATGATTCTTGAGACGAGCAAGCTAGCCAGAGCATTTTACTACATGTCATGGGTAAGATGCCCAACTCATCGCCGAGCACGCAAGGCATGTTGCCTAGTGTATTGATTACGTCGTCAAGCATGTAAATTGCATATATGGTCCTGCGTTTGGCTTCGGCGAGGATCCAAGACGAGTAATCTGGACGACTGCCAGTCTGTTCGGCAGGACAGATCAGCCCTTCTCTTGCACTCTTGGCTGTAAGCTCTTGCAGATTAATTTTCATCTCTTGAGGTATCGTCATTGGCTCTGTTGTACACGATGGTAAGAGCATCAGACACAAGAGCAGATATGCTTGCATAGTCACAAGACGTTCCATATCATTGCTGGAGCCCAGTCTGTCCGACTCGAACAAAGCTTGAGCTTCTCTGAGTATGGTCTCTCGTACAATGTCTCCCCCATCAGAGGTTTGATTTGCCCACATGTGAGCGATGGTAACACATCTTGCCAGTGGAGGTGGATATTCACTGTTCTGTAGCTGACTTGGATGAATGAAAGGTGGTGATCCGGTACCCGTTTGCGTGAGCATGCGTGGCCATGATCTCAACGTTGTAAGTGTAAAGAATGTTACTCCTGGGCCGAGGACTTTTGGCTGCCGGTCAAGAGCAGAGGCAAACCCTTCGAGCCAGCGCGTCTTGACACGCTCCACGTCAATTGGGCATATCAAATCAACCGCTGAGAAGGATGACTGGTACTCGGACCAAGTTTTCGTCACGGGAGGCTCAACAATGTTCAGTATCGCTCTCCAATCGGGTCCCGTAGGATGCTTTTTACGTGCTGGCGGTGGAGCATAAATACACTCGACTTGTCTCCTAGTACACCGCGAACAGGGACGTCCACGATCGCACTTGAGTTTTGAGGCATGACACGGCTCGCAAACTACACGGCGAGCACCATCGGGATTTCTTCGTTTTTTATTCTTTGGCACGATTCCCAAGTCGTGGGGCTGGGGAATGGACATGTCGGGTAGAACGTGATGGAGAAATCGGAGGTGCCATGAACCGCCGAACAGATCTTGGATGATTTGGTGAGAATCATCGGAGGCTGCCTCAAAAGCTCCGAGCCATCAGAAGAGCTTTTCTATATGAACAACAATCTGGCGACATCTTTGCATTGTTTTCTCGAAGATATTGACTTGCAACCAGAATTGCATGAAACATGACTTTTTTTATTGATGAAAACCACAACGACAACATTGATGTCTACCAAAGAGAAGACGACAATGGTGCCAAGACCGAAGAGGAAGTGGAGACCATCAACGCCGATCTGAGTCCTGATTGCCGACAGAAGACACCCAAGACACGTCCCTTCTCATTCTCAGTCTACACAAAAGGACAAAAGCTATGGATCATCCTGCTGGTGTCCTTTGCGGCTACCTTCTCAGGCTTTGCCTCGAATATTTACTTTCCGTCCATCCCAAGTATCGCGTCTGATCTCTCGTCATCGATCGAGTTGATAAATCTTACGGTGACGGGCTATCTCATATTTCAAGGCCTCTCACCAGCACTATGGGGCGCCATCTCGGATACTTATGGGAGACGTATCACTTATATCTGCACTTTCATCGTCTTTATTGCCGCCTGCGTTGGCTTAGCTGAGACAAGAAGCTATGCTCAACTGTTAGTGCTTCGCTGCTTGCAAAGTACTGGCAGTGCAAGTACCATTGCCATTGGTGCTGGAGTGGTAGGCGATGTTACGACTCGTGAAGAAAGAGGCAGCTTTATGGGATATTTTCAGGCAGGACTTCTACTCCCGGTTGCCCTGGGACCTTTAATCGGAGGAGCATTGGCGGATTCCCTAGGATGGAGATCTATCTTCTGGTTCTTGACCATCTATGCCACCGCCTTCTTGCTTGTACTTGTCGCTTTACTGCCCGAAACGCTGCGGTCGCTCGTCGGCAATGGCTCTGTTGCACCACCGAAGTATGCTGTCTCTCTGTTCTCGGCTTGGTCCATCAAGCACAACGGCGAACCAGAAGATAGCAGCGTCACTCCTGCGAAACGCGTTAATGTGCTGGGCAGCATCACCATTCTCACGGAACGCCGTCCACTGTCTGCCATTATGTTCGTTGGTCTGTTCTACATGGTCTGGCAGATGGTGGTCACTGTACTCTCTTCAGTATTTCAGGCCACCTACAACATGTCTGACCTTCAAGTAGGCCTCGTATACCTTGCCAATGGTATCGGATGTATGGTAGGGACTCTTACAACAGGGAGTCTTCTGGACGTGGACTATCGCCGTTGTAAGAAGCGATTTGCTCGTTTGGAGTCGAACTTCCCCCTTGAGAAGGTCCGATTACGTATGATCTACATATACGGGCCTCTGCAATGCATTGCTGTCTTGGTATTCAGCTGGGTCGTGGACAAACATATACACGTCTCAGTACCCATCATTTGTCTCTTCTTTGTTGGGTGGGCAGCCACTTCAATACAGAGCATCGTATCGACCTTCTTGGTTGATCTCTACCCTGATCGTAGCGCCTCAGCCACTGCAGCACTGAACATTGTACGTTGTCTACTGGGCGCTGGTGGCACAGCTGCAGTCTCACCTGCTGTCCGAGCTATTGGTATTGGCTGGGCCTTCACGATATTCTCCGCTCTCATGGCACCGAGTGTGATTTTGATGAGCATCAGACATGTTTGTGGCTTTGAGTCGCAGATGTGTCCACAATAGTTTGTGATCTCGCTTAAAGAGTCTATACAGATTCTGCAATAAGGCTGGTTATTGTTCACACCAATTCTGAACTCAAGAGGAGGCCCATGCGTTTCACATTTCAGCTACTGATTATATCAGATCTTGGAACAATCGTGGTCGACCATACACTAGACGCGTCTGGAGCTCGGCCAACAAGGACAAAGGACTGAAGCTAGACAGTAATGCCCCGTCACGTCATTCAACGAGGAGTTTCAACAGGATCCCACCATTCTTGCGCCGTGCCGCCTTCGAACGACTTTCCTAAAGTGGTGTTTGCTTGCGGGAAAGAGGCCCGTGTCCGAATCGGTTCAGATGTTTTGTGGGGTGCTTTGACGAAACGAATTGCAGATAGCGGGCGTATGGAGTACGTCGCTGTCTCCCTTTCTGCCGTATTCCAGTGCCCTGCAAATCTTGTTACGAGAATGTCAGGAGTAAGTCCAAACAGATCTTCGTATCTGCTTTACGCAGGCCGCATCGGCTGTGGGATCTTCCATTGCTTCCAATCATTATGCAACGACCGTGTTTCGTATAGCTAAATCTGGTGCCTGGAGGACTCACGAGCTGCACATTGGGCTGACGTTCAAAGACAGAAGGGTCGCCAAGGGTCACCGTGCGTTTCTCAGCAGGGCAGAGCGTCGGTTGGCAGATTCGCACACAGACGCGCGTGTCATATGGTGGAAGTTGCACCTGAGCCTAGACCCTTGGCGCGAAACCCTTGAGACCCTTTGCACCACTGTGGATAGGTTTCGTCTTCTTTGGCAGTACCATGGAGAGCAGGATACACGATTATGTCGAGATTGGGGCGCAGTGCTGTTCAACGCAGCGAACAGGTCTTCATAAGCGATGTCACTCTGAGATTTGACAACTCTACAAGCTATAAGTAATGGGCGCTCTGCATAGGTCGCGCCTTCTCTATCATATCCTCAACTCTCTTTTTTCTTCCTGTCCTCTGTATCCTCGTCCAATTCCAATAACATGACGAGCCGCAATCAGGTTCTATCAACGGCCGCCATTGAACAATCTATCGACGAAGGTCATATCATTGTCGTCCACGAAGGATACGCCCTCAAGCTAGATGGATGGCTCGACAAACACCCTGGCGGTAGACTCGCTATTTTACATATGGTCGGCAGAGATGCGACTGACGAGATCAATGTGTAAGTTTGTCTACTTGTTTTCTTGACTTGAGGGGTCAGTTACAAGATGGTCGTTTGTGGTCAATGCTGTCGCATATATCATTTTCTGGGGTCAGGGTCTCAGGGTCTTGTCCAAAAATAACATCATCATTAAAAAGCATCGACCTCGATTTGGTGTACCGAGATTTGCAAGGCAACATACGATGAATACTGGCTGCTCTGGAGGTTTAATCAAGTCATGTTGCTGATATGAATCAAGCTACCACTCGATGCGCACACTCCAACGCATGAGGGCATATCGAATCGGCCGGATAGCTCAACCCTGGAGAAACTTGGAGCCGCCCATTCGCCGCCCCGCCATTCGTCAGTATCACAACAACTCACACGATGAGAAGATCCAGAGAGACATGGTTCTCGATGAGAAAAAGGCCATGTCGATCAGGAACAAGGCAAATGCTCTGAAGGCGGAGCACTTATCCCGAATGGCCTTCACCTCGGCGATGGAGCAGAAGGAGATTGCTGAAGGACTTGCCAGCATGCCCTCGGTCGATGAACATACACAAATGGCTATCGCTATGGACTTCCGTGCCCTCCATGAGCGAGTCAAAAATGAAGGCTTCTACGATTGCCCGTACATTGAGTATGGCAAAGAGCTAATTCGCTACTCGCTGCTCTTCGGTGCCTTCATCTATTTCCTCCATGCTGAGTGGTACCTCACATCTGCCTGTTTCTTGGGCATGTTCTGGCAGCAGATCATGTTTACTGCTCACGATGCTGGTCATCGTGGCATCACTGGCAATTTTATCGCTGACACTCTGATTGGTGCTTTCATTGCCGACTTCTGCTGTGGCCTTAGTATTGGATGGTGGAAGAGTTCGCACAATGTTCACCATCTCATCACAAATATGCCAGAACATGATCCTGATCTTCAGAACGTTCCTCTGTTTGCCACATCGCCTACCTACTTTCGTTCTATCTTGAGTACGTTCTACAACTTCACCTTTGTTTGGGATGCTGCTGCCGACTTCCTTGTGCCTTATCAGAAGTACACTTACTATCCTGTTATGGCGATCGCGCGATTCAATCTGTATCTTTTATCCTGGCTCCACCTCATGTCACCTCGCGCTGCCAACCTGGGTTCTGCTTGGTGGACTCGACCTGTCGAAATCCTCTTTATGGCCGGCTACTGGACAGTCTTCGGCTACGGACTTCTCTGGTGTACACTACCCACCTGGCCTATCAGAGTTGCATTCGTGCTCATCTCACACTGCATCACTATGCTTTTGCACGTGCAAATCACCCTCAGCCATTGGGGTATGCCAACCGCAGATCTCGGACCTACCGAGAGCTTTCCTCAGCGTCAATTACGCACCACTATGGACATTTATTGTCCCGCCTGGTTGGATTTCTTGCATGGAGGTTTGCAGTTTCAAGCTATCCATCACTTGTTTCCTCGTGTGCCTCGTCACAATTTGAGAAGATTGCAGGTCTTGGTACGTGAGTTTTGCGACAAGACGACCATCAAGTATGAGTGTTATGGCTTTGTCGAGGGTAATCAGGTTGTTTTGAGTAGGTTGGAAGAAGTAGGCAAGATGGTGGAGACGCTAGTCAAGTGTCAGAAGTTTATGGCTGAGACTGGAGAAAGTGGGCTTCATTAGTCGCCATCAGGAAGAATAACAAAATGGTCAAAGAAAATGTATGCTCTGTTGTCATTATCATGTTGCTTCGCCGCTGAAACGACATACTGTATTCGTCTTATCGTCAACAACCATCTCGAAGATGCATCTGAGTCCTCATGTGCTTTTCAAGCAGCTTGAACCATCCCAGTGCGATCATATCTCAACCCAGAAGTCGAAGACACTTGTCCTCCAATCACGGTCTCATCATCACTATCGCTCCTACCTTCCCTCTTCCTACCCTTCTCATCCTCAGCAACAGGTTGTCCAGTCTGTACAGTAGGCGCCTTATCTTCCCTAGCATACAAGTACCAAAACGGTAGACTCGCCAACAAAGCCCCGCCAATCAAGTTTCCAATGGTAACAGGAATAACACTCTGATAGATAAACTTTCCAACCCCAAAGTCTGTGCCGTAGAACATCCCAATAGGAATCAAAAAGTAGTTAGCAATGCTGTGTTGGTATCCTGCAATCACAAACGCCCATACAGGGATCCAGATGCAATAGACCTTGGACACGAATTCCACAGCCCCAGCCGAGAGAAAGAAAGCCATGGCGACGAAGAAGTTGCATCCGACACCGCGGAGAAGGTTAACAGACCACTGTTCATCAACACGGTCGTTGGCTTGGGAAACAGCGTAAGAACTCATGGTATCCGTATCAAAGACATCGCTCCACCACCCCAGAAACCCCGCCACGAAAAGACAACCACAAAGATTGGCGACGTAAGAAACGACAAGGTTCTTCAGCATATCCAGGATAGAGACTTTGCGTTGGAGGGCAGCGAATGGCATAACGAACATATTGCTCGTACACAATTCCATATTGGTGAGTGTGATGAGTACAAAGCCCAGAGGAAACGTGAAGCCAGCGATCAAGGTGACAAGTCCAGGATTAGAGGCCCGGAGACCTGGACTTCCAGATGCAACGGTAAGGTCGACAAGGCCGCCAAGAGAGATGAAGACGCCACCGAGGAAGGACTTGACAATGAGTTCGCCCCATGTGAGGTGAGATTTTGCGATGCCCGCTCGAGAGGTCAGATCTGCGATCTCCTGAGGTGAGAAGCCATTGACTCCAGGCATGATGTGGGAGTTTGACAGTATATAATGACTCCGAGTCCAGGACTGTGATAGATTCCCACAAGATAGTTAGGGTCAAGTATCAGGAGGTAAAGATCAAGCACCACATGAAATAGAATAAGGTGACCAAGGGGGTGGACGATATCCATCCGCTGCCTCCGAGTGTTATCGTCTATACATGACAAAGGAGATCAAGATAGCGGTTCTACAGAATGTTGATCTGTCATTGCAACGTAGGTGAGCGGGTCACAGATGAAACTGAAGACGAAAAAGTGTGAGATGAGGTCGTCTATTGGTCATTTCTCATATATGTTGACAGGGTTTTCCTGAGCATCCGAAGTTCCGAACGGAAGTCATGTCCGCTCGCAGGTCAATCTGAACCAAAAGCTTCGATGACACTTGATTCTGCATATCGTTACAATAGCTTATACTTACTTGAGTTACGCACTAATACAGCTTTTTGTGGGTGTGCCTTTGTGATGTCGATTAGAACTCCAAACCACTCCACGTTTCCCCCGAAGAGGCTACTCATGGTTGCGATCATCCGAAGCGAAAAAAACATCCCATGATTGCAGGGATGTTGAAATGCAAAGGCACTAAACGATATATATACGAATGACGTAGAGGTGACGCTTGATCACTATTCGTTGACTCGTTGTCCGCGTCTTTGCGAGTCTCACGAAGATGATGCTGATACTCATACTCGTAATCATGAGTTTGTTTTCGTTATTGCTACTCTTTCCCGTGCTTTCTTGATCTGCTTCGTGAATCGTAGGTGATGAAAAGCTCTAGCATGTCGCTGTCCCCGACTAGAACACCGGGATCACTGGGATGGGATAGTTGACACCAACAATAGCCTTCCACAGTTCCTCATCGGTCTCACCCTCAGGCAAAGGAGGGCTTTTCTCCTTGCTGTACCCGTCAAATGGGACTCTGTTGGGCAGACATACGGCGCCTTCCTTTGGCAGCTTCCCGGTTTGGAAGTATGTTCTCACGGCTTTGGCAGTGCAGAGGCTATAAGATGTTATGGTCAGAAGACGTTTGAACTCTGGTAGGGGGATAAAACTTACCTTTTGCTGGCACCAGAAGAGTGTCCTTCTGCATCTAGGCGTAGCACGACGGAGCCGGGAAAACTTGTAGACATCTTGTAAGCATTACGTATGGGCGTAACGTTGTCGATTGTGTTTCCGATGAAGAGAATGGGATGGGCAGTTGTTGCATTGAGGTCACCAGTGTAAGGCCATTTGGGGCGTGCATGCCACTGTACAGACCTTGTCAGTATGAAGCCTACTGGATTGAAGCCATGGGGAGTTGACTTACCTGCGTGCAAAACAGTCTGTCTATTGCTCCAGTATCTCCCAGTAGCTTGCTCTGCTTTTTTGTGTCCTGAAAGTAACGCCAATACTGCTCTATTGTCATGTTGGTTTGAGGACTGGCGTCACTGCATTGGATAGCCCCATGGATCATGTCATCCAAACCGCCCATATGGTATGGATTGCAAGCATCGGAGTAAGGTCCATCTATGTCACACTCCTTGGAGACACCAGAGCCAAATGATGAACTGACCAAGCGTCTTCCTTCCACCAGGGCAGTAGCATTGCCATTCTCAAGTTCCGACATGATGGTTGCAAGGAGGTCAAATGATTCAAGGGGCCTGTAGCTGGCGCCCAAGAAGATTCTCTGGAGATCGCGATAGGTTGCCAAATCGGGAGAGAAACTGTCTGTACCTGGCACACCGATGGGGTTGCGCATGAGGTTTTGTGTGATGGCTGAAAATCTTTGGTCGATGGAGTTCGGTCCGTCCTTGTGGTAAAGATCACAATTTTCGGGTCCACCCCTCCAACAGTACTCTGCAAACTTGTCGAGCTCCAAATCGGTGTCTTGCAGACTAGTGGTCATTGTACCTCGGTACCAATCGAAGGAATCAACGACGCCGTCCAAGATCATTCGCTCCACACGATCGGGATAGAGGTCAGCGAGGGTGGCTCCCAGGACAGTGCCGTAACTGAAACCCCAGTACTGAACCATCTCTTGACCAGGCTGATATTTGACATGCTCGGGCAGATCGCTCTCTGGCATTGCGGAGGAAGACAGGAGCTTGCGAGCTTCTTGCTCTCTCCACTCGCCGTGTCGCTCGAAGATTTCAACAATATCTCTGGCCACAGACGTTGTAGACATGTACTCTCCGATGCCTGCTTCAATGGCTCTCTTCGAGCATGAATCTGCCAGAGTACGCACACTGGTCCAGAAACTGGTGAACGCTGTGTCGCTGCTGCCAGGCGGACCGGAGACCGAGTGGTCGTAATTCAATTCCTCGATAAAGCTGGGAAAGCAGTGAAATGTAGGTGTAGTGTAGCTAACACCGCGAGGGTCAAAGCCGATGACATCGAAGAACTTGGCTGTTTCGTTGTCTGCTTTTGGTCCTGCATTGATCTGGACTTGGAGTTTTTCGCCGGAACCGTAGACCTGTACGTGATCAGCATTGACCGTCTTGCGTGATAAAGAGATTGGTACATACTTGTGCGACACCAGGACCTCCGGGACCACCTGATAGACGTTAGTGATCATGTTGTAGGTTCTATGGCGCCGTAGCAAGTCTCACCAGGATTGAGGACCACAGCTCCACCGTATCTGCTATCAGTCACCGGGACAGGTGCAGGAAGTTTGATCAAAGCTATCTGGACAGTTCGGTTGTCCACTCCTTTTTGTGCCGTCCAGTCCATAGGAACTTGTAACTTAGCACACTGGAAGCGGCCGTAACAAGTGTGGTAGACCAGTGATTCGTGTGCGGTCATCTATTCAGTATCAGAGCTGAGCTGTACTGCTTCGTTCATGGTTGTGCTTACATTCTTCCAATCGAACACGCGTCCTAGGTTTGCAGTTTGAAGGGGGTTGATAACATGTCTGGATGGCAACAGACCCGAGTTGGCCAGCAAAAGAGCCGAAGCTTTGTCGAAGAGCATGGCTGGAGTGAATTGGATGAATTAAGGCGATGCAATAGAAGAAATAGCTTGCAAGAAGTTGATGGGGGAAGAATGGCTCTTGCGAGGTCTGATGATAGAAGAACGCGTTGTGATAATCTGTTGATGTTGGGATGGAATGGAAGAAGTCAGTGTTGTGATGACAGATTTGCTTGTTGCCTGGCTTCTCAAGCTGCAGGAGCGATCTCTTGTGTGCAGTCGTCAGATGCTGGAAGGCCAGAGGCTTGGCGAGTTGGTATGCTCCTTCCCAGTGTGAAACGAATCATCTGATGCTTCGCAGTCAGCACGAAGACAACCACATATCATATGAGGACTCTGGAAATCTGAGTGTAACAACAAAAGAGGAGATCGGTCTTATACATGTCTAACCACAACACCCGTAGCCCCTCGAACGCCAATGCTTTTTACAAAGTAAGTGCTCCAAGTCCCAATCATGTTGTAGTATCAACCCCCTACCGGATGAGATCCCCATATTGTACAGTAAGAAGTTTTTGGTATCCCTGAAAACGCCTGAGTAAATGCAACTCATAGATCAAACATCGTGAGAGAATGCTTAGATCCCACAAGATTAGTATCGGTCACCACCTCTGCTCTCTCCGCCAAAGTTTCTGTCACCACCGAAACCTCTGTCGGAACCTCTGCTGAAACCGCCTCTGCGCTCGCCGCCAAAGCCACCACGGTCGCCGCCTCTAGAGTAGCCACCGCGGTCACCGCCGTAGCGAGCTCTGCGATCGCCGCCACGATCGCCACCACGACCGAAGCCTCCACGGCCACCGTCATTCGACCAGGAACGGTTACGGCCGCTGCCATAGCCAAAGCGAGTCTCTTGGCTGCGAATTGGTCTGTCATCAACGTCGTCAAGGTTGCCTTCAATGATTCTGCCATCAATGTTCATGCCGGGTACTGATTGGAGACCAACACGTCTGGCCAATGCTGATGAGACTTCCGGAGGAGTTGCCATGCCCCAGGCGTAGCGGGAGAGGTTGTTGATGGCCTTGACGAGAGCTCTCTTGCGAATGAAACCGTAGGTACCGATGTAGCCTCTGTAGGCATCGGCCTTCAGCTGCATAGGAACACGCTTGTATGACTCGGCAACCTGAGCCAGAATAGTAGCGGCCGATTTTGGCACATCTGCCTCACGAGTCATGTCGATGGAGGCAGTGGCCAGAGAAGTATCCTTTTGAAGAGGAAGATCTCTGAGCTTGCGGGGAATATCCTGGACCTCAATCATGGGTGAAATTAACCAGCCCTGACCTTCCTTGCCGGCACGGGCGGTACGACCAATACGGTGAATGTATGTCTCGCGATCACGAGGCATACCAACCTGAATGACATGTGTGACGTTGGGGAAGTCCATACCACGAGCAGTCACATCTGAGGATACCAGAATACCAGAAGTGCACTTGCGGAAGTTGTCAGAAGCACGAGTACGCTGAGCCTGACTCAAGCGCGAGTGAATCTCATAAACGCGAGCGGGGTACAGAGCAGTTGGAACATCGCGGTAGCGACTGCGGGTGTTTTGCGGAGGAGGGATCGAATCCTCATCAACAGGGAGCTCGGTGAGAGCGGCGGAAGCCAAGGTGACTTCAGCAGTGGAGTTGAAATAGACAATGGCCTTGAAAGGGCGAGCATCGGGCTGAGAAGCATCGGCAATGGCTTTCTTGCACAATTCTACAATAGCAGGGACAGTGTTTTCCAGACCGTTGACAGTGACGAGGTGCTGAGGAACACGAGCATGGGTGGGCTCCTCATCATCGCGCACAGTCTTGACAAAGTCAAAGCCAGGCTTGAGGGTCTGTCTGACCAGTCTCTGAACCTCTTGAGGCACAGTAGCGCTGAACATGAGTGTCTGACGGGACTTCTCCTCGGGCTTTGGCAGAAGGGCCATGATTTCCTGGATCTCGGGCCAGAAACCTTGGTCAAGAAGACGATCCGCCTCATCAAAGACGAGAGCGTCAAGACCAGGAGCTTCAACACCAGAGTACTTGTCGCTAAAAATGTCCTTCAGTCTACCGGGGGTACCGACCAGGATGTGACAGCCCTGGCGCTGAATGGCGCGCAGACCAGCGGACTTTTGTGTTCCTCCTACTGCCGTCTGTACAATGACCGAGGTGTTTGCAACGAGACGCTTTGCCTCCATGGCAATCTGTTCGGCCAGCTCACGGGTGGGCGAGACAATGATCGCACGAATGTCGTCGGCGGTGGTTCTGTTACCTCTGCGAGCAGCGTAGCCTCTGCTGCGCTCACCGAGGGAAGGATCTTGCTTGAGGATGTTTTGCAGGACGGGAATCAGGAAACCGAGGGTCTTGCCGGTACCGGTCTTGGCCTGAGCGAGGATGTCGTTGCCATTGAGAGCCTGGTTGATTGTGGCGGTCTGAACTTCGGTCATGTTCTCGAGGCCCATGTCCTTGATCAAAGTTTGGACAACACCTTTGCTGACCAGCTTTCTCTTGCCCAGTTCGGCAAAAGTTGTGATGGGACCGTCGTCATTCTGCTCGGACTGGAAACCCAGGCCCTCCTCTTCAGCTACAGCGGCATTTTGTTGTTTCCATTGACTGGTTTGGTGCAGACTTCTGGTGATGAACGCTGAGTTGTAAGGTCTTGAGATTTTTGAAACAGCAGGGCTTCTGGTTGCACTCGAAATTTGGGCAACACCGCGCGGCAGTACCGTGGAGCATCTTCTGAGAGCTCCCAGCATTGTGAAAGACGAAAATACACAAAAACGAGGGAAACAAGTGGATGGAGATTTGCAAGTTGAGGCAAAGGTAAATTTCAAGAGACTTTCACATGGCGAGTCCAAGCGTCAACCATCATCCCCGGACTTTGCAACTCGCCGCCGCCTCGACCGACTTCTTCCATCCTTCTTTTGAGCTTGGCAGCTCTTCAATGCTGTATCATCGTCCTTATTGATTGCGGTTTCTTGTCATAGGAAGTACATGTCCTTCAGCAACCTCTTCCTGCATGTCGCGCATGCCCAAGTTCTTCTCATAGAACTGTTTGCCCTCTCCCGGCGAAGCCATAAGCATCGCTCTCATCAGATGAGGCTTTGAATCGAGAATCTCGCGACAGCACGAAATTAACCATTTCCCGAGTCCTTTTCCTCGGGAGTCTGGTTCAATATACACATCGGTCAAGTAGAAGACTGTGACATGATCCGTGACAAAGCGACCAAATCCCACCTGTTCTAGCTTCTCTGCTCCTGCCCCGGTTCCTTGAAACTCGTTCGAGAAGTAGAATGCTGGATCCTCGAGTGTAGGTGAAGGCGTGTCTGGTGACGATGGTTCCTCCGCTGTCTTAGCTGGTGGAAATGATGGCTGTACTGCGTATACTCCCATGACAAGAGAATTGGATAATATGTTTCGAAGAATGGCAGCAGGCATTGCTTTGGCCCAGTACATGTCGTCGGTGGCATACGCATTGTTGACAAAATCGTGGGAGATGTTGTTCAGGTCGGTCGATATAAGATATTCCTGACCAGAGATGGTCGTTCGCCATTCCCTCGCCTTCTGAGACGAGGCCATGATGAATATCTTGTCGCGACCGAACCACTGCTGGTCGTCTTTGTCTTCTGAAGGTTGGTTGCAGCGATAAGATACGTCATGAGACACAGCCCTGCCGAGGCGTGACTCGGACAGTCGTTGGAAATATCCTTTGATACTCGCAAACCTCAGCCGCAGCTCTTCCAGCAACCTCTGGTCTTAACGATCACTCCATAAGAGTGCCACTGGCGTTCTCCCGGCACCAAAGAGCCCGGACGAGATACGGATCGTCTCGACAAGAATAATTATTGCAAGTCTGCGCCATGACCCTGACCGCGCCACGGATTCAGCCGCCGCCCACAACCAGCAGGACAGCACCGAAAAGCACAAATTCCGAACACGCGCAACATCAATCTTTGTTCTTCCGTCTTCCTCATGAGATCCGCCATCTCGTCTTCTTGCTAGCTCTAGCAAAGCCGCCTTCTGCCGCTCTCCTCGACTCCTCTCACGATGACAGCGTAGACGTCGAGCCTGCTCTTCTTTCTACTTGTCATCGCGTCCGCGCCGAGGCACTGACTCTTTTCTACAGCACCAATGATTGGGTCATCAAAACACGGCGCGTGGGAGGAGACACCGGTCGCCTTGACCCTATCAGCAAGAGCTTGGTCACATACCAGTCCATACCTCGATGGCTCGATGCCCTGCCAGACCATAAGATTGCTCTGATCAGGTCTATCGTAGCCGTTGGCTCGAGAGGTTCCTACGTGAACTTCAAGGGTAAATGGTGGGACGGCGACCGTACTGCTTTTCGTCTGCAAAAGTCAAATGGGTCCATTGGCTACCGCATCGACGAGCTGGATTGTCATGATGACGAGTTGGATTTGGCCAGGCGAGAGAAAGACGAGGAAGCCTTTTGCAAAATACACCTCGTCGATCTCCTGAAAGCTAGAATGCGCATCAACGTGCAAACATCTCGCGACAGGTGGCTCTGGACGCGAGAGCGCGTCCACGAGATAGCCTTCCTGCTGTGATCTTCTGCCAAGGCACATGATGCATTGACTTGCATTGTGTGCAGAGACTTACCAACAGACTCCAGGACATCCTCGACAACCTTTGCAGATTGTCTTTGCATGGTGGAAACACCCAATGCAAGTCCTGCAAAGGCGTCTACACCTACAGAGACAACTCAAAACAGTACGTTTCCACTTCTCGGCTTATATCACTCTCCTCCACCCCTTCAAATGATGACTACACTTCGTTACACCCAGCTCACTTTGATGCACAAATGTGCACTTGATGCGAACGCGATTCTGTTCCTGATTTTTTCTCTCTTACACCTTGGCTTCTCACAATTCAGTCTTCGAGGTCGATCACTAACGTTGTGAATAGGATTCTAATGATGTAACGATACAAAGCCATCTATGTTGGATGCAATCGAAAGTATATATTCCTACACTATAATCAAGTTACTTTATTCATGTCAGTTCATCATGACTCTTTGTTCACCGATACAAATGATTACTCTCGATACTCGATATCAGACTGTACGAGTACGAATATGCCATGAGTCGTCCTCTCCGAGGCCCCACTTTTGTCGAATCCTACTCGATCTTCCACCCTGGCACACTCGGGTGCTCGGTCTTGGAAGCAAGACGTTTCTTAAACACCTCTCCTCTTTTGCCAATGAACCTCTTTCCATCAATTCTTGGACTATCCTTCAAATCTACTCGCACAAACTACGACTTCGCCATTCGAGATCTGGAATATGGATGTCGGCAACATCTTATGCACACTTCTCTTGTCAACTAGTCTGGCCTTACCATTGTTTTACTTTAAGCAATATGTTCTCGGCTTGGAAGTCTTGTTCTGGGTCTTGATGTGGCGTCACTATTTCAAGGAGCCTTTGGACCAGACAACTACTCCTCAGGCTCTGCCCAGTAGAGAAGAGTTCCTCAAGGACTTCCCGGAACCATGTTCGCAACAGCAACGGAAAGACGACGATGAGGAAAAGCTCGTCCAGTTGACAGAGCAAGAACACCAGACTGCGCAGATTGAGTCGAGCGAGCGATACTGCTCGTCCTGTTCGTCAAAAACTGGGATGGTGCTTTCCTGCCAACACGCCTTCTGTAAATCCTGCTTGATCGAGCAAAATACCCAAGGACTCTGTCCGACATGTAAAACACCACTCTGGCATCCCACTCGTCTCCCCACCGCCAGGATTCCTAGATGGTCCTATAAAGTCAGTCTCATCTCCGCCTTAACCATCCTGGGTTCGTTCTCCGTAAAGTCGTTTCTCTGTTGGATCAAGTCTACTAGTGCATCATCTTGCCTATTTTGCTCTTTGAACTTCCAAATCGGGCCTTGGGGCAGGGTTCTTACGCCACTAATGCTGTCGCTGGCGGGTACGAGGGTTTGGTCTGAGTGGAGGAGGGATGTTGGGAGATGGGATATTTGGCCGCACGATGCCAGAGTTAGTCCTTTTATTGCTTCGCAGATGCTTTCGATTGCAATTAGGTTGTCGACGGATTTGGAGTTGACTGTTGATGAAATGGTGAGGGGTGCGTAAGGGGTGTTGCGAGGCATAAGCTTTCTCTAGTCAACAAGTTTACACAATCTCGTAGCCTTCGCACTGATACTGCTGTGTTTCATACTGTTGTTGAACTATAGCATTGAATTTGATATAGAAGGACCGTCCGAGACGATCAAAGCACAAAACATCAACCTGTTCACTCGAGCAACGTACTCTTCAAGAACTCAATCTCCTTAGCAAGCAACATCTCAAACACATCACCTTCAAACATGCTGAAATGCCCACCTGGAAGCATCTGAAGCTCCTTAGGCTCTACTGCACGGCTATATGCTTCAAGCATTGTCTCAGTAGTTGCAATGACATCCTTTCTGGGTGCCTGCATCAACAATGGCGTAGGACTGATTTTGTGGATGCGACATCCGGGAAAATATGACTTTATACCTTCCAAGCTGTACAGTGTTGTTAGCATGATTCTTGGAGTGTTTCTCGCTACGTACCTCCTGATGGTTAGGTCGTTCTTCCAAACACCCTTCTCAGCCCAAGTAGAGAAGAATGCATAGCTTTCGACATGGGGGAGCACAGCTGTGTCGAGTGGGTTCTTGACTATGACAGGCAATCTTCCAGGTTCATTACCAGCAGCTCGTGAAAGCCGTTCTACAGAAAGTCAGTCTGCGAGGTCTAACAAGCCTGAATATCATACCCTGAGCAAGCATGTCGTTGAAAGAATCCTCCAGGTCTGTCCGCATGTTGTTCGTGATGATTTCACCTGTGGTGAAAGGCGCCACAGCGATTACTGCCTTGACACGGCGATCATTTGCAGCAACCCATAACGAATGACCGCCACTGTAGGAGTAGCCCCAGAGACCAATCTTTGTCGCATCGATGTCCTCACGAGATTGGGCATAGGTAATGGCGTCTTGCAAATCACTGTTTTGGTATGCCGGGACAATCTCGTTGCGCGGCTCATTGTCCTTTTGATCGCTGGAGCCATAGCCACGGTGATCGTACACCAGACATGCAATAGGAAGCACGGAAGTCAGACGTTCGGCCAGAGTGTCAAGGGACATCTCTTTGAGGCAAGTCAGACCATGGGAAATTATGAGGCATGGATATTTCCCTTCTGCATCAGCGGGCTTAAACATCCAGCCCCGTATAGTGACATTGTCGATGGTTTTGAATTCGATATCTGAGCGGCTCATGATGATGTTTCCAGAAGTTTCAAAGCTGAATGATAGCAATGTCTGAATAAAAAGGTAGCCAGTTCTTATATCCACTTCATTGCTGAGATGAGACTTACCGTCAGCTCGAATCCTTCGCATCTCTTGGTCTACGAAAGTTAGATATATTGCACTTGGCGTCAGGATGGTCAGAATTGTGAGATTTCTAAGACGAAAAGTCGCGTACGTGAGAAATTGGTAAGCAGTCTCACTGGATTCATGGAAGCTTGAACAGGTAGATCAACTTGGCGGCGCTCAGTCAGACAGATCCTCACGCACATGATCTGTCAAATCCCGGAAAGTAATCTAATCTCCTACCGCACAGCGGTTGGATCGCGCTTATCGAGTTCGGATACCTTGAAGGCACCGAAGACATGGCTTGCTTCGAGGCGAGCTCGGCTTGATGATGATTGTGGAATCAGCGACTGCATGCAATTTTCAGATCAGATGATCGATGTGCTGCACAGTCGGTCAGAACCAGTGCAGTGCCTTGAGGGTAGACTCAAGTCAAATCTGCCAGTGACTTGTGAGTAAGTTCTCAAGCTGTGGAACTACTCGCCTGCTGAACGTTGACGGCCAGGAGCAGAAGAACAGCGTGTTGTCTTCTTTTAAATGAGCCCATCAGGATTGCAGTCAAGTTTCTCCCAAGAAACAAATTGGCAGGCACGAATGTCAATTGTGAGGGCTGCTGCAATATTCCAGGACAGCGGGCTTGGGAAGGCAAGGAATTATGGATTAAGAGCGGATCGAACGGGTTCCGGCATGATTGGAAACCGCAAAGGTACCCAAAGTATGGGAGAAAGGAAACCTTGAACAGCTGTTCATGCAAAAAGTGAAGGAAGATCAAAATCGCTTAGAGAATGCAACCAGCAGATTGGTACCGAGATGTGTCGAAGACTGGATTTGAGCTGAGCGATTGATTAAATATTGGTTTACGTAGGCTGACAATAAGGAGATGCATCTGGTGGCTTTCATACAGCAGCCGTGTACAGCACACATGTTTCTAGAAGGAGCGAAGGGAGTCCTGATACAAAAGGCAGGAAGAATGAGAGTCAGGGTGTGTTCATGACCTTTGGTCGCAAAGCGTTTGTCAACGGTCAAGGTGCAAAGAGTGGCGTCAGCGTCTGTCTGCCCCTCCTCTCCAGTCACTTTCACTGCGAGATCCATCCGTCCTTGACCAGAACCATCACCGCCATCCCTCTTCCGTTTTCGCTTTTCGAGATCGCATCTTACCTGCTCCATCCATCTATCTCAGCCCGCCTCACCAAATGTCGACTTCAGCACGCCGCCGTTTGATGCGCGACTTTAAGGTGCGAGCAGTTTGACGTCTATCCTGACATGATCTTGTGGCTAACGGTCATCTCTGCAGCGCATGCAAACCGACCCTCCTGCTGGTGTTTCAGCCTCACCCATCGCCGACAACGTCATGACCTGGTATGCTTGACTTAGCTTCGTAGTCGACCACACGTGCTCATTCGCCGCATAGGAACGCAGTCATCATTGGACCCTCAGACACACCCTTCGAAGACGGCACATTCAGACTTGTCATGCACTTCGAAGAACAGTACCCCAACAAGCCTCCGGGCGTCAAGTTTATCAGCACCATGTTCCATCCCAATGTCTACGCCACAGGCGAGCTGTGTCTCGACATTCTGCAGAACCGCTGGAGTCCTACATACGATGTCGCCGCCATCCTGACCAGTATTCAAAGGTGTGTCAGAAAGTACACAGACATGATCAGGACAAGACTGACATAGTCTGTAGTTTGCTTAACGATCCCAACACCAGTTCGCCGGCCAATGTCGAGGCATCGAATCTGTACAAGGACAACCGCAAGGAGTACTACAAGCGCGTGCGCGAGACGGTCGAGAAGAGCTGGGAAGACTAAGGGAGATGTACAGTTGGGCATAGAGATGATATGAGATTCAGCGAGGCGTTTGGCATGGGCGTCGCTCGGCGTTCAATACGGTACTGCATTTCGGCTGTTTTATCACTGCGCGCAAGACATGAAACACGATACAGGCATGGGATAGGAGAAGTACAGGCTGTTCTAGGAAGATGACGGCCTTGTCAAATACGAAATGGTTTGAAGACGATGCATATACCAAGACCTGTCAGTTGTGCATGTGCAGATGAACTTGTGACGGCGTATGAAAGTAATGCGGAGGGGCTGATATAGGGCTGACTCAAGCTGAAACGCTGAAACCGGGGCTGCTGGCCGAGGGCAGCTTGGCTTTCATGAGAAGCTGAATGCTGGCCACAGGAACAAGAGGCACAGCAGTGGGAAGATACAGTGTTGTTATTGTACGTTGGTCGTCGTGTCTTTGATTGTTCTGGAAGCCGACGACAGCGTCATTGTGCGTGGACAGGACTATTTGTATACAACGGCGGTTGCTGTGAAGTTTATCGTTTTGGTTTTGGTTTTGGGCTTTTGAGTTTGGCCCTGACCCCTGTTGATTCCAAAGTCACGGTCCACCACCACCAACTTCTCCAGACGCGCACCTACTGTGCGTGCATCCTGCATACGTTGGCGCCGACCTCTTCTAGCCTCTGCCTCCTCTGTCGCTCGCCTACTCTGCCCTCGTAACTTCTCACAAGCAGGCCACGACCTGCCGCAACCCGGCCACCATGGCGTAAGTTGACGCCGGTCCCCCACCTACCTATAAATCACAACCCCATGCTAATCAACTCCCGACAGGAGCAACTCTATCAAGGGTACGTCGAACATCACTCGACAATTCCTCTCGCTCTCTCTACCACTGTTCCCGCACTAACACACGTCAGTCGTCGCTCGTTTCAGGCCGCAGAACAAAGTCGAACTCGCCAGCGGAGGTACTCCTATTGTCCAGTTTGAAAGTCCCGATACCTGCAATGTTCAATCAAGAGATGGCGGCGGTGGCTCCTTCACCTTCGATCGCGTCTTCGACATGGGTTGTCGCCAGTCCGACGTCTTCGACTTCTCCATCCGTCCCACCGTCGACGATATCCTCAATGGTTACAACGGAACTGTCTTTGCCTACGGTCAGACCGGTGCTGGAAAGTCTTATACCATGATGGGCTCAGACATCGGCAGTCCTGATCACAAAGGTGTCATTCCGCGCATCACTGAGCAAATCTTCGCTTCCATCATGGCCAGCGAGAGCAACATTGAGTACACCGTTCGAGTAAGCTACATGGAAATCTACATGGAACGTATTCGCGATTTGCTCGTCCCGCAAAACGACAACCTGCCTGTTCACGAGGAAAAGAACCGTGGTGTCTACGTCAAAGGCTTGATGGAGGTATACGTTAGCAGTGTTGACGAGGTCTACCAAATTCTGGAACGGGGAGGCATGTCTCGTGCTGTCGCTGCTACAAACATGAACCAGGAATCCTCCCGTTCTCACTCCATCTTCGTCATCACCGTTGGTCAGAAAAACGTCGAGACTGGCAGTGTCAAGTCGGGTCAGTTGTTCCTGGTCGATTTGGCTGGTTCGGAAAAGGTTGGAAAGACAGGAGCCAGTGGGCAAACGCTTGAAGAAGCAAAGAAGATCAACAAGTCGCTCAGTGCTCTAGGAATGGTCATCAACGCCTTGACCGACGGCAAATCCTCTCACGTCCCCTATCGTGATTCGAAACTTACTCGTATCCTACAAGAATCTCTCGGTGGTAACTCGCGCACCACTCTCATCATCAACTGTTCGCCCTCGAGCTACAACGATGCAGAAACCGTCTCTACCCTCCGCTTTGGTATGCGAGCAAAATCTATCAAGAACAAAGCCAAGGTCAACCAAGAACTCTCCCCTGCCGAGCTCAAGGCTCTGCTCCGCAAGGCCCAGTCTCAGGTCTCAAGCTTCGAAACATACATCTCCAACCTCGAGACAGAAGTTGGCTCCTGGCGAAAGGGCCAGACTGTGCCGAAAGAGCAATGGACTCCAACACTCAAAGATGGCCCTGCCAGATCTACACCTCGTCCTGCCACCCCCTCACTCCTTGGTGAACAACGAAAAGGCGCCGAAACACCTACTTCGTCAAGGCCAGACTCTAGAATGGATCTGGAGCGCGCCGGCACCCCAACGACTGCTCTGGAGAAGGACGAAAGAGAAGAATTTTTACGACGTGAGAACGAATTACAAGATCAGCTTGCAGAGAAAGAGTCTGTTATTGCTACAACCGAAAAGGCCCTCCAAGATACACGTCAAGAGTTGCGTGACCTGAGGGAAACACATGGCCGTGTCAACAAGGACAACGAGAAACTTGCCGGCGATGTAGAAGGTTTGAAGATGCAAGTTGAGCGAATTACTTTCGAAACAAAGGAGGAGTCCATCATGATGGACAGTCTCAAGGAAGCCAACAATGACCTCTCGAACGAACTTGATGAGCTACGCAAGGAGTTACTCGAGGCCAAGATGAACGCCCGTGAGACATCAGCCGTTATTGACGAGAAGGAGAAGCTGAAGAAGGAGCGCATGGCTCAAATGATGGCTGGCTTCGATCTTGGAGACGAAGTCTTCTCGGAGAACGAACGCAGTGTACAAGAAGCTATCAAGCAGCTTGATGCTCTTGTCGAGTCTACTTCCAAGGGTGAAGCTCTTGCTCCCGAATCTCTGTCAAAACTCAGAGAGAGATTGGTCGAGACTCAAGGTGCTATCCGACAAGGGGACCACTCAAGTCAAGGTGGCGCCCTGGAGCACAAGCTCCTGACCGTGCAAAAGCAGTATGAAGACCTTCTGCAAGAGAACCTCTCCGAGGCCGATGTCGAGGATATCAAGCGCCGTCTACAAGAATCGCTTGCGTCACATACTGGTGGCGAAGCGGCATCCTCAGATCTCACTGCTGCCCTGGCTCGTCAGCAAGAAGAGAACGCTCGCATGCGCAGCGAAGTGGAGTCTCTAAGGAGACAAACAGTAAATGGAGCAAATGGCGCCAAGTCATTGCACCAACAACTGGCAGACTTCGACGCCATGAAGAAGTCATTGATGCGCGACTTGCAGAACCGCTGCGAGCGTGTTGTCGAACTCGAGATCTCGCTTGACTCGACCCGAGAACAATACAACAGTGTTCTTCGCTCGGCAAACAGCAAGCAGCAACAGAAGAAGCTGGCCTTCCTCGAACGAAACTTGGAACAGCTGACCCAAGTCCAAAGGCAACTGGTCGAGCAAAACGCCCAACTCAAGAAGGAGGTCGCCATTGCTGACCGCAAGCTCGCGGCACGCGGAGAGCGCATCCACGGTCTTGAGCAACTGCTCGGCGAGAGTCAGGAAAAACTCATGCAGGCCAACCATCGGTATGTTGAATCTCTTTACAAACGCCTGTCAAATCGACAATCACTAACACCCGCCTCACAGTTTCGAAGCCCAACTCACAGCAGTAAAAGAACGTCTCGAAGCCGCCAAAGTCAGCGCTGCCTCGCGCAACGGCAACATCACCGGCGCCGGCGGTGCAGCCCCCAACGCCTTCGGCAGCGAACTCGGCAGCCGCATTGCAAAACCGCTCCGTGGTGGCGGCGGTGGCGGTCCTATGGTCCCTACGCTCGCCGGCCTGCAGCAACAGCAACAGCAAGAGGGCCCAAAACGCAGCAGTTGGTTCTTCAACCAGAGAACCTAAGATCTGATGAGTTAATACTTGCTGTGTTGTTTTTGTTGCTCGCTTTTGGGTTGTTGGTGTGGTAGAACTTCGCATTTTGTGACGAAAGAGAAAGTGCATCTAGAATGGCGTTTTTCTGTGGCGTGCTTTTGTCTTCTCGCACGTCTGTTCTTCCCTTTTCTTTGCATATGCTGGCGGGGAGTCTCTGCTTCGTCTTGCGGCTCCGTATGATCATCTCTCTACAACAAAATGATAAACTCCTGATATTCTCTTCTTCCTGCACCAATTCAGGCCTCTCAAGTCGTCGTTCTATGGTGATGATCTCGCGCATCGCACCTACCTTCTTGTTCGTTGCAGTTCGCCTTTTGATTGTAGGAAGTCATGCCAGCGATCGTGATTGATCTTCTGAATGAGGAAGCTGCAACACAGTCACTAAAATTGTTTCACCTAGCATGGTTGCTCTATCTTCCATAACGAGCAAGAGCATATTTTACACCATTCATGAACAAGAAGCAAAGGAAAAAGAACGATGAAGCTGCATGAAACGTGATCAGATCGACCATTGTCTGTTTGTTCTATCATCATCTGTGAGAAAAGATCTCAAGTCCGAAAAACGCCATTCGCTAAGCTATGCTCCTCCATCGCCTTGCCCCCTGGAGTATTTCAACCATGCCCCTGTGAGATCAACCGAGTCTTATTCTTTTTGAAGCCCCTGAAAAACACCTTCGCTTTGATGTGAAACGCCCTGTAATGCTTTGCAATGCAAGAAACAACCGCTTGAGTACGCCAGAATCAGAATGGAAAGAGCAGAAGGAAAGAAAGATCCCCTATGCGCTCTATGCAAGGTAACGGTATGAAGGCAACTTGGCATCCTCAATACGCTCCAGGTACTCACGCTCAATCAAGCTCTCAATCTTCTTCTTGATCATAGTGACATCAGGCTTGAACTGTTGGCTCAGTTGCGTAAGTGTCTCGTTGATAAGCTGTTGATGCGAGAGCTCCTTGCGCTGCTTCATGATGCGGACAATAGCCGCTTCAATAACGAAACCGCGAGAGTCGTTGTTCTTCTTCTCGGTGTCCTTGCGCTCTTTGTCGTTCTCGACCTTGTTGCCGGCGGTGACGACGCCGACCTTGACTTTGATGAACTTGGAGGTGAACTTTTCGTTGAAGGAGAAGCGGTCCGTTGGTTTGATGTCCTTGCTCATGGGCTCCTTGACAAGGATGCGAGTCTTGGGTGCCACTGCTAGTGATTGCAGGTTTCTGATGAGCTCGTTCTGAGGGATATTTGTTTGTGCGGCAATCTCTTCGTAGGTGAGCACACCGTCAGCTGGGATGTCGTTGAAGAGAGACAAGATGATCATCATGTAGGTTGACACGTTAAGCTCATGTACTCTGGTCTTGGGGGGACCGCCATCTTTGCCGGGAAGCTTGAAGGTTCCTTTGATATCAGCGGTACCCATGCCACCTCGCCAGGTGAGTACACGACCGGAGTACTTGGTAGTGTAATACTGCTCGAAGCTGGTCTTGATCTTCTCGATTGCAGGCGGGTAAATGATCTTGAGTGCACCATCTCTTTCCTCGTCGTGTCCTCTCATGCTCTCGACTGGCCATGTCATGCTGGTAAGAACATTGATGTTGAGTTCGGTTCTCTTCGGGTCGTTGTCGCCAAGCTTGGATACATATGTTTGGTAACCTGCAGTAAGTTCTTCTGAGAGGTTCATGTCCTTGAACATGGCCTCCATCTTGAGAGTGAAACTGTTGCCGAGCTCGATCTTCATGCGACCCAGCATCTGCTTCTCAACGTCGATGCTCACAGATCGTCCCATGAGCAAGCGTTTTGAGAGATGCTTCTTGTAGTATGTCTCGAAGATGTCCTTGTCTTGGAGGTAGCGGACCAGAGTAATGGCCTTCTCGAGCACCTGATCAACCTCTTCCTCGGTCTTTCCTTTGATTCCTTTCTTCATGTTGTCGTCAATGAATAGGGAAATATACTCGGAGCTTCGTTGCAGAGCGTTGATCGTATCAGAGAAACTGCGGGTTTGGGCGGTTTGCAAAACTTGATCCTGGTTGAAAGCGAGTTTCCAGATGCGGTCGAAGCGGTCCTTCAGGTCCAACACATCCTGGACCCACTTCAAAGCTGCCACAGTTTGTTGATTGACCTTCTCTGCCGGTTTTGTCTTCTCTTTCTCTCCAGTCTCTCCGTCATCAGCAGCAGTTGGCTGAGCGGTTGGTTGTGCGGTCGATTGGTTCATGGCGTTACTGTTCACGTTTGTTCCCATTTCCTGGATGATCTTCTGAATGGCCCTGGTCAGTTCAGGCTTCTTTGGGTCCACTCTGCTCTCCAGCTCGAAGATCAGACTAAGATCTTCGTGCCTGTCGTTGGCGACCATGAACTGCACGCCACTGTCCATCTCGATCAAAGCCTTGATCTGCTGACGAATGAGCTCGTCCTCGACAACCTTGATGATCTTGGCAGAAGTCGATTCTGAAATTGTGGAGCGACAGCGATCAGCTTCTTCATCCAGTCTCCTTCTAACATGGCGACAGTATGTGCCCGCATCCGACTCTTTCAACAATCGCTCGCTCTCGTCGCGGTAGAACTTGGCGCTCTTGTCGAGGAAAGTCTGTTCGAATCTAGTAAGATACAACTTCTCGTCTTCTCCTTCTGCGTCTGTCTCAAATAGACCTTCCAGCATATAGATGTTTGCTTTAATCAAGGATTTGTCGATGTAATCGCCGTCGCGGTCCATGCGAATCTGATCGAGTATGACGGTGTCCAAGGTGTCGAGGAACGACAGAGGAGGTTGAGCCGAGGCAATGGCAATAGGGTATAGGATGCTATCCCTGAAGAGACTCATAGCCTTGGAGAAGATGGATGGTTGTCTGGTGTCGGCACAATAAACGCGATCCATGTACATAAGCACATCTGTCAACATGCTCATCGAGGTCTGGTGGTCTTGCCAGGCGGTCTTGAGAGCAGCGAGGAAGCGAGTGCCAGCTTCACGACGTTCGGGAGCGGTAGCACTAGGGTCTGATAGAGAGTCATCGGCGTCGGCAAGGATGTTCGCTTGCAGGGTGCGTGCAATGTCCAGACGGACAGAAGTGGACAGCCATTGGGTCTCGAATTCGGCCACCTTTTTATACAAGTCGTCGCCCTTCTTCTTGAGTACTATCTTATAAGCAGCGCGGTACAACTGTTCGAAGGAAAGAGCGGAAGCATTCTTGGTGTGAATTTCGCCAAAGGCATGGGAGAGGGTTGCCCATGTTTCTTCAAAGTCGACATCGTTGGCACCAGCGACGCCCTGCGATTCGGGTTAGAGATGATTGCATTGCGACCACGAGACAAGACGTCGGGGCGAAAGTGATAGATGAGAGATTAAACTCACTCTTCTAGGAGCACGAATCTTTGTGCGCTGACGACTGGCCATGATTGTGGTGTTGCCAGGTCAAGAATAGTGGTAGCAGCTGTCTCGTCTTTTGGATGGTGGCGGGGTCCTCGGCCGTTGTGCTGACAGCGGACAGCTTTGACTTTGCGCGCTCAGGGTCTTTGTTGGCGCTTTGTGCGAGAAGCTCCGTGTGGGCAGCCTTTAAAAGGAGCGGATATTGCAGTGAAGGTCGATGAGCAATATAGACATGTGACTGAAAGCAAGAACATGAAGATGAGCGAGTTTGGTGAAGGATAACAGCAGCTCGGCAATGGCAGCTGCTCGCCGCATTCGGAAAGCACCAACTCACGGCGCACGGTCCGCCCCTGGCAGAATTCCTCGCCGCCTTGTGACGCAGCCGCAAACAGCTGACTGTGAATTCACTTTCACTCTCTCTGAACCATTCACACAATTTACACAATTTCTGCCACCATGTCTCTACATTCCGCAACCCGTACTCTGCAGCGCTTCTGCTTGCGCCAACCTGAAGTCGCTCAGCCCTGCCGCCAACAGCTCCGTCACCTCTCGTTGCGACCCTCTCCGGCCTTCTCGCCTCTCCTCCGCACTCAGTCACATCTCGTCTCTGCCTTTCAATCACAACAAAGACGATGTGAATCAACAGCTAGACCCCTGACCGACCGTCCCGATCATCTACCTAAGCCCGAACCTCGCGAGGAGGTGCCCTCGTACGAGATGACCTTCACTTGCAAGGCATGCTCTACCCGCTCGTCGCACCGCATGTCCAAGCAGGGCTACCACCACGGCACCATCTTGATCACCTGTCCTGGCTGTAAGAACAGACATCTGATTGCCGACCACTTGAAGGTCTGTATACCATGTATTGATAATCTCGTGCGACAACTGCTGACTTGTCTCAGATCTTTTCCGACAAGCGCATCACTCTGGAAGACATCCTCGCACAGAAGGGCCAGTTGCTCAAGAAGGGTGCTCTCGACTCCGAGAGCGATATGGAGTTCTGGGAAGACGGCACTCAGACTGAGCGTACCAAAAAGCCCTGAATCTTCTCCAACGAACGGCTAAAGTAGCGCAGCTGGCCTGCATTGCTCAACACCTAGACCTCGGCGAGGCCGTACTATAATACTTCTCAACTCCATCTGGTCTTTCCACCATCTGCCATATAACATTTTGGAAAAAGTTGAAGATAGACAGCCATGTATAGACATAAAATGGGTAACGACTTTCAATTGTACAGAAACAATCTACGCTTTTTTACCGATGCTGACATCGAGTCTGCTAATGAGATATGCGACTCCGAAAGTACCCATGAGCGAGCTGAAAATGACAATAGGCTTCCTGAAGCCTGCGAGGAAAGGGTAGTCGTATGTCACGATAAGGTCCTTGCCGCGGAAGTCGTCGACGACATTCAATGCGGTCAGCTTGAGTGTCGAGCGGCCCATTGTGTCCATGAAGGTGCGGTGTGTGCTGACCTCGGACGAGATGATGGGAATCTTGGACTCGAACTTGATGTTACTGCGACTCTGGTTAGCATAGGTCGATCATCGTATTGAGCAGGAAGCAAAACTCACGTTGCGCCTTCGGGGAGGATAACTCTGACGGTCAACTTCTCAATCTCAAGACCCTCGGGCTGCTTGGGTCCCTCAAGGAAAGGAACTTTGAGAACGTAACCATCGCCAGTCTTGAGCTTGCGCAAAAAGCTCTTCAAGTCGTTGTCCCAACCAACCTTGAAGCTGTATTTCCAGCCACCGAACAGGGGGTAGCGGGGCTTAAGCTGAAGAAGAGCCTCCTTGGGAGTGTTTCTAGGGCGGAAGCGAGAAGTGCTGACGTTACCGATGTCGTCGATGAAGTAAGGGTTTGCGCTTCCGATAATGAGAGGATACTCGAGTTCCTTAAGAGCTGATGTAGGAGGGTTGAAATACTGGGTCTGTTGCCATTGGACACGCGAGAACTGGTTCTTGAGGGTGGCGCCTCTGTTCTCGAGCCAGTAACGCTCCTCGGTAGCAATGTTACCACCCCAGTGGCTGACTTCGATGTCACGCTCCACAAGAGTGGCATGCAGCAAAGGCTTGGTGAACTCATATCTCAACGACACGGGCTGGTTGGCACCGGCAGGCACCTCACCATAGGGACCATAGGTGAAGGTAACGCCCTGCTTGACGGGATCCTCCTGGCCTTCGGCGTTCGTGCCAACCACAGTGTACTCGGGAACGTCACTAGTGGGCATCTTGAGCTTGGTCTTTTGCTTCATGGTCTTGTAGGCCGAGTTGGTGTATGCATTGAGAGTGATCTGAACATATTGCTTGTCGGCCTGGTTGATGCTTGCGGGTAGAGGGTTCAAGGCGGCGAGAATTGAGTAGGTAATGGACAGTGTGATCTTCTCTTTGGGGGCCAAGGGGGTGGGGAACTTGATGTGGTAGTACTCGATAGGGCTTCGTGCGTCAGCGCATCCACAGAGATTACATGGACAAGTCGAGCTCACCTGTATGTGTCAATGCCAACGATCTCCGGGCTAGGGAAGATGGCAGCTGGCTTGTTCTTGTCCTTGACGTCCAGACCTCCAACTCTGGCGATCAGGTCCTGAGGGAAAGGCAAGTAGTAGTCCTGCTGGGGCTTCGAATCGATGTTCTCGACAACCACATTGACTGTCTCGCGAGGGTACTCCTTCTCCAGGTTGACGGTTCGTACGAGGTTGGTGTGCTGGAAGACTTGCGGAGGTTCGAAGGTGCCGCTGAGCATCTGCTTGGATACATCAGGGTTGCTGAGGTTGGCCTCGGCATTTGCAAAAGAGAGCAGCGCTGCGGCGCAGCCTGCGAGTAAACTCAGACTCCTCATAATGTTGTATGGATTGACGAGTTCCTGAGGAAGCAGAAGCATCCAGAGTCGGCGATAGCTCTCCAGCTTTGGTGGAAGCGTGGCCTCTCGCTCTCGGCCCACCTTCCCCCGACCCGCCGCGTCATCCAATCGCGACTTCCTCCAGAAGCCATCCAACCTTGTACCTCGACCTCAAGATATATTTCTATTTGTGCCGTTAGATTTTCTGGAGAGCACGTTCCGGACATTTCTTGCGCCTCGATCGCGCATTGATTCGAACAGAATCGACCAGGTCGTTCGTTCTGTCAAGTCATCCACAAATTCTGATAACAGCATTATCTCAATCACTGTTTGCTGTAAAATGTTCAGATTGCGCCAAAGTGCTCTGTCTAGCCGAACATGGCGACAGTCAATTTTGAGTCCGCAAGGTGCTCGCAAAATCTCCTCCAAGAGCCCATACTTCAGGGTCTCTGAGGAAGTTCAGCAAGCTATTCACGAAAATAGACCAGTTGTCGCACTTGAAAGCACAATCTACACTCATGGCTTTCCTTATCCAGACAATATCGCCTTGGCTTCTCAGTTGGAAAGTATTGTCAGAGCCGGCGGCGGCGTTCCTGCTACCATTGGTATCCTCGACGGTATCGCTCGTGTAGGCTTAGATGCTGAGGAAGTCGTTCGTCTCGCTGGTGCTGCTGGCAAACCTGATACACTGAAAATCTCAAGACGCGATTTGGGCTTTGCTTGCGGTATGGGCTCCCCTGGACGTCGCTATAATGGTGGCACGACTGTAGCAGGTACCATGATCCTGGCTCATCTGGCTGGCATTCAAGTCTTCGCTACAGGAGGCTTGGGTGGCGTCCATAGAGGTGCTGAAAGCACCATGGACATCTCGGCTGATCTGACCGAGCTTGGCCGCACTCCAGTCGCTGTTGTAAGCAGCGGCTGCAAGAGCTTCCTAGACATCGGACGAACCCTTGAGTATCTAGAGACTCAGGGTGTGCCTGTTGCTACCTTCGCCGACGGTCGTGATGGCAAAATAGATTTCCCTGCTTTCTGGACTAGAGAGAGTGGCATACAGAGCCCAATGGTTTTGGACAATGAGAAGACAGCTGCTGCGGTCATCCACGCACACAAGTCATTGGGTCTACAGTCTGGTCTATTGTTCGCGAATCCCATCCCGGAAGCCTTTAGCATTGCCAAAGCCGAGATGGACAAGGTAATCGATGAGGCTCTGCAGGAGGCAGCACAGGCAGGCGCTACTGGAGCTGCCAACACTCCTTTCATACTTGCCAAGATCAAAGACTTGACAGGCAAGAACAGTGTAAAGTCCAATCAAGCTCTGATTGAAAACAATGTACGAAGAGGCACTTCAGTGGCGGCCGAGCTGATGAAGCTGCAAGCCGAAACCGAGCAGCGTCAAGCTTCGTGAGTGAGTGTATTGTCAGGGCATCAAGTCACTTCGGCTGACTGTGGTAGGATGTTTCAACCAGCACCTCGCTCAAAGATAGTTGAATCAGGCTTCTCAACCCACATCCCATCTGGTGTTCTTAAGGCTGTCCCCACTCCCATCGAGTCGACCAAGACTTCGAAACCCCCATCGGTGTTCGTGGCTGGAGCACTTGCTGTTGACTTCTCGTGTGATTATGCTCCGATCTCTTCTACTGCCAGCAAAGAGCCTGCTCTGCATACATCCAACCCAGCAAAAATCAGTCAGTCGCTCGGTGGTGTAGCCCATAATGTCGCTCGCGCAGCGAACCTTGTCGGAGATCCAGTACGACTCTGCAGTTCAGTCGGCGATGACCTCTCAGGCAGGGCTGCTCTCGATGCACTTACTACCGAAGGTCTCGAAAGCACTGGCATCAAAACTCGTCAAGGCAGCAATACGGCTCAGTATGTGGCAGTCAACGATGCCAGCAAAGATCTGGTCCTCGCTATGGCCGACATGAACATTCTTGATGAGCCTGCAGCCCATCCGGGTCAACCGTCGACGTCCACCTCAACCTCAATCGATACGCTCAACGACTTCTGGCTGCCTCAGCTTCAGGAAAGCAAGCCTACACATCTAGTCCTGGACGCAAACTGGCAGCCAACATCTCTAGCACGTTGGCTCGAAGCCGCAGAGAAAATCTCTGCACACGTTGCCTTTGAGCCTGTGAGCACTGCAAAAGCGCCTAGAATCTTCCAACTACCACAGACGCCCCTGAAAACTTTCCCTAATGCATCCATACATCTGTCTACTCCCAACTCTATGGAACTATCAGCCATGTATGCAGCAGCCAGCTCGCTCGGCTTCTTCGAACGTCAGGACTGGTGGGCAGTCATTGACTCTCTGGGCATTCCGTCCACAGGCGCTCGTGTAGCAATGACCCAGGCAACAAACTCTGCTCTCGTCGATGCTGGAATCCCTCAACAGACTATCCAGCTCTTGCCTTTCATCCCTAAAATTTGTGTCAAGCTCGGCGCTGATGGTGTGCTCCTTACTCAGGTCTTACCTGCTGGTGATCCGCGCCTACAAGATCCTGCTTCTTCGCCTTACATACTTAGTCGCTGCTTTAACCTTCCTGAGAAGTCGTCTGGTGTTGGTGGCGTTTATATGCGTCTTTTCCCTGCTGCCGAAAAGGTTGATGAGAAGGATATTGTCAGTGTCAATGGTGTGGGAGATACCTTCCTTGGCACTATCGTTGCTGGTCTTGCTAAGAGAGGCAAAGATGCAAAGATTGAAGAATTGATCGATATTGCGCAGAAGGCTGCTGTCCTCACACTGAAAAGTAAGGAAGCTGTCAGCCCTGAGCTTTCGAGTTTGAGATCGCTGCTATAGTAGCATTGTATATTTGAGTTTTGCTGTAGGAATATGTACAAATCATCTAGTCGTATGTGTCTTTGCTCTGTTGCTTAATATAACTCGGCAGGGTTGTTCAAACTTCCAGATCGATATGCTTGATGTCGATACCTCTCTCTGTCTGACCCTGGCAACTCTCTTGGACTCCTCACTGGCAACTCTCGTGGACTCCTCGCTGGCAACTCTCTTGGACTCCGCACCGACATCTCCACTCCACGGACAGTTTCCATTTCATAACGCAAAAATCCATCTGCCTCTGCTCCACGAACAGTTTCTAGTTCATAACGTGGTATCCCATCTGCTTCGTGCGCTTTCAGATACGCAGGCCTCGTCATACGTATCGACGGGTCTTTTGTAATTCTGGATGAAGCACCGTCTTCGGATTCAAGGAGTTTCTGCAAAGCACGACGGCGATGACGACGCCAGAGAAGAGAGCCGACAATCAGTAGGATGAGAAGTGGGACTGCGGCACCGATGCCTGCGCCGATTCCTACACCATTCCAGTCTCGATTGGGGCCTGAAGAGTTCGATTGTGTTGTAGTGGGGTTGGCAATTACAATTGAAGGTATGCTAGCATCTGTGTTGGTCCCAAGTCGTCCAGTGGTCGGACCTGACATGGAGGTTGAGGAAGTTGATTGTAAATCTAAAGATAACGATCCAGAGGAGCTTGAAGATGCCGACGATGCATGAGATGCTGACTGTAAATCTGCCACAGTTGAAGTAGTTGTCGACGCATCGGATGCTGAATGGGAACTTGCAGCAGTTGAAGTAGTCACTGATGAACTTCTTGATGGCATGAGCGATGACGAAGACGCAGATAAAGACGAGGACGACGAAGAAGACTTGGCGAGGACGATCAAGTCAGTTGCAGCAAGCATCAAATACTGGTATTCGCAGCACTGTGGGCTATCGACAGGACAGCAGTAAGCATTATAGTCGGGTGCCTTCCTCATTCCATTCATGGCAGTACAATTGAATATTGTACTGCTCGTTATGGCTATGACTGATCAACATCTTCTCTACGGGGCTACAGTCAAGACCATAAGTGCTTACATGTGCAGAGGTCCGGGCAATGGGCAGATGTCCAGGATTTATCGGTGCAACTTGCTTGCTTCAGGTTTGCGTCCGTATCAGAACTCGAACACATACCGTTCGGTAGACAGCTTCTGTCAGGCTCGCAGCAAGGTACTGCTGAGTCATTGTCGCTAGCGAATTCTGTACATTGAATGTCGTGTGGGCATTATACCACCATTAGGATTGTAACATTGTTGCAGTGAATTATGCACCAGAGCCGATAGAATGAGAAGCGATTCCGACAAACAAGACAGTCTCATTGCGAAAGGCTTCGTGTAGTACTTTCGTCCAGGAGTCGTGAGCTCGAATCGATTTCTGGTGAAATGTTGCTGGCCCAAGAGGTAGAGAACGACCATGATTTTAATGATCCTTCGGTCTTCCATCTGCCGCAATGTTCAGAGATATGTCCCAGGCGACTATCTTGCATCGCGTCATTGGTCTACATGGCGCTTAAGCATGGTTGTCGGCGCTTGGAAATGCACAATGGTTGGCTGCAACAGTGGTCGAGTGCATGGAAACATAAAAAATTCATGGGATCTGCCGACGCCCGAGCAGTCCATGCTTCATCAGAGATATACAAGTGGTCCATGTATCGCGAGGTTTCTGTTGCGCGTTGCTCGTGGAACGGAATCGTGATCCGGAAGATGTGATCGGAAATAACGCGGATATAAAGCAATCGATTCAAAATGCACACCTCGCGACATGTCAATCTCAGCAACTTATCACATCAATGTGTGAAGATGACTTACCATGACTTCGGAGCGGACGACCTTGAACGATCTGAATGGTCAAAAACAGAATCGAGCTTGTCAAGCATGTCGTGCCTCGAAAGTCCGCTGTAGAAGACCAGACGATGATTCGTCGTGTGCACGTTGTAGCAAGTCGGGCAGGCCATGCGTGCCTTCTGAAGATTCAAACAAAAGGCAGAAGCGAGTTGATACCAGATCTGTCGACGACATTGAGGCGAGACTGAACGTGTTGACCGATATCTTGCAAGATCGAGGGGTAAATACTTCTGCGACTCTGGCCAGCACTGCGGAAAGAACGACTGAGCTGGGTCCACACCAAGCGACTGCTCTCTCGGGTGCGAATAGAACCACTAACCCCCTTAACTCACCTCGAATTGAGCTATCAGCTGCTCAGGTTGAGCCATCAATCTGCGACATTATTGATGACGAGACGACAACCATGATCTTCGAACATTTCAGGGCAAACATGCTGCACCACTTTCCGTTCGTGGCATTTCCTTCGGATGTAGATATAGCAGAAATTCGACGGGCTGCGCCGATCCTGGTTCTCGCTATCCTAGATGCCGCCGGCGATGGTTACTATGATATGGAAACTTCACGTACACTTCGGAGACGCCTCACACAGTTTTACTCTGCCTGTTTGCTAAGAAATGGCGCGGATGGTATTATCATGCTACAAGCTTTGATCATCTCAGCATTGTGGAACAGAGATCTTGAGCCCCAGCAAGCTGGTGCAGAGCTGGACGTTTTTCAGTTATGTCGAGCAGCCGCGAATATGGCCATGGAGATGGGCTTAGAGGCTCGTCTGCGGAATTGGTCGTGGAGCAAGTCATTGCCAATCCAATCAGATCGCCTTCGCGATGCGACTAGCGAGTATCAGTTTTCTACTCTGGAAGTAAGGAGATTGTGGTTGGCATGCTACTATATTTGCTCGAGGTACTTGTTATTACATGTCCTGCAGAAGCCACATGCTAATTTGGAGCAGTGCATCATTGGCTATACAGGCTCAAAACCTGATGTCTTGGAAAAGACAGATGGATGAATGCCTAGAAGTATTGAGCACATCGCCTGCCGCTCTCGCTTCAGATAAGTTGCTGTGTGCTCACGTCAAGTTGCAACACATGCTCGAGGAATTTGAAGCACAGTTGTCTCCAGATCTTGGCCCTACGGCTCTCAAAATCACTCGACGGGTTGCGAAGCGTCAACTTGCAGAGTGGGCCACCATGCTACCCACGTGGAACGGTATCTCGCGCACTATCCAACAATGAGGCAGTATGCTGATATGACCAGATTCTCTCGAATCATCCCAACACTTCGTAACTCTTTACATCCACGAGCTAGCAATGGCCACGGCTCCATTGGTCGATTACGCTGCCGAACATGGTGGAGTTGCGGTTACTATCGGCGAATCCGACTTTACAGATTGTCTTACAGCCACGCACAACTCACTAGACTCCTTTTTGTCCCTTGATATGCCTCTCATACGTACTCTTCCAACATCATTCTTCGTTCAGGTCACGCATACAGCAATTTTACTCGTCAAACTTCACTTTACGGCAGCACGACTTTCGAATCAAGCAGATGCCGCACAGAAGATTCTGGATACTAGGGCCGGTACCTATCTGGAACGCTTGTTGGCGAAGTGCAGCGGTTGGGGTACGCTCTGGCCTGCTCAAAAGCTTGTGGAGACGCTGCGCAGACTTCGAAAGCTGTTACGGCGATGTGGTGACCAGACGCTTGCTTCCGAGCTGGCCTGGCTCAATGCGTGGACTTTGGAAGAGGTGCCGAACTCTGAGTTATCCAATCATCTCGAAGTGGTGCCAGAGCAATTTGAGTACGGTGAGAAAGATACGGCTATATCACAAAGTCTTGGGAATGTAGAGAGAGCAACGCTGTCTACCTTGGATGAAGGTGCAGTGGCATGGTCAGTGTCACGTCCACTCAGCGACATGCAGAGTGTCACGCAGCCTACACTACCCTCCGCCAGCCTGGACGCCACTCAACTGATTGATTGGTTCGGGACGGATCTCAACACGAGTACGTTCGATTTTGACGGCAATCTACAGTCTATGGTACACTTCTTCAATCAATAATGAGATCCCTAGGAGAAAGTCTTGTGCCAGAATCTACTGTCCTCCAGCGGGAGCACCACACTCAAGAGCATCAAAACCTCGAAGACCTTGAGGGCAAGCGTGGCGCACAGAACGGCTAAGAACATCGGTAGTGTGCTCCCATATCTTGTGAGCCATACCTTGTGCCCTCAGACTTTGCATCTTCTTTCCCGCCGCAATCGTCTCGCCCTTCCAATTCATCAGATATGCACCACTGCCAAGCACTCCTCCAGAGCCCACAGCTCTTTCCGATTCATGTTGGACATTCATGTCTCCGGGACTTTCGAGTTTGTTGGCAGCATAGCGATCTGATGTCGCATGGAAAAGATGACGCTGACCACTTTCATCGATGTTGACCGAGAATGGATACATCAGTGGCCACATGCCATAGTTGTATACTGCAGCCAATGGTGGAGGGAAACTGTTGGTATAAATATTGGTGCCAACCAAGCCGGGATAGACATGTACAAAAGAGGCACGATGTGAGGCGGCCAGATGCTCCATGGCCAGCGAGGTCATTGTAACAGAATGCATAGCACAGCTGACGATATTGTAGTTGTGCTTCAAGTCGAGATCTTTGGCATTGATGTTGCCCTCGAAGCCACCACCCAAGACACTGACGACACGGCCTGGCTGAGGTTCTGCAGCCTCTAGCAGTGGAAGTAGGTTTTGGGTAAAGCGCATACGAGCATAGTAACGTAGAGCGAACAGCTTGTCGATGCCCTCACTTGTTTCCCGGCGTCCGACCAGCGACAGTCCACCTGGAGTCATGAAAAGCAGGTCTAGTGCCTGCTCTTGTTGCTTGATGCTCTCGCAAGCCTTGTCGACGTTGCTGATGAGTGATACATCGGCCTCGATGAAGTTGAAAGAGCCGAGAGGATTGATATCGTTGAGCTCTTTCAAAAGTTGCTCAGCGTTGCTTTCGCTACGTCCAACGATGTAGGCCTTCGGAGCTCGAGTGTTGAAAGCAAGTTGACGTAGGGTACTTCGGCCAATGCCACTGGTCCCGCCCACGAAGAGGGCCACAGGGCTAGGTAATCTGGATTTCAAGCCACTATTGGCTTTGCGGACGAGGTCAAGGCTGACCATGTTGATATGATTTCGTATGAAGGAACTTCTTCAAGTTTTGGAAAAGAGCACAAGGATTGTTGAGAGAGAAGGATTGACTTGATTGTGCAGAATTGTTATGACAGGAGTGGATGGGAAGCAACCAAGGAGGACCGACGGCTCTTGCTTTATATGGTACAAACGCCAGCGGTAAAGCACTAGCGTTGGATCAGTAAGCACCGAGGGAGCAATCCTTCCTTGCCAGATCGTCTGCACACATCTCTGAAGAGCAACGACTTGAGGGATGATGGCTTCAAGGCGTTCTGTGTTCATGAAGAAAGAAATACCTACAAAAGTCTCATACCGCTAGACTACAAGCATACAGTATCTTGATACGGCTCTCGAACAAGAGCACTGTCGCGTCCAGGGATCATGTTCCAATTCTGAGTTGTCAGTAGCATTGAAGCATCCGTCCAAATTGATGCTGAGATAGAGGATCCCGTAGGATCATGTAGGATCGCGAGGATGCCGATGGATGCCGACGGATCATGCTTGGCACCGAGATCACCGAGGGAGCAGACCGAGACGTCCGCCATCTTTGTTACTTTTATCTTTAATCATGCTGGAAAGATGTTTCGTTCATTGATCTCCGTTCTGTGCCTCTGATTGTAGGCAGGAAGAGTATAGTCGCTTCTAGAATGGCAACTCGCAATAAGCTATATACATACAAGGTAAATAGAATCCCCTAACACACCATGACATTTGATCAGCTGATAGCGGATTTGTCAAATAGGGTGGCCCGAGATCAATTGGTATACTTGCTGTGGCTCATGCTGTCGGTTTTGACATCGAGGTCGTGGAAACGAATCCACAAGATGGACTTTCTGAAGAGTATCTGAAACTGAATAGACTGGGCAAGACGCCCACTTTCGTAAGCTCAGATGGCACAGTTCTGACAGAGTGTATGGCAATCGCGTTACACGGTATGAGTCGTCCCAGACCTTTTCCGCTCGCAAGTTTCCTCGAGGGTGCTGACAAAGATCATCCAGTGGCAAGTCAAGATCCCGAATCAAGGATGCTCGGATCTGGCCACATGGACTTTATCAAAGTTGTCAGCTGGATGTCACTTTGCAACAGCGACGTGGTCAAAAGAATGGGCGCCTGGATCTTGCCATTGCTTGGTGTGGCGCCTTATGCTCCAGAGGGCGTGGAAATGGCGGAGCAGCAGACTGCTCAAGCTATGCAGATCTTTGAAGATCATCTCCAAGACAAGAGGTTCCTAGTCGCAGATCGCTTGACCTTGGCCGATTTGTTCTGCGCTGGGCTGGTCAGTTTCGGCTTCGCAAAGGTCTTTGACAAGGCTTGGAGAGCTCGATTCCCTTGCTTCACGGCCTGGTACGAGATGATAACAGCCTTGGAGATGTACCGAGCAGTTGTTCCCCATACTGTCATAATAGAAACTGCTCTGGGACCACCGCATCCATCGATGAGAAGCAACTATACTGCAGACGACTAATCAAGGACAGCCGCGGTCGTCGGACTATGTGATACATCTTCGAATGGGGCGGCTATGAGTCGGGTACTGCTGCATTTAACAAGACACCCCTGGAGAGTCTCATCCGTCCTTTCGAAAGTCTGACGTCTGAGATGGCTTACTCGAACCGGGAAGTAGCACGCTCAATCGAGCGCAGGCTCGTCTCGATGCCGACGAACTTAATGAGAGCAATGACTGTGATTTGGTGACTTTGCAGTTTCACGTCGGTATATGTTGTTCTAAGTATTCACACTACCACCAGCATTGCGACATCTTTTCTCGGCTTCATGTGCGTTCCTCGCACTACTCCGACTAAACCCAGTACCACAAATTGAACATTTCAGCTTTGTGCTACCTCCACGCTTCTCTCGTTGATGTCTAGCAAGGTTACTGTTGTTTGAGAAAGTACGACCATTACAGCATGAGTCCCAGCAGCGAGGGAGCTCAGCCGCACCTCGATCGTTCAAATTGAGCGGTGGACCGAAAGAAGCAGATGATTGTTGTGGATTCTGGACCGGTCTCCCTGGTATGTTCTCTGGTTGCCTTGCAAGTGAATCAGTATAGCAGACTTGTTTTGATACAGAGTTGAGAAAGGATACTGTGATCGTCTTGTCTCGTCAAGTTCTTGTTGTAGCTTGCGAATTTCTGCTAGTATGGCAGCATTCGATGGTTCTCCCTGTCCCACTGAGTGCCGCACGACTTGTACTGCTGAGGTATCGTGTAGCTCGGTCTCTGGGTCGAACGACTTTGCATTGGGTGTGCTTTCATGGTCATAAAAGAAAACCCACGATTCGCTGCGCCAAGTTAGTTGCATGGCACTACGTAAGCTAGTCATTCTTTTGTCTCACCCATATGTGTGACCCATGCGACGTGGAGATCTGTAGATGTCTCGAGAAACAATACAGGTTGTTGAAGTCGTGGTCGTTCAATTCAGGGTCTAACATAGAAGCGAAGGATCGATAGTTGCTACTGGTGTGACCCTGGTATGAACTCTGCCGTGACAATACATCGTCTGTATCGTTGTTAACACCATCTGAAGAAGTCTACAAACTTACATATTGATGTTTCCAACAGTTTGCATAAGCTATTTCTCGTCAATCGTTTATACGGGCATGATAGCGGTTGCTTGGTACACCCAAAGAGGACAACAAGCACTACGCTGAGCATTATCAATGTTTCCGCAGCACGTTCACGGGTCCAACCCACTCTCGAGTCAGCCAAGCAGCACATCCTAGCTGAGGCTACCGTAACCAAGAACATCCGTCTCAACATCGCGAATGACCGAGCATGGGATGCTAGCTGAATGTCCGACGCCCGTGATCGGCAGAGGCTCCTTCTGACAGATGCGAAGGAGGAGCAGAGCCAGGGCATAGATTAACTGAGCCGCAGACTGCCACTCTCGATGCGACACGACATCTGCTCCGCTCTGGGGCATCGGTAAGGCAGCCGTAAGCGATGTCCAATATCACAAGCTGGCGATACACAACTCCGCCTGATGCAAGGCCGAACAGATCGAAGTGTAAGTGAACGTCGAACCGGGTCATTGGTGACGATCGAGCGTCTTGATGGACGGCAAGGTTGTCGCTCCTACATGGCGAAACCACCGACAACATCCTGCAAGCTGTTTCTCTTTCCCATTCTGAACAACTTTTGAATGTCCAATCTTCCTCGAATACTGACATGGTGTCTCAACGCCATTTTGCCGAATCGCAGTGAAGAGCTTGCATTTAAGAACGGTCAGCCCTGGCTTGGTTCTCGTCCAACATCGTCCCGCGAGAGGTACAATGGTACTTTGATGTATATCGCCGAGGACGAGGCGAGCTGAGTAGTGGAAACAGACTAGAGGTCGTTGTCAGTTAATCAAAGGCAAAAATTCTTTCAAGTCTTCTGTGCCTGTCGTTGAGACTCCACAAGGTGCAAGTATCGAGCTAGAGGTTGTTTCCTCCCCACTCGCCGGCTCGCCATGTGGTAAGGTGTGGACGTCTGTCCGTGCTGCAATTGCGAATAATGCATATTGGTGGCTGATTGAGGCTTGTTTTTATGGTCCTCGGCGCCTGTAGCCCGGACCTTGTGTGATGTGGTGGAGACACTTGGGCAAGTCTTTTCTTCAAGGTTCAAAAAAGAAAAGCTCATTGAAATCTGTCATGCCGCCAACACATGGTTTTGGGGACCCGAAGATGCATCGCATGCAGACATCCAGACTCCGTAACCTGAAGCAGGGTGAATGAACGATTTGCAATGCATGCGTGTTGTCTGATGGGCGAGAAGCTGGAGAAGAGGTCAATTGTTGAGACCGCTTGAATGGGCTGCTTGCCCCTGTCAATCATTTCGGCTCCTGGAGAAGGTTGTCGGTCCAGTCCGCAACCTGAAACAGATGGCTTCGCGACTTTCTTGGCCGATCTTCCGGGAATCGGACTGTGAACGGTGGGCGTTTTGTTTCACACTCCTCCATCGTTAATTCAAGCACATGTGAAAGAGCTTGTCGCCTTCAACTGGCAAGGCATCTTGAAACGTCCTGACTATCACACATGGGCAACGGGATACCAGCTCCAAGTTGTAGGCGCCATACACAAGCTTTCCCATATGTACCGGCAGCACGTTACAGAGTGATCCGTGCAAGCCCCATATCAGCCTCCAGCGAATGGCGTCTGTGTGCCCCTTGATCTTCTAGACCGATGTGACGGCCGTCCCAGCTGTACGCGGCTCGATTTTCCTTCTGCAGTACACCGAAGCAACGGGTACCTGATTGCGCGGTCCCTTTACCCCTTGGGAAGGCTTTGTTGTAACTTCTGCCGTCATGCATGTGAAGACGGAAGTGACGAGAGCACGGGTCTAAGTGAAGCGTTTGTCGCAATGCGCATGTTGTGAAAGTAAACGAATATTCCGCCAGGTGCGCATTTATAAAAGTATCTGCGCAGCCGCACCTTGTCCTCGACCTTCTCTTCTTCAACCACATCCACCTTACCATCCACTCTCTTTCAAGAGCATTCGCTCGTTTCGTTCTCTCGTCTGTACAGACATCACTCTCTTTCTTTCAGCAACCCTTAAGCCCTGGTAGGCTTTTGTCCAAGGCGCTCTAGCAGCAGCACTTTTCTACACTCTTCCAAACACAGCAAGATCTTCACGCTTCTCTATCTTTCTCATCACTACTCTTGAAAAGATGTCTTCCGTCAACACCAAGTTCGCCGTTCTGGCCCTTGCTGGCTCTGCCATTGCTGTCCCCAGCTTCGGCCACGGAAAGCATCACGGCAAGCACCATCACCACAACAAGCACTTCTTCGGCTCTTCTGGCATCGCTACTGGCACTGGTGCTCCCTATGGCATGGCCAACGCTACTGGAATCTGGGGCACTGGCACTACTGCCTCGACTGGTTTCCCTTCTGGTCATTCTTTCGTCCACCCTTCTGCTGTCGGCCCTCACACTGCTTCTCCTGAGGTCGCTGCTGTTGACACTAGCACCTGCACTGACTCTGTTGTGAGCGTCACTCACACCAACCGTGTTACTGTCACTGTTCACGCATCTTCTGCCGAGGCTGCTCCTGTCCAGACCACTTTCAGCACCAAGGCCTACAGCAGACCTGCTGAGTACAACAGCAGTACCATGGCTTTCAGCAGCTCTGTTGCGCTCAGCAGCTCTGTGGTTGTTGAAAGCTCCTCTGCTACTGCCAGCAGCTCTGCAATCTCGCTTGACCTTGACCTCCAGAACAAGGGTCACCTCCAGAACAAGGGTCGCCCCTGGACTCGCACTTCCGCTGCCGCCGCCTCGACTTCCGCTGCTCAGTCGACTAGCACAACCAGCACCACTTCTGTTGTGCCCACCTCGACCAGGGCCAGCACTACCTCCAGCATCGTCGTTGCTCCCACTTCTGCCGTTGCTGTCAGCAGCTCGTCTGCTCAGGCTTCCTCGACCTCAGCTCCTCGCAGCACTGGCAACGGAAAGCGTGGTCTCGCTTACAACACTGCTTCTCTGCTCACCTGCTTCGAGAACAACGAGCAAGTCACCTGGGCCTACAACTGGGATTCTGCAAGCGACGGCTTGACTAGTGCTTTCAACTACGTTCCTCAGCTCTGGGGCACCACTAACGGCCACACCACCAACTGGAACTCGAACGCCAACACCGCCATTGCTAACGGTGCGACTCACTTGATGTCTTTCAACGAGCCTGACCTGGCTTCCCAAGCCAACATGTCTCCTGGAGACGCTGCTGCTGCTTACAAGACATGGATGATGCCCTTCGCTGGCAAGGCCAAGCTCGGCGCCCCTGCTGTTACCAACGGCGCAGATGGCACTGGTCTTGACTGGCTCGCTGCCTTCCTCGAGGCTTGCGATGGCTGCCAGATCGACTTCGTCGCCATCCACTGGTACGCTGATGTCTCGCTCACTGACTACTTCAAGTCTCACGTCCAAAACGCCACTGATGTTGCTGGCGGCAAGCCCGTTTGGGTTACTGAGTTCGCCCCTACTGGCGCTTCAGACGCCCAGATTGCTACTTTCCTCGAGGATGTCATGCCCTGGATGGACAGCCAGTCGTATGTTGAGCGTTACAGCTACTTCATGGCTAGCGATGGTGCTCTCCTCAGCGGCACTGAACCTTCAACTTTCGGCCAGACTTACGCCACCTACTCTTCTTAAGTGCACCAGTCATTGATTGACTGCTTCAACAAATGTGAATCACGAATGGGAAATGGGATATGGTGTGGTATTCGGACAGGAAAATGGGATGATCGGATGGTCATCAGGCAATGAATTCGCACGACTAGACAGGGCAAGGACTGGTTTCTGCTTGACAAGGAATATGGATAAGGTGGGATAAAGAAACATCGCAGAAAATGCAAGTCAAATCAAAATTCTGTGATAAAAACCGACATGTGCAAGTTGAAATCTTGAATTGGTGTATAGGCGTGCAATGCTTGCAATATAAAGGATGTCACCGGCTGGCTGTGGTTGTCTTGATGACGCTTGGGGACGTTCAAGAGTGGAGAGGGACAGCAAGGCGGCCTTGACTGGAACACGTGCGAGCGCTGATTGGCTACTGGCACGAGCAGCTCGAGGGGATCAATTTATCGCTACAAAGACGCATCGCGCATTTTGTCTACGATTTTTTTCAATTGAGCGACTGTCATCCCGGTTCTGCAAGGGAGTTGTACTACCAGACAGAGGCATTGTTCTCCGACCGCAAATTTGCTGCAAGGAAGCGCGCGACAAGAGACAATCATGAAGTGCGTAACACACGACGGCTGCCAGCACGCCCCACTCGACGCAATCAATAGCTAACTCAGCTCGACAGGTTCGGCCAGCAGCTGCAGAGCTCCTTGATCAAGGACTGGTACTACTACTACATCTCCTACGACGAGCTCAAGAGACTTCTCCAGCCCGAACTCCAGTCAAAGTCTACCGCCGAGAACCCCAACGCTCCCTCCAAGAAATGGACCGACGAACACGAAACTCGCTTCTACCGTGAGCTTGAGGCCGAGCTGGACAAGGTCTCGAACTTCCAGCAGGTCAAGAGTGGCGAGATCCAGCGTCGCATCAAGATCAGTGAGCGCGAGGTCACAGAGGTCATCTCCCGCGCAAAGGCCGCTCTAGAACAACGCGAGAATGATCAGTCGAATACAGAGGTCCCTAGCGAGGAGGACTTTGCAATGCTCGAGGAGGATCTGTCCGACATCATTGCCGATGTGCACGACCTGGCCAAGTTCACCCAGCTCAACTACACTGGCTTCCAGAAGATCATCAAGAAGCACGACAAGCTCTACCCTGACCAGCAATTGAAGCCCCTCTTTGCTGCTCGCCTCAATGCAAAGCCCTTCTTCAAGGACAACTACGACGCTTCCATTGTCCGTTTGTCCCAGCTCTACGACCAAGTCCGCACCCGCGGCAACCCAACCAAGGGTGACTCCGCCGCTGGTGGAAGCCAACAAAACTTCATCCGTCAGACCACAAAGTACTGGGTACATCCCGACAACATCACCGAGCTCAAGCTCATCATCCTCAAGCACTTGCCCGTGCTCGTCTTCAACCCCAGCAAGGAGTTTGAGATCAAGGATTCGGCCATCTCCTCCATCTACTACGACAACACAGATACTTGGGAGCTGTACGAAGGCCGTCTCAAAAAGACCGAGGGCGCAGAAGCTATTCGCCTGAGATGGTATGGCGACATGGACGTTGACACCATCTTCGTCGAGCGCAAGACCCACAGAGAAGATTGGACTGGAGAGAAGTCAGTCAAGGCCCGTTTCGCACTCAAGGAGAAGAACGTCAACGCTTTCATGCGTGGAGACTACACTGTTGAACAAGCTTTCGAGAAGATGCGCCGCGATGGCAAGAAGAGCGAGAAGGAGATCGCCGACCTCGAGCAACTTGCCAGAGAGATTCAATATCGTGTCATCACCCGCAAGCTGCAACCCGTCACCCGCTCTTTCTACAACCGCACCGCCTTCCAGCTGCCTGGCGATGCCCGAGTTCGTATCTCGCTCGATACTGAGTTGACCATGACTCGCGAAGACAACCTTGATGGACGCGATCGTGCCGGCAAGAACTGGCGCCGTATGGACATTGGTATCGACTGGCCCTTCAGTCAACTACCCCCTGAAGATGTCGAGCGCTTCCCCTACGCTGTCCTTGAGGTCAAGCTGCAAACACAGGCCGGCCAACAGCCTCCCGAGTGGATTCGTGAGCTTGTCGCATCTCACTTGGTCGAAGCCGTGCCCAAGTTCTCCAAGTTCATTCACGGTACTGCAAAACTCAACCCTTCCCGTATCGATTTGCTGCCCTTCTGGATGCCTCAGATGGATGTCGATATCCGCAAGCCTGTCTCGCATCGTTTCGGTATTGAACGTCCTGGCCAAAGCACAGACATTTCTACCAGCGGGCACATGGACGATGACACTGATGATGAGATGGAAGATGCTGCCAATCTGCCCAACGGTGACGATGAGAACTACCGCCGTCTGCGCGCCGCTAGGGATGCTCTTGAGCAGCATGAGGTCGCTCAACGCATGGATTACGGCACCACTAACGGCGGCGCTGACCCCAACTCGCTGGACGAGGAAGAGCGTCTGGCCGCCAGACCTATCACTGACGACGATGACTATCCTCTGTATGACAGTGACGATGAGGATGATGACCTTGAGGAAGCAAAGCGTATTGGCGGCTGGACATATCGTCGCAAGCTGATGACACACTATGCCGAAAAGGTCGGCGACAAGCTGGCAAGCGCTTTCAGACTTGCTGCACCCGTGCCCAAGCCTACTCCTATGCCTTCAAATGGCAACGCCTCTATGGGTATCCCGAACGCCAGAAACAATGATCAGGTCCGCGAGAAGCGTTATAAGGCCCCTAAGGGTAAGAAGATTCACGTACCAGTGCGTGTCGAGCCCAAGGTCTTCTTCGCAGCTGAGCGCACATTCTTGTCATGGGTAAGCACTATCGGCAATGTTCTCCTTCTCTTACTCCCTACTAACGTTCATCGCAGCTCGAGTTCAGCATCATCATTGGCAGTATCGCCGCTACTTTGCTCAACTTCGGTGACACCGCCGCCTTGGCTTCTGCCTGGGCCTTCACCATTGTCGCCTTGTTCGCCATCTGCTACAGCATGGGACTATATCTCTACCGTGTGCAATCTATCCGCAGCCGTCGCGCCATCACCTACCACGATAAGTGGGGTCCTAGCGCCTTGTGCGTTCTTCTGTTCGCTGCTGTGACCGTCACATTTGTCTACAGATTCACACACGAAAGCAAAGGTGGTCTCAAGGGCGATCTCAAGGGTCGCCTCAACGAGTAAACCACTTTAAGGAGGGAGGAATTTGAAGCTGTGTATAAAGTGCATTTTTGTTGTTCATATATTCTATAGACTGTATACCCGTGTCGCGAGGCCTAAATAGCGGTATGTAATTTTACTTTGTATCTAGCGCTGACGTTTGTTCACAAGTCCTGGCCGTTCTTTCCTTGTGTGGTGCGATATCTTTGAAGTAGCAATTCTTCAGTCCATGCATGACCCATCTGCGAAAGTTGGTCTGTTGGTAGATGACATTCTGCCAGGGCCCACTCCGTGCAGCTCCGCCTGCGCAAACTTGACTTTTTCGTTGCTCTCTCACTTCGACATTCTGAGCATGATCTTGTCTTCTCTTGGCGTGGAACACATCGCATCGTCGTCTTCGTGTCTCAGGATCTGTTGACCAACCCGACCGCAATTTCCATGAAGAGGAAGAAAAGAGCCGTAAAAGGTTGTTATGGGGCCAGAGATGTAGAATTGTAGGAAGGACCGCAAGCCTTACAGTGGCGAGCATGTTGCCCGATAGGAAGAGATTCCTCAAGCTATCGAGAACATAATCATCAAGATACACAGGATGTGGTTCGTGGAGAGAGCAAAGGTCGATGCAATATTATGGTCAGTTCATTTGTCCACATGCCAAGGGGTTGCCTTCCGCAACAATATTTCCGACCCTTTTCCTATCTCAATTTGTACAAGGACGAATTCGGCACGATCACAAGACATCTGAACTGCAGAAAGAATGCCGAATGGGGCCTCAAAACATTTGGGTATCATTCGAAATATTGACAATCGTGTTCTCGGCCAAATTCTGTCTAGAAAGCGTGACCCAACGAACCGAGACCGTTCTTGAAAAAGTCGTCCCTCTTCACTTCGAACGCAGCATCCACCTTGAGACTAGCAACCAGCGAAGCTCCTGCCCAAGCACCCAATGTCTGAACTCCTCGCACCTCGCCTTGTATTGTGACGCCGCGCTTCTGCACTTCACGCTGTAGCTTTTCGGCGACCTCATCGCGTTCTTGCGGCGCATTGCGAGCTAGGGGCTGTTCATCGGCAGGAGCCGCGACTTCGCCATTGGCATCAGGTTGCTTGGTTCTCGTTGGTAGCGTCATTGTCTGCTGCTGTGCTGATTTTTGTCTCTTCTCTGTAGCAGAGCCATAGTTCATGACCGGGTCCCACCCTTTAGCGTTGACTATGTTTTCAATTTCTCGTAATAGACGAGATTTCAAGCCCGGTATCTCGCTCACACCACCAGTAATGAGGATGCGCGACACACAGATAGCCCGGACGTCTAGTGGAAGCGATAGCAAGCACTTGTATGCCAGAAGATGTATCGGAAGATCATGATCGTCGATCTGCTCGAGTGGAACAGGTGTTGAGAAGAAGGTTTCCTCAGCTGGGTCCGCCAGACGATCGAATGGGACTTGCGCTGATGAGGCGCCAAGGGGAAGAGCCACATTGTTACCAAATTGCTGATCGTGTGAGCTGCGACACCATGCCATACGCGTTACCACATCTTCAGCAGTATCAAAAGAGAGAGGATCCGAAGTAGGAATGCGCTTGCGGAGAGTGTCGGCCATGTTTCGAGTAAGCAGTTTACCTGCGCGAGATGACCTTCTGTGGAGGACCTCGCGATACTCATAGAGAGCGGTAATCGTGGTTTCGTGCCATCCGATATCAACGATCAAGGCAGAGCGCAAACCGGCCGAGACAGCACACAGTAGAGGCGGTGTCCATAATTGAACAGTGGCAGGTTGAAAGGCATTGAAGACGACATTCAGAGTGAGAGAAACGAGCGGATGAGGCAAGGCTGAGGGAAGGACAAGAAAGACCTTCCGAGGCCGTTGATCCAGCATGAGGTAATTGGTGTGGGCATTTCGGATAGCACGTTCGATCTTGTCCTCGATCAGACCGAGATTCATATCCCGAATATCCAAATCCCATAGTTCCCAATCTTTTGCCCAATCATTCTCAGAGCGCTGTGTGGTGGATGTGGTGGTAAAGTCGTTGAGGCGCCTTAGTTGGTCAGGGCCAAAAGGGATGATGCATCTCGGAGCGGAGTCGCCAGCGAATCCAGCACGAAATGATCGAGAGCCAAGTTCGTAGACCAGAGTGTCTTCCTCAGCACGATAAGAAGCACCAGGCGAGGTGAGTTGGCTCGAGAGGGAGCGGGTCAACAGTGGAGTGTGCGGTGAAGCTGGGGTAGTGGCTCCAGGAGCACCCAGGCCTGAGCGAGAGCGATTGTACGACGGCTTGCGCGCAAAGTAGTCGGGAGCGGCCATGAGGAAACGAGTGTGGACAGAGGACGAGCCTCGCCAGGAAGATTATCAGAATTGAACAATCATGGTTGTATGCTGAAGCTGTTTGTCGACTTGTGCTTGGGCACACGCTGAAGCTCGCGCGCTAGCCGGCTCGACCAGAAGCCGAAGAAAAGCCGCCGAAATTTTTGGCTCTCGACAAGAAACCTGCACCGACGCTGAAGTCTTGTCTTGCGTTCTGCAGAGAAAAAAGGTCGTCGAGCCCACCACCTACAGTGTCGCGTCTATTCTTGTTCAGCGACCCTCGACTTTCCTTTACCACGACCCCAGACACTCCGCCGACAAGATGACTCTTTTCATCCTCACAGAAACCTCGGCCGGTTATGCGCTGCTCAAGTCCAAGGACAAGAAGCTCTTGAAGCGCACCGACATTCACGAGGAGGCTGCTACCGCTGAGGGCGCCGCTGGCCTGTACGATTCGCACGCGCTGTCTCGCTCTATCCTAAACTAATCTCGATTCTCCAGGCTCAAGCTCAAGCAGTTCCAGAAGTTCGACAGCGCCGCCGCTGCCCTCGAAGAGGCTGCCGCTCTTACCGATGGCAAGGTCACTCCCATGCTCGCCTCGCTGCTCGACACCCTCAAGGACGAGAAGAAGGTCCAGCTCGCCGTTGCCGACCCCAAGCTCGGTCAATCCATCAGCAAGCTCCCCAAGCTTGACATTGAGTGCATCGCCGATTCCTCCACCACCGACGTCTACCGTGCCATCCGTGAGCACCTGCCTTCGCTCATTCCCGGTCTTATGCCCGACGATATCTCTACCATGTCTCTCGGTCTGTCGCACTCGCTCTCGCGCCACAAGCTCAAGTTCTCCCCCGACAAGGTCGACACCATGATCATCCAGGCCATTGCCCTGCTCGACGACCTGGACAAGGAATTGAACACCTACGCTATGCGTGTCAAGGAATGGTACGGCTGGCACTTCCCCGAGATGGCCAAGATTATCAACGACAACCTCGCTTTCGCTCGCGTTATTCTGGCCATGGGTGTCCGTACTAACGCTGCCACCACCGACCTTTCCGATGTTCTTCCCGAGGAGATTGAGGGCGCCGTCAAGGCCGCCGCTGAGGTTTCCATGGGTACTGAGATCACCGAGGAGGATTTGGACAACATTCAGGCTCTTGCTGAGCAGGTTGTTGGCTTCACCGAGTACAGACAACAGCTCTCATCTTACCTCACTGCCCGTATGCAGGCCATTGCCCCTAACCTTACTGCTCTCGTCGGTGAGCTTGTTGGTGCCCGTCTGATCGCTCACTCTGGTTCCCTCCTCAACTTGGCCAAGTCTCCTGCTTCGACCATCCAGATCCTCGGTGCCGAGAAGGCTCTGTTCAGAGCTCTTAAGACCAAGCACGACACACCCAAGTACGGTCTTATCTACCACGCTTCCCTGATCGGTCAGGCAACTGGCAAGAACAAGGGTAAGATTGCTCGCATGCTCGCTACCAAGGCCGCTCTTGGTCTGCGTGTTGACGCTCTCTCCGACTGGGGAACTTCTGGTGAGGGTGACAAGCCTGAGCCTACCGAGGAGGAGAAGATGGCTGTTGGTGTCCAGGGCAGACTTCTGGTTGAGAGAAGATTGAGAGGTCTCGAGGGCAAGCCCATCCGCAGCACCGGTACCGGTGTTGCACCCAACGGCCAAGCTCAGCCTGCCAAGTGGGAGGTCAAGGAGGCCCGCAAGTACAACGCCGATGCCGACGGCATCTCCGCCAACGCCCCTGCCGCCAACGAGGACGCCGAGATGGAGGATGCCACTGAGGCTGGTGCCGAGGCCTCCAGCGACGAGGAAGAGATGACTAAGGAGCAGAAGAAGGCAGCAAAGGCAGCAAAGAAGGCCGCAAAGGAGGCAAAGAAGGCTGAAAAGGAAGCCAAGAAGGCCTCCGAGAAGTCGTCCAAGAAGAGAAAGGCCGACGACGACGAGGACAAGACAGAAAAGAAGAAGAAGAAGAAGAGCAAGGACTAGACGGCTAGTACGCTCTGATGTCTTCTTTTTTTCTGTTGCCATTTATGTTTGCATGTGGGTGCCATCATCATGGTTGGAGTACCGGAGTCGCTGGTCGTGGGGTCTAAAAGAGCGGTTTCTTGATTTTGTTCCTGTCCAAAGAGTTCTTTGGTTTCTTTCGTACGAGAATGGCGGAGGCGTTTCTACATATTACTTGATCGAACCGATAACCTCTGTACAAGCTGTATCATTATGCTCCCTGCAAATGATACGACGTTATTCTTCATGTCGTTGTTCTACTTCTCCTTTGCAGTGACCAGGATGACGAGAGTGTGATTGTTCTGGGTCAAGACTTCGTCATGAGCTCCTTCCTGTGATACGCTGCATGCACCGGAGCATCGAATCTCATGCTGCTCTGGCACATAGCTTCAGGGCGTGTTTCCGGAAGTCCATGAAGCAAAACTTTGTTCGTCTTTCCAGACTGCCTGTCCACAAACTCTCCGAAGTCATGAGCCTTGTTCTCCTCCGCCAATCAGTCCCGGATATGTACTGTCAGTGACTCCGGCCTGGCCTCTTATCATGACTTGTCAGGAACGCGCAAGCGGAGATGCGCATGCGACAAGGGATCTGTCCAAGACATGCTTGTAACTTGCTAGTTGCGGACAACACAACAACACAAATCATTCCACGGCACGAGCGAGTGTTCATCACTCGTACTACTGAGGCTTGAATCGATGACTGACCGCATGTCCATCGCCGTCTGACCCGTGACACGCAACCTATTCCCCCTTTGGTTCCTGGATTCGGCAGAGAACGTGGGCAAAAAGCCCATTGTGACACGACATGTATCCCCTTCAGTCCTTCGGCGGCACGGCTTGCACACGATATTTCAAATCCAAGATATCAGCTTTCCTCATCCCGACTCCGACTCTCTGATTTGACTCCTTTCACCCAACAAAGCAATCTTAGCGATGTTTTGATTGGTTAGACGACACCCTCACTCAGTCCGGTCAGGTCACTTGTTCTTACCAAATGCCATCGTTAGCTAAATCAGTGGCATGGTGGCGTCAGCCCCCTAGCTCTTTGGTGACCCTGCAGATAGGCGCCTACTTTCTTCTGAGTACGACATGGGTGGCTACACAACTTCGGCGGATTCTCACATGTACTGAGTATGGTCCGGTATCTCGTAGGGCAACATTTTCCGTCTAAACATTCAACACCGCTACTCGAGTCTTACTTTTCTTCTGTCACCATGTCAGCGGACAAGCACGCTGTTCTCAAACACCCGCGCTCGCTGAAGCCTCATTCGATTGCTCGAACCTGACCGCTTTGAAGAAGCTAGGCTACCCTGTGTTCTCGCAGCCTGTATTCTGCCATTTTGAGACCTTTGCGACCAGAAAAAGAGCCCAAACTTTGCTACAGACTCTACGATAGCACCTCTCCCACCAGCTTTCTCGGGAACGATCTCTGGGCTATGTGCTTACGATGGGGACATTAAGCTATGCTCAGGTTCCCCCGACGGCGGCAACCATGGCTCTCAACGCCTACATCTACGGATATGGAGGCCACTCTTTGGTCACGCCGCACGCAGCTCTCAAACAGCTCTGGTGGACCGAGGATCGCATCGACAGCAAAGTCACGAGGAAGTTCGTCGTATCACAGATCAAAGGAGAAGAGAGAGACTTCTTGGACAGACCTCTCGCTTTTGGAGAAGGCTTGACAGATGATACTTACATGGAATGGATACTAGGTCGAGCGAGGCGGCTTTTCCTCATCTTGGCAGAGATCGGCAAGCCAGAGCAGATCTTTGGTCTGATAGACGATTCACTGAACGACGATGATTTACCTTTCTCGTTCGAGAGTATCGTGGACATGGATCTTTGTGTTGAACCAGATGAGCGCTTGAACCGGAAGTTTCATGCCACTCAGTATCTGTACCTCTTACGCCAGTTGGATCAAGGTGGTCATATTGATTATGGACCTCAAGAACATATCCCTATGGAATATGTGCACAAGGTGCCGCCAGCGGTCTCGCTACAGAGCTGGGACAGAGTCCATTTCCCCAAAGATCATGACCAAGTCTTTGTCAGGCGCAAATTCACGTTTGGGACTGGTGACGACAAAGATGATCTTCGAGAAACGTACACGCAGGATCTTGCAGAGGCAAAACGTCTGGCTCATCCACATATTGCTCGAGTATGGGCATCTTACACCGCTGGAGATGCTGGCTTCGTTCTCTCTGACTTTGTACCAGAGCATACACTGGCATCGTTCATCGCTCATCGAACGCCGTACCAATTCATGCGTGTGCCCCACGCCGAAAGGCCTGTCATCCTGCTCGAGTGGATGCATTGCCTGATCGATGCACTCGCCATGTTGCATCATCGTGGCATCTCACACGGCGTTATACGACCTTCAAACATTGTTATCGATCATGACAACTGTATCGCATTCTCTGACATAGGCGTACTGCGAACTTTCCAGCGTGGGAAAAAGTTCGTGAAGAACGAGGCCTCAGGTTATTCTGCACCCGAGACACATGTAGAGGATAAGGTGCGAGGCGTTCACTTTGCCGATTCACTAAGCAGTACAATCCACATCAAGCGTGGGTCTGATGATAGTACCTCGAGTGGAGCTTCTTTGTCCTCTTCAAGTTCACCGAAGATCTCGAACCCGATACTTATCCACAGTTCTAGCCCCATGATCGATAGTCCGATGAACAGCTTCAACCATTCCTCCACCTCTCCATCGATACCACTGTTTCGAAACTTTAGTAGACATTTGCCACCTCCACCAACCTTCGCCTCCGCGAGCATCTGGTCGCCTTCATCAGGCAAGTCTCGACGCTTGCTACGCAAAGCAAACAGCCCTCCAGCATCACCGAGTAGCTCGTCTCCCGATGGAGGACCAAGATTCTTCCTTCCTGATGGCGTGGAACCATCACAACCAATACCTATCAGTCCAGACAGGAGGCCATCCTGGGCTTCTTGGGGTACCACGCCGTGTCCTACATCCAGCACTGTGTCCGATCCTTCCAGCCTGCTCTCGGAGCTCTTGAACGAGCCTCTAAGTATTCCTAAGCCTCTTGTCATACGCAAGGCCGTATCACAGAGTTCGCTGAACAACGATAATAACAACCTGACGCCAACATCCACATACCAAGACACAGGCTTCGAAAGCGATGTCTTCTCTCTAGGCTGCGTGTATCTGGATCTCGTCACCTACATCGTCAAAGGCAAACTTTCCGATCTACAGAAGTTTCGGGCTCAGGCGAAGGCACCTTTACCTACCGATACAGCCACTTTACACACATGGCTTGCCCATTTGGCATCAGATGCCATCCGACTCTCGCCTACTGTACCTGTGCTTTCTGCTTTGGTGCCTATCTTGGGCGTGGTCAGAGATATGTTGCTGCCAGATCCAAGTCACAGGCCTACTGCCCTCACCATTCGCGATCGCATCGCCGCTGCACTCGAACAAGCCAACCTGCACTCCCTTTGCTGTAAGGACCGAAACTGGGATCCAGAATTGGCAGCTCAGCAACGTCCTCGTCTTTCTACGAGGCGGCCCCTGAAAGCTAGTAGCAAAGAATCTGCCGATCCTAGCTTAGGGTCGATAACCACAGAAAGTGGCACCGAAGGCAGTGGTGAAAGCGCAGCAGAAGGGCCTGATGTCATGCTGCGACGAAGTCTTAGTGTTGGTAGTGGAGTCTTGGAGAAAAACGGACCGAGCAAGATGAAGAGGCTCGGTTTGGGTTGGATGAAAAAACCTCATGCCAAAGGGTTCTAGATGACACGGTAAACGGGGCGAGGTTTATGAATTGTTACGTTTTTCTTTCTCCTTGACTTCACTCTATTCAGCTTAGGTTTTTTGGGGTTTGTTTAGATACCTTGATGGGACGGCACGCACTAATGATAATGAGCATGAATCAATCTTTGATGTTGATGTATTCATCTGGAGTAATGTCCAAATTATCGACAGGTCTATCTTCGAAATGGATAGTGTGTCTTCAAGGACCGACATCACTTTACTGCTAGGAAGACCCTGCTTCGTGGTAAGAGTCACCTTTGCTTGATCTGCAGTGAACAGGTAACAACTAGCATGTCTTGCAAGAATTGGGGCAAAGAAGTGATGAGGAAACAAATTTGGGTATTTAGATACATAGGAAAGGTCGTAAAGTTATGATGAAAAGCCAGAAACGTAGACGCCACTATGCAAACCATGTCCTATTCTAGTAAACACTGCCTCGAATACTTTTGTCCTCAATCTCCGCCTTTTTCAATTTTTCAATGATCTCACTGGGTTCGTGCATCTCGACAGCATGTTCATCGTGGTCGTCGTGCTCATCGTCACCGTCGACATGCTCGTCATGCTCGTACTCGTCCCCCAGAGCGTCCGCTCGGGCTCCAGTTCCCATGCCGCTTTGTTGGCTCCACTTCTCAAAATCCTGGGCAGTAGGTTTGCGTCTCGATGATGAGGCAGCAGATGGGTTGTTGGGATTGGCGTCTGAGAGGTTACGATGGTGTTGTTGGAGATGGATGGGGAAGTAGTCGCTCTCTGCGCCTGAGAAGTCTTCGGCAGGGGTAGCCATCCCAGAGAGTGAACCCCCGCCGTCACGGCCATGAAGGAAGCTTGGGCGAGTAGGAAGACGCAGGGAGACAGGGGAGTTGGGACCGGTGGTGCTTGCTGAACTAGAAGCCTTGAGCGGAGTTGAGGATATGGCGACTTCTCCGGTAGCGATAGGATGATCTTCTTGTTCTTGCTTGGGTACCTTTGCAGTGGCTTCGTCCTGCTTCTTGATGCGACGAGGATATTTTGAGTGTTGATGTGTGCAACCGCCTACGCAGCCACCCCATTTGCGAGCGGGTATGACTGGGGATGCGACTTGGGAGGCAGTGACTTGTTGGTTCTGTTGTGGTATGGCCCGTCTCTTATACTCTGACCATGTGCGCATCTGGTTCTGTAGAACGTACTTGCCGCTGTCGGGATTCTTCTGCATGATGACGAACTCGCAATGGTTGACGTTGCGGAGATCTTCAAAGTACTCAACGGACCAGTGATACCACTTCATCAGGAAGACTCTTGTCATCAGGCCATGGGTGACGAGCACGCAGACTGAGGGAAAATCTTCTTCACTGAAGTTGCGCCACAGGCTCTCGTTGAAGCCACTGACACGATCGTAGGCATCGGCAGCACTCTCACCATTGGGAATGCGGTAGAAGAAATGACCATAGTCGGCGCGCTCTTGCCACATGCGTTCCATCTCTGCACTGCATGGCTGGAAGTTTCCAAAGTCTTGTTCTCTTAATCGCGGCTCTTCAAAAACCTTGATGGTGTGGCGGGGAAATGGTGAAGGACCGTCTTCTTCGGTTTCGGAGGTCAAGGATGAAAGGATGCCTTCGGTGGTCTCGCGGGTACGGCGATAAGGAGAGGTGAAGAATTGGATCGTGTCGTCTGGTTTGAGCATTCCTCGTAGTCGTCGGCCTGCTTCCTCTGCCTGCCAGCTTTGTAAGTGTCGGTCCTGTTGGCAACCACAGCGGGAGGCTTTACCTGTTTCCAGCCCTCATCAGTCAACTTGACACGGTGATCTGGGATCATCTGGTGAATGTCGCGGTTCTTGTTCCCTTCGCTCTGCGCATGGCGAATCACGATGATCATCTGCAATCAGTCCAGTTAGCCACCCTAATGTCAACGCTTTTCTCTGGTCTGCGCCTACCCGTGGTTTGCCCATCTTGGTGTGCTGTCAGCAAGTATGGCAAGATCAGTAAAATGACGGCAAGCTGTATAGCTGCTCTTTGTGTCGTGATGTGTTGGTGTTGATTGTCCGGATAAGGATGAATGTTTATTGCCGCATGACGTTTGGGCGGTGAGGCACGCGAAAGCATCAGCAGATAGAAGTGTCTCGCCATTGGCTGCACCCATCCTTCCTTCCTCCTGTATCAGACATGACTCCTCGTCGTGCATCTAACATGAATACTTCGGCAGAAATCAGATCAACCCCTCTTTGGACTTCCATCTTGAACAGAACTACCGCAAAAGCACGCATCGCCAGCTAATCTGTCTCAGGCAATGACTCAACCTTTGACTATGACTTATATACTTGTCGCTCACCCGTTCTCTTTCCTTCTTCTTCTTTGTGAATCTCATGACCTTAATTCCAGCTCACCAAAGACGCCCCCAGCCACGCAAATCAGTCTCAACCATGGCCTCAGTCACATCTACAGGTCTCCTGGATATACCACCTGAGATTAGATTAATGATTTACGCACAGCTATTCCGGACCACTTCTGACACGCTGGAAGAACGCGAGCAAAGATTGTCTCATCCACTAGTGGCCGTGTGCAGGCAGCTGCGTCATGAGTCCCGACCTGTACTGATGAGCGGCTTTCAATTGTCTCTATCAGCTTTCGCCGGGAAACGTCATTTTAACTTTTACCATCTTGATATCTCAAATCAGCTCATGTTCCGACATCTCGTCACTACCAAACGAAAAGTTTGGGCCTATCTTCCAGGTTACCTTCACTCCTGGTTCGACTTCTGCAAAACCGGCATGGTTGATCTCGTGCCCATGTGCGGCCAAATCCACATCTGGTCCTGTTATAGGAACATTGGCGTTACCATCACACCTCGGAAGAACACGATCAGAATGTCTGATCCAGATGGTAGGACTATAGAAGGCCTCGATGACCTCGCCTCGGACAAGATAGGCCCAAGCGTATCAGTCACAAACTGGTTACTGAAGCGACAGCTGCACAAGGCTCTCATCAACTGGAAACTTCTATGTTCCACGAGTCCTATATCTGTTGATGTTGTCAACCAGATTGCACAGCAACTGGAACATATTGTCGTGCGAGCAGCAAGATGCGATCGCGTTGAAACAAATATTGGTCTCTATCGCAATCACAGGTATTTCTTGAAGGCGGGTGTTCCTTATGCCGAACTGAGACAGATGGCTTTGGCTGATCTCGAAATGATATGGGCCCACCACAGATAGAGGGTTCATTGCATGATCGAGAAGCTATCGAGACATGGGTCCTATAGGAATGCTCATCACTCACTGTGTCCTATTATCACAAATTTGTCACCTAGCTTTGCGTCTTGTCCACGCCGCTGCAAGGAATACTGGGTCAAGGAGTAGACATGAGAAATTTTTTCTAGCAGAAGCAGTCTTTATTCCAAGATGTTCTTTAGATAGGATGGAGCAATATCAAACCTTAGCAGGAGCTACCTGCCTTTCACTGCCGCTTAAATTGACCACCTGTATTGTAGTTGTCGCGCGGTCAAATCGTCAAGCTCAAGCGCATGATCCAGAACAGGGATGTTCAAGATGATCAACAGGCACACAAGATGAGTTGTTAGGGCTGTCTTCCATATACCGAGGCACGCCCGCAAGTCACAAGATGCCGACCATCCAGTCGTCTGGCCGCTGTCGACGCGTACAAGAACGACCTTCTTAAATGATCAGTTGCCCTTTATTCCGAGCTTCCATATTGACCAATCATTTTCTCCCAGCGTAAAGCGTGCCTCCCCTCGCTCGCTAAACGAAAACCCAAGCTTATTGAAAGCTTGACCGAACCACCCACGTTGTAAATTCTCATCACACAAGACGATTGTCGTCGGAAGCGTGATTGTTTGCTCACACTTTAGATTCATGCAAGAGGTATTTGTCGTGCGAATGTTGCGAGACGATGGCGATCATCCCAGAGAGGTAGGTGTTAATGGTAAGCTCTTGAGACCCTGCACTATATAAAGCATTGTGATTGCCATGAAGAATTGTTGATCGCACCAACGACGAGTGGTTGTCTCTCTTTGATACTCGGTCAGGAAGGCCTTCCAATATGGCACCTAGTCTGTTCTACGTTCAGACCCTCCCTTTGCTGTCTAGTCTGGTGCTCGCCGCAGACTACCCTGGGCTTCCAACAGATTTGACGACTCCTGTGCAACAACGTATCGCCTTCAAGGGTCCTAATGGTATGCTAAAGAAATTTATCAAAATCTTGACAATATCTTGCTGACTTGACCAAAGCCATCTCTGTCGCTTGGAACACCTATGAACAGCTGACCGAAGCTTGCGTTCAATATGGCAAGTCTGCCAACAGCTTGACTTCTCAAACATGCTCAACTCAATCTGTGACTTATGCCACCTCTCGCACTTGGGCAAACTCAGTTACGCTCTCTGGACTTGATGCTGCTACCACTTACTACTACAAGATCAACTCCACAAATTCGACTGTCAATCAGTTCATGACTGCTCGTGCTGCTGGAGACAAAACTGCCTTCAACTTGGATGTTGTTATTGATGTGAGTCTGCAAGCAATGGTACCACTGTCATGAGTTTGTGCTGACACGAATCTCAGCTCGGTGTCTATGGCGAAGATGGCTACACCACTACTCGCAAACGTGACATTCCCTACGTCCAACCAGCACTCAATCACACCACTATTGCAGCCCTCGCCCGCACAGTCGACGATTACGACTTTGTTTTGCACCCCGGAGACTTTGCCTACGCAGACGACTGGTACCTGAAGCCCAAAAACCTTCTCGACGGCAAAGCCGCCTACGCCGCCATCCTGGAGAACTTCTACGAGCAATTAGCTCCCATTGCAGCAACAAAACCCTACATGGTATCTCCTGGAAACCATGAAGCTGATTGTACGGAGGTGCCTTACACGAGTGGTCTGTGTCCTGAAGGCCAGAAGAACTTTACAGACTTTAAAGTTAGGTTCAATGGACAGATGCCTACGGCATTTGCTTCTTCGTCCAGCAATGCTACTGCAAAGGCTTCAGCAGTGAAGGCGCAAGCCCTCGCCAATCCACCTTTTTGGTACTCGTTTGAGTATGGAATGGCTCATATCGTAATGATCGACACCGAAACCGACTTCCCATCTGCACCAGACGGTCTGGATGGTAGCGCTCACCTCGGTGCTGGTCCCTTCGGAGCCCCAAACCAACAACTCTCCTTCCTTGATGCCGATCTGGCATCTGTCGACCGCACAGTCACTCCCTGGATAATCGTCGCAGGCCACCGACCTTGGTACTCCACCGGCGGCAGCTCCAATATCTGCAACCCCTGCCAATCAGCCTTTGAACCTCTCTTCCACAAATACGGCGTTGATTTGGGAATCTTCGGCCATGTGCACAACAGCCAACGTTTCCTCCCTGTCTACAACAACACTGCCGATCCTGCTGGCCTCAACAACCCTGTCGCACCAGCATACATCATCGCAGGCGGTGCTGGCAATATCGAAGGGCTGAGTGCTGTAGGTGCGAACTACTCGACCAATGTGTTTGGATATGGGGATGAGTTTAGCTATGCTACGCTCAAGTTCAAGGATGCGAAGAATTTGCAGATTGACTTTTTGAGGAGCGATACCGGTGAGGTTTTGGATTCGAGTGTTTTGTACAAGGAGCATGATGTTGCATTTGTTAGGAACTGAGAGGGGAGGTCGAGAGTGGGGCGATGAGGGATTAGACATTCGAGAGGGAAGGCTCAATTGAATGACTAGACTCGTGGTTGCCTTGTGCCACATCTAAAACTATTCATGTCGCTCTGTCTCTTCATGGAAATTGGATGTGACTGGTCTCATGAATGGATAATCGCGATCAGCGGACAGCTTAACAGCAGAAAGAAACGAAACTATGACAATAGCATCAAAACATAATGTGGTATATCTAATTTATATATAAACTCCCCGTCCTATCCCACAATGCCAACCCAGTATCATAAATACATTGAATACAACCAGCCAAACTTTTTGTCTAGCATAAGCTCAAGAAGCAGAAAGAGGCATAAAGCTCCTCACAGTCCAAGGGTTTCGAAGAACGCTTAGATAAGAGCAGCAAGACCGAGAAGGGCAAGTCCAAAGTTGCCGACGGGGCCAGCAACAGCAGCGCCAGAAGAGGTTGCGGTTGCCGAGCTGGAGGCAGACGAAGCAGCTGAAGAAGCAGACTTGGAAGCTGATGAGGAAGCAGAAGAAGCAGACTTTGAGGCCGAAGAGGCAGACTTGGAAGCGGAAGATGCAGCGGATGACATAGAGCTGCTCATGGAAGAAGCAGCCTTTGATCCTGAGGAAGAAGCAGATGAGGCAGCTGAAGACATGCTGGAGCTGGCACTGCTTGCGGCGGAGGATGCGGCTGCGGCGCTTGATGTCAGACTGGATGAAGCAGAAGATGCGGAAGAGGCAGCGGCTGAAGAAGCGGAAGAAGAAACAGAGGAAGAAAGAGAAGAAGCAGAAGACTGCGAGACAGAAGACTGAGAAGCAGACGATGCGGCTGCAGATGATGCTGCTACAAGGAATTGCTCGTCACTACGAGTCGACAGAAGGAAGATCAAGAAAATTTAAAACTTACAGCTTCCAAGGATGGTGGATCCGGACTGGACAGCGGTGGCAGAAGAACCCTCAGCAGTCGAAGTACCCTGACCGTCGCAGTTGGCACCATTGGGACAGCAGCGGTTGGCGCTGGCGCAGTAGTTGCCAATAGGGCAGACCTGACCCTGAGAACCACAGCACTGGTAGGCGGTGGGGTCGTAACATCCAGAACCGCAAGCAGACTCGCCGTTTGAGCAAGTGGCACCAGAGTTCTGGCGAGCGAAAAGAGCAGGAGTGGAGTTCATGGCCATGGCGGCAGTGGCAGAAGCCAGGACGAAGATAGCGGAGAATCTCATAATTGCGGTTGGAGTTTGTGTTTGGAAGGTGAAAAGATTGAATTGAATTGAATTGATGTGATTGGCGATTTGGAGAAAGAAAGAGAAAAAGGGAAGGAGACAGGTACAAGAGGTAGTTTCAAGTAATATACTTATCACGCAGCGATGATCAGAGATGTCAGCCTCTCGGGAGTGCCTGCATAATTTAGCCCCAGCAACCAGCCATCTTTCATGGGTCGCCTCTTTTTCTATTCTTGTCAGGGTCTCGCAAGCAAAAAAGTGGCCAAGACTTGTGTGCTAGCGTGTTGACAGTGTTGTTGAAAAGCATGAGCATGCTCGGCCGCAGGCAGAAAACACCACGAAAGTCCAGGTGGTGGTGTGCAGTGGAGCCCCTAAGAAGTACGAGCCTTCCCGAGCACGAGACAGGGGCCTAAGAAAAGCAACTCGACGTCATTTGCTTGCGAAAACTCCTTGGACCGCTGGAAATACGTAGATACTGCAGTGTTCACTGTCGAGGAATCAGAATATCAAGAGAGCAAGAAATCATTATATGAACGTTAGAAGTGGTCAAGAAACGGATCGTCGAAACAAAAGGAAAATCCGTACGGTTTCAGAATCTCGTTGTGTTTTGGGGGATGAGCACAACAGCGCAAAAAATGATCAACCCTGTTCCTGAATCCTGTGCCGATCCGACCGTGTTCCTTGCACAGCCCTGGACTTTCCCACCCTGGTCTCTCCAAACTTCAAGGTTTTCTTGGTTTGACGGAAGCGACGGCTGGCTTCTTTCCTGCACAAATCAACCGGGTATCCCCGCTGAGCCTTGATGTTTTGTTTGATCGTCAAGGCACCCTAAAAGATTTTCTGGAGGACGGCAAATGCACTGGGACAGCGATTTGCAATTACCTCGATGCGAACGTCACAATGCGCGCATGGTATAGTCAAGTAGTAAATCGAGATTGTGAAAAAGATTGTATTCTAAACTTTCACCAATATCGACAGTAGCCAATTCTATATACAGAGAATTTTCCAAAACACATTTTTGAGCGGCAGGACTTCTGCATCTAGTAGACTTCAAGAACGTATCTCTCCTCGTCCTTGAGCTGGTCAATGACCTTGCGAGCGTCAACCTTCTTGCCAGCCTCCTTGGCTTCGACCTCAATGGCCTCCTCAAGGACGTTGGTAACATCAGGCACAGGCCAGGTAGGACCACAGAGGTAGAAGGCACCTTCCTCTTGGAGATAGGCCTTACGAATCTCCTTAAGAGTCTGGCGCATGCGATCCTGGATGTAAATCTTCTCAGGCTGGTCACGAGAGAAGGCACAACCCATGTGGGTAATGATACCGGCATCCTTGTATGCCTCCCACTCCTCACCGTAAAGGTATTCCTCCTTCTGGTGACGAGAACCCATGTAAAGCATGACTGCACCAATGTCCATGCCCTGCTCCTTCTGCCAAGCACGTTCCTGAACGAAGGCGCGGAAGGGAGCAAGACCTGTACCAAGACCAGCCATGATGATGGGAGCGGTGGACTTGTGGGGAAGCTTCATGACCGAAGGCTTGACAGAGACCGTGACAGGCGAACCGACCTCAAGACCGTTGAGGTAGCGGGTGGCTTGACCGAAGCGGTCGCGTCCCTTGGGGTCGACCCAGTTGACAGTGACGATACAGAGGGTCACGGTGTTAGGAGTGACTCTCTGGGAAGAAGCGATAGAGTATTCACGGCGCTTCATGGGAGCAACAATGCGGGCGATGTCGTGGAAAGAGGGGTGGGCAGAAGGGAACTCAAGCAGGAGATCGGCGTAAGTGACAGTATCGACCTCAGCGCGGCGTTTGAAGTCAACCTGAGCTTCCTGGTTACCACCAGTACCAAGCAAGAGGAGCTGGGTCTTCTCAGCCTCATCCGAGGCGAACTCGGAAAGAGCTTCGTAGAAGCGCTTGGGAGGACGACCGAAGATATCAATATTTTGAATGAGAGCCTGGTAAACGGTGCGGTTCTCGAGAACCTGGGGGTCCTCACGAGAAGGAACCTCAACGACCTCATCAGGGTTGAGTCCGTACCACTTGATGAACTCCTCGACCTCGGTCTTGTCGTTCTCGGCGTGGATACCAAGAGCCTCACCAATGGCGTAGGTAAGACCAGTCTCACCAAGATCGAACTCAATGTGGAAGATGTTACGGTCGTAGGTGCTGGGAGTAAGACGGCGACGCTCCTTGACAGTGACCACAGCAGTCTTGACGCTGAGATCGGGACGCAGAGCGTTCTCGGTGCCGTATGCCTCCTTGAAAGCGAGACCCTTAGCGACCTTCTGCCAGTCTCTGAGCAGATAAGCCTCTTCGGGCTCTTCCTTGTCAAACTTGATGAAACTGTTGATGTTCAAGTCCTCAGGCATCAGCGGGGGCTGGTTGGCCTCAGGCTCAACAGTGAGCCAAGACTCGGGAACCTCGACCTTGCGAACAACTTCGTCAAGCTCCTTGGAAAGAGCCTCGAGAGTGTCATTGCCACCAGCGAGCTTCTTGACGCCAGTCTCGTAGAGATCGCCACGAGCGAGCTTGAGGAAAGCAAGCTGAACAAGGTAGCTCTCTAGCTCAGGCTGCTCCTGAACCTTGGCAGAAGCGGCGGTATCGAGAGCAAAGAGCTGGATCTTCTTTGAAGCCAAAGCCTTGCGAACCTCGGAAGAGATGTGCTTCTCAACCTCATCATCCTTGACTCCAGAGAGCTTGACAACAACGATACCCTCGTCCTTGACAGACTTGAGAACATCGAAGCTCTTCAAAAGGCTCGAATCGTTGACGATAGTGACGTCGGCAGAGCTGATGGAGTAAGCAGCCTCGATGGATTTGGTCGAGGTTCTGATGTCAGTGCGAACAACACCACCAGCGACGAGGTTGTCGTGACCACTGCGGACACTGACGTTGAGCTTAGAGTCGCCGGACAGAAGTTGGCCAACCTGAATGGGGGCAGAAACAGCGTTGGAGCTGTCAATATCCCAGAATGTGTACTGCTGAACATCGCCAGTGGGAAGCTCGAAACGCTCCGCCTCAGTGGGAGCGTGGTCAATCTTCTGACCAATCTGCTGCAGAAGGCCGGCGACCGAGGTGGGGGTCCAGACCTGCTCTCTAGCATACTTGATGTCGAAGACAGCGGGGGTCTTGTTCAGTGTAGCGAAGGTGAGGGCAGCAAGAACATCGGTGTAGAGGTTGGAGTGTTGAGTGTCGTCGGTGACAGCGGACTGGTCAAGGACCTGGCCGAGGACGGCGACGTTCTGGACGGAGGGAGCAAGAACCTCGAGGAACTCCTCCTCGACGAAAGGACGGTATACACGGACATTGATGACACCAATCTTGATACCCTTCTCCGAAAGAGCGCGAGCAATCTGGGTAGCCAAAGAAGCCTCAACAGTACCGAAAACAACCAGGACTGATTCAGGCTCGGCATGACCAGAGTATTCGAACAACTTGTACTCGGTGCCCAACTCATTGTTGAAGGCCTTCAGGAGGCGGCTGACTCTGCCTTCGTTGTCAGAGTGCTTCTTCTCGGTGAGAGACGAATCGCCGAGGATGGCGTCGTAGGTCTTCTTGAGACCGGACTTGTCGAGAACGTCAATGATTCTGGTGGTCTCTCTGCCAACGGTGATTCCATCGTAAACGTGGAGAGAGGGAACGATCGAGGCCATGAGGGTCGCAAAGAGGGACATGTGCTGCATCTCGTAAGTGGAGGCGGATGCGACCAGACCCAGACCGAGCTCCTCAGCGAGACGGAGGGCGGAGACATAGTCGGTAACGAAGCCGGTGGAAGAGTTGGCAGCATAGTCGACAGCAGCGACGTGAGCGACAGTAGGGTTGGCAACATTGTAAAGGAGAGCCAATTGATCGAGGGCAGGGCGCAAGTGGGCAAGACTGCCGGACGAGGCGACAATGGACTGAGGAATGTGACGCTTCTTCAGGTCAAAGTCCTTGGAGAACATGTATCCGAGAGCGATTGAGCCAGCGCCGGAGCGAGTCTCCATTGAGGCGAGGCCAGTCTTGTAACCATGGGCATTCTGTTCACCAGCACTTTCCCAGCTCTTTGCGGCGACATCAAGGTCGAAAGTCTCGGGGGAGTAGGAAAAGATCTTGTCCGAGAGCGAGTATGCGACCTGCTGAACCAGAGTCTGAGCGGTCAGATAGGTAGGACCGCTGACATCTTTCAGGGAGACGTTCTGGCCGAATGGCAGGCTTGAGGATTGTTGCTCGGAAGCCGACATGATTCGTAAATTGTGGAGGGGCTGAAGATGCGGCGTAGAAAGACGAACGCTACAAGGACAAAGCCGCTGCAAGAAATACAATCAAAAGCCCTGGCAAATTGCACAGAGCGACTCCAAAGAACAAACAGCGAGTGGAAAAGAAAAGGGAGAGTGACGGGCTACGAGCGGCGAACGACACGGCAAAAAGTCCATGTCGCGAACAATCGTTGCGCTCAACTGTCTGCCGGGTGTACAAGCACGCCATCCGCTTACCCATCGCAGAGCCGATCGCGGAGGAAGTTTTAGGTCAGCACCAGCGTGCATCTCCGCATCTAATCAGATCAGATCTGATCAGATCAGACTCGAACTTGCTCTGTCTCTCAAGGGATGCCAAGGCCAATTAACACGCTCGGTGCGCGACCGCGACGGGAGCACAGACATTTTCTTCAAGACCCTGTTGCGTCTTATCGCTGTGGCTTTGTTTACTTGTCAGTGTTTGCTGTTCTTGAGCTCGTAAGTACATGGACTCGTCAAGTCGAAGTCGAGTCAAGAAAAAGACATCCTTCCGACCTGTCAACACTCTATCGTCCAGACAAACACCACACGACGTTCTCGACGACCACAGCATCATCGGCGACACCAGCTCTCTCTTTGATAGCACACATGGCAGCTTAGAACTCGACATCTCCCATCTTCTTTCAACAACAACAACAGACAACACTACCATGGCCCGCGAACGTCTACCAGCATCAGAGCATTCTGCCCAACCCACTCAGCCTTCACAGTCTCGCCCTGCTGCGAACGCTTCAACACATCAGGCGCAACCTTCTCAAGCGCTAGTTCACCCACCTACTACAGCTGCCTCCAAGCTCGCCACACAACCAGAATTTGGCAAAGCCAGCCCCTTGCGTAACCCGTTGAGAGATCCTTATGCCAACGTCTTCAACACCTCGCACGGTAGACCCGAGCAGCACCGTCCCATCGCTCAACCACAATTCCGTCAAAATCCAGGTCCCACCAATGCATCTCAAGCTAAGCGCTTCTATTTGCCTGGCGAGAGACCTCAACCTCCACCGCAATCCCGTCCCCCACAGTATGGCAACCCTCTATATGGTAATGCCGCAAATTCGGCTGCCATTCGTGTGCCCTCGAATCCTAAGCCAAGGGACATTCCACCCGCCCCAAGACCTCTCTTCTCTTCTTCCGTCGGTCCCAGCAACACATACAGACCTCACAATCCCGCTCCTGCTCCTAGACCGAAACCCATCGATCTCACCAATGCCGATGATGATGACGATGGCTTCGACCCTGATGCTGCTCTGAGAGAAGATGGTTTCGGTGCCGCCGATCCCTATGCTTACGTCGACCCTGGCCAGACAAGCCACAACATCAAGGCTCTTCTCGAAGGCGCCTTCGATGATGATGGCGATAAGCCTAAGATGCGTCTGCGCAAGAGAGCCGCAAAGAAGCAACAGCAAAAAATCAAAGAAGAGAAGAAAATTCTTTCACTCGAGGAAAAGCTTAGAAAGCTTGAAATGGATGAGGTGAAGGAGGAGCCAAAAGAGGAGGAACCTGATAACAAGGAGGACGATGACGAGGACGAGGAAGACGGTACAGTCGAAGGTCTGACGGTCAAGCTTCTCCCTCATCAGGTCGAGGGTGTCTCCTGGATGATTGACAAGGAAATCGGAGAGCGCAAGAAGAACGGAGTCCTACCCAAGGGGGGTATCCTCGCCGACGACATGGGTCTAGGCAAGACTGTTCAGTCCGTTAGCTTGATTCTTCTCAATCCTCGTCCGGAGCTTGATGCTAAGCCGCCCCCTGAGAATCCTAAACGCAAAATGCCTGGAAAGGAAGTCGGCAAAGGTACGCTTGTCGTGGCTCCTCTTGCTCTTATTCGTCAGTGGGAGAGCGAGATCAAGACCAAGGTCGAGAAGAGCCACGCACTACGCGTGTTGGTTCATCACGGTCCTTCGAGAACAAAATTCGCTGCAGAGCTTAAAAAGTACGACGTTGTGGTCACAACCTATCAAATCCTTGCATCTGAGTTCGCTGGTTCCTCTGACCATCCGGACGGTGCAAAGGTCGGCTGCTATGGCGTTCACTGGTACCGTGTGATCCTGGATGAAGCACACTCAATAAAAAACCGCAACGCAAAATCAACACAAGCTACCTATGGTTTGCGAAGTTGGTACAGATGGTGCTTGACTGGCACGCCCATGCAAAACAACCTCGATGAGCTACAAAGTTTGATCTGTTTCTTGCAGATCAAGCCATACAACAATCTTGCCACCTGGAAAGAGCAAATCACAATCCCGATGAAGAATGGCAAAGGAAATTATGCCATCAAACGCATTCAATACTTCCTCAAGGGCTTCATGAAACGTCGAACCAAAGACATCCTCAAGGAAGACGGTGCCCTCAGTTTTGGTGGCAAGTCGAAGACTGGTCAAAAGAAGGGTACTGGAATGAAGATTGTCGAACGCAGGGTCGAAACTATCGTTTGCGAACTTGATCCCAAGGAACGCGACTTCTACGACCAGCTCCAGGAGAGAGCACAGAAGCGCCTCGACGACATGATGGGCGGGGAGAAGACCGACTACATTGGAGCTCTTGTCTTGCTTCTGAGACTTCGTCAAGCTTGCAATCACCCCGAGCTTGTTTCCGGATCGATGGGCAAAGACAAGGATGCGCTATCTACAGGACAGCCCAACCCTAGCCAGACACCACGCAAAACCTCCGCTGCTAGCAGCCAAGACAATGAAATCGACGCCCTTGCTGACATGTTTGGAGGTATGGGCGTTCAGGTCAAAGACTGCGATATTTGCAGCATCCGACTTCTTCCAGCAGAGGTGAAAGCCGGGGCTGTCCGCTGCAATGAATGCGAGGACATTGCCAAAGCTACACCAAAGAAGCTTGGCCGAAAGATGAAGAAAGAGAAGAAGCTCAAGCCGAAACCTGAGCGCAAGCCTGCTCCTGCGCCTATCAGAAGAAACCGTAAGATCATCGTTGACAGTGATGACGAAGATGATGAGGGCGAGGGTGAGTGGCTCGTTGATGAGTCTCAGCAGAATACACCTCATCTAGGCAGAGCTGGCGGGACTGATGATGAGGATGCAGAAGGAGGCGGCGAGACTTTAGGTTCAATCGACTCAGTGTCTGGAGATGAGGATGAAGCCACTGGATCCGAGGACGCATCCGAGGAGGAAGAAGGAGACGTCTCATATTCTGGCCCTACCGGTGTCGAGGCGGCTTCGACAAAGATTCGTCGCTTGCTGCGCATATTACACGCCGAATCCTCTGAGCACAAGACCATCGTCTTCTCGCAGTTCACCAGTATGCTGGATCTGATCGAACCGCATTTGCAGAAGTCTGCAATTCGCTACGTTCGTTACGATGGTGGTATGCGCAATGATGCTCGCGAAGCTTCTCTCAACTCTCTGCGCAACGATCCAAAGACTCGCGTACTGCTTTGCTCGCTCAAGTGTGGTTCGCTGGGCTTGAACTTGACAGCTGCATCGCGTGTTGTTCTCATCGAGCCTTTTTGGAACCCATTCGTCGAGGAACAGGCAATCGATCGTGTGCACCGCCTCAACCAGACTGTTGACGTACACGTCTACAAACTTACTGTTGGCAACACAGTCGAGGAGCGCATCATCGAGCTGCAAGAGAAGAAACGCGAGTTGGCAAAGGCAGCCATCGAAGGTGGTAAGGCCGTGGCTAAGCTCACCATGAAGGACATCATGAGTCTGTTCGGCCACAACCCTGGTGCAGTCGGCGGCCGCGAGAGCATCGGTAGCACCGATGAGAACAAGCCTTGGAATAGAAATACCAAGGTGCTCGCCCCCGAACCCAAGAGAAACAGTGCTTCCTCCGCTGCTCGCCGTTCAGGCTCTGGCGCTCTGAGATCATCGCCCAGAGAATCGCCTCCAGCACGTACTGACCGTCGTGGAGGATATGAGAAGGATGCTCGAAGAATCAGGAATGAAGATCCTGTATACGGTCGTCGCTAACTGCTGTTGATGTGCCAGCACTTTTTCGTATTGTTCTTACCTCATTATGAAAATTATTCGGAGTTTTTGGTCTTTGGATTTGGGGCAGCAAGGAGGCTTCATGACTTTGGGTCGCAATGATGATGAAACTGCTCTTCTCTCTTCACTTTTCTTGACTAGATCACAACTGTCAATATCGAGATGACTTGCCTTGATGCACACTTACTGTTCATTGTGATCTCAAGGACATTTCTGTTGCATTACCTGGGCAGATCGTGTTGCTTACGAGCAAGTGCACCACTTTCCACAATTGGTTTGCATTGATTACATCGTCTTCTCGAAATGCAAAGTCGCAGTCTGGAGCAAGAGGAGCTCCTGCTTCTGGGTGGGTTGCCATTGCCGCCAACTCGGCGCCAAATTATTCTGACTGCAGCGCTTCCCGCACTTTCCTGCAGCTCTGCAGATGACTCCATGTCATTCTCCAAGGCGAACTCTTTTGGTTTCAATAAGTGCAGACTCCGTATTCTTCAAGCCCTGTCGATGTTTCAAGAACCAATGTCACAATGCAGGTTCTGCGCTCAACACGTATCGAGTAGCCGCCGGCAGGGCGCGTGAGACGAATATGCATCCATGTACGCCCTGCCCACAATGGTCTTCGATGTTTTTGAGTCCTTCCTTTGTTGCTCAGGTGAACATGGAATGCTTGCTTTGACAGTAACTACAAACTTCTAGCTATGAGGCGACGTCGTGCTCTGATTTCGGCTCAGCCTTGGTGGCAGAACTCATCATACTCACGAGGAGCATCAGGCTCAGCGCCAACAGCGGTACGATTTGCGATGGAATTGTTTGCAGCGTAGCTGATTTGTTACTACAGAATCTTGTTACCACTGGCAAGGGTGCGATTGGACAACAATACACAACCATAATCCTTACGCGAACGCAATATACCACTTTTATATACTCGAATTCGTATACTAGTCGGTCTCAAAGATTGTCAAGGTCAATTCTCCCTTTCATGGGCGAATCCTCGAGCAAGACTACCTCGCATGCTATTTTGAAATCATCTTCCTCGTCGCCACTAATTACGTATCAGCCAACAACTTTCTCGACAACAACAACGGCGAGAGTGACCACTCATTCAACAACGACTGTAAAAACAACTGTCTATATCACAAGTACACGTACTGTTCCAGCAGCGTCAAGTACACCGCAAAGAGTATCGACTTCTGCCGTTCAAAACACTACATCTACAACCTCTACGTCTGCTACGAGCCCATCAGCAAGTGTCGCCGCTGGTCAAGGTGGAGAAGGACGCGGCTCCCTATTGATAAGTCCAAATGGAAGTTCAGAGCATTCGGCGGTAATAGCTGGAGGAATGTCTGGAAGCCTGGCGGGAATCGCATTGATAGGATTGCTTTTCCTGCTCTTCTTTCGAAGAAAAAAAAGATTGTCTTACCAAGATAAAGATGGCGCTGCTGCAGAACCTCGGATGTCATCATCTTCTCAGGCATTGCCATCAGCTGTAGCAGCGGCAGGCGCGATTCGGCATTCAGACAGGAGTGCTATCATGGCCCGTCAAGGATCTAATCCTGAGCGACTGCCTGTCATTGATCACAACCTGATCCATATGGATCTCAATCATTGGGACCGGCCTTTTGCTCACGAAGATCCTCATCTGCGGGATGACGGCTCGCCTCTACGTCTTATGAATCCAGATCCCACGCCTACACCTCCTGTTAATCTCAGGACATCCTCAACATCTATATCTCCTGATGCAGGCCCGAACAACCCCCATGGCTTCCTTCAAAGACAGCGGTCTGCTCTGACTGCAGCTCTACTATCCATTAAGCGTTCTTTTTCGAGTCAAGATGTAGTACCAAGACATGCAAGCTATGAATCTCAGCTGCAGCCTTCAGCGCATCCTTCAGCACATCCGTCACCTCTTCACATTCCAGACAAGAATACAAACAAACTCACCATGCCCTCCGAAGCCATCCTTGCAGGCGTCTCGGCTTCCCGTCCCATCTCTTCACAATCAGCCATGTCGAACAATACTATCATCCGTCATCAAGTCCCTGACGATCCATTCGTCACTTCCACATCTGCACTCCCCAGCTCACCGCTGCCAAACTGTCTACACCCAGGGAGTGGCGTGGCTCGCCGCGACTTCCTCGCTCCACCACCACTTTGGACCAAGATGCCAATGCAATCCACACCCACGCATCCTCGACGCGGTACCGTGAGCCCTCTGACAAGGACGAATAGCGATTGCAGCACTCGATTCGAGAGTCTATCGCCTACAAGAAGCGAAGTTTCTAGTGTGAGTTTTCGCAGTGGGCCTTTCGATCTCGCGACTGCTAGTGTTGTCGACGGAGAGAGTGGGAGAGAAGCCGATGTTGGCAGAGAACAAAGAGAGCAGACGCCTAATTGGGAGGTTTATATGTCCAGGCACCTAGAGGGATGAAAGGTTTGGTATTGTTTAGTTTGCTCTGTGAGCGCTGTGTATGTAGTTCGTTGTTTTGAGACCGGCTGGCACGGTATACCAAGAAGTTTTAATTATGTATTCTGTCAGTGAGTCGCAACCGAGCCAGAATCCTGTTTCGTTGATAATGTCTTCGACGCGGTTCTTCGAGCCCTTTCATGCTTCGAGGTTATAGAAGCCAGCCAATTTTCGTAGCCCAGAGGAATGGCTCTCGACATATCCTGAGTGAAACAAGGAAAACACTCGTACACTCCATCCTGAATGCGACGCCACCAAAGTCGTGAACCAGGCACTTTCTCACGGCCGCAACTACCACAATGATGAATTTTGGCCTCGTGCGTGTATTCCACGACATGAGTCTCCCACATCAGTACCTCGCCACTGTCCAAACGTCTTTTGAACAAGCTGCGGAAACTTTCCAGTAGATATTTATGGTTGCGCTGCTTTTCGCTTTGTCTTGCTCTAAAGGCTCGGAGGCCGGTGTTGTGCTCGAACCTGGTTTGGGCACGGTATATGGGATCTGTTCTGTATCTCTCTCGTCTGGCTGCGTATTGTAGCTCACGTAGTATTGGATCGTTCGACCAGGTGGCTCCTGCCTTTGAGGTGCTGAAGCAACAGTGTGTCTCCATATGATGCCAACTCAACGAGTCCGTTCGACAACTCGCTCTCCAGACCACGCGAAACATTTTTGCGATATTGGCTGGTGCAAGAAGTCTTGAGTAAAAAATCAAGGCACTTTCACATATCTTGTAGGAAATCTCTTGATATGTTGCGTGAATTTTCAAGAACGACCCCACTTGAATGGTAGATGATAGGTTTTGTGAACGTATATATAAATCGATCATGGAAACAATGGCACGAGATGACAGTTTGTTATGGCTGAGATTTCTGTCCTGAGGTTCGCTGACACGATTTTTGGCTAATTCCAAGCACGATTCACTCCCAGGTGCCTTCCATAAGTTCATCTCCAATAAAAGCTTTGAATGGTCAATCGCGACCAAGGGATTGTGTCTGGCGAGCGACTCCGATTCAAGCTTGTCAAAATGGTAGACATGTGCAAGCATGGCAAAGCGATAGCTGTGTATACGTTATATGAGGAACACTTTGGTCGTACGTTCATCACACGATTCGATTATTACTGCTTTTGTATTTTTGCTTAGCTTTGATCTTGGTGATGTCTCACATAAAATCGTCCTCCCAGTCCGAATCGCGATTCTGGTTGCTGGAAGCCATGACTTGCTCCTCCGAATTCCAGTCGTCGTAGGCGTGTTCTCTCTGGTATGCCAACTCTTTCCTCTCTTTTGCGATGCGAGCCTCTTCCTTTGCCTGTTGATGATTGTGTAAGCCAGTGTGTCTTGTTCTCCTTCAAATCTTGATATACGGACCCTTGCTGCGATAACCGAGCGATCCTTCTTTCTCAGCTCCTTGGCTCTATCTTCCTTCTCTTGTCTGAAGTCTGGGAACTTCTCAACCTTAGTCTTGTTCAGACGGTTGACGATGGGGTTCTCTCGCTTTGCGACATAGACGCGCTTGACCTTCTTCTGGTCCTTGAAGCCAACCTGGCCGGTGGCCATGCTGCCGTCCTTCTTCAAGTTTGACCATGGGGTGTAGATGACCGTGATATTGTCCTTCTTATTGCCTGTATTGTCCGGCTCAGTCCCATTCTCTTGTAGCTTCCCAGTGTTCGTTCTCACCCTCGATCGAGTTTGCTTTTGTCAACTGGGCGCAATCTTCCAAGAGCGGCTTGGCGATGTCCTCCCAAGACTCTCCATCGGGAAGACGCAGATAGACGTGGGCACTGGAGAGGTTGTCGACGTGGAACTGTGGTGTAAAGTGGTCAGACGGTGCATATCGAGGCCGGTTGCAAGCTTGTCAGTTATACCCAGACATCCTCTTCGAATCCGTAAGCAATCAAGTCCTCGTCTCTAGCCCAGTCAGCGACTTCCTCGTATGTTGAATGCGATGAATGGTTGCTGACTTTCGACCTTGTCCTTGCCCATGTAGATATACGCCGACGGCGAAATTACGTTACTTGTGAAGTAGTAGACCATCTTGTCTATTTGTGGTAGCGTGAACCTTGAACTACAAATAAAGAAGGAGCGAGTAGTGTGAAGAGTCAAGTACAAATGATTGTCGCATGTCGCGAATAATTTGGCGGGAAGCTCCGCACCTCGGCCGTCACCACTCTCGTTCATCACGATTGGGAGCATCTCTATTATTTCTTTGACCATGAACATTGGTCATGCTAGCAAAGTCTGCCTCGCTGCCATCACGACTTCTGCACCGTAGTAGATTCTACACGACGTCGACTTCGACTTTCCGTTCTGTACCAATTTTGCCTGATGCCTCATTGACGACCTTTCAAAAACACGCCTTCGTTCCTGCCGTGCCATATTTGTTACCTCGAGAATCATTCTCTTCGATTCTTGCCATACGGAAATGGTTTCATGAGTCTTCAGAACGGGCTTTTTGTTACCATCTCAATACTGCCTATCTGAAGAAATGGGGCTCAACTGTTGTTCCTCTGGAGATTACCAACGAACATGGTAAATTCGCCCAGATACATCAACCTCTACAATTCTTTCTTGAGTAAGTCTGGCCATGTTCTACTCTGGTGGGATTTCAATGTGCTGATCATTAGCAGTGCTTGTGAGCTTGAAACCAAAGCTAGCATATACCTAGCACAAGCTTCTTTGTCTGATCTACCGTCTTTCCTACTGGAAGATCTCCCTACGCCAGAACTCGTATCAAAAGCCGGGAAAGGCGATGTCTATGACACGAGCATTTGGCTAGGCCAAGCACCCACTTATACGCCTTTGCATCGTGATCCCAATCCGAACCTGTTTGTGCAACTGGCTGGTAAGAAGCAAGTCCGTCTCTTCAAGCCTGACTTGGGCAACGCCATCTTCCACCACGTCCAAGCCAGTATTGGAGGAGCTGCAAACGCTACTATGAGAGGCGCTGAAATGATGGAAGGCGCTGAGCGTGCTGCTCTCGAACAAGCTGTTTGGCATCCTTCTTCGGGTGCTTTCTGGGCATCGGAAGGACTGCAGTGTGAACTTGGTTCAGGTGATGGTCTCTTCATCCCAAAGGGGTGGTGGCACAGCATTAAAGGTGTCGGTCAGGGTATGATTGGCTCTGTGAACTGGTGGTTTCGGTGATAAAATGATTGGTGTGAGGGCTATCATCTGATCAGATTGTAGCTGTACACCATGTGTATGTTAAGCCTGTTTCCTGTACCAATACTATAACAATGTAGATTGCATGCATATACGAGGACGGAGATGGCTCAGATAAGGATACTGTTTTGTGTATTAACTCGCTCTTGATCTCTTTCTGAAACAGAGCGACTCTTTCCCTTCGTCTTCTACGTAGACATTTGTCGAATACGGCACATTAATCGAGGGCATGGTCGATATACTTTGCGTATACCCTTTCGCTTGGCGTCGCCCGGCCAGACCTGATCCGAGTCAGCACGCCGAAGCATCGTGTCAGCGAATTCGAGACGACCACATGAATGATTCAATATATCACCGATAAGCCTCCCAGTCCCATGCCTTCTTCCAATAACCACCAACAGTAATGTCTTTTCTGCTACGAGCAGACGTCCTAGCGACAGTAGCAGGCTGCTACCTCCTGACAGTAGCTTACCTCCGCAACTACCGCAAGCACCAAAAACACCAACAATACAACCCCAAATCACTTTCCAACCTCACCCTCTCCGAAGCCCAAGAGATCCAACTCTACGTCTTTGACCGCGAGTTTCCCTTTCTCGCTCAGAAAGCTTTGGAATTTGCTCTGTTTCGCACCTATGGAATCCCTTCTATTAGCTCTTTACTCATGCACACGAAACAATTGTCTACCAAACAACATGCTTCCAAGCGGATGACGGATACTTCTATTCTTATGCTGGAGATTATCGTCAACCCCCCAGCGAGCAAAAGATCGACAGAAGCACTTGCAAGGACGAATTTCTTGCATAGTCTGTATGGCGCCAAAATCTCCAACGACGATTTGCTGTATACATTGAGTCTATTCCTACTGGAACCTATTCGCTGGATCCAAAGACACGGATGGCGAAACCTGACAGACATGGAAACTGCAGCTATGGGTTTGTTCTGGCTGAAAGTGGGCCAAGGGATGAAGATCGATTTTTCGGTTTTGCCTGGCGCGAAAGAGGGGTGGAAGGATGGATGTGAGTTTATGCGTGAGTTGGAGGTTTGGAGTGATAGATATGAGGAAAAGTATATGGTACCTTCGCAGAGTAACAAGGAGACTGCGGATCATACGACTGAGTTGTTGTTGTATCCTGTTCCTGCTGCGTTCAAGGATGCTGGGCGCAGAGTTGTTAGTGCCTTAATGGATAAGCGCTTGAGGAGAGCTATGCTGTGAGTCCCTCGCTTTGGCCTTCCCCTCCATAGAAGGCACTGACATAATTGATAGATATCCGGATCCGCCAGGGATCTTGCAATGGTTAGTCGACAGCGGACTGGCTGCTCGCAAGCTAGTTCTACGGCACTTGACTCTACCAAGGCCATATGTCTGGCGCAAACAGATCGTTGCCGACCACCTCAACGCAAACGATAAAGTCTACAAACTCATCTGGGATACAGAGCCATGGTAAGTTTTGGACGTCTTCTTCGCGCAACCCTGTTGGCACTCATGACTGACCATTCTTCTTCAGGTATGTCGAGTCTTCATTCGCAAACCGCTGGTGTCTCCAATCGTGGATAGATTGGATGGCAGGAAGACCAATCCCCGGCGACGAAGGAGACAAATACTTCCCTCAAGGCTTCAAGTCTTCAGTAATGGGTCCTGCATTCTTGGCTGGAAAGGTGCTTGCACAAGCTGAAAAGGATGAAGAAGAGATTCGAGAGATTATGAGACCTGATGCGACGATAGCTGGCTAAGCGTCTATTCAGATACCGATGAGAAAGATTAAAATGAAGCGATAGAAGGGTGGCAAATCTGATGTGCCAGGGACTCTCAATATGCCAATTGAGGAAGTCACGTCCAACCAGCACCTACCTGTTCTGCCCCTTACAACGCCTCAACACTCAACTCCATCCTTTCGAGGATTTATGTTCATCCAGAAATCATTTATTTCCATCACTAGCAGCGGTGGTCTAGTGGTCAAGACGCCTCAGCTTTACCTTCTTGCAAACACAAGAGGCCAACGGACTCCACGTGCTTCGGCATTGTATTCTGAGCGCCAGCGGTTGAGGAGATCGCAGGTCCGAATCCTGCTCGCTGCAATTACTTTTTGCGTTTTTTGTTCATCCACAGTTCTACAACATGACATGCAACGAATGAAGATCTAGCCTTCTTTTTTGTCAAGATTTGTAATTTCTATCATACTCCTGACTATTGCAAAGAGCATTACTAGACAATGAAAAGGCACGGTTGTTTTCAGGACCAAAGGTATGGCCAAGGAGAGGTCATGATCTGTCGCCTCTTACCAGGCCCTACCATATTTCCTGGTTATGTCTTGCGTCTTCATAGTCACACACCTTCAATACTTCGCACACGCGGAGGAGGTCACCAACGACAAGACTGCCGAAAAAAAAAAAGTTTTGATTTGGTCGACGCTATGCTATTGTTCAGAGATGCTCTAGCAAATCTTCAGTGGATCAGATGTAGTCACGATCAGCGTAACTCTGGATAAGACCCTCAGGATTAGCAGGATACTCCTTGAGAACAACCTTGTCACCCTCGATGAAAGTGTTTGCCTGCACAAAGACCTTGCGAGGAGGAGCTGCTGCCAGAACAGCAGGTCTGACCTTGGTAGCGAACCACTCGTCCACACTGGTGATACCCTCGTACAGTTCTTTACCTGCCTTGAGGTCTGCAGTAGCCTTGTAGACTTGGAGCTTTTGCAAGAACTTCTCGACAGCAGGACGGCCGTGGGTAGCGATCTTGGTTCTATCGAGCTTGATGGTAAGGTCACTGAGATCATCCTTGGTGTATTCGAGCTTGCAGAACTCTGGCTCAGACAGGAAGACCTTGAGAATGGCGTGACGGGCTTGCATGTGTGCCTGTCCCCACTTCTTGGCTTCCACATTGTAGAACTGAAGAGCAGCTACACCAGCGCGAGCCATGGACAGGTATGCGGCGTAAAGGACGTTTCCAGCTTCTCCATGGAGGTCCTATGTCTGAAGTCAGCAGGTGATCCACTCCAGCGTAATTCTGTTATCTACCTCTTCTCCATTGCCAAAGCCGAAGATCTGGAGAATGCCGTAATCAGGACACAGGGCCATAGCGACACACTCTGCTCTGCATTCCTCGTAGCTGGGACCCATACCACCAAACACCGATCCCCAAGTCTCGCCAGGCTTGTAGTAGGAAGTGATCGGCTTCTGCGTGATTGGGGAAATAGGAGGGTTCTTGTGATCGAAGTTGAACTTGCCAGGCTCAGTCTCTTGCAGAATCTTACCGCAACCATGACCAAGCAGCTCGTGAAGACCGACTTGAACTTCAAAGGCAGCATCGGCGTACTTCTTGTACAGATCCATGTCCTCGTCCTTGATGAATGGGATCTTCTCGTTCGGGGGCTTGGCCGAGAGGACGTTGGACAGACTGACGTTCTTGAAACCACCTTCAGGATCCTGGCGGACACTGTCGTAGTTGGGAATGTTGATACCAGCAGGGATACCTGATCCTGCAAATGTAAGGACGTCCAGTGCAGTGAAGTCAGGCGCAACGAAGCTCTTCTCAAATTCGGCAGGCCAAGGAAGCTTTTGGATGTTCTTGGGGGCTTCAGCAACAAGATGAGCAAACGCCTTAGTACGCTCCTTGTTCACCATAGCGACAAAGCCCTCCCATTCTCCACGGATACCATGAGGATCGCGATAGGTCTCGATGAAGCCAATGTTCGACTCGACATCAGGTCCCTTATCCTTGATCCAATGCCGCTGTGATTGGACATGGGCGGTCATGGAGCCAGTCTTGAAAGACTTGACATACTCACTGTGCATATCGCTCTGGTATTGGTTGGCTGAGTGCTTCTTGGCTTCGGTGAGGAAAGCTGCGATCTTCTCCATCTCCTTTGCATGGTCACCATACTTGAGAGTGACTTTCTTACCCTTGACAGGTTCGGCATCCAGTGTAAAAGAGGTCTCGGGAATATCTCTGTCTGACTTTGCAGGATCAGTTTCTGCAGAAGCGATCAGGAGTTCGAAGTCTCCTGATGATAGCTTCTTCAGACGTGTGTTTTCAGGGAGTAGATTTCCATTCTCCTTGACAAAGTCTGCCACGGCTGCAATCTCGTCCTTGCTAATTTCAGAAGAGTCAGGGTAGTAAGTGGTGAGGTGCTGAGGTGGGTAGCCAAGATGCATCAGATCTTCAACCTTGGTCTCATAGAAAGCATCCTTGCACAGCTCGTAGTGCTTGGATGCGCCGGACACCTTTCCTAGAGCCGCAAGTTTTTCTGGGGCCAAACGAGGGATGAACTTGGAGTCACCGAATGATTTGTAGTTTCCGGCATTGCCAAGAAATTGGGCGGCGTAGTTCAACCAGTGGTTCATGTCCTCATCATCAAGACCAGTCTCAGACTTGAGCTTCGAGTAGTCACCATTGCATTGCTTGTGCAGACTTAGGATAAAGTCGTAAATGGGCTCGGACTCGGGGGAAACCTGTCTGAGGACAATTCTAGTTCCAGCAAAGCAAGCACTACTGATATAATGCGAATAGAGCTGCTCAGTGTGGGCAAGTGCTTCAAAGTGCGGCTTGATTGCCAGAGGGACGACAGATGGTGGGCTGTCAGCGAGATACTGCTTTTTCTTCGAAGGGTCCATGTTGAGCTTGACGTATGTTTGGTCGTTGGGTAAGTTGCTGTGAACGTTGTCGTGTGCTTGACACCTTGCATCAATGCGGGATGGCTGCCTGGTGTCGGCATCTCGGTTGATCTACTCCGACCAGGGTCACCTTTAGACAAATTCTTGGCCGGCAAGAGCAGAACTCACGGTGGTTTTACTACTTTGGTATCGACATGCTATCAACCCAAACGATGCTGAGCCTCCACCAGTAGCAGCAGCATCTGTCCGCCTATCCAAACAGCCGGACGACTTGTGAACGCCCGTTCTCGATGGACTGCAAAGCGCCTGCCGCAAGAGTCTTTGCGGACTGCCTCCCAACCTCGGTCTCACCCCAAGCATCGCCACTTATGAGATGAAAATGCAACGCTGAGATATTGTTCGTCGTGAAGAATCGGAAGACTGTCAAAGTGGCTAATCCAGTGCGCTTCCGATAACGATGCGTTGTTTGCCGTAGCGAGTAGTTTTCTCACTTATCCTTCCTCTTTGAGACAAGGAGTGCGCGCTACAGGGCACGGTGCTCATGAGCTTTCGCATGGACTTACCAAATCGGACATCGTGGGGTTGGCCAAAGTTTTGAGATTCAGTTGACAGACAAATTGTTGGTCACCAAAAATCAAGCGCCTGAGAGCCATATCATTGCGAATGAATGTGACAAGCACAATTGAGGTGCAAATGACTATTATCAGCGTTCTGAGAGGAGCATGATCGCAAACTTCACGTTTGATATCATGTCTACGGCGAAAGCGGGCAAGATGCATGAATGGTATACGGAGATAGGCACAAGTGCCCCGCGACCCTGATTGCGGATCGTCGTCTCCACAGTGCCATGAGTAGGTGTCTTATCTTTCTTGCGGCCTCTGGCCATGTTATAAACCTTCTTTGCCCCGCTGTCTTCCTCTTGCTTTCCCACAAAGCACCTCTTCACAATGTCTCTCCAGCAAAGCGAATCACTGCCTGTCCGCACATCGAAGACAACCGTGTCTCACCCACTCGCGCCACTGTCAGCACAAGAGATCCACACAGCATCTTCTCTGATCCGCACACAATGGCCCGAGAAGACGGACTTGCAGTTCAAGGTCCTCACGCTCGAGGAGCCTGCAAAGGCTGAGATGGTCCCTTACCTGGAAGCCGAGTTCAAGGGACAGAGCCTCCCTAGCATTGACCGCCGAGTCATGGTTGCTTACTACATCCGCAAGACCGTAAGCAACTATCATCATCTTGTTGGATAGTACAGATACTAACCTCTGGCTAGAACAAACTACACGAAGCCATCGTCAACCTGAGCACGTCAACAGTTGAGAGCAACGTTAGACTCGGTCCCAACGTACACGCTGCAGGAGATGGAGAAGAAATCTTGGACATTGAGAAGTTGGCCCTTGAAGACGAGGGCGTGCAGGCTGAGATTGCAAAGCTGCAGCTACCTGAAGGCACTGCTGTCGTCTGTGACCCCTGGATCTACGGCTCGGACGGCGTGGGTGACGATGAGCGCATGTACCAGTGCTTCCTGTACATGCGTGACCCCAAGAACACCAACGAACTCGACTCGAACCACTATGCTTTCCCTCTTGCCATCTCGCCCGTCCTCAGCGCTGTCGAACGCAAAGTCATTCGCATTGACATCATGCCTACTGGAAAGGACAACACCATCAAGCCTACACAGCCCTGGAAGCCTGTCCATGCCAACGAGTATATCCCTGAGGCCCAGACATTGCGTACCGACCTGAAGCCTCTCCAAGTTCTGCAACCCGAAGGTGCTAGTTTCAGCATCACCAAGGAAGGCACTTCGCAAACTCTTGACTGGCAGAAGTGGTCTTTCCGTGTTGGCTTCAACCAGAGAGAAGGCATGGTTCTTTACAACGTTCGCTACGGCGGTCGCAACGTCTTCTACCGTCTATCACTTTCCGACATGTCTATCCCCTATGGTGACCCCCGCCACCCCTTCCACAAGAAGGCTGCTTTCGATCTTGGCGATGTCGGTGCTGGTGTTATGGCTAATGACCTGAAGCTGGGATGCGACTGCCTTGGTTCCATTCAATACCTTTCCGGTGTTTTGGCCAACGATCAAGGTGAGGCTGAAGACATGCCCAATGTCATTTGCGTCCACGAGCAAGATGGCGGCATCGGCTGGAAGCACACCAACTACAGAACTGGTCGTGCTGCTGTTGTTCGCAACCGTGAGCTTGTGCTTCAGAGCATCATCACTGTTGCCAACTACGAGTACATCTTGGCCTTCATGTTCAACCAAGCTGGTGAGATGACCTATGAAGTCAGAGCTACTGGTATCCTCTCTACTCAACCCATCGACGATGGTATCAGCGTTCCCTGGGGAACTGTGGTCCACCCTGGTGTTCTTGCCACTCACCACCAACACATCTTCTCTCTTCGTGTCGATCCTGCTATCGATGGACACTCCAACCGTCTCGTCTACGATGAGGCTCACGCCATGCCTCGCAGCGACTTCAACCCTCACGGTACCGGCTACTACACAGAAGAGACCGTCGTCTCGCAATCGGGTGGTTACGACCTCAACCCAGACAAGAACCGCACTTTCAAGATCCAGAACGCAAGTGTTCTCAACCCCATCAACGGCAAGCCTGTCGCATACAAGATCCACGCCCCTCCGTTCCAAAAAGGCATTGCCGACAAGGAGAGCTTCAACTACAAGCGTGCCGAGTTCTCAGACCGCAACATCTACGCCGTCAAATACCGCGACGGCGAGCTTTACGCCGGTGGCAAGTACACAAACCAGTCTCGCGGCGGCACTGGTGTTCGCAGCTGGGCCGACCGCAAAGAAAACATTGTCGATGATGATCTCGTCGTATTTGTGCAATTTGGCATTAACCACGTCCCTCGTATTGAGGACTTCCCAGTCATGCCTTGTGAGATTATCAAGGTTAGCTTGAAGCCAGTCAACTTCTTTGACAAGAACCCTGCGTTGGATGTGCCACCGTCCACCCAGGAGTTCAACAAGTCGACGTTGCTGAGCGAGACGCACAAGCAACCTACTGTTGAGGGTATCGTCGGCGGTGAAAACGATTTGTGCTGCAAGACTACTACTACTGGCAGTAAGCTGTAAAAGCATTGAATACAAGAATAGACATAGAATTCATTTGTTATAGTTGATGAAACGAGTTACGTCCTCAATTCTTCTTTTTGACCTTGATTAATCTATCCTTTCCATGTGTCTCGCTGACAGCTTGAGCGAATGGCGAGGTGAGCTCAATTATCCTCCTTGAACCTTCACACAAATCAGCATGCCTTCATTTTCACCATCTCGAAGCATCAACCTACCCAAATCCACAAGCAGGACACTTGTAGAAGATCGTACTTCCCTCATCCGCTCCCCTGGTCTGGAAATCCCTGTACTTCAACTCGGGGTTTTCACACTTGGGACACATCTTCTGCGTTGTAGCCCAAGTGTCGCGATCTTCAGCGGTTAGGACTTGTACGTTCGAGCGTTTGTCGAGAAGACGAGAGGGGAAGGCGTCAACTGCACTGGTGGTTTTGTGAGAGGCGGGCCAGAGGTCTGGATTGGTCAGTTCTCTGGCATGGTCAATTCTAAGGGTTGACTGAGAGGAAGTGTGGTGTTGTACTTTTGTTTAGGGTTGAGCATAGGGTGCATTTCATGAGGAGGTGGTCTGGTGCGTGGCGGTCGAGGATGCTGCCGCAGGATGTGCAGAAGAGGAGGGTTCCTACGAGAGCCATTATGAGTTGTTGAGGTCGTCTTTGATGGCAATCTAGAGAGAGAAATCAATCAGGAATCGCTGTGAAAGTGATCAAGAGCTATCATGCAGGGCACCGTGATGCGACTAGTGAATCCGGCGCTTGTATCCTTCGCTTTCATTTGTTGGCGAAGGAACTCGAAGGATTATGAACATGCGAATTGGTCTGTTTGCTCCTTCCATTGTGGTGATCATGATTGGTTGACTACCGTGAGTTGCATTAGGAGGACTTTCAGAAGTCCAGAGAGCTAGATGGTTTCTCCTTGCTTACATGCTATTGCAGTTAACTCTTGTTAGGCACAGAGTTCAAAATCTTTGAGATACAGAAACGGATGCCATATCGTTAGCGCAGGTAGAGCCGATGTTAAGTTCAAGATTGTGTCTCAGCAGTGCAGAGACTAAAGTGGTGATTGTGTTTAGATACCATATCTGATAGTTGCTGTTTCCTATAGGGAATAAAACAAACTGTTCAGCAAAACACAACGTCGTGTGCCCTGCAGAACAAGAACTTCAACAAGGAAGGAGCGACTTCCTAAGGTGTGTTGACAAAAAAAAGTACGGAATGGACAAAATGTAGGTTCATAGCGCTCTCGCACCATGTCTTCTAATGAACCTGACCCGATTTGAACGGATGACCTTGTGGATGTCCCGGATGACACTGGAATCACACGCGCTACCGCTGCGCCACAGGTCCATTGATGCAAACGCACGCGGCAGAGGTGAATAACAAGATGAGACACGGAAAATCTTCGGTTGCAAAATACGTGGAATGCAGCTCGATCTGAGACCACGGGGACCGATTCGATAATGAGGCTTCTCTGTGGCATTGTTCGAGCATCTGGGATGAGCAGTTCAATCGCGAAATTCGTTCGTGTGATTTTTTGGGCAATCTTCGAGGCATTTCTCTGTTCTCTAAGTTGACCCGATCTCCTCCTGGAAGAACCTTTGCCTGTTTGCTCCTTGTCTGCCGACGTGTTGGCACAACTCCCTCGTATGCAAAAGACTGTCAGCCTTTGGTTGGGTCTCTTCTCATAGTGACTTGTATCGATACTTCTGGCTTCAACATACATAGTACCTTCTGGAAGGATTGCCAACCACAGAGATCGTTCTGTTAAGGTCTTTCTGTGGCCTTATCTCCACCACGAAACCTATTCTGCATTCCAACGTCTAGACTGTGAAAGACTTGCGCACATGGGAGAAGCAAAAGGATGGCAATGTATCATGTCTAGAATCTCATTGTTCGATTCAATGGTTCGTATCTTCATATCTTCGTAACCACCCTTTTTGTGCTCTGATTAGACCCTCGTTATCCTCTCCCATCTCAACCTCTCTTGCTTCCCCTTGTCATCGCCTCAAGCCATTCCAGCAACCCTCAATGCCCTCTCCAATCTTTGGATGTCCTGCACGCGATGTTCGCCATTCTCAGTGTCAACAGCGGCAAGATCTCTGGAGTGAAAGCTGTTGACTCCGTAGTGATTGACGTCTTCATCCCAGTCTTCGTGCATGTTGTAGTTGGTTTGGTGTTCGTTCCACACGCGACGTCTTGGTAGTTGTTGGTACCGCATAGTTCTTCTTCTGCGTCTGCGAGGGCAGATGTGCTATCCGTGGTCAGTGGTCGGCAAATCAATCTAAATTCTGTATATCGATGAAAGAGGTGGAAGTCGACGCAAACAGTCAAACAAACAGAAAGAAAAGGCATAACTTACAAAACACCCACGACGACGAATACACATCAACCCCATGACCAAAAACACCAAGAAAGAAACCAAGACATAGGCTTCCAGCACAGCCGTAACAGGCGTGGTCCATTCTGCCATATACCTATCTCACAAGAACCAAAGTTATTAGTCTCTTTCACGTGCTCTCGTTCAACAAAAAAACCAGGCATTGTATCAAAAAAAAACTTACCAAGGCAAATTGCTGTTGTATGTGGAGGAAGTGGCATTGTCGTCGTTGTTGAAATTGAGGCTGTCACTAACACCAATAGAAGGGACTGCGATCATGTGCATGGCGTTTGGGGATCAAGGAAGGTGGTAAACGGGTTCTTAGGTAATTGATCTGCAAGGGCGATGCGTGCGGCGTTGGTAATACGGTGCGAAGGAACAGTAAAAAGAGGCATTTATTTGTACACCCCTCCTCAGGGTCCAGGGTTACAATACTAGGTCAGACACAATTGTTCCACGAAACGTAGAGCATTGCGAGCAGATGAGAGGAGGTGGGTTGATATGATTCTGCTTTTGTTCTCTCACAATATGCAAGTCCAAAGCATTCTTCTGCCATGCGTTATCATTGTTCCTGTTATTACAATCGCTCCCAACACCACCCCATTGATTCACACGCACATTAGGTTCATGACTTATCCCAAGGAAGGGAGAAAGTACCAACCCAGTCTTCAACTTCCTTTCTGAGTTGAACGATCTCAGTAATCTCCTCACCCTCACCAACATATTCTCTGAAGGCGTTGACGCTGCCAGGGTTCTTACGACCAGCCTTCTCAGCAGCCTCCTTTGCGACACCATCCAATCTGCGAGTGAGTTCAACAGCGCGGTGGACGACATCGGCGACACGCTTGAAGTCTTCGGGTTGGAAGCCGCGAGTTGTCATGGCGGGTGTACCCATACGAAGACCGCCAGGCTTCATAGCCGACTTGTCACCAGGGACAGTGTTCTTGTTAGCAGCCACGCCGACAAGCTCAAGAATACGCTCGACACGAGCACCATCAACGTTTTTGTCCTTGAGATCAATCAGAACCAAATGGTTGTCAGTGCCACCAGAGACGATGGTGTAGCCTAGACCGCCCTTGTCTTTGCTGTTTCCAAGGCGAGCAGCAAAGGCCTTTGCGTTTTCAAGAACAGTCTGTTGGTACTGCTTGAACTCGGAGGATTGAGCCTGTTGCAAAGCGACGGCCAATGCAGTAATGGTGTGGTTGTGAGGTCCACCTTGATGGCCAGGGAACACTGAGGAATTGATGGGGCCTTCGAGATCGTACATGACCTCATTACCCTTCTTGTCGGCACTTCTGACACCCTTACGGTAGAAGATCATGGCACCACGAGGGCCGCGCAGAGATTTGTGTGTTGTGGTAGTGACGACGTCAGAGTAGTCGAAAGGTGAGGGGATGACGCCGCCAGCGACGAGACCGGAGATGTGAGCCATGTCGGAAAGGAGGTATGAGCCGACGCTGTCGGCAACCTCGCGGAACTTCTTGTAGTCGATCAATCTGCTGTAGGCCGAAGTGCCAGCGATGATGATCTTGGGACGGTAGAGAGTGGCTAGCTCGTGCAGCTTTGTGTAGTCGATCAGACCAGTCTTCTCGTCGAGTCTGTAGGGCAGTGTCTCGAAGTACTTTGAGATGGCCGAGATCTTTCTGGTAGGAGTTTGGTAGCCGTGTGACAAGTGGCCGCCGTGGGGGAGATCGAGACCCATTATACGGTCATGAGTGTTCAGGAGGGCCGAGTAAGCGTAGAGGTTGGCGGGTGATCCAGACAGGGCTGTGAAGTATATGAGCTGGTGTATACCACGATGATTGACAAGAAGTGTAGCATACGCTGGACGTTGACACCCCACTTCTCAGGGTCGAGGCGGAAGGCCTGAAGAGCTCTCTGTTGGCAGAGTCTTTCGGCCTCGTCAATGTGTTCGTTGCCGCCATAATATCTTGCTCCGGGGTATCCTTCCGAGTATTTGTCTATTTCGGTCAGCGTATGGCCATGCTGATCGGACAGGGAACCGCCCTACTTTGCATAACACTGCCCAGGGCATCCAAGACAGCTTGCGATGTGAAGTTCTCGGAGGGAATCAGGTTGATAAAGTGCTTTTGCCTCCTCTTCTCCTATGCGGGGGTTAGACTCTGGTATAGTAGCTGTAGTTGGAAGTGTCGGACCTTTTGGATAATGTTGTAAACGGTAGGATCAGCCTCCTCGAGGTCGGCAGAGAGCAGCTGGTCGAAAAGTCAGTCATGTCGTCGTGGTTGCTTGGTGGCGCATTGACGATGGTCCATGGTACCTTCTGCTGTCCTTCAATGGACATAGCGCGTCGTGTTTGGAGTTGGACGGGGCGGTATGCCTCAGCAAACGGCCGCCTGGCAACTCGTGCCGCCCGCAGCAGCGATGTCGTCCTCAAGGCTGACATTGTGTGTTGATTGACAAGAAGCAACGACTGCCAGACCTCGTCGCTGCGTCTCTCGCGACTGTCGACATCACTCACCTCCGCCTGCCTAGCAACATCATCCCACTCGGGCCACTTCCGCGTCTCTTGACTTCCCCAACTGGCTAGCGCTGGAGGGCTCGTGCGCAACGCCTATTTCTTGCGCACTCGCCTGGCAACCTCTTTCCCTCCTTCACAACTAAAATCCCGTGGATGAGATGACTTATCTGGCAGACAATCTCACTCGCAAGGCTTTTGTCGCGCGACGTGGGTGTTGCTGAGACGTCCGGGGTCCCCAACCACCGATTTTGCAGGCGATTTTCGCACTTTCTGAGGGACTGTAAAAGTTGTATTTCGTGTCGTCCAAGACACTGCTTCATTCGACATCATGCAGTCCATGTTTATGACCGTCAGTATTATAGCTATGACTGTCTTGAGTTCGTTGTGTTTGGCAAAGGTCGTGAATGTTTGGATTTGATGCCTCGATTGGGTCACTCAGACCTCACGTCCTACGTCTGTTTGTGCATATCTGTCTAGCGCGTCGTGCAATCGACCAAAGACGCCTCCATGCCATCCTCTCATAACTTCCCATTCAGTGTTTTCGAGGGTTCTGCTAGCCATCCGTAACCATGCACCAACGATCAGATCTGCATAGCTAGCCTTTGTACCGAGCACAAAAGGCCCGCTTTCGTCTCTCTTGAAGACATTGGCCAGACCTTCCAGCTTGCGCTTGAAAGATAGCATCATTTGCTCTCGCGGTTCGCCAACAAATGCGAATGCATCAAATGAGTCGACGCCTGCACGCTTGACAAAGACCTGCTCTCCGGCCGCGTCCAATTGCATGCCGTGTGCCATGAGTATAACATGCTCTGTGAAGACTGCATCTACGCTCATGTTAAACTCGGCATAGTTATCATGCTCTCCTCCGCGGGTATCTGTCAGCGGCACCGGAGATGGCTGGTCTGGCGTGTACACATAATCCAGTTTCTGCTCTGGAAACAGATCTGGGCCCGAGCCTGGATATGTTTTCTGCAAATACACGGCGATATCGAACGAATCACCAATCTTCTCCTCTGTGTTGGGATCCGTGATCACAGGGAGAGTGTAGTAGTCGCTGCCGTTGCCCCAAGTTCGACAAGCAGGGACTCCAAGGCCTCGTCGAACCTTTTCCACGTCCGGCAAAGGCACCCAGGTCGTGTTGTAGGCTACGGCCTTGAGATTCAGTGCGAGCCTGGTCTTCCATGGATTTGGAGCGCTGTTCGTCTCCTCGTATGGTGCTCTGAACGCTATGTCGTAGAACACAATAGGCTTGAGAGGCGCTGAAGACATGACTTGAGAAGGCAAGTGATGGTGAATATGAGTATGTGAAATTTAAGATTGAAGCCACGTCCTGGCGGAAGACAAGATTGCGTTGGTTCTTGTATATGCCTGTCCAGCAGGAGATGTATGCTTTATATCTTCTACAATAGAGTCTTGTACCATGTCAGCTTTGGGACACCGTCACATCTTGGTATGAACATTTTATACGAATACGAGCTTGTCGTAGCTGGTATGACCCTGTTCCCATCTTGCAACCTCAATCACTAATCACTACACTGGTTGGGCGGGCTCTATTTCTATACGGCACTGAGCCTACTCGGGCGCCACAACTAGAGTGTCTTGACTCGCTCGGAATAGTCGGGAGATATGTGCAACGGAGGATACGAGGAAAAGCGATCACGAATCATTAAGTCAGCCAAGACCGCCAGCAAAGTCATAAAGCAGTCAGCCTGCCTTCATGAGAAGTAACAATCATTCCTTGTTTAGCAGAGTTTAGCAGAGCATAGCTGAGAGTAGGGCACATCGTCGAATGGTCCTGAGCAAGCTATACAATCACAATTTTTCTCTCAACCTCGCTTCGCCATCTGCACTTGAAGAGAGTATCGGGACTGATTCCGGGGTGGTTGAAACGTGAGTCCAAACACGTGAAAGAAGTGCATTTCGGCGAGGCCGACATCTTTTGACGATCATCACGGTCTGTCTGGTTGAGGACGGAAAGTGACCATCGACGGAATCCTGCCGTCCTTACCTAGGTATGTATCAGGACGAAAAGCCGTTCCGATATTGCTGCGCCGCCTTCTAGCTGTGTGGTGTGCCTTTGACGTTCCAAACCATGCATTGCCTTGAGTCAGATGTCAATGGGCGCACCTCGCAAATCTTGATACTTTGCTAGCTGCGGCTGCTTACGCCGCCCCCTGCAAACAATCAAAACCAAAACCTTCCCAGAAAATTCCCAAACGGCCTTGATGCCCCGGAGTCATGTCCCATCGCTAACTCTGAATGTCGTCAGTGCTTTATGGTTCGGCATTTATCTACGTCGTCGCGTAAGCTCCTTTCTCAAACTCAGAACTGTACGGCCATGGAGACCTAGCTGTTTACAGCATGCCCTGCCGAGCACCAACGCTCCGAGCATGTCCCCGACACTGTATAGGCCACACTCAATAATTTCAAGCTTCCGCTAGGTGATTTCCTCGCGGGGCTGACTTATACATGTACATGTCCCTCTGCAGACCACTGCGAGTCGCTTTTTCCGATCATCGCATCTTTCTATCCTTCCCTTAAACCAGCCTTGTGTGCCACCATTTTCTGCCCGAATCAACTGTGATTTTCATTACTGGAACAACTCTTCTGAATACTGCATCTTGGTAGCCTTTCAAGCATCTTTCTAACCCATCTCGAACGTCCTTGCATGTGCAATACCACCTGGATTTTGACATTCTCCAACAATCACACTTCACAAGATGGCACCTGTTACCAAAGCTCGCAAAACTCAAGGCACAACAACCAGGCCTTCCTCGCGATATAATGATTCATTCGATCTGAAATACACCACTGCACCCACTTCACAAAGCCTTGATGCACCGACAACGAAGCCCATATTGAATTCCTATATCGACGACAGCAATCAATATTCCACCACATCCCTGAAGCGCAAGCGTTCGTCATCTCCTCCCAGCAGTCCAAGGTTCTCGACTGGCATCAACAGTGACTCTGCTTCAACTTGTGGATTCCTCGAACTAAGCCCAGTACACCGAGATCCGCTACCCATGACCCTGACTGTCGAAGTTCCGCCTGGCCATGAAGGACCCCTAGTCGTAGATCTTGACATCAAGTCTTTGCTTGCCCAAGCCCAGTCTTTGACACGCCCACTTTCGGCATCTCTCTCTCCACGCTCTAACTCATGTGCGGATTCTGGTTATTCGAGTACATCAAGCGTTACCTCAGAAATCAGTAAACCCAGCACAACCTCGAAACGCAGCTTTCTGGACCTGCCAGCCGAAATCCGCAATCAGATCTATCGACTCGCCTTTGTCTCGGACGAAAATTTGGACTTTGCATATCCCAACAACTTCAGTCGATCTTCTTCATTACTTCAGACCTGTCGTCAGATTCATGAGGAAGGTCGCAGTATTCTATACTCAGAGAACACCTTCTACTTTCAGCGCCGTAAGAAGGAGCAAGCTGTCCGCTGGAGTACGGACGTTTACGAAATTGGCTACAAGGATATCCGATTCTTTCTCAAAAGCATTGGCCTTGCTAATGTCAGTCTGCTTCGCCGGGTCATCATCATGTTTGAAGATGCTCAACCTTCAATGAACACCCATCTCAAGGACGCCGACGAGCGAAGATTCACTAACGACAACGAGCTGATGGACATACTTCGCATACTTGGTGATCACACCATGCTCAAGACCTTAGACCTGTGCTTCCAAGGACGACGGACGTTTTACAACAAAGACGAAACGCATTTTATCCAACATCTTACAAGGATCAAAGCGGATCAGGTCCAATGTATCAACAACCCGGATACACCGTTCTCTAACTGGAAGGGCCTTTCAAAAATTGCTTCGGCAGATGCAGGTCGTCTCATACATGAGATGACACGACGAGTCACGATCTTTCGCTGAGTCGTGAAGCATATTTGTCACTGACAATGCTATTCATACCTCTGCTTTCGCAATCGGAAGCAGTATCGGGTTCATGACTCTAACAATGGATGACGTCCCTATTTTTGTATTGCATTCAGCGTTGCATTTCCAGCATATTTGGTTTACCCCTTGCCTCACCATGTGCTTGACGACCTTATGACGGCGGTGTTCGGGAGAGATGTATTTGTTGTCAATATCAATGCTTAGTACACGGCAGACATGTATCGAGACTCAGACAGGGGGTTCGCCTTCGAGTCAAGGAATTTTTCGGTACTTCAACGCTGTGTTACGGCATGTGTTTGCCTCGTCGCCTTCTTTAAAATTTCTCGTAAACAACATGTCATGAAATTCTAACGTTCGAACGTCTCACGATTCGTACCCTCTATCAATTTCCCGTGTCTGTTGCGTAGCATGACTCCAGATGTCTCATCATGCGATTCAGCTTTCTTAACATCCTTCAAGTTATACCTCCACTTCGTATCTGTCATGCATGGATATCCGATGCAGGCTGCTTGCCAGTGTGATGCAGGCCATGAATCGTATATTGGCTGTTGAGTATAGCCTCAATCCTGTAGGCAAATTCGCAATGGCCGCTGATTCAGCAATAATCCTTTGAGATGGGCGGGTGTCGACCAGATAGGTATTGAGTAACCTCCATGCGGAGTAGATGTGGGTTGCTTGCCTATTACAAGGCAAGAACGAGCCGCTTCATCTACGAGTCCATTGTCGCTGTTCATGCCGTCGATCTGCTCTTCCGCAGCCTTGCCGCCCGCGAGTTCTATCGGAACCGACCGACGACGACTCGAGGAGAGAGCCCCTGACTCGATGCCTAGGACAGCGAGGTACTGATGTATCTCGCGTATGTACCCTATGCACCCAGTCGCGGATGGTCCCGAGCACGAACACATCTGGCGCAAAGTCAAGACGACGATGCTTCTTTCCTCGTTCGTTCTCAGGCGGCCTTCCTTTTTGAGAATAACTCAAATCGACGGTCTCGAAGTCTCAACCTTGTCATCGTCTCCAGACACGCAAACTTGTGAGCGTCGTGTTCTAGCACGCAGCAGATCATTAAAAGCCTCAATTCCGTGAACCCCCGCCGTCAGCCTCAGATTGAACGACAGTCTTGGTCCTTGAAGGCACGCCCGCCATTCAACTGGCTCGGCTCGACGACATTCGTTTACGAGTCAGCACCGATCCTGCTCTACCCCATGAATCGTGCCCTACCCTGCTGGCTGCATAATGGTTTCTCCAACCGACGGGCCGCCGCCGCTTCCAGGGCTGCCACATCTACCTGTTCTTCCACTTAGCACATCCTGCAACATACCCTGATTCAATGTCCCGATTACTATCGATTGCTTACAAAGATTGTCTTAATCAGACATCACTGACAGAGAAGATGAGAAGGTGCGTGTCAAAAGGAAAAGACATCGTCTGCACCGTGAAGCACTCGCTGTCAAGGAGTCCGGGTCTCAGACGTTTGTTTATTCTTCTGCCTGTGCAGCATTTGATGGTTCGAACTTCCGTGGAGAACAGGAGATGTCGCCAAAACGCATGATTAGATCGATCTACCTTTTTTTAAGCTCCAATACGCCGACATGTCACTTGGGCTTTGGCTTTCTGTTGCCAACAATTCTACCTACCTTCCACCAACGCACTTTTCCGATGTCTCAACAGAGTTTACCGCCCTGTTCACCACCCGCATTCCTGGGTTCGTAATTCACCTGCCCCCAGTCCCAGAAAGTGGTATGCCTCAAAAAGTCAAACCCATGGTGCTGATCACCCAGAGCGCGGTTTTCGCTCACGAAAGCTTATGGACATGACTGGACGTGACATGCATGAAGCTCGAAATCGCGACTGTTGTTGATCTCTACCTACAATACAACCCTGCCTCGTGCTCACAAGCTTGTGATCATGCAACATTCGTTTGGACAATGTTGTTGGCCAACAGGACCCTGAGACCCATGCGTTCCGGACGCCCTCCACTGTGCTCTGCAGAGCACTTTTTACGTCTTCGATGGTTGATACAGACCATTACTCAGTTTTGGCTTCACCAGCAGTGATTAGTTCGAAAGGTGATCGCTAAGGAATTGACAACACGAGAATTCTGCCAACTTCGTGATCAACTGTCTCTGACTTCCGAGCCGCAGTAAAGCGACACCGCACAATTTGATGCTCAATAGGGAGAAATGACGAGTCTGCCGACGACCGGCGTTGTCGCGTTCGGACCGAAACATGTCTGGACCGAACGTTTGACTCGCCGTCAGTCGCCTACACTGCTGACCGCATAGACTCATTTCCTCTTCCTGACGGCTTTTGGGATCATCACTGCGAACAAGTTTTGACTGGTGATACATGTTCGCTTGCATTCGAAACACTGGATGTGAGGTTCAATTCAGTCGATCTCGGACGAACCGTATTGTCGCCCAGAAACATGAAGAAGATTTAGAAGTGTGCCCTATCTGAAAAGCTCGATCTGGGTTTGACACGACTATCGCAATTAGATCTGTTCGATGCACCAGGGGTCGTACTTTCGGTTCTTCACGACGGCTGGTATTGTATAGGTTACATCGGTTGTCCAAGCGAGACTAAGCATTTGCTAGTTCGATCGCTTGTGTCTGGCTTGTCAGTCCCTTGTCAGTGCCAAACATTCACACTCGGTCTCATTACCTGGTCTGGCGATGTCTGAATCGTGCGTTTGGTTCTTCGCTTCGATGCTCTGTTCCTTCTTGCCTTGGCCATCCACTCTCTGGACTATCTTGGTTTTCATGATGATATTTACATATGCCTTTTTGCTTAAGTCATGCACTCTCTGGATAATTTGTCTGTCATATTTATATGAACATATGCCCGTGCTTGTTATATTCAAGTCTGCGATCATACTCATGTACACCTGATATCAACAGTGTAATTTCCACCAGCCAGCCCGTCAATGGTGATCGTGCCATTACTGTCATTCGAGTGCGCTGGCGGCGAAGAAGGACCCCAAACACCACATCTCCAAGGACTTGCTGCAAGACCTGGGTTCTTAATTTGCTTGCTCCAGTGGAAACTCTTGTTATGACCAACACCACGCTTGGAGCTCGACTGGCCAGCATCAGCATCGCCAAAACTGCCTTCAATGGTTATCTTGCCATTGCAACTGAGAGTATCAAGGACAAGACTGCCTTTCGTGCCTGCCGGCGTCGTGAATGTGTACCTGGCTCCACCAGCAGTAACAGAGTAATTAGCAGCATAACTTCCATGACCAACTTCAAACCCAGCTTCCACATTCGTCAAATTGCCAGGTTGAGGATGTGCGACCCAATTCGCTGCATTCAACACATGCAATCCAGCCGCAAACGTCGACAAAGCTAATACAGGACCAGAACTCCAGCCATGAGAATGCGAAATTCGTGCGTCGTCGGCATAGGCAGGGTAGTGCAGTGCGCCGCTAGTGTCGTAGCCTTCGATGTAGGTGCTGTTGGTCATGCGTGGATCGTCGAGCATAAAATCTGCCCACATGAAGCGCATCAGGTCGATGGCGCGTTGAGGTTGCCCGGCGAGGAAGTGGGCTTGGAGCTCGAAGCCCGATATGAAAGGTGAGATCGTTGTACCGGCTTCTGGAGCCGGAGCACCGTACGGTCCCCAGCGTGCAGCGAGAGCGGAGGAGATTGCAGTGCTTTGGTTCGCGGATGCGATGCCCGCGATGATGGACCACACATTGCCGTCCTGTGGATGTAGAGTGGTGGTCTCGTTGTCCTTGTAGAGTGAAGCTGTACTATCCCAGAGAAGTGTGTTTGCGGCACTTGCAATAGCTGTAGACGCATTGGACCAGCTAGAGATATGCGAAGTGTCGTTGACAGCATAAGCCAGTGCAACTGCTACATCCAAGGTATGTTTGAGAATGCTGTTGGCCTCGATATTGTGGCCACCCATACCTACTCTTAACCAATCAAAAGGGGAAGTGACATTCGCCAATCCAGTTTCGTCCACAAAGCTCAGGCTATAGTTCAGACCAAGCTTGAATCTGTTCCAATTGTTCTGAAGGTATTCATCATCACCAGTATAGACCCAGTAATTGTGCAATCCCAGGAGTGTGAATAGGTGATAGTTGAAACTGAAAACAACTTTTCCAAAATCGATAAAACTGTTCTCTGGGAACACATATACGGGTTGAGCAAACCAGGGGAGAGCACCGGTAGTGGTGTTCTGACTAGCAAACAGTTGTTGTAGAGATAGCTTTACAGTAATGGCGTCGTCTGTTGAAAGGAACACACCAGGTACTGAAATGGCAAAGTCGCCGGGCCAGATGAGCTTATCTCGTTTGGGTCCGTCGGTGAAAGCAGAACTGCCGTTTGTCAAGGTGCTGTTGGACCACCACACTGTTGGCACATCTGGGTCAGTGGCATCAAGGTCGACCAGAGAATTGCCCGCTGTGGAAGGAATTGTGCATAGTTGGTCGGTGTAGGCACCTGCGAACGGGTCAGTATACTTGCTTCAGTCCATTGACCTCCTATTTAGCCCAGTGTGTTGTGTGCGCAGCTGCAAAAGTACACAGTGTTCTTTTCAGTCAGGACAGCTTTCGCCGAGAGACGAAATAGTAACGATTTTGTCCGGTCAGGTGCCGAACTCGAGACTTCTGTGTATTTCCACAGCTGCACACTCAGAGGGGTTTGCATGTGGGAAAGCAGAACAGTAGATGGATGGACACATACCAGCATACCAGACTCGGTTGAGCTTCTCGTCGTTACTGTGGAAGTAACCTGTATAGTCGCGAAGACCATCATCAGGAAAATGTGGCATGGCAGTAAAGTAGGTTTGCAGATGGCTCAGGGTAACATTGCCAGTGGTGTTATGATAGACATTTAGATATCTGAAACCGCCACGGTCGTGCAGGGGCTCGACAGAGTAGTTGCCAGGGCCAGTGATCTTGAACCACAATGTCTCGTCGATGGCGATGTTCTGAGTAGCATCAGAGCCGTCAGGAGAGATCCACATGGACGACTCGGTGAATGAGATGCCTATGTATTGTTCGCTATCGGATGAAGAGTTGACGACGAAGGATACCAAGCCGCCGATGTTCTTGGTGTAGTCGTATGTGACAGCTGATACGCTGTTGAAAGTGGTGCCTCCGGATCCGGAGGTCGTGACTCCTGCGGCATTGATGACGGTACCATTAGATTGGTGAACGGATATGGGAGACAGATCTCGCTGCGACGGCGCGAGGATGTACTCGGCATATGGAACAGCGGAAGCCGTGAGACAAAGGAGGGAGGCTAGAGCCACCACTGGTTGTCGATACATGTTGATGCTTTCTATTGTGTTTCTGACCAATACGAATTTACAAGAGAGGCACCCCATACGCTTTTATGGACGCGTATGAGCAAAATTGATGCTTACAGCATCTTACGCTGCTCGGTGCAAAAGCGTCCGAAACATAGAGATCATCGACATCTCAATGGCTGGGCCCTAAGCATGAAAGACAACAGAGTTAGCTCCATCACGTCTAAATCCCAGATTTGACTGGGAAATCAGTTAGATGGCAGAGGCCTCGCTGCAAACAGGGCAGGATATGCAAGGTAAAGGCGGGGGCAAGTGCGGGGATGCGGAGACATTGATGCGAGAGACGGCATTAGTTCTTTCCTTGTCGGAGTGTTCATGATCGAGGCCAAGCAGTTACTCTGCGGAATGTGGAGGAGCAATGCACTAACAGCTTTACATACGGCAAGAGGTCAGTCCTGGACAGAGTGGGAATTCTACCTCAAGTCGGCGGCTTGTCCTTTGCCATCCACCGAGAGGAAACGCTCTTGAGTGGTACGTTTCAATTATGTATCTGTTCATGCTGAGTACAGAGGTGATGAGACTGTCTTTGACACATGCTTTCGCTCTACAGAACATGTGCATTCAAGGCCTTTCCAGCAAACCAGAACAGGCGAATGCAAACAATGTTTCCAGCCCACCAGAGCACGCTTCTGACACCAGCAGCTTGCCTAGAGGTGTTCTGTCTGTAGACCCAGAAGTATGCAGCTCTGACGATGGTGTACACGGTAGCGTATCTGTTGAGCATGCCACTGTCCAACTTGGCGACCATTGAACACAAGACGGCGGCTGCGAAGACGGTGTAGTGTTCCATCGAATTCGAGTGAGCAGCCTGGATACGTTGCATTTGCTCCAACTGCTCTTGTGTGATCTTGCCCTTGGACACGAGTTGTTCGGCGCGAGGGGAGACGAGGTCGTTGCGAGGGTTTATGTTGTTGTCGACACCATAGCCCAGCTTTTGCATGCGGGTTGAGGTGAGGACATAGCTGAGGATGAAGTTGCCGAGCAGGAAGTGAGGGCCGTAGTTGGGAAGGGGTGCAAGCGAGTTGCTGGCTGTGAGGCCGAGGTTGGTAAGCAACGAGGACCTGTTCGAGACTTGTCAGCGCGTTTCGTGTGGGTTGAGAAGGTGGGCATCATGTCGGCATACATAACGAAAAGGCAGCTATCTGTATCAGAATTGGATGTTGGCTGTGGGGATGTAGATGCGAAAGATGAACAAGTCGCTGATGGGAGCTGTCTCAAGCTCTTGACAACGGTCCTCGGATGTCTCACCTTACAGAAGTCTGATTGACCTCATACTCCTACTTTCCGGTGCAATGTTTATCTACACTACAGGACATGCCGGCTGCTACATCGACGTAGCTCGATATCGCCAGTGGTAGCATTTTCACGAGGTCGCACATACATCATGTGTATTGTACCGCGTCTTGACTCGGAACGTCATCCTCAGGGTGTACCTCGTCACGAGTTTGAGGCATAATGATCTTTGTGATCACGATCAGAGCAATGATCATTTATCATGATGATCAGCCAAAGCGTGATATCGAGCGTCATGATATGTCTCATCATGATGGTCGGCTGATGAGAAACATCAGCTTCGAATTCTATGCAAGAAATGCTAAGCGATTGCTCTGCAGGCTGCAGCGTCGTCACTCGAAGACAGATCATAGTTTGTGCCGAGATTTGGGAGATTTGACGGCAGATAATGTCATGTCAATGCCCGGCACAGAACGGACGAGCAGGCGGCCACACCAGATATGGAGCGAAATGAGGGCAGGAAAGCGGGAGCATTTCGCCGAGCTGCTGGGCAGACCTTGCCTCATCCGGATCACTTTAAACTTGTTCCTGTCGTCAACCTAGGGCTCCACGAGACCCTTCATGTCTTTGATGCTACAAGCCCTTTGTTCACATCTTGAAACGACCCTCGACTTCGCGCACCAACCCGACCCTATATTGCTCGCTTCCCATAGATCGAAACCAAGACAATGACTCCGGTCCGGCGGTTGTGATTCTCTTGAACTCCGAACGGTGCAGCGACAACGAAGAAGAGCCTCATGTAACGGCATCTTGACGCAGGACGAAACACAGCGGCGCTCTGTAAAGCAGCCATTCTATCTCTTGACCAAAGTGCACTCCTTCTACCATCCGCGAATAGATACGATGATCTGAGCTTCTAGACCATGCTAAACGACCATGGCCCATCTATAGATGCACAAGGCTTGGGGGATCTCCCTTCGGCAAGCACAGACCCGCTACTCTCGAGGTCCCGTACCTCGTGTTCCACTTCTGCGATGGTGGATGCCGTACAAACTCTGCCGTCCATTGCCCTTGCCAACTCCCCCTGATTGATGAACATGGGTCAAGCATGCAGAACCAAGGTTTTCTGCCCTTGTTGGGTTCACCATTTGGACGAGAAAAGTCCTGTTATGGTCTTCTTCTAGGGCTTCTGGAAGACATCTTTCCCAATTTGTGACCTTTCACCATCTTTCCAAGGTAAGGCCTGCTCAATGCTCCTGAATCAACAATATTTCGACATGCTGGTCAAAGCTTGACGATATGCCAATGATCTGCAAACCGATCTCCGTAGTTTGGTAGCCATGAGGCTAGGATATAAAGTGAAGTACAATCCCCAAACCACAAACAGACCAGACAACAGCTCAATCAAGACACTCGTTCCATCTCACCATGCGCTCGTTCGCTCTCCTGTCCGCAGCTGCGGCCCTCACACTCGCTTCTCCCGTCCCTCAAGAGCTTGACTTCTCTTTGGTTGACACTGTCGAGACTCCCTCCAACGTCACCGTTCCTTCGAACACCGATGAGCTGATCGTCAACTACGACTCCGACTCTGCTGCTGCTGCCGTTCAGACTTCTGTCTTGACTGGCCAGACCGAGATTGATATCTCCAACAGCACTACCAACAGCACCAGCTCTTCCACCCTCCGTAGACGTGGTACCTGTGCTGTTCAGGCCAGCGGTTCTGGTCCTGTCCCTTCTCCCGACACTGCCTCCTCTTTCCTTTCCTACTCTGCCTTCGCCAGCGCTGCCTCCGCTGCTGCCACTCCCTCTGGCTACACCCAAGCCTTCAAGAACTTGAACGCCTCCAACAACGCGTGAGTAGTCCCTGCGAGCCTACATGATCATATATGATATGCTAAGCGTTTCGTACAGCTACGGTTACCTCGGATTCACTAACCTCGCCTCGTACGATTCGGCAAAGTGCGCGTCTAAGTGTAATGCCATCTCTGGCTGCGCTGCCTTCAACTTGTACTTCGAGCGCGACCCTTCCAAAGACCCTGGAACTGGTTGCGAGAACCCTTCGAGCACGACCAACATCAAGGTGAATAACCTAATTGCAACTACATTCTGACAGAAGACTGACAGCTCAGTGCGTTTTCTGGGGTGGCCCAGTAACCTCTGCCAACGCCAACAACGCTGGACAATGGAGAAGCAACTTTCAGGTCGTCATTGCTGGTTCCAACGGATACGTCAACAACACCATTGAGCCTGCCGATGGCTTCACCTCTCCTGTATACTACGGCAACACTGCCATTGACGCTCCCAACGACTGCAACGGCCAGTCTACCTTCCTCGGTTCCCAGGTCTTCACTGGTGGTCCTTTCGATGCCAGCCTCTGCGCCGCCGCTTGCGATGCCCAAAGTGCCACCAACCTGAAGGCCAACAAGCCTACTTGCAAGTTCTTCAATACTTACATCCTGTCCCGCAACAACGTCGCCATTGGCCAATACTGCAACCTCTACTCTCAGACCTGGGCATCTTCATATGCTACCTACAAGGGATCCAACAGCAACGGTAACAAGTACTCCGTCTCTTACTCTTATGGTTTCTCCAGCTCCGCCGATGCTGGTACCTGCAAGAAGCCCACCACTTCCACCTGGGTCATCAGCTCCGCAACTGCTACTGCCAGCTCTACTGCCACCGCTCAGCCCACTACTGCTGGCGGTTTCATCAACTGGAACACCTTCAAGGCAAATGGAGCCAACCTTGGCGGATGGCTCGAGAAGGAGCAGACTCACGACCCTATCTGGTGGGCCAGCGTCGCCAACACCTCCACCACTCCTGACGAATGGACTCTCTGCGAGACCCTCGGTGACCAGTGCGGCCCCACTCTTGAAGCCCGCTATGCCTCCTTCCTCAACACTTCGACTATTGACCAGCTTGCCTCCGTCGGCGTGAACACCCTCAGAATCCCAACAACTTATTCGGCATGGGTTGAGGTCCCCGGATCTGCTCTCTACCACGGTAACCAGCAGCAATACCTCAAGACCATCACCGACTACGCCATCAACACCTATGGCATGCACGTTATTGTTGGCCTTCACTCGCTCCCTGGTGGTGTCAACAACCTCGACATCGGTGAGGCTCTTATGCACGACGACTTCTTCTACAACACCACCAACCTCAACTACGCCTACGACGCCGTCGATGCCATTCTTGACTTCATCAAGGCCAGTGGAAACCTGACCTCCTGGACTCTCGCCCCCATCAACGAGGCCTCTGACAACCTCGCCGGCTTCGGTACTTCTGCTGGTCTCTCCGACAAGGGTGCTCAATGGGTTGCCGACTACACCACCGGTGTCCTTGCTCGTGTTGCAAAGGTCGACAGCCGTATCCCAGTCATGCTTCAGGACTGCTTCAAGGGCACCGCTTTCTGGGAGCCTTACTTTGACGCCTCTGCTAACCTCGTCATCGACTCTCACGTCTACTACTTTGCTGCAGCTGGTACCTACTCCCAATACGTCGCTCCCGCAGTCTGCGGTCAAGCCGCCTTCATTGCCGAGTCCACCAAGTTCCCCAACTTCATTGGAGAATGGGCATTACAGACAATGTACAACAACACTTTCGCTGGTAGACAGTCGATCTTCAACACCCAGCGTTACGCTTGGAGCAAGTACGTCAGTGGTGGCAGCTTCTGGACTGCTGTCTCGTACTCCACCGCAGCCGTCGATGGCCAGGGCACTCAGAGAGAGTACTGGTCGTACATTGACCTTATCAACGAGGGTGTCATTCTCCCAGAGTCCAACTTTAACGGCACTGCCTACTGCTAGACTCAATTTCTAGCATGTGAACTTCGCTCAGGCTTGTTCAACCTTCTTTCTTCTCTGCTTTACGATAGATGATCTTTATATTTACACGCTTTCTTGTTATTATGTTTGTCGAGGGTGGTTTGGTGGATTGTTGAAAAGTAGACTTTGTATATATGCGCCAAAAACATATGTTTTGTTTCGATATTGCTTGGACATACTAGCCTAACCGATTTGATGTAATTCATTTAATGTTTTGCTTGTGAACACCATATTACCGACATTTGAAAGATTTATAAGCCTACCATGCAGATTACGAGCACGTGTTTTTATCCTGGGAAGGAAAATTAGAAATCATTCTGAATTCATGAACATATAAATCATTATAATAGTACATAGGTCAAGCTTAACCTGCCTTCTCGAGAATGCTAGCAGGATAATATCACAGGGTATGAAAAGGTAAGATGAACAACCAGTGTCCAACGTGCCTTCGCTCACAGAATCATCATCACCACAACCACCAGCGCACTTGTCATCCACATCCATCCACTCTCCAGCACACCCGCACCTCCTGTGTAAGCCACAATTCCACTTGCACTTGCACTCGGCTGCGGCATACCAGAAGTTGACACCGCAGCCGGCGCACCACTCCAATAACCGGTCGTATTATATACTCCATTCTTCACAAACCCATTACTCCCCACGATAGCAACTTGAAAATCGCCACCGCGATACTGGCCATAATTCGTTGCTGAAGCATTGTACATTGCATCTGCCCAAAGCGCACATACATAGTTTGTAATAGAAGGAGGGTTGGGACACCAATATCCCCATACTGTAGGTGCTGTAGAGTCGTTTTTGGTGGGGTTTTGACTGGGGTCGCGTTCAATGTAGAGATTGAAACTTGTGCAGTTGGCTGCGGAGTTGCATTTTTGGGCGCAGGCAGAGGGGGAGTAGGTGTCAAGGTAGTAGAGACCGAGATAGGAGTGTAGGTTTGCTGATGCAGTGAGGTTTGTGAAGACGTTGGTGTAGCCAGGTGCGTATGTGTTGTTTAGAGACATGCTTTGGAAGGGTGTGTAGTCTTTGAAGGCTGATACTGTGTCCGGAACTACCCTTGGACCTTGTCCGCCGGGCTGGGGTGCACACGGGTCTTCTGGATTTATGAACCCACAGTAGGTGCCTGCCTCGGGTGTGGTGGGACAAGGCGCGTCTGAGGATGTTGTTGTGGTGGTAGAGAGCTGCCATGAGCTTGTGGATGCTCCATCACGCTTGTTTTGTGTAAAAGGTGATGATGCAACCAGGCTAGAGGCTGCGATTATAGATAATAACGTCCGTGTGCAGTGCATCTTGTCTTGTGAGAAGTGATAGAGAAACGTTGCAGAGCAAAACGGGGTTCGTCCAAGGTATATAAGAAGATAACGGAGAATAGATCAAGAGTTGCGGAAGAGCAAGGAGGATGTGACGACAACGACCCTACCGTGGGTGCCGACAAGCAGAAGAAATGGTCAAGCATCGACCGGACAAAGTTCCAGGGTTCATCATCAGGAGTGGATTTAGCAGCATCTCCTCCATGCAGCGACTCGTGCCCATACGTGTGGCTTGAAAATGGCCGTTGCTTGTGTGGAGAAGGGTTCACTCTGCTGCTATGGACAGCCTTGTGGTGAGTCACCCGCACCTGTCAAACCTCCTACATCTTCATCCTGTCAAGCCGTGCCGATTTTAGTACGGAGTAAGCTCGTGAGATGTCTCAGACTGGATGGCCGTGGTCCAGGAGTTTCCGCTAGAGGAAGAGACAGTATGACCTCAGCAGAGGCGAGTAGTCGTCCAGCTGAGGAACGTGCAGTGGCCACGCCATAGTGAATCGCCTCAATAGATTGTCTCTTCTTGTCGACCCATGAAGCGCCATAATCAGAAAGCGACGATGCTCTTAGGGCCAAGAGAAGGTATTGTAGGAGAGACGGACGACAAGCCATACCCGAGGTCGAACGTTTGACATGTCTCTCCACCATCCACTATACTTATGGCGATGTCAGCGACTATCCTCGTGACGCGTTGACGCGTGCTTGGATAGGTGACTTGGAGCGATGGAATGTCGAATGACAAAAGACCATGGTGCAATAGCAGGAAGACTGTGATGCCGTGGATGACAGCGGAAGCAAGAGATCCGTAGGCTGATGTCACGGTGGTCGTCCTAGAGGCTGCACGTGAGACACTCCCAACGCCTTTACCAAAGAACTTTCAAAACTAAACGTCTTTCCCAGAACTCAACGGCTTTAGCCGTGCAGGGCAGCGGATCATCACGGCACCCAGGTTGATGGAATTGCGTATACCACGATGAAACACTCATGTGTTTGAGAGCGAGCGGTCGACGAAAGATCACCTGGCTTGTGTGCTGGTATAGCATCTGGCATGACTAGTAAAAACTCAGTCTCGCATCAGGGTCGAGTCTGTGGCGTCATCGTCCTAAGCAAGCAAGTCCATGGTACGATCTAAGGATTCCGCGCTTGCATGTATACGCCCGTAGCATGGCAAATAAGATACAGCCTATATGGTATGGTGAAGATCCTGTAGGACGAGCTTGGTAGGCGATCGGATCGAGACGCGTCGGAAAACGCCAGGGAGCATTTTCGCGTTGCTCTTGCGCCCGATCGCATCATGCTCGTGAGCCCTTGAGCAGTCCTAGAGAATCCAGATCAAGCCTCGGGCACCGGACAAGTCATGCATCAGGAGGTGGTTGGTATGGTGCCATATCCTGGATGCAGCCACAAAAGAGGAGAAATGCGAACGAAGCAGAAATCTGGAGAAGAAAGGAGGGGGTCTATCAAGGCCGGGTATCCGCAAGACAATCTGGAAGTACCCACCAGTAGCCCTCCTTCCCAAGCACAATGAGCCCGGCTTCCCATCAACAACACTGAATGCAGCAACTGTGATTCTGTACGGCTTGCTCGAGCTCAAAGATCATGATTCAGAGGGTTTATCACCACACTTTCGCCTACGGCAATTCGATGGAGAGCAGTAGCGATCGCCGTTTTAGGTTAGCTTGTAAGAGGCCTGTTCTTTCTGTTTGCTTGAGGCTCTTGTTGGTCCAGCAATTCTCAGAATATTCGTCATCCTTGTTTCTCATCGACATTTTATAATAAAGTCTTGGGCTGGCTCACCAGACGAGAATGCAGTGTATGACTCCTTGAGGAGGTCAATTGAGGCTGTTGTTCAGTCATACCAACCATGCATTCTAGACCTCTACTTCCCCACAAAAATTTGCGGACCCTTGTGCAAAAAGTCGAAAGGAGAAATTTTGGCGACACTCTCCTCGAAATCTCCCCTGCATCTGGAAAGTACAGTTTGACATAGCATACCACGGATCCGTGTTGCTGCAGCACTTGAGGAACAAATATTTGCATATCTCAGAAACCACCTGGCCGACCGAGAGTAGTACCTGGCACAAGAGAACTAATCACCTCATATATCATGGCACCCGAACAACGTAGTTTCAAGACTCAAGACTTCACCGTGCCATCAAATGGATCTGGTGAAACTATTCAAGTTCGCATCAGCGAGCCTAACTTGACGTCCGAAAACTTGGGTCTGGAAACTTGGGCCGCTTCTCACATTCTGGCATCTCAGCTACATCATCTGGGTCCAAAGATCCAATTTCCTGAGCCTAGCTCGAATGTCCTTCCCATTCTGGAACTTGGTGCTGGTACAGGGCTTGTCGGTGTCACAGCAGCAACCCTTTGGAAGCAACCGGTTGTGCTCACAGATCTAGCACCCTTGGTTCCTGCTTTGGACGCTAACATTGGTCTCAACTCTGAAGGTCTCCAGAAAGCGAACACAAACATGGAAGCTGGAACGTTGGACTGGAAACGCCCTACCACTCTGCTCGTCAAGGATGAGCAGCGACCGCAGACACAAGCTCACGTTATCTTTGCAGCTGATACAATCTACTCGGAAGAACATCCCGAACTGCTTGCAAATGTGATCTTGAAGTGGTTGAGGAAAGACAAGGATGCCAGGTTCTTGATCGCATACCCTTTGAGGGTATGTTATATAGACTACATCAGAGAGATGTGGGAAAGACTCGAGGAAGGCGGCATGGAAGCTATGGAAGAGGGAAGAGAAGAAGCAAGCCAGGATCTCTTCAACGATGAAAGACTGGTCGAATGGAGTGTCTGGAGATGGAAGGACCTGTAAGGGAAGCTGGATCTTTAGGATAAGCAGCTCCATCTCCGCACGTTGGTTGTTACATGGCTACAAGCGTCCAGCAAAAACCACTGGACTCTTCCACTCTCACTGGACACCACTACCGATCTCGAAAGTCCTCTGCATTTTCGCGGCTCAATCCTGAACCTACCTTGGACAACTCCGTTTCCTGTTACCTATTGGCCGAATTACATGACTATCGAAATGCACGAACGATTTGAGACTGATGGCAGGATCCAGTGAGAGTGGTAAAATCTTGGGCTCTCACTGGATACTGCTCCAAACCTTGAAGAATTTGTGCACTTTAATGGGAATATATCCTTTGATGAGTGCCAATGGGCATGGGAAAACCTCGCTGTCTCCCGTTAACCTCTCGCTGTCGGTTGAGCTCGATTTTGATGCCATAAAAAGTCACAAACTGATCATGGATTTGGGCGGTCTCCACTGAGAGCTCATGAATTCAACACGGTCACTGGACATAGTATCATCTCCGGATCTACTCTGCATTTTGATAGTATTACATCCTGGTTCAACTGTCATTGGCAGCCTGTTCTCGCCACTTATTCCTTTTTGTCGTATCAATCTCACGATCTCTTTGACATGCAGTGAAAGGAACATGATCGTCCTGCACTAAATATCTTGTTCTGAATTCACATTACAAACTTGCATGCTGTCACCTTGTATTGTTCTAGTACAAACTATCCTCACTCTTAGCGGAGCTACTCACTAGCGGCTAGAAGTTACGCCGTAACTCGAATATACTTCACTGCTCTGAGTGGCACTATAGTTTCACTTTCGTGTACTAAGTCGTAATTCATTTACGCTCCGTTATTTCGACTCTCACTAGCTTTGCTTCCAGAATATTTAACGCTCCGCCTCAGGTCGATTACACTTTCTTTCGTAGTTCGAGATCGTAGCAGACATGGCCCCTATCTTCAGGTATAACCTTACGCTCTCTACCCTTATAACCCATGTTCACCCTCCTTCTCCTAGCCCTAGAGATCGTCACTCCAACGAAGACAAAGGTCCGAAGTCACCGCGTTTGCGCCTGGATTCGATCGAAATCGCGAAGCTTAACACTCAACTTGCAAGCGTAAGTCCTTTCTGACAATCCCTTGTAGCACATTACTGACTATATGTAGCTCTCAGAACAGATCTCCAAACGCAATGACAAGATCAAAAACTACAGATCGTTGCACGCAGAACACATGACAAGCATCCAGCACAACATCACACCTTACATTCGCCGCCAGCTTGAGCTTGATGCAGCTGGAAGAGGCATCCAGAAGGGCAGTCCATACCAGATGCACTTGATGATGAATCTGAGAATCAGAGTGCAGTTCCTCAGAGACAGAATCGATCAGATGACGGCTGAGAATGCAAGCGATGAGGAGAAGATCGGACAGTTGGAGAAAATGTTGGGTATCGAGAAGAATGACATTCAGAACGGCGAGGATGATGCATGAAAGCAGACGTCAAGTGTCTTCTCTGCAGCAGGTCTGGAAATGGGTTGATGGAAATGGAAGAGCCAGATACACAGAATGATGACTTAACAAGCGATAAACAACGACAAAGGCCATATTCTCTTCCATGTCTTCCAAATGATCTTGAGACTATCTCGCCACATCTTCAGATGGTATCAAAAGCAACAACTCCCGTGCATATCCCGCAGCACTGGCAGCCGCATATCTCTGCCACCCGTCGTTCTTATGGGAGTCACAATAATCACTTATACCCCTAATCACCAGACATGGAAAATCGTTCATCAATCCTGCGGCTTCCATCTCAAAACACAGGACTTGACCACCAAGGTCTTTGACAATACGGTCTCGTGTCTGAGCGTCTTTGATCACTTGATTACCGGACGCGATAGTGCCGTAGTGTATTTTGATGGTGGTATTCTTGGTGTTTCTTTCGCGTCGATGTAATATTCGATCGCGGTCGCAGTTGGCACAGTCGAAGTCTCCGGTGTGAGGGTAAGTAGCATCGAAGAGTACATCTAGCTCGTGCTGTGGTAATGTGTACTCTTCCATGTCTTCCTCGACATAACGTGCCATGTGGGTTGGGTACATTCGTCTACCTCGCTCATGATTGGTTCGAACTCGGTCAACCACGTGCAAGAGCAATGTAGGTGGGCTGTTGAGGGAACCAGTGCGGCGAAACACTCCACCTTGTTCTGCTTTACCGAAATCATATTGGACCACGCCTCCGTGATCCATATGTGGGCTCGAGACTACCACATCCCCTAACCGAACGTCATCTCTGCTGCTAGGCACACCACCACCTATACCTACCATGAAACCAAATCTGATTCTGCGAAACTTCTCGAGCATCCCTTTTGCTACAGCCGTTGCAGCGGAAGTTCCAGGTCGCCCTGCCGGTAGGCAAGCAATCACTACGTTATGTGAGCCTATGCATCCAAGCGTGTACATTGCCGAATCGTGTGAATCAAAAGGCAAGTTGGGATGCCGTTCATCGAGCATTACCTCAGCAGCCGCTGCTTCAAATGGTAGTGCACAGATCCAGCCGACTTTGTAATCCAAGACTTTTGGCGTTGTTAACTCGACTCTGACTGGATCAGATGTACATAGCTCATTCGAATTCTTCTTCGCATGAAGCTTCTCGGTCTGTTTGGACAATAGATCACCCGCGCTTGGTGTCGATTGATCGTATATCTCTGGAACCGTGGCAGTTGTTGCCGCTTTCATGTTGGAGGTAAGAGTAGCTCTTCTTATGATTTGGCCGACTCTATTCGAAACCATCGGCCTGCTCATGTTGAGAGCGCCGGCCATTGTACGTAAGTCATTTAAAAGTTGCTCGCTTTCCATACATCTGCGGTAAGGCACAGCGCAGAGGCAGTCATGGGTCAAGGCGAGGACCCTTGTGCCAGAGGGAGTAGCTACAAGTCTCATGATTTCCAAGGGGCAGAGCTGATAGACAAGCAAAATCAGTCTTCTGCATCGTCTTTCAGGATTGGAATGGCTCACCACTTCGGGTAGTCTTGTTATATCTGGCTTCGATGACCTCTTGAATACACGTTCAGTTGTGACACTTTCGCAGTACGTCCAAACCGGAAACGGTAGCTTGAGCTTTCTGAACTTCTCTGTGGTCGTCTCGACCCATTCCAATATGGGTTCATATTGGGACGCTGTGGGGTCTCTTACAGTGTCGTGGCACTCAACGGACAGGCTCAAGATAACGCGTTGATTGAACCTGTTACTTCGCTCATCGTGTGCGCATCCAAGGAAAACCACGCCAGAAATACTGTCGTACAGGTCTTCGTCGGCATCTGCATTGTCGATGAGTCCGAGTAAGACCTGATATGTATTTGTCAGTGGAACAACTCAGTGGAACAACTCAGATGATCGTATCAATACACGTGCCTCTTTCAGGACAAGTCCTCCTGCCATACCATGGCAAAGAAAGATGATCGGTCTCCTTGGCCTGTTGTCCGAGTCATGATTTCTTGTCACTTGTTGAAGCCCCTCTAGCAACTTTTCTGCTTGTTGCATGAGTTCACCGTCCAGGAGATGTGAGGAAACATCATTATCAAGCGACCACCATAGGCTTCGTGCATACGGGAATTCCTCTGTAAGCGTTTTCGCAACATAGAATTCCTCCGCACAAAAGACTCCGCAGATGCTCTTCGAAAACATACCGACATGAACCAGGCTGACATAGTTAGTGAGCAGTGACATAAACGATTGAGAGATCACATACTCGTAGGATGCACTCGATGCCTCGCGAATCGAAAAGCCGAAGAGACTGTTTCCGTGAGCGGCAAGCGAGAGGGGCTCCATCACTGTTTTGCGTATCGTACATATTAGTGCGTTCAGTTGGAGTTGAGGATCTCGATGATTGTCGGGCGCTGCCTGACGATCACGTTATCTCATGCACGTCTCAGCCACAGCGCATGCATTAGGAAAGTGCAATGGAATCGGCTCTTCAGCACTCGAGCTTTTGTCTGTGTGATCCAGTATCTTCATGCATCACAATAATCAGTCGTTCCTCGTCCATTGCCGTCGCAACCTTCAATTTTGAGCTTTCTTATTGATTCTACCTCACTTGCGTTTCTCTGAAGCACGAGATTGGAGGACCAGGGGTGAATTGACAACTAACGGGCGGCCGGAGTCATGAATCTTACATCGCCATAGCTAACTGTATTGCAATGTCTTCATTGCGAGATTCTGACTCTAGCAAACTTGTGCCATATCTCCCCGTGTTCTCAATAATGCCTTAGAGAGACCATGATAATGCACTAATCCAGCAGCCAACACCGCAACATGCATAATCTGATGCGACGCGCCCACAAAATCAAATTTACCAGGGAACTTAGACTCCGGGATCTGTATTTTCACTATCAGAAAACCTGCCTTTGGCACAACACCTGACTTCAAACATGACGACTTACGCGGAAAGCATATGCAGCACAACCAATAAAGTTAAGCAAAGCCATCAAGCCCATCCATTCTAGTGAGAGGCGGTGTCGTTGAAGGGCAAAGCCGTGTAAGTAGATGCCATGTAAGATGAAGACGATTGCGAAGAGGCCTAGACTGAGATAGGTGAGTGCACGAGCGGTTCTATAGGCTGGCTGACAGAACAGAGGTCCGAGGATGAACGTAATGCATCCGGTAGCGCTGGCGGAGGTCTAAAAGAAATCATCAGCATCGTCACCATCCAGAAAATGAGTAACAGGAGACGCTGACCAGGAACCAGTGTAGACTTCTTAGTCGGGCATCACAAATGAATGCGAAATGAATCGATGCAAGACTTGCTCCCCACATAAGCAAAACAATACCACAGCAGTCGGCTCTGTTATATCTTTTATGTACAGCTTGGCTGTGACAGCCTGCAGTGTGAAACCTATATGTCATCAGCTTCTGCTCCATTTTGCTCACGTCGAAACAATTCTTACGCGGCCGAAACGGCAAAACAGCACGCGACACCAGCAAAGTATAACAAAAATACTGCTGCATCAATTGGTTGTGCTGCTGGAAGATTCCGGTACAAAGCAAAGTAGAAATGGAGTGGTAGGATGGTAGCAAAGATTACAGATCCAATGAAATGTGAGTTGATATTGACTTGTCACAGTATCAGCAACATGAACGAGGTCTCGACTATCGTCATAAAAGAACTCACTTGTCTCATTGTGCCATCGAAATATGCTCTTTATTGACTTTGACCATGATCCAGTCAATGGTCTGTCAACAGTCAGCAAAGCACTTGGTAAGTTCAGAGCAACAAATCGACTTGCCGGTATCCCGTATGAATGTGTGGACTATCTCTGGGACAGTATCAGTCTCTATATCCTTGTATACCAACTATCAGCTTAGAGAAGTACTTCTGCCAGGATGCTAATCACGGAATGTGGTTAGTCCAGGGACGCTTTCAGCCATGATCAGCAGTGACGTACGAATTTCGTCAAAGGTGAGCAGCCTGTCGCCAGCAACAGACTCTCTACTTGTAAGAAGAGAGCTCTTCTCTAGACTTTTCTCCAAAGTGTTCGGTATAGGTGATTTAGGTTGGAGTGCGAATGATAGTATTAATAGTAATTGAGCCGCAAAGCAGAAAGCCTCCAAAACAAGAAACCGCATACGGTCGTCAGCCACACGTATTCACCAGTCACAGTTGCGTTATTCTCTAGTCACAGAAATTCCGAACGTCATTGTGCTTTTGAAAAGAAATGGTCACAAGGCCGAGGATTTGACTGACTCGAAACATATGAAAGCCGATCTGTTGCTGAAGTAGGAAATTGTAGAAAGCGGCACGCATTTCTGGTGACGGAGATGTGAGCATTGCGGAGCCAGCTCCTTTCTTCAGCCGCAACGCCTATCCTTCTAAGCGGTTGAAGAGGGTTGCACAAAAAGGTCACGGTGGCATACTCGAGTACGCTCAGAAGATCTGTTTGGTGCTGTTGTTCAAGCGAAAAGCTATGCCAAGCTCTTTGCCAGTCTCCTGAGGCTCCTGGACGCACCGAAAATACTGATCTACAAATAGCCTCCGTCTTTTCCTTGAGCTTTGTAGGTATACAACAACTCTTTCCCGGACGACGGGATCGAATCTGGCTCATGGATAGCAAGTCTAAGCCTAGAGCTGGATACTTGCGTTTGACCAACCCCGAACATTCAATCGCATTGCCCGTCCAAGTTTGCTGCCAGGATTCGGGATATGAGACGTCTGTCACAAAAGCTTCGTGCGGCGATGCCGAAGCAGGAAAGTCCGAACAATCTAGTCCGAGTACGATGCTCTGGAGTCTAGGCATTGCACCAAGAATTTTGTACTTGCTGGTTTCATCCGAATCGCCTTTAGATCGTTTTACGATGATGCTCGAATGCTCGAGCAGTGGTAATGAAGGTCGGGACCTTGCTTTGAATGCCTTGAGATTGAATACATTGTTGCTGCGCTTGATCGTCTTGGATTGTAGTACCTTTAGGGTGGAAGCATGAGATAAATCCCATTCCCCGAGACGCGCTGGGTGGGTATCGCTAGCAGCAAACCATCGTTGAGCTTCTGTGTTTGTGGTTGTCTAATGGTTTGCGATCCCTGATCGAAATGCAAGATATCCTTCCATCACGACTCAGGCGGTTTTGGGCGATGTGCTCAAGCCTCTCGACCGCTGAGTGGATTCAATCTTGACGAGTGATCCTAAGTGGCTAGGTTTGCCAGAGGGACTGCGACGATGCTGCGAGACATTCTTTGCTGACTTCGACGAATAGAAAGAGGCCTCTAGGTTGCAAACCCGCGACGATTTTGCAGGTATGTTTTGATATCTCAAGAGGAAGGTTGTGAACCCGGCGTTGTGCTGTCGGTGTGTGGAGCTTGGTAGCAGGACTTCTCGACGTGTATCGTGTACGGTCACTAAGAGTTGCTGTTGCGACACGGCTGCCTTGGTCCTACGGCCTGCATGAATCGAACCACTTCGCTGTTTATTGGCGGGCTGGCACAGTCGATATGTCTAAGGCGCGATCGCCTCCATTATTACTTGTGGCGACTTTGACAGGTCTTTCTACATGTTGCGGCACTAAGATGTGAGAGAAGGTGCAGTTGATCGTGTTGAATGGTCTATGCAGATGGAGGCACATCTCGACGGCGTCACGGCCGAAGCTTCCGACTGTGGATGCCGAACTGATCCGACCCTTGCTAGCCGGTCGTGACTGACCCTCTAGACCCAGTGACATTGTGCAAGTCTGTCAATAGGAAGTCAGCGCATGTTCGACAGATATAAGGAGCAAAACTCCGAGATCCGAAGATAAGTGATGTATATGCTGATGACGTCTCGCTGTCGTTGCCCAACATCATCCGGAGCGCTCTTGTAGCCGCTAAGTTTGTAGCAGTATAAAGAACTCTCACCACTTTCAGGGAGTCTCACATAGAAAGTCTCAAGCAAATAATCTGCCATCTTGATTGATATCAGAGACAATTACAACATGGCCGAACTATACCAGAGAAACAACCTCTTCTCAGTCGATGGCCTGGTAGCCGTCATCACCGGCGGAGGCTCCGGTATTATCATCATATCATCTCAACAATTCTAACCAAACTAACAACTCTAGGAATTGGTCTGATGATGACAAAAGCCTTCGCCTCCAACGGAGCAAAAAAAGTCTACATCGTCGGCCGCCGCAAAGAAAAACTCGATGAAGCAGCCTCCTTTAATCCATCCGTCATCATCCCCGTCGTGGGCGATGTAACCTCAAAAGACGCCTTGAAAGCCGTTGCCTCACGCGTAGAATCCGAGACTGGCTATATCAATCTCTTGGTGTGTAACAGCGGCACCATGGGTCCCGTAACGGGCGTCAATAACCGCAAAGTCAGCATTAAGGAATATGCAGCAGCAGCTATGAACCAATCCTGGGATGAAGTAACATCAACGCTTAATCTTAATGTCGCATCTGTCATGTTCACCGCATACGCATTCCTAGAGTTGTTGGAGAAGGGCAACAAACATCCTGCGTTTAGCAAGACAAAGAGCCAGATCCTGGTGACAGCAAGTATTGCTGGGTTTGAAAAGGAGCCTAACCAGTCAATGGCGTACAAAGCCAGTAAAGCGGCGACCATCCATGTGGCAAAGAACTTGTCGAGTGAATTGTGGCCGTTTGATATCAGATGCAATGCCCTTGCACCCGGCTGTGAGTCTCTTATCCCTTTCCAAGGTAATGACGTTTGTGCTGATATCCGGCTACAGTGTTCCCGTCAGAGTTGGCTTCGAGTCTGCTATCTGATTCGAAAGCAGATCCCAGAGAAGAGGGCTCATTCGACAAATCATATATCCCAGCCGAGAGAACGGGTACTGAAGAAGACATGGCTGGTACCATTCTCTACATTGCTTCCAGAGCGGGTGCCTATTTGAATGGTAACATTCTAGTGATTGTAAGTCATGCTATCCTGATCGTTGGAACGCGGAGAACTGACCTCGTGGAATAGGATGGAGGACGTTTGAATGTGATGCATAGCACGTACTAGACCATATGCGTACAAGAAAAGTATCGCCCATGTCGATTAAATTTGAAGCATGAGAGTCGTTTGCACTTCAAAGCGAGTTTATCTCGTTACTCTTTTGTTGTCGCGATCATCCAAGACTGCAACATGTCCCTTCGAACTCGGTGGAGGACTGAACAAAGCTTCTTCACTCTCCACCGTTGTGACGATAGTCCTTGTGACCTTATCTTTCCTCGTCGGCATTTGCATCTCGATATCCCCATGTATTGTTTGCCCTGACGGCCTCGAGCCTTCGGTATCCATACGCCTCCACTGATCATGGTTTCCACTGAATCTAGCTGACTTCGGTCTTCCGCGCCATCGGGCTGGGTGGAGAGCAGCCAGCATGGGCGCATACATAGCTCGTTGTTGTGCCGTAGTTCCAAAAAGCAGGAAAGCGAGAAAACTTGCAGTGACACCAGGCAAGTAATTCAAGACGTCGACGACAGAGGCGCGCACGCCGAAGTCTGGTGCGCCGGCGATTTTTGCATGTTTGGTTTTGTGGTATCTGTTGATTTCGAAGGAGATGAGGAAGATTTCGAAGCCACTGGAGAACAGACTGGGTTAGTGGGTGTTATTTTGTCTGGGTAGTATGGGTTTGTGATTACCTGAGAATCAGGAAGGCGATGGTGAAGCGCACCACAAGCCATCCGTCGACCCTTGCTCTGAGTCCTTTTGGTGCCGAGCGTCCCACTCGACTAGTCGTGGTCTCAACTCCTGCTACACTGCCGGCTGCGTATGACTTTGATGCTGATGCGGAGGCATAACTGTCGAAGCCGATCTTGGCTCGTAGATACTTGAAGAGAATAAGGATGACGCAAATCGCACCAAAGGCAAAGCTTACGAGCACTGTTCTTATCAGCTGGAATGTACGCTGATCAATAAACGCAGATACATACTCAGCAGATTCATCAAGATCAGGGTGCCAATGAAGCCAGCATTGACTTGGAATCCCTTGCGCAGTGCCGAGAAGATAGCAGGAAGCACGACCGCCAGAACCTTGGAAACCCAGCTGATGACGCCTTGCCATCGTTGAAGCCATCTTGGGCGAATGTTCCACACATTAAACACTAGTGCGATAGCCCTGCATGTGTCAGCGAGACCTTAATGCGATGAAGCATATCGACATACCAGAAGAGCATAGTGATCGAGTCGACATTGTAAAAGTACAAGATTGTCCAGAACAAGACAGCATTGAAGCCTCGAGACAAAGGACCCAGTGCCAGCGCTGGATTGCCTTTGACAATGATGGACTGCTCGTATTGCTGGATACGTAAGTCGTGCCAGTTGGCGATATAGTTGCATTGCTGAATGATTGACACTATAGTGGTGCATGTGGTTGCAAGAGCGAATAATGTTACATCTTACAAAGGGTTAGCAAAAGGGGACGCATGGCATCTGAGCAACTCACAATTGAACCCATCTCTGGTTTTGTGTAAGACGGTCACGAGCAATACTCCCAAGGAAAGACAGAAGAAAGAATATATCAACACTGGAATAGCAGCGGCAAGTACGGCATGGGGCATATGCTGGGGTTCGTTACCGGTACCCATGCCTGCGGGTCAATAACGGAGAGTGTATAGGTGAAGGAAGGTGGAAGGCTTGTCGGGGAAGCCTGAGGTCATGAAGAATGGACCTAAGCAACAGAAAGGTCCAGGCTTCTGCAAAAACAAGACGTTCGAGGCCGCTGAATGCTCGAAGGGTTTATCACTATCGCTGATCCGGTGGATCGACACCATAGATCGAGAAAGGGTGGCTTGCCAAAGTCTGTCTTCAATTTTGAAACTCATCCGGTTGGAGTGGTCCAACTAACCTACAATGTCTAGTCCAAGTGAAACCCTTTCATATCCACAAGGCTATAGAATCGTGACATGACGAAGGTTCGCAGGGTAGTCTACGGCAGATTGCTGAGTAGTGCCTGGTGGCTGAGAGCCTCTCGCTAGCCATCCGGTTGCAGAAGCCGTATTTGCTGGTAGCGAGCCGAGGGTCAACGATCTTGCTGGATGCTGTTTAGGCAGGTAGAAAGCATATTTTAAGCATGGTGAGCCGTTTTCTTCTGTAACGTGCTTAACTAGGGAGACTGTGAGACAATTGGCTAGTACTGAAGATAGCAGGAAGGTGCAAGAGCATTCCAAAGAGCCGCCATCATTCATGATCCATTGTACGGTACGATGGTTATTCGAGGACAATGCAGCACCGGTCGATCCAGGAGTTCGTCGAGACCGCTCGTTCGCGTAGGGTCCGAGAGCAATGATCGCCCATTCGAGCCGGTGGGGTTGCGTGTTTGCGCAGGACTGTGCTCAGTGCTCTTGTTCGTACATATGCAGATGAGCCGCGACCCTGGAAGCTGCTGAACGTTGATATCCTTAGCGAGAATGGCGAGACTATTCTCAGCCACCACAAGCGGAGAATTTTCAAGAATCAAGAGCTCGCTTTCGCAAGAAACAACAACCCTGTCCAAGCGAGGGCTTGACTTCACGCCAAACTCTTGTCAAACTTCGGAGTTCAAAAGGCAGAAGGATTATTGACGCGAACTACTCTTGAGTTTCCAAGATTTACTCGACATCTGAAACGATAAAGGATCCTCGAGGATCCCACATGAGAATTATGCGGTTGCGGCTCACGATCCCGCAGTCTCACTGACCACGAGGATGCAGGGATTGCAAATTCGCAATCATGACAAACCAACCCAGGACGGATGTATCTGAGTGGTGCTAGTCGATCTGCCGGGACCAGCTCTTTAACATCATTGGTATTCACCATGATGTTTTTAGGCAAGTGAGAAACACACGGCCATGGAAAATGTTCCAAAAGATGGAACCGGCAGATGGGATAAATCGCCAGTGCCGTGGTTGCCGCGTTCTGGGAGCGCCCGGCTTGGCAGGGCAGTCCAAACTCAAATCTCATCGAGCCGGAAGCTCGTCCTTTGATTGGCAGTTTCCCAAGAGCCAGAATCCCGGCATTTCACCTTCCTATTACATTTCCCACGTTGGATGGAAGAACATAGCAACGACTACTAGAAGTGGGTATCCGGAGTATGATTCATGACTCAAGCTGACTACAAACGGTTCCGGACGACTACGGGCGACCGAGACACACCCCTACAAATGCGGTACCTGTAGAGATGCTAGGCCAAGATTGACTATACTAAACAATCCTTCACCCAGAATGAGTCCACTGGCCAGAATGATAATAGGCGTTTCCGACTCCTTGCGCCAATTGCGCCAATACCAGTTTACTAATCCGCCGATCGTTCGTGCCATGGTGAACGATGGGGTATTGTACATGCCTAAATTCATCTCTGTTGTTAGCCTGTTGATCTTTGAGACATCTTGACTTGAGGATGAACGGGGTTGACTTACCGACTGCTACAGCGATACCTCCGGGCACGAAAGGAGTCCACTTTGCTCCTATCGAATTTCCGTAGATCCGCATTGCTGTGAAGACGGCAAAGACGGCGGCAGCTCCTGCTGCCCACTCACCTACCATGGGAGGTAGACCTTGCCCAGTAACAAGACGGGCAGTAAACACCCAAACATAAGCTGTGGGTACCTGAAACATGCCTCCAGGAACTTCATACACTCGGGTGTAAAGCTTGTAAATACAAGCACTGATCACAGCTCCAAAAGTGCTGCCAATGATTTGACCCCAGAATTGCGCCTTCGGACTCGCGCCGAGCAAGTGCCCGGTTTTGAGGTCTTGCAGAAGATCTCCCGCCTGCAAGGCGCCTGACTCGCTGATGGCACCGGCGATAAGGTTGACAATCACCGCATTGGGCGAGCCTGATGGTGTGACTAGAGCGAAGAATAGCTGTGTCAACTTTGAAATACCGGACACCGGGTTCAGATCTGTCTCTCCCAGGGCACGAACACCCATGATCGACAACAGTAGAGCGAGCACTAGCGACAAAAGGGTGAGTGCAAAGGGGATGAGGTTTGCGAAAGCGATGTGAACTGCACCGACGCAAGCAATCAAGGAAAGCACCAGTCCAATCAAGGTGACCTTATTGCTGATCAAATGCTCAGGTGGGGCATCAGGTTCCGGTGCATCCTGTGCAGTTTTCCTAGATTGCGTGGCCCCAGAGATCAAACCATCAGTTTCAGGTGATTCATGATCGGGTTCACTAAGATTGACTGGACTGTATCCTCTCATGTGAGGATGGGCGAAATTGCGAAGATCTTCTTTCCAGGTGCCACGAGCAACGCTGTCCTTAGCTCGTGGCCCGAAGATACGAATGAGATTGATTGTGGGACGCAGGACCAACCATCCCAGACTGACGATCGAATCGGCAAGCATGATGGCAAGACTGACCCAGACGATCCAGCCTTTGCTGCCTTTCTCCCAGTCATCGACAGCACCTGGCGCCCAACCCCGGGCTTTGGAAAGCGGAGATAGTATGCCCCAACCAAGAATGGCACCTAACAGCATGTGTAGAGTGGTTGCAGGGCCCATGATGATACCTTGGCCAATGTAGGCAGGTGAAGGGTTGAGTGTCCATAGCCAGTCTTTCGCCAGGTACATGCCCAAGAATGGAATGTCGCGGATGAACGGAACAAAGTAGGACATCAGGGTCTAGGATTATACATGAGCTCACGAACGGATCTGCAGGGTTGTTGCAAGAGAATGAGAATTTGACTATTGCAGATTATACGTACATAGATAGCAGAAACACCAAACGATAGGGTCAGAAGTTTGATCCTGGCCTTCCAATCGGCCTGATGGTCTTTGTCCAAGGCTTCAACATCAGCCTGTGGCTCGGATTGAGCGGTCTCTTGTTGCGTCCGACGTTGTGTTGGAGCGCTTGCGATAAGCCTTCGCTCCTCCTCTTCAACTTGTTCGACTTGTGTATTACCGTTCTGGTATTCGTCGTTGTTGTCCATATGAATAATGGTGGCATCTTTTTCTCCTCCATGTAGTACTCCGATCATCAGGGCAGTCGCTGTACCAGAGGGGAATTTGAGCTTTTCGCGAATGATGACTTGCCTTCGCAATGGCACAGCAAAGACGACACCAAAGAAGCAGATGCCCACAGCCCAGATTATAAGTTTGCCGAGCGAAAGATGGACGCCAGTGCCCTCTCCTTGAGTTTCTTCTGGCTTGAGAAGGTACTCAAGAGCTGGAATCACGCCCACAAATCCACACCCCAGAGGCATTGTACCCACAGATCCAGCAACAGACTGCACCAGGACGTTCTCGACAGGTGTAAATGGATAAGACAGAGTCCTCGAGACAGCCTTGAACCAGGCAAAGCCCAGCAAAGCGCTCGGCATGGCCATACTCGAGACCCATCCTGTCTGCAAGCCGAAGTAGGTGTTTGAGAAGCAGATGACAGTGCCGATGGCCAGTCCAAGAAGGAGGGAGCGGATGGTGAAGTTCTGCGGCTGCTGGGCACGCGACGAGAGGATCGAAGCAGCGTCCGAGTGGCCGTCCATGTCGTCGCGATTGTCGACTGAGCCCCTGTCGGGCGCCATGCTGTCTTTATCGCAGTTCCAGGTAGAAGAAGCGGTGGGCGATAGGCAGATGAGCCATCGACGACTTATCAATGTCGTGCTTTCACATGACGTTTTGACCTGTCGAGCTCCATCGGAGAAAAGACGGACTTTAACCCGACCCCATTTTTAGCAAATATTTCCTGCCCGCATCGGCTCGTCAATATCACTGGCCTATCGTTCGAATCACATCAATTAAAATGCCTCGCGACGACATTGAATCTTCAGACGCCTCAAGCACCTCATCCATCGATGAGTTGTTGCGCGAAGATAGCGAAGGTTGGGAAGATGCTGAGCCCGAAGAGAACGAAGAAATTCACGTCAAGGACTTTTTCAGCGACAAGACATTTCCCAGTGCTGCTGAAATGATCAAGTATGCTGCCGAACAACACAACTTTGATTTCTTGAAGATTACAAAAGACTTTGGTGGCTATGTCTCTATTCTAGAAGTTTTGATTCGGTCTGCTAACAAAACAAGGCCTTGACTTCTTTGGTGCTATCAAGCTTGTCAACTATATCCGCGCCGAAGCCAAGAATGGCAACTCAAAACCTGATGTTTCTTCAAAATCGCTGTTCGAGGATGACAAGTACATGCAACCTGTTCTTGAAGACGATGCTCTGCTTTTCTCCCTGGATGATGTTCTAGACTCAGAAGACGCCGCTGGTCAGGATCTCCCCATCGGCACTTCAAGCGACAAGACCGCTCAGCTCGAGGCTGAACTGGCCCGTCTGCGCAACCAATTTGCAGAGTACAAGTTGACCGTAGAAAAGACTCTGGATGATCGCTGGAACGAGCCTGCCAAAGATGGCGAGGCTGGTTCAAGCAAGACCAAGGACGAGAACCACCAAGATCCTGGATACTTTGACTCGTACTCATACAACGACATCCACCAGACTATGCTTCAAGACACCGTCCGCACAGACGCTTACAGAGACTTCATCTACGCTAACAAGCACCTTTTTGCTGGCAAGACTGTGCTGGACGTTGGTTGTGGTACTGGTATTCTTTCTCTTTTCTGCGCCAAGGCTGGTGCTGCTCGTGTCATCGCTGTCGACAACTCGGAGATCATCAACAAAGCTCGTGCCAACATTGCTATGAATGGCCAATCAAAGGTCATCACCTGCGTCAGAGGCAAGATTGAGGAAATCCAGCTTCCTGATGGCATTGAGAAGGTCGATATTATTGTCAGCGAGTGGATGGGCTACTGTCTGTTGTACGAGGCTATGCTTGACTCTGTTCTCTACGCCAGAGACAGATATCTCAAGCCCGATGGTTTGATGGTGCCCAGTCACTGCACCATGCACCTCGCTCCCCTCGCCGACCAGGACTGGATCTCAGACAACATCACCTTCTGGAGAGACGTCTACGGTTTCGACATGACCGCCATGATGGAGAAGATCTACGAAGACACATTGGTCCGCTACCCAAACAAAGACACCATCGTCGGTAGATCAACAGACGAGCTCCCCTTCAAGGTCCTCGATCTCCACACCGTCACAGTCGCTGATCTCGACTTTACTTCCGATGTCAAATTCACCCTCAACAAGGACATTGACAACCTCGACGGCTTCTGCACCTGGTTCGATACCCTCTTCTTGCAATCTCGCAAGGACGAAATTCCTGCTGGTATGCTTCGCGGCATCAAGCCTCCCAAATCTGACGAGGACAAGACTGTCTTCTTCACCACTAGTCCCTTTGGCCCTGAGACCCACTGGCGCTGCGGTGTCTTGATGATCGACGCTACCGAGAAGGACGAGCAGGCTCTGAAGCAAGGTACCGTTATTGAAGGCAAGGTCACTTTCAAGAAAGACAAGGATGCCAAGCGTAACCTGAACATCTCTGTGAACTGGGAGATCAAGGGCACCGAGGCCAAGGACAAGCAGCTTTGGTACATGCGGTAGATGGTTTTATGACATGTAGTGCGATATAAGTCTAAAAAGCGATTCTCTGTTCTTAACATGCCACAATTTTCTAGTTTTTCTTTTCCTTTTTTTTCTGGAAGAAAAAGAATTGCTAGGAGTATCACCCTGGCTTGCCATCATCTCGTCCATCACGATGACATGGGCCGTCAAAGCAGCTCGCTTGACTGAGATGAATGATCGTCCTCACTCTCTGTAGTTATCTGGAATCTTCTTGCCTTGAACTTCCATCTTTGCGACGTGATCACGACAATTGCGTGGTCGAATTTCTAAATGCGGCTTTGGTCAACGTTTTCGAATGAGCATCATCGCGAAATCGAAAGATATGATCTCCAGGTTTAGTAGGTGGAAGCAATCTTTTGATGCTCTATTCAACTGTCAGAAACTAGCGTTCCGCAACCAGGGGTCGGCATAATATGAATCTAGGTCCACTTTTATCAGACTTACCCCAGCGCTTGCTAGGAAAATCAAGAACGATCGTGCATGAACACCAGATCTGCGGTATGCATCCTCTATGGAGGCCTTCGTCTACTTTTTAGCCTTGCACTTGGCAAAGGCAGGAGCGTTAGGCTTGACGTTTACCGAGCTCGCCGTCACAGAATTGTTCTCCCCATTCAACACGCCACCCCCAGCAATCAGAATATCCTCTTGACCAGGCAGCACCATCAAACTCCTCGAGTACGACGCAGGCTCCACAGTCTGAATCTTCGTCCACGCCCCCGGAGCACCCAGGTTGTGGTTCAAGTATACTTCGCCAAGGTTACCGCAACTGACCACAATAGTACCTAGCTCACCACCCACAGGAGTCCATACATTGTACGGGCTTCCATAAGGAACAGAGCCATCGGTAGCAACCAACGGATATCCAACACTAGCGTTAAAGTTTGTAGGGTCAGAGGAGATACGATAGTATACCGCAAAATCCACCTCTTTGGCGCCGTAGAATTCGTAGGTCATGATGTATTGACCAAAAGGCAGAGCAGAGACGATAGCCATACCGGGGCGGAAGTCGTAGGTGGGGTAGACTACATCGTCGACAACGGGACCCCAGGCAAGTAGGTCGGAAGATACTTGATGGACCAATTTTTGGCCATAGCGCGGGTCGCGTTGGTCAGAGTAGTAATAGATTAGGGTGTTGTTGTAGGTCATCAAGAAAGGCTCCCAGACGGGGGTGAGTCCGTTGTTGGGAAGAGCCTCGCCGCCATGAGCAACGTGAGAGACAAACTTCCACGTATATCCTTTGTCCGTACTGGCGTAGAGTTCGAGTTGGGTTTCGGAGAGATCTTGAGGGATAGAGTTACCGGCAAGCAAGATGGTGCCAGCTGAAAAGTTGCCAACGGGCTCGGACAACTCGTAGAGGAAAGGCTGATATCTCAATCCCCATCCGTTGACTTGATCATACACGCGAGAACGCTCCGACCAGGTGTGGCCGCCATCATATGATTGATAGATGGGGAAGTAAGGGTTTGAGTTGTTGTTGTAGAGGTAGTTCTCCCAGGTCGCAAGGATCACATTATCTTCTTCGCAGTCCTGGTTCAATAGAAGAGTCCTTGCGTAGAGGGTACGAGGAACGGTGTAATTGCTTGGCGGCGTGAAGATGGTCACTTGGTCGATGTTGCCAATTTGTGTACTGTTGGTGTATTGAGCAACGGCGGAAGTTGCGAACGTGGCAGCGCCTGCCAGTAACGAAAAGAACCTCATGCTTAACTGTTTCTTAACTTGACTTACTTACCATAGCAAAGGAGCGGCCACAACCCTATTTATCTCAACCTACCTCTGCATGCCTCTTTGCAATGCATTAATTAACACGGTAGATTTCAATTCATCCACCCAGTCGTCTGCCCTGATATATCAAGGGAGTAAACTTGCCGAAACAAATCCTTCACCCACGGTCGGATGCAGGCACCACACGTTATTGCTTCATGCTTGCCGCTGGTTGGAGGAACAATAGCAGTTCGTAAACTTGGTAAGTGATCGACGAGGGCGATTGTGATGATCACTGGTCCGCCCCACGATCCCCGCACCAGCCTCCACAAAGAAAAATGACCTCCCGAGGATTTCTCAGGCGATCACGGTTAATAACATGGTATACCGGGCCGACGAAGTGTTACATGACGTGGTTGATGTTAGCAGAAGGATGTATCATGTGGCTTCATCGGCGAAAGAGAGAAGGAAGCTTGGCTTCATCATCGACGCGAGCAGGTTCTTTGCTGCGCCATCAAGAGCCACAACCACGCTCGCTGATATTGTCTGAGGTAGTGATGTTCCGTTGTCCACTCCCAAACATCGCGAGACTCGCGTTCCTTCAGCAGTACTTTCGCAGCACTCGAGACAAACAGGCATTGCAAGTCCTTCAGGTCAGTTGCGAAGGCCCGAACGCCTATGGCTGAATCTCGGCCAAAGCGCACGACGCACAATAAACAACATTATATTATGTCATGTCAAACATCCTTACATCAAAAGGGGTTGTGGTCTAGTGGTATGACATCTTCTTAGCATTGCTCTTTGAGCATTACTGAGTTGGAGAAGGTTCTGGGTTCGATTCCCAGCTACTCCATTGGTATATTCTTTTGCCAGATTTTGTTCGTCTTACATAAAATACTTTTTGTCCGTCAATGACAGTGAAGAATCTTGCTGGTGTATGCAAAGCTAGCCGAAAACGAAGAAGCAGGGGAATCCTTGAAGCGGAAGAAAATTGGGGTATATCGTAATGCTCGTTATGTACAAGAAAAGACTCGCTTTTGTGTTGATATAGTGTCATGTCTATCGTAACGTTGTAAATGGTGGACAAATGATGAGAAGTGCAGAGCAGATGACCCAATAGCTACTCAGGACCAGTCAAGAAGTCCCATGCGGTCAATGTAAGTATCTTGACAAGGTTGATGTAATCATCGAGGTCGACACTCTCGTCAATACCAGCCATGCCTTCTGGAGAAAGGCCATAGCTGTATGCAGGTACGCCTTTATATCTCCAGTGTTTAGCGTCTGTAGCGCCAAGTGATGGTATAGCGACTGGCTTTCGTCCTAGGATATGTTCGGCATTGTCGGCTATCGCCCGTGTAAGAGCGTGATCGAAAGGACAAGAGTTGGGTGGATTGGAAGCTGCTTCTTGGACTTGATAGCTGGCTCCAGGGAAGTGTTCGAGAATAGTGTCGATCTCTTGGAGGATGGTTTCTGCGACCAAACCGATTGGTAGGCGGATGTCGGCTTCGAATCTGCAGTCCCCTGGGATTGTGTTGACTTTGGCCCCACCACTGATGGTTCCAATGTTTACTTTTGGTTTGAGGATTAGATCCGAGGCACCAGTACCCATAATCTCGTCGACGGTGTCCCGCACTTCTTGTCGATCAAGGTATTTCCTCACTTCAGGATCGAGTTTGAAACCTGAGAAGTCTTCGAGTTTGACCAACTCCGTGATTAACCTGGTTGCAATCCGAATTGCACCTTCAGACAGATGTGTATAGGCTCCATGTGCGCTCCTCGCCCTGACTGAGAAGGTCATTCGCAGAGTGCCCTTCTCAGCAAAGCGTATGCTTTGCAGACCTGTGGGTTCGGCATTGAGATTTACGTCGCCCGTCCAGGTCTCTCTTCTATCATCATCATTCAAAAGATATTTGCTTCCCCACTTTCCACCGTTCTCTTCGTCTGATACCGCTTCGAGAACAGCAGTGCCGTGCAAAAGATGTCGATGTGCGAAGATATATGTGTAGGCAGCAACAGTCGCCGCAGTCCCAGCCTTCATGTCTACAACTCCACGTCCATAGAGTCTGTTGTTTTCAATATCTCCGGACCAAGGATCGTGCGTCCATTGTGACTTGTCGGACTCAGAGATCGGGAAAACGTCAAGGTGCCCATTCAGAACCAAACGTGGACCAGGCTTCGGTGTTGAGATTCCACTCCTCTCGAACGGTGAGTCGGTTGGACTTGGAGTATGGCTTTCTAGTTGATGTAGCGATGAAGATCGGCTATGCGCTGGCGACTGAGATACTGCTGGGAAAGTGCTTGTGACATTCGGCGCATGGCTTTTTGGTGCGATAATCGTGGAAGGAACATCGCGACAAGCCAGAAACGTAGTAACAACACAAGCCGCTGCTATTGTATCGCCAGGAGGATTCGAAGAGTCGGCGCGTGTGAGGGATTGCAAAAAGCTGATGAGGTCATGTCGCTCGGCGTCAATTGTCTCCAGCAACGCCTCCTTGAACATTTCGTATTGTGGTGAAGAAGAGAAAAACTCATGAGAAGAAACCAAAAAATGACATGGACCCTTGAACATATATAAAAAGCCAGATCAACCGGCCCATTATTATTTTGTATACAAAAAGCTTGCTTATTTTGACTCACCAAGCCTTCGAGTCATCGAGAAATGTACGTCAGAGTAGATGTCGCGATCGGATTGGGAAATGATCAGCTAGTTATTGCCGGGGTACATCGACGAGATCTCTGAAGATCTGTGTATCCTTCTCTGATAGCCCGGTTATGCCGTCTTCTTCTGTTTCACGAATACCCATCGCGTTGGAACGTGGTCCAGCTGACTGCTGTTTGTGGCCACGGATGTTTGGGCGCCGTGGATGTCGGTTGAGAGCCGCTTACCAGGAAAACGTGGAGACGCGCATGAAGGGTCCGACTCCTGAAGAACAACATCATGTCCCAGTTCAACGCACTTCATGGCGCGCAAACCAACAAACTGCACATTGCTGGCGACTGACCCAGCTATACCATTACATTGATAGGCTAGTACGAGTAGGACCATTTTTCGCTTAAGTATACAGTAAGTTTGATTGCTTGTGACCGTGCTTGAATCCTTCGACTCGGCTGCCTGACAAAAATGCAATTCTCTTATACCGTAGGCATTCTCTCTCTTTTTCCTTTGTCGCATCGAACTGTTCCTTGCTATCATCATGGTTGCCAGATCTGTCCTCGCAGGCTGCGTTGCAGCCTTTTCTGCTGTGGCTTCCGCACAGATTGACATGCTTACACCCAATTTCACGCAGATTCCCACCCTCTTCGATCGTGTGAACACACCTTTCACCTTCACCGATTGTGCGGCACCAAAAGAAATGGAAACCTGCTGGCAAGCCCAGAACTTTACTAATGAATACTACGACAACGAATGCTTCGGTCTGCAGAACAGAATTGAGTGCGCTCTTACGAATTGCTGGAATAGGGTATCACCTCAACGTCCTTGACGATAACCTCAGAATAAACCGTTGACACATCACAGGTCTATTCATGCGACTATCAGCAACTTGTGCTCGCCTACAATTGGACTTGCAATGATCCGAACCCAGATTATCCAGGTTACCCAGAGTCAAACACTTTGAAGTTGCCATTCTACCCAGCACCCGTTGACGCTGCTGAAGAATGCAGCTGTAACCTCAAGACTGTCGACGTCAGTCTCTATAGCCCATTCGATGGTTTCCAGACATGTCTTGACAAGGTCTACAAAGAGGATGGTGATTTAGACGACGATGACGACCAAGACGACGACAGCGATGACCAAGACGACGAGGACGACCAGTACGGCCTCTTTGGAAAACCAGTGCCGAAATGCAACTGCTGTCTTTATGGCGCTGTTGCTGCTACGTGAGTAGACATTGCATCTGCTGTACCTTCATTCACGACTAACCTCTCATTCCAACAGACTCTGGGACACATGTCCGAGCCAAGACCCCGGATACATTTATCTAGACACCGTCAAACAAATCTACATCGACAGCATACAAATCGGCGGCAACATCACTCTCGCAGATTGTGCTTCCATCCTCTCGAACCAGAGTTTCAATTGCGCTGACTACGGTTTCACAAGCTATGGCAAGAATGCTTCTGACTATGCGAAGCCTACACCTTTGCACTCGGCTACTGGCACTTGGAGTGATGTCAACGGAATTCTTACTAGTCCTGTGAGTGGGCCTACCTATACTTGGACTGCTTGGAACGACACTTTTACGATTACTGCTGCTTCGGTGGAGGCTGTGGCTACTAGGACTGCTAGCGCTACAAGTTCTGAGAAGGTCACGGGTAGTTCTACAGGAGGTGTGAGTGGCACGGCAAGTGGTCAGACGTCAAAGAGTACTGGTGCTGCTCCTACGGGCATGGCTTTGCAGCATCCTGCAGCTGCGCTCGTGGGACTCGGTGGCATTGCTTTCGCTCTTTTGTAGATGTAAGAGAGAAACAATCATATTGTCATTATATAGGCCGTAATACTCGAGCACAAGATTCTGTCAAAAACTCTACTCTAAACAATACAAGTATTCTCGTCAAATCCCTTACTCAAAACGCGAAAGATCAGTCTCAGTAAGTCTCTTGACACTTTCCTGGAACCACCAAGGCAAACCTCTGAACGCTCTCATAATAGGTCCAAACCCATTACTGAGCAGAATCTGTCCACTTCTCGCATTCAAAATCTGATCAACCACAGCATCAGAAACATCCTGAGGGTCTAAAATCTTCATACCCGCTTTTTCAAGCTCAGTCTTGGAGGAAGCAATGATAGGTGTGTCTGCAAAGAAAGGATGCACAATCGAAGTCTTAATCTCAGGACAACGGTGGATAGACCGCAGCTCAGTACTAAGACCCTCGTTGAAGGCCAACACCGCTGCTTTAGAGCACGAGTAATCGGTGATGCCAGGAGTGGTGAAGAAGGAAGCCATACTAGCGATAGAAACAACATGTCCCTTTTTCTTAGCAAGCATATCGGGTAAGAAAGCTTGCACGAGATAGTAGTGCGACATGATGTTCACACCCATGAGTTTTTGGAGCTGTGCAGGTGTGGTTTTGAGGATTGTTCTCTGGCCGCCAATGCCTGCGTTGTTGATCAAGATGGATGGATGGCCAACCTTCGCCTTGATTTCTTCGGCGACGGCGTTGACGGCTTCGACGTCGGTGACATCGCACTTGAAAAAGGTAATTTTGGGGTTGTTTTCGAGGTGCTTTGGGAGTGGGTTGACATCGATGGCGACGACATGAATACCCTTGTCTGAAAGGTCCTTTGAAAACAGAGCTCCAAAGCCAGAGGAGCTTCCGGTGACAATGGCGATCTCGTTATTCCAGTCCCAGTCTGCCTTGCTAGAGCGAAGGGAGAAGTTGTTGCGAGCAAACTGGTTCAAAGCTTCATTGACATTCTTGATCAAGCCAAAGGCAAACAACCATTTCAGAGCAGTAATCAGACGCTCGATATTGTGAGGCTTCAGTAGCTGATGCAGGTAATCGTAAACTGGTCGTTGTACTGACTCTGGACCCTTGAGCAGGACCAACAGAGCGGCACCAGTGACGACTGGCGAGAAAGGAGCTTGTTTCAGAATGCTTGCCATGGTAAATGTATGCAAAGAAGATCTGAAGATTCTGTCATCTTGCAGGAAGAGGACAGCTAGAATGATTTATAGCTCACCAGCTGATGATAATCAATAGTGGCATGAGGGGTAATATAAGGGATCAGCAGCCAGCCACGGTCAGCCTAAGTTGCTGAATTAGAGCAAGTTTAGGCGACAAACCTCGGCTCGAGATGATCGCCAAAGCCTGACGCTCATCTTGGTCTTTCCAAAAAGTCATTGCCACTGTTGCACACTGTAGCTATCTTTGCGCTAGAGCGCATCGCTACAGAATAATGGCGCTGAATGGGACACTCATGCCCTTTCTGTATCCCTGCCTCCACACGAGTAGAGGCAATGCGCCGCGCGCATTGAGGAGGTGGCTACAACTAGGACGACCGACCACAAATACACAATGTCTGTCCACGAGACATATTGCAACCGTTTCTAGCACAAAAGGAGGCTACGAAGACGAGAGCTTCGATGACACACCCGAGAGCGAACTTGACCGCTTGGATCCACCGCCAGACTCGTACTCGATCACACCTTTCACTGACCGATGTTCGATCGTCCTCCACGCAGGTAGTGGAGGCCACGGCTGCATCAGTTTCTTGCGCGAAAAGTACATCGAAAACGGCCCACCTAATGGCGGCGATGGAGGAACTGGAGGAAACATCTACATTCAGGCGGTGCAAGGCGAGACATCATTGCACAAGCTTGCGCGACGAGGAATACTAAAAGCTGGTCGTGGGAAGAATGGCCAAGGAAAAGGTCAGGGAGGAACCAGAGGAGAAGACATCTTGATCACAGTGCCCGTGGGTACGATTGTCCGAGAAGTGTGGCGACACGACCCTGTGGCAGAGGAAGAGGTGGCAGACAAGAGGGCAAAAGCCATGGGAGCAGACGCCGTCTTCGATGATGAGCCCGGCGTTGTCGACAACACTCGCAAATGGAGGCGCGACAAATGGTTGCTGTTCCCTGGTGCCATGCCTCAATCCTTCACATCCGCAGATTTCCCTCCTCTACCACGTCCGAGAAGATCGCAGATTGCAATGGCACAGCCCCCGGCACCTATACGTTTGGATTTGGACACTCCAATGGATACTCCTCAGCTGCTTGCTGCTGGTGCAATGGGCGGTTTGGGCAATCCACACTTTGTCACAAAGAGCATCACTCGTCCCAAGTACGGCACAAAGGGTGATGAGGGCATGAAGGTCGAGATCCAGCTCGAGCTCAAACTGCTTGCCGACGTCGGTCTCGTTGGTCTCCCCAATGCTGGAAAGAGCACTCTGCTACGAGCCATCACCAACAGCCGCGCACGTATCGGCAACTGGGCCTTCACAACCCTGCAACCAAACATTGGCACCGTTGTCCTCGACAACCACAAAGGCCGTCCTCTGGTTCCCACCTCAAGCACTAAAAAAGGCCCTGCTCGCACGAACTTCACCATCGCCGATATTCCCGGTCTGATCGAAGACGCCCACCTCGATCGTGGTCTAGGTCTCGGCTTCCTCCGCCACATCGAACGCGCTGGCATCCTAGCCTTTGTAGTCGATCTCAGTGCCGGTGATGCAATTCAATCCCTCAAAGGCCTCTGGAAAGAAGTCGGTCAATACGAACTCCTCCGCGACCGCGAAGTCAACGCCGAAACCGAACGCCGCGTTGAAGAAGAAAAAGAAATGGTGCGCTACTCACCACTAGTCCAAGCTGAAGCCCCCAATGTTTTCGAAGATGGCTCTGTGTTGTTCAATCCTGATGGGTCGCGTGTTCTTCCTGAACTCAAGTTGCCGCCTATCTCGTCAAAGCCTTGGTTGGTTGTTGCTACCAAGGCTGATTTGCCAGAAACGAGAGAGAATTTTGCGGCTTTGCAGGCTTATTTGAAGAGTATCTCTGAAGGAGAGACGGTACATCCTAGTGGAAAGAAGAATGCTTGGAAGAAAAAGCTTCATGCTATTCCTGTCAGTGCTAAACTGGCTCAGGGTGTCGAGAGGATCACTCCTATTGTTGTTGATCTCCTGGAGAACTGAGCAAGGTGATCGAAACATAATGCAGGGCCTTGAGAGGTCACAGGAAGATGGATTGTACGAGTAGGTGTACTATATCAACATTCAAGACTAAATCTTTAATCCTCCATCTATGGTCACTCACACTTCTCAGGACAGTGTAACACCTTGACACGTATGCTGCAGTCCTCTGACTTCAACAAATGCGTTAGCCAACCCTTTGTAATGCACTAAACCAGCAGCCAGAACCAGCACATGGAAAATCTGATGACTTGCTCCCAAGAAGTCGAATGTATAAGGGAACCAGGCCTCAGGAAACTAGGTCTAGGTCAGCACTTGCAGCACAAACGACATCCAATTTGAACTTACCCGCAATGCATAGAATGCTGCGCCTAGGAGGTTCAGCAACGCCATCAAAGCCATCCACTCCAAGGCTAGCCTTCTTCGCTGGACCGCAAAGCCATAGAGGTAGAATCCATGCATGACAAACACTACAGCGAACAGTCCAAAACTCGCATACATCCCTGCTCTCGCAGCACGGAACGCTGGTTTGATAAACACCGGACATAGCGTGAATGCAAGACAACCAGCAGCACTCGCCGAGACCAAACCCCAATGGACAGTCCTCAGCCAAGGATCGCAGATGAAGGCGAAATGGATGGAAGCAAGACTGGCTCCCCACATGAGGATCACAATGCCGGAGAAGTCGAGACGGTTGCCTAGACTTGCAATGGGTGGGCTATGGTTCCAGACTACATGGCAACCAGCTGAGCATGCAAAGCATATTGCTACGCCGAGAAAGTAGAGAAGGAAGACGACTACATCCATGGGCTGGGCGTCGCGGACATTTTGGTATAAAGTGTAGTAGAAGTGTAAGGGAAGGATGGCGAATAATGCTGCGCCGAATGTGTGCGAGTGGATGTTGACTTGTAGTAAGATTAGTATCAAGACGTAAAATGTAGTAGACTTGAGTTGCTCACTCGTCTCATTATGCCAACCCAGCATACTTTCCAGACATTTCTTCCAGGAACCTGCGGTTGGCCTGTCAGAAGTTAGCATCACAATGTACACCGCGAGAACTGGTGTGCTGACCGATATCCCGATAAAAGATACTCATTGTCCCTTTCCAGACATTAACACAGACTTCTGACTCCCTGACTTGAACTCACTTCTGCCAGGCAGCTTCGTAACAATAAGGTTAGCAACATGTCTCTACGTTGCCAACGGGTGACATACGAATTTCATCAAACAACAGCAGTCGTTCCTTCCTTTCTCCAACATCCTGCTTCTTCAAAAGTGGTTTCGACATGTTCACAAGACGGGTAGAAACAGGAGACAGATCCTAGAAAGGGCGTTCGCCGGCTTAATATGCACGCCTTCCTGTTCAGAGTCTCGCACGAAGCGCCGTCAATAGTTGGGCGCTTCGTCTAATTTGGCCCCACTCACCTTCATGCAAGGCGATCACACCTCCCACTTTCTATCTCTAGACAGCGCTTCCATGCCGGATTTTGCCTATCCCTATACAGTATGCTCATGTACGTCGTGGTTTGTGCAGAGCCAGGCCTGTCGCTCGGTCAGGTCTCGACTTGACGACTCGCATGCGACTGGACGCGTTCAGCGATGCCACCGAACAGGCGGCTAACGAAACATTAACATGTTCGACTTGATTGTCTATGCATGACAGTCTGCAGGCTTGCCGCTCATGAGCGCGAATGCTCAAGATAGGTCAAGCCAAGAAGTATCAATAGGACATCGCAGCTCGACACCCATCATGGTCGAGTGTTTGGAAGCTCTAATACCAATAACCTTGCGATGAGCACCTACCTGGTGAATGTGACCACTCTGAACAGCTCGACTCGAACTGGATGGGTTGATGAGCCAAACATCAGAGGTTCGTGGGGCATCCTTCTGCCTTGTGTCTCAACACTACTTGTCTGCTCGTGGTCGGTGATGCATCTTAACCTCCCAGCGAAATCGAGCTCCAATACAGAAAAGCTCATACCCTACTTGTACTGGTGTGCCATTGTTATCTTTGGACCAGAGCTTGCTATATGGGCTGCTTGGCGACAACTTATGTCTGCCAGGGCACTAAAGCGAGAGATCGAGGAGGCGAAGGTAGTCACCTCTTTCAATATGTGTACGCGACTGACTTGGACACAGCTGACTTCCTACAATTTTTCCCTCACACATGCCTTTTATGCCGTGATGGGTGGCTACGCCTTCGATTGCAACCAGTCATTCGACTCTGAAGGGGAGGTCTTCTGGTCCAAAACACAGCGAATTACGCTCACGCCAAAGGGTGTTCTGCTACTGGCCTCTTGTGGACAACTTCCAGAAATTTCGGCACAGAACATTGCCGACAAGAGCAAAGTGGACGAACTCGGTAAACTCATCGCTTGTTTACAAGCAGGATGGTTTACCGTACAGATAATCACACGGTTGGCTTGTCACCTTCCAATAACGCTACTCGAAGTGAGGATTGTCGGGCACGTCTTATGTGCCTTGGTACTCTACACACTCTGGTGGTACAAGCCTCGTCGCATCGAGGAGCCCACTATACTCAAAGGTTCTTGGTCAGCCCCTCTGGCTGCCTTCATACTCATGTCGAGCCACGTCAATGCAGCACCCAATTCTATACTTCCTGGCTTCCAAGCCGAGCAGCAGCATGCAGAGGTAATGGCATTAAAGTTCCGGGTTATGCCAGACGGCAGTAGTGTGCATGTGCAGAGCATATCTGACGATGAGCATGAGATGGACAACTTGGATCATGCCTTACAAGTACGCACGAAGACTGGAATGTCCTTGATGTATGAGGAAGAAATTGACCTTGAAGATACGGTCGTAGACTGGAAGGGTCAGGCTGAAGCTCGTCTTCGTCTGGCATGTCTGGCAATACAAAAGTACTCTGCCGTGCGCACTCTCCTTCGTCGACCCATCTGCGGAGAAGATCGAAAGTACGCCACTGCACTGGCAGCATATCCGGAAATGCCCAAGGTGTGTCGAAAGAAGCGAGAGAGAGAAGCCATGCTCCAGAACGTCTCACCATGGCTTGAGTGTGATGCCTTGAAGGGATGTGAGGAGCTCAAGCTGTAGAAAGTCAAGGCAGACGCTCACCTGCCGGTGGGGCTGCACGGCCCTTCGTGCCGTGGCTCATGCTCTGATTTCGGTTCTTGCTTGATTGAACTGTTTCTGTTGACTGAAGATGTGTGCCATGATTTTTGCTAGGTATGTGCTGCGGTAGATGCTCTCGAACCTGAACGCTGTTGGGTGGTCTTTCGGAAATGGGGCGGAGGTGTTGCTGGAGGAGGATGGGGGATTGTCGTGTCAGAAGGTGGTGTTGAGTTCGAGTCCATATCGTCAAGGCCATCTCCCACTTGCCAGTGGGGCCGCACGGCACGAATGTACAGCACCTCGCCTGCCACACCGCCAGCGATTGGCCTCATGATGGCCTTGTCCGAACAACAGGCGGTCTGGTCATGGGCACAGTACTCTGGGCCGCCAGTATCGCGTTCAGTGCTGTTCATATCGCTGCCTGGAATGCCGGCTTTCCGACTGAAGCCGAAGCGTGGCTATGGCGATTTTCATCCATGTATATTGGTTTCTCTGGTCTCCTTTGGGCCTTTTTACATGTCATGGCTGAATTATCTGCTACTTTGTGGTGGAATTGGTATGATATTATGATTGGCGAGGCTTCACAAGTGTTGGCCATGCTTGTTACGGCTCTTTGCTCTATGTGTGGAGTTATATACATCTTGGCAAGGGCTTATCTCGTGGTTGAGGCCTTCGTGGAATTGAGATCGTTGCCTACAATGGCGCATGCCATTCCGCAGTGGTCAGTGAGCATTCCACATATAGGATAGAGATTCTCTTGCCTCTACACGGGATAGTTATTGTTCATTTCCTTTTGATCTGACAAATTGTGGTTTGCTATATATCTGGGCAGAAATTTCCTAATCAGTAGCTTACTTGGCCTCGATCGCACAAGATATCAACAATGGTCATTTATACATTGAGATAACAAGTTCACATAACTGTCAACTGTAAAGTAAACTGCGGTTGAATGTAAAAAAAAAAAAAAAAAAAAAAAAAAAAAAAAAAAAAAACGCACAAATCCCGATAAACCTCTCGCGCCCAATGCCCTCACTCTTATGCCATCGATCTCCCCCTGTCGAAGATTGTCTCTTTCTACCATCAAAAGCCTGAACTGCGCCTCCTTACCCACCAAGGCAATATCCTTCTCTCCAAGTTCTTTCTTCGAAGCTCTGTATCTATGCTCAAGTGCTGAGTACTTTGTTCTCAGAGAAGCAACTTCTTCTCGAGGAACATCTCGCGTTTCGATCTGGAGCCTTTGGGACGCCCTGGTTTGTTTCTGCTAATGGGATGTTGTTAGCATGGCAGGATTGGGAAGAAAGAGTTAGAGAGGGGTAATTACATGGTCGAAGGACCGGCAGTATTAATCATATCATTGTCATCAAGAGTGCTAGTCGTAGTAGTAGCAGTGTCTTCTGCTTCTTTGACGATAGCCGGTGTGGGATAAGAAACGGAGGGACTAGCGCTTATAGGTTCTTCTTTCATAATAGGAGGAGAAGAAGTAGACACAGAAGAACTAGAAGAGGTGTTTGGCATTTTGCGCTGTCTGCCGGGTATACAAAAAGATAAGAAAGGCAGAGAAAACAGGGCAACAGGGGAAAGAAGAGGGAGGATCTTATAGACAGAGCCAGGAAGAATAAGAATGAATATCAATGGATATATATGGATAGATATGAATACATAAGAATATAAAGGACTTTCAAGTAGGACTTGAATTGTATTCGAATGGCTCAAGAAAACTTGAAAAGACTTTGAATCACTTTACTCAGTAACTTCAAATGACTTTCAATGACTTGAGATAACTTCAAACAAGTTGGAGATACTGGAAAAAGTCTTTAAGCAGTGTCTTTAAATAACTTTAAAAGACTCTCAGAGATTTTCAATAAGTTTGATTGACTTTTAAATGATGATTTAAATGTATTTAATCTGATTTGAATGAATACAAACAAGTTTGAACGAAATTCAGTATCAATTCGTATGTATAAAACGATACAAAGGACAAGTACAAGTAGAGAAAGTGCGATTGCCATAGCCCATACTGCGCAGTGAGCTTGATTGGAGGCTAAGAGCAATCGAGATGGAGGTTATGCCTGACAAACCGAGCATAACGATACGATCATCTCGGCAATTAGATCACTAGCCGCACGATTCAAGAGAACATTCAATGCATTTGAGGATAGTTTCAATCATGTCTCATACCCCGTTATCTGCAACTACACCAACCTGACTACTAGGCACAGAACGAACCTCCTGTATACAGTAGCCCAACAACAAGGGCTCATCGCCATACCTCCTATCCCTTGTCTTCTGGTAACAACGATTTACTCGTAAACGACAGTAACAGAAGAAGAACCAACAGTAACATCAGTCAGGACGGTTTCGCCATTAGCAGAGATAAGATCAATGACATCGGCACTAGAAGGACCATACTTAGATCCACTGTTAGTAGTAGCCGAAGCACCAGTGAAAGTGATAGTGCCGAAGTCGGACAGGGGAACAAGAGATTCCTGTCCATTCTCGATTTGAGTGAAGTCCTCGACAATCCACTCGGCATCAGTCTGGCAGAGAGTGCCTGCAGTTTCGCGGCTGAAGGTGTGGCTGACGGACTGGCCTTTGCTGTTGTTCTTAATGGTGGCCACACCGCCGGTGGTGGAAGAGGCGGTCACGGTGACAGTGACACTATCGCCGGCAGAAAAGCTGATGCCGGAGAAGTCGTAGGCGTAGTCGGGGTACCATTCGTACCAGGCATCATAGGTGACAGCACCACCCTGGATGCTGAAGTCGACACCAGTCTGCAAAATAGCAGACTCGCAGGAGTATCCGTCGATACCGACCCAAGCAGAGGCAGAGTAGAGAGTTCTAGAGCTACCACCGGAGGGCACAGTGACCTTAGGGATGGTGAAAGTGCCGGTGACGGTCTTCCAGCCGGAACCTTCGAGGACACCGCCAGCCCAGTTGTTGGAGTAGCTGACTTGCTTGTTCTCGGGACCGTGGACAACAGCGGTTACGTTGGTGGCAGCAATGAAAGGCTTAGGAGCCTTGAGGAGACCAGCACGAGCACTCTCAGCACGCTTGCGGCGCATAGCAGTGCCAGGAGCAGCGACGACGGTGCTTGCAGAGAGCAGACCAGCCAGGAAAGCAGTAGTGAGCTTCATGTTGGCTAACTCGTAAAGTCAGATGAAGTCGTGAACGAAAGGCTTGTGAAGAACGAGAGTATCTTGTGAAGATGGAACGATGGTGTTGTTGATGGATAGAGACATCAAGTCCTTGGGAGGAGACGTCCGACTTTATAGACAGAGCCAGGATACTACTATCGCTTCTTGAAGACCCGATAAAGGCGTGATAGAGATGGCGTTGAGTAGCTCGCTAACTTGCAGTGCTGAACGAGTATGACCTTCCATCTTTGTTCATGGCGGGTTCTCGTATTGTGTGACCGATTTGATTGAAGGCCCACCTAGCCGAAGCATGATTTGCGAGCAAGGATACCAATCACTTGTATGGGAAGATACCTGAGGACCTCGCAGCGGTGTGTCCTTCTGATAGGAATTTGAAGCCACTGTCTCAGCGCTTCCGCAAGTACGTATGAGACATGGGAACGTATCTCGAAGAAGGTAATCGACACGCAGCTTCTAGACCTTATGATACATGTCTGCGGAGTGTTTGGATTGCTGTAGAGCGTTTGCAATTGGTGCATAGTGCTGTAGGCAAAGTGGTCATTCTGCTCGCCTAAGTGAAACTTAACTCATGCATAAGGTTCATATAAAGGAGCGGGCTGGACCGAGTAATATAGAGCGGAAGTATGAGAACGACCTATCAGAGGTTGAAAGTGGTCTACTGCACGTCTCTATGAGGCGGCAGAGATTGAGGTACCATTGAAGGCCGGAAACACAAGACCACAGCCGAGGCATGTCGTTATCAGTAGAACACTTCTCAACCTACCAGATGAACGAGGGCTCGAACGACTGAACATGCTATACATATTGTTGGCGGCAGATGAACGTATGCCTTGAGCGGCATAGATCACGCGAAGAGCCACGTAACCCTTATCAATTCAGAGATGGTTCTTGATGGAGCCCAGAGGGGTGAAGACGAGATATCGACAAGCTTCCATGGCGCCTGCGAGGGCAAGCCATCGGGCTTGTCTAGACTTGACATGGATAGGCAAAAGCTTGAATTGGGGCTTGATATCGTGATGTTTGTTGTGAATGGCGAAGATGTCAAGTGTCGAGACAGGAAGGTGGTGGTCGACTTTGGGATCGGCCCGCAGCGCTCGACCTCCGAAGGATGCTTGAATCTCCTTCCTCCTTCGAATCCTTCCAGTCAACCTACACTTGCTTTCGCATGAACGCCAGGTTCATCATTGGCAACATGACATACTTTCAATGTAGACTGCCTTTCGACTGTTCAACCTCCTCTCACAGCCACGTAAATTCAGTCAAGGAGGTTCTGCTGTCAAGCTCCGCTATCATTGGTCCGATAACTGTATCTTCGAAGCAATATCAGCCCTGAGGGGCGTGCGAACTACGGCGATCTTCATGCTTCCACAGTATATTGACATGCAGGCACAAAGAGCGTTGAGCGAAGGAACTATGGTCAACATCGACCATGCAATGTTACAAGCTGATATGAAAGTGTCAAAAGGCAGAAGAGTCGGAAAAATACGAGATTGATCGACAGAGTCCCTAAACTCTTTCCAAACAAAGAGGACTCGGGACCGTGTTATTTCCTTGAATCAGAACTCCTGGGAAAGTCGCCAACCTGTTCCTGCGCAAAAGAGATACGAGAGTCGTTATTCGTTCAGTCAATCATGATGAGGTCTGGATGCCGTTCAGAGCTGCCAGACCTCTGTTACCCTCCTTCTCGAATAGCATGACCATACGCTCACACTCATTCTTGAGCTTGTTCTCCCCCAGTTCTGCGCGTGATCGGATCCACTCCTCGACCGTCATCTTCTTCTCTGGTGAAGTCAGTCCACCACCAACCTCGAGCAGCTTGTTGAATACATCATCTGCATCCCCATTTTCGTTCTCGGAGTCGGGGAAGAAGATTGATTCGAGATCAACGGCTTCCCAAGGAGTTGTCGAAGTCAGTCTGCCGAATTTGGATGGTGATCGTCTTGATGGAGATCGATTAGGTGTAGATGCAGCAAGAGGTACTCGAGTAGTCTTGGTAGGGCTTGCAAATATCTCCTTGGGTTGAATAGCAGTATTCATCACATCCAGAGAGGGAACCACCTTCTGAGCTGTAGCTGGAGCGTGTGATGACGAAGATGGCGGTTGGTTCTCGACATCTGATAATTGTGCACTGCGTGGAGTCGAATGAACTGATTCTTCGACTTCCTCCGAGTCGGCTCGTTGTACGACAGATCTCCGAACAGAAGACACAGAGACTGCAGAAACACGCTTGACTTCAGGTGTTGGTGTCGGCTCGAATTCTTCAGCTGCGGGGGTTTGTGCAATGGAAGCGGGTTGTTCTTCCTCCTCATTGACCACATTGTCCTCCGTTTGCACCACAACTTCTTCCTCAGCTTCAACACTCTCAAGATTGTTGAACTCTTCGTCAAGTACATCCTCGTCTTGTCGCTCTTGAGACTCAAGGGCCTCTTCGTTCTCTGGTTCCATATCGATGCCGGCCTCTGCCATAGGATCAACATTTTCCTGATCGACCTCTTGTTCTGGTAGCTGTTGTTGGGCTTCATTGTCGAGTCCGGCGTCACTATCGGCGATCTCAAAATTTCTCTCGAGTGCTCCTTGTTCGGGTTCCAGTTGTTCTTCGGTTTCGGCAGGATGTGCCAGTTCTGGTTGTACCTCGCTCACCTGCTCGGTAATCGCTCCAGGCTCTACCTTTGGCTCAGGCTCAGGCTCGGGCTCAGGCTCGATCTTTTTGGTCTTCTTAGACCTTGTTCGTTTCGGCTTTTCCTCTGGTTGTGAGACTGCAGCGGACTCTTCTGCTTCTTCCTGATTGTCCTTGGCCGCCTTTTTGGTCTTTTTTGCTTTTGTAGATTTCGCGGCCTTCTTGGGTTTGGTCGGCTCTTCTTCGATCACCTCGTCTTCAGCGACTGAGGGCTTCTCAAGTCCATCACTAGTTCGCTTGACGCCTCTTCCAGATTTTGTCTGAGCACTTTCTGCAACAACAGCGACTTCGGCAGCTTCCTGTAGTTCAGACTGCAACTGACTTTCATCCAGACTGGTCTCTTGAGGTGGAGAGGGTTCCTTTGCTTTCTTGCGGCCCCGTGTAGGTTTCGGTGCAGGCTCCGCTACGGAGTCGTCAATGACAATCGATTCTTGAGTATTCTTGGGTTTGCGACCGCGTTTGGGTTTGGGCTGTTCTACGACAGGTACAGGGTCGGAGTCGACGGGGATCTCGAATATGTCGTCCTCCTCTTGCGAAGGTTCTTGCAGGGTCGGATACAGAACAGAGGGCTCGACAGATTCCTGGCGGGCTGTCTTCTTCCTTCCTTTCGGGGCCTTCTTGCGACCCTTGCCGGCGTCAGAGGAGATGGTTGTATCGATGGCAATGCTATCTTCGACTTCAAGTTGGGGACCTGTGTCACCCAAGGACATCAGCGACGGAGCCTCAGAGAAGGTCGATTGGACGGATTGTGTGGACAAGCGGGAAGCTCTCGAGGCAGTAGATGCACGAGCACGCCCACCTTTGCGTCTTGTAGACTTGTAACGGTCCATCAGGGCAAAGAAGAGGCAGTTTGGCTCTCTACGGCGGTGCTCCTCGAGTGGGCTATCCTTGGGCTCCCATCCGTCCAGTGACATGTTGCAGTAGAAACAGGTGGCGCCGTCCTCGTCTGCGGGCGAAGGATCGTATGCCCAACCTGCCTCAACCATCTGCTTGATCTTGGGCTTCCATCCCTTCTTGTGTTCGTGGGGCCACATGTCGCCAAAGGTGCTTGTGCGGGCCTCAACCAGTTCCGGGCTCATGGGGTCGCGTTCTTCGGCCTTGTCCGAGACAGATAGACTCAGGGCATAGGAGCAGTGTGCTGAGTGGGCCAGATGCTCCTGGAGGGGGACATCCTGGCTCTCCCATCCGTCGAGTTTTACGGCGCAGTGGAAACATTGGACATTGTCATCGCTGTCGGGAGCGGGTTTGAAGAAGAAGCCGGCGCGAGCGAGCTATAGAGATCAGAACAATGCGCAATGGACAAGCGATAGTTAGACTCACCTCTTCACCGGAAGGCGACTCGTGGGGCCAGGACGCGGTCGAGGGTTGTTTCTTCTTTTGACTCGAAGCGCGTCTCTTTGTGAGTTGATGTTCGGTGTTGAAAGTGGCCAATCGAGCAGAGTATGTCAGCATAGACATGTCTAGACCCGGTATAGCAGCCATGCTGGCGGCGACGAGGCGGGTGTTGGGCGAATCTGATCAAGAAAGACAAGACGCTCAAGCAACAAAGCAGCTTGGACAGGGTCGCGATTCGTCTCGAGCAACAACAAACAGATTGGAAAGCTTAGCTGCCGGGCTGACACGTGATTGCCAAGGCGCGACGTCAGGCACGCGTGGGGCTTCTCGTTCTTTCCCCGGCTTCTGACGCAAAGTGGTCCGGTCCGGGTGTGCTTTCCAAAGGTTCCAGCTCCTTCCTGTTCCTGACCTTGCGTTCTTGTCTTTCTGTCTCTACCTTTGTGCCTTCCTCCTTACATCTCATTTTTGTGTCTTTCTGTCTGGCTCGAGCCATGTATTGATCTCTGGATAAACATGCTCCTTCCCGTCCTACATCCTACGCTATATGCGACCACCGAATAAAAAAAGCCGCTTGAAACACCCCTCCTTCATTGTTTGATCTACAACTTTTATAATGCTTTCCGTATGCTTTCATCAGTAATATTTCAACTTCCAACCAAGCTGACATAGTCTTAAGGCCTTCCGTCCCGTCCGGCCACTTGTGGCAGGCCGTAGCTTGCCAATTCCTACTTCACACTACAACCGTCTTCGTTCTACCGATGCGCTTCTGAGACATCATGCTGCTCGCTCTGCATCCTCATCGTCCTCCTCCTCCAGCTCGTCCTCCTCATCCGCTCCCGAGTCCAAGACCTCGACCGCATCCACATCTCCTCCGCAATCTTCAGCAGCAGCTACTCCCAACCAGACCATGCCCGAGGGCTGGGAGGACAATGCCGATTACTCACAAATCACCGCCTTCTCGCAACTCCCCCACCGTTACTTCGGCACCAATCAACATATCAAGATCAATGAAGACTTCAAAGAAGCCATGCGCCAGGTTCTATGGCAGTTCCGCGCTCCAATCCGTTACGCTTTCGCATACGGAAGTGGTGTCTTCACTCAGGCCACCAACCAGTCAGCAACCAACGTCGCCCAATCCTTTTCCCCTCACCCTCATCCACCCGAGGCCGTCACAAAATGGCAAGAAGGTGGTGGAAAGATCATCGACTTTATCTTTGGTGTCTCTCACACAGAGCATTGGCATTCTACCAACATGCGTCAGAATCCCCATCACTACAGTTTCTTGAAGAGCTTGGGTTCTTGGACCGTCTCCAAAGTACAGGACAGCTTCGGTGCTGGAGTTTATTTCAACCCTTACATCACCGTCAATGGTGTCATGATCAAGTACGGTGTCGTCAATATCAACACCATCTGCAAGGATCTGAGCGACTGGGATACTTTGTACCTGGCTGGTAGGCTTCAAAAGCCCGTCAAGATTCTCAGAGATGATCCAAGAGTCAGACTCGCGAACCAGATTAACCTCATGTCTGCAGTTCGTACTGCTTTGCTGATGTTGCCCGAAAAGTTTACCGAGAGAGAACTCTACACAACTATCGCTGGTATTTCTTACATGGGCGATCCTAGAATGAACCCTCGATTCGGAAGTGAGAACCCTCGCAAGGTTTCCAACATTGTCGATGCACAGCTGCCTAGCTTCCGCCAACTCTATGTTCCCCTCATCGAGAATCTGCCTAATGTGGATTTCAACGACTCAAGAGTCCCTCTAGAACCTGGGTGGCAGACAGAGGCGGCTGTTGCCAATGCTCTTTCATCTTCTGGACGAGCAATCCCTGCTGAAGATATCATCGGTGGTCTGGATGGTTTCAAGTTGCAGCAAGACATGGACCCCAAGCGCCGAGGAAACATGGTTCGCCGCCTCCCCAAGAGTTTCCGCCAGAAGCTCTACTGGAACTACCAGAAAAAGTTCCAGATTCCTGGCTCAGCATTCGACAAAGTCATCGAAGAAGCCACAGACGAAGATTCTATGAGTATCAGACGTCGTGAGGGTGGTGACTTTGAGCGTCGCATCGGCACCCAGGATGACCTCTCCGAGGCTGTAGGTGACTGTATCAAGAAGACCATCAGCTGGCCGAGTACAAGCCAGTCTCTGAAAGGTGTTCTTACTGGTGGACCAACTCGTTCTTGGAAGTATCTCCAGGAGAAGCGCCAAAAGGGCAAGCTAGGCAAGGCTGAAAAGGAAGGAGAGAAAGCAGCCAAACAGAAAGAAGAATAAGGAGCGACTTGAACCCACCGCCTTTGTAAATATGGTGAGGAAATCTGTCTGGTCCCATTGTTTTTTTCGAGCATAGCGGTCATCTTGGCGTTTTTGGCATATGACAGAAGTACAAGTCTACTGGGAGGCCCTCTAGATCGTGAATAGATTACCTCTGTTTGAACAAGGAAGCACATCAAAAGAATGTAGCAAGAAACAAATCCCAGTTGCACACATCACAATCATTGACTTGTTCCAAAAGACTGCAAGCCTTCTCATTTCTCCATTTCACGCCGGCTGATAAGGATTACTATGGCCTCGGAGTTGTACTGCCTGGTATCTCTGCCTCTCCCCCTCTGATCCAGGCAACTCTCTAGGGCTCTTAAGCGGCAATTCTGCCCTGTCACGCACAGAATCTAGTTCGTATGTCTGCACCCCACCTGCCTCATACGCCTTGAGATGCTCAGGCTTACCACTGCGTATCAGCGACTCCTTGGTAGTTCCTGTCGAAGCACTATCTCCAGAATAACCGCTCGTTGAAGGTGATTCGAACATTGAACGACGCCGGCGATGACGGCGCCAGAGAAAGATACCGACGACTATCAAGGCGAGGAGAGGAACTGCTGCGCCAACACTTGCTCCGATACCTATGCCTGTCCAATCTCTTTTCGACGTTGAAGAATCTGCTGGTGCTGCGTTCGTTGATGCGGGTACAGGCGTAGCTATGCTATTGGTGGGTACGTTTTTATTTCCTTCCGTGGTTGTGATCACGCTCGAGATTCCGTATGTCGATTTCGAAGCAGCTGGTGACAGAGGTGTCGAGAAATCCGACGAAGACAATCCAGTCGTTGATAAACTTGAAGACGAGCCTGAAGACGAGCTCGATGACGAAGTTGTCAATGTCTTAGCAACAGTCAACGAAGTCGCTGTCCCTCTTGTTGTCGCGGCCTCAGCCGCAGATGCTTTAAAGTCCCAATCGTTTGCAACAAAAACCTCGGTCTGATTGTTGCAACAATTAGGTCCGGTGTCTACACAACAAAACGCCACATCATTGTTCAGCAAAACCCCTGTTGTGGATGTACAATTGTACATTTTGCCTAATCGTGAATCTACACCGGCTAGAATCAGCTAACTATATCCCTTGGAACTCTCGAACCCAGACCAAACCCAAAAAAGGGAAAGGGCATGAGGCTTACATGGTGTACAAAATTTGGGACAGTTAGAAGAGTCCCAAGTTGAGTCTGTGCAAGTCCCTCGCATGGGGTTTTCGTCTTGGGAGTTTCCTGAACACATCCGGTTGGGCAGACAGGTCCTCCCGACTTCACAACAGTGGACCTGAATACCAGGTGCATTGTTGATTAGATCGGTGCATGGGTAGTCGTTTCTTGCGATTACTCCGTTGGGGAAGTAGCAGTTTTGCTGTAGCGAGGATTTTATGAGGATGGCGAGGGTGAGGAGCGATAGTGAGGTATGTGTGACAGCCATGTCCGGAGACAGCAATGGTCATGCTAACCTCGAAGTAGAATTTTGAGGGCGGAGAAACATCTTTCGAGGCAGATCTCGAGGGTGACTGCTGGTTTTGATGTTGCTCATGTTCTTTGTAAGTGCCATGATATCCCCTCCAAGCGGCTATTTTGCATGAGCAGCAGTATTGGCCTCATCATTGTACGACGCGGCGCTTGAAGCATCATGACGATTTGTCGATAGCATGGAAGAATGGTCTTATGCATAGAGTAGACGAGGTCGCATAAGCGCTCGAGTTGTGATTGGACTCTTGAACCTGCTTGCTAGCAGATTAAGCTTGCGGTAAGCTGGATATACGCAATCCGCAACATATCCGAATCGGCTCCACTTCTCTGACCACTACTCTTTCCTTGCGATTCCCATCCTTGGCTTGCCTGGTTTTAATAAATCCGAGATATTTAACATAACTCGAGCAAATCAAAAAGCTGGGCCAGCGATCTGTGAGTCTAAACGTCGATATTGTTTCGTCGGATCATCTTTAGACCTCTCACCAAACATTCTTAGCAGAATCTGCAACAAGACACTTCCACTTTATGAAACAAACTCCTCCACAAACCCCTCAAACAACGCAACCCCAGGTCCAAACCTGTGTCAAGAGTAAATAAGGCCCTGACAGCCGTAGTTGTGTTTCAAGCCAGGAATACCACGTTTTGCTATCATAAATAGCTCGAGCCGAGCAGATCATCCGATCATTAGGCGGGCAGCATGACAATAGGTGCTGGACGGTTATGTTGACTTGACTTGATGACGTCGCGAAGGGTTCAAGATATTTTAATCAATTGACAGACGATTGTGCCATCGATCGTGGATAACAAGGTCTTATTATGACGAAGGATCCTAACAAACGTTCTTGCATTCCTCATTTCCAGAAGAGCTTGGAAGCTCATATGATCAAATAACGCCACAAAATGTAGGATCGTCACGAATGGAGAGAGGTATGAAGATATCTTTGAGCAAATGATACGATTGACATACGAATCAACTGTGAGAAAAAGTTAAGAGGATAAGTAAATATAAGAATAGAAATAGAACAAAAACAACATCGAAGCCCAAGGGTATTCCCGCCAGTAGAAAAAAGAAGAAAGAAGACTTTGTCTCCGAACGCCGTTCTGTTCGCTTTTGTGTCGTTCTTCGTGATAAGAAGTGGTGTGTAAAAAGGTTGGTAGAAGTCGTTAGAAGAGACAAAGGAAATAAGAAAGGGTGAATATCATCAACGACCTCTCAATGTACGTGAGAGGTGGAAGAAAACATTATACAAAAAGGTGATGGTAGTAGTTGGCTGAATAGTCTCAAGCCTGACGTGACGGGGCATTTTCCAAGAAGGTAAGAAGGCGATGACAAGATGGTAGTAGTCCAATTGCTTAGAGCATCTGAGCAACACCAGCAACGGCAGCAATGACAGCAGCAGCGCCGAACTGAACAGTCAAGCCAGAGGCGGCACCAGTGTAATGAGTCATGGTGGGAGAAGCGACGGCAACACCAGTGCCGTTGGTCGAAGCGTAAGGCATGGCAGCAGAAGCGCTGGCAGCAACAGGGTAGACAGTAACCATGGACGAGGAGACGACAGAGCTGGCAGCGATTCTCTGGACAGTTTGGGTGATGAGCTCAGTAGTGTACGAGGTCGAGGGCGAGCTGGTGGGAACAGGAGCCTCAGAAGTAGAGATGACGGGAGCTTCGCTGGTGGAAGAAGAAGAAGATGATGATGATGAAGACGAAGAAGTGGTAGGAGCGGCAGCAGGAGTAGTGGTCGAGGTGCAAGTGGTGGTCTCGACAACACGGCTGACAGTGACGGTGGTGTAGTAAGTCTGGACGGAAGTCACATCGCTAGATTGGGCGTTGGCGCCAGAGATGGCAAACAGAAGAGGGAGGATGAAGTTGGTGAACTGCATTGTGGCTGGCTGATATGTTTGATGATGGTTTATCAAGGGTTGATTGAGATATGTCCAGTGATTGACGGTAATGATTGGTCAATGAATGTTGTTGATTCTGAGCCTTGAATGATAGTGGTGTAAAGAGTGTGGTGGCAGAGCTCAGCTCGCAGTTGGCAAGTAAATACAAAAGGAAAGAGTGACTGTTACTGTCTTGCAGCTGGAATGACTGTGTATCGATAGAGGAAGGGAAGGAAGGACGCGCGATACGAGAGGATCCCCGCAAGATATACCAACCCGATCTGACTTTTGACCTACCTGAGTTCTCAATCTTAGCCGCGGGCACGAGGACAGGTTGTGGTCGTGTGGAGAGCATAAGCAGGGCAAAGAACGTGCTCAATCTCATTTCCCGGTATGCGCTTGGTCGCAAACACCCATTCTCGGCCTAGTGTCGCACCTCATTTCACGCAAGAAATGCATGAGGCGGGCGCTAGATCGAACCGGTGCGACCATTAGACTTTGGTACCTGGCGCTTGTGTCTTGTCAAATCGGAGCCTTCTGGTGTGCTGGTGCAAGTTTGACCTTCTTCCATGCAGCAACATGTGGAGAGAAAGGCCAACAGTCGCAACAGAAAACGGTGCGGCAGGCCAAACGACCATGCTATCGAAAATGAAAAGATCAACAGTTCATGCATCACGCCTACAACACAAAAGAAATTGCGAAACCCGTCATATTCCAACGACTTGAGTCGCTGGCGAAATTCGACATATACCCCTCTTTTCTCTTTCTATACTGCGAGAGATTGGTGTCCCTCGGCAAAAGGAGGATGGGAGATTTGGCTTTAATGTGCAAACAAGATTATGCCACTTACCACTAGAGACACACTGTGACATGCCGGCGGTGTACACAAGTGCTTACTGTGAGACATTTGTCAATAGAATTTTATTCAACAATTTCACTCATGGTCGAAGGGAAAGGGAAAGAGAACACCCATCTCCGACTCGTGGGATTCGAGAACTACAGGCAATAGTGTCCTCTGGTAGATCCGGACTGCCCCACACACCTCTCGACTCCCAAAACCTAGACAGACGACGGCGTTTGGTGGTACGGTCCGAGTTGGTTGCTACGAGAGCACTTGTAAGAAGAAGCGAAGAAGCGAAAGAAGGCAACCCAGAAAACACCCGGTCAACGACTTTTTTTGTCGCAGTAACTGCCAGGTCGGCCTTATACCACTATCACTGCGGAAAAGTCGAGAAAGCTACTGCTTAGATAACATTGTCACCGATATTGCAAGATAGGCAGGTTGGGTATCCAGAACAGGGTTCAAATTGTCGTTCTCGTTGCCATGCCGAAATTGCTTGCTTGCCCTTTGCACTCTACGAATCTAGGGCTGTGAAGCCTGCAGTGGTAGGAACGGTAGATTTTTTTGCACAATTTTGACTCACTCGGCATAAAAACCGCCATTCTCCAATCGCTGTCCTCGCGTGCCTGGATCTTGAACGGGTCTGGAAGCTTTTTTGCACTACAGCCATCGTGGCCGCCATCTTCCCTCAACCAACACATGCGAACGAACCTTTTTGCCAGTCTACGCGAGTCTTGGAAACGTCTTTTTATTGCCTGGAGTTGCCAAGCAAAAGAGTCTTTTTACACTTCTACATATGTTTACATATGTTTGTACAAGCCAATTGATGTTGTCGAAGATGAAGACAGTGTTTACTGAATGAAGAGTTTGTTCAATTGACTTTCCCAAGAAAAGAGACATGTTGAAAGAAACATGTCAGAGAGAAATAACGACCAGCCAACGCCACGCCAGATGCATGTATACCACCATAGCCGACCGGAAACCAAGAAGCAGAAGAGAGTGTGAAAATCAGGCAAAGATGTCAGAATAGACGAAAGTGAGGAACGAAGGAAGTAATAATGAACAATGAAGAGATGGCCCAGCATATTAGAAATCGTAGAGTTCCTTCTATCCCTCTACCTGTATACCGACAGGCGCATCCCATAATCTGCGAGCGATGTCTGCAGGGGTTTCGCGATCAGGGCGTGAGTTTTGCTCTTCGTGTTCGTCGTCGTCATTATCGCCTTCGGCCTCGCCCATGTGGAAGCTGACACGAGACTTTCTGCCTGCTGTCGGTTGTTCCGAGCCTGCGACAACAGTAGAATCGCTCTTCTTACTAGCAATAGACGCGGCATTAGAAGGTCCTCTCTTGTGCCCATTGACACCGCCATTAGTGTGTTGTTGTGCTGCGCCTGCTTTTGACTTGGCTGGTCGCCCAGGTAAAGAGCCTCCATTCATTTTTCGTAGTCGTTCGAGGCCTGCTTCAAGTGGATTTTGGAAGCGACGTACGACGGCCCACTCCTTGTCGACAAACTCAAACTGTTTGCCGGCGTGTGGGGTGCGCATGGCTTGGGCACGGCCTGTGGGCAACAGACCAGGTAGGTGGGGCTGTGAGCTGGCTTCAATGTTGGAGAGACCGCGTTGTAGCCATAGTTTCTGTTGTGTTCTGCTCTGGTTTAGAGTCGGGTCTGGGGTTACAGCACCAGAGCCCGACGGTGTCGATGGTTGTTTCTGTGAGGCAAAGTTGGGAGTGGACTGATTACGATAGAGGTCGGATTGTTCTTTGCGTGTCTGAGCCTGCGATACAGTACGAGAGTGACCTTTGGCGCCCTGAAGGAAGCCCGACATTTCTGCTGGCGTGCCGTCCTTACTACTGATGCCATCGTTCGTGATGAAGCGGGACACAACTGGTGTGTTAGAACCACCTGTCACAGACAAGCCAGCATTCGAGGTCAACAAGCTCTTTGGATCGCTAGCATTCGGGTTTGCCAAAGCTGAAACGGACGAGACCCTTGGTGGCGCAGCATTTATAGAAGAATTTCTTTCGAGCAGACGACGAGCTATGGCATCAGCATCGGGCATGTGCTGTTGTGCGGCCTGGGCATTGTATGAGGAGGTTGGAGGTTGCTGTTGTTGTTGGTATTGCTGTGGTGCTGAGGTAGGAGCGGGTTGAGGAGCAGCAAAGTCTTTGGTACGGATGCTGAGAGAGATGGGAGCTTTGGTAGATTTGGGTGGACTACGCGAACCAACAGTGTCGCTTCCAGAGGAATCCGCCGCAGCTTCTTCCTCGGCGAGCTGGCGAGCGTAGGGATTCTGTTTTGGATCGAGGACGACCGAGTTCTGGCGCGTGTTGTTCCGTGTGTTATCGCGTGTGGTGCTGGGTGACGCTGATGCGCTCTCTTCGGTCCATTGGTCATCGACACCTTCCATTTCTTCACCATCGTCATCGTCGTCATCGTCGCCTACATCGAAAGATACTTTTCCAGCTTTCGGCGCAGGACTTTTGGATCGCTTGTATGGTTGTGTGTGAGCGCGTCGAATATCGGGTCGGTGCTGGCTGGCAGTGCGGCCATGTACAGTAGTTTTCCCTCCAGCAGCACGAGACAATTGGCCACTGGAGAGGTTTTTCTTGAGACCGGCATGTGAGTGGTTGCGCGGAAGGTGGACGGTTGTGTTGTTGCGCCTCATGTTGGGTCTGGATGGACTGGGCGGAACAAGAGTGGACTGGGATGCTACCGAGGCTTGTTGTTTTGCCTTTGGAGTTGGAGGCTCGTCGTCGTCGTGCTGGCGCGAATCGTGTTGAGCGATCTTGATCTTGCTTAGAGAACGATGGAAGCTAGGATTGCGCGATCCCATGCGATTGTGATGGCTAACGACATGTCGCTGAGGCTTGTGATGCGCAGATTTGTGGTGTCCCTTGGTGGTCGAGTCGCTCGGGGACTGGGACACATGCGAGGATGTACTCGAGTGTCGGTGGCCTAGAGGAGGCCGTCTGGGAGGCAGTGGGCTGGCCGGGGCGTCATCACCGGCTGCCATGGGTGTGGTATTGGAGACTGCGGTACGATCGACGAGGTACCTGGTTGTTGATTGCTCGGGGTCTGCCTACCAATGGCGGCATGCAGTGCGACTCGGTTCAGCGTTATGCGTTGGTTATGACGGCGTGGACGACAAGGCCACCCCTCAGCAACGAGAAAACAAGGTCCGGGGTTGCCCGCGTCATTTTCTGTCAAAAGGTCATCAATTCGAGTCAGGTTTACGGAGTATCTTTGAAGACTATCTTCAACCTTTCACAATCTCATGAATGCACATGTTATTATTAAACTTGAAGAAATATCGTACAGATACATAGTCTGATCATCCATGTCGCCGTCTCCGACAGCCCGGTTCATCCAACGCCATGCTCACGTTGACATGTGAAGTCCATCCCAACCACTTTGCTCTGCATACGATCTGTCTCATCTCAAGACGACACCTGATTTCTGCGATAAACATCGCTTCCTTGCAACTCTCCCACACATGCCGGTACCTCCATCTCTGCTGTTTCTGTCTTGCTGTCATTCTCTTGCATCACTTTAGAAGCCGCAATTTCATGAATCGGCTCACTTGCAACTTCGCTGACTGTACCTGTGCCTCGTCCTAAAAAAGTGTCTTTTTCCACACTGTACTGATGTCCACCCCATTGTACAGTCTGCTCCTTGCTTTGCTTACGTCGGCGACGGAAGACCAAAGCTGCAATTGCGCACAGTACTAGACCAGCCACCGCTCCCACTACGATGCCAGCGATCGCACCCCCATTCAATCTCTTGGATTTCTCTGGCTTCGCATTGCTTGTTCCGACGTTTCCCGGAATTGCTTTCAATTGACCAGTCCACGTCGCGTTCCATAATGGCGGGTTAGCCATAGCCGTCAACGTGGTGTCTGTAGAAGCAAGCTTCGTGATAGCCTGAGCCATCATGCCCGGCCCCGGCGCTTGAGCCAGGAACTTCTTATCTGTCTGACCTTGCTGTCCTAGGAATGCTGCTTGTAGAAAAGCGCGTCCAAGGTGGTAAGACGAACCATCGGGCGGCGTGTAAGAGGCACAAGGAAAGTACTGCGTTGCTGTGCTGCTGATAGGGTATTCAAGCGTTAGATTCAGCAGTGCAAAAGGCACTGAAATGTTCTCGATACCTGAATTTGTGTTAAAGGAAAACTTGAGAGCTGATGGCGACGATACAATGTCTTCAAATGATGGGTGTGTCGTGTTCCAGATATAGTGTCCAAGGGTCTCATCATAGTCCACCGGCAGGAATGAAGCTATTGTTGAGCATGTGTCTCCCGGAAGGTATATGTATGGTACACCAGGATTGGGCAACACCGGCAGGGAGTTGTTGCTGCTGTTAGCTTCATCAACGCGCAAGAGGTGTTCGGGGTCATTTCTAGAAGTGTTCAGAAAAGACCAGCCTCCAGAGGCAACTTCTAAGCTCAACTCGGCAAGCGAGAAGTCGTTCGTGTCCGAAACGATTGGTGTGCTGATGCACCGAGATCTATCGTAGCCACCTATGACAAGACTTCCGGGGATTGAAGGCCAGACAGAGCCTACATGTAAGCCGAAAGAGACCGATGGAATGTTTCCAGTCTGGTAAGCACGATGCAGAAATCGATCGTACGAAACATCTGAACCATTGCCGGTAGTCCAACTGACGGGACTCGATCGGGTATCCAGTGATAACTTCAGGCAAAGATTCAGAACATACACAATAGTCTCTATGATCTTTCAACTCACCATGCCAACTTCCAGTGTGTAGGACGTATCGGGCTCCGAATCTGTGACGGTATAATTGGAAGCTATGGTGATAGCCACGCCATCAAGATAGTCTGGCCCAAGTGTACGATCCGCTGACCACAAGACAATTCGATTAGTGGTCAGCACTGCAGAACCCTTGAGCATGAGAGGGCCTGCCGCAGCGTCCCAATTTGAAGCATCAGGTATGGATATGTTGACCCAGTTGAAGAGCGAATGTGCACCGCTCTGTGTCCACATGCCTGATTGATGAGGCTCACAAGCAGATTTCTGCGTATCGCAAGCACTCGCTTGTACGAACAAGCTCGTTTGCGTAAGGGATGGGAAGAATGTAATGTTCTAGTATGAGCGTATTAAATCCTGCTCGCTCTGGTTGAGCACGAACAACAAAACTCACTTGCTCAGGATAATCTACCAGTTGGGTGATTGCATTCCACGGCCCTGAACCAAGATCTATTGGCATTGCTCGACGACTGATAAGAAGGACATACCATCTGGACCAGCTAGTATATGTTAGTCGATGAAGGTTTCTTTCTCAGAGTCATCTCACCTGCTGCATTATAACTCAAGACCCAGGGATTTGCGTTCGGATTGATCATACTCTGTGCCAGGGTAGAGTGGCAGAATAAAGACCACGTCCAGATGAAGCCGGAAAGCCAGGGGATTCGTCCTCGCTTGGCTGCAAGCATTGAAAGTGTCGGAATCATGGCTGTTAGCGAATTGACAGATAATGCCGTAGACTTGAAGACAGATGGAATGAGTCCTTCTTCCCGGGCGAAGGCTTCAGAACAAGCGCCGAGGAGAGTTTCACAAGCACAGGAGAAGCGCAGAGTGCAAACCCGCGAAGAACGAGTTCTGAGAAGCACAACATGAAATATGACAGAAGCCTAGACGACCGGCGAGAGTTACGCTGGTCATACGAAAGGATTTGATGGGCGCTTATGATTATCGTGGATAGACAGCCTTGCTGACGTGGTGCAGGTTGTAAGTAATTTTGGTAGCTGCAAGGCTACAAGGCTGTGCTGATCACCACACTCTTCAGCTGTTGAAGTACAACTATCGCAATCCTTCGATATGAGCAATACAATCTGATCCAGTCGGGTGGTTATCTGTTCGAATTGCTTGGCGAGAGACAGCGAAATTCCGTCTCACAGTAAGCAGGTGAAAGCCCCTGCAGTGCTAACAATCGCACATACTTTGTTTCAGAACTGCAACTGTCCTCTAAGATCTGCAGCTAGATCCTTGAAAACCTGCGCTCGCAAGCTATCCGGTTCTGCAACCACTGTGGGTTTCCCGCGATCTGCGTCTTCGCAGATGCTGGGATGAAGAGGTATATCGGCGAGAAGCTTGATGTTCATCTCATCGCACTTCTTGATGACGCCTTCGCGACCGAAAATCGAATGGGTTGTAGAGCAGTTCGGACACGTGAACGCAGACATGTTCTGGACCATACCAAGAATCTAAACACAGCATTAGTGGATCACAAGGCATAACAGACACTCGTTATCGTACCGGCACTTTGACTTTTCGGAACATCTCGACACCGCGGACCGCATCTTTGAGTGCAACATCCTGTGGTGTAGATACGATGACCGCTCCTAATACTTGTCAGAAAGTCCGAGAAATGAGCTAGGTATTCGCAAATTCTTACCGTCAAGTTCAATCTGTTGCGTTATGGTCAGCTGTACGTCACCAGTACCTGGCGGAAGATCAAGGACGAGGACATCAAGTCCACCCCATTCAACCTCATGCAAAAGTTGTTGCAGAGCTTTCATGACCATGAGACCTCTCCATACAATCGCCGATGTTTCAGGCACAAGATAGCCCATGGACATAGTTTTTAATCCGTAGTTCGTGAGCGGGATTAACTGGTTGTCTGTGTCACGAATCAGCCGCAGTCTTCGTATGCTTCGGACAGGATAGCGATACTGGCTGATAGTCTCGGTTCATTTCCTTCAAGATCGAGTAAAGTCGGTATTGAGGGTCCGAAGATATCGGTATCAAGGACACCACTTCTCAAACCGCTTCTTGCGAATGCTAGAGCAAGGTTTACTATTCCCTTTTAGCTTGGGGATCGACTGAGGGAAAAGAGCGTGGATGCACACCTGACACGGTTGATTTTCCCACACCACCTTTGGCCGAAGACACTGCAATGACTTTCTTGACATCTTTTATGGGTCGCTTCTCTGGTAGACCTCTTTGCATGCGAGCTCTCAGATTTGGCGGCGTGCCAGATCTAGGCAGTCCCTGACGTGATTTAGATCAAGTCCATTAAACCACAGCTTCAACCGTGACATACCAATGGGTTCTCATGCTGCAAAGTCCTCAGACATGAGAACAATCGTTTCTGCATTTTTGTAGTATGAATGATGACCGCCTTCTTGAGAAGGAGCGCCTGAAGACGTCATGACCAATGGGGAATCTTCGGCATCGGTTTGGTTGCGGCTTCCTTCCGAAGCGTCCTGCATTCGAGACGCGTCAAGATCCCAGGAGACAACACGTCCCGCCGGTTTCGCATGGCCGCTTGATTGCTGCAGAGAACCACCATTGTCGCTTGTTCTGTTTGTTCCCATTGTTGATGCGACACGGGAAACTCCATTATCCTTAACCCACATGTCGATGTTTGCGCAAGTAATGCTGCATATAACGAGTCGATCCCGCGACAATGGAGACAGATTGGGATGAGGTAAGGCGTCGCCCAACAACTCTCATGCGACCCTGTATCCCTCGGACAGTTGCATTTTTCAAAGACTGTCATGTTCATTTGTTTTTCAGGTCGCTCGCGTAGTGCTTCCTCCGCCTAGTCCAAATGCTCTGAATACCCCAATCAGCACCTTTTCTTTTGATTCCATGCAAGAGCTGTTATGGGCTGCAAACGAATTCGTAAGATCATACTCCGTCCGTCAATGAAATCCAGTCCCGCTCATTTCATATACCAGGGACGAATAACATCATTTTACGGACCAGAGTTGCAAAGATATACTTCCTACCGAGGCCATGCACCTTCTGAAGGGCCTGTCAAGCAGATGCTTATGTGCGATCGCGGCGTGATATCAATCACAGCGAAAAGTGTGCATCTCGCATCGCGAAAAGGAGTGACTCAGTGGCATTTCAAGTAAGTTTCGTAGGGGTCCGGACAGTAAAGCAGGTCTGATCTGGTTGCAGTCAAGATGACATGAAAGATTTACGCTGCATGGCATTCACCTCAAAAGGTGTCCATGAAGTTCTGGTTGCTGGTTGCCAGGAGACCATGTACAAGATTGACGTCGATAAAGGAGTAATCACCTCCACAGTATGTCTGCATCCTACGAGCTCGATGAACTCGACTGACCAGATCACAGCTCAAAGCAGATGCGCCATATACCATGATGAAGCGCGGTGGCCAGTACATTTGTGCTGGTACAGCTGACGGGTATGTCCACTTCCTGGATCTGATCAACTACAAAGTCGCTCGGACTTGGAAAGCGCATTCGGCATTTATCAACGACATGGACGCTAGATCGGATGTTCTCGTTACTTGCGGCTGGTCCTCGAGGCCACAGCATGGGTACATGTTGGACCACCTGGCCAATGTCTTCGATCTGAAAACTCTCATGCCTCTCCCACCAGTACCATTTCCGCCAGGCGCAGCCTTTGTCAGAATGCATCCTAAGATGTCAACGACCTGCATGGTTGCATCCCAAGGTGGACTTATCTATGCCATCGACATTATGAACCCGGATGCGCCTAGCATGCGACATGCAAACGTCTTTGACACTCACATCACATCTCTAGACATAGCACCATCAGGAGACGCTCTGGTCCTCGCCGATGCCCAATGTGCCATGCATCTATGGGGCTCTCCTAACAAGATTCAATTTACCGAGTACGGCAGCCCGACAGAGTTTGCGGATCCACCCGTACCCACCCCACCTATGGATTGGTCACCGGACATGTGAGTATCACTTCAGGCTTTGAGGAGATACGCTAATCAGTACCAGCCCCTTGAACTTGATCGGTATGCCATACTATAGAGAAGTTTTGCTATCGGCTTGGCCTAGTCATCTGATATCCGAGGTTGGAGCACCACCGAGCAAGATTGATGCCGGCATACTCACCTCCTTGAAACGATCAGATATCGGGGGCTATGCGCCATTCCCGCGCAAGACACGCAGATATCAATTCGAGGACACCAGAGCCGTCCAAAGAGCGCACGACACACTTGCGGCACCTCGGTTCCTCAGCGAGCGACAGAAGGATGATTCCCAAGGCCACGAAGGCTCAAGACGGATGTCGGATGCACTTGAGGCACTTGGTGACTTGGCTCTTGGTGGTGCAACCAGAAGAGATGTTCCAGTCATGTATCGAAACGTCGAGATCAAATATAGTAAATTTGGTGTAGACGACTTCGACTTCGAGTTAGTTGTCTCATGCTACACTGGCCTATCCTTCACTGACACGATGCAGGTACTACAATAAGACGAAGTATTCTGGACTGGAGACTCATATTGCCAACTCATACACAAATCCGCTCCTACAGCTTTTACGCTTCACGCCAACAATACGCAATCTAGCACTTCATCACACGGCCACTTCCTGTCTCTATGACAATTGTCTGCTCTGCGAGATGGGTTTCCTAACAGACATGCTAGAAAAAGCTGCTGGTATGAACTGCCAAGCTAGTAACTTCCTCAAAGTGTTCAGCAGCTTGTCAGATGCATCGACCCTAGGCTTGCTCGAACAATTTGCCGCTGCAAACAATCCACTTTCCGTCACGATACAAGCAGCAAACAGATTCTTGCTCAAGACGTTCTGCGATAGCTTCCGGCAGCTACCTCCGCACAACAGGCACATGGAGCAATCTCTAACGACAGGCGCATTGCTAGCAATAAGATGCGGGCATTGCGCCAACGAAATGCTCAAACCAGGCGAAACACTCGTCCACGATCTGGTGTATCCGCCTAAACCACTAAAACATCACCCACGCATGGCGCCACCAAGACCAGCATTTTCTCAAGTCCTCAAGGCGAGTGTTGAACGTCAAGATCAGACTCGAGGCTGGTGTGATCGCTGCAAGCGGTACCAACAACTCAGCACACGCAAGACAATCCAGAGCATCCCCAAAGTTCTGATGGTCAATACAGCCATTCATTCGCCAGACCACAAGCAGTTATGGTCAACGCCTGGATGGCTGCCTCAGGAGATTGGTGTTGTGGTTCAGAACGGACAGTTCTTCTGCTACGAAGGCTCTGATCTCAAGTATCATCTTCAGCGTGGTTTCTATGATATCATGGTCTACGAGCTTGTTGGAATGGTCGTTGACATCAACAGCGCGGACAATCAAAAGTCTCATCTGGTGTCATTGATCAATGTCGCGCCGTCTTCGCCTGACCCAGCGGATCAAGACCAGTGGCACTTGTTTAATGATTTCCTCGTCAGATCTACGACTTCTGAAGAAGCACTCAGATTCGATATGAATTGGAAACTGCCTTCCATTTTGACATATCAAGCCAAATCGGCATCTCATGTCATTGATGATTCTTGGAAAGAGAACCTCGATCCATCTCTGCTTTATTATCTGCCGAGAGGGCCGCACAAATCACCCGACCCAACAGTACTACGCAACCTTAATCCCACCACTGAGCTTCCTCGAGCAGGGATGCCCTGTGCAATCGATGCCGAGTTTGTTGCTCTTTCAAAGGCTGAGATCGACATCAAAGCAGATGGCACGCGCGAAACCGTGCGGCCTCCTCGGCTTGGCCTCGCGCGTGTATCGGTGTTGCGAGGTGCAGGTCCCTACGAGGGCCTTCCGTTCATCGATGACTATATCGCCAGTTCAGAGCCTGTGGTTGACTATCTGACCGCGTATTCAGGCATCAGTCCAGGCGATCTCGACCGTGCTGTCAGCAAGCATAACTTGGTCAATCTGAAGGTGGCCTACAAGAAATTATGGCTGTTGCTCAACCTGGGAGTCGTGTTCGTCGGCCATGGTTTGCCTAAAGACTTCCGTATCATCAACATTCATGTACCTCGAGCCCAAGTTGTTGACACGGTCGACCTCTTCTCGCATCGTCTGCGCAGTCAACGTCGTCTGTCGCTACGTTTCTTGGCTTGGTATCTGCTGAAGGAAGAGATCCAACAGGACACTGACAAAGGTCACGACAGTGTCGAAGACGCTCTCACAGCACTCAAGCTCTGGCGCAAATATCAAGAATTCATGGACGCTGGGATCATCGAAAGCATGCTCGACGACATCTTCGATCGCGGCCGAGAAACAAACTTCAAGCCTCCATCAGTCTATAAGACAGAAAGAGAGAATGGAGAATGGAGACCCGAAACACCAGGACATATGAGCGTGCCAGGTACACCGGCTAGAAAGACGGTTGGACTTGCGCTGCTTGGAGGCTCCAACCAGACTCCGCCTATCAAGAAGGACATCTTTGGGAGCCCGATCAGGTAGAGATGTCTCTTTACTTGCACATACACCGTCATTGTTAGCTTGTCTTTGACTCAAATGAAAATAGTATTTATGCCAAGATGTTGCAGTGCTAGTGACAAACCAACTCCTTCGTGCGTTTCAATTGTGGACCTGGTAGGATCTTGTGACGTAGTATCCATCAAACATTAAGCGGTCGACTTGAGACCACTACTGCATCTTCAAGCACCAACATATGGGACATGGAACCTATTGATGCCTACCCTCTGGCCCTCGATCTCGCTCACGAATGGGACGATGCAGCGGACCGCAAAATCAAAGCCAGCATTCGATCTTTCCTGAATCACTCCATGCAATCCGCTCATGAGGTGGCAACTGATATAAGTTCTGCTCTCAAGCCCGAAGACAATGTCGGTGGATTCCGCGATGAAGTCGAGGAGATATGTGTCTATATCAGCAAATATCTTCCAGCAGACCACGTTTCTCAAGACAGATTGGTCAAAATTGTGGAAGCATTGAGGGAATTGCCGCAAAGTGTTGGCCAACCGAAGTGGCAGTACATCTTTCAAGATGGTTCTTCTACGTTGGTAGAGGCGGAAGGTACGCAAGAAGTGTCGACGAATTATTGTCAGATATGACTGACATGATTTTCTTATCCACGACAGACGCCCAGGATCTCTGTCGTCTACATTTAGACACATCAGGAAACAAAATCAGACGCACATACTTGCGTAATTTGCATGCTTTTATGGCTCGACTCACCCGTAACGGAGTCAGTGATTGCTCGTATCAGGCGTTGCAAGCCATCACACAGGCGTTGGAAAGAGCGGATCCACCTATCACTACTCGTACAATGGACATGTTGGTTGTATATGACTGGGTGCGGTTGGCTGGTCACAAACTTATGGAAGCAGAGCTCAAGGATACTCGGATTGGCGGAGAGCTCTGGAATACTCAGGAGAAGCCGGGTTTTTCGAAGGAGAGGTGGAAGTTTTGGATGAAGAGACTTGGAGACGTTGAAGAAGATGGACGGTATGAAGTTGAAGCTAGGGAGGCTGCCGGCAAGTCGAGGAGGATCTTGGGGAAGTTGATGGATGGTAGATGACAAAGATTGGAATTTATGAATCACGAACGATGTAGAGGCAGGGTCACCACTGCTACAACATATTCCGAGACCATCTTGCTCCAAGGCCGCATATCACGCCCACTGGGTAGACAGATGAATTCATAGTGGCCCAGATGTATGTTGTGGATCTGGAAGAACAGATATCTGATGTCTTGGTTGTGATATTTGTGTTTTCAACTTGCCGCCTGAAGCTGTTTGGCCGCAACCTCCACTCGTGACTTCCTCGTTCATCTTGACAACAATCAACACATCAGAAATCATCCAACACGAACAAATATTTTATACCCATTGCAAAACACGCCAGCTACAAGCAGCACATCCACCGGCCACAAAAGAAGCTCAACCCATATACACCACTTTCAAAACACAAGCCGCGCATTACAAACATGGCTTCCTCACCATCAATACCCGACACCACAACAACAGAACCAGAAGCAGAAGCAACACTAGCATCAGATGAATCTCTACAAACCGACATGCCCATGACGATGGCAGCATCGGTGGTATTGGATCATTTACCCCGCGATGCACATACCGCACTTTCGAAAGCAGGACTTTTGGACAAGGACAAAAGTAAGATATCACCATTCTACCCAACGCCACCCATCTCTTCCCCTCCATCTCAGTTCCTAGTTCCGTCCCAAAGTCCTAACCTCTCTAAAAGTCCTCCTCCACTTCCGCCCCGGCCCATCAACCCCTCCTCTCCGCAGCGGCCAAAAATACAAAATGTCTTCGTCATTACACTTCGACGCAGTTGTGAAGTTTCTACGCAAGAAGTTGGCGTTACAAGCACATGAAAGTGTGTTTTGTTATGTGAATCAAGTGTTTGCGCCGGGGTTGGATGAAGGGGTGGGTAATCTTTGGAGGTGCTTCAAGACGGGGGAGGAGTTGGTGGTTACGTATTGTGTTGCGCAGAGTTTTGGTTGATGCTAAAGAAGGAGGATGGGCAGGAGGGATGGTCGTTGTGTTAGGTTGGGTTTGAGCAGGCGATGGAGTTTTGGTGTTGGTAGCATGAGATTCATCAAGGTGTTCACAAGGTCACAGAAGCACAAGGCAAAGAAGATAGACGTCAAAAGAGAGAGCGCTGCGTGCGCATGGATACAGAAATTCTAAGTAGTATCCCGACTTTAAATAATGTACATCGCCAATGAGGGTATATACGCAACAACACAAATCAGCCCCTTGAACGCCGCACAAGACTCCCCCTTAATTTTTAGATATCCTCCTTCTCCTCACCAACCAACTTTTTGAACTCGGCAAGCTCTGCCTGGGGCATAGGGTATGTATGCTCAACAGCAGGGTATGCTCGACTCTTGACTTCCTCTTTGTACTGCTGGATTGCCCTTGACGACTCACCCCAGACATCTCCGTACTTCTTGACAAACTTGGGTAGGAAGCGGCCAGGAGGGAAGTTGCCCAGCATGTCGACTTGAACAAGCACCTGGCCTGAGCAGCCGTTTCCAGCGCCAATGCCAATGGTAGGAACGCGAAGCTTTTTCGTAACCAGAGTTGCAATCTCAGCTGGCACGGCCTCGACGACCATTGCAAAAGCACCCGCCTCTTGTACTGCCAATGCATCTTGTAGCAACTTGATTGCGCTTGCGGTTGTCTTGCCTTGGACTCTGAAGCCACCAAGAGAGTTTTGTCGTTGGGGTGTGAGACCGACGTGAGCGAGGACAGGAATACCGGCGGATGTGATCTTCTTGATGGTGGGAGCCATCTCGGCGCCGCCTTCGAGCTTAATGCCATGGACGCGGCCGGCCTTGACCATGGTGATTGCGGATTGCAGGGCTTGGTCGGGTGAGATCTCGTAAGTACCCATGGGAAGGTCGCCAACCTGTTGTGTATCAGTCAGTGGAAGGAGCAGGAGAATGGAGGAGGGGAAGCATACAATGAAGGCAGATTTGGCACCCCTGGCAACGCTACGACAGTGTAGAAGCATCTCTTCCATGAGGACTTCGCTGGTGTCGTCCATACCGAGGGCTACCATTGCCAGCGAATCGCCAACCAGGACGATGTCAATGCCTGCCTGGTCGGCGACATGTGCCGAGGGAAAGTCGTGGGCGGTAATGACAGTGATGGGCTCGTTCTTGCGGTACAGCGACATGATTGTTGGTAGTGTGACCTTCTTGCGAGCGGGCAACGACGAGCTGCCGAGAGGAGAGTGCGACGACTGGCGGATGCATTGGACAGGCTGGAGGAGCCTTGCTGGAGCTGCCGGGCGCATCATTGGGCAAGTGACTGGTCTCATGGCGCGAAGCATGTTGGCGGTAATAGACATGGTATTGCCGTTGGTATTGTCGTTTGGTCGCAGCGACGGCGAGGTTGTAAGGAGGGTAGTTGGCAAGCGCTGCAAGGTCAAGACAAAGAGAAAGGAAGGAAAGGTCGAGTCGCCCGGTCGCTCATCTCAGAGGCATCCCTTTTTGATTAACAATTGGCATACTGGAATATTCATGCGAGGCCGTGAGAACATCCAACAGCGCTGGGTCTCGGGCCATCTTTTTTCGAATCAACAGATCGTCCAGCCCCAAGGCCGAGGCTCGTGCCCAATCCCGGACCCCGCCAACCGAGGGGCATCCGGCAACAACCTCCGTCCGACCTCCTTCCATATTCCATTGTATAACATCTACTCTAACAACTTGGAAAAGAAAGCAATTCGACTTTTGAAAAATTGGCATTCCTTGTTGACTATCCGAGTCCGGTTGACTTTCCCTCTCTGACCTTGTACCCACTTCGCAACTCGGCATATCCAGCATCGTTCTTTCCAATTCCGACCATCGGCATGACTATCCAAGTAAAACATCCTTTCCAGGCTCTAAGTGCTCTCAATAAGCTAGGAGCTGCTCACCGAATCTGTTTGATCCATCTCAACCCTTCATGAGCCACTCGAGCTTGCGAATCTCGCCTTCAGCCTTCTTGTTCTCTTCCTCCCAGCGAGCAATGCTCTCAGTAAGCCAATCGTGTCCATCGCAGTAGATCGCTCCAACACACTGGTCGATCTCTCCAGACTTGGGTTCTTCCACCGACTTGACGGCTTTGTGGTAGAGCTGGTAGTTCTTGAACTGGCGCTTCTTGCACTCGTTGGCCTTTTCGATGTCGGCCTTGCGCTGTTCAATTTGTGCTTTGATCTGTAGTGCCTGTCAGTCCAGATGCTCTATGACGTGACATAGGAAGTCCTACCAGGTTGATTGAGATCTGAACAGAGTCGTTGATCTCCTTTTCAAGTCCAGCCACGACTGGCTCCATCTTCTTGCTGATGTTCTCGAGTATCTCCTTGGTATCCTCGAGATAGCGTTTGGTTGTGCCTGACCTTGTTCGAGTTTCTGTAGACTCTGTGGCTTTGCTCAGAGCGCGACGGACGTCCTGCATGCTTGCTTTTGATCAGCATACTGTGGTACACTCTTACGAATAATGCTCACTTTCTGGTTGGTGAAAGTTGTGATTGTTGTGGTTGAACGTTTAGAAGAAAGGAGGAAGTCGCGCTCCCTCTTAGTGCACCTTCCGACGGAGATTTTCGCAGTTCTGAGAGTGAAAATCAAGAAAGTAAGTTCGCTCATTGCTTTATCATACTTTGAATAACAACAACACGCAATCCATGCATGGAAGAAAACAGAATAGTAGCAATGACCCCGAACCTTGTTCTCGATCGAGTTCCAAGCAGTCTCGAAAGCATCAAAGAGCATCCACGGGCGTGCTCATGCATTTGCATCTTCGCAGCCTCTTGCCTACAGCGATCGTCATTTCTCTCCATTTTGGTCTCGTCATCCTCAGTCTCATCTTGACCTTGCAATCCGCATTCTCCGATTTGATTCAACTGCACAGCTTCTGCAGCTCCGCTTTGAGCTCTTCGATTCGAGCAGAATCTGTTGTCACCTGAAGCTGAAGGTTGAGAACCACGACTCGAATATCAAATTGAGCATCAGCCAAGATCAATTGCAGTGCCCGCTCATTCTCGCTCATCATGCCGTTGCTTGGATCGTCTGGGTGGAGTTTGCGGCGCATGAAGTTGTTGAGCTGGATCTCATGGGTCTTTTCTCGCTCGGAGAGATATCGAAGGTGTGTGCGGTTTTCGTTCAAGGCTGTTGTCAACTGTTGGTGTGTCAAGGAAGTCTCGGTCAAGCAGTTGGTGCAGAACCATACGAGTCTGATCTCTGTCGTGATGGTTGCTTTCTAAACGGCGGCCCCGATCAAATTGTTCATGGCCCATTGAGAAGTAATGTCGGACTGCTCCATTCTGTTCTCTGGTCAGAAGACTGCATGATCAGTTGAGTCGCAATACTGACTTGCTGGTGAGAATGCGATGATAAGGATTGCGTTGGTTGAGATAGAAGTGCGTAAGTTGTGTGTGTGAGTTGAGAGATAGAAGTGCTCAATTTGTGAGCTGAGAAGTCCAAGGTCGCAAAAGCAGAAAGTCTCACAAGAGAAAGTCACGACCAGCAAGTGCGCCTGCCAAAAGAATGCAAAGTGAAAACCAAAAGCTGTGACTGCCACTGACCGGATTCGAACACACGACCAGCAAAATTAGATGCGTTACACCTAATATTCCCGGCTCGTCTTACCTACTAGAGATGTAATTATCGAACAAGTAGGGAACACCGGCTATTCCGCTCAGCCAAACACACCGTACGCATCATCTGGCTGAGTAGGTGAAAGCAAGGCAACTTTGGAAATCTATATAGTCTGTCTCAGTGACGCCCTTGCCTTGTTGTTGTTTCACATGTGTGGCTGTTTCTTATCAATCTACCAAATCTCTTGCACTTCGGCTCTCTCTTTTGTTTTTACTCTACGGTGATGCATCCATGTCTGCTACAACGGTGTGGTGTCATGGTCACGTTGAATTGAGTGAGTCAATGTTTTCAATCATGTAAAAGAGCAGAATCAATTGATGTTGTCTGCTCATCTCTTTTCGTTGTCGTTGGCCAGTCCTGACGATCCTCGCAGCAGTACGAGCAGTACATCTAGCAGGTCTTATGTCATAGCCTTGCCACTACAACCTCTTACTTTCCCTCCATGGACTGCTGCTCCAGGTTCTTGTCGATTTTATTGATCAGTTTTTGCCAGGCCTGCGAGTCTTTGCCCTGGCGCTCACGCTCCTTCTCGAGAAACTTGGAAAACTTGTCGAGTAAGTCTTGAACCTTCTGCAAGCTCTCAAGAATGGATTTATCAAGGTTCATTGAGTAAAGCTCATGGTTCTGGAACAGCTTGCGCAGCTCGTTGTTGACGGTTTGGCACTCGTCGATGTTGTCGATGATGGCAATGATGTGAGATTGAGCCAAACGTAGTTGATTACGAGCCTATTTGAGATATCAGCCTCAGAAAGCACAATCGAGCAAGGTTGACCAACAGCATTGGGGATACGCTTTCGAGGTCCTTTTTCGAAGGCGGCAACCACGTCTTCCGCAGTCTGGGCCATATTGAACAGCCTCAGAGTCTGGAGCGGCGGCACTCGCGTTGTCCATCCTAAGCCATGGTCAGAGACAGCGAATCATATGGAAACGGTATGACTTACTTGACTCTTGGAGCAGACGCGGTCCGAGGATGGATCAGTAGTGGACTGCGAAGGAAGACAGATAATTTCGTCTCCAGCAAGTGTTAAATAAGGCGGGAGGCTGCAGATCTCGAGAACGATCTGTGCTTTTCGTTGTTCTATCACATTCCGTACAGAACCGGAAGACGCAAGACACGCCTATCTTGGGTCCATGATGCGTTAAAGTAAACGAACAAACAAGGTTGCCATGGAGGGCAAGACATAACCTGATGCGATGAGCCATCATGAGGGGATTCTTAGAACGCTAGCTAAGTTTCCCAAACATTGTTTCTGAATTCCCATTGATACCTGAATAGTGTCTCATCAAGGGTTCATGGGACTACATGATATCTTATGTCTCTTTGAGTTCACTTCATGCAGAATCATCCCCAAGCGTAGTCCTAGTCTCCTGCATACGTTCTTTGTACAAGTGCTTGAGAAAGTCATCGTCTTTCATGAAAATCTCTTGAACGTTACGCATAATCTCAGTCATGGCTTTGTTTGGACCTGATGAGATGCTCTCAAAAGTTTCCCACATCTTGACGACTTTGGACCACTCCTTGTCGCGATTGTCCATGTGCTTGAGTAACTATATGAAGTTAGCTTCAGACTCTTTGTCAAGCCAGGGAAACCTACCTCCAGGAGGTACGCCTTCGCAGCTTCAGAGAGCTGGAGGTTTTCCAATTCCTTGATGACGTGCTGCATACTGTTATCTGAAGGATTGTGAGAAGCCATTGTGAGAAACAATATTCGATGGAGAGGTGCAAGATTCCCGAGATGTAGCTTTGTGTTGAAATACAGCAACGAGTAACGCGAGAAAGACAAAGCCCTTTGTCGCCGAGTCTGAGACCAACGGTGTTAACCCTGTCTCAGTCAAAGAACACGACATGTGGGGAGAGACAAGCGGATGCGAGGAGTAATACTGAAAGCATTGATTTGAGTCATCATACTACTCAGGATGAGCCTGTTATAATGCCGGTGCTGATGACACCAAAAAGCATGGTAATTTGCGACTGATCGTTGTACTTGTATTGTTACACAAAACACCTGTGAGACAGGCCGATCTCTGATAACACAAAGCCGACAGAGAATTCTAGTCTAGCCCTTGCGCTTTCAGGCCTGGCTTCATCAGCTCAACCAACGATTCCAGCTCCTTGAGATTCGCAGAGGCTTCCAGCTTCTTCGAGGTCCAGCGAGCGATGTCCTCATGCAACTTGAGCAACAACTCTGAAGCACGCTGAATGTCCGATTCGCGTTGCTTGATCTAAATCTCGACCTTCTCAGACAATCAGCTTCGCGAATCACCCAGAGAACATCCTGTAGATTCCACCTTCTTGATTTGATTCTTCGTTTGGAAATGCCAGGCGAGAACAAGATCGTCCGAGATCTTCAGCGTGTGTCTGATGAGTCGTCTGATGTCCTCTTTGGATAGGGTCGTGGGATTTTGATCGGGGTCGAGCTTCGCGGACTCCTCGGAAGCAGCCTTAGGAGGTTCCATGCTGCAACAGAATAAGCATGTCGGCATTATATTACCTCCTGAACACTTACTTGGACTTGAGTGACTGGAATCCGGGCAGTATGGATAGGACGCTGGACAAGGTTTACGGCTTCTGGACAAGATAATTGACAACAACAGTGAGCGCAGAGAACGCCGATTTATTAGTAGGCAAGATTCAAGATCGCAAACAACATGACCACTAGCTCCGAGCGGCTCGAACCATAGTCCAAACAGATAGAATGCATCAAGCCGTGCAAACAGCTGCTGTTGTCCCAATGGTTCATCGATTGAGCCATCTCGGTAACTGATATTCGATATCCACAGTACTTGTTTCTCAAGATATTGGATATCGAAATTCAGTCTCTAAAATCTCGCTGTGTTAAGCTTTAACAATTGATGTGATGGTCACTTGCAGATGAAGCTGGGGAAGAAAGGACGGAATGGAGGTCAAGAGTGGATGAAGCAAAGATCTGCAATGCACCTGCCCATTTGGGGACGAAGCACCTGCAGCTCTCGACTGAGGGGTCTTGGAACAGGGATACGTTGACCTTGCGCTTTTACGATAGATCAAGATCTATTTGGTGCCTGCAAGACAAGACTTTCGTGTTTTACCAGTGGTAACCGCATTGTGCGGTGCGACTGAGCTCTTGAGTGCCAACTACAACAGGAGCTTGACAATGGGAGATCAGAACGGGTCCGCGTGCGGTCGAACATTAGACCGAACCGGACGCATCAGTTGAACCGATCGAGTCAATGCTTGGTTTGGCTGTATATAAACGTCCATAGACCGCATATTTTGTTCTCCATGCCCTTGAAGAGTCTCAATCGGCTTCGGGTATTCGCCCAGCTTTGGACATCTAAGATTCGAGATCAATGGTGGGCCCAAATCACATCTCGAAAGTCGCAGTGGTTGGCGTAGGTATATTCCTTGCGCATTCTTGCTCAGCTTTCAATCGACTGATACATTGATGGTGTTTAGGCTGGAGGCAATTGTGGCAAGCATATTGCAACAGCGTTAATTGCTACAGGCAAACACACCGTGACGGCTGTGACTCGTGAAGATAGCACAACAGAGCTGCCAGATGGTCTTCACGCCGTCAAAACGATTGACTACGAGAATTTATCGACCCTAGTTGCTGCATTCGCGGACCAAGACGCTGTTGTCAATACCCTGAGTGGTTATGCAGCATCTGATGCGCAGGAGAAGCTCATTGAAGCTGCCATCGAAGCTGGTGTTCGATATATACTGCCCAACGAATGGTCTCCAGACACAGCTAATGAATCCTTGGTCAACGACGTGTTCCCCTTTGCAAGCAAGCCGAAAGCACGCCAACAAATTATCTCCAAAGGCGGCGATAAGACTCAATACATCGCAATGACGACTGGCTTCTGGTATGAATGGTCGTTGGCCATTGCTCCAGCATACGGCTTTGACTTTGCGAACAGATCAGTAACATTTTTCGACGATGGTGAAACAGTCATCAATACGTCGACATGGCCGCAGATTGGACGAGCTGTGGCGGCGCTCTTGAGCCTCCCAATCTTGCCAGCCAAGGGGTACGACAGATGCCTGTCCGATCTCGGCAACCAACAAGTGTACATCTCTTCTTTTGTCGTTAGTCAGAAGGATATTTTCGAGTCTGTGTTGCGAGTGACACAGACCGTAAAAGGGGACTGGAGCACAACTTACGAGCAAAGCAAGCAACGATACGCCAATGGTCTTGAAGAGATCAAGCAGGGAAAGAAGGTTGGATTTGCGAAGATGATGTATACTCGAGTCTTTTATCAGGATGGCTCCGGCAACTATGGCAAATCCAGGGGCACGTTGAATACGTTGCTCGGTTTACCTCATGAGAGCTTAGATGAGTTTACTGCTCTGGCGATTGAGAGGTCAAAAGGACCACAGTGGGCACATTGAGGTAGAACAACCAAGAAAGAAAACGTAGCACTACTCGAGAATCGCTTTGACGAGGAACAATGTCCGTTCTGAATATCAGAGATGGCCTCCAATTACACTTCCATCGTCCTACATGTCTCCTCTTCCTCGTATTCTTCCTCATGTTTTCCTGTCTTGCGTTCCTCGTATTGTTCCACATCGTCTTCCTCATTTTCATCAACCCCTCATCGCCTCCTTTGAATTTTTCGTTCACCTCGTGACCTGCTTCTCCAACGTCTTCATCTACCTCAACTTCTTTCATGTCCCCATTACCATCTTAACAATGAATCATATCTCGGCTGTATGATACTGCCATCATGGCTCGAGAGTGTCCGTAAAGTATCCATCATCTCTCGGAGTTGTTTCTGTATTGAAGGACAAAGGAATAAAAGCAGTCCCGATGCGGCTTCAGTAGGGTGAATTCGTCCACTTTCGGAAGACAAAGACTGGAGCGAATTCAGCCCCGGCCTACAAGAGCTGAGCCAATGCTCGCTGTCATAGTAGCAGTTATGGAGATGTTGTGTCCCTTGAGTGGTCTTTACAAGTGCAAAGAAGTGAGATAGTGCGGAGGGGAGAATTAGATTTTGTTGTTGGGGAAACGAATCAAGAAGGTTGGTGTGTTTTGTTTACCACTTTCCGAAGTTCGGAGGCAACAGAAGTTGAGGAAAAACAATGAGGTCTGCCATGTTTGCAGAGCAAGAACGATCAACAGACTTCTACATCGAAAATACCATCACACTTTTCTTAAGCTTCTCTCAACCACCTCCTAACGTCAGGATCCAATCTCCTCGCACGCCTCGACTCCTTGAACGCATCAAACATCACGAACTTCAACTGTCCCCTAGCCAGCAAGTTGTCCTTGCCAAATGTCCTCAACATCTTTCCTCTAACATTATGAGCAATCTCCCATTTCAAGGGTGAGACCGCATCCATGTTAGGGTAGATCCCATCTTCAACATCATCCGTCAATTGCTCTGATTCTTTGATGCCCTCTTTGATGATCCTGACCCACTGACGGCCAAGTTTGGTGTCGCATTCGTATTCGCGTTTGGAGTTTGCGATGTGAGTGTAGCGACCTAAGCGGACATCTTTGAAGACAAAATGCAACTCCAGACGATCAAGATGTTCTGGAGGATAGGCATCAACGATATCGAAGAGAAAGCGGATGTTCGATGCCGAGACCCGGGGAGAAGTGTATTCGCCTTCTGCTGCTGATGCATTGAAATTCCACATGATGAAGACTTCATAGTGGACACATGTTCGGGTGTAGAATGTGTGCTCGAGATTGAGAAGATGACGCTCTTGTTGGTTTTTGTAGGCGGCAATTTCAGCTCTGGTGGGTACAGAGTTGCCTTCAGATTCTCCTGGGCCGTAGTGTTGCACCTGCCGCGCTGACCTCCACTCCACTAGCCAGGCCTGAAACTCGTCGTTGTTGATATCGTAAGGTGGCATATCGTTCCTCGGATCGAAAAAATTGGTTACGAATATTTTGACGTTGAAGTTCGCATTGATCCATGGCGTGGTTACATCACCAACGACAGGATCTCGTGGATCAAGCAGTGTTCTTTCTCCCGGGATTACCAGGTCCACCAGGGTCCAGTAAAAATCTATCCAGTCCTCACCACCCTCGCGGATCACATCGGGTGTCAGATGATTCTCATGGTTGGTGATGTCCACTGTCTTGCATTCTTCGCCCAAGGCCGGTCGGATTACAAGTGTTTCCTCTAGACAGTCGAGACCAAGCTGGGTGGTGAGATCGAGTTCAGGAGTTGGAACTGGCCCGAAGTAGAGAGGAGCATCGGGCGCATCGTGGGTTTCGACCCCATCCTCCATAATTGCTGTATACTGGTGTGAACAACAAAACGTCGAACGCAAGGCAGTTCGGACGATCTTGAGCAAGATCTGACTATGTTGTGTCAACCAACAACTTTTCTGTAACAGCCGCATCCGGCTGCGGCATTGTGACTCTCGAAATCGAGGCGCATGGGTACAAAGAGATGCAAAATTCACGACGCTGCACCAAAGTAGTCGTAACAAAGAGATCATTATTGTTGAAAGAAGTACCCCTCGCCTGAATTCGGCAAATCCGGAGCACTTCCTCGAGCTCATCGAATACAGCACTGATCGAAAAATTGTCATACTTGTGGGCTGTGGATTTTTGGGAGGTGTGAACTATAGTCTGTGCTGCAAATGTGATGGATATGGTGAAAATGGTTCTAAATGCTACGCCTGAACCCTCTCCTCTTCTCTTAGCATCATCGAAACGAGATTGCTCGAGTTACTTTGCAATAGCTCGGCACCATATTTTATGTAGGCTTGGCTCACTGTTTCTGCCTTTTGCCGCTTGAAGCTAGCCACGAGAGCATTGTAATGCTCACTCGTGCGAGAGACAAAAAGTGATCGCTGGCCCAACACCGACAATTGAAGCAGGGAGGAAAACAACTCCATATCAGCACCAGGGCGCAGCACATATAACCATCTGACCAAATCTCTTGTTTCGGCATCCACTTCGCAATCAGAGCTGACACAACTGAGCTCTTCTGCCAGCACCTGTTTTGTGCAATGAGTGATGACGGCGACTGTGCAATTAGCATGACAAGTTGCAATCTCATCTTGGGAATTATTGCTGGACAAGGCGCTGCCATATCTCAGCAGTTCTGTGACGAAGAGGTAATGAGCGCTAGGGTAATAAAGCCATGCGTGGTTGAGCCATCGCGTGAGTTGATGTTTTTGGTCAGTCGCGATAATGTTGTCCGTCGTTAGGCGTGTCGTATCCTCATTGTGGTAAGATATGGTATCGGGAATTGTTGGTGAGAGTTCTGCTTGTAGATTGTGGAGGAGCGTTTGATGTCTTTCATGAGAGAGAGTCGGGCGTTTGTTGGTATTCCTAGGCCTGGCTTCCAGCGAGTGCGAGGGCTGTCTTTTGCGACTCGCGGAGTCAGGAACACAGTCGACGATATCGCTCGGAGAGTTGACCCGGGCCGGAATATTGACATTGTCCTTATCCAAGGCACTTTCAGTAACAGATGAGGCGGCCACTTGTAAAGATGGCAGAGAGGTGTCTGTCGCAACTGCTCTAATCTGAGCTGTCAAGCGGTCTCGAGTTTGAGCCAAAGGTGATTGATCTGGGAAACCAGAGAGGAATGTGGCTGTGTAGTTGGATGACAGTGACTTTTCTGGTGTTGCAGGCGTAGGGTCGCGCACCCGAAGAAATGCTCTGTCTACTCCAGGCAGAGTATTCTCTGGCTTATCAGGGCGAAGCTGTTGGGAGTGAAGTTGCGAGATAGATCGAACAGGTGAGCTGTGACTTGGAGGTGCCGTCGCTGGCATTCCCTGCTCAGATACAATGGTACGTGGCGGTGATGATCCGCATGGTACTGTGGACGCGGGTACATGATTTGGCACGCTGTTTGGCTCATAAGGTGGAGGCGGTTGCGGATCGAGGGGAACATGTAATTCTTTCTGATTCTTCTCAATTTCGCTCTCTCTGCCTGAGGAATCCTTGTCTCCAGCTTCTAGCCACCCCTGGTCTGCCCATAAATTCTTGCATGCTGAACGACCCCCAGGATAAAAGCCCTTGATGTCGATTGAAGGAGTAATAACAGGGTGTCCTCCCATTAGTATGTTGGATACGTGCTGGAAAGCTGTTTGCCTCGATTCATCTAGGTTGGTATACAGCTGGAACGATGACGTCTCAGACAGCGACTTGAGTTTACGAAGTAAGTTCATTGCTTGAGGCATAACGTTCGCCCTGCACTGGAATGCAGGCATGATAACATCACTTGTGTGAGAGCCAAGATACAGAGACAAGTGTAGCAGCTTGGACTTTGCAGACTGAGTATCGCTGGGCATATCGAAGAGATGTTGTGACAGGTTGTTTCCTAGACAATCGTAGCCAACGACAGCAGATTGTAGTTGCAAGGTGGTTGACGGAACGACCATGAACATGAGTCGGCCTTGACGACGAGTCCTCTTTCTGACTGGCGACACTCGGATACGGATGGTCAAGGTCACGAACAGCTCATGTGTATCTTGGTTCATGCCAACCCAGAGCCTGAGCAAGTCACCACAGCCATTTCGGTCTAGTGGTTGGCCTAGAGTGTCCAGATCCTCAATCGAGTTGTTGTTGAAAAGAGCGACGACAGGGCAGTCGGCGATAACCCACGACAAAGGACCGATCGTATTGAGTTTGTCAGACAAGGCATCTATATCAGCTTGAGTAGCCATTTTCAGCCAGTATTATCTGTAAGGTCAGCGAATAAATAATGGAAAGATCGAGATACTCGTGTCCCGCATCTATCAAGAGAGGGAGATGCGCAACCCACCCACCCAGGCTTCGGTCGGATCGAGCAGCCTTGACTCTTTTTGTACAGCGAACCGAGCGAATAAGAAGGACGGCAGCAGGTATTGCCACGAGTATACGCACTGGTCGGGGGCCACGCTTGCAGACGTCAAGGAACGGGACCACAGACACAACAGACTCTCTGACAAGACTGCAGCGACGCGTTCGGGTTCGACTTGGACAGCAGACAAGGATGGCGCGCTCACTGTTGGGCGGTTACTGGTGGCAGGCTCGGCTGTGTCGCGTCTCTCGGTGGCTGAACGGCGTTGTCTTGCTGAGTTGAATGAATACTCGGAAGTAGCGATGGTGTAGTGACATGAACCAATTCAGAGTTGGTCAAGTTGCAGTCGACGCCGTCGCGTGCTTGAGCTGTCTCTGTCGCCAGTTCACGTGACGCCAAGACCCACTTTCCACTCGCGCCTTCTTTGCTGCCATTGGACTTGCCAAACCGCAACCAAGACTTGATGAAACACAATGATATCTTGTCGCTCTAGAATTCTCGAATATGGCGCTCGAAACACGATGGGAAAATTGAGTCGGCAGCCGTAATCGAACATCTTCAGATCCTTTGTAATGATCTATCGCTCGATTACTTCGATTGCAAACCAGGCCCTCACTCCCATCTTTGTCTTCATTCCAGGGAACACCGTTCTCTGAGTTCGTACGATTGATTTCGGCATCTCCTGGTCTTCTACCAAAATATCTCCATCGTCTGAGATGAGCACCGCATCTATGATGTCAAATTTGTTTATGTTGCATTGTTCTTCTGATAATGAATGATGGCTGTTGAAGTCGAGGAACGTATGCGAGCAATTACGACCAAATCGGCCGAAACTCAACTCCATCTCGTCAAGTGTTAAACCAAAGAGGGCTCTTTGAGAATGTACCCATTGACCCTCAGATTGGCTGCAAACAGCCCACAGTTCATAGGCGCTCTGCAAAAACCCTTGTCTTCTCCTCGTCCAGAGTATTTCCGCAAGCAAAAGTACAATGCCAAAGCAGTCACTGGACCAACCTCCAAATCAACCAGAAGTCGGCATGTATGTTCAGCACTCCTGGTCGTAAGTGTCGTCATCTCTGTGAAGGTATACCTCGTTTGGACGTAGACCGTGATATACGGCATATCACCATAAGTAGAGACGACCGTATGAAACAACCGCAAGATATCAATCCATCTGACAGAATCTATACACATCTACGAGAAGAACCTCTTCTTGTTCAAAGGCAAGAACGGTATTCCCGGTTCGTTACAATACAACACCACATTCGGATCTTGATTATAATAACTCTGATCCATCCCGAACGCCTCCAACATATGCCACTTGACGAACCCAGCTCGTCGTCCTGACCCACTGTCCCACATACGGTCAAGCAGTTCCGAACACGCATCTGCCAACCATATCCTCACTTTCTTATACTTGGAATCATCTGTCTTGTCGGGATCCATAGCATCCTGGGGTCTCATGTATTTGCCCCATTTTTGTAATGGTGAGATGGTCGATGGTGTTGAGAGACAATGATGATATTCCATCATTGCTGTTTGCAACAGATCCAGCATTTTGGCTTTCATGATTCGAAGACGACCTTTGTTGTCTGGTGCAATCTCTTTCTTGGAGGACGGAGATCTGTCGTATACTACTCGTATGTCCTTGAACAGGAACTTGAGTTCGATGCGATTTGGATCACCACCCAAGACGTGTAGCAAATCGAAGAGTGACTCCACGTTAGGCAAAGAGATCTCGGGCAGGAACATTGGCACAAAGTCCCAACGAATTAGTATTTCGTAAGTGATTTGCTTGGGTGGATCCAGAGTGTAGAGGCGAGCCATGTGTGTAGGGTTGAGAAGGATATTTTCAACAAATTCATGCGCATTCGTTGATATGACAGCGTCATGTATATTGTCCGTGGCATATACAAAGGGTGTAAGTCTCCAATAGTCAAACTCGGCATGCGGATCGGTATAGTATGCTGGAGCCACGTGGTTCTCAAGTCTGGTAACATCAATCGGTTCTGCGTCGACAAGCAAATATCGATATATCTTTTGCTTTACATCGTACGGGATAGTGGATCTGATCCTAGCTTCTAACTCGAGTACGCTGATTCTCTCGTTTAGATATTCTTGTTGATCCAAGTTCAAAGCTGTGGGATCTAATGCCATCAGATACTCATATTCTTGTAGTGTTCCAATCATGTGCATATGATGCTTCTTATCTGGTATATTCAAGCCCATGGTGAGGTATGTGTGATGTTGTCCACAGATGAACATGAAGCAGATCAACATGATTCCGCCCCTTGCCGGCAAGGATGAAGCTTGACAACAAAGACATATCCGGATCCGGCCTTGAAAAATGCATGGTGGCTCGGGTAAAGATTCTCGAAAGTTGGTATTGACAAAGAAGCAACACACAATCTTTTTCTGGTCACCACAGATGACTGTCTTGCATATCCAGCGATGCCAACAGACAGCTCTCACATGAGTGCTGAGCATTTGGCAGCAACATCCCTGCTTTCCACTGACAGTATACTTTGACTGCTACTGAGCTCTGACATCTCTCTTCTCCAGGTGTCCCAATGCTCAGTCATAGTACAGGTTGTTCTCTGTAATAGTCCACGTCTTGAACCAGGAACTGGCCTCGAATAGCTCCTTATTTCCTCCGATGGTAAATCAGTCTTGAGTTGTGTACCAGCACATTGCAGCCAAGCGTGCACTTCGAAAATCAACACCTCAAGCCCAGGGCGTCTCAAACAAACTAGATTGAGCACGTCGTATCCCCAGTCTGCCGGTATTCCACCTATGCTACGAAGATAAATCTTAGCCTCTGCTGTTCCAATAGCTTCGAATTGATGACATAGCTCGGCTCTCCTGGCGGCGGTCCAACTTTCCTTCTCCCACGGAGAGTGACCCTGGATATGCAGCCGATGACAGTCGCTCCACATGTGGCCAAAGTTCATAAGTTGCGACCAATCGATGGAGTTTGTGGATGGCAGTGACTGCATGGCGGCCAAAAGATCGAGTATCTTCTCTTGATCGTCTGACAGTTCTACCAGTGCGTCGGATAACAACCCCCACAGTCGATACAGCTCCGATGGAGGGTCTTCTTCTGCAAGGACAGGCGATGTGATTTTATTCGCGGCTTGTTGTACATCCAGAAGGCCAGACAAGTAGTCGTCCAGAGCTTTTGCTTCCTCGTGGTGACAGCCGTCGCCTGCTAGTAGAGCTTCTCTGTCCACTGCGACTTGTGATGTAGTCCAGTCCGTTCGAGACACCATCTTGCTGGATGAGTGCAGCTCGCGGCCAGAAGAGAATGGTAGCATCGTTTAGAAAGACAATCCCCTAGAACCCAACTCGATTTCACAAGGCTGCTACATAGACCCACCATGGCATCATGACGTACCTTGATCAGGTTCAGATCGTCACCTGCCAAGACGATCCTTCGAAGGATGGACGTTTGCTTACAGAAAAGTCTTGAAAAAGGCGAACATTCTCTTCAATAGACCTCTGAGATTCAGCTCCACGTAGCTTTCTCGAGATATCACGAGTCAGGAGCCCATACGCTCATGATCGCTAGCCACAGCTCTTCGCAGACTCGTCCGAGAGCGACAGATCTTTCAAGCAAAGGCACACCCGCATTCATCTCCATCTCCTCATCATCTGCCCAGTCGATCCTATATGTTCCCTTGGCAAGATCGTGCAAACTGCCATCAAACACGATCAAAAAAAAGCCCTCGAGACATGAGCTTCCAGTTCTATGGCCACAGGAGCCACCGGCATGATGGATTCGAGTTCGGCCGCGACGGTGATGAACTGTAGCTTGACCGTCTTCCTGGCTTCTTCGCTAGCCTTGTCCTTGAAGTGTGTAGCCAAAAGTATCAGATTGGCAAGGCTCGATCTTTCCGGTGGCAAGGACACCTGAACGACAATTTTTCTCATCTTCTTGCATGATTCAGTGATTGCAGGATTGCAAAGCCATTGATCCAGATGCAAGTTCTCTTCACGAGTAAGTCGACTAGGCAGTGGGAGAAGGAAGGTATTTTCGCGGTAGTAGAACTTGCTGCCTTCCGTATAGAAGAACTTGGAAATGTGTGTGACTTCGGGAAGTCCTTGATTGATTCGTTTGCTGAGGTCGATGGGAACCGAGCGTGTTACTGCGTTCTTGCAGACGATAATTTTCAACTCTGTAGGAAATCTTTGGAATGCTGAAAAATTCGAGAGTGATGGTTGCAGAGTGCCTGAGCTGGATTTGTGGCTGGAAGATAAATTGAAGGGCATGATTTATACTTCAGTCTGGCTTCTGAGTAATTGCTTCTTTGCAGAAATGACCCCGAGAAACTGCAAGTCAGTCACCACTACCTGTTTCTGCGCTGATCAGCAATGAGCGTGTGAGCGTGTGATTGACAAAGAAAGAGCGCAACAAAGCCGTCTGCATTATCATCAAACGAAAGCGGAAGCTGCAACCAATTCCGGTTGACAACCAAATTAGCAGGTCAGTAAGAAATGTAATTTGACTGGCTCATATTATCATCCCTATCGAGTTTCGTGCATGTGTTTGCTTATCTTGTACGTGCCAAGTCCAGAGTGTGGTCAAGGTTTACATTCACAAAAGGCAGCCAGCCTATCAGATGGGGATGAGCACGATGGAACCGCGTTACTTGGTGTAGCGGAATGATTCGCCTCTGAACTTGACTGAAAGTAGGTGCCCGTCTAGTGCACTATTACCATCGGTGTTGTCTGGGATTAATCGTCGGTCAGGACGAGATGCTCTTTTTTTTGCTCTTTTACCAATCCTCTGCCTTTGTTGGTTTCTGCTGCTCTTTTTGGAACTCTCAAGATGCTTACTGTAAGGCTCTTGGTTGGATGAAAGCACTGTAGAGTGGTTTGAAATGGTGTGTTGTGGGTTGTGATACTCGGTCCAATTCCCCTAATTGATTTCTTGTTTTGCGTCTAGCTGGTCTACGACCACCGCAAGTGAAGCACATTGACATCAAATCTTCCCTGATGAGATTATTCCTGAACAAGTTTCACAACGATACTTGAGTGAGCATGACCAGATGCGTTCGATGATATGAAAAGGACCTTTTCTCGTAAGCTAGTATCCTCATCGTTCTCAGCAAGACTACAAACCTAGAAAACAGTCGCACCACCATCGACCACAAAATCGGCACCATTGATATACGATCCCGCCCTCGAACACAACAACACCACAACCCCATCCAACTCCCCTACCGCGCCCATCCTCCCCATCGGATTTCTATTCGCCCAGATATTCCTCGCTTCCTCAAGTCCAGCGCCCTCATTCAACACCGTATCCATATACCCAGGACTGATCGAGTTGACTCTAATACCGTACCTCGCCCACTCAGCAGCCAGAGAGTCTTTCATAGCAATAACAGCAGCTTTGCTGACATTATACGCAACTTGCGGTTGTGGGAAGTTGACACGGTGGCCGGAGATAGATGCTGTAAACACGATACTGCCTCCAGTGCCTTGGGTCTGCATGTGCTTTGCTGCTGCTTGAGCACAAAGGAATGAACCAGTGGTGTTGATATCGATAGTGCGACGCCATTGCTCTGGAGTCATCTCAATTGCATGCAAACAACCGACCACACCAGCGAAACAAAGCAGAATGTCAATGGAGCCTCTAGCTGCTACGGCGGCGAAAGCACGATCTACATTTCCAGCATCGGTGACGTCGACAGGTTCGATTCTGACCTTTGAGGACGGAAACTCGTTTTGCAGAGCATCTATCGCTTCAGCGGAAGTGTCGAAGGTGGATCGAAGGTCGAAGAGGAAAATATTGGCCAGTCCGTGTTCCAGAAGTGCTCGTGCTGCTGCTAGGGCGAGCGTACCGGCTCCTCCGGTGACTATGCGATAGGTCAGTATTCAATTTCTGCACTGAGAGCACTACCACAAGAACACTATTCAGTCATACATACTGACAGCATTTCCCTCAACGGCAAAGCGAGCCATTGCTCTTCCCTCTGCATTCAGATAGTGTGGCAATGGCGGCGGTGGAGCGGTCAGTGAAGCATCTGTGCCATTTGAAAGCTCCATGAAAGGAATGGCACGAGCAGATAGAGCAGCGCGTTCGGACATGTTGTAGTCTCTCGAGTGCAAGGGCATACAAAGTGGCTTTGAATTCGACAATTGTGTAGGAAGTGGGGTACTGTGTTCAGTTGACTGTGAATTCTAAGTGGATTGAGCAAGATGAACCAAGATACAGCAAAGCAGATAATATATATAGTAAAGAGGTCCATCGAATTGCACCTCCCGCATGAGGTCGGTGGACAGTGTACCGAGATGGACGAGCCGCGTCATTGTGGACCATGACTGCATCAGGAAGGTTACCCGACAGAAGGTTACCCGACAGAAGCTCCAACCTCAGCAGTTCCTTCCAACCGCCCTCTTGTCATCATGCAAAGTCGCACATAACAGCAATGTAAGCGAGTGGTATTCGTGACTCAGAAATCAAGCTTGCAAAAGACGGAAGGTGTACCGGAAGTCCAGGCAGCAACGTGGACAAGCATGCATCATTCTTCTTCGGCAAGCAGATGCCTGGCCAACTTTTTGACACCTTTTTTGGTGTTGTGGATGATTGGGAAGAGGCCATCTCCTTCTGTCATGTCAATTCTGGCCTCCGGCTCGGTCTCAACATCTTCGTCATCTTCTTTGGGCTCGTCGCGCAGAACCTTGAACATAGCAGCCACATCATCCAGTTTCTGGTCGGTGAAGGGAGGCTTAGTCTTGTTGCGTCTAGGTTCTTGGTCATCTGGCCGCTTCAAGATCTGTTGAATTTGGCGGCGAGCAAGTTCTTGACCAGCATGCAGCATCTCAGCCACATCGTTCTTGTCCTTCTCAAAAGTCTCGAGATGGTCGGTGGTCAATTGTTCTCTGCCTGAGTCGAAGCAATCGACAATTACTTTGTATTGCGTGAGGAGGTTCTCGGATTTGGTGATCAAGAGTTGGGCGTGCTCGTGTGAGGGTCTGAGATAGAAGGTGTCTTGCGCAGAGTTGCCCTTTCTTTGCTTCTCAAGGGGTCCGCTGAGGACGTCAGTAAGCAGAGTACGGATATCGTTGTGGAATTTTGAGTCAAGATCTTCTCTGATGTTGCGTTAGAACAAGTAGAGCAGAAGATGGATTGCGATAGCTTACAGCTCGCGCTCTTTTGTGTCAAGTGCTTGATTGAGATCCTCTTCGTCCTTGGTCACTTTGGCATGCATCTCGTGAATCCAGCCGTCGTCCCTGTACTTGAGGTTGCCAGCCATCAACAGCATTTGCTGGCTCTCGATGCGTCCAAGGTCTTCTTCTTCCTCCTCAGACGCGCTATGCATGTCGACCTCATCACTATCTGCTCTGCGCTTGGACGATCTGCTGTCTGGCGATTGTGTGGCTGCGTCTAGATCTTAGCAAACAGTTTGTCTTGTGTTGGCGTGCAATGAAATACCTTCGGCCTTGCGTTTGCCTCTTGTCATTGTGTCTTTCGATGGTTATTGGTTATGTGTATGTTTCTTGATTGACTTTTGTTGGTGCAGGAGAACAAACACGAATGGTCAGGAAAGTCTCAAATTTGATTGTTCCTTCCTAGGTAGGCACGCCGCACCGCACCTTCTTCCACACCAAGAGGTCTTTGTCTGGGCAATCTCTGCAATTTCAATTCTCAAACGATCAAGGGCTATCTGAGTTTATTGGGACAAACTTTACTGCCTTATCCCACGTCTGCTGTCCGTAGTCCCGCTGTAACTTCCTCTGCATTTCTGGGAAATATCAAAAAACAAGACTGAATCATCAAGTTTGTTAGAAGAAATCGACTTTCCTGCTCCAGCTATTTGCTTCTTCGTGTAAACCCTCTCTACCCATTCGTAATTTACTGTCTGAGGTTATCCCTTTTTTTTCCCTCAGGTTTTCACCCTTTTCCATTGTGGTTCATTGCTTCCCGGTGTGAAGCTGAGGGTCTTTGTTTTGATCGATTCTGTCGGGAATGGCTTGATTACCAGCGCAGCTCAAAGAGCAAAGCTTCTAGCGCGACTGACCAAAGTCACCAGGACGTGATTGACGGTTGCCATTTCTCAGAAGACTTTGGCCAAACACTGGAGCAGGTCTGAAAGCCAGCTCGTGCGAAGGCGAGGGGGTGCTGCCATACGGTGCCTCAAAGGGTTGCTGGCCATAAGATCCGACTGGCATGTACCATGGCTGGTCAGAAGCACCAGGGAAACCATTCGAGCCGAAGAAGGCTGGCCTGCCGAAGCCGCCACGTGATCCTGCTTGTCCTTGCATCTGAGCCTGGTTCATTGGATTTTCATGGTATGTCTGAGGAGCTGCGCCTGTAACGTCATCGGCGTAGTTCGAGCGACCTGCAGTATGGGGCACGAAGAAGGCAGATGCCGTGGGATTCATGGTTCTGGGCGAGGCGCCAGGTTGGATAGCACCGGGGCCGATGGAGCTTGGTGGTTGATTTGGACGTGAGCGGAACGCAGCAGGATTGATGGCCGACAGCCAAATACGGGTTTTGTAGATCTTGAACAAATCTCCCACGAGAAGGTTAAAGTTAATGTACTCAGTAGAGTAAAAGTAGAAGGTGAGCTTCTTCCAATCAAGCTGAAATTCGGCGTCCAGAATCTCCATCTTGAGGTTGTGTTCGTTGGCCTTCTGCTGAGCGATCCTCTTAGCCTTAGCTTCATTTCCTTCCTTCTCGCGAAGGTTGGCAATCTCATGTGGCTGGGCGAGACGTTTGATCATCTTCGGCTTGGTGGGCTCTTGTGGCAGTTCAGGAGGTCCGCCCATACCAGGTGGGTACTCGTCTAGAGGTCTATCTCTGTGCGTACTGCCATGATCTGCGCCATTCGAAGCCATGAGGCCGCGTGTTTCTGAATCGGTCAACGCAAGGTTGTGACGCGAGAACATCATCAGCCATTTGTAATGATCTTCTCCTGACTTCTCCAGGGCTTCCTTTGCTCTCGGCCAGTCAATCTTGGCGTGAGTGACGGTTCCTAGATCTTGACCACGATCTGCTTCGACAATGACCAGATCGCCTTCCTTGACATCAAGGCCTGTACCCTCATGGATGTAGAAGATGCCGGATCTTGAACACTTAAAGGTGACAATGTAGAGCGGAGCACTCCATCCTTGACGACCAAAAGCACCACCTGCAGGCCCGGCTGTTGGGTACGGGCTGTTATTCATCATAAGGCTTGTCGACTCGGCACGATTTCTGTGGGCAGTAGCTGCACCCGAAAAATAATTCTGCGCGTAGGCTCTGTGTTGCATGTCGGACTCTGTCATATTTGTCTCAAGGTCGTGAGGCATTTGGCGATGATCCGGACGAGCACTAGCACTGCTGCCATTTTCTGCGCCAAGAGACAGCATGCCCAATGCTGAGCTAACGCTGTTGTATCCTTGACCTGAGCCAGATAGTCCACCGACGAGTGATCCGCGACGAGTTGGAATGTCTGCCAGCGAATGCCTTCTACTTTGAGTCATGTCGTCCATGCCGAACCCAAGAGAGGTAGACCACATGCCGCGGTGCGTACCGTCTTGTGCCATGGATTGACTAAGATTAATAGGTCTTCCGGAGTAGAGTTGTTCAGAATCGTCGTCGTCGATAGCGGACTCTGCACCAGTTTGTGCATAGTTGTCAGACATGGAGCGACGCACCTCTTCCGCAGCTGAAGGACCCAGCGAGGCCGATCCATGCTTTGCGCGTGCGCTTTCATGAGTTGCTTGGCGGAGTAATGCGTTGCTGACATCTGCGATCGGGTCCTGACGTGCTCTAGGGTTGCCAAGAAGGACCCCTTGATCAGGTCCTTCATCATCTTCAACTTCACTCAGCTGTGCCAGAGGCCTGCCTTCAGCATAAATTGTTTCACCAAGACCGCTCGGGCGCATAGGGCGATATTGTGAGCCAGGAATACCGGCGCGCGCTCTTGAAGGTGTGCCTACTGCACCAGGGCTCTGAGGACCCACATCAGTGTCGAGTTGCCCAACAGAGTAGGATTGAGACCTGTGAGTTTTGAGAATAGGCTGCAGTGGGATGTTGAAGGGGAATGACTCGGTCGAATCCACGACACCTGGACTTGGCTGAGGAAGGTATGAAGCGGGTGATCCCTCGTTCAATCGAAGCGGCAAGTCTCGTCGGTCGGCGCCCCAGATCGAGTTCGGAGCAGCCCACGCGCCTCCATTTGAGCCATTTGAGGGGACGCGGCCTAGAGCAGATCCGAAAGTCCAGGGATTGTGTTCGGCAGAAGGCGTTGAAGGCTGTGAACCATTGGGAGGCATGCTAGCGCCAGTGATAGACGGCTTCCTCAGATCACCTGACTTGATCTCGCTAAGAAACGACGATCTGCGAATACCTGTTGCAGCGGTTGGGCGCACGGTCACAGATGAAGCGGAGTGAGAGAGCTCAGGCTCATCCTCTGAAGATGCGAAAGCCTCAGAATCAGGCGTTGAGCGTCCAAACTTGATCTTGTCAGCTCTGATAGCAGTGGGACCAAAGCTTGAACGATTGACAGTGCTAGCTGCCATGTTGGTGGAGATCTTGCCGTGGCTGTGAAGTAGATACTTAGGTGTTTCTGACAAAGAAGGTGTTCACTGAATTGGAGTGAAGTATCAGAAGAGGTTATAGCTGGTAGAATTGTACCACGCTGAAGTGATGTGAGACAAAGAATATGTCGATGGCTCGTGGAAGCGTAATAAACCTTGAAATACTCAGAGAAAGCTGTCAAGTAGGCGATTTCGCGTCGTGCAAGGTTGCACAGAGGTATGGTTGGTTGAAAAGATGGCAAAGCTCACAATGTGCCGAGGTTTTGATTGGTAGGCGGAAAGAATGATGTCGTCCCCGAATCGCCGGTGCCTGATCTATTCATGTCAGCTGCCATTTGCATGACCTCGTGTTTCAAATGATGCCCCATTCGACGTCGAGTCGTCGTGTCAGGTACACATTCGACGTCGAGTCCGCCGTAATAGGCAAGACTTGACTCTTGAAGCAAGGTCGACGGCATGTGAGGAGGGAAACTCACGAGTAAAATCCCAGCAAAGAAGTCACCAGCTCTGCGTTGCTGCAAGATGTGAGAGCAAACTCTGGAAACAAAGACTTGCGCCAAACGTATGGAGACTCGCTTGTTGAGAGAAGTTGAAGGTCGTGTGAAAGAAAAAAATCGGTCTGTGAGATGTTCTGAGCACAAATGTCAGCGTCTGCTATAGGCCTACGATGCAAATAGTGAGCTTCGAGCAAATCATGCTCCGCCCTGACACGTGCGTATCGTCTAGCGATTGCGCACTTCCCACACTACGAGCAATAAGATCTCACAGCCAGAGCGAGGTACACAGCCACGATAACGAATATCCGACTGCTACGTCGAGAGATGAGGCAGGAAAATCGAACATACCTAACAATTGCTTGTAGTGCCTGTATCCGAGCCCTTTTCCTTCTATCTATCGATCGTATCTGGTAGAAGTGCGTCAGGCCGATCGTCGAGTGTGCTGAGGTGTCCTAGATTTTGGACCCATGTGAGACAATCTCACTCACCTATTGATTTTGGTTGTCTTGTCTTGGCGAAACAGTATTAAAGCGAAAAGAGAAATATTTGTAACATAAACAGGTCGTGTAAAAGCTTCTCAAATACCTGTCCTCAGTCAGCAGACGCACTCCTACGGTCGCAAGATTCACGATGAACGACTTGGACTCGAGATGCCAGGATTACAAGCTTACAGATTCGAAACAACGCCTTGGTCACAGTCTCATGGTCCTTCGTTCCAGGTTACAGCAGACTGTCTCTACGGAGTTGGTCCTGTACAAAGCAAGGCACTCCAAGATTCATTTGCGATGTTTGTGGAGAAACGCGTCCACGTGGGGGCTCGAGTTAGCACACAGGTCGTCGTCGGATTATTCCAGACTTCAGATCTGGAGGTTAGCTTCAGTTGATTTCGCGACTGGCGAAGAGTCGTGAAGTAGGACTGTAGCGACTCCGCTTTGGAAGGTGGGCGAAATGAACAGATGTTCTGGATTGTGCGGGCCCCTTGTTGTGGGGGAGACTTCGGAGGATGATGATGCAGGACGCCGATCACCTTACAATCGGGCGTGACCGTCGACAACAAGACTTTTCAGCGCGAGGGTGTAAGTACTTGAGCTTGGGAATGATTCTTTTCTTTGGAATGAGACGGACTTGACGAGGTCTGAATGGTGGAGAGAAAATATGTAGTCACACGCAGGCTCTAACGACTACATAAGGAAGGCGCCAGACGTGAACGAAATGCGGAGGCGGCGCAACTGCTCTCTTTGAGCGGGGTCTCGTGCCCTTCGATCAGCCACTTTCCTCGGCGCTAACCGACTCATCTTCGACCACCAGAGGTGGTGCAAACCACTCTTATACTTCTATCCGCTCCATGTTACCAGTGCTGCCATTGGCCCGTCCCTTCCAGTGGTGAGGATACCTACAAGCAATAACCTCATTTTCCACATCGCCTGAACAGCGACGACCCTTGGACTCTGCGTCAGCGCTGTCAGGCCACCCAGATGACCCCTTGGCGCGGCATGCAATGCCCCGGAACACCCGTTCGAATCCTCGTCGCATCTTGTCCCACACTTCGAGTACGATGACGACGGGTCGAATATCGCAAACACATCCGAGTCCACGAGCAGCTAATTTTCGGTTGGATAGGTACACAAAGCCACCGCATTGGACATGCTCTCAATAGGTACCCCAGCGGGTAAGAGTGCGGGGTGCAGCAAAAGACGATTTTTGTGTGGTTGACCAGGAGCATGTGGCCCTGCATCCATTTTACACTTCAACACTAGCCATCCGGCTCATCTTCCAGGTGCCGTAAATGATCAAGCACGGAGTACAAGGTAGCGTGTTCAGGTGACAACATGTAGTCTCGATCATTCCACAGGTCAGCATCCTGCATCTGATAAGTCTACAGTGTACTATTCATCGAGATGAGTAGGAGCCATCACTCTCCCGCATCATCAATCAACATCCAATATGGGCAAGCCCTGGAAATCTTCCATGCTTCTTCCCATCTTTTTAATGGCTTCTTCTGCCTTTGCCTTGCGCAGCTTCAGTGTTTCCTTCACTGTTACTAGCACAAAGTCATAAGTCAAAAGAGCAGTTCCTTCTTCAACTCCGTATTTTTTGGCCATTTCTGGATCTGTCACCTTCGACAAGTCTACGATGAGAGATTCTTTAACACCGAACACTGGATCAGAAGCCTCGTATGGGTCGCCACGAGGATACAAAGCACTGCATGTCTGTCAGAATTCCAATGGTAGTTGACTCTTGTTTCCAGAACTTACGTGATGAGAGGGTCGAAGTTGTCTTTCTTCAGCAGGAAGTGAACATGGCCGGGCCGGTTGGGATGCCTGCCTAACATCTGAAGCATGCTGAAGACAGGTCCGTCCATTGGAATCGGGTAGGAGACAGGCTTCACCGCCTTGAACCAGAAGGTTCCATCTTGCTCGGAAAACAAGATACCTCTGCCATCTGGTCCATCACGGTCTGGATACTGGACGTCATAATTCCCGTGCGAATCGCCCTCCCATACATCAACCTGTACACCTTGGAGTGGATTTCCCTCGGTATCTTTGACAGTGCAAAGGACCAGCAGAGGGGTTCCATCAGGGTCTTTGTGGATAGCATAGCCGTTGTCCACTTCGCGTGCATCGTGGGTATGGAAAGGGCCAAGCACGGTTCCCTCGGTCGACTTTCCGGTGCGCGGATGATCGATAGAATCAACCAGAGCACTTAGTCCAAGCGTATCGGAGAGAAGGATCATCTCTCTTCTCAGGTCAGTGCTGATTTGGCCAACATCTGTCAGAAAATCCAGTCCGGTCATCCACTCATCCGTCGAAAGTCGTGTCTCTCTAGCAAAATCATGTAGATGGGATACCAGACGTTCGAATATATATCTCGTCCTTGGGTTCGTACATTGTTTGTTGATGGCATGAACATTCTCCGTGATGTTCTCCGTAGTGAGGTCCTTCATGATGAATTATATCTTGATTTCGGCCAAGAGATACCTTCGAGTTGGGTCGAGGACGTGGGCCTCGCAGTCTTTATTAGTCGTTCACATTTTCGGTGGTTGTCGTTGCTCAGAGTGATCATGACGGTGTACGTGGGGCAGCTCCAGCTCCCGCACTCGCCCCACTTTGAGGAGCTTCGGTGCACCGACCAATTATATCTCAATAACAACTTCGCTCGGAACTGCCTTTCGGCATTTTCTGGTGCACAAAATGTGCTCTCGTCGAAAGCACATGATCATACTGTTATGAACAATATCAATTCATCAGCTGGAGAGCTTTGCCCTTCTTAGGAGAATGATCTTGTAGAGGTTCGGTGAGGGAGGCGTAAGCAAGCCTGACATGTGAGATAAGCTAGGTAAGCTTCTTGCAGTCGCAGCTGCATCCTTCAGCTTGCTGCCATATATACTCTCACCGAACACCTCGAACGCCAGTTTCAACTTCGTGAACCGTCTTATCAAGCTACCACAAGATGCTCTTGGGAACTCCGCACCCGTTGACCGTGGCCGCAATAGGCACTGTTTTACTAGGAAGTCTTGTCTACTTCGCTTTAGCCTGGTGGAAGCTCAAGCAATCGAGACAAGAACTCGAGCGAAACAGCAAATGTCTTCCGCCACACAGCATCTACCCTAATCTGGACCCCTTCATGGCACTTGACATGGTACTGTCAGTCCTGTCCGCAGCTAGAAAGAAGAAATTGCTCGAATGGTTCAACGGCAACTACCAAAAGTATGGTCCGACATTTGTCGTCAGCACGATCCCAAGATATGCTATCCATACCACCGAGGCTGAGAATATCAAAACTGCTTTTTCTTTGAAATTCGACGACTGGTCCGTAAGACCTGGACGCCTAGCTTTCACACATTTGATGTCTGGTTCGACTTTCATGTCTGATGGCGCTGCATGGACCCATTCAAGAGGCATCTTGCGGCCTATGTTTGTCAAAGATCGTATCACCGATCTCGACTTATTCGAGGCCCATTTTCAAAAACTACTGAAGCTGATACCGGAGGATGGATCGACCTTTGACCTAGGTGCCCTATTTCATCGGTATGCATTTGATGTGTCTTCGGAATTCTTGTTCGGAGAGTCGCTTGACTCTCTGGGAAATCAGACAGACGCCAAAGCTCAGCTGGCCCATGATATCGAGCTGGTCATCCAAGATTGTGCAGACCGCTTCCGCTGGTCTCTGTTATATCGTTGGCTCAAGCGCCCAGGCGTCGATCAGGCTATTCAAAACGTGTTGAGTGCAACAACCAGATATGCGCAGAAGGCTATAGAGCGAGCAAGTCAAGAAAAGAATCGCACTGACGGAGCAGGCGAAGAGCATGCACAATATTCCTTCCTGGACGAGATGGCACGCCAGACACAAGATCTCAAGAAGATGTCCGAAGAAGCGACTAGCTTGATGTTCGCTGGAAAAGACACGTCTTCAGGATTGCTCGGCAATATTTTCTATCTACTTGCTAGGCATCCCGAGGCATGGACGAAGCTTCTCGCAGAGGTTGATCAACTTGAGGGCATACCACCAACATATGAGTGGATCAAGAATGCCAAGTACCTAAGATATTGCGAGCACGAAGGTACGTACGCTACCTAGGTATCGGGGTGTATCAAGCTGACCAGTCTCATGAAGCCATGAGACTCTATCCGGTCACCCCAATGTTACCACCCCGAGTTGCTAACAAGGATACTGTACTTCCACTCGGTGGTGGCAACGACGGCAAATCTCCTCTGTTTGTGCCGAAAGGCTCGTTCATGTCTGTCCACATCTACTCAGCAAACCGTCGTAAGGAGGTTTATGGAGAGGATGCAGAAGAGTTCAGACCGGAGAGATGGGAAGATCTTCGTCCAGGCTGGGTATGTATACTATGCACAATGTCTGTCGTAAACCAACTAATCGCTCTGTGTCCAGGGCTACACTCCGTTTGGAGGCGGGCCACGAATCTGCATAGGCCGTAAGTGTAGACGAACATCTTAAAGTGACAAAGCTAATACTACACAGAGCAATTCGGCATCACTGAAGTATACTATGTTACCGTGCGCCTTATGCAGCACTTCCGCCGGATTGAATGTCGCGACTCCAGACCGTTTAGAGAGGATCTTCCTGGTGTCATCCTGTGCCCAGATGGTGGCGTCCAAGTTGGCCTTTATCATCAGTGATAGCCTGACTTTCGCTTGATCTGGGGATTTGCTGCTGCCATTTTTGTTATGTTGTGTTCATTCACGATCGCCAGTATTGCTTGCATGAATTTATATCACGATATCACGATTGAGACGCAAAGTATCCCCGCTTCACCGGTCAGATCATTACACGTGGTGAAACAAGAGGCTCAGGATTCTAGGTGGCCGACAAGGCTCGATTGGTACTACGATACAAGATGGTGGTTCCTGCATCCTGCCTTTCCATCCAAAGCTGCTAAGAGATACGGTGTAACTGGCGGAAGCCTGCACACGTTTCACCGATGTCCACGTTGCATAAAATGTCGGGACACGTTCAAGATATTGGATTATGCTCCAGTTGGCTATCAGCGCCTTTGAAATAGCTCCAGGTTCGATCGTTGTTTGTATCGGCGTGAGGAGATAAATGTTACTTCGCAATCAAGTCATGCTGCTTCTTGCTTCGAACAGTGCTCTACCAACGAGGCGTGCTTGCAGCATCTTCAACAGCTCTGGCATTTGCCGCCAGCGATTTTGTCATTGTAGCATTGTGGCAAATTTGCGGTTCTCTCTAGAAGTTACTGGTTCGTAGAGGTCAGCCTTTGTATTGCCGAGTATTGGGCTTGCATCAGCTTGGTTGAGAGGTGCTGCCAGATTTATTGGTGGAAGAAGAAAAATGACCAGCAAGGCGATGCCTGGAGGATTGATAGGGCGACTTTGTAGTAATGGAAGTATCATGCTGGTAGATGATTGTTCGGTAAATCGTGAATTGTGTTTCTGGGAAGTTCACCGTGCAGTGGGCTCCCTTCATCCTGGCTAATGCATGGCAACAAAGAAATTGAGAAAATTGGTTAATATTGTCCCCCTTCTGCTACGAAGTTTATGCGGACAATTCTGGCTAGATATTCGAAGCTCTATTGATATGCATTTCAATTGCTTTGACGTCTCTGGTCTCGATGTTGAGACTCATCAACTGTAGGGCAGGGTCATGAGCCAGAATTTCTGACTTGGCCAAATTTTGAGCCGCGGACAGGAATCCGCCGCAGCTTCGACGAGCAAACTTCCCGTTCCTGCGACTTGCAACGAGCAAAATCGATATCTTACGACTTGATGTACACTAGCACCTCATTAGGGCCGCTTCTCAAACATCGCTCTGGATGTGAATGTGATGAAGTTCATGCATCTTGATGGAGCGTTGACGCGTTCGCAAGGATGCGAAAGGCCCGGCCGGCCCTTAGGCTGACACACGTCCAATGTCGCAGCCTCTCTATATATGATACAGTAGAGCTGTTGAACTGATCATGCCCTCACTGCCCTAGGGTTGCGAAACTTGTAGGTAAAGTCAATTCAGGTCTTTAGGTGTATGGCGCATACCTATAAAACTCCGTTAGTTTTGCTGCTCTGCGCTTTCCTTGCCATCGCACTCTAGACCAAGTATCATCAGCAAGCTGGTATCGCTTTCCATTCTTTCCAACGTTACAAAAAGCTTTAAATCTCACCATCCACATTCTACAACTCTTCCTCCAACAATGAAGATCACTGCCAACATCCTCGCCATCGCCCTGACCCTCGGCCTCGCGACTGCCACACTTTCTCCTGCCACATCGAACACCAAGGGCAAATACCCCAAGTCGCCAGCCTGCAGTCCCGCAAAGACCAGCAAGGCCATTCAAGCCGCTGAGTGCAGTCACAACACAAGAACATCAAAGACACAGACTTTTGCTGTCTTCAAGATCGACCACCAATACGATGCCAACCATGGTGCTCCTTATGGCACTTGTGAGGCCTACACTTGCACTGCACCTACTGATAGTCAGTTGAGCTCTGACTCGGACTATTGGACTTTCTTCTGGGATGACAAAGGCGAGAGCAGTGGCGAGGGTGCTGGATGTATCAAGGATCCGCAGACGGGTGTTTGTGGATGTGAGAACTCGAATGGACAGTTTGTGTCTGGATCCAGCAGCTGTACATAGATGGGTCTTGACGAGGCATGAAGAGATGCTAGGTGGTTGTAGTGTAGAGTCGACCCTATTTGAACATAAACATGAGTATGCACAAAGTCTTATGCTCATGCTTAAGTTATGAACAGAATAAGTGCATATCCCAACTTCACCATTCGCTCCTCGAACATCAATGCATACCTTTCACATGGACCGTACCTCCAAATGATAAGGACTGTGATATCGGGTAATGGCTTGGCCACCCAAATGTCACGTTCATGATGCACTCGATTCAGCTCAACAACTCCACTACATATCCTCGATGCTAGCAATGTTGGTGAGTGTATGAAGCTATCTGTGCTCTTGCTTTGTTCCAAGCGTTTCTACCACTGCTCAAGAGGTCTTCGAACACGAGATTCGTTGCTATGAGCACATGTTCGTGCAGATTGACAAAGCAGCCAGAGACCAAACATCAGGCACTTTCCAGAACTTCGACGATACCGAGCATCAATGGTGACCAAGCTCAGCAACTTCGACTTTCAGTCAAATGCAAATCATAGCTTGAACCACAAACCAATTTCATTCTTCCAACCCCCAATCCTCCACCTTCTCCATCCCCCAACTCCACACCGCTGTATCTTTATCTCCAAACATTTTAACCTTTCTAACACCCTCCCACCTCATGCCCAACCTCCTGAGCGTACCCATACTAGCCTCATTCGTTTCATCACAAAACCCGAATACAGCTTTGACACCTTTCTCCCTATCCACATATTCGATAAGTCCTTTGGCAGCTTCAACAGCATAGCCCTTTCGCATATATTCAGAGAGTACAGCATACCCAATATCGGGAGCTAGTACGGAGGAGTCTTCTCCTCGCATGAGTTGGACCGTGCCGATGGGGGTGTTGGTTGAGAGTAACGAGACGAAATTTGTGCCATACCCGTTACGGGCATGTTCGGCCAGAAAGCGGTTCTCGATTAGTTCTTTTGCGGCTGAGGGGTTGGTTATGGAGGTTGGTTTGCCGCCGAGCATGGTTATGAATTCGGGTGTGTTCCAGAGAGAGACGAGGAAAGAGCAGTGAACAGGGTTTGAAGGATCTAGGTAGGAGATCTTAAGGCGAGAAGTCGTGAAGGAAAAGTTAGGATCTGTCATTCTGAGAACGAAGATGGAGGTTGATGCCAGAGGACAAGTTCTTTGTAGTGATTGGGTTTCAAGCTGGCTCTATGGTTGTATTATGTGTTCTAGATCCGGTTTTGTGATGCTAAATCGAGGTGGTAGATCAGTCTCTTGGGATTATATATACTCTTGACCAAGACGAGATGTCTACCTGCCTGAAGTTAAGTATGGAGTATCAGTTGAGTCAATGGCTCGGTGACTGCGATAGGAAGGTGCGTGAGCGAAACAGTGGACCGTGCGCGATCCTCTTCGAAGCAACTCGCAGTCAAAAACACACAGATTGGAGTGAGAGCTGTAAAACAATGTGAGAAAGATGAAATCCAATTTCCTTGGTATGCACAAAAAAGAAAAGTCGGTATTGAAATTTGACCTGAACTGATTACACTATGATACACCGCCAGGGAGTCTAGAGTGAATCTTCTACTTCTTCTCCTCAGGCTTGGGCTCGGGCTTTGGTGTAGGGAGCTTGAACTGTGGTGATTGATCAGTATATGATGCTGGCAGCATTTCTGTAGCGGAGGACTTACGCTCTCAGGCTTTCTGTCGTGACCGGGACCAACCTGCTCCCAAGCAGAGCTACCACCCTCAAAGTTTCTGAAAGCCTGGGTCAACTCGAGAGGCTCAACAACGATACGCTTCTGCTCCTCGTCGTAACGGATCTCAGTGTAACCAGTAAGAGGGAAGTCCTTGCGGAGCGGGTGGCCATCGAAACCGTAGTCGGTCATGATACGGCGAAGATCGGGGTGACCGACGAAGAAGACACCGAACAAATCGTAGACCTCACGCTCGTACCAGTTGGCACCATCGTAAAGGCCGCAAAGCGAAGGGACAGGGGTGGCCTCGTCGGCGTAGGTCTTGACACGAATACGGGCGTTGTGGCGGACAGAAAGCATGTTGTAGACGACCTCGAAACGCTGGTCACGGGTAGGGTAGTCGACGGCGGTAATGTCGCTGATCTGGGTGAACTCTGCGGCGGTGTGGTACTTGAGGAAGTTGAAGACGGGGAGGACGGCGCTGGGGGCGATGTAGATGACAAGCTCATCCTTCCAGACCGAGAACCTGAACGAGACGTGTCAATGCTATTCCAGAGAACAGAGAGCGGGTGTGGACGCACTGCTGGATGTACTTGGGCATGCAAGCCATCAAGTACTGGCCGTACTGGTGCAGGCTATCGGCCTTTTCTTGGAACTTGTCGGCGGGGTTGACGACGGGGACATGGAGACGGCCTTGAGCGCTTCTTTGGGCGTGCTGATACAGAAATCAATACTCGATCACGGGAGCGTGTTCGCGGCGTAGGTGGGTTGTCGTACTCTCATGTTAGGCAGGTCGGAAACATCGGCGGCGAGCTCCTTCTGGCGCAGGGCCGAGACGGTGAAGGCGCGAGTCGAGGGGGCGACATTGCGCGAGGCAAGACGCAGCGAGCGAGTGGCGGATTGTCGTAGAGCCATTGTGAGGGTGTGTGTGCTGTCTCTTCACAAGAAGTGGCCTGGTTTAGTGTCCGTAGCTGGAAGAGACGATATGATGGTCATCATCGTTCCTGCCCAGCTTGGCCAATCAGAGGCGGGCGGCGTCCGTGCGGGCCACAGTCTCCTTCTCTCACAAGCAAGCCAGAGCAGAGCAGTTGCAGTTGCTCTTTCCCGCGGCCGCGCTGTCACACTACAACATTCCCATTCCATCTCCTCTTTAATTCATTGCGAACTTGCCTGTCCTTTCTTATCAGTCTGTGAAAGCGCCTGCATTCTCGACTCCGCCTCTGCGCGCCTTCTCCATCTTCGCCCTCTCCCTCCTTCACCACTTCCGCTCTCTCCCACTGCCACACCATGTCGCGGACTCAGCAAGATCAGTTCATCGATGACGATGAGGAAGAGACATGTCCTCTCTGTGTAGAGGAGTTCGATCTATCAGATCGCGGCTTTCGACCATGCGTCTGTGGCTATCAGGTCTGTGCTCACTGCAACCATCTTCCACCCACTGCCAGCTAACATGTACTCCCAGATCTGCCAGTTCTGCTATCATAACGTGCGCAATAATATGAACGGCCTCTGTCCTGCCTGTCGCCGTCCATATGATGATGCCAACATAGAGTTTCGCAGGCCTGGCCCGGAAGAGTACACATCCCTGTCCAAAACTGCTACTCATCCTCATCGCTAACACCCCTCACAGGGAGGCCCTCTGGAGAGCCAAACAAGCTGCCAAGCAAAAGAAGCAGTCCGCCGCCGCCCAAAAGGAAGCTCAGAAGCGCGAGGCCGACACACTCTCTCGCAAGCATCTCGCTGGTCTGCGCGTCGTGCAAAAGAACCTGGTTTATGTGACTGGTTTGAGCCCTAGAGTGCAAGAAGATAGACTGCTCGAGACTCTTCGCGGCGACCAATACTTTGGCCAGTACGGCAAGATTGTCAAGATAGTCGTCAGCAAGGCAAAGGACAACATCAACCCCCAGTCCGTCGGCGTCTACGTCACCTACGCCCGCAAGCAAGATGCTGCCTCCTGCATTGCTGCCGTCGACGGCTCGCAAAACGGCGATCGCGTTCTAAGAGCTCAGTTCGGCACCACCAAATACTGCTCCGCCTACCTCCGCAACGAACAATGCACCAACCGTAACTGCATGTTCCTGCACGAACCTGGCGAGGAGAACGACAGCTTTACCCGCCAAGACTTGTCTTCGATGAATGTCATCTCGACACAGCATCCACAAGCACCGTCGCAGCCAACCTCGCAGCCTCCGCCGCAAAGTCAACAGCCTGTTGCCGCCGCTCACACCCTCTCTAGGCAAGACTCGCAATACATTCCTCCAAGCCCGAGCGTCGAACATGATGGCCCTGCACTGCCTTCAACTGCCAGCTGGGCGTCCAAGGCTCCTCAAATGAGCCGCACAGCTAGCAGTCGCTCTGTGTCCCTCGTTATGCCTAAAGAACCAGCTAGAGAAAAGCCCAAGCCTGAGCCGCAACCTCAGCCTCAACCTGAACCCGAACGCGAACCGTCTCCTTCGCCAGAGCCCGAACAGCCTGCAACTCCCAGCCCGCCTCCTGCTCCTGTCGCACCTGTCAGAAAGAAGAAGCCGGTCGTCGAGGATCCCCTGACCCATATGTTCAAGGCTTTCCAGTCTTTCGACCTCAAGTTCGTCCTGTCTAGTAAGGCATTGGAGGACAGCAACATTGACTTTGACACTTTCCCATCACTATTCGACCCTCACGGTGGAGCCAAGAGACGTGCAATGAGACAACGCGAAGAGGAGGAAGACGAGGAGCGCAGAAGATTGGAAGCTGAAGCTCAACTAGCTCAACAGACTGTTAACAGCGTCGAAGACGAAAATGGTCCCGAAACTGGTGGTAGCATGCAACTTGGAGGCGAGCCCGAGGACACCATGGGCCGTGGTCAGTCTCCACAGCACGCCATCGAACCTCCTTCGCGCACCAACTCAGTCATCGACGGCGGATTTCTCTCCAACGAGCTGTCCAATTTGAGCATTACTGCCCCGAATCTGACCGCCCAACAACGCCAGCAGTTGCTTCTCCAGCAGTTCAAGACCCCTTCAGCTGCATCTTCTCAGCCACCCTTCCAGCCACCACCTGCTGCTCCGGCTGGCCACGCACGTAATGTTTCACGATACACATTTGCAAACGACACCAACACTGCTTCAGCTGCCGTCAAGCCTGTCGCCAATGCCAAACTCATGAACCAACAATCCTCCATGATGCCTTCTCAGTCATCCTTCCAGCAGCCCCCTCCTAGCGGATTTTACAGCAATGTTCAGGGACCTCCACCCGGTCTCAAAACCACTGGCACTCCTCCTTTCAGCGGAGGTGGCATGTTTGGCCAAGGTCATGGTTTTGCAACAAGCGGCTTGGGTTATGGCGCCAACTTGACCGGTCGCAACCCTAACGACGAAATGATGAGAGATCTTTTGAGAAACCGTAACCTCGGTGGCGGTGCCCAGATGTCAGATGCCGCAAAGCGTGAGTTATTGTTTCCTTCTTTCTTACACCAGCACCCCACCAGTTCCACTCCAGTCCCAGCCCCTGGTCTTCTGAATCTTCCCTATGGCACTCAGCCTCAGGCCTTTCAAGACGCTGCCCAGAAGCCCAAAAAGAAGGGCAAAAAGCACAAACATGCTAACACTTCCTCCTCTGGAGGTGGTGTAGTTGATGTAGCAGACCCGAGCATTCTTCAGGCAAGACTGCACCAAGCCGGTCAAATCGGAAACCAGGGGCTATTTACTGGTCAGGGACAAGGTGGGTTGCATAATGTGTACGGCAGCGCCGACGCTGGTGCTTTCCGCAGATGGTAGACGACCGCATCCCCTTTTGATTCTGTTCGAGTCTTTGTTTTGTTGTTTTGCTCTTTTGCTTTTCCCATCTTTCTATCATGTCTATCTATCCCCCACGACCTTGCTACTGGCGTCTTGATTTAGGGTGGAAAGCGAGCACAGCATTGGCCTTCCCAAAAAAAAAAGAGATTCTCAGTCTCGAGCCATTGGCGTTTCGGGTTTTATATCATGTCCAGTCGGCACTTCTCGTCAGCTTCGGAGTTATTATCGATGCATTTGCCGCAGTGGCTATATGGACGGCAGGAGTTTTCACTTTTCCTTATGCCTCTCACGTTTCTGCAACGTTAGCCACCTTCTTGTACGTATCTTCTTACCTTTTGTCGCAGATTGGTAGATTAACAAAGTCAGTGTCTGCCGTCTTGCACCTATTTCCATACTTCCAACTGGCGTTCTCGTGTGATCCACATCATGTATACTAGTTTTCTTTCTCGGCGGTCGTCTACCATCTGCCGAAACCAGTCGCTACTATTCGACGTATACAAAACAAACTTTTCAGAATCTTGCTGACTAGAGGTATAGAAATCTCAGACATAACATCTCTTGGTGGTGCAGCTCATCTTTCATCAGATCTTTTCGACGAACCCGGACGATCAACCCCGCCAGTGCCTCCCGGTCTCGAAGGTCTTGGTCAATCGTTGCCCCCTCTTGACCTTGACGAGGAAGATGATGTTCCCAGACGTTCAACACCATCAATTCCTCCAGGCTTTACGGCCCCAGTGCTTCCTCCCCTCAAGGACGATACGTCCGCTTCTCTTCCAACTTCTCGATCTAGTTCTAGAGCAAGTCTCAGACGCGGCAACTCTCAAATCCTTCCTGCTGTCCCAGTGCTTTCTGGCACACCATCTCGAGCTCCTACACCATTGAGACATGAGACCAAACCTTTTGCCAACGTCATTGATGACTTTGCCACGCCTACCAGACGCGGAAGGTCCGAATCTCATCTTGCTAATGTCGAATATGCCGAGAGTCACGATACAGCTCCCGGCGCCGAGGTGGAGACTCCAACAAAGGCCGATATCAAGGCGGAGAAGGCTGAGGCAAAGAAGGCGAAGAGAGCCGACAAGTTGGCCAAGAAGGAAGCCGAGAGACTTGAGAAGGCTGAGAAGGCCGCTGCTGCACAAGCTGCAGCCGAAGCACTCGCGCAGAAGAATGCCGCTGAGAAGCTCGAAAAGGCAGCATCTCAAGCACAATCATCTGAAGCCCAGCTTGATCCTCCAGGTGCTTCCAAGGAAGAGAAGAGCAAGGCGGCAACCAATACAGTCGATCTTGTCAAGGACCTGACACCGGCCGAAGCTGCGGCCGCGGCCAAATCGGCTGCAGGTGAGACCGTTAGTAAGAAGAAGCATCCTGGAAAGATTGACATTACAGCCGCTGTCCTCAAGGGTGGTGAAGTGCCCACTTCTCTCACTTCGACTCCGGTGAAGGCTGAGAACGTTCCTCGCACTTGGAACACCATCACTACTGCATCGCGTCCGCAGAGTCCCAGCATAGCATCAGACTCGGCCAAGAAGGTTGCAGCTCCGCGCACTCTGCGTCTCACAACAGCTCTACCTCCGCCGGCGCCAGTTGTTGCGCCTGCTATCCGCACAATTCCTGCCACAACATCTCGCATGCCATCGAGACAGCCCAGTGTTGCTTCTATTCAAGTCCCAGGCACTCCCGGTAGCGAACATATTTCCGACGACATCTCCGTCACTTCTACCTCGGTATCGCGCGCAAACACACCGCCTCCACCAACTTCAAGCAGAGTCGGTTCGGCGTACGTTCGCCAGAATACCAAGAGTCAACAGAAGAAATTGCGCCAAGAAAAAGCCAGACAGATGACCGAGGAACTCTTGTCCAAGGATACTCAGGCCGCTGTAGAGCCCATTCAGGAAGCCATCACCAGTCGCAAGAAGAAGTCCAAGAGGGACAAGCCCTCGACCCCTGCTGCATCTACGCCTGCTGCATCGACTCCAGTTCCCTCACGTCCTGCCTCTCCTCAGTTGAAGGCCCAGCCCGAAGAACCACCAAAGGTAGAAAAACCCGCCACGCCCGTCAAGGCCGAGACTCCTTCCCCTCCTCCACCCGCTCCCGTCACTCCGGTCAAAGCCCCTACTCCGCCACCACCAGCAGCGCTGACTCCTGCTTCTCTCATTGCAGAACTGCGCAGTCAACATGGCACTCTAGCCGGCGCTTTTGACGCTTTCTTTCGCCCCTTTGCTCAGACCGTTGCACACTACAAGCCTTCTTCACAACCCACTGCTGCCGACTTGTCTCCCGAAAACGCAATCCCACCCCACCAGCCTGAGCTCAAGAGGGAAGATGTTGATGTCTTGCTTTCGGGACGCGCCTGGCGCCCCGTGACCGATGAGCAGCAGCGTCTCTGGGAGCGTCTTGTTATTTCGCCTAGTGGTGCCGTCATTCGTCATATGGAGCCCCAGTTTGAGGAACGCTTTTTAGCAATGGAAGCCATGAATCGCCAATTGCCAGAGAATCTCAAGTTCCACCCCATTCAGCACAGTAACACCCCTACCGATCTCGACTTCCCGGCTGTGGATATAGCACTCCTTCGTCGCGAGTTTGAAGGTGCACCCAACGGCAACCGTCACCGCAGTGCCAACGCCATGGAAAAGGCTGTCGAGGAGGGCAGCAAGAAGGGTAGCTTCTTGGTTGACACTGCTGGCAAGTACGTCAATGAGTTCATCATGCCTCCTGTTCCTCTTAGTCCACCCAACGAGAAGGCTATCAAAGAAGAGCAGCAGAGAGACAAGAACCACGTTGTCAGTGTTGAGGATCTGGAGCGCAGACTTGCCGAAGCCAGACGCTTTGCCGATGATAAGGAGGCTGGCTTGCGCCGTCTGGTTAAGAGAAACAGAAAGGTGATTGGCTTGACCCACTGAAGTGGCGTTCTCGGTCGACAAGAGAGCAATCAAACTTAACGCTTCAAAAACTGTGTGAACAAAAGCTGTGCAAGCAACACGGCTGCTGATCTCTCGAAAACTCGGAGTAACTCTTTTCGTAAAAGGAGGGTCGTTATGGTTGCAAGAAAAAGATGGACATTCTCTCCCCTGAACACTATGACACAGACTCATTTTTCGTTTCATTCATTGTACTATTAGCATCACAAGTAGCATTACACCGCCCCATCCGCATCACGGTCGCTCTCAGATAGAGTCCGCTTCAGCATTACACATGTATCATAATTGGCATTATCACACGCTGCATCGTTCTTTCCAAACTTCTTGATATTCCCACTGGCTGCAAAACTGATAAGTGATGACAGACACAGACAAGAAAGGGTTGAAGAGGTCTGTTGTAATGTTCAAGCTATCTAGATGGGTAGAATAAAGCATACTGAGTTGGTATATCATGCTGCAAAAGCCGAGAGAGAAACTCAGCAGGCCAAACTGTATGTGATAGCAAGATGATGTAGAAATAGTTGACGCAAAAACGCTCTACTCAAAAGTTGGACAACACGTTTGGGACAGATCAACCTACACCTTGTTCTATCCTGCGAGCTTTTGTCAAGTACGTTGATCAGAAATTCAAGGCCAGAACTGCTTGGAGATGTGTTCAAAGATACGCATGACAAGTACGGGATGAGGCGATTCTTTGAAGGTTGCAGTGTTGCAACCGCCAAACGAACAAAGGAATTGTGAGTTGTCGAGGATTGTGCATTGCTTCAAGCTCGGAGTTTCGAAACACCATCACTCTTGGAGTTCTTGATTCATCATAATCTTTGAGGATATTTTCGCCCGAGTGACTCGTCCATCTGACGGTACGTGGCGGTGCGATGTATGGTGTACACGACTGACATATGAGCAGCATGCATAAACGATGCAGAACTAATCGTACACTGTCAGTACTCTGTTGATACCCCGTAATAGATCAGCGCAAGCAAAGGCTTGCTATAGGGCTCGTTTTTGTGCCGATTCGTCGATGGAAAGTGCTTCCAGGTAAGCATCGGTATCTTCTCCTATTCGACGACTGTACCCTTGGTGGCGCTGCTGTGGTCGAGCTCAGGATCGTGATGGAAGCGAGGACGACCCAGAAGCGAGGGATATAGGCCATTCGTCCATTCAACGAGGGCGGCATAGCGTATAGCACATTCATGTATAGGTATTTGTAACCAGCTGATTTTGCAGACTGTTTCTACCAGAGATGATTAGCGCAGGGCTGCAGACTGCTTTGTTCTCCTTTTGGTAACGGCTTCGATAGGCTTAATTTTTGGTTATGCAAAAGCGTTATCATGCACGCTGACCGTCTATTGTGAGTAGGACCTGTGAAGACAGTGTGTGTCTGCATCCGTTGAACAGTGTGCAGCTTGCAGACTGCCTATTTTGACCTTGATAAGCCCTGCAACTCGCCGTAATCCTTGAATTTGCAGACGCACTGATGTGCGCGCTATACAACGGCTGTTGAAATATCCTGTGTATCACAACGCGGCTCTCGGCACCCGGCTGCTTCTCTTGGTGACCACGAGAGCGGTGTGTTGTGCCACTTCGTTTACGTTATCGAGGTGCTGCTGACAAGAGAGACCAGGCTATACCTCTTCAGTCGTGTGAAGGCGAATAGCTGTCAAGGTCCCGAAGCATTGGGTGATGAGCTTGTCGATCCAGGACTTCAGGGATGGGGTTACCGAAAATCTTTCTGCTGGTGGATTGATGTGAGTGTGCCCGCTTCTATCCCGGTTCTGCTATCTCAAGGCGACTTATACAGCATTGCTCGAGCCGGCCGCGTATGTGAGCTCACCACGGGATGACAGAACATGGGACGCAAGGTCGCCGTTTTACCAGGAAGCGAGTGATCGCTTTCGAACATGCGTAGTCGCCGAATTGCGATCTTGATGCAGATGTGGGAAGTGCCTGAATGCAAAGATCCTGTTACTTGATGTTCTTTGAATCTTTATGGCATCAATGTGACGTGGAATCATACGAAACGAGAAAGTCAGAGAGATCAGCAATAGTTGCCTGTTTTGTAGAAGCGTGTATCCTGACAGAAGCATATTAAAAACAATCTTCATGATATTCAACCTGCAGATGAATGCGGGCGATATGTTGGCTTGGTGCAAGTACGTTGGAACGTTTCCCTATCAGGATGAAGCAGACCTCTGACTAGAAAGAGGCGTGGTTGCCTGGAAACACGGAACTGAGTACCGAAGAAAAAACGCCAGCTTGAGACCTGCATGATTGCACTTTACTTCAGACTATGTTAAGCGGGATTGTGCGTGAGCGATTGACGAAAAGTCCTAGTGGGACGCCTTGTGGACTCGACAAGTTAATTGTGGGTGAGAACGATCGCATTGATTGTGGATTAGAATTGCGGTCAGTCATGAAGCAAAGAGGGTTGGCTTGAAGATGAAAGCGCTTGCCAATTCATCGAATGCTTTGAAAGCATTAGTTAGTAACTGAGTTTGTTGTTAACAGTTGTCGTCAACAGAGTTGGGAAGGAGCGAAGCGTCGCGTCACCTACACAATCCAATCGCTCGACATCTGTCACCATCACATCCACATCGATTTTTCTTGCTGCTCCCATGCAACGCGCCTCCAATATCCACAGCTCACAGATATCATCGACATTCCAGCGTCGATCCATATAGGAGGACCCTGTAGGCCATCTCCACCAGTCCCCTGTTGGCAGTTGCTCGCATTCATCGTCTCAACGCACCACTCCTCTTCTTTTTCAGATGAGGGGTTGATCTGTGTATATTAACTCGGCAATGAGCCCGAACTGTTCGTTTTATCGCCGATTCGTGGGGGCATGCCTTTTTGCTCCGTATATTGCTGAACTAGAATTGCCGGACTCAATCCCAGGGTCTTGTACGGTCTATCGGGACATTGACCCCTAACTGCACCAATATCGCCGTTGAGCTCTATGCAAGTGGCGACTCCGACACTCATGAGTAGGGGAACAAATACCGTCGGCAAGACAATTCTGATTGACGGCCTCATCCTACCACGCTTACGGTCTACATTGACAAACGCGCTGCAAATGATCTGCAAGGTATAGTAGCGTACAGTAGCTCCTCGCTGCTAGCAGATCCTATGAGCTGGAGTGTAGGCCACGTGGAATATGGTCTGATACCCAGAGATGAGCTGAAGGAACTGGTTGTGTGAGCGGCCTTCATGCCGTGGAAACAACACTACCAGCCGAGGCTGTGGCTTTTACTTGCCTCAACTCGCGACACAGCTTGGTACGTATTGTGCGGTGAGTCTGTCGAGCGGTTAGCACGCATGGCAGGTGGTAGTGGCGGCTGACGATTGGCTGCCGAAGCGCTTCGTGCTTCTCCACCCTCTTCGAACAGCCGATCGCATTGCATATCCCACGAGCCACTTGTGGTCGAGCCTCCATATGCATGACCACCTGAACACGCGCATACCGAGAATGCATACGATTTATCATCTTCGATTGGCGCCAGCTATACCTTGATTGGCCAACAACCAGCCCCGCCGTTTCTGCGCAAGCACCGCGGCATACGCGACTATGATCTTGTTGGTAGTCATTCAGTGAAGAGATTTGAGATCAACTCTTGCCCATCTTGGCTACAGCTCGATCTGCGTCCATATCTGAGCTCAAGCATCACGTCATTCACCTTGTTGGGGTGCTCACATTTTCCGAGGTCACTGCTTGACCTGGTTGCTTTCTGCTGCCCCAAACTTCGCAATGTCCACCTTGACTATCTGGCCGAGGACCAAGAACAGGAACATTTTCTGAAATTCCTACGGAGATGCAGACATCTGCGTGAGCTCACCTTGAGCTCTGAAGATGGAGTCAGCATTCCGAAAAATGTACTGGAGAACTTGGCATCTCGAAAACAGCTAGAATATCTCTATGCTCCACTCAACACTATCCCATACCACTCGATAGAGACTATGATGCGCGAGAATCCACGCCTAAGTCCCTTTCGCGACGCACGCAGCTTGTTCCTGAGCATGGAAACGAGAGCAGCAACGTCTGTTCTTTCCGCAGCCGAGTCTCTGGTAGAGATCCAACTGGATCTAGCTGACTCTGAACACGATGTTTTTCAGGTCATCGGATCGCTACATTGCTTGGAGACGGTCGAAATTTCTTTCGCTATGCCTAAGCGTCTTACCATACATGAGCTTCAAGCCATCTCGGGCTTGACACGTCTGAAAGACCTTAGCATATACGGACCTCCAACAGAGTTGCATTGGGATGATGGCCGCCCTCTGCTGATTGCCGAAGCTTGGACTGACGACCTCTTCGACTCCTGGATAGCGAGTTTTGTCCACCTAGAGAAGCTGCTGTTAAGTGTTCGCCCATCGAGCAGCCACTGGATTTCAGAGACCAGGTTGATCGGAAAGAGTTGTCCAAATTTGACAACGTTGTCGATGGATGGTATACATGACATCGGGGCTTGGAGGGTATCACCTGCGCCATTGTTTCCTGCACTGCGTCAACTCGAGCTGGGGCGACTCAAGCCATGGCCGTTCCCAATGAGGTATGTCAGACACGCCTGATTGGATCTCTGCTCAGATGCTTATAGCAGGATAGTGCCGAAGAGAACAGGGAGTATGCAAAAGGGCTCGCATGTCTGATACAGCAACATGCGCCTCTGTTAGAGGAGCTCAGTGTGGGGCGAGACGAGTTATCAAATGCCGTGGCTGAAGCTTATAAGCAAGAGAGGTTGGAAACTCGTTGCATCAACGAGGTCACCATGTTCGACGCATGACCGATCACCTGACGATTGAAAATTTCTTTAGGTCAATTGCACAAGCTTTCCGTCCTCAGAGTGAGAATGATATGTGTCAGCTCATTCACCTCTGCCTCTGTATATGCTAAATACTGCTGCTGCAGAATAGTCTATAGGCTTTCTTGAGGATACCACTTGAAGACCCCTCGGTATACGTCGAGTCAAAAAAGTTGCAAAATATTCAGGGAGTAAGATATGGAGGTGGTATTGGCTATTGTTCAATGTCAACGATAACCGAGCACGACTGAACTACACGCCAACCACAATATGCAGATATTCACCACAGACTTAATGTCACGGCAATTACAATGCTGAGTTTGTCAACCATTTTCTTGTTTTGACAAACGCCGTAAGATTGTTTTCAATCTTGTCCCGTGTAGACTACATCTATCTGTACTCTGTTATGTGTCTCTATATAGTGTATTGATGTTGTCTGGATGTTCCCTCGGCAGATTCTTTTTTGTGCGTTTTGCATCCGTTTCTTTGGAAATATCTTCCATCTTCTTCCAGGACAATGTCCAACTGAGTGCCCACAACGTAACAAACAGACCCTTTGAAAGGTGGTCAGTACAATGTGGAGTAGGATTGAAAAGTGTGACACACCGCCGAAAGCAGGAAACAAGCGCCGAACGACACGCCATCGTTGTCACGAATAGACAACATTGCTGCCATGACAGGTCCACCGATGATCTTGGCGATCGTGTCGATGACAGAAAAGAATGCAACGAGATCAGCATTCAATGCTCGGTGAACCATTGAAGAGGCGAGGGCCTCGATGGAGGGTTCCAATCCTTCGCCCATGCCACAAAGCAGTAAAGCTGTGGAAGAAGTCAGCTGCAATGTATAAGCTTGATATGATGGAAGACGCCTGACCAGTGCCAATCTGAATCGGATGTATGGCCAGCCACATGACGATGAACCCGATGATGACGACAAAGAGACTAAAGCGAATCACCCAAAGATTGATGGATTGAGCGGCAAAGCCTCGTTTCGCAAGGATGCGGGATGCAGAGGGAAGCACGATGACAGTCATCAGTGATTCGCCAATCCCCAGAGTAACACATGTCCAGACCACTTCGTCCAGACGCTGTTTCAGAACCTCGGAGGTGTATTGATATATCAGGTTCTCGCTTGAGAAAGCGATACGTTTCAATAGGAAGGAGAGAAAGCAGAACCAGATTCCGGGTATCGACATCAGGATGCGTGCAGTCTTGAGTATATTCGCACGTTGTATTTGTTCAAGATTCTCGGCAGCGGTGTTAGAGACGGGGGGTGTTGCAGTAGCTATATCGTTTTGATCTTGTTGCACATCCGATGGAGCTTTAGACAATGTCTCTGGCATAAGATACAGGACTGCGTATCTTGTCACCATAAAGAACAGAGCGACTGCAAATGGTATGGACGGTGGTAAGTTTTTCAGAATTTCGATTCCATTTTGAACACCTCAGGTACATCCATCCTTGCCTTTTGCTCTCCCGACAGCACCAATGGACGATCAAGGAGTTTCTCAAGATACCGGTTGTGATGAGCCCAGCTCTCCCACATGCTCTCAGGCCAGCTCTAATACGGAACCACAAACCGCGATACATGATCCATTCGCCAAACTTGATCCATCAGAGCAGACCAAAGTCATGGCTGCTCATCTACAGCGCTACATAGAGCGCGCGACAGACAGCCACAAGCGAACGCTACACCGTGTGCTGGATACGATTTCGGTAACAGAGGGCAGCGACGCAATGCATCTGGATATTTTAGCAACCCACATGGGAAAAGAGTCTCGGAAATATTGCGACCAAATGACTTGGCCGGGTGATCTACAATTCGAGCAAGAGATCGCCCGACCGAGTGACTTGAAAGTTTCTGATGAGTGGACTGCTTCTGGAGTCTTTCTGCCTCACAATGAAGAAAACATCGCCCAGTTTCTGCGGGAACTCGATACCGCCGCACGCAAAAATGCCGATAGAGAGTTGTTAGGCGCTGCAGCGGAGACACTCAGCCTTCCAGCAGAGTTTTGCGAGTTCGTTAAGCAATGTGGTGGGATATACGACGAAAACTTCGACAGACACAAGTTTATGTGTTCGTTCGGATCCCAATTTTATGTCTCTGAGGAGCTGGCTCTCCCTTTGGAGAAGATGAGACGTACATCGTTCGGCGATTCCAGCTGGTTCGAGCTTGCTGCTGGCTGGAGAATGGGTTATGTCTACTCTACTACCTCTCTATATCATCTCTTGTGTACGGTAACAGACGATATGGACGAACCATGGCAGTTGAGAATCGGTTACTTCGAATATGATGCTCCTGAGGACGATCTTTGGGACAGTCTTCCCGAGTTCCTTGAGTGGTACTGCAAAGGTTATGATCATGTTCGCTGGGAGAATGTCGAAGGGAACATTAAAAGTATCCATGAGGAATGTTTGGAAGACCTGGAGAAAAGACTAAGGACGGAAGCATGGGAGGGAGAAAGATTACTCAAAGGACGAGAACAAGCACAAAGATGAACTGCGAGCAGACAAATTGCATGACCGGTGAAAGTCCCAGTTGGAAACCTCCGCCTCTTTCAACACCTGTGCTGCTATTGACCGAAGATGCGATTTGCCGGTTAAGCATCTGACTGCCCACTAAATTGACGTTAAACGCGATACTTCGTGATGGTGACTTTCATTGTTACTGGATCGCAGGCCATACCCAGGATAGTGCGTAGTTTGGCTTGCTGGAGCGGGTTAAACCTCGGTAGACTTTAACGGAGGCTCAACGACTTTCGGAGTTCAAACTGTGAACGTTTGACGACACATCTCCCACCACAGGTCACTTCTTGATCCCTGGCAAGCATCATCACGATTCTCGCCGACCAAGATCAATCACAACAGGATACGCCAGTATCAATACCATGATCCTTCCCACCGATGTTTGAAACACAAAGTTGTTTCAGGTCAAGTCTGAGGTCTCTGTCGTTTCCGAGCGTCGACTCATGTTACCAGCGGGTCATGGGCTGAATCAAGTCGCGGTTACCTCCAGCCATGGCAATATTCTCTTCTTGGCTTCGACAGGGTGGTGTCTGGCTGCCTTGAGAACTTGCGGCTGCCTAAAATCTCCACCTCAATATTTGACGTATATCAGCCCTCATCGCCGGATCAGATACTTCAGGAACATACCCCTTCTCTTCGTCATTTGGTGGTCACAATGGACGAGACTACAATGGACGAGACTACAATGGGCGAGACTGAATGCGAAATATATGATCCTTTCGACAGCCTGAGCCCCTTTGAACGCCCCGAAACCATGTCAAAGGCGTTGTCACAGTTTGGAGAACGCATGAGAGACAACAACCAGCGGATTCTCAAACGCGTACTGGACATCATTGCAAGCACTGACGGCGATGAAGAATTGCACCTCAACATATTGGCAACACATCTGGACAAATGGTCCTCTGAAACAGTTTACACCAGGACTCGTACTGATGACATCGAAAACACGTTATTCTGGGATCCCACGATTACACGACTTCGCGACTTTGAACCGTGGGATTGGAGTATCTCAGAGCTCGAACACGCCGAGGATCCAGAGAAATCAAGGGCTCATGCCGCGGACTTCTTGAAAGATCTTGAGCTCGCCGTGCGCGCAAAGGCATGCAGAAATTTTCTCGGTGATGATGCAGTAGACAACTTGCGACTGCCAGCCGAATACTACGAATTCGCCAGACAATGCGGAGGTTTGGCCTCTGCAAACTACGATCGCCAAGTGTTTCTCTGTGATTTTTCCTCCGAGATGTATTGCCCAAAAGAACTGGCAGAGCCATTGGACAAGATCGAGCAATTCTCGGGTGCCAGTTACGATTTCTATTTTGCTGCAGGGTGGAAAGCAGGCGAAAACTATGACAACTGTATCATTTACTATGCTCTTACCTAACACGTCGAGGAACCAGAGAGACCTTGGAGATGGAGGGTATTTGTAAACAACTGGGAATTTCATGAGTGGCAAGGACCTTTTGACGACATATTCAGCTTCATGGAATGGTACTGCGACAGGTACAACCAAGTGCCTTGGGATTGTGTTCAGAGCAGCATGAGGCGTACTCACGAGAAGTGCAAGGCCGCACTTGCCGAAGCAACATAGCATGGTAACACTTTGACAACCGCATGGACATTTGAGATCACGGGAGAGTTCTTGGTATGGTCACATCGCTATAGACTCTTGGCTTCAGCATAGCTGGCAAGATGATGTATCTGGTGATGACGCCGATAACTGTCAACCACATGGATTGTTCCTGAAGATGGAGACCCTGCTTATACATCAACAGCGCTCATAGCTCAATAGCAGCATAGTCACCCCATTCAATGCAGTTAGCCAATAGCATGCCTCCGCTCGTGTAATCTGAAACAGACAGGTTCATGTTTAGCAAGTCTCATGAAAATTGGAAGGATGGCGGATAATATGGTAGGAGCTTTTCCTTGCGCGAAAGAGGGTCGCGAGCAATCTTGGTCGACAATCCAGTGATGTCCCTAAAAGCTCTGTCGAAAACTTAGCTAGAACCACAACATTTTCTCGCGATCCAAATCTACACTAACTGGAGTCTTCAAAACCTCGCACTATGGCCGCTACGATAGACATCGAAGATGAGTTCAGGGACCTCAGTCCTATCGCTCGCTCCGAAACGATGACTAGTCTGCTTTCACAATTCGCCGATCGCATGCTCGATAACAACAAACGCATCTTTGAGAGGGTGTTGGACATGATTGCCGAAACAGAAGGCGGCGAACAGCTCCACCTAAATATGCTAGCAACGTATTTGGAGATGGAAACGTCGGAGGTCCACGTCAAATCATGGGACGACACTGAAATTACCCGTTTGAGCGACTACAAAGCTTCGTCCCGCCTCGGTCATGATTCTGGCGTCTGCCCGTGGGAGCACGACTCGAGCGAATATATCGCAGCATTCTTACTACACTTACAGAAAGCTGTGCGTGAGAACGCGTCCAGGGATTTACTGGGGGACGCAGCGGAAACTCTCGAGCTGCCAACTGATTTCTGCGAATTTCTCAAACATACTGCCGGTGTTGTCTATCCAAATCTGGATCGCCAGATGTTCGTCTGCAGTTTTGGAACCAACACATACGATATCAAAGGGCAGGCCCAGCCTCTAGACAAAATGTGCAAGATTGCCGGACCGAATGGATTTGTGGTTGCTGCTGGCTGGACGGCTGGCGACAATGATAGAAGCTGTTAGATACACAATCTGCTTTGCAAAAGAGTCGCGGAGCCGCATGAGCCATGGCGATGGAGAATCTTCATCAACAATCTCGATTTCCATGATCGTGGCTATTACGAAAGTCTTGGTGACTTTCTCAGTTGGTATTGCAGCGCATACGACTGGGTGGATTGGGAAGCCGTGCAGCAAGGCATAGCTTTTCTGCACCAAGAGTGTAAGGAGGCTCTAGAGGAAGATGAAGAGCGGACTTCAGAAGAGGCTGAAGGACAAACGTCAGACGAAGAATCTGATTGAGCGTGGCCGAATCGCAGCTGGCTTACCATGGTTCTGTACAAATATCCAGTTTCCATCATTATGAACACTTCTGATTGGACGTCCCCCGCAGCTGATCGGCGAATGACCCTACTCGATTCGACCAAGTCACGCTTACCGGTCACCCCCTCATCTCTACAGTAAGCAGCGTGCTCATGATACTCATCTTTTGTCCAACTCATACTCCAGTAGCCGTGCCTCGCACTACGCATCAGAACACTGTAGCCTAATCCTTATGGCGAGCCTTACTCTCTACGGTTACTATCGGTCGTCTTGCTCGGCTAGACTTCGCATAGCCCTCGACTTGAAGGCCATCGAGTACAAGGCTGTCTACGTTAATCTCAACAAAGGCGAGCATCTCAAGGAGGAATACGGTGCAAGGAATCCGTCTCGCTCTGTTCCTACCTTGATGGTCGACGATTCATGGTGTATACCGCAGTCCATGGCAGCTCTAGAATATCTCGAAGAAGCTTATCCGCACTCGACACCTCTTCTTCCCGCAGATGCAAAGTCTAGGGCAGATGTCCGCACCTTGACAGACATCATCGCTGTTGACACTCAGCCACCAACCAACGATACGCCCATGAAGCGTGCACAATCTTCTGGCGCCGATCGCTTGGAATGGGCACAATTCTTCACTGAAAGAGGGCTCAAAGCGTTTGAGACTGTTGCCAGCAGAACAGCTGGACGATACTGTTGCGGTGACACAATCACTTTGGCCGATGTTTGCTTGGTGCCTGCTTTGTGGAATGCCGAGAAGTTCGGAGTCGCGATCGAGTCTTTTCCCATTATTTCTCGAGTGTATGGTGTTTTGAAGGAGCATCCTTCGTTCGTCAAGTCTCACTGGCAGAATCAACCTGATTGTCCAGAGGAGCTGAGATAGATCAAGCAAAGCTCTCGATCACGTCTGTCCATGGATACTGAGCTGCAGACAGTTGATAGGGAAAAAAGTCTCACAACAACAACACCTTCCAACTAGTGAAGCGTTCAGAGAAGGCAATTCACTCGGAAGGTTGGGCCGCGGAAGGTGTTCCGTGTTGGTGACTGCGTCGCTCCTTCCCCAGCTTCACACAAAGCGGGGTGACGAACAAGCCGGGCCGCATCCGTGTTCACACCTTCCGCAGATAACGACACGACCAGGAAGCAAGAAGCAGATAGTCAGCGAATCCTCTGCTACTCTTGCGCCTGGAAACATCACTTGTTTTGCAAATCATCATCATAACTTGACAAAATGCCTGGTCTAACTACACGAGACTCGTTCGTCCTCAAATCACTCTTCGATCCAGAGGCCTCGGCGACACCCAAAAAGCATGCATCATCACATACATCACTACCTGGAATGCCAGAAGACCAATTCTCAGCCCGCAGATCGACAGAAATTCGAATCATCTCACAACTGCAGAACAACACTTCAGACCCCGAGACTGTTCAGAGGGCAATCAACGATCTATCATTACTAATCGACGAGTCGCCTGCCTACGCCTCTGCATACATCAACCGTGCACAAGCAAGCCGACTGCTTATCCCTACAAGTGGTCTCTTCACATCCGACCATGCCGAAGCAAGCGAACAGCTGCTCAAAGACCTTCAGAAGGGCATTCAACTCGCCTCTCCAACCTCTCCGGACCAACAACTGTCAACTCATCAAACAACTGTCCTCGCAGCTGCTTACACACACCGCGGCTTCCTACTTCTCAAGATCGCCGACATCATCCGCAGTGGCGAGCAAGTTCATGGTGTCAGTGAGACACTTCAATCTGCTTCTGCAGAAAGTGTTGAAGAGCAAGCAAGCAAGGACTTTGCGGCCGGAGGTCAGTACGGAAGCAAGGAAGCGCGCGAGATGGCCGTAAGAACCAACCCCTATGCAAAGATGTGTGGTGCTATCGTCAAGGAGGCACTGAAGAAGGAGCAAGAAGAGTGGAAGGCAAGCCAGCTTTGCTGATCAGGGATATGCTTATTAAGATTGAGCGGCAATTGTCAAGGGCACGATAAGCAGAATATTCACGAGAAGCCACGACGAAGGCTCAAAGATATCAGATAGTCCTCAATCAATGTTCGAGGCTGAGCAGAGACTCTTCTCCAAAGAAGCCACCAATGCTGTGATCAAACAAAACAATCCCTCCATTGATTTCCATGCTCTTGACCGTAGCATTACACGTATCTTGATTTTCGCTTTTTATCTAACTTCACTTGTGTCATCGCAAGCGGAAGACAGCCGCACTGGAGAAGACTGGGGGCCCCTCACCCCACAACAAACGCTCCCCAAAGGCGTCTATGATCCAACAGGAGCTAACGGGCCGCCTTCCGCCTCACTATCTGAGCTCATGATCGTGAAACGATATATCTACCTCGCAAAGGTCATCGAGTGAAGTATCATTGACATACAGCTTACAATCTCACTTTTGAAGCCTTTCAAAGTGATCAATATTGGAACGCCAAAACACTATTTATTTTTCCACGACTTCCGATCATCATCACAACATCAATCAGCAACATCAACCCACAACATCAACAACCATGGCACCAGCCGCCATCACACCACCTCGCGAGACATCGCCCCCTCCCACCACACAAGCAGAGATGTCTTCATATCAAGGCTACGACCACGTGCACTGGTACGTTGGCAATGCCAAACAAGCAGCCGCCTACTACATCGCCCGCATGGGCTTCGAGAAGATCGCATACAGAGGTTTGGAGACCGGGTCTAGAGGACTCGCATCCTACGTCGTGCGCAACGGAGGCGTCACTTTTGTCTTGACTTCTCCTCTGCGTGGATTGGGTATGTTGCATGATGTCCCTGAGGAGGAGAGGGAGTTGGTTAGGGAGGTGCACAAGCATCTCGAGACTCATGGTGATGCTGTCAAAGGTTTGTTTCAGTAGATCCTTTGGTTTTCCACTTTGCTGATGAGGAAAACAGATGTGGCATTCGAAGTCGATGATGTAGAGTCCATCTACAACGCCGCAGTCTCGGCAGGAGCAACCTCCATCAAAGCCCCCAACATAATCCACGAAGGCAAACTCGGCTACGTCAAGACCGCCACAATCCAAACCTACGGACAAACCACTCACACCCTGATCGAGCGCCAAAACTACCGCGGCCTCTTCTTCCCTGGCTTCCGTCTCGAACCCACCACAAAGGACCCCTTGAACCTGATTCTCCCACCCGTCACCCTCGAAGCGATCGATCACTGCGTCGGCAACCAAGACTGGAACGAAATGGACGATGTGTGCGCCTACTACGAAAAAGCCCTTGGTTTCCACCGTTTCTGGTCCGTCGACGACAAGGAGATGTGCACCGAGTTTTCGGCCTTGAAGTCAGTCGTCATGGCTTCTCCCAACGAAGTTATCAAAATGCCCATCAACGAGCCTGCAGAGGGGAAGAAGCAATCCCAGATTGAGGAATATGTTGACTTCTATGGCGGTGCTGGTGTTCAGCATGTCGCTTTCAGAACTACTGACATCGTTACTGCCATCAGAAACCTCAGAGCCAGAGGCATGGAGTTCATCAAGGTTCCTGAGAACTATTATGTGGCTATGAGAAAGAGACTTGAGGCTGCTGGCATGAAGTTGAATGAGGACTTTGATGTCCTTGCCAGCCTTGACATCTTGATTGACTTTGACGAAGGCGGTTATCTCCTACAGTTGTTTACTAAGGTAAGTGATGTGCCAACAAACCTTCTTCCATGCTGAGCAGTAAACTGACTCTTGACTCACAGCATCTGCTGGACCGCCCTACTGTCTTCATCGAAATCATCCAGCGCAACAACTTCGACGGCTTTGGTGCTGGTAACTTCAAGTCGCTCTTCGAAGCCATCGAGAGAGAGCAGGAGTTGAGAGGCAACCTGATCTGAGTCCAGCCTCATGAATTAAAAGAAAACGATTGACGAAGATGGGTCTCCCTCATGCCATAAGACAAGGGGACAACCAGGAAAAATACCAAAGGGGCGCAAGGACCGCCGAGGTCGCTCGGATGGTCATTGTAAAATTGTAAGACTGGATGATCAGCACCTTGGCTGCGAGACTCGAAAGAGAGTTGGATCCTGAAGGCCAGGGGAAGATCCATAGATGATGAATGATGAACTCAAGCAGCACAAAGGGGCCGGAACGTCGGTCTAGTCAGATAGCAGAAGTAATCAAAATGCATATCCCTTCATCTGGAGCACATGTGGTAGCAAAGAAAAGCTTATGCAACTGGCCACTCAATAAATGTTTCTCCTTTGTCTCATTCATCCCGATACTTGTCGTCTAGTTGCTTGAGCCATCCTTACCAGCCAGAACAGCGTGGGTCGAGCGCATATGGAAGTTCGACTCTGAAACGGTTGTAGTAATGCGGCTGATCTGGGATTCTTCTGTCAGCGTTCATCCCGGCGTGACAGAAGTTGGGAGTTTGGACAGTACCAGCGACCGTAGTTGTCGGCCATATTCACGCAGCAACCCTTCGATAACAGGTATTCCAGTTTTTTAGGGCGAAGCCCGATTGCTAGATGGAGAGCATACTTTGTCGTCACCAGCTTGGACCGGTCAACCACTACTCCAGGAATAAGACATATATCTGTTGTCCAGAGAAGGTAATCTCTTGTCATTAGTTCGGTAACCTCAAATCGCGTTGTCTGGTGCATGAACGCAGTCTTGGTTGAGCGAAACCTGACCAAAGTGGCAAGCTTACTAGCATCAGAATCTAAAAGTCTGTTTATGCTTGCCAGCAGACTGAAAAGAGACCTTGAAGATCCTCTAGTGGCACGCAATGCATGCCTGTCGAAAAAGACAACTGGGTAGTCGATGTTCTTTCCTTTCTTAGCATACAACAACTCTGCTTGAGCTGCATGCAAAAGAACATTGGTCGAGGGATCAGTTGTTGCCGTGGGAAGGACCACTGCTGGAACGGATAGTGTAGCTAGCTGAGATGACAGCGCTAGAGTCGAGGTAATTGCTGATTGCGGAACCGTTGGGTCTACAGTGGAGTGAAGGGTAGAGGCTCCCGGATTACACAGCTATGTATCCTGAGAGGGGCTTGACGATGCGCCGGCCGCAGAAGGACCTGGAATCACAGGTTTCGGCCTTCCGGGGGAATGCTTCTCAGTCCGTCACTCTTCCTTTGCGATGGCGGTGTTGTTGTAGTAGACATGATTGATCGATGAGGTAACGCTCAGGCGTAATGTGGATGGTATGTTATTCAGAAGTAAGAGAGGTCAGTAGCACTTATCTTGACAGAGCACGCATCCCCGCTGGGCCACAGGATATACATGCATGTCGGGAGGGATTCTATCGATGCCCAATGGCTACATCGGAACGCCAGCGGTTGCATGGTGCAGATGCAATACTCCTGCAAGGCTTCATGGATCTGACTAACACCAATCAGGTACTGGACATTGATGAACATAACGATAAATTGTTGGAGACCGCTCAAAAATGCACATCATCTTGGGCAGTCAACAGGTATCAAAGGAGAAGCCGACACCATGCCTGCGCCTTCTGCATAAGAACGAAAATGGCGTTCGTTCGCAGACCGCGCGTGTGTTCACGCGTTCCATCCCTCTGGATGACGCGGGCGCAAAGGGCGAAGGAGCAGACCTGGCTTGGGCAAGGCAGGTGGCTGGGGACGCTTTGCAGAGTGGACGATACATGGAATCGGTGGAATTTCGGCTTTATGCCATTCCATTCCACCACTTCTAGCTATTATTCCATTCTATGCCAATTTTCTAGTGGAATCATGCTAATTCCAATCTTGCTGTTGTTGTTATCGTCACCCTGTCCAGATTAGGGGTCACCCTGTTATGTGATTAGTAATCAT